GAGAGAGATACTGTTGATGGATACTAGGAATTTGATGATGAGCATTCGTGCTGCAAAACACATAATCCAAGATGGCCGAGTTTCTCCCACTATGCCATGTTATCTGTTTGTCATCTCCAAAAATGTCAATGTAGTAGTCATCTAACAGATCCGTCCATTCCTTAGGGGCGCTAGACAATGTTCCGTCCATCCTTCGATCCTTGTATTGATAATTAAAGTCCCCCATAATAAAAGTGTTGTGTAGTGTGTTGGTAATAGTATCCTTAACAATGGGTATGTCAAGGAGTTCTGTATAAAAGGCTGATCGAGCTGATGGAAGCGATGACCGACCATATATGTTTAGAATAGTTGCAATTGGTGTTGTAGTTGTAGATTCCTGTATATCGCGAGTTAGATGAACAGAAGCTAGTATATAGCGTCCCTCATCGATGCCTTCCGATATAAGATTAATTGTTAAATGTTTGTTGAGGGCTATGATGCCACAATGTTGTGTCCAGAGACTTGATTTGCTGATAAAATGATTATTGAGTATGTCAATTGATGTTGAGTTTGTAGCATGTGTTTCTTGTAACACCAGTATATCATATTCTAGTGTTCGAAGATATCGAATGAATTGTTGTCTTTTTTTGGGATTTTCTGATTTGATTAAGCCACGGCAATTGAGGGTGGCTATTTTGAGTTGATAGTGGATATTATTCATATTTAAAGATTGGTGGAAGGTGGTGAACCTGGAGGTGCAGGTGGTGTCAAATTCCTATCAATCGTATCCGTATCATCACCAGACATGCGCCTGGCATCACTGTGGGGGTTAGAGGTTTCAGCGTGTTGATATCTGGCATAACCGATATCTAAAGATCCTTCCTGGCGGGTTAACTTCTTCGCTGCTTTCGAGGGATCAAATTCAGGATGAGATCTGCGCACATCCTTGGAAACACTGTTTAATGCATCCGCATCAGAAAACTTTGTATTCGTGTTGTTCTCTTCCATAATGGTATCTCCAGTTATTTTGGTTTGTTGTTGAGAAGCTTCAGGGGAGGGTGCATCAGCATTAGGTTGAGGAGCATCCTGCATGATATGATCCTTGTCTTCTACTGGTTTGCTTCGACGTTCAGGATCGGCCCTCTTTGGGGGAGTAGGCTTGGCTCCCTTTCGTTCCTTGGGCTTAGCAGAAGTTCTGTCAACAGCACGAACCTTTGCAGGTACCGATTCTGCGTTGTTTCTATCACAATTCTTCGATACATGTCCACGTTTGTTGCAGTGGTAGCATATTGCCCATTTGTGGTAGTCTGGGCAGTCAGCACGACAGTGATCAGGTTTCTGACACTGGCGGCAAAAGGCTGGCATTTGATCCCATTGTAATAGGATTTGTCGCTGGTCATCTTCCTTCGAGCGAGTGTCCCAAATGATAACTCTCTTGAGAGGTTCCAAGTGTCGCTGTCCACCACATTCAACTCCAGCTTCATGTGAATCCATACATTCATTACCAGGAACATTGGATAAGGTGAGATTGAGGGTGACATATCCTTCACCTTGAAAGATACCAGTCTCTGTCTTGAAAATACCATGATCCAATACGTCTCCAAAACAAGAGAAGCGCTCCGCCATTTCTTTCTTCAGCTGGACAGCAGGAAGAAAAGGTAGCTTCTCCATAGTGATACGCACAATGTTGGCATCTTCGGTAAAAGAGGGAAAGCCCTTCAGGTAGGTCCCATCCTCCAAGGTAATTCCCTGTTCGATGAGAGTTTTTCGGCCAGCTGCATTTGGTAGCCAAAGAGTTTCCAAGAATTGGTGACCAAGGTAGTGTCTAGTTTGTTTTCGATATCCTAGAAAATCCTCATACAGATCATCTCTTTCTGCCTCTTCATTGAACTTGACAAGTGCCTTGTCCAGAAGAGTTCTATCTTTAACTGTAGTCAAGTCTATGAATACCGAGTCCTCTTCTATACCATTCATGAATGGTCGAACCATTGCAATAGGTTTGGGAGGAGTGGTGTTAGCTGCAGACGCGTTCTGGATCGAGTCGGCAGGAGGGGTGATCAACGTAGGGTTGAATGAAACATTTTGCTGTTGTTGTCGTAGTTTGCCCTTCTTGTTGTTGCGAACGACATGAGTCCACAACTCAGGAAGTGGGTGTTGCGATGTCATTGATACAGAATAGATTGCCACAAAAAGTGTACGCAAAAACGTTTAAAAGATGTCAGATCAAGACAAATTTGAACACGAAAATATCCACTGCACAAATTCATATTAAATTACCGCAATCAAGGCTACCGCGACAGAAGACTGAGACCAAATTTACTGGTCGTGACGTCGGATAAGACGCCCTCTCATTCTTCCATACGCCCGTTTTTTCCCTTTTTTTTTGCAAAACGCGTTTAATATCAAACCATGGCTGTTTTGAAAACCGTTTGATTGATAATAACACTCTATCTTCTGATAACCCTGTCGTGCACTGTTACAAGTACTTCATACTGCTTCGTTAAAGTGAAATATATTAGGTACCATTCGATAACGAGCACTGAAAAGCGAAGGATTAACACTAATTGAATTTGTTTATTAGGCTTTGATAATACTTTTTGTCTGTTTGACGTTGGTGCTGCTGCCATTACTTCTCTGCTGTCTGCTTCTTTGGCTTATCATGTCTGGTGATTGCTTCTTTGGTCTTTGTCTGGTCTCTGGTGTCGTTCCTTCTTTGGTTTTTCTATGGTGCTGGTGTTGTTGCTGCCGCTAATCTGGTCTTTCCTGGTCTACCATATTTGGTGCATGCTCGTTCTCTGCTTCATACTACCCGGTGATAGCGTAATATCTGGTCTATCTGTGGTGGTGATAAGTGGTAAATAACTTCTCTGGTCTTTGTCTGCTCTCTACTGATGGCGTTCGTTCTTTAGTTTTTCTATGGTGCTGGTATAGCTGCTGCTGCTAATCTGGTCTTTTCTGGTCTACTATATTTGGTGCATGCTTGTTCTCTGGTCTGTCTCCGGTAATTGCCTATACTCGTATGGTCTATCTGTGGCTGTGGTAAGTGGTAAGTATCTTCTTTCTTCTGGTCGCAATGATATAAAATTTCTTTGAACGCTTATATCATTGCTTCCTTTTTCGTGATAATGCATTCATGATGTTTGCCTTATTGCCCTTTTTTCTTCTTTTTTTTTCGTTTGTTGGTAGTGTTTCCTCTGTAGCTTTACATGAAACAATATTAGTCATTATGTTGTATCGCAAACTTATAATACCACTGTTGCTTTTGCAGTTGTGCGTCTTTGTGTCATGTTGCTTTACAACCGACTATTACTACCATGCGCGTTGCTCATGCATGCACTTTTCTTGCAACAGCAACGAGCTTTTTTAAACATCTTTGATGTTGTGTTTGTTATGCTTTTCTTTGACTCGCTTCGTGTGAGTGTCTCTTTTTTGCCTACATACTACTATACTCGTATAGTATTATATTCTTTTCCTTTATTATTATTATTATGTTTCTTTGAAGCATACCTTTTTTTTTACGTTGTGTGGATGTGCCTATCCCTGAAGCTCAACAAGACTTTATCCGAGGCTAGGAGGTAGATAGGCCGCCTCCACTTGGTTATCGCTACTTACTTTAGTGATGATTGAGAGTCTCAATGCCAGAATTTAAAAGCTAGGTGGTGTAAGTAAGGCATGCCCTAGCACCTGAGGGGAATTTGATGATAGCATCTGCTATATTGCTATATATATAGCGGAGCTTAAAATTTTGCCTCACACCAAAACAGGGGGAAACCCTCGCAAAATTTTTTTTAGGTCGGCGGAGTTTTTACGCGATCTGATTGGCTGAAAGGCTGAAACAACGAAGGTCCACAACTAGTTGATCTGTTATTGATCTATCATTTATTACCATGATTTTATCTTTATAATAAAATGAATACAATTTAAGGCTTTCTTTATTCAAAAGCAAATCAATGTGCAATCATTTAATGCCATATGCAGTAAACAGCTTTATATAAGGAATGTACTTTAGATTTGATAAAATTTGGGGAAAGTTTATGGTTAAGTTACAGCAGTAAATGAGGTACCGAGTCCTTTCAGTACCAGATGCCTCGCCAAACGTGCGCCGTTTACCAATGATTTCCAACTTGTTTCAATTTCATGAGTTGCTATCTTTTACGTCGTCGTATCAAATTCTGAACGTATAAAAGTGTTTTTAGTTTCGAGGCTTGAGTTATCCAAAATATAGGTTTAAAATGTGGATGCGTAAGTTCTGAAATCAGTATGCCTCGAAGTATAATAAAATTTCGGATGAAATATAACAGCGTATATGTAATTGGATTCTAATTTGGAGGGTGAGTTTTTTTTTTTCAGGAACGCAACTTCGAGCAAAGACCTGTGCATAAAACCTATTGGAAGCTATTACTTACAAGCGATTACGATAATAAATCGATAGATGAAGCCATGCGAAACGTTGTGCTCGATTATGCTATATAGACTAACACTTGTATTACTATTATTACATGATCAAAAAAACCTTCTTCTCACACACGAATCTAAATCATCAACGCGTCTACTTTGCTGAGATGTTGTCATTTTAACATGAACTTGATGTCAATGACCTAAGTTAATTTTTATGTCAGATCAAAGCTGCAAACCTCGTATTCATTGTTCAAGTATAAAATAGGAAGGATCATTTACCTGGCTGGTCTAAATTCTTCAGTTCTACTTTACACTTAACTAAATAATAGAATCATATTTTTAGTATCATTATTTGGTATTGGTTCAAGTAGCCAATGCAATACTATTTATCAAGCTAAGTGTACAATAGAAAGTGTATCTGCTGACTACAACGTATTACTTTGAATATCTACTAGACTTCAGCAGCTTTAATCAGACCACCCGGGTTATGGAAGCATAGTGTTAAACTTTATTGATAATGATGACATAGGGACTATGGTATATGTATAGGTGAATGATGGTGGTTGCAAAGGATGGAGTGGATATGTTTGCTGTCATAATTTCATGTCAAAGAATCTATCTTCTCAATCCAAGGCGAGAGGTGTCGACGGGGCATCTGATAGTCTTTTGATTGAAACAGAATGTGACGGATGATGGGATGTAGATGGGGGTGATGGTGATATAAATGATTGATGATTCTGATGCTGATGTGGGTATGCTAATGTGTCCTTTGCATTTACTGGCGAAGAAGACGTGGATAAAGGAAATATAGCTTCGGTTAGATGTTGAGGCTGATGAGTGGAAGCACTGCTTGATGACCAGTGGATTGTGTTGTTGCTGTTGGTTTGCAATTCACTCAAGTGGCGAATGCATCTAGAAACAATCTCTTTTGTCACTGGCTTACACAATATGTCATCAAACACGCTCGCTAATTGAAGGGTTCGCTCATATGCAGTGACGGCAATGATGGGAGTGTTTCTGTTAATGTTGTTTGTCGATTTGATCATCCTTGCGGCAGCCTCTCCATCGACTGTAAGGTTTGTTAGCGTCGAATTCATAGCAGAGCATGATTACTTACTGATAGGCATTCGAATATCCATGAAAATAAAGTCAAATTGCACCTTGTCTCCCATAGCACACCGAATAGCTTGAGCACCATTGCGAACAACCACACAACGACACTGCAGCAAATGTAAAATGGTCTCTAATATTTTGCAACTGATAGGATTATCATCCGCGATCAAGCAGTTTATCGTTCTCGTTGTTGCAGCAGCTTGGGTGTTTGCAGATAATGGAGATGAAGTTTCTGTATCGAGTGGATGGGCTGTAGCCGATATTTGGAGTGGTAAGGACATATTGTGTCGATGTAATTTGTTGATTAAGGGGCTGTTTGTGCAACTGCTATTAGTACTGCTGCCATCATGATGTGAAGCAGTCGACGTAGGCGAAGTAGAGATGGGCGGAGGAGGTGCGTGAGGACAGCCTTGATAGGCGGTGGATGGTGAACCTACAGATGCTGTTGCTGCTGCGGCGGCTGCTGCTGCCGCTAAAATTGCCACTCGATTGCCAGGTGAAGATACAGATCGTACTCGATTGGGTGTCGCGTCCTCTGCCATCTTCAGTTTCTCTGCATGACTGACAGGAGCCTGAAATATGTCTACTGATCTACGATGAGTCGGTGTAGTACTTGTATTTGGAAACACAACATCACTTGTCGCCTTTGCTGATGAAGACGGTGACAAAGCCAGTGGAGGTGTACATGGTAATGATGTGGATGCGCTCGTGTTGGTCTTGATCATTGACAATGGTGGAAGAGACGATGTGGTGCTATGGTTGCTGCCTGTGCTACTGTTACTACCGTTTCTCAAGTGCACTGTCTCTGCAATTGAGCTTCGTTTTCTTCGTGAAATAGCAGGAAGAGACCTGAAATGCATTCTTTCCATAGAAGCCAAAGATGATGATGACGACGATGTGTTGGCGACAATGCGTTCGTGACGAATCTTTCGAATAGCGTCTTCATTTGCTTTCTCCAGCACGGGCAGATTCTTGTATACAAAGGTGCCAAAATCAACATCATCAAAGGAGACCTCGCTAGGCTTTTCATTAGCTGCTTCGGCTGTTTGTGTCGAATTGCCATCCACAAGCGCAATTTCATCGGGATCCTGTTGGTTGATGATCGCTTGCGCTCTTTTGATTTCTTCCAGCACCAAGTTCTGCACATTATCTTGTTGTTCCATCATCATAGTGGCACCTCTAGCATCAAAATAGTCCGTGTCCTCCTCGTTCATGGGCTGCGGTACAAACGAGGGTGATTCACTGAGCAATGTGTCCCAGTCCAAGTCCTTGAAGAAAGGATGCTCTCGAACCTCTTCCGGGCCATTGCGACCAAGTCGTTGTTCTGGATCCAGAGTCAGTAGTCTTTCCATAAAGTCGTACGCTTCGTCAGGCAGCTTAATGTCGTCCTTGTGCCAATCAATGTTTCTGGAAAGTATGTTCTCAAACACTTTATCTGGTGTCTCTGCGTGGAATGGAGGATAACCATACAAGAACTCGTAGCAAATGACACCGAGAGCCCACCAGTCCACCATTGAGTCTTGCCCAGTACCCAGTATGCTTTCGGGAGCGAGGTAATCAGGTGTACCTACGGCCTGTTCTTGCTGTTGTTGTCTGCCATCGCCTGCTCCATTGTCAGCGCTGTGGGTATTGCTCATGTCTGCTGCAGCGGTTGCCCCATGCACAAATGCGACAGGAGTGATTAGTCCGGAGGAAAGCAAGCCAGAGCTTGTGCGTTGACGATGTGGTCGAGTGGAAGCAGTCGAAGTTGCGATACTATTGCTACTGCTGCTGCTGGTAGGGTTCAAATCGTCGTGCAAGTTCAAAGGAGCGTTGATTGTTTCTCCATTATGTACAAAGGATGTCGTGGATGAGGAGGGTTGATTTCCGCCATTGATAGTTTCACCACCTTCACCAGAAGCAGAGCTGGCATGTGAGCCTCGATTGTTCTTTTTGCCGTCAAATAGCAAGCTAAAGTACGAATGCTTGTAGAGCTTTCCATTGCTGCCATTGGATAAGGGCATCGTAGTGTTTGCTGATGGGGACTGAGGAGGTGTCCCTGATCGAGACGGCGCCGGTGAGGATGGTAGTAGAGAGAAGGGTCCACGGCTTAATTCATCTCGCACACGACGGTCAAGGAACCCAATCCGAGACAGGCCGAAGTCAGTCAATTTCAAATGTCCATTCTGGTCAATCAGTAGATTATCAGGCTTCAGATCTCTGTGTACGTGCATACAATGTCAGTAGCATGTTATAGTAAATGGACAGCCTACGTTACCTATGAATAATGTGTCTTTCATGAAGATAGCTCAACCCCAATGTCACTTCAGCCAGGTAATTGCGAGCCCAATCACAGGGCAAAGTACCAAGCACTTTGATCAGTGACGAGCAGTCGCCACCATTCAAGTACTCCATGACTAGATACAGGTAATCTTTCGACTGGAATGTGTAATACAGTTTGGTGACAAATGGGCTATCTGTCTGGGTCATCAGTATCATACGCTCTGCCTTGACATTGGTTACTTGGTTCTTTGCAATCATATCCGACTTTTTAAGGAACTTGATAGCGTAATAGTCTCCTGTTACTCGCTTTTTTGCTAGAAAGACAGAGCCAAATGCTCCTTTACTGATGGGTTTGATGATATCAAAGTCCTTGATGCTTGGTGGCACTGGTCTTGTGGTCGACACGGCAGCAGGTAGAGGTGATAATGGCGACTTGATAAGTGCTGGTGTTGTAGCGCCCGAGGATTGTTGCTGTATTCGCTGCTGTTGTTGATGTGTGAGGCTGCTTCTTCTGAGTGGAGGTACTACAGCAGAGCCTGTCAAAGGTGGGAACTTGGGAGATGCCATTGGTGTATCAATTACCTCCATTTCCAGGATGCGCGTGCTGTTGATGGACGAGTGATGTGCTGAAAAAGTAGCCGTTGTGGTGTTTGTGGATACTGGTGGTGGTATATGGCCCGAGGTGCTGGCACTGCTGTTGCTGTTGTTTTGCCTGCGCTTGGAGGTTCGCTTAGATTGCTTGCTACTGCAACGTCTTCCTTTGGATTTCCAGTCTTTAATCTTTTTGAAAATGCTCTTTTTGCGGTTGACATTGCCCTTGTCTTCGTCTTCAGTTGGCTTCTTTGCTGCTGACGTTGGCGGTGGTGGAGGAGGAATGCGCTGTTGGCTGCTCTGCTCGGCAGCTGGAGGCGCTTCTGATTGTTGCTGGATCTCTCTCGCTGCTGCTTCGGGTACCTCCGTTTCTTGCAGCTTGTTTTCATCTTGTGGAGACACAACGAATTCAGACCATTCACTATCACACACGATATTCATTTGAAAGCTCTTTCTTGTGCGTTCGTTATACTCAAGACAGTCCTGCATTCGGTTCACTGAATCCACTTTGGACTTGATAATGACTTCAATGTCATGAATCAGTGATTCTGTGTCAGCATCATCAGCTTGTGGTGCACGCCAATACAAAATTTGAATGATCTTTGCTTTGGACACAGAAGACTGTTTCAAGCGCGGTGAGTGTGGACCATGTGCATCAGTGGTAGCCTCCTCGTCTGTTGCTATATCATCGCTGCCAGGTGTAGCGATAGATAGCGCAGTGTTCATAATGTCTAGCAAACACATGTACTTCTCTAGCTCTGATCGCTTTCTCTCCAAGGGAGATACCTTGTCTTCTTCCAAAGGCAATGATTCACCAAAGATAGAGTCTTTTTCACTGTTAATGCTGGCAGCATCGTTTTCGTCGTCTTCAAATATAGTATCTACTTGATGCAGCAAGTGCGATTCAGGGTTACTCTCTAGTTCTTGCACCTCTGAGCTTGTCAGATCACACAGGCCTTGCACATAGTGTCTCAACTCGGTAAGGCTGTCGTTACATGTCACCACGTCCATCTCAGCACGATGAATCTCTGCACACAGCTCGGCGTGTTGCTCAAAGAAGGCTGCTACCACCCATCTTTCGCATATATTGCACAGCGCGGGAGACAGCGTGAGGAGATGGCTAGTGGAATCGATATTTTGAGATACAAGTGTCCCACCCTGTGATATGGCTCTTCTCATGGCTACTGTTTTGATGCTTTCTATGACAGAGAAGGATGGCATCTTTTTCTCGGACAGAAAGGGCGGTTTTTCCAGAGGTAGTAGATCAGACACGGGCGCACTAGTAACTTGATCAATGAGGGTGGACCATCGCCTGGACATTTCCAACAGCTTGATGACCCACATGGTATGGCTTGGCTCGCCTGTAACATGGTTGTACATCAGCATGCCTTTGCCCTCCATCACAAAAGGCTTCTTGGGGTCTTGATCATTGATGACATGGAATAACAGTTCTACTGTTCTCGAGTCGTCTGCTAGCATCTCTGCTGTAGCTGTACAGAAGACATCCTTGTCTTGATGCTCCAGGAGCTGCGATATACTCAGGCCTATCATCGACTGTGGTCTTGTGCTACACAGTAGAATAGCTTGCTTATTAGCATGCCATGTGTGTATGCATATATTGTATCATTGTGCACTTACCCAATCACATCATGCCAGACAGGACTTAGATATTGTATGATGGAGGAGGTCAAGGATAGCTCCATCACAATGGTTCTGCTCTGGCCAATGTCTGCTTCTTCTTGCAGTTGACACGTCTCATCTTCGTTGGGATGGCATGTACTGGACAAGACACTGTTGTCTCTGGTCCTCAGTGTAGAGACAGATGACGCAGCTTCTTCTGTCAGCATTGCTGGCTTGAACAATGGAGTTACCGTGGTAGTTGTGCTGTTGGATGTGGTGGTAGGCGTAGGAATGACGGTCGCAGTAGTCGTGGTGGCACTGGACCAAAAGCTGCGTTCTGCTTGCCACCATTCAACGACTCGATTCAATGCTGCTACACTCAAAAGAAGCCTCACATACCACTCTCTGCATGGCCATTCCTTGTGATACTCCCACTTTAAGCCTACTGCTTGGATGCTTGAAACAGTATCCGCACATGCACCTGAATTCTCCAAAAAAATTTCCAAATCAGTATCCAAAACACTTTGAGCTAAACAAATAACGTCTTGTAGTGTCAGGATAAAGGGCGTTGGCAAATAAGAGTCTTCGGATATCATGGCGACCATGTCCTCCTCCTCCTCATTACTGGTACTACTCGTGTATTGTTGCTTGATGGAGGCATCCCAGTTTAACAATTCTTGTTCTTCTTTCTGGTAAAGCAATCCTTTTTCCACGTATTCGTTGAGTCCATCAATGATTCTGCGCAATTCCAGATTACAGGCTTCTTTGGCAGCGTACAACCGGGTCTTGATGGTGAGTCTGGGGCAAGCGCTCTGCTGCTTGGTATTGGAGGGTATTCTATGCGGCGATGTGAAGGAATCGTAATTCTCGCCAAAATGTTGAAATGGATTCTTGTTGGGATGGTTGAATCTGTAGCCTACGCTAACATGGTGGGATCGTGTGGGCGTACTACACGCTGTACTGCTACTGTTGTTATTGACAACAGGTTCAGTTGTTGTAGAAGCAGAAGCAGGAAATCGATATGGAAGGTCATGTAAATGAAGTGACATATGATGTTTGTGCTGCTTTTTATCTGATGGAGCAGCAGGAGGAGGTTGTTGTTGTTGTTGTTGCACTGAATCAGCGTTATCTAATTGCTGGATAATACTATTCCACCAAGACGCAATCTTGTCATTTGTAGCGATAACACTGGCATCCATCCAATTGATCCAATTTGGGCGTGTGTGTTGATAATGATGGTGATGGTGATAAGGTGACCATTTTCTAATCTTAGCCAAGCGTGATGATTGTAACTTGTAGGCGTAAGAACCTTTGTTGGCGGATTTGGTTGCCTTGGAGAGAGAGCGACGGCGGATAGGAACACTTTTAGATTCTAAAAGGTGTATTAGATTCAACATGTAGAGTAACACTTGTTTATGCTACCTTGAGAAGGCTGTGCTGCCCAAGTGAAATAGTCCTCATTCACATCAGGCACAGAGATACTGTCCACATTGGTATCCCTATCGTTTACTGCTGCTTGCATATTCTTTGGGTTTATTTCATCATTGCCGTTATCATTGTCGTTGAGAAAGATGGCTGGATATACCGGTGATTGGTATCTGGAATGGGCATCGACTGCGTTACTGTACGGACAAGACAATGAATCGTCCAAATCAATTTCAACAACGTCTTTATCTGCTTCAGGAATCGAACGAGGCGATATCATGGTTGAATTAGATAACTGTCGCTTGAGAAAAGTCTGTATCGACTGCTGGTACTCGGGTATGGTAGATGGGTGTGAATAAACGGGATTGGGTATATTCCCATTGAGGATACCAGTTAATTCTGCACTGGACATGTTTCGAAGCAGACAGCCTGAAGAGCGTCTATGGATGCCTACATTTACAGTTGATAAGTATACGCCATCACTCATGCGAGTGCCCATGTATTAGTTTACCAGCGGGCGATGTTACAGACTCATCATTATCGTGACAAGACTCGTACTCGTCTGAGCCGGATAAAACGCTAATATTGTCTGTCAATATAGACGATATCGACGATGCTCGGTGATGCTTGTCAAAGAAAAAGTTGTTTTCTCTCAGCTTCGATCTTTCATCAATGGTGGAACTCTTTCTACTTCTTGAAAATCTGACGGTTTCAGGTAGGCTCACAGGAGTCGAAGGCGTACTGTTGATTGTATCACTGGTTGCTGCTGTGGGCTGCACTCCTATGCTTCCTCCTCCCCCTCCTCCTCTTTCAACTCCTGCGTCAACAATCCAACTTGACCGCTTGGACTTTACCATGTATTTCCCTCCACTTCCAGCAGGTGGGCTGTTTGCATAACGAAGCGATGCCATGGATGATGATACTGCGTGTGATGTCTTTATTTTATTGCCTACAGCGTCAGATTCACTTCCCAGACTAGATGTCATCTCATCGCCACTGTTTCCATGCGTCCAGATGGACTTCTTCTTGATAGGAATCGGCTTGTTGAGTGTGCCAGCCATTGGAGGAGGCACTTGCGACGGTAACGAGGCTGCCGACCCACTTTGTTTACTGCTATGATCGTCGTCCATGGAGGACATGGATGAGCGACTCAATGGCCGTTTCAGCAGCAATGGTGGTGGTATGGGCACACTCTTGAGATTGATGCTGGAGGCAGATGGATTAGTGATTTCTGCTGAGGTGGTAACATGGCTGACACTGGCATTAGCAGGATGGGAGCGAGGTTGAGTTGACTTGAAAAACGGCTTGCTAATGGCAGCATGATTGTCAATTGACGCCGCTTCATCTGCTGCTGCTGCTGTTGGTGTGGTCCGAGGAGCTACTTGATTCATACAAATGCAGTTAATTTCATCAACAGTTGTAACTGAGAGAAAGATAATGACCAATAAGGACTGCAGCAAGAAACAAGAAAGTGAGAGAGAAAGAAAGAAGAGAGAATCAATGCGATTAAACAGCAAGGGAAAGGGATTAAAAGGGAACCTCCGCTACAGTAGAGTGTCTTATTGGTTCAATGTGTTTGCATGAGAAGAGTTGATGTGCATTTTTGAGTAACATTTTCTTATGTGTGTTTGTTATTCACTTGTAATCCAACATCACGCGTAGTCGTAGGCTGTTGTAGAGTCTCAATGTGATCACAACAAATGGTTGCTCCTAAAACAAATCGCGAATGTTGCTTGTTTTGACTCCTTAATGTACATGACAGTCTAATGTCAATTGACTTGCTTGTCCATGTATGCTTATATACAATGGTAACTGTGTCTCATTTTCATATACATACACTGTTGTTGAATTACATCACGCAATAAGGCACATCCTTATTCGTTTTTAGAGGGCAAAAATAGCCTAAATTATGCATTCCATCTTCCATTGCCATTTACAGCTACATCCAATTTAACCTGGATGCCATGGTTGTTTCTCTAGAAAACGTTCTGAGGGTGTGGCAATATCTTCTTTAGCCTATGAACAGTGATGAAACGAAACAAAATGCATAATACATCAAGTTGGGCATCTCCATTTGATATTCATCTCAAGTGTGCTTGAAAATGTATGTCGCGCATGCTCATCTCCAGCATCTTTTCTCATATTACACGAGCACCTCATTTTTTTTTTTAGCTCGACTGAAGGGTTTGTTATCCGTACTAGTATTAGAAGGATGCACTGCCAAGTAATCGATGGAGCAGCAATGAAATTAGGAAATAGCGTATTCGGAGCCCGGCAGTACGGTATCAGCCTCACCCACTCGGTTTATTTATATAGTCGAGTTGTATTTTCATTTCACTTTTCTTCTCTTCTTTCTTTTCAATATATTACAAAAAAAAAAACTAGAGAACAACATGTCTAAACCCAAGATTATCGGCGAACTAGTGATTGTTGCATACAAAGCTGTAAGTTGAACATGTCGAGAATCAAGAAGCCATCTTGTAACTTTCTACATGCTTGGATAGAGACACTTGCCTGAACGTGAGGTAAGATGCTGGCTATGCCAGGCGTAGGTCGTGTGAAATGCAGATGCTAACAGGTAATCAACGCAAAGGTTATTGGCAAGCAAGATCCATTTGTCGTTTTCCGTATTGGCGAAGTGATTCAAAAGACTAAAACTGATTTAAGAGGCGGTCAACACCCGACTTGGGATGATCAGGTACGAGATTTTTTTTTTTAATTGAAATTAGGGGTAGGTTGAGCTTATATACAGTCCTCTAGGTCACGCTTCCTATTCCCGAGAAAAAGACAACCGTGTTAGTGCAGGTATATGACGAGGATGGAAAGAGACAGGAGCTCATCTCAGAGTGCGATCTGGATATCACCAAAGTGTTGCAAGAAGGCGAGGAAGATAGTAAGTTGGGAGGGGGGGAGCAGTTTTCTGCTCCTTGAAACATGAGCAACATGATATTTATTTGTTGTTTACGTGTCCATAGACTGGTATCCTTTGAGCTACAAGGGTCGATCTGCTGGTGAGATTTACTTGGAGTTGACATTTTATTCTGCTGTAAGTATGGAGGGTATCGAAATGAAATCATGGCTTTTATTGATCCCACCACCCCCTGCGTCGTGTAACCTAATAGCGTCCTCCACCAAAACGCCAGCCTACAAGATATGGTATGAGTAAAAAGCTCAAGCCAGTAGGAGGTTATGTTCCTACTGTACCTCCTCCTCCATCAGGTCACGTACAGAACAGACCTTATCCAGCCTCACCCCAATATCCTCCTCAGCCCAGTGGTGTCGCAAGACCAGCTGCTCCACCTGTACCAGTCGAATCTCATTCCACTCCTATTCACGGCAGCAGCCCATACCCACCTCATCAACAGCAGCAGCAACAGCAACAACAACGCCCACCGTACAACTATGGTGCCAGCATGAATACACCACGCCCTTATCCTCCTCCCAACCCTACCCCATCCATCTCAACTGGATCACAGCATGCATATCCTCCTCAGCAGCAGCAGCCATATCCTCCTGCTAACCAAAGCAGTCGCCCTGTCTCATTTGGTGGTCAACCGTCTGCTGCTTTCAATGGCAATCGCCCTTCGTCGCCACCTGTGCCTGGATCTGGTGGTAATTTCGGCAACTCATCTGCACCTTTGCACGCTCCTCTTTTATCTTCCTCTTATAGCCCACAATCCAACACAGGCCATCCTAGTTATGGTGGAGGTAATGGAGATATGGCTTGTTCTTTTGCAAGGAAACGGCTGATGTAACTAATTTGGTTGATAATATAGGCTATCCATCTAGTGGCAACAATGGCTATCCACCAAGCAGTGGCTATCCTCCACAAAACAGCAATGCTGGTAACAGAAACAGCTACCCTGCATATAATACCAGTAGCCCCTATCCACCTCAGCATTCATCATTCGGATTCCCTGAGCCACAACAGTTTTCTGGTGGATACATTCCTCATGCTGATCCCCTGGGTACACCTTTTGCCGCTCATCAAGGCACTTTCCCACCACCTGCCCACAACGGCTATCCTCCACCTACAAGCGGTAGTTACCCGCCCCAACAGCATCAAGGAGGTTATCCTCCAAGCGGATATCCACCTTATCAGTAAATCTGTAATACAACAACTCACACAAACGCTTCTTTATGATATTAGATATTAAAAATTTATTAATGATTGATAAAATGGAAATTTGATTTAAAAGTAATTGCTTGTATTGTTAGTTTTGGCCTTTGTGGGTGTTTGCATGTAGTCAAATGCTTGGTCATCCTGAAGAGGGTCAAATTTGAAATCATCATGATGACTGATAGCAGCACCGCTCATGGTTTGCATGGGATAATCTTGGCGGTGTTGTTGTTTGGGAGATGCAGATCGATACGATGCTTCATATGAGTCTCTTCCTGCAACGGATGATTGCTGCTGCACTGTGTTGAACTTTTTGTTATTGATAGGTTCCATCATGGTAAAGTTGATTGCATGGTTACTATAAGGATCATCAATGGAGACGTTGCGGTTGGCAGTGGTAGGTGTAAAGTGATTGGTAGGTGTGAACGAACGCTGCTCATTGCCGATGGTAGGGTGGTCTACTTCGACAGGAGACATGGGTCTCAGGAAGCTACCGTTGCTGCCGTTTATCAGTTCCCTTGAAGTGGGCTCGTACAATGTAGACGAATCGTTTGCCATCACAGTCGAATTGTTGGTACCAAAACGAAGGTTGCCAGCATTTTTATTTTCTATGAAATTCGTGATACGTTGACTTAGTCGATGCCCATTTCCTTTCATTCCCTCAGAAAATGACGAACCATTAAATCTCATGCTATTTGTGTGGTTGTTCTCAATGTCATTAGTAGATGTAGGCTGATGGAATCGGCCTTGCGTAGTCGTAGTCATACTCCTTGAGTCAACACTAGCTTCAATGTCTGCGTTAGAACGACGAGGATGGAAAATAGAAATCTAGTGCATGCAGGTTAGAAGTCGTTGTCTACCAAACAACCAAGGCTTACCGAGTATACTTACACCAACAATCCACATCAGCACAGATGCTGTATTACAGTTGGCAATCAATAAATCGGATGCAAATTTGTTGGAGTTGATAGTCTTGGAAGCGGTCAAGCCATCGACACAAAGAGTACCAAGACTGAGAGCGTAAAAAAAGAGAACAGTCGTGAGGTAGATGTTCATGTCCTTAAAGTAGGCAAGCTTCTCAACAATGGCTGCACCGCCATGCTTTAAATTACGAGAAATGTTGAGGATACGTCTGAATCTACGGTCAGAGCGGATGCCCAGCAATGATGTGATGAGCACTAATGTATAGGGTGAGTATACGGAAGCTATTTATGCCGAATAGCTTTGATGACCTACCCTCAATAGAGTAAGCTAATTGAGGAGCTGTCTCTCTCAAGCTTTCATCATTTCTGTAGTACCATTGCAGAATTGGGAAAACGGCTACGCTGCCCAAAGCCCTGCAAAGAATAAAAAAAAAAACAAGTATTAATTTTCATATGTCAAAGGCAGATCAAATAAGCTATCATTTGCACGGATGTTGCATACCAAAAGATGTAAAATTTGAACTCCCAAGAACTCATAAAGGACTTTTTGGCTACAGTATTGGAAAGATAGTTCCAAAAGCACTGCAGGAGGAAAAAGACGCCGGTTTGCATAGACAGGTTGACACATTCTACATAATCCATGGCCTGTTTACAATTGAGTCATCATGAAGATATATACGATGGTTGTGATGATCGGTACCTGAGCAACATCCTGATGTTCCTTGGACCAGTAGTCGAACGGTTTAGAGATGATTTTGTCTGTGCCTGGAATGACGATGAATTTCTCGGTGTATTTGATCCATGTCGACACGACATCTATGGTAAGAGACGGGTGAGTTATCCAAGCAAACACTCTAGCGTAATATTCCTACCCCACGATGTCTGCATCACCAGCATTAGTATATACAGTACTGTGATGATACTTCTCAATTCGCCAGCGAAAATTCTCTTGGGATGTAGACATCGCATTCTATCATTCGACCAAACTCTATAGAATAGAAATACTCCCATATATACTTCTAATGCACATCTTTCTGTGTATAATTGACATGTTAGGGGATCACACACTATATCAAGCAGAAGGGAGACACATACGCAGATATGAAAAATCACTGTCAATATAACATGTTAGAATCCATCATTCGTGGGGCAAGAGTGTAATACAAAGCTCACCTTAAATGTGTCATTGAGATGGGGATATATATTTACAAGTGATAGAAAGGAAAAAGAAGAAGAAAAAGGAAGAGAGAAAGAAGCTTAAATGGTGCACTCATACAGCCCAAAACCGATAATACAGACCCAAATGTGCCATGCTTCAAAAACGATATCATTCGAGTTCATCAATGAGTGTTACCTCGTATTAAATGTAATTTCTATTTAGAGCCTTGTGAGGATATCTGTTCTTTTTCCCGTACCACAGCTGCTAACTGTAAATGTAAGTGCATGGCACTTACACCTGTGCAACTGTGGGCAGTGGTTGTGTGTTTTCTGAGTAGAGATTCAATTTAAACAACAAAATTAACTGCATTCACATTATCAACTCAGAGTTTACTAATAGCCAGATGTTTCTTCCCACTTGGATCCATCTATCTAATACACATTGTCTTCCATTTTCCCACCAATTCAAAAGATGTATAGCCTTATACAGCCCGGATTGACCTGATGGACTGCACATCACTTTATATGACATTTTGAAGTAGCACATTTCAAGCAAAAGATTACCATACATATCAGAGAGATGAGCAAATGCACAAAATGCCTATTGTAGTGGCAAAGTATACTTGATAATTTAGATATACTCCAGACCCATTCAACCAACCAAGAATCTTTGCTATTTTGAGCAACAATACGCTTTTGAGGGCACACAAACAAATAGATTATCATTTTTCCCAAAGACAACCAGAGTGTGTGTGTGTGTGTGTGTGTCGAGATGACCAGACATCAGCTCATTTTTCTTCCAGACATAGGCCACCGCCCATCCCACAAGCTTAAAAGCACAGGTCATTTTGTTGTACCTGTCTTTGACCAGCACAAGAACATGTAGGAATACAAAGGCCCTGATCTAAAACTGCTAGCCTCGAAATTGCTTGAATACCTTTCCCTAATTAGTCCCAAGCATTTAGGTACCGCATTGATATGTTGGTTCATGGTTACATAGATTTGGCTTGTATCACTATAAAATTTGGGCAAAGCCTAAAGAAAAGAGAGGATTATCCAATACAACAGTGTCAAATCATTTTTGATAATAAATCCCAATTAGTTAGAAGCCTTTAAATGTCTGATGTGCTGCAGCATTCCCAGGCTTTTGATTAGCATTTGACGTTTGTCAAGAGTGATTAGAGGCTGTAGCGATACATTGAATTTATCTTCCCTCCTATGCATGTGCTTGGTGATCCAGTTGTTTTGTAGGGTCCAATATTTAAGCATCGCCATACTACTTTTGTAAAAGTTCTCCTTTAAAAAAGCACTTTCAAACGTCCAAGTTTCAACTGCATTACAAAAGAGCAGCGTTGGATTGGAACTCATTGACAACGCTATGTTTGGTACTATTTAACATTCAAGTCAACTGTTATAGTCGATTCAGGCACACAACTGATATTGACTGCTACTGAGATTTAATTCAAGCCGCGCTATAGTCTGTTGGATTTTGAGACCGAATTTGAGATCCTTGGCCTCAACTCGACAACAAAAACCATTCTATCGATACTTACTCTACAGACACAATACATAATCTACCTAGGTTATTAAATGTCTAGACTACTTCTTTGAATTTTCTATCGAATGGTACTAAAAACACCTATACGTTCCACTAAAATTATTTCTCAACTTGGTGAAATACAAAAACCCTTATTTGGTCGATAAATCGATTTTCGTATTACTGAATACCTAGAATAGCAATTTTATATGCTTGCTTGAGCTTCTAGCTTTTGAATTCACTAATACATGTTATAGTGAAAAACGTTGTTTTAGAGGTGAAAAACACGATCGTTTGATTTTTGAAAAAAATCCATGAGGGGTACCTCATGGAAAATGCTGGGATTTTGGTCAGTGATTTTCGACCCAAAAAAAAATGAGATAATGCTACAGAAAGCAAGTACTCGTCGAGAGCGTTTGTTTGGTGCGATTCTGACGGTCTGAAACGGACAACAAGAGGAGATATAAGCAGTTGAATACTACCAAATTGGCTGTAAATTGGTCTGTTATTGCCCTGTGCATGATGGAACCTGTACAGTGTGTAGTTCAAGCTTGCCGTCTTCATTGATCTTCATGTTAAGTGTATTATAAAGCAGTAAGTGTGCTTGCTAGTTCCGTTTTAAAGCGAATTAATAACGTATATAGCACTAAATATCGTTGTTTACACAGTATATTGGAGTTCTAGTGAGTAATGCTGCCTCTTTAAAACTATGGATTAGTACGTGTCTTTTGCGCTACCGGCAGTTGGTGTTAATATCAGAAATACCGTGGTGCATAGAACCCAGAGCTGTACAAATCTCGAAAGCAGTATACTTGAGGAAGCTTGGCCTAATTCCTTGAGATTCACCTGCAAGAATGCGTGCCGGGCGTGAAAATAGCGTTATTTGGTGCTTTCTTAGGACCTTGTTTGCTCATTCTCTTGCACAAAAACGAAGAGTGGGATATAGATATTTGCGCCATCGCCTGCCCGTCGAAATTGCTGGAATTGCTGGCATGGGCATGTAGTATTTGGCGTAGGTCTCCTAACTGAAGTGGGTAAATTAATCCTGATGAGCCAGCCAAAGAATTTTCAAGTCCAGTTACGTCGTTATACTTTTAGTAAAATAGCCTGTTTCAATAGCATCAATCGTACAAAGTGAAGCTATCCATAAATATACATTAGAAAAAAAAAATAGAAAGAAGGCATCTTGTTTGCTTTAGTCATTGAGATCAGTGATCATAAGCATATTGTATAGCACAAACTCAAGTAACGTTGATTATTAAGCCACACTACTGGCTACCATCAGATTATCACTTCAACACCAGAAGTCGCGAGAGGAGTAAATGACTCGCCCGCGATTTTTATTCAACGTTGCACCTTTCCAAATTTTGCAAACCTATGCTGCGCTACAACATCTTTCGGATCGTCTATACATGAGCACACAACACATTTCAAGCAGCCAAACTGTTATGAATAGCGTTATAAATCAAAGCACAGGTAAGGTCGCTGACTGAACATTCACATAGTATTGTTGGTTTGTTTTATCTAAATGAGCATCTATAGCTGACAATGCTGCTACCCCCGACAATCTCACTACCGATACAAAACAGAGTCGAGCGAGCAATACCACTGAAAGCTCCAAGTACCATTTGAAGTCTGATTGGGATATATTTGGTGATGATGATGAGTTTATACAAGCTTTGGAAACGGATGGTTCAACATGGCTGGCCGTCTCAGGAACACAACAAATGCAAGACAATGACCAGCACAAGACAAGGATAGAAAACCCATTGCTCGAGAACAGTAATGTAGTGGTAGATGATACCGCTTCAGCACAGCACAGCCAAACAGCACTAGCAGACGTGGACGATTCACAAAGCGATGCTCTTCTCGTGTCTGATCATTATGCTGATTTGCCCAGCTCTCCAGGATTCTCCTTGGATGAGCTGCCTATATTCTCCAAGCAAAAAACAGTAGATGCAGATGGTCAGCCGCACGAGACTGCAGACCTCTCAGATACCGCCAATCTTGCTTCTGGCATAGCGCATAATGAGGACATGGGAATGGCAGACTCTGATGTGTACCGGGTACGGGATAAGCATATGACAGATGAGGATGTTGCTGAAGCATTGGATTGTCAATTTACACAGCAAATGGACATGCTGGATACATTAGACTCGGCATCTCTATCTGCTCAACCATTATCATCATTCAATGTGAGCGATATTGAACCATCCACTGTTGATTCAGGACAATCCTCTGACACCAGTGCTCCTGCTTCAAGGTTCAAATTGTCACTGAGACAGAGAAATGCTATTCAATTGCATCCATTTACCATTGAACAAGCCAATTTCCAGTATCTCATCAGTCGATCCAGTATGAAAGGCAAAATCAAAGCCGCTGTTTCCACGCAGATTGCCGATAGCCAAGATACCGAATTCACTATTTCAGACACTCAACAAGTTGATGTAACAACAGACGAGCTACAAGCATCGCAAATGCACCCTGAAGGCCCTCGAAAATCTGCCAGTAAGAGCAAATTGAAAAAGACATCTCTCCCATCCAAATCAAATAAGCGTGCTAAACATCGAGCCAAGGGTTCCAATATCGCAAATACCACTTTTGACGATATTGCATCGCCTGTATGCGACAAGTATGGATTGGATAAGTTAATTTTGCCTACAGTCGCCACAGGTGCCTCAAGAAAAGAAAAGCCGAAAATCATCACCTTTCAGAAAAAGAAAGGATCGAAAAAGGATAAATCAGTCGTCAGGAAATTTCTTCCCTCCTCCTCTACATCACGCACAAAGGACATTTTTGATTTTGATGCACAGCCTCGCTCTTCGTTCAATTTTGCAGCTAGTTCAAGCGATCTGCGTGCCACCTCCCCAGATCCAGATGACTATCTTCGGCAGCAGATGCAAGACATGAACGCTGACGTTGATTTCAACAACTATGGCAGCGATATGGATGATGATGAAGCGGATGCTGTGGATGCAGACAACGAAGAGACAATTAAGAGAAGGTTCAGGGTCAAGAAGCATGCCATTTTGGATAGCAGTGATGAAGAAGAAGACATGGAGGACGATGAGGAGGAGGAGGAGTCTCCACCTGAGCGAGAACTGACAGAAGCAGAATTAGACGCTATCTTCAGCTTCCCTGGTACAAGCGCTCTGACACCAAAATCAAGTAGAATCACTGGAAAGCGATTGACGAGACCATCATCAGAGGATGGTGTGGTATCTATTGTCGAGGATGCGTTCGAACACCGAGAACACAAGAGACAACGAATTGGTCTTCAAGATGTGCTCAAAAAGAAAAAGACGCTCAAAAGCATTTTACCTGCTTCTTTTCTCAAAATTTATCAAAAGGAGCTGCTGGAGGAGGACAGGCTACGAAAAGCGCCTAAAAAGCGCACAGTGAGTACCAATGCCTCCAAATCAAATACTGCCACAACCTCTTCCAACACAAGACACGCCTCGTCTTGCTCTACAAGTAGAGCGGATCCTGATGTGTTTGCGGCATTCTTGGACTCTCAAAGCGAAGGTTCTGGCGACGACTCTGATGACATGCAAGATGCGTATCCAACACTCGATGATTATGTGACCATGATGGACTATGCTACTCAAATACCCAATACTCAGCAGCATCAGGCGGGATCAGCAACACCTACAGGCGATAACACCGACTTTTTCGAGAGTTCAGCAGCGCACTCATCTAAGCGCACGCTTAAACAAACTCAACTGAATGCAGGCATCTCTTCGCGAGCTGGATCTCCATCACCATTGTCAAGGCAACACCCTCAGTCTGTATACCCTGTCGAGGAACCGATTGAAGACAACAGAATCCAGCGCTATCACCAAGGCACTAGCTCCAGAAAATGGACTACAAAAGCAAAGAAATTAGTGAAAAGAGCACCCAGATCTTCCATTGCCATCAAAAGACCAGCGGACGGCCCAAAGAAGCCATCAAGTATACCCATTAGAGACAATCCAGCTCCCAAAAAGCGCAGAAAGAAGGTCAAGAGAACAAGAGATGATATATACTGCCACGCACTAAATTCATATCGAGCTTGGAATGATCGCTCCGGTCAGGCACCCGATAACAATGGCCGTGCCTACTTTCAACGGTCCGTCGATACCCCTCGCATGGCATTTGATGACATCTATGTGGGTACAAGGCAGTACGTACGTTATGCCAATGAGTCTTTGCACGGTGACCGGTTCAATGAGCTGTTTGATCAACAGCAAAATGAGCATATCAAGGAAAAGCTGAATGTGCTTATCATTCATACGCTGCCTAATGTCATCAGTCGAGTGCGGCATTTGCAGGATTATGATCTGCGACGTATTTCAGGCCTTAAAGACACTGTTTATCTGCACCATCGCTTGTTGACGCCCCTCTTGTCTGCTATACCCAATCTCAAATCAGCATACAAGCATCTTCAGGACAACTATGTGGATTTGATCTTATTTGATAAGCATCTGTTGTGGAGAAACGTCGTACCCGAAAATGAATGGTTGCTTGCGCATCTCTTTTACAAGGTTTCCGGTGATATAGTGAAGATCTGCAAAGAGAAATTCCCTCTAGACGACAAGGAGCTGCCTGGCCATGATCATTTTTATACGTTTGTGTCTGTTTGCTTGACTCAATGGATCCCTCTCCATCCGTATGAAGACCGTGTCCAGCTGACCGAGCTATTTATGCGATACATTCGGTATTTGGGTCAGTTTGTACCAAGATTAGTGGAAGAGTGCAATACAGGTGATTTAACATGGCGTCCTATCGTCAAATTGATGGTGTATATTCTGGATTGGACATGTCGTCTTCATCATTTGGGTGTGCATCAGATCGACTGGTCTGTGACGCAGTGTACAAAATCACTCATCGATATTCTGGTGTTCATTGGCTTTGGCGAAATTAAATCGTGCACCAAAGACTACCTAGCAGAAGCTTGGATCTGTCTACTGCAAATCATGTCTGTGTCCTCCAAAACAAGCGGCTTTTACTTTGATGAGCAAGTCTTTTTGGATCAAATGACAGATAGTATCAAGAAAAAGTCAAAGGATCTCGGTGTGTATGAATTTGACAAGAGAAAAACAACTCGACTGTGGGCAGAAACTCTGAATTTTGTCATTGAACAGTACATGCTGCTATAGCACCTGACAATGTCGATTAAATCTATTTTCAAACATTCATTTTAAATGGCATGAGCTGTTCACGACTAAAGACTGCCAGTGGGAAAAACCAACTGTAAACCTAAAGTGTCCAGAGCTATATTTGCTGTCATTTTGTGTTGGTACAATGGGGAGATAAGGTTCAAAGCGGATAAAATCGGGCCACTACCACGATGAGCTGCGCTCTCCACAAAATGGAAACTGGCATCCCATTGATTTCATCTACATTTTTCTCCTGTATCTTCCATTTTGAGAATGGCAGGTGCTCAATTATACAAAACAGCAAGTGGACGTTTATTTCATGCTGGCGCAGTAGCCATCATCACAGTTGGGTGCGTATTATCTATCTTTGTCGCTTTGACGTAGAAACTATAGCTAACTTTTCGAGACAGTCTTCCTGCCAGAGGCAAAACGCACGTTTCAAGATCGCTGTGTAGATACATGCGCTGGCTCGGTGTTTCTACCAAAGTATTCAGCGTAGGCAACTACAGAAGAAAATTGATGGGCCCTATTCCAAACGAAATGTTTGATCCTAGTAAGTGCAGCTATTTGTATATCCAGGCACCTTTGTTCAATATGCAGACATTAGACAATGATGATGCTTACGGCCGCAGACTAAAGATTGCTGATGATTGCTTGAATGATATGATTGAATGGCTTCAGCATGGAGGAGGACAGGTTGGCATCTACGACGGCAATAACATCACCGAGGACAGACGCAGGGAGATTCATGACAAACTTGTGGCCTTGGATATTCATGTAAAAAATATGATAATCGCATGTTACACATGAGCTCACACTCATCCAATGCCCTGATCTAATAGGTTCTTTTCATCGAGTCCATTTGCAACAAACCATCATTGGTATTGAATAATATCAAGAGCGTTAAAATATCATCACCCGATGTAAGTGTTTTTTTTATCTAAAATGCACATGATTGGCATTCTAAAGCACAGCATCAATCAAGTATGTAGGATGGGATCCCGAGGAGGCTGTGAAGGATTACACAGTAAGAGGAGCATGGCAAATTAGATACTGCCAAAAAACACAAAGACTGACAAATCACATTAGCACCGCATTGAACAATGTGAACTGCACTACAAGGTCATTAGTGATTTGACACTGCCCTTTGTAAAATTGATGAATTTCGGCGAGCAACTGATTGTGAACAATGTGCAAGGCTACTTACAATCTCGCATTGTATACTACCTCATGAATTTGCACAACCGACCCAGAACCATCTACTTTGCCAGAGTAAGATACACGTATTTCATTTGTCACTGTTTACTAATACTGTGTCACTTGCAACATGTTAGGCCGGCGAGTCAACCAACCCAGGATCCTTCAAAGTGGATGCGGGTCTTTCAAAAGACGGTGAACTGTACGCCCAGAGACTGAAAAAGTTCATCCTGGTATACCGCGAAAAGCAAAGACAAGCATCAGGAAATACTGAGGAGAATCAGCGTCCTTTGACAGTATGGACATCGACCCGCAAGAAGTCTAGACAGACGGCACTGCCTTTCCTAGAAGAAGGGCTTATTGTGCGCCAGCAATCCGTTTTAAATCAAATCAACCCTGGAGAGATTGATGGTTTGAACAAGGAGCAGATCAAACAAAAGTTTCCAGATGAGGTCGAGAGAGCAAAGGAGGATCCCTACAGACATCGCTATCCAAGAGCTGAGTCTTACCACGATTTGGCAGTGAGACTTGAGTCTGTCATTATGGAACTAGAGCGTGAAAAGAACGATGTGCTGATCATTGCCCATGATTCCATTCTTCGTTGCTTGTATGCTTATCTGTTTGATAGGCCTGATCACGTAAGTTGCAGTGGAAAACGAACTTGAGGGAGTCAACTATTCTTACATGCCCGTCTTAGGAAATTCCCTTCTTGTGTATGCCCCGCCAAGATTTAATAAGCATTGAACCTTCTGCATACGGTTGCAAAGAATCAAGAGTTGAAATTGTTGACGTTTAAAGTTTATTACATAAAATTACATGAATGGCTTGATACAAACAGCTTTAGTGAGCAACTGTATTCTTGCAGGTATCAGTTAAATTGGGATTATGTTTCTTGTGAAGTAGGATCTACTTCGCAATTCAGTGAGCTCGTTATTCATTTGATGTTAGTTCCAATGACTACCTCTAATTGATCAGCATCCACAAAACTAGGCACTACAGTCTCTGTTGGTGTTGCCACTTTGGCAATTGATCTCTGACCTTCCTCAAATGTTGCACCCAAATCTCTCAAGGCAGCCATTCTTTCCGCACCAGTTGGCATGGGCGATATAGCACCCAAGGACTCTCCTTCCGGAAGGCTTGTATCATCTTGGTTTTGTATCTTGCTGGATTGACGTCTTTCAAACAAAGACAGCGGTCTGATTGAGCTTGCACCACTATCGCTACTGTGATTGCTAGAGCTCTTTTCGAGGTCCAATTGATGTTGTCTTTGAATATCTCTCAAATCGCCTGATGCTGGTTGTGGATTCATTTTGAAATGTTGAAATTAAGAAAGAAAACAAAATCATTCAGCGTTGGGCAATTTAAAACAAGAGTAGTTTAATTCATGCGCTATACGAAATAACGATCAAATACGTCATGGTAATCATGACGAAAAGGGGGTCTATGGATGATCGCCATCTTCGCCTGTAAATTCTCGAGAATGTGAATTAACTCGACTCAGCTTTGAATAAGCCCATCGTATTTAACGACTCGAGTTTAGATTGGGTACAATCGGCACTGAGCATCAAGCAACGGACATAATTTGCTTGGCGCACAGGAATTACAAGAAGTAGCCTTGTTTCATTTCATTGAGTTTGGAGACCGTAGTTCAATCTGATCAACAGCCCCATCTCTATTGCCAAAAGTTCATTCTGTCAATCAAAGATGCTTCTATTAATAAATGGTCATATTTAGCACAATTTTCTCCTCTGATAGACATTGACACGACTGGCCGACTGCTACTAGACACTATTTGGTTGATTATATTGAACATGAAGCAAAAGGGGAGGGGGGGAATATATACAAGGAATGGTTGACTCTTTTAGCAGATTTTCTACAACAAAAATTTGATTCAACGCTAGCATGATGAAGACTTTCTAAACGTTCAGCTAAATGTGTTGAAGTGATCTTGGTACTGGGTCTGGGCAACTTCAAATCGAATGAGATGTGAATTACAAAATGCCCAGATCAGAGCTGACTCAAACTTACTATTGATAAAAGGAAGGCCCTAACCTAGATTTCGATTAATGAAAATGGTTTTATTTGTTTTTTTTTTCCCAAGGGATTGAACCCATAACAGTGGCTGATTTGAATAGAGCGAGGGGATGGGCCATCGGTAGGCACTAAAGCAGAAATGCATAGTTGGGTGGGGAACAGGCGGTTACACATGATGGATCAAGTTCCGGCTCCATTCTCGGAAGAGCCAACCTAGCGCACAGTCCTAAAACTGAAATATTGTGTACCTGTTGTACCTGGTAACTATTGTGTGAGTTTTTTTTTTTTTTTGTTGTTGTTGTTCTTTAATCATCGACTGCGGACCAAATCGGTATTCTAGCAACCTTTAGCTATTTTCTGTTTATTATGTAAATAGAAGCTTCTGTAAGAAGTAATGTACATTTAGATGATAAGCTTCTGGAAGTGAAATCAGTCTTTTATCATGAAAGGGTTGCAAATGGATCGAGGTTTTGCAACATCCTTTGTATATCTATCTAATTCCCGAGCCTCTTAAACGGCTCTCTCCATCCCTGTTTCTGTTTCGATGTTTGCAAGTACACAAACATGGTATAAACAGTTTCCTGATATGTGCATCCAATTTTTATGTCAAACTATCAATGGAAGTTGTATAACCTTGAAAACTCTGATACAATAAAGAAAATAGACTACAAACAAAGTGCCTGTATTGTCTTATTATGAATGCATACATTTAAGTGTTATTTTACAGAAGATGTACGAGGTAAAGTGTATCATGAAGATGAATCTCGCTATATACGCAATCAGTGTAAAATCGCATCCTTTTTCCAATCAGTCATGACATAGAATATGCGATGTATTTCATTACAGAATGGCTAGATCGTGTTGAAATAACAGAGTGAAACCAGTTATAGATTCTAGAAGTTGAACCACTACAAATATACTTCTGTGTGTCATCAAATAACCCGTTTTTGTTTCCGCTCTGTTTGTTGTTAATATCATTCTTTGTGAATAATAACCATATATCCGTGTGATGTGTGCATTTATAATGCATTTAATAAAGCTGATGCTGTAGAAATAGCATGAAATTCGAACGAAATATGCATACACGAAAGTGGGCCTCTCGACAAAGCTTGAGTGTGAGCCAAGATATCAAGAAACCGGACCCATCGACGGGAAAGTATGTGATACAGCACTTACGCCAATCACTCCAGAACAACACTAATGTATTTTAGTGTATTTGTTTAATCTACAAATTATGATTATGATTGAGCATCGATTTGTTTGTATGCATAACTGCACACAAAGCTAAAACTGCTTAGGAACAGATTCGCTGCACATCCGATACTTTGACTAATACTCTCGCAGTTTTATTACTACAGCGAAGAGACGTACCTGAAAATCGGCATTCATAAGGAATCGCGTTCTTGTTTGTGTCCAACATCAACAAAGACAGTGTCATACAAGCAGATGTCCTAAGATTGCAAATCTTAATATAGTAATGATCCGTTTGTATAGTATTATGTGTACATCATTTGGGTTGCAAAGAAAACAATGAGGTTTATTTTATTAGTATAAGAAAAATTTTTAGATGAATATATATATACATGGCAATTGAAAGATGTGTGGCAGTGAAGCAATGAATATGATTTTTTTTTTCTTTTAGCGTTATGACAGAAAGACTGGGAGAAAGGCAAATGCTTTTGTTTTTGTTTTTTCAGTTTGTATTCTTTTGAATTGGCTCAAGTAGAACTCGAGAACTTATCTGAGATATGGACAAATGGTTCTTTGATGGCCGTATTTTCCACACCACGAACTACAAAAGATGTTTCAGTAACTCGGGAAGGAAGTGAATTGAGCAATGAATGTAACATACCATTGACCACCAGAAGTGTTGATGTCCTTGACGCTTAATGTAAAAGGGCCAGATGCTGATGAAACATCAGTCATTGAGATTTGATTAGTCAAATAAGAAGAGATTTTTGCTATTGAAACCATGCTAAAGAGTTGAGATTGTATTGAAAGATGTTGTGATGAGAAGCAAAAGAAGAGCGAAGCCAGCCGAAATCTGAAAGGCTTTTATATGCACCAAGAAGTTTGACATTTTGCATCAGGCAAGAGGACCTTTTTTTTTTCTCACTCTAGTACTACATTGCAATAAACTTTTTGCACAGATTTGGTGTAAGTTGGCGTACAAATAACAACTTTTATGTAGACCGTCTGCTGATGGTTAAACCTCATAATCAATCAACAACCTCTTTTTTATATAAACAAAGACGCTGTGTATTGCGTTTTATTGCATCAACCAAATAATACAAAGCACCGAAACTAACATTAATTGCGGGGCAGAAGAACACCATCTGTTTCCTCAAAGAGTATTGTTATTTGTACCATCGATGCACAGTTCTACTCCTTACACAACATTGCTCTGTATTCTATGGATTATTGCTTTTCACACAATTATACACTCTGCAGTAGCAGAAGCCGCTGAATTCATAATGTAGGCATATTCCACTGCACGCATTAGCTGCGAAAGATCAACACTGCATTGTATGATAGCCTGACTCTAGAGACGTATACAAAGACAGGGAGTAATCCATACTTTCTATTAACGCTTCCATCAATTATTGTTATATTATTTAGTGCTGAAAATCTGAAATGAATAGCAGGGAATAAAGGGGCTAACTGAAGGCAAATAAGCAACAATCAACAGCCCTATTGTTGCTCTGCCATTCCTTGATTGATTTGTTTTCACACTGCAGGCTGTGTAGGTAAATGTTCAGTTAAAGAAGCGCTTGGAGAATTAGGCCATCAGTAGAGATTTAGACCAGCCATAGTTCATGCTTCGGATACACAGGCATCTATATAAAAACAGCAGGATATCCGGCCAACGTTAATGTGTTTACTTGGCTAAACGTGTCCCAGACGCTTAATAAACCAATTGCAGAATTTATCCCAAGAAAAAATTGTCATTCGAGATCAAGAGCATGTTGCATTGATTACTAAATAATTTTATGCTTCTTGCTTTTAGTAAATTGACAAACAATATGCTCTCAAGGCAACACGGAAGGACAATAATCTCGCACGCTCATCTATTTTTTTTTTTTTTTTTTTTTTTTTTTTGCCTTTTGCCCGTTTTGTTTGAATAGTAATGTCTTGTTATACTGGATCCAGACTAGTCTGCTGGTACTACTTGCGAGTATAAGCAATGTATTTTATGCGGTATTTTTACGCTTATCCAAAAGCTTATTATATGTACGCGCTGTAGTCTTCATCATTATGAGCTATTGACGCCTCAAGGCAAAATCAGACTAAGTTTGACGATGAAATCAACAATCAACTATGTCTTGACAACTTTGAGTACTTTGGCATGACATCAATGCACTGCTACATGAGATGATTGATAGAACAATACTTTGTCATATGTATCATACGTAGATGCAGCCCCTAGTCGATGTCCGAGTTTCATATCAGAGTGTTCCTTTAAATTGTATACAAAGCAAATGTTGCAAGATGAAACAAGGAACTGGCTGTATGTGTATGCAAACACAAACACAAATTGAAAGTTCTGTGTTAATAATTCATGCAAACCCCATTTTTATGGCAATTCTTTTTAGACATCCAAATCAAGTTACCATGGCATCGAAGGGGGAACAGGCGAGATAAATCAAAAAGGACAAGCATGGTGACCATATTAAAGTTTGAAGACTAATTGTTCCTAACCAGAAAGGTTGCGCTGTATATGATTTGTCAACACTGTTTGTATCAACAACGTCTCAAAATCCCGGTGGCACGACCATCAAGAAATTTCCTAATCCATGAACTTGCCTAATATCATCAAACATAAAGGAACAAAAACAAATCTTTGTTTTTTTGCTTCAGAAAAACGAATGTGATGCAATATGTTCTCAGGAAATTTTCTAATTTAACGGTTACCTCCTTGCTTCATCTTTCTTTTTCTATTTTAGTAATTGCTTGTATCTTGACTCTACCTTGATAAAGCGATTCTAGATCACTGATGTCTATAGCTTGTATGCTACAAATATATTCTACTCACATTTGCTAGAGTTTTGCCTTTAAGCTCTCCACCATCTTGTGAAATCACTCCTAAGCAACCTATTCCTAAGGATTTGGCTTTTCTAAGATGATATCTATTCGTTTTAACGAACACGACTCATAGACAGGCAGACAGCATACATGCATTGCCTCTTGATAATAAAAAGTATGCAAAACACAACATAGAAGTAGATGCATTTGAGCCGCGTTTTCTTGTGTTAGAGCCCGTTTTAGATCGCCAGAATGGCACCAAACTATTGCTCTCACCTAACAGTTACTTTCTGACACCTTTGCTCAACTTTTTGGGGACCAAAAAAACATGGCCAAAAAGCATGAGGTACCCCTCATGGTTTTCATCAAAAATCAAACGATCGCGTTTTTGACCTTGAAAATGGAGACTTTTGCTATGGTATATCTTGAATCAAAATGTTTCTATCGATCCAAAGCAACCACTGAAATCATCTTTGTGGGACTTTGATATGTAAAATATCGACATTTTGGCCAGAAACCTCTTTTCGTATTTTCATAAATCATTTGATAAGTTTATTCAAATCATCTATTTTACTTAGTACCATTGGATGCGCCTTGAAAAATACTCCAAGAAAGCTTAAGAAAATACAGGATGATCATTATATTCTACTTAGTTGAATCTGCAAAAATAGCTCAATCAAGTCCAAAATTATCAAGATTTGTCCAATCTTGGACAAACTATGATTCTGGGCTTGAATTAATTTTGGCTTGTGGGGCCAGCTGGCAAACTCAATGCCCTTTTCATACTGCAATACAGTAGTAAATGCTCTTGAAGCGTATGAAAAGTAGATGGCAGGCCATAAAGCTATTGTTTATAATAATATCTTATTGCATTCTCTATCGTTCATAATAACATCGTCTTGCATTCTATATTTAATAACGTTAGTCTGGACATTGACGATTCATGGGCTGTGTAAGATGTCTGCAGTAAGTAGTGAAATCTCTAAGGCTCCAAGACGTCGTTCAAAGAGAACGTTGACAGCATTGAGCAGAGGAAAGAGGGTAGAACTAACGGTGGTTTTTGTTGATTGATTGTAAAATCATTATTCTCATATGAGCCAGGCCAGGCAGATGCCTTGAAACTCAGGTTCCATATTAGAGTTGTAAAGTGTCTAAGGACTGAACATTTCTCTCGACCCAAAGCAGCCCCTGAAACTTCATTTATGATATCTTGTTATGCAAAATCTCGGCATTCTGGCCAAAACAGCTATTTCATATTTTTTAAATTGCTCAATAAGCTTATGAAAAACATCTATTATAATTAGCACTATTGGATGCGCCCTGAAAAGTACTCCTAGAATGTATTAGGAAGCATGGACTAATTATCGTGATTTACATAGTCGAATCTGACAAAACAGATTGAACAAGTTAAAAATTGCTCAAAATAAACGAATCGGAACAGATTGTGAAGAGCGAAAATTTAATTTGTTTTGGCTGGTGGCAGCAGCAGCATAGCAATGCTGCTCAAGCTCATGAAAAGGGAATTGCAGACCAGAAAATTCATTGTTTAGCCTAGCTATCTTTTGTTGCTTTTGTTATGCCTTTTTTTTTGCATCTGTGAAGCTGAATCAATATGGGTAGCTCAGTAAGTGTGAAGTCTAATTCAGAATACAAAATTACCACCCTACTCAAAATGGCAAATATTGGCCGTACAGTAGTCCTCTTTTATTGTTATACAATAACATGCTTTCGCACACGATTATACTTTTTTTATAACGAATAGATCCTTCATGCAACTCATCAATGCTGCTCTTAAATGAAGCTGCAGTATATATGACACATGTCAAACGTTGCAGACAACCAAAGCATCTGTGTGAATAAAATACAAAGGGTATACAATTTTATTTGATGATATGAATTACATGTTTTATAAATGTCTATTTAAGGTCGATCACAATAATGACAAACATGGCTATCAAGACAGCCAAGATACAGGTAGAGCCAAAAATGACGGCACCTCTGCTTGCTGGGAATTGCCCTTTAGTCATTGCAATTTGTGTGTGAAAGTAGCGAGCATTTGCAAAGTACAAAAAGACAATGCTGAATATCACAAATGCCGCACCCAAAGACTTGCCTGCCTTTGCATGAGTTACTTGATTATTCTCTCCTGGAGGGGTAAGATGGTACAGTTGTGTAATAGCTAATTTATAGAATATGAGTTGGACTGGCCAATGTTGTATGCATTGTTGATCCTTCTTACCAACACCCACTGTGATCAGAGATAGCGATGTTCTCAACCAAGCCAGAAATGTTCGTTCATTAGCTGAAATCATATAGATAAGAGTAAGCGAGTTGCATGGTAATCAGATATAGGGGTGAAAATCATTTTAATTACCTAGATGATCTCTAGCAGTTGCAGCTTTATTCTCCAACATGAAAGAGGTAGAAAACTTTGCATAAATATTGCCCAACAGCTGATACGGGCTCTTTGCCGATCTCTCTTTTTTCTGCTCTTCCTGCTTTTTGAATTGTTGCCTCATTGATTCTTTCTCTTCTCGAGTCTTTGTCTTGACAAGGAAGGGCGGATCGAGCTGAGCCAGGATTTCTTCAGAATGTGCTTGCTGCAATTGCGATCGATGCCTGCTCATAGGAGAGGCATCTTCATGTGATGAAATGACTGTATCTCTTGTCGAGGCTGTATCGGAATCTTTTGTTGTGATTTTCATGATGTATAATCTTTATAGAAAAGAACAAGAGGAGAGAAAAAGCAAGGGAAAATGGTATTTATATATCCTCTTTTTAGTAGAATTCTTCAAGCTGATGGGGGTACATGGGGGCCGACATTCGGGCCAACGGTGATGAAGAATCGATTTGAGTTTGTAGTGTAGAAACAAGTGTACGAATCCTGACGTCAGCAGTGGTTTTCATTGGTAATAGAAAAATACATGCTTTATTGAATGTTGAATGCAAAATGTGCAAGCAAAAAGCGAAAGAGAAGTAGAAAGAGAAGTTTGCATGAAAGACGATTTATAACCCCTCAGAGGAAGTTCGAGGGGGGGGGGGAAACAATCATACTGTCGATTTGCTTCATCACACCATCTTCAAAGTATCTCATTCGCTCAGTACGAAATTCGAAATTTAGACACCTGCCAGCTCTCGCTCCAGAACTTCCATCTCCTCCTTGGCTGCCTTGTACAACTCCTTGACTTCCTCGTTTCTCTTTTCTGCTTCCTCCAATTCTACCTCGAGCTTAGATGTCTTCTTCTCTAGCTCCTCTACCCTGAGATCTGCCTCTTGGAAGCTGAACTCGTCGTTAGTTTGCATTGCACAATCCATATCCATGGCAAACTTACTTGGTGGAGGCAGTCTTGAGCTCCATCTCGGTCTTTTCCAGCTGATCCTCCATGGTTTTGACTTTTTGCTGCAAAGAATGAAGCTCGTGGTCTTTTTGAATATGATCAGACTCCAGTTGTTTCACTGCAAGCTTGTATTCATCAGCCTTGGCATTGGCTTGATCAATCTCGGCACGAAGAGCAGCCAATTTCTGTAATTTAGACATGAGACATTGGATGCCTAGATCTGATTCTAGATGAACATTGCTTACCTCTTTGAGCTTTTCCATTTGATCCAAATCAAAAAATAAAAGATAAAAAATAAAAAACCAAACAGAATGAAAAAGAAGGGAAATGTTAAAATGAAAGCTTCTGTTTTATAGCTTGTTTGCACAAATAAAGCCCCCCCCCATCTTCTTGATGCTGTTCTTTACATGTCTGCCCCTCCTTCTCATCGTCCCTTATCAAGCCTCATCTTTTGACATCCTTTTGCTCTTTCTGTGTTTGTATAGTTTATTATTACATGTTTATGTATATACTTATCATGAAGTGATTCATTCTTCTATTCACTGAAAAATTGAATGCAATTTATACAACGTTATCAACACCCGTGCCGCCGAGAATCCTATCAAATAAAGAGCAATGCTTAGATTCTCCTATTCAGCCCCATCCCTTTACAGCAACTTACTTTGAACTGGCAAATGCTTGGCCTGTAACAGCAGCAATTCCTATCATGTTTCATGCGTCATTTTAGTTAAAAATAATTCTCTCCAGGTGTGTAACCTTGTAATGCTTACCATAACAAATAGCAGCGAGCAAGAGTGAAACACCACAGGCGATGAGAGGTCCGACATTGATCAAATTTGAGAGGAACATGACTACAGCAAATCTAGAAATGCGTGAATGTGATTAATGCCAAGATCAAAAACATCAGGTGTTATTACAGATAATGTATATACTTACACCAAGTATAAAATAGCGCGGAAGTAGCAATTTTCAAAGTAGGCAATGAAGCCATCACTAGAGTGAAATGTTAAATATTATGCAAACCGACGGATGGTGTTTTTTTTTTTTTTTTTTTTTCCTTACAATTTAGGGCTTGTTGGGCAAAACTAGACGAGATAAACACATCAATACGAGCGGTTGCATACAAAAGATACTCTCGAAATTACCTTCATACATAATGGAATTTCTACCACGACGAGAATGAAAGCGATAACCCTGTCAAACCATGTTTAGTATGTCGTGTTTTCCAATGCGCACTGTGTTACTATTACCATCCAACAATACTGAAAACAACATGGCTAAGGAAGCCAACAATACCCAGCGCAATCAACACTGATGCTTACATGTCAGTGCATCATTCCACCCCGAGAAAAATGCATACTTACAGATAATAGAGATGATGCCAAGCCTAATCAAAATGAAGATATCAGTGAGAGGATGGCACGGACATGTACTTGTATAGACTTACCATTGGCCATAGAGCGAGAAATTTTTTGATTTAACTTCGTCAAATACACCCATTGTTCTTTAATATTAAAAAAGTAGAAAAAGAGGATAAAAGGATAGCACAGAAATGATGTAAATTTTTGCCGTTTAAATAAGCCGAGTGCTCAGTCAAGATGTCGCACCATTTTCAGCTTTCTCGGTAGTCAAATTACTAGCCCGTTGTTTCTTTAGTGGAAACTGCCCGCGCTTTTAAAGATAGAGATGTTCTGTCAGGAAACATCTCGAGTTTCAATTCGAATCTCCAGGTATTTCGCCCAGACATCCTGTCTGTGGCAAGCTGAAATGATTGCTATAGGAAACAAGATACTTACATGACATCATCACGTGACGGAGCACTATCCTTACGCTTTTGCAGCGGAAATACTATCAAAGTTTTGGGGAGCACACGGCTTCTGGTATTTTCAATTGGAGATTTGGGTATAAAGAATCTCTCTTTTTCGCTTTTCCTTCAAACCCCTTCTTCAAGTCAGGTGAAATAAGCAAGCTAAAAAGTCACAAAGTCACGAGTATCTCAAGGTATAATGCAATCCACCATCTAGGCACAAGCATCTAACATTTAGTAGAGCATGTCGCATCAAGAAAACCCCACTGTAAGTTACATTCTACATGCAAATGTATCGAGTCAATGTTGATTTGTCATGGGTAGACTGTTGAGAAACAGATTGAAGAGACCCAAGGCATCGATGCTCCACAACTCAACGATGGCACACCTACACCCACACCCACAGCAACCACAAATTACAGCTCTGTAGATAATGAGATTTGGTAACAAATGGCCCGTGATTCCGTATCGCACAAACACTGACACATTACTTGCAGGGCTAGTATCACTCCTCAACAAGATGCTTCCTTACGCGCTCTCCATCAATCAATGCAATCTAATAGTAATACTACGGACAATACCAACAACAATGCTTTGCCTGCTTCAAACACAACGACAGCAGCCGCAGCAGCTGCATCTAGTAAGAAACCAGAAGACAGTGATGATAAGCCTGCTGTAGGCTCTGAGGAGTGGCACAGACTTCGCCGTGAAAATCACAAGCAAGTGGAGCGCAGAAGACGTGAGACGATCAACGATGGCATTACCGAACTCTCTCGCATTGTGCCAGGATGTGAAAAGAACAAAGGATCCATTCTTCAGAGAGCAGCAATCTACATCCGTCAGCTGAAAGAGGCAGAGGCAGCAACGGTCGAGAAATGGACGCTTGAGAAGCTATTGACAGATCAAGCGATCAGCGAATTAAACAGACAAGTGGAGGCATTAAAGAACGAGAATGATCGAATCTTGTTACAAAACGAATATCTGAAAAGAGAGCTCGAGAACGCCACCGGAAACCAGCATCTACACCAGCCATCTAATAACGAATCTACAGTGGCAAGTAAAAAGCAGAAACTAAACCACCAAGACTAAAGATTACCCTTTTCGAGTCTAGCATGCCCGCCCGCTCTTGAAAACTATTTCCCTTTATTGATTTGCGTTATTTTCCTTTTTCTTTTTTCCTTTACTCTCCATCACTTTATCTCAATCCATCAAATTACTCTCCCATCACAACCCCCCCCATACACATGAATATAATTTCATACTTTACACAAAATAAAGAATTATGGAAGAAGATTATCAAATGTACCATCGCTTATGAGATCGGATCTATCATCATTCTGATCCCTCAAGTCAACGAAAATGTTGGAGTGGTGCCCTTCTTGGTGACGCTGGGGACGTTGTTCTACAATGCAAGCGGTACTGCCGGCAACCAGATGGTGGAGATGGCCCTCAATGTAGCCATGATGGTGCCTGCCTGTATATGGTGCGCTATTGTCTCTTATCTCTGCACGCTCTATAATCAGCATATCGAATCAGCGAATCTGTATCCATTTGGGGCGGGCATCATTGCTGCGATTGCCTTTTTTATGTGCATCTTTGTTACCGCTTACTACAGACTGAAATACCCACGATTATTTATCCCTGCTCTGCAAGGATTTGTTATTCCAATCTTTGGTTTGACAAGCGGCATCTACAACAAGCAGTTCAATGTTATGGCCATTGTGGGTATTTTTTACCCTTCTCTGATAGGTGGTGCTATCGCTCTGTTGACCAACTTGTTGATCTGGCCAGAAACTGCTGCCAAAGTGTCAGAGTAAGGTTTGCAGCTTGAATCAAAGCCCCCAAAACTAACGATACCGTGCTACTAGAAATGCTTTCGGAAGTGCCCTGACTTCGATACAGAATGTTTTGGAATTTATAGAATCTGACATATTCCAGGAGAGCAATCTCGCATTTACGGATTTATCGGCATCCAAAAAGCTACGTCAAAACATCCAGACACTGGATTCAGACATATCCAAAATGCAATCCTCAAGAACAGAAGCCAAGTACGAAATTGTTGTCTCGCACTATTGCCCAATATGGTACAAGCAGTTTGCCAAAACGATGAGCGGTTTATCTCGAAATCTGTATGGGTTTTCTATGGCTGTCGGTCGAGAGGGTGAGATCATGTTGCATCAAAAGATTCAAGCTCAATTGAATCTACATCGTCATAATCACCGTGATGAGTTTGCTGAGCAACAACATCAACAATCACTGCGATTAAGAAAACAGCAATTTGAGCATGGCGATACTATGATGAGCCAAGGATCTGGCTACATAGCCATGGGCACCGATAAACTTGACGGTGGTGGTACCGTTTCCCGCATTGAGTACAAGCTGATATCTCATCTGCATTCGTCTATTCAACCCGAGATCAAGCAATTTATCGCCATTTGCATCTCCTTTATGAAATCAATCAGACACAAACTAGCAGAAAACAGCGCAATTCCAACGCACCAGCGTCCTGCAGGAAATGAAGAAGTGTGTCATATCAAAGACTTGGCCAGAGCAATGCAATCGCTACAAGACGCCAAGATCATCTTACAAAAGCAAAATGAGGATCGTCGAGCTCAACCAACGGAAGACCACTATCTTATCTACACACTTTTATTCTCGCTGACCCAATTTGGCAACAAGATGATTGAGTTGGAGGGACAGGCAAATCAGTTGATTGAAAAGAGGGCTGGTGGCAAGTACCCTCGCGTCTTCTTTCCTAGAATGAATTTCAAGAAATGGCTCGGCAAGGCGAACGAAAATGCGCATAACCAACGTGCTGCGACTGAACAGGTGCTGTTTGATCAACAGGATCTGTTGCAAAGAGAGGAAACTAGAAGATCAATCAGAAATGAAAGAGTGGATGATGTTGATATGATAGAGGCAAGCAGCGGAAACATCAGAATGAAGGCAACCGCAGCGGTCACCAACAACAAGAGCAGCAGCAGCAGTAGCAGTAGCAGCAGCAACATAGGCAGCGAGATTATTCATGAGCCTACTGTATCACACAAACCCCATGGCGCCATTGAAAAACGAATGTCAATGGAGAGCGATTGGATAGACGACGATCAGTCCCCAATACCACTGCAACATGCACCAGGCACTCATGTTTGGAACAAATGGTTCCATCACATCAGTGAATGGCTCAAGAAGGATCCTACGAGATATGCTATCAAATTTACAGTGACTATGGAGCTGTTAGCATTGATGGCGTGGTTACCAATCAATGGCGTGAACGAGTTGTACGTGGTATGTATCACAAAAGCTTTGGATGATAACCTTATTCCTGACATAAAGTTTACCCTTAGGATAATCACGGACAATGGGCTCTTTTATCAGCCATGGTTGTATTCAATTTCACAGTCGGATCCACTGCATTGCAAAGCTTTTTCCGAGTCCTGGCAACCATCATAGGCTCTGTGTGTGGCTATCTCTGCTTACTAGCAGCCAATGGAAACCACAATCCTTATGTGCTTTCTGTTATGACATTGATCTTCCAGGTTCCCATGTGGTACTCGCTGTTGGGAGGCAAATACCCTAGAATTGGATTCATCTCTCTACTCACCATGGCAGTTATCGTCTCGACTGGTTACACTGATAGATACAGAGAGGGCATATTTGACCCCGTCTGGAAGCGTGCTTTGACTGCCATCTTTGCTATCCTTGTTGTCATCATTGTAGATAACTTGCTGTGGCCAGTGTGGGCTCGCAAAATGGTGCGTAAGCACGTGTCTGATTTGCTGATAGCTACAGGCATTCAGTATTCCAAAGTGGCCTCGTTGGTGTGTCAACCCAATACGAACAGTTATCGTTACAAGTATACTCTGAAAGATGCGCAGTGCAACACCAAGATACTTCGTCGACAGCATCAACTCTGTATCCAAATGTTGGGCCTGGCAGAATTGGAACCTCGAATCACAAAAGGCGCTTTCCCCATCGATATCTATCGCCAGATTTTAGATCATGAACTCAACATATTATACTGGATCGAGCATTTACTTAAAGTGCAAAAATTCATCACTAAACGAGTGCGACAGCTTATCATGAACCCCCTGAATTCATACAGAAAAGAATTGGCGGCTGCTGTGCATCTGTACTTGTTTACTCTGGCGGGTTCTCTGCGCACTAAATCCTCGTTACCCGCTTCCTTACCTTCCGCAGAACTAGCTAGGCAGATGTTGCAACAACGTCAAGCAGAGCTGTGGCACGATGATTTCGATAAACTGAACGATATGACGTCTGAAGAGGAGAAAAGTGTTGTTTTGGATGAGGATCAAGCAAAATCTAAGCAAATTAGGAGTGTAGAAAATCATATCTACTGGCAGACATATGCTGCAGGCAATGTCGAATTGATCATCGAACAAGAAGCTATGGGCGAACTGGTTGTCAAGCTAATGGGACAGCATGTATTTAGAGCCGCTACCAAGGACTGGATTGTCTAGACTACTCTGAGTACTCTGCAGTTGATACACATAGAAACATATACCACTTTACATTTAATACACCTACTAGAAGCTTTTTCAACCTAGCTGTAATGCTTTTGACATTTGAGCCAAGAACAACAGTGTGTTGAACAAGCTATGCATGGCCTACCTCTTGATACTGGAATGCTCTAGTTGTGAGACAGTCGACATGGCATTCTTCAGCGAGGAAAACATGTATACCTTAAACTGGAAGGCTTAATGGCATAGAACAAAGCAAGCGATATGTATCTAGTCTTAAAGACATGACTCACCAAAATGTCAGGCTCCTATCGATAACTAGAAAATGGCGCCAAACAATTCTACTCGAGTAGTAATAACTTCCTGACACCTTTGCTCAACTTTTTGGGTCAAAAAAAAATATGGCCAAAAATCGACCAAAAACCATGAGGGGTACCTCATGGTTTTCATCGAAAATCAAACGATCGCGTTTTTGAAACCAAAAATAAAGACTTTTACTATGGTAAATATTAATTCAAAATGTTTCTCTCGACCCAAAGCAACCTCTGAAACCACGTTTATGAAGCTTTCATATGCAAAATTTTGACCTTTTGGCCAAAAACCTTATTTCATATTTTCTGGAATTGCTCAAAAAGTTCAATCAAAACATTCATTTTGCTTGGTACCATTGAAAATGCCTTGGAAAGTACTCCAAGAATGTATTAGGAAGCACCGGATGATAACCACAGTTCATATAGTCGACTATCATAAAACAAATTAAAGAAGTCGAAAGAAGACGAAAATTTTTTTTTTTGTAAGGAAGAGGTTATCTCTTCTGTTTTTATTTAAAGTCCTTAACAAATGCCTTTCTAATAATGACAATGATGATAACAATGATGGTTGCGATATTGATCAAATGGGGATCATGAAGTTGAAATTACAATTGCTTAGCCCGAGTAATTTCTTTTTCTTGGAAATTTTTCCTTATAAAGGTGTCTTTTGCAATGACAATATCTCAAAAAAGTCGCTTTAGATCTTACGCAAATCTTGTATTTACTTATGACCAGCTTTATGCTGCCACCTCATGAGCGACATCAGTGAATGAATAACTCACTCTCCTAACTCTGACATAACCTTTTTTTCTTTTTTTTTTACTAATAGTTGATCGTTTAAAGTCTACTTGATATACCAAAAATTTGCCATTTCTGATTTAAAATGTCTTCGACGGGAGCCCGCAGGGCGACATTGATATCGAGCGTAGCGAGACAGATTGGCTAGCACAAATGTATGTCGAATTATACCGCTCTTGATAGTTATCTCACACAATATATTTAGAAAGCCTATTTTCAGATATTTTGAGGGTTTTCAAAGGAAGGCATCATGTAGCAAATCTGTACCAGCTCATCTGTAGCAATATTCATTTCGTAGACTTAAAAGGCGCCTATCGTTTGAGGTTTTAATTGAAGCTGTAGCATCAGTTCTTATGGATCTATAGCGCCCAATAGGTCATCCCCAGCCAAATTGTCGAAAGGCGCTAGCTCAAGGCTAACTTGTGCTTTAATGGCGCATATAAAATTCGTTTAGTACATTGCTATTAGTCATACCACATCCTAAATTTATTTTATAGGCTTTAGAACCACATAGATGCTTTCATGGTGTTATTGAAAAAAAAAACGTGTTCTTGCCACTGTAAACTCCAACTTGGGGGTCGAAAAACCGACTTTGTCAAGGCAGCATCGTAGGTGCCAAAACCAGGTCTCATTTTGTAGAGCAAACAAAGGGAAAACAATATTCAATTAATAGAAAAGTCAGGTTGAGTTGACGGTTAAATCAAGAATAGCATCCAAACATTCTTCTTTTATATAATATTGGTTACTTTGCGCTTTCCTCACTTGATTATCTGACAACCAGTGCAGCGACTGGAAATTTGTTAATATGCATAGAAGCCTCTCAAAGTAATTATATCATAGTTCTGACGTAAAGTTTTCTAGCATCAACATAGTGCTTGGAATAGCTCTTCCCCCTTTCTCGTAAAATGCGCAGCACAGCTTTCAACTTTTGATACATCATAATGAAGCAAGTTATCATCAAGCGGCTTTCAATACAACATTCTCCAGCATCCGATCCATCGATCCATTACGCGTAATAACTCGTAATCAATAGGTTCTTATATGAAGCTCATCAGTCAAAGTTGGCTTATATCGAAAATTATCTACTTCTCAGCAACAAGCCTATCCAATTTAAAATCCAACCGCACTATCGCTTTTTTTTTTTGCTGCAGATTACTATAAGAACATGCTGCTATTTTCAAAGCGAAGTTCAATTCGAAATCAAAAGCGATTAGAGAAATGTACAGCCCTAGTCATCCTTTGGCTACAACGCCACTTATTGTCAGATCATACTGGGCTGTTTTGGAGATGCCGTAACAGATACTTTTGAAAGGTGATACGAAGGGAAGTACGAATTAGAAAGGTACTACTTCCCGTTGTGCCTACTTTGTTCGGCATGTTTATGGCTGATAGATTCCATCATTGCAAATTAGGTTTCTAAATGCGAAACCTGATTTGAAATGTAGAATTGGACATGCTACTGTTTGATTACTTCTTTGAGTAGAGCAGTAGTAGGTTCTACAGTGGGAGGCTGCTGCTAAGGTAAGTATCCTTTTGGAATCAGTTGTATTTTCGCCTTATCGACGTTGATTCCGTTTGTATCAGGGCATGAAGTGCTTTGATCCACCAAGAAAATACATTTCTGTACATTATTTTATTAAATAAAACTCTATATATTCTAAACAACGGTTGCATTGCTGAGCCTTTGATTGATGTCGCATTGGTAAGTGGACATGATGAGAGTGGGATGTGTCCAGGTTTGGAGCCATTTGTCTACATCTAGTCTGGAAGGAAGCGAAATTGTCAAAGCTGTTTAGCGAACCAATACCATCTTCACCCATTATCTATCTGTAGGACATGCGGATAGTCATTATTACAGTGGTTTCAATGAACACACCGCTTGGTTACAATGAGTTGATGCTACTATTATTATTTGATTTGCAAATTTGAGGCACTAGCTATTTATAACGCTCCGTTTTCTCCGTGATATAAACGGGTATGTTTTATAGTTATTTATGGCATTCGTTGTGTATAGATGCTCTCTACAATGCAATCATGAGCAATACAATCTACTGAGTGTTAGGAAAAGCACAAAAGCAATCAAATCGGAGCAGTAATCAGGATGAAACAAGGCTGATTTCAAGTACCTGAAATGATGGCGAAATTAATTATATTAAAAAAACGAGAAATGGTTCCATCCACTTCTGTTGTTGCTGGGAGAAAAATTAATCTCTGATTTTGTAATACAACACCATGAGGTATATTCATGTGCGCCACTTTTGTTGAAAATAAAGTAGCCCGACGATATGTATTGCTCACTTACAGGATGTCGTTTGATGGGCATAACTCTGTTTTCATTTGCGCTTGAGTGAATAAGATGGATTACATGTCGAGAACATGTTGAATCAAGATTGAAGTGGCATCGTGTTGGAGAGGGTTACTTGTCATCTGATGCAGATGTGTATAATTCTCAAAAAAGCAACTCGTAGGTTGCACTGCGATGCATTGGCTATTCATGGCTCATTTTAAACTGCCCTCGACATTTCATGGCACAGTAATCATACCATCCAACTGCGCCAGCTTGTATATATTCTACTCATCTAAATGCTCTCAAAAGTATCAACTACATTGATTCTTAGGTGATATTGAGGTTGTACATTGTGCTACAGCAAGTGGAATAATACACGAGCCATCTTTTATCGGACACCTCATTAGATGATACAACTGCGTTTCAATATACTCGGTCAACGTGTCCTCCTCCTTCTTCTCCCTCGCCAAAAGGATTATATTTCCAATTTAAAAAAGTAAATAAAAAGCTTTTTCTTCCACCCCCCCCTTTTCACTCTAAAACACAACACAGAGAGAAAAGACAACGCATACATATACACACACACACATACAATCTTTCTCCTTGATATTTTTTCTCACTTTTGATTCTTCTTCTTTTTCTCTTCTCTTTCCAATCTCTAAATTACATTACAGCATGGAGTCAGATTACAACCAAGATCTCCCTGATGATATTTTGGAAAAGCTTAGAAACCTCGAGCTCGAGTTGGAGGATGGAGACATCACCTTGAAAGGATTCGAAAAAAAGAAGGCCAGCCTACTAGCAGACATTTCAAATCCTAGTTCACCTGTTTCGCCTACAAATCAGAAAAGTGAAGCTGAGTTATTGGCAGAATTAGGCCCTGAGCCAAGTGCAGCTGATGTAGTGGATTTTTTGGACTTCTTGCCATCTCCCACGCACTCTCCTACGCGTACGGTAGAGGCTGTGAACCACATGGAGGAGAATCATCGTCAAATGCAGCAACAGCAGCAAGTACAATCTCAGCCCTATCCAACATTGCCCCCACAACAACAGTATCAACCATCACCTCAATTACAACAGCAGCAGCAACAATACATCTCTCCTCAGCAGCAACAGCAAATGAGACCTATGCAACCTCAATATAGACCTTATCCTCCAGGTGGAGCTGGGCGTGGTAATAATGCTGGACCTTATTATGGGAATGCAAACATGGGATCTCCGCTTCCAAACAATAGACCTTACATGATTCGTAACAACTATCCTCAACCACCACCACCACAATCCCAGATGGGACGTCCGATGGGTCCTCCTGGTCCTAATCCATACTATGGCCAGAGACCTCCCTCCTCAATTCCTCCCCAAAATGTCATGTACAGACCTCAACAACAGTCATACAACTCGAATCAGCCAAGACCTCAGATAACCACTTCTCCTAGACCAATCTATAGACCTCAACCTCGGCCCAATGGCGGATATAGACCTCAGCAACCTCAATATATGCAGTCGAATGGTCAACCACCACTACAACAGCAACAGCCGCCACAGCAATCACAACAGCATGGTAATTATTATAGTAGTGGTAGTCCGGGTGGTGGAGGCAGTGGTGTTGGCATCAATCGATCGCTATCTGCCAATACTGGTACGAATAGTATGAACAATAACAATATGGGAAAGCAATACGATCAGCAACAAAGACAGTATCTGTCAATGCATTCCACCAGAAATGATTCTATGGAATGGAATCGTCAATAAGAGCAAAAAAAAAAAAAAAAAAAAAAAAAAACTAAGCAGCAGTGATTCCTCATTCCTCTTCATGTAACAAAATAAAAAATGGTGATCTTTGTGGTAAGGCAATGTAAAGAAGAAGAAGAAGAAGAAGAAGAAGAAGAATCCATCAAGAAGGACCTTTTTTTTTTATATATATATATATATCTCTCTTTTATATCATTGTAAGTAGAATTTCCCCTTTTTTTTTCCTCTTCAAAAACCCCTTTATTACCTTGCAAATATACATATTCATTTGATTTATACTATTACTATCATTCTTCATTTCCGTTCTCTTATTCTCTTTTTTAGAATAATCTCAACTTTCACTTCTTTTCCATCCTTCTTCTTCTCGAATAAAGGTTTAGCGTGATCTAATCATTTTATCATTTGTGAACATCTAAGATTGTTGTGCTCTTTGTCTCTGTTTCCTCATCTCATGCGACATTCACTGCTGCTGCTGCTACTCTGAGATATCACATGCTTGAGCTCATACTGTTATTGTTGATACTATATCTACCAGAAATGATCAGTGTATCGCATGGAATTAACGCTTTCTTTCTCTATTTGTAGTGGAGGATGATACTGAAAATGCAGGTTCCATCAAGAAGGCACCGTCCATTGCATCTGTAAATGTGAATCCTACCCGATTCTCAGTGTCTTCGGGTGGTACAACACTCAGTCAACAACAGCAACAGCAGCAGATGCCTCCAAGCAAATCATCTACCGATTTATACCAACCTACCATCAGTTTACCCCGCAAAACAAATCTTAGCAAGTATGGCAATACCACTATGACCAAGGCATTTCACAGCGTGGAGCCCATTCCAGTGCCTCGCATTGTTGCAGAAGATGCAGCTGCTTTGGAAGAGCTCGCAGGACGTCAAATGCTACCTTCACTGCCCCGAGAAATACCCTTCAAGGTCATTGATCTGCAAGACAAACAGGACACAAGCCTATTTGGATCCATCGCTGAGCTATTGCGCTACCGTGCCTCCAACAGTCAGGGCAGGATCATACCAGCATTCACTCAAGTAGACGATAAAGGCAAAGAATCTGCAACTTTGACGTGGGAGAAGCTAGCTGCTCGTGCTGAGAAAGTAGCCATGGTCCTTCGAGAAAAATCAGCATTGGAAGTAGGCAGTTGTGTCGCTATTTTGTACCGCAAAACAGAGGTAATCGATTTTATCGTGGCAATTCTGGGCTGCTTTATTGCTGGCCTCGTTGCTGTGCCCATCAATGCCATCGAAGAGTTGTCTGAACTATGGTTCATCTTGCGCGTGACAAACATCCATCTGGTGCTGACCACAGACAGCAATCTCAAGACATTGACAAAGAACATGAAGTCCAGGAACATTGATTTCCCCAAGAACGTAGATTGGTGGCCCACCAGTGATTTTGGATCATTATACGCACATCAGATCAAATCAGGCAAGTACAGCACATTGCGATCCACACCATTAGCCTATATTGAATACACGAAATCCATCAATGGCGAATTGAAGGGTGTAGCAGTATCGCATCAGTCCATCATGAACAGCTGTCATGCCTTCACAGCAGCCACGACCGAGACAGTTATCTTCACCAACAGCGAGGATAATACTACATCTGTACTTCCTAACTGGGATACACAAGGCGCTGATACGCTCCTCACCTATCTCGAACCTCGTCAACAAGTTGGTCTAAACGTTTCTATATTGTGTTCCATCTACAGCGGGAGTCACACGATCTTTGCGGGTGCAAATGTCATGGAGACACCAGCGGTATGGATCTATATTATGTCGAAATACAAAGGTAACACATGGCATTCTCAATATTGGGGCAAACACGATTCGAGTAACACAACTCTACTTTCATCCTATAGTGACCATAGCCTTGGGAGGCTATCCAGGCATATTTTACGCAGCCAAGTACTACCAAAAAAACGCACGAGAGGTCCTTGGCTACAGCAAAAAGACGGTGCCTGATCTATCGGCACTGCGAATTCTGTTTATCGATACCATCGTTGTAAAACCTGACACCAATGAATACATTGCCAACAAGCTGATAAAGCCATTGGGCAAGACCATGTTGCATGAGCCTATTGACGTTGTAACACCCCTCCTCTCCTTGCCAGAACATGCGGGAGCCATCCTTAGCTTCAGAGACTATCTTGGCCCTGGAAAACTAGAGGAGTTTGAGCAATCCTATAATGAGCAAGACAACACCACCACCACTAAAAAGAAGGTCATGTTTGCCTCTGGAAAGTCAAGAGAAGTGTGGGAGTGTATTTTGGATGCGGATGCGCTGCGCAGAAGAAAGGTAGTCGTACTGGCAACCACCACATCCACAGGTATCACAGGTGGAGACGAAGGTGGATGTCTCAAAGTCGGGTCTCATGGGTTTCCCTTTCCCAATGCCACCGTCGCTATTGTGGATCCAGAAACATCTCTCTTGTGTCCCTCAGATACCATTGGTGAAGTATGGGTGGATGCGCCTTCATTGGCAGATGGATTTTGGGGCATTCCAGCCTTGACAGACGCCATGTACCATGCAAGCCCTATACTGGTGCCTGCAGACACGCTGTATCCAGAAACATACGATCAGCAATTTGTGCGAACAGGTCTTTTGGGAACCATGATTGGCGGCAGACTCGTCGTCTTGGGTGCATATGAGGATCGCGTTCGACAGCAGCGCCTGGGAAATGAGTTGGGCGTGGAGGAAACACATATCAGCACAGATATTATCAGCACCATTGCAAGGAAATCGCGTGTGGACTCATGGTAAGGGCGAATTGTCAAGTGACTCGAGCAGAGCATGTACTCATCAAACTGTAGCATTATATTCGATATCTTTGTAAATGGCCAATACCTGCCTGTGCTGGCCGTGGAATCCAATCTCGTAGGCAAAGAGCTGAGTAGTCTGGTGGATAATATCAGCGATGTAGTTCAGGCCTACCACGGGCTTCGTGTCTATGCTACTTTCAGCGTCAACAAAGGCCAGCTGCCACGCTATGTCAAGGACGGCAATCAGTACATTCATCCGTTGATCACCAAACGTCGATTTCTGGCAGGACAGCTCCCTCTCAAGCATTTGAAGATGGACGTGGATCGCACTGTATTCAGTGAAGCCACCTCACCCTTGACCGCTTCTGTGGAAGGCCAAGCGATTTCAGTGTGGAGATCAAACCCACTGTCGTATGAACGAGCCCTGTCTTTGCGACTGATCTCGCCTCGACCAAGGCCACAGCATTCGGGCGTCGAGATTGTTAACGCCACCATTGACGAGCGCTCTGGCTATGATCTGTCACGGTTCACCAACTTGGTGGACATCATGCTGTGGCGCACATCCCTTTACCCTGAAGAAAACGCTTTTGTCGCCGTGCATCAGAATGGCACCAAGCCTTATTCATGGAGGAAATTCAACAACCAGATTGCTACCATAGCCAACTACCTTTTGAAAAAGTGCGCATTAAAGGCAGGTACACGCGTTTTGGTTTTACTGCATTTTGGAGCTGATTTTGTGCGTGTTCTCTACGCTTGCTTTGTGCTGGGGCTGATTCCCGTCCTCTGTCCTCCACCTGAAGCCATGCAGTCTTCGCCTAAACGCCTGCAAGAAGACGTCAATATCATGGTACGCACACTGCATGATTTGAACATCCAGCACATCCTTGTCAATTCGCAGTCTGAAGACATTGTACGCAACAAAACAGTGCTGCAAGCTGTCAAGATAGCCACCATGCACAGTGGAAAAGCAATTGGCCTCAAAAAGCTACCCGACCACATTAACATCGATAAAGCGCCTCGATTCAATAAGATGCTTGGCCCAGAAAGTGGCTTCTCGGTCAAGTCAGAATGGACATCGGATAAGAAGAGACCTGCGTTTGTCCTGATCAACCAGCTGGAAACAAACGACAATGCATGCGGTGCTCATCAGTATGTTCCTTACAGCCATGACAGCATTGTCGCTCAATGTCGCTCTCAGAAATTGACCTGTCAGATCAAGTTTCAAAAGCCATTGGTGGTAACCGGCCTCAGCGCCTTTGAAGGGCTGGGCGTCCTGCACGCTGTGTTCTGTGGTGTCTACGTGGGATGCACCACCATCTTAATGCCTACCGTCGAGTTTAAAAACTCAACGGCCTCTTACTTTGAGCTGATTGCTAGAAACAAATGTCCTACCATCTGCGCAAACTACATGCTGTTTGACTTTGCCATGAACTGGATTCCTCCTTCTGAGCAACGGCAGATTCCTCTACAAAACACGCAGAACATCATGGTAACAGTGTCCAGCAGAACCAAGCCTAAGTTTTACGAGAAAATAGCTCGCTATCTCTCTCTGAGCCGGGTGGAACGCGAGGCCATCAACACAGTTTACAGCCATCCATACAATCCCATGATCACTACGCGCTCCTTCATGCTCTTGGAGCCCATCTCATTAATTGCTGATTTTGAGTGGTTGAGACAGGGCATCATTCGACCATTGGCCCCTGGAGACGACAGTTCATATGGCGTGCTGCTGCAAGATTCAGGCATTGTGCCCACCAACACGATGATTGCTATTGTCAATCCCGAGACATTGAGCCTCTGTCCAAGCCATGTCATGGGCGAGATTTGGGTGTCATCTGACAGCAATGTCAAGGGCATTTACAAATCGTCGAATGACTATACAAATACATTCGAAGCGACTATCCAAGGATCAGACTCTCGCATCAAATACATGCGCACAGGCGACATTGGATTCCTCTGGAACGTGCAACGAAAGGCAATGGGCATGCAAGCGCCTGTGGAGGAAGGACAATGTCTTTATGTGCTGGGCCATATCGATGAAATCATCACTTCCAAAGGATTGCTTCATTTTGCTATTGATATAGAAGAGACGGTCGAAAATTGTCATCCAGACATGCTGGGCGAAGGATGGTAAGTACAGATGAAAGACAAGCATTCGCTCAATATCCACTCACATTGCTGTGTTACATGATAGCTATGTTATTCAAATTGATGGCAATGAGATTATCGTGATCATCGCTATCAAGTCATCCATTACATCTTATCTGGGAGCGATCCCCGTGATTGTGAGCTCCGTGCTTGAGCGACACTCGCTGTTAGTGGACACCATTGTCATGGTCAACAAGGACCAACTGCCCAAAAAGTACAACGGAGAGAAGCTGAGAAAGAAGGTGCTGTCCATGTACAAGAGAAAGGAGATGTACGTATACTACCATGTCGCATGTCTTGCCATTTTTACTCATTTGAGCCTTTTAGATCTGCTATCCATGTCAGTCGCATCAAAAACCAGCACCAGCCGATAGCGTTACCCAAATGGAGCAACTTTACCAATGGCTCTTCAGCTAGTCTGCTCCGTGTAGATAATAGCGATAATCAATCTGTCATCTCATTCAGTCAGAGATCACAACTGAATTTTGATACCAACAACAGCAACGGTGCTGAAACAGCAAGCATGCACAGAAATCCTACTTCTGATGCTGCTCCTGGAGCTGCTTCAACCAAGTCATACCAATCTTAGTTCTATATCTTCTTGATTAAACTGTATATTTATTCATTAGCCTAACTGTTGAGATTATAAACACAGTCATCTCTATAAAGAAGGGGAGATAATCTCTTTCTCGTCAGTATGCCAGATATTTCCTTTTTATCTCCAAAATGAAGCTCATTTACACCCCTGCCACGTTAGACGACTTGGACATCATTCACGAATATGAATCCACATCTTATCACCCTGACGAAGCTGCCTCAAGAGAGCAGCTCGAACGTCGCATCAACTACGCCTCTGAATCTGGCCCTGAACTCTTCACTGTTTGCCGTAATCTGGATCAAGACGACAAGGTGATTGCATTTCTGTGCACAACACTCACCAAGGGTGACTTAGTCACTGATGAATCCATGAGTGTGCACGATCCTGAGGGACAGACCATCTGTCTGCACAGTGTCTGTGTCTCTCCTGACTACCGCAAGCAAGGCGTCGCTACCAAACTCATGTTGAAATGGATCGAGCAATTAAAACAAATCAACGCAACTCAAACACCTAAGAAATATAACCGCATTGCCATCTTGAGTCGACCTAATCTTTTGGGTCTTTATGAGAGTGTGGGATTCAAGAATGTGGGTCTTAGTGAGGTTGTACATGGCCCAGAGCCTTGGATTGACTGTATTCTAGAACTCTAAACCAATAAACGCCTTTCTTTATTCTAAATCACTGCCATCATCATTATCTACTAATTCTCTGTTGTTTTCCATGATGCCTGTCAGAAGTCGTCTGTATAAAGCCATGGTTGGATACAACATGTTGCTGTAGTCCATGTCATACCAATAATTGATGGCAATGACGCCTTGTTCTCCTTTTTGCATGACTTGGTGGAACCATAGTGCTATATCGTTTGAGTCAGTGGGCATATTCAACATGAATCATGGCAATCTTACCAGGCAAATACAGCATATCTCCCTCATTCACAGTTACCGTCACTGGACAGGCATGTGTGAATCGAGGAAACTTGATGAAATCTGGATACAGAGGATTCACAGGGATCCAAGGTGTCGTCCCATCAATTGGCTTGAGTTCGAGTTTGTGGGTTACTGGATTGCGCTCGTAGATGGCATTTTGATAGACTGATTCATGCATGCAGTAGTACTCTGTGGGCGGATATAGAATGAACGTCTTTTGACCTCTGACAACAGCATAGCAATTCTCGTAGGGATCCTTGTGCAGTGAAGTAGCGCTCTTGTCATCTCCAAACCAGAAATTGACAGCGTCTGGCTTCTTGCCCAATGCTTCACTGCACCAGTCGATATCCTTGTCAACGTCGTTTTCAATCGCACTGTATTCTGCTGGTAAACTGCCATTCTGTAGCGAGATGTAATTGGCGTTTTCTGACACTTTCTTTCCCTCCATCAAGTCCATAAACGTGTTAAATGTCATATGGTCTTGGTACGGCATTGTAAAGTACTCTTTTTGAGTGGCAGGATCAAATGTTACTGCATCCGCATAGCTTCAAAAAGTGGTTTCAATATTTGTTTTTTTTTTTGCACATTGAGTGTATAGATCGCCTTACCCATTAGGTGTTGCTGTTTTAAAGAACATGAACATCAAATACAAACCATTGATACATATATCCACGCACCTGCCACTGTTACTGTCGTGTCTCCCATTCTTGATCGCAGGTATTCGTTGGTCCATCCTCTTCTCGCAGGCCAATGCTCAAAACCACCTTAGTGTGGTGCAAATGTTTAGTTCTTCAGCTTTACAGAACAAAATGCTCACATACCTTTAATGACTGCAGGTCTGTTCGGCTGAACAGAGCCTCTCAAAAACTCTAGAGCAGTGGGCGGTTTCTCGTATACTTGTACATAGGTGCCATTGATATCTACATGAAAATGAGAATTTACATAGAGCTAACGTTTTTTCGTATAAATGCCTTGGTATTCTTTGACGTATTGGATAAATACACTGTCGATATCCTTTTGATCAATCATGTTTGTGTATGTGAAATGCAAATAAATAGCAATGCTGCTGTCTTGCGCTACTTTATTCCAGCATTTCAATAAGCCACAAATGGTGGTTTCAGTAACATTAAATGCAAACGGATATGATAATAATTTGAGCTACCGAGTTACGGGCCACCTATATTTGAGTACTAGATGCATACTATCTATTGCGCCCAAAATATCCAGTGTGCCATACAGTCGTCATCGCCTCACTAATAAGCTATATCATTGTGCTCTGATAATGTGATACATCAATGCCACTCATTCTAATATTTCCAGCTGAATATTTGGATGTAACAGCATGCGTTAAATATAGACTAATGCATACAATGTCTTTACTCCTTTGTACCATAACAAAAACGCGTCTATTAGCAAGCAAATGTGTGAAATACAGCCAAACTTGGCAGCTTTCAAGCCTTAATATCTTGATATGTAGACCTTTCTGGGCCGCCGGAATGGCGCCAAACGATTATACTCGAGTAGCAGCAATTTCCTAACACCTTTGCACAACTTTTTGGGGACCAAAAAAAACATGGCCAAAAATTGACCAAAAAGCATGAGGTACCCCTCATGGTTTTTATCGAAAATTAAACGATCGCGTTTTTGACACCAAAAATGAAGACTTTTGCTATGATATATATGAAATCAAACTGTTTCTCTTGATCCAAAGCAACCCTTGAAACCACTTTTATGAGGCTTTCATATGCAAAATCTAAACATTTTGGCTAAAAATCGCATTTCTTATTTTACCGAATTGCTCACTAATTTCAATCAAAACATCTATTTTACTAGACGCCATTGGAAGCGCCTTAAAAAATACTCCATGTATTAGGAGGCATCGGATAATAACCACAATTCATATAGTCGAATGCCACAAAATAGATTAAAGAGGTCGACAAAAGACAAAATTTGGCCAATCTTGAATAAAAAATAAACTGAGGTTGAATCGATTTTTGGCGCTGCTGTTGGCTGACCCAAATGCTTTTCTGATGATCCCAATAATAATTGCGATGCTGGTCAAATGGGGATCATGAAGTCGAAAGATCTATCGCTCAGCTTGAATACATTTTTTTTGCTTGTGTTGGGCATTTTCATATCTGACATATTTTGATTCAATATTTGATCTGATCATAACTTGCGTGAAGCTGGGCCCGGGAAGTTGGCGTTTCAATCCATACTTGCTGGAAAACCTTGAATTCCAAGCTCTGTTGGATACAGCAGTGGCACTCTTTTTGGCTTCGGATTACTATGGGGAAAATGTGGCTTTGGCAGGTGTCTCTGGTGCTGGTATCTCTGGTGCTGATGGCTCTGGATCAGGCGTCTCTGGTGCTGGTGCTCAGGGTCTGGGTATACGGTCTGTGCAGGAGAAGTGGGAGCCCCTAAAGGCAATCATCAAGTACTGTGCCCAACAGTTTACCAAAGGCCAGAAGGCCCGATACAAAGCTCGATTTTCTCGTCTTCAGCGTGAACGTGAACAGTTGCTGGATGACAAGAAGGAATCGGCTCGAATCAAGAAGCTAGAGGAAATCATTGAGCAAAAGAGTTAGGAAGACACTCGTCAAGCCATGCTGCGTTCGGCCACTCGATGGCTCGAGCAGGGGGGGCCAAACACCATGTGCTTCTTTAACGTAATTAAGGATCGGGAGGCTCAACAAACTATTCAATCTCTGAAGAAGACCACTACGGGTGAGAAACTAACATTCATGGGTGACATTCTCCACAAAGCCCGCTCCTTCTATCAAGATCTATATACTCCTGAAGCAATTGATCTGGCTGCTGTTGATTCTCTCTTGGCCAATGTCCCTGAAGAGGTGAAGCTACCAGAAGCAGATGCAGAAAGGCTCATCGAACCACCCTCCGCAGACTCTGTCTTGCTATTGCTTGACCATGCATCCAAGAACAAGTCTCCCGGTTTGGACGGCCTTCCATTCGAGGTCTATCAATATTTGGCTGCGAAATTTCCTCCTGTGCTGCGTCTCTTGCAACAACTGTTGACAGAGGCTTTGCATGGCTTGTTTCCTGCATCGTGGATGCAGACGAGGATGATGCTCCTGTTCAAAAAGGGTGACCCAGAATTACTCGAAAACTGGCGATCACTTTCCTTGATCAACAGCGATGCCAAACTATTCATCAAGTTGCTTGCCAACAGGTTCCAGAAAGTTATCTCCCGGCTGATCACTCCCTATCAAATAGGCTTTATGCCTCACCGGCTTATCTCGGACAATGCATGGTTGAACCGAACTTTGATGAACAACCTTCGAGCTGCTGCTCCTGATGACCTCAATGTTTCTGTGCTGTTGGACCAGGAAAAGGCATATAATCGAGCAAACCCCACGTATCTGAGGATGGTACTCCATCAGTTTGACTTTCCCGCCTCGTTGGTAGAGAGTGTGTCAAGCCTGTTCTTTGGAACACATATCTCACTGTCTATCAATGGCTGGTTGGGTGTTCCCATCCAACAACAGCGTGGCCTTCGTCAAGACAATCCTCTATCGCCATTGCTCTTCAATCTTGCATTTGAGCCTTTCCTTCGAACCATTCTAGCGTGCTCAGAGTTACGAGGTGTGGCCATGTCTACCGATGGACGCCCTCGGGTTGCTGAACGGATGGAGGCTGCTTCCTCTCAAATTCCTCGTTCTATCTCTGATGATTTCTTGCGTGCTCCTGGGCTGCCTCCTCGTGTCAAGCTGCTCAGTTATGCCGATGATCTGGAAGTCTTCCTGACGGATCCGAGGGAATGGCCAGTGCTATTGTCTCTACTGTCGCTATATGGTCAAGCCTCCAATGCAAAAGTCAACCTGGATAAAACAGTTCTTGCGTCGCTGTCTGGCCGAAGCCACGACGATTGGAAGCAGCTGGCGGCTGCCTCTAACATCGAATGGTATGATGAATCGTCGACCGGCTCTGTTAGATACCTTGGATACCCACTGTATCACACAAAGGGACAGCTGGACCATTTCTTGGATGCGATTACCGTCAAGCTGCAGCGTTAGTGCAATTTGCTGGCGAAGAGGAACCTGCCCATCCGTGGTAGGGGCTTGGTGGCTAATCTCCTTCTGTTGTCTCGCATATGGCATTTTCTTCGTGTGGTTGTGGTGCCCGCCGAGTGGCTCCAGCAGGTCAAGAGCATTGTGCGCAAGTACATCGTCTCGTTTTGGCCGGTTGTGTCGTGGGATTCTATGTGCCTGCCCCGCAAACACAGTGGTATAGGCCTCGTCGACATTGTGGACCAACATCTGGCGCTGCATTTGATCTATGTCAAGCGTATGCTTCGCCCTTGTGAGTCTTCCGACTTTCTTACACCTTGGCTCTTATACAGCTTTCATATATACTCGGGTCATGCCACTGCTCTTCCTTTGCTGCTGTATCCTCGTACGTACATGCCTCGTTTGAGAAAGTGCCCACATCTGGGTCATTTAGCTCGTTTGATCTCTCGGTTGCCAACTCTGACTCCCTCTGCACAATGGCCATCTTGGTGGCTCCTCGATCTTCTTTGGTCAAGTGTCTGCTCCCTTTCACCAACAGCGACCTTGTCTAGGGCGAGTGACAAACTCCAACCACAGGCGCTGATTGCCTCCCTTTTGAGTGTGCTTCCAGATACCAACATCTGGACTTGTGTCCGTCCTTTGGATGCCCCCGCATTGCAACATTTGTTCAATGCACTGTGCCCGTTTGAGGGTCCTCTGGTATGGGCCATCCCTACTCCTCTCAGGTCGGTTATGGCTTTCACTGATCAAGAACGCACTGCCATGTTGGAGAGCGCCACTACCCCCTCTCCACCCACTGCTAGCTTTTCGCATTGGCATATCACCGCTAGCCCTCGTTCAACAGCTGTAGTTGCCCAAATCAAGCTCGGGGCCTTGCGCCGTTTCTGGCATACATCTTTTGCTTTCCTACGTGGCACAGCCCACCCTCTAATGTCTCGTCCTCCACATCTCTTGCTTCCTCCTCGCCTCTGGCGTGATTTCTGGCCTCTCTGTCTTCCCGCCAAGGCATTTACACCTTGGTGGCGGCTGCTACATGGGCATCTCTCGGTGCAGACTCGCCTACACAATATCAACCGTGTCAGGCATCCTTCCCCTTTATATAAACTGTGTATTGAGGCACCTGAAGATGAATATCATATGGTCATAGGCTGCGGTATGAAGTCCCTCTTCTGGTATGAGGTTACCACCACCTTGGTCTCACAAATCTGTTCCCTACGGACGATGCCATTTGGATTGGGCTGACTACCCTACTTGATCAGGAGCACAATCTGTTAGATATTTCCATCTTGGAACTTCTTGGAGCCGCTTTCTCGTCTCTTTGGCAACATCATTGGGGCTGTACCCTTGAGGATAAAGCATGGCGTACGCGCATAGTTTTCTCCTCTTTTCTTAAAGATCACTCTAAGTTGATTTCTTCTTTCTTAGACATGTAGGTATCCTCTCGGATATCCTAATATCTATAATATCAATAAAAACCACTTTTAAATACAAAAAAAAATGATTCAATATACCATAGTAAAAGTCTTCATTATCAAGGTGAAAAACGCGATCGTTCGATTTTCAATGAAAACCATGAGGGGTACCTTATGCTTTTTGGTCAATTTTTGGCCATGTTTTGTTGGTCCCCTAAAAGTTGAGCAAAGGTGTCAGAAAGTAACAGCCAGATGAGAGCAATTGTTCGGTGCTATTTTGACAATCTAAAACGGCCTTGGACGCGAGAAAACGCAGTTCAAATGCACTCATATTTTGCTGTATCAGGGACACCAAGGGCTAAAAAGGGGAAATGCCAGTATGCTGCTTGACCGTATATGAAGTAGCTACGTGTATGTGGATGTAGAGCATCACATAAGAATCAGATTCACAGACAATATGAAGGGGTTTCATGTGTAAGTGGAAGGTCAAAATCAAAGTAGCAGTATTTTGATAAGATACGCAAGAGCAATCGGTAGCGCGAGCTGCCAATGTGCAGGTTGGTTCTCACCGAAGCATACATATAAACAATGTAAAGTAATGGCAAGCTGGGCCACAAGCATGCGCTTCGCCATACAAAGAGACAAGTGCAAATTTATAACATTCTGTCTAATACGAATCAATATACCTACTATTGCGCTCAAGCGCCACAAGTATGTAGTCAGTAGGTGGTTCAAAAAATTCTTCAGGTGGTCCGAATCGATACTGAAAAAATGGCAAGCATGGACTAACTGTAGCGATATATCTGGTATGCTCTACAGAGCTATCATCTTGGTAAATTTATATTTCAATTTTTTATTGATATTTAAGCACTCTAATCAATAGAGCATATTTAAATTCTACATTCTCTTCTTATGGGCACCATGTTACAGTGTATCCAGAGGCAATACACTCATATAAACTACTGGCATCATCGTAAGCGTAGGTATACACATCAGGGCAAGCGTTCTTGACAGCAGCAGCATAGGAATTGATAGGACATGCATCAGGTGTATTGTTATTGCCAGAACAGCAATATTCTGGATTGCCGAATTGTGAGCAAGCACTTTTGCACCCGATAAATGCACCATTAGCAGACAAGAGCTGCAGTTCTGAAGCACAAGATGGAACAGTGCTACAGCTGGGAGCTCCACACCGGTACTTTCCGCTTTGCTGCGGTGTGGGTGTTTCTACTGGCTGCATTGGCTCGATGCTTATAGGTAAATTGTATCCATCTACAAACGATACATCATAGTAATCTTTGCCACCAGTCCCGCTAAATGTGAATTCTGCTAAAGAAGCCGGAAAAGCAGCTCCGGCTATCTGACAATTGTTGGCTTGACAGTTCTCTCTTGCCCAAAATCGACCTGACCATTGTCCGTCAAAGTTGTATGTCTTAGATGAACCTCGAGCGATGTTGATTGGATTGCCGTTGTTGAGTACTGTGTCTCCCAATTGACCCACATGAATTACATTGTTACACTGGTTCACAAGTGTCACTGTGGTTGTCAGGACTCTTTTTCTGTTTAAAGGAGAAGGTGCAGCAGAAATTAAGCTGAAGATACTTGCGATGCAAAAGCCAGAAAAGAAGTGCATGTTGTGAATGAGATGAAGTGCATTAAATTGAGGATCATACTTCCGTTATATATACCTATCCAACTCGGGTATGCTTGATCTCTTTGTGCCGAGATGGCCATAGTCATTGCCACTCAAGACTTGCCAATGCGTATCAAATGTATATATATGATGAGCACTGTATGACTGTAAAACGTGTTGTTTCTGAATCATACGATTCCCCTTTAAATCTCGACTGTGTCTGATGTGTGTGCCTTGTCGTCAGCTCAGCATCAATTGAATTTGCCATTCTCCAATCAAGTGGATGATGTATCCATTCGGCAAAGTCTTCTATCAGTTCTAAAATGTGCAAACGATAACAACTCATTGTTAGGTGATATTTCAATTCATAAAAAAACGAGCCCTTGAGTGTAATGCCCATTTATTCCGTCCGGCCCAATCGCAACCGTATGATCAATGCCAAGTCTGAAATAACCATTTCTAGGCAATCCACAAAAGGGCCAGTGCCCCATAAACTAGCATTTGTAAAAGAGGCATCTGTCTAGTTGGGTCAAGTTTAAAAGAGGTTCAAGATGACATATCTTCAGGGAATTGCATATGCGTCAAGCACCATCTTATGTGATCAATGAAAAATTAATAGAGCTCTCTATTTATATTAGATATTTCATATCTTCAAAGTATACAAATGATAAGCTGAAATCAGTCGATTGTCTGGACAAATCTGTTTTGCCATGATACGTATGTTTGCATGATTTATAGACGCCGAATCATTATTTTAGTGCGTGTCTACAATGTTACAAAATGCCACCAATAGCCTGAAGAGCGCACATACTCTGACACAAATGCATGGCTCCTACAAAATTATCGCAGATACTAACTCAAAGTAATCAGATTCTTTGCACTTGCATGCCCATTAATTATCGCGTTTCAAAAGGCTCATCTCCGCTTATTTTGATTCTCACATTATTCGACTCAAATGCCACCATGGAGATGGTTGTGAAATGGAAACTCCTGGTCCTCATAGCAAAATTTGGCCGCTTAATTTGTTTAATATGATTAGTGGGTTATAGAAATGTGCTGTAGATTATGAACCATCAACTCAGGTGAATATGTCTGTAACAAAGTACATGACGAACGTTTTGTTTCAGCAAATATGCATCTGTAAGTTTGTGTGGATGTTATATCAGGAGAGATTTTACTACTGTTGTCAAGCGCTCCGAGCATTCAGTTGCTGTATTTGGACATCTACTGCAGATGTGCCCTGAAAACTCGAAAGTTAAAAATGATCCACATTATAGAACTGCCAATAGCAAAGTTAACTTTAAATTAACCATGCTCTCCAGCAAAATTTAGTTGAAGGCTAATGGCATAAATATAGTGATGAGTCATTCTGAAATAGGAGATGGCTTACGGGTTAGCTTTTTTTTCGCACTTAGACTTGCAACACGCTCAGATTAGCTGTGCATTGATACTCGATTCAGCAATGATTACCGATGCCTACCAGAGAGCACCAATGCTTTGCTTTAGAATCCGAACAAAAGTGCAATTGTGCATTCCAAGGAAGCTTTCAGCGTAAAACTTGTAGTATATAGACAGAATTAGCAGATAGCGATATAATTATAACATTGTTCAACTACTCCTTTCGTCAAATTAGTGAAACTGTGGTCCACCCATGCAGACAGTGGCCAAGCTGAAAACCTAAAAATGGATACTGTTCACATCATGGTATATGTTAGCATCTCAAATATAGCAATGACACGCGCTAAATTTAGATAATTGCTGTTTCCACTTTTGCAACGATTGTGCAGATTGTTGGGAAAAGTCGCATACACCACTGCGAAAACAGCTTGTATGCTTGTCGAGATGCTTAAATATCGTGATACAGACTCTACCCAGCCATGTTTAGAAGGTATGACCGACAAAATATGGATGTTGATCAGTTCTGTAGCAATTAAACGTTTAGCGTCATAGCATTCCAGCATTATCCATCGAACTCAAATCGGCATAAATGAATTTAGCAAAAAGTATATATATTTAGATAAGGTTTAAAAGTATTTGGTTTTCTATCCTGTATACGGCAGAGCAGAGCACTAGTTTCATACAAAATCTAGGCCAGGGTATACACAGTAAATACGTTTTCGGTCAATGGTAAGTGCCAAACATAATAGATCGGCTGCAATTCTCAGGTATTCTATAGTTGGTTCGCATGAAAAATTTCGTCGGTCGCTTGCTTTCTGACAAGAACGACATAGAAACCGGTAATCTTTACCTTTGGATTCCTTACGGAAACACTAATCGAACAATACACACATCGATAGTGCATCTAATCGCATTCAACTAATGCATTGAGCTCAGTATTGTATCAGCAAACGCTTTTCAGAATTTCATAGAATAAGCCATGAGACAAGCTCCGGATTGTAGATAATTGACAATTTGATCTACTCAATTAGAAAGTTACGAGTATATTGATGAGCTCCACGATTAAAAAAAAAAAAAAAAAAAAAAAAAACAAAAAACGGTTGTTAATCTCTCTTACGACCCTAAGCAAGATTTGGGCTAATTTCTTGGAACTATATACTAGGGAAGTTTTCGAAATTAATTGAAATAGTGTGATGCCAATGTGCTTTGATTTGAAGTCTACGAATTATACATTGATCTGTATCAGTATGGTCTGGCTCTAATGTAATCACCTGCCGATGCATTGACATTAGGTTTCCAAATTTTGAGATCCTCGGTTACTATGCGATTCTTTAAACAGAAAGCTTGATTTTCATAGAGCCAAAGATAGGCACTATTCAAGTTCAAATTAGATTCTGGATCTATTAATGAGCATTGCCATTGTATTTGATTCATTGTAAAAAGATTATTGCGGGTTAAGGTGATTTACTAAAAGCGCTGCTTGAAACCCAGTGTCGGATTTCTGGCTCGCAACAAAACCTGTATTAGGTGATTGATGAAGCATCAAGGCTCAGATTCCTCCTCTTCCTTTACAAACTACTACCCATAATGGTCAAGTTCATCAAGGCTGGTAAAGTATGTATCGAAAGACGACAGATGATTACGGATGGATGAATTTAGAAACAGATGAAAGAGAAAAATTGGATGGATGAACACTTTTTGGAAAGCACACCACATGCAATATTTTTCTTTCGAGTCTTATTCAATCCACCCGCTCACTCCACTATATCAGATATCCAGAAGAATTAAACCAATTTTGCCTTATTCTAGGTTGTCGTCATTTTGCAAGGCCGTTACGCCGGCAAGAAGGCTGTTGTCGTCCGTAGTAAGCATCAAATGTTGACAGATATGAGAGAGATTGGAAGATATTGATCGCACACTCTTTTCATTAGACCACGACGAAGGTACCAAAGACAGACCTTACGGTTATGCCGTTGTTGCTGGTGTCGAACGTTCTCCTCTCAAGGTCACCAAGGCCATGGGTAAGAAGAAGACCGCCAAGCGTTCCAAGGTCAAGCCTTTCGTTAAGATTGTTAACTACAACCACATGATGCCCACTCGGTAAGTAGACGACATCTGGAGAACAGTTGGGACAGTAAGACTAACAGGCATTGTACATTAGTTACGGTTTGGAATTAGAACAAATCAAGGGTACCGTCTCTGCTGATACCTTCAAGGAGCCTACTCAACGTGAAGATTCCAAGAAGGTATGTATAGAGTATTGCATATGTTGAACGACATGAGATGTTGACTGTTGGATGCAGGTCATCAAGAAGCTCTTCGAGGAACGTTATCAAACTGGTAAGAACAAGTGGTTCTTCAGCAAGCTCAGATTCTAAGCTTATTTGATCTGCAATTACTCGTATTCTCTCGCCTTTTTGTACCTTTTTTTTATATATAAAAAGAAGAAATAAATTCAATTCACAAATGTATATTTACTTTCTTGTTTTCTTTCATTTGGTATTTGATCTCGCATTGAACATATTACAAAAAGTGGCCAAATGGCGTATTCAACTCGACTAGATGTCTCTTTTGTGTTCGTTTTCAAGAGGGTAAAGACGTTTTCAGAAAATAATCATGCAAGAATCATGATATTCTACATTGGCTCATGAACCAATAATTTCTATAATTCAAATATTTTATTTACATACACTAATGATGCATAATCAATGTTGATTCAATTATTTCATGGTAACTAATTTGATGTCAAAGACAAGAGTGGCGTTCTTGGGGATGTCTGGGGGAGCACCACGCTTACCGTATGCCAAAGCAGGAGGAATGGTCAACTTGCGTTCACCACCAACCTTCATACCAGCGACACCAATATCCCAACCCTTAATGACCTCACCACGGCCCAAAAGGAAGTTGAAAGGCTTACCAGAGACATTCTTGTCAAAGACCTTACCAGTGGTAAGCTTACCGATATAACGCATACCAATTCTTTGACCGGCCCTACAAGAGACACCGTCTCCAACTCTGACATCTTCAATAATGAGGCCATTGGGTAGCTTGGTAATCTTGTTCTTTTTGGCTTCTTCCTTCTTCTTGGGCTCTTCCTTCTTCTTGGGCTCTTCCTTCTTTTTGGGTTCCTCCTTCTTCTTGGGTTCCTCCTTCTTCTTGGGTTCCTCCTTCTTTTGATCCTTCTTCTTGGGCTCTTCCTTGGCGACAGGAGCAGCAGGAGCAGGAGCAGCCTTTTGCTTCTTGGCAGGTTGTTCCTTGGGAGCAGCTTCAAGAGCACGCTTCTTGTTGACGACAGGCTTTGGCTCTTCCTCTTCTTCGGACTCTTCCTCATCTTCCTCGTCAACCTCCTCGGCAGAAACGAGATCATCAGAATTAATTTCATCTGAAGATTCGCCTTCTTGGTTCAACATTTCCACCATTTGTTCTTGTGTCATGCCAGGGGGGAGACGCTTCAAGAACTCCTCAGGATCAAAGTTTTCCTCATCTTCGGAATCAGAGATATCCTCAGAGCCCATAGCCTCCTCATCATCGCTGAAAACATAGTTTCCAGTCAAGTGAACAACATTCTCACCCTTGATGGCAAAAGTAACTTCCTCACCTTCAACGAAGGAGATGTCCAAAGTTTGTTGTTCGATCTAATCAAAAATTGATTTTAGCAAATACACTGACCAAGTTTAAACGGTCCAAATGTTACCTTGTTAGGGATCAGAGTACAGAGAACAAACTCCTTGTTGTCTACATTGACAGTGATGGATGTACGCTTGTTATCCTTGACGTTCTCGGTAAGAGAAGCCTAAAATGTGGAGAGAACTAAAAGTCAGTACTGACCTGATTCTCGACATGTAAGGATTGAGCAACATACCATGGCAATACGGAAAGGTGCAGAGACAATTTGACTGTAAGTCTTACCGGGATGACATGCTAAAGCCCAGAAACCTTGAACGCTCATTATAAGATATGTTTGTTATAAAGATGGGATGTTGTTTTGGTGTTTTCCATCAAATGTTTTTGTTGAAAAAATTGTCGTTGTGAAATGTAATAGTCACCATTCATCATGGCTTTGCTGGTACCAGAGTCACGAAGCCCTCTTTATGCGGACCGCACCTGTCAAGATGGCCATTTGCAGGAATAGCTTTGACAAACAAGATCTATACACTGACACTCATGAGTTTGTAGTGTTAGCAAGAAAGCCATCAATGGGATCTTTGGAAGAGCGATATTGGGTCATTAATGAGGCTCCTCACATGTCAGTGAGTCAATACAGAGTAGATGCATTACGCTTAAATGTGCGCACATGAGTAAATAATTGTGTAGTTTATAAGTTTACATGTGATGACAATCCAAATGTCAATCAGCTTGGTTCTTAATCAGGATTGGGAAGTTTGAATTTTATTATTTTGGTTCTACATGTTTATATCACAAGTATCATGAGCCCACTTCAGTATACACTATTGGCCTGCGCTTCAAACAACACAAATTGTAAGCTTTTGCGCTAAAACCCGGTTTTGATTTGATGTTGAAAGAACAGAGCATGCGTAGGAAACTGACAATGGTTTTGCTTGCAAAACGAACAAATGAAATGCACTAAATACAGAAATCAAGCGCAGAACTACCTTTTATATATATATATATATATATATAAATGCATGTCATATCAATGATTCTTATTCAACACGAGGTTTTGCCACATCATGCCTCTCAGGATTCTTCATAGAAGGTAGACTTACTGAGCAGCGCATTAGACAAGTGACCCGAGCGACAAGAAAATGCGAGGCTATTTAGCGGTGTACAGAAAGAGACTTGGATGTGTTGAAATGGTAGACATCTGCATGCATGACGGACTTGTGATAAAACGAAGCACATCTATTTCTGGATAAGATTCTAACTGTCTCATATCTTTGCGCGCAAGAGCGGGATCGACAACATGGCTGCTGATGTGATTTGACATGTCCGTGCATACAACGGATCTCAAAAAGATAGAGGATCTACTATACAAGAAAACATATAAAAGGACATGATCAGATACCATCATTTTTTTTTTCCTCATCAAATCTTCTACTTTTGAACAGATCAATCAACTAGTCTTTTAAAATGGTTGTTGCTACTTCTCGTTTCCTTATTCTCGGTTTAGCCGCCGCCGCTCTATCGGTATCAGCTTCTCCTGTCCCTGCTAACTTTGCCAATGTTGCCCTTGAGGCTCGTGATGTATCTGTCGATGATGCCGCTTATGCCTCATCATTGAAGCTCTCTGAATGCGAGAAGTTGGCTCGTGCTGCTTCCAAGAGTGTTCTCAGCTCTTGTAAGTCTCGCTCCAAGTGTATCTCCAAGGGCAAGTGCAGTGTTTACACTACCACCGTTACTATCGGTCCTGATAATGGCAATAAGGCTACTACTACCACTGTTACCATTGGAGGTCAAGACAAGACCAAGACTGTAACCTTCCATCCTACCACCAAGACCATCACCGATAACCATAATGGACATCACACCACCAAGACCATTGTCGTCAGCAAGGATCATGATAAGACCAAGACCATCACTATCACTGCTCCTCAAGAAACCAGCAAGTCATCAACTGTCAAGCCTACCGCTGATTGCACTACAAAGACAATCACCACCAAGCACAATGGCACCAAGACCACCAAGACTATTGTTTTAACCAAGGATCATGGCAAGACCAAGACCATCACTATTACTGCTCCTAATAAGACTAGTAAGCCTTCAACTGCCAAGCCTACTGCTGGCTGCACCACCAAGACTACCACTATCACTGAGGGACACAAGACCAAGACCCGTACTATTGTCATTAGCTCCAATGGAACCAAGATCAAGACCAAGACTATTACCGAGAAGCCTTCTACTTCTACCACCAAAGCCACCTCTGCAACTGCTACCACCAGTTCAGAATCTGCTACCAAGTCTACCTCTGCTACTGAGCCTACTTCTGCCGCCGAGTCTACCTCTGCCGCCGAGTCTACCTCTGCTACTGAGTCTACCTCTGCTACTGAGTCTACCTCTGCTACTGAGTCTACCTCTGCCGCCGAGTCTGAATCTGCCACTACTACTTCAGAACCTGCTACTGCTACTACTACTGAGTCTACCTCTGCTACCAATTCTGAATCTGCCACCGAGTCTGAAACTGCCACTACTACTTCAGAACCTGCTGCCGAAACCACCTCTGTCACCGAGCCTGAATCTGCCATTACCACTTCAGAATCTGCTACCGAAACCACCTCTGCCGCCGATTCTGAATCTGCCAGTAGTGCTGCCACAGAAAGCGCATCTGAGAGTGAGAGTGCTTCTTCCTCTGCCACTGCTTCCTCGACTGAGCCTGCTGAAGAAACTACTACCACTGCTGAGGAAACCAGCGCTACTAATGTTGAAGAACCCACCACTAATTCTGAGGTGGCCAGCAGCACCGATGCTGAAGAAACCAGTACTGAAGCTAAGGAAACCACCACTCAAGCTGAAGAAACCACTTCTAGTGAATCTGCCTAAATCAAAACTGATGTGATAAACCACGGATTCGCTACTCCTACTTAGCATTACATACTATAACCCATACTTCATTGCTCTATCAATAAAACAAAATGTTTTGCAAATAATATGTTTGACCTCATCAATTTCGTCTATGACCTTGTTCTCAAGTGGCTTTCTATATTATAAAAAAAAACAAAATTATGTTACAAATGTCTTGATGTAAATATTGCTTTTGTCCATAGAGTCATTAATTGAAAGTAGTAAGTTGTCGCCGTAGATTGTCATAAATCAACTACCTTCAATACATTTGCTTTGAATGTCCATATATATTCAATTATTGAATGTCGTAATGTAAACTGCAGCTTTATTGAAGAGTGCTTTTGCATAATCCTGTGTTTATAACTAGTATTCATTTTTGTACGATACACAGTATTCTAATTCAACATTTAGTTTCGCATTTGAATGCCAAATTTGCAACGGTAAAATCTGTCATTTACAGCCATTTGCAGCATTTACGAAATAACTTATATATGCTAAACAGTAGCACATTTATAATCTTCAACCCTTTCCTTATGAGCTTCTAACAGCATCATTTACTTCAGGGTAAGCATGGCGTGGATATTGCCATCTGCTTGCAGCCAAACCTTTAAATCCCGATTGATATTATGTCTTGATTCGATGATTTTAGATCAAAATTCGACTTGTTTGATCTATTTTCTCAGAATAGACTGTTAGTTGTGATGCTTATTTCACACTTCCTAATACTGTTTTGGAGCCCTTTTCAAGGCGCATCCGATGGTGCTAATTACGGTAAATTTTTTGAATAAGCTTACTGAAAAATTTTGGAAAGTATGAAATAACGTTTTGGGTCAGAATGTCGAGACCTTATATACAAAGGTTTCACAAACAAAGTTTTAGGTGTTGCCTTGAACCGAGAGAAACATTTTGATCTGATATATACCATAGTGAAAGTCTTCATTTTTTAGGTCAAAAACGCGATCGTTTGATTTTTGATGAAAACCATGAGGGGTACCTCATGCTTTTTGATCGATTTTTGGTGATATTTTTTTGGTTCCCTAAAAGTTGAGCAATAATGGCACTAAGTAAATGTTAAGTGAAAGCAACTATTTAGTCCTATTCTGAAGGACTGAAAATGCTTCTAACGCGAGAAATCACTGTTTAAGTGTGCTCAATTCTAGCTGTGTTTGGCATATTTCGAGTGGCAAGAGCTAAGGCTAGTATGATATCTACCTATGTATAGATTGTTTTTGTTAATACAGACGTGGATTATTGCAGAAGATTTGTATCTCTACTTCTGGAATGCTCTTACGTAACTAATAGAAATTCAAGAGCGTTTTTAGTAGAATACACGAACTTGATAACAGATTAGTATCCTTGCACTTTAGAAGGAGCTTATGGCTGTCCGTGTGTTTCTCTCAATAATAAAGTTTCAAAACCAAACTGTAAAGAATCTAATGATAGCAGCCATTGAATGGACACTTGCCGAACTACAATAATCCAAAATCAAATAAAACACTAAAGGATAATTCCATAGGATCTCCCTACACATATACTCACGGAACTAATCAGACAAGTTTTCTTGTTATAACCACGTTCATATAATGAACTGAAACATTTTATGGATTTCAACATAATGATGTTGCAATTTTTCTCTGCAATTTCACGATAAATGCTAAATTTATTTATAGATACGTATGAAAGCATGCTGTCTTGAAACCAAGTGCATTTTTGAATAAAGGCCAATTCTACGGTAGTATCAAGCTGGTATGGTTATCGTCAGCCTCACCAAGTTGGGTGTGAAGCAACACGCTTACAATTACACCTTTGAAAGCTTTTTCGTATGTGGTGTTCTTGCCAATGCTCATCTTTCTAATTTTGAGCTGTTTATTATTCAATACAAGTTTAAACGGTTGAGTATTGATTTTAAGAAACAGTTTAAAATCAATTTGCAGGCTTTCCTTGAAACGGAATTGCCTAGAATAAAAGGTTATTGATAGATTTGTGCCTTGAAACATGCATCTCTTCCTATCAAGCGAGATATAGCTTAAATCGAGTTAAATGTTAAATAGGTCAATATGTGTCAAGTGCGTCTGATACCAGAAGATAAGCCTGAATTAGAGTCAAAATGTAAAATAGGGTGGGTTCATTCATTGTTTAAATTTTATCAGCTGCAAAATATATACATCCATGTTTTTAGGATATAGCTCTAAACTTTCGGATACATGTACTATTGCAGAGTTTATAAAGGCTGCAGACCGATGAGGACCTTGACAGATCTTCTGAAGGCCACTAAAACGCCATTCATCTGCTGGATTCCAGAGTCTTTAATGGAGATACTCATTAGTCTTTCCTGTGTCATCAGACTTGTCAATTGCGGCTGAATAGCATGATCTATCCAAGAAATCAGACTGCGGCAGATGAAATCACTAGGGGGTGGACCTCAAAACATCAATTGGAAATGCCATGGATGGTTGCAACTTTTTCTACATTCAATATCATGATTTCAAGGTCCATACGAAGAGCAGCTCAACAGTTTGGAGTCCCAAAGAACGTATGTCTAAGGATAGATATAACAACACAAGTGTCACTTATTATTTTATCTGAGTTCAGTGCCGTTATTCCTCAACAATTGCGTTGAAAAATGCGCTTGACACAATTGAGCAATACAATCCAGACATAAATGCATTTATCTCTGTCAATGATTCACACATATTGCAAAAAAAGGCAAAAGCCTCTGACGAGAGACAAGCACAAGGTAGATTCGGCAAGTGGGTTGTGCAGTGAGCGTCTGTATTGACAGTTTTGACTAGGAAAACCACTGAGTGCGTTGGATGGCACCACTGTGGCTATCAAAGATAACATTTGCACCAGCTTTTTACCAACTACATGTGCATCTAATATGCTGAGAGGTAAGGAATGTTTGCTTGGTCATGGCAACTGGATGACTGACGCACAATCGATAGACTTCACGTCACCTTACGACGCCACTGTTGTGAAATTACTGGATGAAGCTGGTGCATTGATTGTTGGCAAGACGAATATGGACGAGTTTGGCATGGGGTAGGAGGTGCTTCTGAGTAGTTGCCATGATCAGGGCCTAACTTTCTGATGTAGTTCATACAATGTTCACAGCGCATTTGGGCCTGTCATGAATCCAATTGGGTATAGCAAAAAAGAAACGAGGTCTGCAGGAGGTAGCTCCGGTGGAAGTGCTGCTAGCGTGGCCATGAACATGTGTACAGCGTAAGGACAGCAGCAAAGGCATCTCTAGAACGGATATTCACAGCAGTTTAATAGCGCATTGGGATCAGATACGGGTGGATCAGTCAGAATGCCTGCATCCTACTGTGGATTGGTTGGATTCAAGCCTACCTACGGCAGATGTTCTAGACATGGATTAATCGCATATGCAAATTCATTAGATACAATTGGTATATTAACAAGAAATGTGCAAGATTGCTCCAAAGTGTACGACATTATTTCACACTATGATGTCCAGGACCCAACATCGATACCAAGCGAACTACGATATCAATTAGATGACCAACACCAGACTTTGCTATCTAGACTCCAACAGCAAGGCAATTTAGAAGGGTTAGTTGTTGGTGTCCCACAAGAATTTTACGTCGATTCACTGTCGCCTCAAGTACTCAAAGTGTGGAGAAACGGAATACAGCATTTGAGGGATTTGGGCGCAACGATAAAATCAGTGTCAATTCCTCATATATCCTTAGCTTTACCTGCTTATTATATCATAGCATTGGCAGAAGCGAGCTCAAACCTATCTAGATATGATGGCATTCGCTATGGTAACTGTCTAGTAGTGTAGTTTTAGACCGTTTCCATGACACTAATATCTGTATATTAGGTTATCGGAGTAGCGATATAGATCAAGCAGATCATGAACTATTGTATGAGGCAACTCGAACACATGGATTTGGACATGAAGTACAAAGACGTATATTACTAGGAACGCATGTGTTGACTGCTGGGTAAGAAGCTAGAGTTCAGCACATTTATGCTGTTATTAATGGAGCACTTTGTAGTACATTTGAGACGCTGTTCCTTCCTGCCCAAAAAGCCAGAAGATTGATTCAGAGTGAATTCAACCACGTATTTTCACAACCCAATCTATTAGACAACGATTCTACAAAGCACGGAGAGGCAGATGTGCTACTAGTACCTAGCGCGACATCGACTGCACCCAATCTGGACAAAACTCGCAACACTGACAATGGCGTTGAAGAATACATGGATGATGTGATGACATTACCTGCCAATTTAGCAGGAATTCCTGCCATCACAGTACCATTTGAGGAGAAGGACGAGGGTTATCCAATTGGATTGCAATTATTAGGCCAATATGGTCATGACAAATTCTTACTGCACGTAGCCGAGCAAATGACTAGAAAATAGAGCTGTGATTTTGAATCTAATCAGACATGGCGTTTCCTGCAAAGTGCACATGAAATAAAGAGTACCGGTCTGTGCCTATTAGGTCATTCTAAGGCATCAATCACACTTTTTAGCGTGAAAGAACTCGTTGTCAGTACGCTTAAACTTTGTACCAAGCTGAACGGCATCTGAACTCCAGTAATTACATCAAATTAAAGGCTACTGTTCATCTTAATATCATCATCGATCATCTCTTTCAGAGACGCCGGGTTCTCTTGGCTATATACTACAACATGTGCTGCACTGTATCACTATACAGACATTTATTCGCCTCCAACGTCTCATATGATTGTTTGTTTGACACAAGTCTGTTAAAAGTGCATAGTGTGCAATAAGCTGACCAGAGTAGATACTGCAGCTGAGCTACACGATTACTGTAATGCTTTTTTTATGCTAGCATTAAAGCACTCGCATCATTGAAAGCAATAGATTTCATGTAATAATGAAATAAAAGATATGAAGATTAAAAATCAGGGCAATCAAAGGTTTAATGATCTAATGTACCACAAGGCAAGTTTATAGAAATGCCATCATTTCAGCTTGATTGGAAATAGAGACAAGTGTGGCGTCAATCAGTAAGCACCAATATAAGCAAGTTCATAATGGCGACGCCTCAAGGCTGCCCAGTTTCAAAGTAAAGGCAAGGCTGGCTGACCTGATGACAGGAGTCTAGGCCATCAAAAGTATAATAAGAATATCGGAGTGGAGTATATAAGATTTGATGAAATGTAGATCATCAGCAAGTGGTGATGTTCTCCATGGACTTGGGACATTAGGCACAAAAGTGTATTGCATGCATTAATTGCTATTGTGGTAACATTTATAAACAAGAAAACCCTTCTTTATTTCATCAAATACAATGTGATATCAAAAGAAGGTGCAGGAGTCTATTCTCTTGGTGCAACAACTGCGCCCAGCTCGCATCTTATGCTACTTTTAGATTTTTTAGTGATTTTTATAGTAATGGCTCTCTCTCTCTTCTCTCTACACCGGCCAATTTAGCCGCTATAATTCGCTTGAACAACCGAAGCAGTGCTGCCCCATTTTTTTACATGCTTTCTCGAAAAAGTACATGTGGCAAGAACAAATGATTAAAAAGCACGATGTGCATTTCCTCATTATGAACTGCAATTTGCATTGCAAGTTGCATGCACTCGAAAGCAGGAAAACAAGCCTCTTTTTTTTTTCCATCTCTCTCAAAATAGAAACGATTCCCTCTCTTCCTCTCCCCTTCTTTTTTCTTCTTGTTCTTTCTTTTGTTCTTCCCTTTTGCGACTCTCTTTTCCTTTCCTTTTTTTTCTTGGGGTAAAGATCTAACACGATGGATTCATACTACGAGAACAATCTCAATGGAGAAGAATGCGAGGATCCTCATTGTCATGGCTGTCAGAAGCCCATAGAAGATGGGTCCGTGGTGCAGTTTGGCGACGGCATTTGGCATTTTGAATGGTACAGACTCGAATAAGCAAAAGTTGTTGCCGTATAGTTAACAAGTCTGAATAGCTTTCGTTGTGCAAAATGTCAAAAGCTAGTTGAATGTTACAGTAATCTGCTGCTTCTGAGAGATGGAAGCCCTATTTGTGAAGATTGTTCATATAGTTGTCATGCATGTTCAAAGACGATCAAAGACGAAGCTATTATGACAGGTAACAAAGCTTAAAAAGACGCTACCGAGAGACATCCAGTTAATGAGGAATCTATAGGCGACGAAGCATATCATGCAGATTGTTTTCGCTGTGTTCAATGCAGCAAGAAGATAGACGACCTCGTATTCACGCAAACCAGCAAAGGCATCTACTGTACGAAATGCCACGAGGCGAGAAAATTGCTAAGGCTCAAGCGACGAGACGAACGAAACAATGTATGTCCAGCGCAAAACAACGCATGCAAAACTGGCTGAAAACTAACCTTCCTCGTAGAACAAGGCGAACGAGACCAGTAAAATAGCGCCCCCTACATCACTGAACAGCAATCTCACTAGACCTGGCCATGCGTTCAGAAGTTCTTCCACCACATCCATTGTGAATGCATACATTGACGAACACCTACGCACGCCTATATTAGAATCCAACGATATCAGCGAACTGAACGAGATGCTGATGGGCCAGAGAAGCAGTGAAGAGACGCTCCGAAATTCTCTTGATCAAAGTCATCAGCTGGAGCAAAGCAATGACGATACAGCACAAGTGAGGGAGCTGAAACGTGATTTAAGCGAAACCAAAACTCGATTAAAGGAGGTGGAGAGCAAGTTCAATAAGATTAAGGTATTGTTTGAATGAGGGGGAGGGGATACATCAGGCGAAAAACGTGAAATTAATTTAAATTAAATAATATAGACAATTAGCCGAAAAGCCTTGGATGAGTTTCACATGGTGAAGGATGGCTATGCGTCTGAAGTACAAGCGAGACGAGATGCTGAAAATGCAATGATCAGGTTAAAGAGCGAACTTGTCTTTTATCAGCAGGCCTCCATCTTTAGTGGACATGACTTTATCCATTACAGCAAAGAGGAGATTGAGGAGCTAAACCAGACCCGTGCTGATTTGGAGCAACTGTGCCATGATCTCAGAACAGAACGAGACAGCTTGGTCCATGAGCTTGAAAACCACTCCAAAAATATCGAGAAACTGTTTGCAAGCCAAAAGCCTCAAGATCTGCATTGGGAGAGACTGCAACACGCCTACCAGCAGCAATTGGACTCCATGCAAAAAGACATGTCGAATGCAAAGAACAACTATGCTAAGCTCATCAAGGGTAGAGAAGATATCATATCAGACATGATCTTGCTCAACACCAAAAACGCTGAATTGACTCAACTGAACAATGATTTATCCCGCCGTGTGATGGAGCGAGAGCAGGAAGCAAAGGCAGTGTTTGCAGGCATGAGTTTCTTGACCACCCCAGCAGAGGAGAGTAATAATAGCAGCAGTAGCACAAGCACAAACAGCAGCACTATGAAACATCGAAGAAACCTTTCCACAGGATCCATTGGTATCACACATTCCACTTCCATGACTGAAATCAACAATGGCAAGGCAGAAAGTTTTATATCACCCGCAACAGCAAAACTAGCGCAGAGGGATAGCTTCAATGGATCAGCAGCGCCAAAACTGTTCAAATTTAGACGAAACAAGAGTGGCTCTGGAAAGCACAAGATGACCAACAGACAAAACGACGATTTGATTGCTGTTCCTTACGACAGCAACAGCAATTCCAACACAAGATCCTTGGAGCCGGTCTCAGAATCTTTTATGAAAAAGGAACCAGAAAACGTCAAGGCAGGAAAGCACCATTTCGCACAACAAAAGTTCTTGAGACCTATTAAATGCGAAGCTTGTGGTGAAAAGATGTGGCGAGTGAACGAATTAAAATGTTCAGGTAACTGGGGAAAAAAAATGCGGGTATCATTGGATGTATCACTCATGCTCGTTTAATTTTAGAATGTGGTATTGTATGCCACTCCAAATGTGTCTACAGTGTTCCACAAGCCTGCTACAGAAAATCCAGCCTGGACAACAACAGGTCAGACGCAGACAGTACAAGGCATATGTTTGGCAATGATTTGATCAAGCAAGTGCAGGCTGAGAAGAGCAAGGTACCGCTTGTGGTTGAAAAGTGTATTGAATCTGTAGAATCAAGAGGTAACTATAGATAGTGAGATAGAGACAAGCCTTAATTAACATGTGTGTATGGCAAGGCATGGATTATGAGGGTATTTATCGAAAATCGGGTGGTGTAGGACAAATGAGACAAATTCAGCAATCATTTGAGAAGGGCGAAATACCCAACCTGATTGACGAAGAGAAGTGGAACGATATCTGCGCCATTACCAGTGTTCTCAAGCAGTATTTCAGAGAGTTGCCCAACCCGTTATTCACTTACGAACTCCACTCCAAATTCATGGATGCTATGAGTAAGACGCCAACATATGATACTATGCCAAGTAGGAAACTAATTGTCGCCATTGTCTAGTGATTGCGAATAGCTCTGAACAACTGCAGGCAATGACACAGCTGATCCAAACGCTCCCCATCGAGAACTTCAACACACTGAAATACCTCATGGAACATTTGAACCGGGTTCAAATCAGGAGCAAGGAGAACCTCATGACATCCAAAAACCTTGCAGTCATCTTTGGGCCCACATTACTGCGAGATCAAGATGAAAATCGCGATTTGCTGGAGATGAACCATAAAATCAATACCATTGAGTTTATCCTAAACCACATGGATACGCTGTTTGTGATTGAAACTATCATGGGAAGTGCTACCAATACCATTACGTCCCTCTCGTCTACGACACTGAACAACACGACATCGGATCACCGTCGCATCCATTTGCCTCCTCTCCAGAGAGGTGAAGATCTTAGCACTCTTCTTGGTAACTATCAGTCTCGTCATGACGAAAGTACCACAGGGCAATCATGTTCTAGCACCAGTGCCAATAAAACGACTCTGGCAGCAGTTCCACCAAGGCCAAATGCAGGATACATCTAATCTTTGTGTATATAATGAACAAGACGACGCACACACACACACACACTCTATATATAATTAATTTTTATACATATACTATTATTCCCTCCCTTTCCTTTCTTGTTTTATACTTATAAACAAATTACATATAGCATCCACTATTTAAAGCTCTAAGCTTACAAAGGGCCTTTGAATTAAGACGAGCAGTAATGGTTGACCACATAACTTTGTTTTACGAACATATGATTTTGAACTAAAGCTTATAAACAAAGTTCTTGTCTTGCTTATCAGTCAAATCCAAGTATATATCTGTCTCGTCCTCTGACAGATTAGCGAGTCTACGCTTATTCTCTCTCACCATCATGACATAGAGGACCAATAACAGAATAGCAATAAGTGCGTTAGCCAGACAGAAGCCAACGATGCCTATATTTATATTCAAGTTAGTGACATATCTCCTCTTTTGCATGTTTAGTAACTACTTGCCTCCCCAGTATGTTGGTGCTTGATCTTCAACCATGATAAGAGGGCCAATAAAGTTACCAAAGGTCTGTCCTACGATAAGAACAGCATTGTAAAAGACCTTCTTTGTGTAACCAGAGACATTGTTGGAGACAAGCGTCAATATAAGAGATGAGGTACCTGTCATTGCCCAACTAAGATAGAGACCAACCAACTTTGGTGTACCAGGAATGACAGCCAAAAATATGCAGCCCAGCAAGGAAATAATGGTTGTGCCGATGGCTGTAAACGTGTTTCTTTGAAGCTTGTGAGCAAGCAAGACAGATACCATGGCAAAAAATGCGGCGGCAGCGCCATTGGGAATTTGAAGGATGATGGAATTGAGAGACTACATGCGTATTAGCCATTGCAAAAGTTAAATAATAGAGATAAACTTACAGAGAAACCAAGGCCTTGGACAAGCAAGGCGCTAAATGTGATCAATCCACCATTTTGAAGACTGTTCAAGAGAAAGACCACAAAGAGGATCCACAGTCGAGGCTCTTTAGCAGCTTCCCACATTTGCTCCCTCTTGATTTCCTTGTTTCGCACTACGCAATTGTCTTTGGATCTTTCTTGAACGATTTCTTTTTCTTTTTCGGTCAATCGCAACAATCTATGGTGAGTATCATCCACCAAGAAGAAGAAGGTCAAGAAGCCAACGACGACGGTAGCGATACCAAAGACAATGTATCCCCTAATGGTAAACAGTGGGTGTATGATTTGGCAAGATTTGAAGCAAGCAACCTACCAACGCCAGCCTCGGAGGCCTTTGACACCGTCTAAATGAGCAAGGCCGTAAGCAATGACAACGCCCAAGATAGTGCCCATGCCTGTGCCGACATGAACAAAGCCCCAACATCTTGATTGCTCAGATTTACGGTATAAAGTGTTTAGCAAGATATAGATACAAGGATATGTGACACCTTCAAAGAGACCCAATAAGAATCTGGTGGCGAGCAATTGACCAAATGTGTTACAAGCACCCGTTGCTCCCATTACGATACCCCAAATGACCAAGACACAACCTAGATATCGCCCAATTGGTAGTCTCTGAATCAAGTAATTGTTTGGTACCTGAATTGAGTATTCAAAGTAAAATAAGACGCTTTTGGTTAATAATTGTGTCTGTGGATTATGCAAATTGCAACTAGTCAATTTATATGTGAAACCATATGATAGTGTACCTGACAAACTAGGTAACCTAAATAAAAGATGGAGCCTAGCCAGCTATACTGACTACCACTCATGCCTGTGTCTTCGATGATGCCCAGCACAGCAGCTACAGTCAGTGCAGATTTGTCACAAAACTATACAATGATGATAAGATTCCTATTCATTGGCTATAGAACGGATCGTGTAGGTAATTACTTGAATAAAAATGATGAGAAAGATCAATGGCAAGAGAGTCCAATTCAACTTGCGAAGAAATGCAATTTCCTCAGGCGATTTGATCAGGACAGTAGAGTTATTCTTGCTGTTGTGGTTGTCGCTCTCTGCATAACCATCATCCAATTGTTGTCTCTTTTCATTCACATGCTCTGTATATTGCACTTGCTCTCTTTCCATGTTAGCAGTGATGAATATTTGAATACACAAGGAAGGAAAGCGAGCAATGTTGTAATATATATATATATATATATATGCATTTTGATCCAATTTTTACACACACGGTGAGTTTCTGAAGTTGAAACCCCTTTAGGCAGCTGATGATCTTTCCTGAAGTTGTTTAGCTAAAAGCATTCAATTGTGTCTCAATCACATCAATTGGAGCAACATGAAATAGCCTTTAAAATCAGTTTTCTCCTTTATTTACAGTGTAACACTGTGTTCATACTATACAAACTGACCGTTTCTGTAGGTTCCGTTGCTTCTTTTTTTTTTTTTTTTTTTTTACCAAGAAGTGTAATCCGCAATGCTTCACAGTGTAATAAATGGCCTATCAATTCAAACAAAAAAGTTTGTATCAGACATTTTCACATGGCATCTGAATAGTACGCACAACAAGGCATCTTCTTTTTTTCCATACAACATTTAAAGCTATCCATGCTGTAGTCATAACTGCTTGCACATATACCAGCCAGGTAAATCGTTATCGTTACATGGAACAAAACGATACATTGTTCTGTCCATTACTCGGTAAACACTTGAGTAATGTTGCTTTTGTGAATCAGCCAGCTCGAAGCATTTGATATTGTAAATTACCAAGATATACTACAAGTACGTCAGCAAACCGTTCAATGGAGTACATTGCACTCAGTCCATAATCGATAGATACATCATTTTAATGGTTCATTAGATCCAGTATTACTCATTGAATCAAGTTGTTGCCTTGTTTTAATGCAGTTTACCCAAGCTATCAAAAGGGGCTTTCAGCGGACTGATAATTAAAGAGGTATGCCATCTTTAGCATAGAGAAATTGGATGTTGATAGAAAGATGTCTGATGTGTCTTGCTAACAAAATCACTTGCATATAGAAAATCCACGCTCATTCGTATCAGATGCATCATTTGCATACATTGACTACATTGTGTATGTCATTCGGCTTCCCATTTGGGTGAGTAATTTGTAACCATTAGTTTTATAAGTCTTAAAAGCACCTGGAAAACAAAAACTGAAGGGCGGATAAACTAGTTAACAGCGCTTGTTAATTCTCGATGGCCTTTTCATGAACTCTCAACAGCAGTAATTGCCCTTCGTCGGAAGAGCATGGCATTGAGTTTGCCAGCCAAAATTGGCTTAAGCTCCGCTATAGATTCTATCCTTATTCGTTGATTTTTGGCCATTTTGCGACTTTCTCGATCTATTTTGCAATCTATTTTACTTTGTCATCCCTTTTCGCATGTCAGACACTAGTCAAGTACATCAACGTTCCTCGCAAGCTGACACTGCGGCTCCACTGTTGTGGACTCATGTGGTTAACTCACGCCGCAAAGGGAACAACAGACAACAACAATCCATCGTCTCTTTCAATCCCACTATCGTCAAACGACCTGTAACGGAAGCAGAGGCCTCGCAACAGGCCATCAATGGGGATACTTCGCCACCTCCTCAGGCGGTTATCCGTCCATTCCTCAAAGGCGTGGAACAGGATTCCGTCTTCATCGATCTGACACCTATCAAGGATCGCAATCTCTTGAACAAGGCTCTTCTTCAATTCAACGAAGCCTCTAATGCTGAAGACATGTATGAAGAATTTCTTGGATACCGGAAACAACCTCGACACTACCTCAACCATGCCTTCTTGGAAACCATGTGGCTGCCCAACAGCGAAGGTCGTAAGACTCTCATTGAAGAAGGTATCACTCTAGAGGATGGCACCTTTGTGAAAGGGTTTGCCTCGTACCATGCTGATGCTACGATTGTGAAACTGACCCTGGAGAATCTTCCTTTCTTGCCGGCCCTTCAGTTGAAGGAGGAAATGGCTGCCCGACTTTCTGCGTTCGGGGATGTCTTGGATCACGGCATCTCGAGAACTGATGGGATCTATCAAGGAGAAGGTTATGCTACACTTAATCTAACGGTTCCTTCCAGCCCTGGTTATGAATGTCAAGAGTTACATCCCGTTGGGAAATCTTGCCCTGGTCATCGCCATTTGGAGAAACTCAGTCGTGTCATTGTCTGGGATTTGACAGCTTCGGATCAAAGAAAAGTTTTACTCCAATGGGATCAAATGCCGGCTTTCTGTCGTAATTGTCAGAGCTCTGAACACTGTCGGGCTGATTGTCCTGACTACAAGAAGTGGGTCCGCTGCCATCATTGCAATGAAACTGGACATGTGGTGAAGAACTGCAGTCGCAATGACAGCCCAAACAAGGTCCGTGCGGTGGAAAACACTCCTGCCAAACCCCGAAAGGGCTCTCAGGTGGCCAAAGAGGGTAAAAAGGGTACTCAGGGTGGCTCCAAAGTAACTCCTGGTGGTGCTCCAGTTGGAAACAAAGGTAATGCCCAAGGAAAAGGCCAGGATGTTGCATCTGGTGGTTCCCAAGGTGATTCCGATAATCGAACTACTGCTACCCAGCAAGGTAGCACTCAAGGTGACGCTGATAGTCAAACAGGTGCTAGAAAGCAGGTAGTTGATAGAGATGTTCAAATGGATGATCTTCCAAAACTCCAAGTTAAAGAAGTCGATGGGAAAGGGGCTTCCAATGATATTATCATGTACGACTCTTCTACCCATTCTGCTAATGAACGAGAGGAGCGCCCTGAACGCCCTGCGAAGAAGATCGGTAAATTTAATGGCGCGGATGATGTTAGTTCTGCCAAACAACAAGCTGCATCTAATGAAGTAGAGACTGGACATCAACTCGGCTTGACAGGCCCTCCTTCACCTCCCCAACATTAATATGATTAATCAGCAAAATACAGTGAAAATAGCCACCCTCAATTGCCGTGGCCTAAAAAAAACAGATAACACCAAAAAAAGACAACAATTTATTAGATATCTTCGAACATTAGGATATGACATCTTAGTGCTTCAAGAAACACATGCAACAGACAACACATTTATAGACATACTCAACACTCAATTTACTTGCAAGTCGAGTCTTTGGACTCAACATTGCGGCATCATTTCCCTCAACACTCATTACTCACTCAAACACATCTCAGAAGGCATTGATGGGGGTCGATTTATCTTGGCTTCCCTTCATCTTACTCGAGACCTGGAAAATTCACCCAATTCACCACCAATAGCAACAATACTTAATATTTACGGTCGTGCGTCCGCTCACACCGACCGATCAGCGTTCTATTCAGAACTCATTGGCACACAAATTGTCAAAGAAACTATTACTACTACAACAAACACCGTCTTTATCATGGGAGACTTCAACTACCAGTACAAGGATCGTCGAGTCGATGGCACCCTCACCAGTGCACCAGTAGAATGGACCGATCTACTCGATGATTACTTTATTGACGTTTTTGGGGAAGACAAACACAACACATGGCATAGTGGAAGCAATTCAGGGATTCTGGATTACATCTTTTGTAGTTCAAACGCCCATCATCTAGTCACTAGCACCAACCAGCAGTATCTGTCTCCTGCCTGGACCGACCATGAACTCTTGGGATTCTCTTTTCGATATCAAGATGCGAATGGCCGTGGCCCTGGTAACTGGAAGGCAAATCCGTTCTTGGCTTGCAACAAAACATTTAGGAAGGCATTGGCAGAATTCCTCATTGATAGTGAGGCGCGTCTGGCAGAAATCAAGCGTTTCTCCACTCCCCAACAACAATGGGATTGGATCAAAGCCGAAGTAAAGATGTTTATCAAACAGTATCAAATGGAGGATTTGAACTGGCGGAAACAACAGCTACACCGACTGCTATCAAAGAGAAACAAGATGATGCGGCATAAGAAGACAAGAGGCTTGGTGTTTCAAGGCTTGGACACGGTTAATCAACAGATTCAATCTCTCCAGCACTCTCTTGCAGAAATAGAGATCTTGAAGGCAGGAAAATTTTGGCGGGAACATGGTGAGAAATCTCCAGGCTTCCTGAAGCGCTCTGTGGTGTCTCGAGAAAATCGTCGTTCAATTGTGGAACTCAGGAACCCTACAACTGGCGATCTATGTCAAGATCAACCTAGCATCTCCAACATTGCTACCAACTTTTACACCTCACTGTTCACACCGGAGGCTCTGGATTCAACCTCCCTCAGTGTTATAATTCGCAACATCCCAGGTCATTTGAAGCTCAACAGCGAGCAGCAGGAATCATTGATGATGCCGATTGATGTGGAGGAACTCTTGACCGATAGCAAGCAGACTCGTCGTTTGAGTAGTCCTGGACCTGATGGATTACCTTATGAAATCCTGTACTTGGTAATGAAATTTCCACCGTTCCATGATCTCATCCAATTAGTCTACAATGAAGCTTTAAAGAAGGGTAAGTTCCCGCCATCTTGGAACGAATCCGTCATGTGTCTGCTTTACAAGAAAGGCGATCCAGCTGAAATGAAGAACTACCGTCCTCTGTCTCTGGCTAATTCAGACTACAAGCTCTTCACTCGCAATATCAACCGTCGAATCATGGAAGTCTCTTCCAACTTGATCAGCCGACATCAGCTTGGGTTTATTCCTGGTCGATTCATTGCTGAAAATGGAATGATCTGCCAGCTCCTAATGGAAGATGCTCAACGGAAATGGTCCATCGCTGAACAACAGGAAAATGATCCTTCCTTTAACACTTTGGATTATGACATCGGTCTTCTTCTGGATCAAGAAAAGGCATACGATCGGGTGAACTTGGAATATTTGAGGAAGGTATTGGGGAAATTTGGGTTTCCTCGCCCTATTATCAAGTGTATCTCCAAGTTGATGGGTGACAACCTCATACGTATCAACATCAATGGCCATCTGTCAACTGAAGTGGCGAAACTTCGAGGCTTGAAGCAGGGGGATCCTCTCTCTCCTGTACTGTACAACTTGGCATTTGAACCTTTTCTGCTTGCAATCCTGCATGATCGCCAATTTCAAGGCTACTTGATGGGTACTGCACGAACAAAACTCCTGTGCTATGCTGATGACGCTTTGGTGTTTATCCATGACTCCAATGATTTGACTCGGTTACAGCTCCATATGGCTCGTTACTGTGCTGCCTCCAACGCCAAATTCAATAATGCCAAGGTGGAAGCCTTTTCAGTGTCTGGTCGGGATACATGGGATATGTGGGATGGTCCATTATCACAAATGGGTATCACACATCTCCATTCTGTTGAGGACGATGAACCGTTGACCTATCTGGGATTTCCTCTCGTCCAAAGTAGGATTCAGCGAGTTCACTTTATGGGTGCTTTGGTAACAAAGATCAAAACTGCCATCCAGATTCATTCTGGTCGCTCCCTGTCGGTCGTTGGAAAGGCTACAGTGCTGAACTCTCTTTTGCTCTCCAAGCTATGGTACATCCTGCGTGTTACGCCTTTGACTCAAGCTGACTTCAAGCAGCTGCGTTCTCTGGCTATTCAGTTCTTGAGAAGAAACATCTTCCCCGTCATCCCTTGGAAGGTGTGGACTCTACCAAAGGACAAAGGTGGTCTCGGTGTTGTAGACATCCAAATACAAGCTTCAGCTTTGTATTTTCGTTGGCTCCACCCAATACTGGTTCAAGATCAAGATGTCATAGATTCCCATCCTGTGTCGTACCTCTTAAGCTACCACATTCGCAATGTTAATGGTTACCCCCACCATCAAATCCCGCTGCTATTTCCCTCTGCTCGTCGTACTAAGGGGTTGAAAAAGCAACGCACGGGAACTGTCGATATGTTATATCGTACAGTTGACTATCTTCCTAAGTTGTTTGATGCGGCACCGATCAATTCTGCAACTGCCATGGCTCTTCCATTACAGGCGGCTTTCTATGTTCCTCCATCCTCCTCACTGGTTGTTCCTCTTAAAGTCAAAGAGATGATGGTTTCTGATGTATTTCAGTACGATGCCCGGCTTAACTTTGTACATTGGAGAGACACTCGTGACCCTTCCCTCCTCAGGTGGAAGAGAGCTCCTTCAACAGTGTTCAGAGGCCTCGCATCTGGCACTCTTAAATTCCAGCCCTACTTCCTCCCAGTGTGTAATCCAGCCCCTGTAGTAGATCCTGGAGTCTCTTTTGCGCCGCTGGTGGATCAATTTTGTCTGCACGATGGCCAATCTCTTAGAAACGCTCAGGCTTCCGCCAAAACATTTCGTCTGTCTGTACTGTCGTCGGTGGAACAGCCCTTGGTCTTGCAAAATGTCTCTGCTGCTAATTGGAAATTCTTTTGGTCCCTGTCTCTTACCTACATTCAACGTAATGTGATATACCGATTCATCGCAGGCTGTATCCCTTCTAGAAGCAGATTACACTACATGATGCCTGCATTTTTCGAGTCCCACAATTGTCCTGTCTGCTTGTCTCCCAATGAAACTGCCAGCCACCTGCTCTTTGACTGTCCATCCAAAGAAAAGGTATGGCAAGGCGTCATTTTTGAGTTCCTATGGCCCACCACGTCCATCACTGACATCAAAGAGGCTCTTCTGTCCCTGGACTTTTCAGATATCTGGTACTCCCAAGTCAAAGGCATCCATCCATACAGAATCCTACTCATCACCCTGTCTCAAATATGGCTAGCCCATATGCGCTTTGTTTTTGACGGCACTATCTTTGTCCCTGAGGCGATTCTGGTACATATCCACTCCACTGTCCGACAGACAGTGGATGAAGATCAAATCCATTCCCTCTTGTAATTTAGATAGTTAGATAGTTCCTTTTGTTAGTTTAGTTTAGTTTCCATTTATATTTATATTTTTTTCATTTCTCAATTGCACCCGCCTCTTCACTCTGACCTATTACTCTTAGTGTACGCGGCTCAATCAATAAACACAATTTAAAAAAAAAAAAAAAAGATCTATTTTGCAAGGTTTGACTCTATGAATCGTGATGATCGCCCCATACTTCCTTAGGCTTTTCTAGAGTACTTTTCAAAGCGCATCTAGTGGTGCCATCTAAATGAGGTACTTTAAACACCATTGTTGGACAATATTAAAAAGTATGAAATGAAGTTTTTGGCTAAAAAGTCGAAATTCTACATGTCAAAGTCCCACAAAGATGATTTCAGGCGTTACGTTAGATCGATAGAGACATTTTGAATTAATATATACCATAATAAAAGTCTTCGTTATCAAGGTGAAAAACGCGATCGTTTGATTTTCAAAAAAAAACCATGAGGGGTACCTCATGCTTTTTGGTCGATTTTTGACCATGTTTTTTTGGTCCCCAAAAAGTTGAGCAAAGGCATCAAAAAGTAACTGTTAGGTGAGAGCAACAGTTTGGTGCCATTCCGGCGGTCTAAAACAGCCTCTAACACGAGAAGACGCGGCTCGAATGTACTCACATTTCGCTGCGTTTTGTATATATTTGAGTAGTGAGAGACAATACAGGGATGCTATCTGCTTGTATATGAATTAGCATCATCAATACAAACGTAGGGCATCTCAAAAGAATCAAGTACGCAGTCGCAAGCGAGTTGTGGAGGATTCTCAAAGATAAGAAAAAGAACCAAGAGGCATCCGGCTTTGGATAAAAATTCAATGTAAATCCAACAAAATGAGGGATTGCATAGCTAATCAGAGGTCGAAACACTATCAAGGTGGATGCGGAAAGACACTCCGCGGTACATTAGCATCTTAATGCATCCTTACTTTTACTTCACATCTCCATTCAGGAACAGTTTTAATGGTGGCAACTCGAGTATTCACAATCTGTACTCCTGCTGATGCCAGGCGGTCACAGATGAAAGGAAAGGAAACGAGGATTCTAAAACCAATAGACGTGCTCTTTCAACACATCCACCAGATATGCGTTCTACACTCTTTTATAGTATATGTTTAAGTATACTTGCAATAAGACAAAGCTACTGCCAACAACTATCAGATCGTGCACATGAAGAATACAATGAAGCATTAACACTACGTGACCTACCTGATGGCAAGCTGCTTGGACACTTTGAATTCACTACTCGAGTCAAAGCCAATACAAAGCCAAATGCGCCTTGTAAGTAGAGGCAACAGTATTCATCGCACATGACACTTGATTAACATCCCCTCTTTTACTTTCTGTAGTTTTGGATTACGGACTATACCCCAAAGCGATCGGAGAAGTGCTTCAATCATACAATGTACGCGAAATGCATCTTTCTTTCACTCAGGGACGATGGAACTATGAAGAGTGGGGATATCCACCTACTTTATCTGCTGGCACAGGTGTGGAATTATGGGCCTGGATGAAGGATTCAGAAAAGTAGGTCCAAATAACTCTATCGTTAGTGCGATCACTCACTTTGTGTGTATACATACACAGTGTTGATAAGCATTGGAAAGCATTGACCAACACATTGTCTGGCTTATTCTGTGCGTCACTGAATTTCATTGATGAAACCATCACAACAGAGCCTCGACTGTCCTTTAGAACATCAGGAGATGAGGATATTGCAGGCCAGCAGTTGAGATATGGCTCTTTGCCGCATGAAAATGTGTGCACAGAGAATTTGACTCCTTGGATCAAGCTATTGCCATGCAAAGCCAAGGTAATAAGGCCAGCTCATTCAGAACGATGCATTGCTGACAATTGATTCCTAGTCTGGAATTTCAGTGCTACTCAACCCACACAAAATCTACAACTCCAACTTCCACTCCATGGCAATTCATGCCAAATCCATCTGCATTGTAAGTGGACCTTACCGTTTGAAACGGAAGCACGAGGGACTCAACGATGGAACAAACACTAGGACGATGCATGCACCCACAGAGAATTGGAATTGACGCAAACAGTGACGTCCGTGATGGATCCTGTACGAGACACGAGTCGCAGAGGTATTACGAAGCATGATATCTGGAGTGCCATCGAGATGTTGACCCTCTTGCGGAATAGATTGGTCTTTGAAATCAGTGTTTGACCGTCAGTTGAAAAACGCTTGTCCACTTGCCAAAGAGAGCAAAGTCTTGGTGGATTTAGTAAATGCAGGTGATCATTATGAGCTAAAACCCGAGGCTACACAGCTTGAGGACAAGGTAGCAGTCTACCACTTATCCAAGCAAATACAGCAAACACCGTTGGATATTCGCATGACATGGCAGCAGAATTCCTTTCTATACCGTAAGTTTGGACAGCAAGCTTTGGCTGTAATCGCACATTTGTATTCACCCAATGATGCTTTATAGCTCTGGAGCCTATTCGACCCATGATTTATGCTGAGCGCTACTTTACTGGATACGGACAGGAAAGAGGAGGACTGAAGATTACCATCCACAATCGAAACAAGCTTAGTGCCATGCCTGTGATTTACTATGATTCAATTCCATGGTACCTCAAGCTGTATTTACATACACTCCAGGTACACATCAACGATTCTCTGAATTCCACCAGTGATATCATTCAGCAAATGTACTATCAGCCTGCCATTGATCGAGCCAGACCGACTACTTTAGAGTGCCAGCTGTTGCTACCCGCAGACTCGATTGTAACTCTGTCTATGGATTTCGAAAAAGTGTTCTTAAAGTACACTGAGCATCGACCTGATGCCAATAGAGGATTTGATGTCGGGTAAACCATACTGCTTTTGAAATTCATGATGCTATAGCGTGAGAATCTGACGCTCCGTGATGTGTATAGGTCTGCAGTCATTACGGCTTGGATTCCGGAAGAAAATGGGTTGATGTAAGTGCTTTTGAAATGTGTGTGCTTGAATAATCTGGCTCAACAAACCTGCAACACCAGTCTGAGTGGAGAGCCTCAACGCATCTACACAGACACACTTTTAGTTAGTCTTCCTACACCTGATTTCAGCATGCCATATAATGTAATCACGCTTACTTGCACGGTGATTGCGCTGTTCTTTGGCTCCTTGTTCAATCTGTTGATACGCAATTTTAGCATTGTTCCCTCCACATCCCCAACCTCTCCAACAGGGTTAAAAAGCGAGTAAAGCTACCAACAGTGTAACATGGAGTCGGGTCTGTACGGGGTTTTATAATACACAGAGAGCGAAGGGGATAAAATGTGGGGTAGCTGGAGCATTTCTACTAATCAAGCCAATAAATGATCAACTCCATGTGATGTTGAAATTGTTGCATTTCTAATTACCAATGACTCATTCAAAATATGAAAGCTGAACAGCTTATATTCTTTTGCTTCTTTCTCGGTTTCTTACTCTTTTTCTTTCCTTTTCTTCTTTTTTTTTTTTTTTTCTTCTCAAAAGAAATGTCCCAATTATCACCACAACTGTTTGACAAGATAAAATACTTTGCCAAATTCCCTCAAACAGGCGTCTCTCTTCGTCAGATGGTCATGTTTGGTAACTGTTTGTCTCACTGAAAATGCAAAACATGTGTTACTCACACACAGATCAAACATCATAGGCCAAAAGCCCTCTCAAGGCACACTGTTCAAGGCAAGTCAATTTCTTCATGGTAAGTTACATATGTGGGTCCTTTACTCTGTGCGCTTACATGCCTTGACGCAGAGGAACTGCCTATTCGACTCGCTCATCGTGTCAAAGAGCTGGAAGAGCTGCCCCGCAATCTGAGCAAAATGCCATCCATCATCAAGGTCAAAAACTGGTACGCCAAATCATTCCAAGATCTTGTCGAATTACAGCCACCGCAAATATCCAATGCCATGCGGGAACAGCTCATTTCCAAGAGTGCAGAGAGCAGTTTACCACACAGTGTACCTAATCCATCACTTGCCCGTATCATCAAGCCCACTTACAATTCATTACATCCATCAGTTCCTATTGGTCACAGGTACACATTTGTTGAGTTTACATGTTGAAATCCTGAATTTCTTTTTACTCATTCAAGCACCTATTAGATACTACAATAACATTGATCAGATTGAATGCTCGCCGGAAATTGTGGAATACAACAACGCATTCGTAAAGACAATTGAGCAAGTAAAGAGACGACACGACCCTGTAGTGACAACCATCGCTCAGGGCATTCTGGAATACAAGGATCACTTGAATTCGCCGCTGATTGACACCGAGGTGCAGCAATTTTTGGATCGATTCTACATGTCTCGTATCGGTATTCGCATGCTCATTGGTCAACATGTGGCATTGTACAGAGGACCCAGCAGAAAGGACTATGTGGGTGTCATTTGCACAAAAACAAAGCTTCGTGATGTGGCTGTAGATGCTATCGCCAATGCCAAGTTCATTTGCGAAGAACATTACGGTCTATTTAGAGCCCCTGAGGTCCACATGTTTTGCCCTGGCGATATTGAAATGATGTATGTGCCTTCCCATTTGAATCATATGCTGTTTGAGCTACTCAAGAATTCGCTGCGTGCTGTGGTGGAGAGATATGGAATGGATTACGAAGACGAATACCCTGCTATCAAATTGGTGATTGCTCACGGAAAGGAGGATATTACCATCAAGATCTCGGATGAAGGTGGAGGAATTCCTCGCTCAGGCATTCCATTGGTATGGACGTATATGGTGAGTAATTGAATAGTTGTGGAGTGTGATTGCTAGGACTCATGGTTATATATCGAATAGTATACAACCGCACAAACACAAGAACTAGAGCCTGGACTATCAGATTTCAAGGCACCCATGGCCGGATTTGGCTATGGTCTGCCCATCTCAAGACTGGTAAGTTGTTTAGTATAAGGTGGTATTTGTGCTGTGTTTTACTCATCCATCCATGTTGTAGTATGCTCGCTATTTCGGAGGAGATCTCAAGCTGATTTCCATGGAGGGGTAAGCTTATAGCTTACAAGGAAACATGGAACATGACACACTAACGCTACTGTAATAGATACGGGACCGACGTTTATTTGCATTTGAACAGATTGTCAAACAGCGATGAACCACTCATGTAAATAAGAATATAGACGACTAAAAAGAATAAACCAGTGTAATAATATGACATCTTGCTTTGGTATGCAATGTAGATATGTGAATGATCAAGACTTTATTGGTGCTTCGGTCAATATACCACCACCACATGTGTCTTTTGAACCTCAAGAAGATCAAGTCATTGAAGCTGCTGTTTCTGCTTGAACACACGCACAAAAAAAAACCCCCCCAGGCATCCATCATTGTATACCCCTCACCTTTCATTTAGCATAAAGCAACTATTGTAATTTATATATATATATATATATATATATACAAGTATGCAAATTTTCGTCATTGTTTATCAAAACAACCTTGTTTTTGGTTTCCCACATTATTGTATGAACAAATAAGTAAAATAAACCTTAAATCTATGATGATTTCACGTGCATTGATTCTCGTTATCTACATACCTTAAAGCGGTTAAATCAGTTACGATCACCACCCCCTTCTTGGATCGCTGAGCTCCCGTGCTATGGCTTCACTTTTATGCGCTTAGTCTCTTTGATGCCAATTTATCAGTACATCTTGTCGTTTTACATGACCGTAAGAGCCATTTCCCTTGATTCGTAATCTTTAGCTTGATGGAGAACTTTTTCCTTGCCAAAAGCACTTTCAAACTTCTGGACGGCCCAAATGTTGCTTCAATTTCCAAGTACAGCTCGGAAATCAATCCTGAAGCAATGCACAACATTTGTCCATTCAACATAGTTTGGCATTCTTTTGCGCCTTAAGTCTAGGTCACCTGTTTACATATGGCACTGAGGCTATTTACATGAAATCATTCAAATAATCTCACATCAAACGGGTACCGATGATGTGAGGCAGTTTCTTTCCAATGATTCATTCTTCAACAGCAGTAGCGTCTGCAAGCAGAAGGTGTGCTTGATAGTATACCGTAATTGCCATCGTATATTATAAGCACGAGAATAAAATCCATGAACAAGGCAACTTTCTTTCAATAACAGCTCGAGTGATCGTCGCAATGGACAAATATGTTCTATTCTATTCTAAAACGAGGAATACTTTAGTAATGACATGCAGCGTGGCAAGATAGAAATTAAAGTGAAAGCAATGTAGATCAGGCCTAAGGCTTGAGAGAAAAGACGTATTCAGGCACGACCTTATTCATGCCAATTGACATGAAAACACAAATACAGCTTGAAATCGAGGTCCACCTTTCTGTTAACAAGCAAGTGAAGAGTCTCAAGGAAGCTTATATCAACAAACGTTATCAGTATTTAGTGCACTACTTGATTCACAAATATCCACAACTTGAAGATTTTGCCTGTTATGGGATTAACTATTATGATCAAGACAGTGCTCTTCTCTTGAATACAGCAAAAAGGCCTTCAGCGTTCTACACCTGCTTCTACCACCAAGAATATCTGCATATTCGACCCTCTATTGCTGATAGCTGCTTTCAAGGCCCTTTACCAAAGACTGTGGCTGCTCGCATTGCATATGGGTTGTTCACTGCAAAGAAAACAAGCACAATGTGGCCATGACAGTAGCCGCGACTTGGAAGGGCAATGTAAAACTTTATCTAAGAATGGCGCTTGATAGATAGCTATCCAGCGATGTTCTCTTTTGTCTTTTCAAACACTTCAAAAAGACAAGCGGCGCATGTTACGTGATTGATCATCTCATTATGGATGCTATACGCTTTAAATAATGTGACATGGAACAGAAACGCGCTGCCTGTCTTGCTGGACTAAGACTATACACAGGAAAGCTAGAGTTACATGCCAAAAACTACTAAAGAGGCTGATTCTAAGCTTGAGCTAGCTATCTATCGGCAAAAATTGCTATATACAGGAGTTGCCTGAAATTTGCAGATCGAGGACATATTCAGGTACAACCGGCACCCATTATCATTTAATACGAGCCTTTTAACACTTCGGGTGGTTTCTTGACCTACGCTTCGATTCGGTGAGAACCAACCCGCGCAGCGGCAGCTCACGCTCCCGATTGCCCTTGCGTAACTTATCAAAATACTGCTACTTTCCTTTTGACCCTCCCCTTACACATCAAACCCCTTCATATTATCTGTGAATCTGATTCTTATGTGATGCTTAACATCCATATACGCGTAGATACTTCATATACGTGCAAGTACCATACAGATAGTATCCTTTTTAGTCAAGAGTGTGCTTAATACAGCAAAATATGAGTGCATTTGAGGTGCGTTTTCTCGCGTTCAGGGCCGTTTTAGATGGTCAGAATAGCACCAAACAATTGCTATCATCTGGAAGTTGCTTATGGCCACTATTGCTCAACTCTTTGGGGACCAAAAAAACATGGTCAAAATTCGGTCAAAAAGCATGAGGGGTACCTCATGGTTTTCTTTGAAAATCAAACGATCGCGTTTTTCACCTTGATAACGAAGACTTTTATTATGGTATATTATAAATCAAAATGTTTCTATCGATCCAACGTAACGCCTGAAATCATCTTTGTAGGACCTTGCTATGTAAAATCTCGACTTTTTGGCCAGAAACCTCTTTTCATATTTTTATAAATTGCCCAATAAGCTTATTCAAAACATCTATCTTATTTGGTACCATCGGATGCGTCTTGAAAAGCACTCCAAGGAAGCTTAAAGAAGCAGAGGATGATTATCATATATTTATAGTCGAATCTGCCAAAATAGTTCAATCAAGTCGAAGAAATGCCAAAAACAGACCAATCTGAAGTGGACCGAGATTCTGGGTTTGAATTATTTTTGCCTGGTGGGGCTGGCAGGCAAACTCGATGCCCTTTTCATCACGAAGGCAATGCAATAATAGATGCTTTTGAAGTGTATGGAAAGTAGGTGGCGGATTACATAGCATTATCGTCAGCCATGATATTCTGTTGCATTCTGTATTTAATAACGCCAGTCTATCAAAATACTTGTTAGGCCAACTTATTTTCTTTTTGAGACTCTGAAAGTGTTTAGGGACTGAGCATTTATTATAACATGATATGAGCCAGGCCAGACAGGTGCCTAGAAACTCAGTTTCCATATTAGTAGGGTTGTAAAAGTGTCTAGGAACTGAACATTTATTATAGGATATCTGAGACATAATGAATTGGCTGCCTGCATGAATCATGTCTCTAGTGCCTTTCGACGACCATTGCGATGAACTCGTGAGATAGTAATATTCATCACCATCGCAAATGAAATTCACTCGTCATGCAAGGCATTGTTATACGAGAAAAAAAAATAGAGTAATACAAGGACAAGCATGGATATAAAGAGGCATATTGTGATTCTTTCTGCTGCCCTGGCATCAGGCACCAACAAAAACGCATCAAATCATGAAAATTTCATGTAAATGCATTGTCTGAGGGAATAAAAGAGACGCACAGCTAAAATGACATGCAGACAAGTCAATAAACAAAAAAAAAATCCTCAGTCTACATGAATTCCTCTTAGTGAGCACAAGCACAAGCACCACTGAACAAAATGTGTATGCATTTGGCTATTTTATTATCATAAACTCGATTTCGATTTCGATTCCGATGTCGATGCATCCATCACCGAGAAAATGGAAATGATCTACCCAACATGAACCCCCCTTGAAACTCCAGATCTGAATAGATTGACATGATGAAAAGCAAACAACAAAGAATAACAATAGCGGGCATACATCATAGCACGTGTAACTCCCTTTTCACTGTTCATGCTATTTTCAAGTAGATTGGTAGTCATTGAATAAACCACTAAATTGGCCTATTCTTAAAAGCTGGATTTCATCCCTTTGGAGAAACTGCTGTCATTTTACTGCTAATATGGTCTACTAGTACGGAAAGTCAAGGCAATATTAGGTAATGTGGCACGAGGCGGGAGGGGGGAGAGTGATGTGGTGTTCAAGTGGATAAACGAATGGTACTGTAGATCCAATTGACTGTGGGAGAGTGCATAACCAGCAAACGAGATACGGCTAGTATCAATTTTAGTACATCCGTCTTTGAGAACATCTTGAGGAGTCAAGAAAAGATTATTACATAATAATGAAGTGATAGCCCAACTAGACATGGAAATCACAACTTTGCCTGTAGAATCAAGATTTGCATGGAAGAATCCAGCTGGTAGTGGGGTATGATGCTACTTAGGTGTTTGGGAGCTCAAGTTTCAAACAAAGAAAATATCAACATGTGGGTGACACCTTGTATCAAGTTGTAAATGATCGACCCAATTTGCACTGCTCCTCAACATCGGCAAACAGCTTGTAGAGATCTGTAGGTACAGTCTAATGGCTCGATTTCTACATGTTGTTATATATTGTTATGTATACTTGGACATGTAAATGATGGCATAATTCTGGCAACCTTATTCGAGTATTATGCAAACGTGATCAATTGACATGTTGATAGATTCAAACGGCGTAGATAGAGTCATCATCCCCCCTTCTTTGTCCCCCCCCCCTCTCTCTCTCTCTTGTCCATCTCTTTTTGCCTTTACAGTCTCTATTAGGCCCAGCAGCTATAGCTAGCCTCTCTCTCTCTCTTTCAAAAAATGACTTTTATGAAAATGTGTGTTGTACAATAGAGTCAGGGATCGATCGAAGTAGAGGTTTATCATATAATGAATTGTCTGAGCCCTCTCCTTTTTTGCCTTTTTGGTACATAATTATTTCTTGTAAAAGAAGATTGGATGTAGGTACTCTCAAGGCGGTGCTTATTTGATATGCTTCATCTAGCCTCTCTGTTGATTTCCGTCTGTATCCTTTGAACCCATCACATTTACATACTAGGGCATTATACACACACACACACACACACACAAACACACCCCCTATCATCATTCAAATGAATAGTCTTTTTTCCATTATTCTATTTCTCTTCTAAAACGAGCCATGCTGCTACACAAGGTCAAAGTTGTGCAACCTTGAGGTTAATTTACTGCACCAAAAAGAAGGCTATTGTAATTTACATGACAGTTTTACTCGCCTTCTTCTGTTTTTGGGAGTTGGGGGGGGGAAGGATGGAGAAGAAAGAGGGGGGGGGATTTGAACCGATAGAGATGAGATACTGCGATGATCAATTGACCATTTGATTTACGACCAAAACGCCTCCTCAATCTACATGCAATTTCTGCAACTCGTAGCTTCAGTGTCAAGTGACAACATGAGTGTTTGGTGGGGGGGAGGGCTAATTGTGGGAGCAAGAACAAAGCGAAGTGAGGAGAAGAGATATACAGACCCACCATGGTGATTTGGAAACAACAAGTGCAAATCGAGCAATTCTATATGTCATCACGATTTAGAAATCCATTGTTTAAAAGTCAAAAGGAAAAAAATAAGGTTACTTAATCAAGCAGATAATTGTAACTAAATGGTAAATTAACTTTCCAAATTAGATGCTGGTTTACATGATGGAAATACTTTGCGTTGTGATGTTTTCTTCTACGATCGATTCAACAGATGTAAAAGACAGAACTAGAATGCAGCAGAAGCGAATAAAGGTTGTTACAGCCAATGTGATGGCGATGCTGCTGCTGCTGCTGATGTTGTTGTTGCTATTTTGAGTCAGTCAGTTAAAGCAGACGAGGTGCTGGATTCCGTGCACAAAAATTATAAATTAGGAACCTTTCAATTTTCCATGCTTCTTTCTCCACTACGCTTCACTTTCTTATAAATAAGGCCAAAAAGTATTCGTTTTTTTTTTTTTTTTTTTTTTCTCTCTTTATACAGATATCTTATTTCTTTCCTCTATTCTCAATTCATGTCAGTGGAACGAAGCAATACTAGAAAGAAATCAACGCCCACAACGACTACTACCACCACTACTAGCACATCAGCACCAGCAGCGACCACATCTCCTCAACTAAATGACAGCAGCAGACAATTAAACATGTCAGCATCATCTACCTTAGTATCTTCATCTTCCAATTATCCTCTTGGTATCTCATTCTCATCTAATGTCGCTCAAATGAACGAAAGGTACTTGTAAGCATTGTCTACTCAAGATGTTGATATTAAAAGCATGACACAGCGATGACATTGCGTACATCGAAAAGCGAACTGCTCACAATGCATTAGAGAGACAGAGAAGAGAGGGTCTGAACACTAAATTTCAGGAACTGGCGCATGTACTGCCTGCCTTGCAACAGATTCGTCGCCCTAGTAAAAGCATGATTGTGGCCAAATCACTCGAGTTTGGTAAAACCGCATCACATCATCATGCTGCAGTTCATCTGACATGCAATTCTATCTAGTGTCCAGTGCAGGCGAACGAGAAAACGACTTTCAGGGCCAAATTTATGCATTGCGAAAAGAAAACGAGCAGCTCATGAGACAGGCAAGCCTTTCCAAGAAACGCATGAAGAAGCGGTTAGATCAAGAGAGTAGCAGCAGCGAGAGTGGCAGTAAGAAATCAGCTTCTGTCATGATTAAATTGTCGTCAAAGAAGCGCCTTAGTAAATTGAAGCCTCAATCAAGACAATCAGCCGCCTCAAACGAGCAACCATCCAACGTGCCATCAAAGAAGAGAACCAGATCAGAAGGCGTCGATCAGCCAGAATTGAGTACCAGTAGCAACAAGGTCAAATCGCCATCACCTCCTTGTTCTTCCTCTTCTGTCGTAGCAACCGAGGTTCTTCCCAGACAGCCACCCTCTCCCCCAAAAATCTCCAGCAATAAAAGAAGAAAGAGAAACGCTACTGTAGAAACTTACCAACACCAGCATCAACAAGCCATGCCTACTGCTGTCACCACTACTGCTGGCCCTCACTATAGCAGCTATCATCATCAAACGATAGATCAAAGTCTAATTGCAAGCGTTGATCTGCCTTCTTATCAACAACCACAACAGCGCATTATGTCATCTCAAAGACCTCGATTCAATAGTCATCAGCCCGCTACTGCCGACATGTTGCAGCAGCAGCAGCAGCAGCAGCAGCAGCAGCAGCACAGCTCTCCTGTTGTTTCTAGACACAATAGCCTTACATTGACTGATCAAATAAGCACTGCACAATTTGACTTTGGCACCACTGTAGCAGCTACACCAAGCCAACTTAGTATTATTCATTCACCCTTTGGCAATGAGCACATCTTTTTCAATACATTTGATAATCTTGACAACATTGTGAGCACGATTCCTGCCTTGACCACACCCAGCATTGGAAACAACAGCACGCATCAACACACGCCACCATCTACTTCTTCTGCTTCTTCAGCAACATCAACCAACTATGACAACTCTCTTGATTTTATCCATTCAATTATGCAAGGTCAAGATCCCTCCACCAACAGTATGTATATCTTTGTTTGATCCTGGGCTTGACAAGAAAACTAAGCACCTTTTTTTTTTCTAGATCAATTCTATCAATGGCATTGATTTGTCCCTCTCACTTATATGTCCCGATACCCCCCCCCCTCTTCTCTTTTCTTTTTATATCTTTTTAGGCCTGAAATGTTATTTTTTCAATCCCATTATACAAAGACCCTCCATACCATTTGATTTTCTCTTTATGCTTTCCCTTTTTATAGAGTTCTTTTTATCGTAAGAAAGAGGCTTGACCTTTTTTTCTATTGTACATTTCATGTTTAAATAAATAAAAAATTACAGTTTTACCGAAATGTGTGGCTATGAAAAGCAATTTCGATTTTCAGAATGCAATGTGGATTCCATGTGAATAAAAATGGCAATTCGTCTCCCCCTCCCCCCACAAGATGCACACAAAAACGGTTTTCATTTTGCTCGTGCTTTCTCCATTTAAAGTAACAATTTCAAACAGCTTGGAATTTCGACTAGTAGAGTAGCACAATGTTGAGTAATTTCATTCGTTTTCTTTGGTTCATGGCCAATTGTAGTCATTTATTGTTGGAACTATGTCATGTCATGTCGTGTCATGTAGGTATTATATAAGTGCTTATATTTACAGGCAGATGCTAGTTCATCTTGCTAGGGGATGGGAAGACACGTGCGTGCCAAGTTGTAGCTGACAGACCACCAATAGATTCGTCTTAGCCGTAGTAATCGCCCCTGCTTGCCATTCAATGTAGCATCTTGACTATCATCACCATGAATAGTATGGTCAAACAGCACTTGAATCACCACACTGTCAATCTCGCTGCCAGTCAATGAGTTGATGTAGCAAGTCAACTGATCGTCTAATCGCACATCTAGATCAGCAAACCCCAATTTACGCACTCTCTCAATACCGCTGGATGTTTGATCGTCGAGTTGAAGCCAGGTCCTTTTTGTGAGTGCACTGCTGGTATGATGATTAGGCAGAGGCCATTCCAGCTCGTAATGAGGCTTGAAAGGCAGCATGCATCGTCTGATTGAAGATGCGATCTCTTTTGTATCGTGATGGTTGGGACGATCGTAAATTGGTTTTTGATGAATCTTGTGGGATAAAGCAGTTTTATCAAAGGTAACATCTTGCACAGATAACGGCGTCATGCCTCTGGCATCATCATTCACATTAACATAGGAACTCGATGACTGGATTAATGTTGGACAATCCACTTGTTGTGCAAGAGTAGTGCTACATGTTGTGATTTGTGATTGTATGTATTCCTAGAAAACGATGAATTCCAGCTTTACAGTTGCCAACGTAGTCTAAATAGGTACCTTTTGTTCCTGATCCACCTTTGTGGCGACAGAACACGACAATAATGGCCTTGGCTGTGCTTCTTCCGCCTTCAACTCTTTTGGGTAAACTCTTGTGCCCCCAGTGCGTGTTTGAGAACGATAAGTGGAATTCGCAACTTCATGATTCAATGGATGATGATTCTCTTTTGTGCTACATTTGACATCTGAGTGGATGTCTATGCTATTACAGGGAAATCTGCTCGGAGGGAACAGTATAAACTTCAGCTTCTTGAGCTGTGTGTTGTGGTTGATCATTTTAAAGGTAATTTGATGTGTTTTCCAAGGGAGGTGAAAAGCATTGGAAATACTTTTGTCATCCAACTATTATATATATATAAATACATAAGTTTCATGTCGCGTTCTTGTTATGTGCATTATAGTTGGTGCATAGGCACAGCTACTGGATGTGGTTGCTGTTGTTGTTGTTGTTGTTGTTGTTGATAATGCACCCACTCTGTACATGTGATCAAGTATCAGACATTCTCACTCATGAGATGTAATGGCATTAAACATCCGACGATCGAGCATACGAAATGGAAATGGTAAAAAAAGCACCAACCCCGAAAATCATACATCGATTTCAAGGCATATTTGTCTATATCAGTCCAAGCAATGTCTGTGATACAAACAGCAAGCTCTATCTAGATACCAGCAAAGAGCAGCATGTGTGTTGTTCCATTGCTCGATTCAGTCATCATGCTGAGGCGGAGACTTAATTGTCATTGACACATCTTTGTTTTTTTTTTTTTTTTTCTATCTCCCTTGCACCGATTCGATAGTTCTGCCCTCATCTCACCAGCCTGTCAAATGTTCTGTAAGATGCGATATCATCATGCTACGTCAATGATCGGCCAACAAGCAAGATTGATGTTTCAAAAAAGAGGTTTGATCAAAGACATACATGCTGAACGATGAGTGGGAATATTTATCCGCATTGGATTAGCTTACAGCAACACATCGTGCTCAAAGCCGTCGTTCTCGGTGTACATCCACTGGCCATACTGCGAGAGTAAATGCACCTACTGCAATTTCAACAAATACGTCAATCCAAAAAATCCACCACATGATAGACTTGTAAAAGCCATGATCACAGAATTAGAGTACTTTCTGAATGATCCAAGATATGGTCTGAAGGATCGGAAAGTGCATTCAGTGTATTTCGGTGGTGGCACTCCGAGTAAGTCGACGATTGATCCTCATGCTCCATTTCATACTAATTAATGTCACCCTGAGCAGGTTTGGCAAAGGTAAAGTACGCTTGCAAATCGATCTGAAGAGAAGTTGGACTCATTTGCCATTAGCCATCAGCCATCCATGCCATTTTAGAGACCATTCGTAACCAGGTTGGATTATCTGAAGGTACAGAAATCAGCATGGAGGCAAATCCCACGGTAAGACGTCTTTGGTATTCTCTAGATTAAAAGATCATAACCGTGCGCAAAAGTCGATGGAGCAATCAAAGCTGGAGCAATTTAGACAAGCAGGAGTCAACCGACTATCATTGGGCATCCAATCACTCAATACGCAAGATCTCAAAATGCTGGGCAGAGACCATACAAGAGGGGAGGCTCTAGAAGCACTGTCTATGGCCAAAGACATATTCCATAAAGAGAGTGTTACGTTTGATTTGATCTATGCCAGGCCAGGACAAACTACCAAAGGTACGTCAAGTGAACGTCAACATGAGCATCTAGACTCATTGCGCACATTGTTGTTAGATTGGGAAAGAGAACTTCAGGTACTGCACTACACATGACTCACAAACAGAGACGACTTATACATTACATCATAGCAAGCGCTTGATATAGCAGGCGATCATCTATCCATGTATCAGCTTACCGTAGAAAGAAGTACACCGTAAGTTGCATCTCGTGTACAATGTTATCTTTGCTCACTGTTGTAGTCTTCACAAGCAATCATTAAAAGGGCTATTACCATCCATTCCTGATCCCGATACGGCAGCTGACATGTATGAGGCTACAGTGAGAATCGCTGCAGACTATGGCTACCATCACTATGAAGTATCCAGCTACGCCAAAGATCAGCAAGCTATCAGCCGACATAACTTTTCTTATTGGCAAGGTATGGACTTTTTAGGCATTGGGCCTGGCGCACACGGTAGATTGACAGACATTCGCAAGAATCAGCGAGCTCGCACATTTGGCGTAATGTTTTGATTTCACTCGCAGAAACAAACATGTATTCAGCTCTATTTTTAGGAATTTCACCCTGATAAATACATGGCACTCTGTGAAACGGAAGGCGAAGGGTAATTGGAACCATTTGAAACAGTAGATTGAGCTTTTAATTAACGTGCATTTGCCGTGTAGAATTCGGAAGATACAGCCTATTTCGGTGCATGATATGGCAGAGGTGCGCTCTGTGCAATGAGTCTGAGTAGCACTAGGACTGACTGATTGAATAGGAACTGATTGTGTTTGGTATGCGCACTCGGATGGGCATTCCTAGATCAAGATTTTCTAAAATGACAAGCGGTGGGATGCTGGATCAAGCCATAGACACGGAAGCACTCAAATTATTTACGGAAGCAAATCTGCTCATTCAAGAAGATGCCATGACGGATGATTTGCGCTATTTCATACCAAAGGAATTGCTGCATGAATGGGAACAGGGAGGAGGCATCCGGCCTACAGAAGCAGGCTTGGAAAGAATAGACTACATTCTGCCTAGACTGCTCAAAGTCAAATCTATTAAAGACTGATATTTATTATTCAAAGTTTTCTGAAAATCAAGGCCTCCATGAATTGTGGGATGGGTATATTCCAACGTCTGAGTTGTGTCAGTAATCTAACCAGAGTGTGGTGGGCATGTTGCTTGACCTTTCCCAAGGAGGTCAATTCCTGTAAAATGCATTAGTGTTGCCGTCGTTTACGAAATCAGATCAAACACATACCTTGGGTGTCATTTTGTCAACATACATGGCTCTGAATGTTTTAATAGCATCCACACTTTCAGAGAATCTATTGAAAGTATTGAAGAGAGCTACAATCTCACCTCTTTCAAAGAGATCAGGGTTCTTGATAGGGCTGTCATATCAAGCAATTAGTCTCCGTTCAAACTATGCCATCACAAACTTACTCTAGTGATTTGTCCTCGTAGGAAAACAACACCTTCAATGCAGTTCCCAAGCCAACAGTCTGGAGTTTACCCCAAAGTCTGCACTTTTCACAACCAACGCAGTCCATAATCTTGGAGACATTGCGGAAATGATCCTTGAATTCCGTCTTGAGTGCTTGAGCTTCAGGACCCTTGAACATCAGGTTTTCATCGAATGTAGACGGGCATGAATCAGTGCTCTTGATGAAATCCTGGACCATCAATCTTGTGTTTTCATCCTCTTGAATGCTGCCAGTACGGTATTCGTATTTATCGAGATAAGGGCCCATCTTGTTGACAGCTCTCAGTAAAAGAGCATAAGTAAAGTAGACATTTTGAAGGCGTTCAGGATGAGATCCAATGCGATTCACAAAGCAATCCAAGTTGGGGCCCCAAATGCCAGACTCCCTATCAAACCATTCTTGGCAAATGTGAATTGAGATGGATGAGTGCAAACCAGAAATCAGGCGATAGTACACTCTCTTTTCCAAGCAAACTTCATCATTACTGTCGTTGCCTCCATCAGCTTCTTCTGCCAAATCTTCCAAGAATTGGTGCAATTCGGCTTTATCCAGAGGAACATGGGCAAATGGTGAATCGGGCTTCTTCAATCGCGATTGCTTTGTAGCTGCTGTCTTCAGTGGATTGGATACTTGACCGGAGCTTCCCAAATTCATGATATTGTTGCAAGTCTCGCATCCTTCGGTCATTTGGTGAACGATATCAAAGCAATTCTCTTCGTAAATGGCCTTCCATACTCTTCCGGATAATGGACCCGCATATCCAGTAAATCGTTCAGGATTCTCGGTCAAATCGATATATACAACACTATCCGAATCTATTTGATCATCTACAAGACAGAAGTCTTGATCTTTATATGTACATTGTTTGAATGGTTGGAATAGCTATAATTAACCTTGTGTTAATGGCGTTTTGGTTACACGTAATAAACTACTTACAGATCCCTTGGGCGACAATTGGATCGCACTTAATGCATCTTTTCTCCAATCAACAGGTAAAACGTTCTAACACAAAACGAACATCAGCTTATATTTTTTCTTGCATCATACCATGACAATTACCTCATCAATGGTGGCAACAGAGCAATCACGATTAGTGCAAAGTGCTTCTTCGTTCCAGAATGGGCATTCTTTCCAAAGATCAGCCTAATCATGCGACAAACTGAATATGCTAATGCCTGTTGCAAAGAGATATCAAGGCTTACCCTGTAATAACGGAAGAATTTGCTGTGAACTAGGTTTTGAATCTTTTGAAATACATCACTTTGTATCGTCTCAATGCTTTGGTAATCACAACACGTATCTCGAATTTGGCCCTGAGGCTGATACACGTATTCCGGTTAAGTATACAGCAACACAATAATCGCACGCACTCTTCACTTACATTGCAATAATCATTGGCATTGCTGGATGACAATATATCTTCAACAAAACTGACAGGTGCGGGTTCTTGCAATGGATGTTGAGGACCCTTTGCACCGCTATGTTGCAGAGTGGGCACCACGGCAAAACATGCTAAACTGAGTGTATACGCTAGTAATCTTGTTGATCGCATCTTTCTTGTAATCAATAAGGAGAGGAGAAAGAAGCAAGATTTAATTAATGCGCTGGTACTCACAATTAATAATGATGCTGCGTTTTCCAATATGTTGCTGAGTTGAATCATCTTGATAAAGCAGCCAACAATTTGTAATTAAAACTTGTTTGACTACGTGGAAGTCCATTGAAGCAATACGTTCCACACTCCTCATTGTGACGCTCTCTCTATACTTGTTCATTTGGATTCTGGCTTGGCGATAAAACCTCAAATGGAGTTAGCATTGTTCTCACTAGACAGTTTCACTGTAAATTGAAACCATGAGTTTATCAAATTCGATATGCTTGAAGGCACAATCTTGATATGTCTCATCGATTTTATCCTCAAAAGCATTAAATGCTTGAGCCTGACAAAACGCTTGCGCATTACAATCTTGAGATATGCAGCCATAATCAATGGAGTCGCAAACCAACTCTCTGTCACAGCCTCCAATTTCACTGTCTCTCCCTTTTTATTCACGTTGGTCAATATTATCCTTTGCACAACAATTCAGTGTATCAACTAGTTTTATCGACAATTTCATCAACTTGCACATGCGTATTCAAAAGACTACTAGGGTGATAGGCTGTCAATAATAGAGCCATTATTATTTTGCTACTGTCTCACATATTAGCAATCTAATACAATGGCCCTTCCTACTCAGGAGATTAGTAGTAGGGTTAAGTGTACAACAAGATCTTGTTAAAATCAAATACACCAATGCAAACAAGAAAAATGTTTCTTGCTGGATAGTTATTAATTGATCATTAATACATGGTAAAATCATCTTTGATCAGATTTCTGCCTTTTGACATCTCGCTTCTGTTTAAACATGTTATTAGTGAAAGATGTATGCGTACTAGATATGCTACCCATTCGAGAGAACAATCTCAACAAAACGGCTACAGATCAAAGTATTAGCGTTCCATACAAGCCATACAGTACCTCCACGACAGTCCAATATGACTTGTCAGTAAGTGAAGTTGTAACCAACAGATGGCGAAGATATACCTTGGAATCTTTGCATGCGTCTTTTCTCTGTTGACCTTTGATTTCTCTTTTGATTTCTCTTTAAATTTCGAATTGAAATTCTCTTTGAACGTAGCATGTTTCTATACCAGTTTTTTGCCCTTTAAACGATGGAGCAATTGGATTTTAGATAGGGTGCGTTGGTGTTGAGAAAACAGTGATTTTTGAAATTTGCCAATTTTGAACAGGTGCTACTAATAAAAGTCAATGAATTACTATATGAATGCAGTTTGTATGTCTAGTAAAAGTTGTAGAGGATACTTTTGGTTGATTGGGGAATGTTGTATTTGGGCTTGCTGAGAACGTTGTCGATGAGTAATGAGGAAAAAGAGTGAAAATGGACAAATTTCAAAGGGCCGTACTGGTTGATTTTACTAAGTGAACGAGAGCTTCAAACTTAATAGCTTCTGTTTCTTTTTCAATTCTCTATACGATGGTATGGTTATTATGGATAAGTAAAAAAAAAGTTGAATATCTCCTGCTTGTAGCTCATAAAATATAAGATTTTGAGCAAATTTATGAAAGGAACGTACATCTGGTACTTAAAACCATTATATTATAATGGATATAACGTAGAGCTATCGAATGGTCTTTGTTTTGTGCGAATTCTGTGAGTATTTGTCGAGATATGGTCAAAAAAGAGTATCATGCAAAATCATGGTGGATTTTTCTTCAAAATCTACGTGTGATAGCAAGCAAAAAATCTGGTGACGATTTTTTGGTCAGGACAATATTTTCAATATTTCACGATAGAAGCATGCTAGAGCTTCAAGCAATAGCTCATTCGATAGGAAATGTTTTGATCTACAATGTCTAGTAATGCTTAACAAAATGTTTTGATGACAGATACTGATTAATCTTTAGAAAACAATGAAAAAATTACAATATTTAGCTTATCAAATATCAACTGAATAATGTACAGCAAACACTTAATATAAAGACCGTTGTATTTTCCATTAAATTCTCTACAAGTTTCATATAAGTTGAAAGGAGTGTTTACTATCAAGAAACGCGTAATGTTAAGGTCGATAGATTTTGGAATCCCATGGATCATCATTCAAAATATTAGAAATTGAAGCTCCGTTGACCTTCTGCACGTGTACACCACACAAGTATGAATTTGACCGAGTACTTTAAAAATTGGAGCGTACGAAAAGGGCCATATTAACTTGCTGGTTTCAAGTTATCAATAGATACTTGACATGATGGAGAATCTTGTTTTTAAGGTTAGATAGTTGTAGCTTGCTTTGTTCGATAATAATAAGATTTGCAATTTAAAGCATGCATATTCCCCCGTTTAAAAATAGCATCTCCAATGCTAATTATCTCATGAAGTATGCATTTCCAGTGTAATGTTCCCACTAAGAAGTTGCTCCAATATTATTATTCTACAACATATTTAAGTTTGACGAGATTCTAATTTTTTCACCTATGGAGACCTAAATGTACAAAATGTTTTTTGATTTCGAGGCTTTCAGCTTTTGCATTACGACACAATCGCGCGGCGTGATCGAGGTTAAGTTTAGTAAATGGAAAAAAATAAGCAAGTGTTTTAATTGAAAAATATTAAGCTCTCTGTAATTATTACCTTGGTATTGGGTAATCAAGATATACTTATTGATAAATGGAAAGGAAGGCAGTAATAAGAACCATCCCAATAGTTATGAGAGATCAAATCAAAGGTTCTTTAAGTTTGTTCGTACCAGATTGGCACTAGTAACTAAACTTCAGATTAAATAATAAGAAAATGGTTAATGCTTATTAAGATGCAGTTCCCAAATAATACTATTTATACATACTATTGTTCTGTTGTTATTCTCCTATCAGACTCAATTTAGATCCGAATATCAGTGCCCTGACCAAAATGAATGGATAAAAGTTCTATTAATTAAATTGACAAGTCAACTCAGATCAACTAATATCTAATCATACTAAAAGACAACCCCAGCAAGCTAATCATGACTTAGCTTTGTCTGGATGAATAATTAGACTCTCATCCGAAGTACCCTGATCTATCCTTTCTATAAGGATAATTAATATCGATCTAGTAGCATGTATCCGATAGGTACAGTCTCCTTAGTCTATATCAATAGTACATATCTGAGCGTATATCGCTGAGCATACGTCTTTAACATGTATCTGGATATATGGCATGTCTATAGCATATCGTATGCATGTCTATAGCATGTCTCATATATAGTACAAGTCTGTAGTACATAAAGTATCTGTAGCTAGTATCACGGATATGAGCATGTGTCTTATAGCGTGGATCATGAAGTGCACATCTGAAGCAACAAGCTCATATTGCACTAATCTTGGTGCCTATCCAGATATGGCAAACATCCGTAATCAATGTCGGAATACAAGTATAAGTCTATAGTGCCATCCATGTCCGTGGCGCTATCTATAGCCTATATCTTATATAGTATGAATCTCATAATATTATCGTATCTGAAGCTCATATCTTCTTATAGTATAAATCGGTATCGTACATCTAATTCAGTGTACATATAGTTTACATCTAAATCTGGAAACTGGATAAGCTGTCGGAATGCAAATCGTAGTGGATGTATTCTACAGGCGTTTTTGAGCCAATTCCAATGCATTAGAACATCACACTAATAACGGAACCCTTTAAGTAAAACATAGCAGATAACGTATAGATTTGCACCTTGAATCCACCACCTTTGCGTACTTCAAGATATAGTACATTGTCCTTTTTATGAAAAAAAAATGAAACTGGGCCAAGTAATCAACAAAAAATTACACATTCATGACAATATTGATAAATATTGTTAAGCACAAAGAATAAAAGGATTATTATTTATAGCTTATAAAAAATGTTCGACATTATAAAAACAAGAGAAGACTTATTTGAATAAGATCAGACACAAAAACTAAAGATTTATTAATGAAGACAAGAGTTATTCTATTTATACTAAGTTCTGAATGCCAAAGTGTTTAGAATAACGAAATATAGACAGAGTAAATACAATTAGAACTGAATATATTTATTTTGTTATTCCAAGATTGAATAGGGATCAAAACTAGTGTAGATATCAAAGGTATTTATAGTTATTTGACAGTGCCGCAGCAATAGGACCTTGATCTTGAATGCGGGATAATTGTATAAGCCTTGAACCAGTAACGAGGATGTGCTGCATCAGAACTCATGAACCACCAGTCAAGGATAAACAACAAAGATGATCCAGGATAGAATGTTCTTCCTAATAGCTTTGACGGAAGAACATTTGTCGGAATTGAAACCCACTTCCAGGGACGAAAGACCATAGGCTACCACTCTCTAGGGACCAGGATATAGATTAGCCATTTGATGGCACCACTCATGTTCCTTCGTGCTGCTTGAATAAAGACCTCTCACTTCTACTATGCATCTCAGCTCATTTTCAGATCCTCTTATGTAATAAACGACGCTTAATACATTTGCCTATCAAAGATGATCTATATCCTAAACAGCCCTTCTGGCACAACAAATGTCAATTTCATGTACCCGCGTTCTTGAGTCGATCCCATTGTTTAAAATAGTAACACCCCAATTCCATTGTTGTAATTCCACTTGAATCTTGCATCGATTCGGCATCAATTGGTTTGCATCTATCCTGAGTCAAAGTCCAGAGTCAAATCCACATTTCAAAATAGTAATGCTTGGCTATTAGCGCGCAATCTCATTTATTAGATCCCTGACTAATTCATCGATTCAACATTATCGGCTCCAAATATTGATTAGATTTTCGGCTAAACTTGACAAGAAGCACCACGATCAAACGAATATGTAACAACAACAAAATAGAAGCGACACCAATTGAGTAAGCACCAACATTGATTAGCAATACACCAAATAGAGACCACATCGACTAGAATAACAGTATCAACGCACCATCAAGAGATAACATACAGTTTTACAACAATTATATGAGTGTGTCAATGCACCAGAACACCACACCAACGAGGAGTAACCCTTCAAGTAAGACATAGTAGATAAGTTAGAGAATTATACCTTGAATCCACCACATTGCGCCTTTCCCATATACGGTATATTGCCTTTTTAAGAAATCGAGATAGAGCCAAGTAAGCAAGAGAAAAATACACACGTATCAAAATGTCGTCTTGATAGATAGATCCAATGGTAGGAGTTAACAAATAACTTAGAGTGTAACTATTAGATTGAGATTATGTTCGAAGATGCTGTTTATTGATAGCATTTACAACTTATATTTATACTATTTCTACGATCGATAATTACTTAATCAATGGAACTTTCGAGTAGATATAGTACTTGATATAGCAACTGATAATCAGATCAATGCTTGCTGTCAGTTTCCAGAACCTTCGAGTATACGCTGGCGCCTTTTAGTCGCTTTCTTCAAATTTGGTTTAAACCTAAATTTAGGCACGACAAAAATGTCAGGGTTGAAGGGTATTCTGACAGTGATTTAGATCTGCAGGATATCATTGACAGACTAAACACAAACAAGAATAAGAAGCGCAGGTTTAAACCTAGAGCGCCAGCTACCAGGAACATTAAACAGCGATTAACCTGGATAGCGCACAACATTACACAAACTATATTGGATAAAATCAATGTTCAAATCTAATATTAATAAAGGACCTTTTTATCCATTCAACTAAAAGGCTATAACATCTTCCTGCACACTCTCTATATCTACTTCCATTTATATCTCGTGTGGAATACATCCACTATGATCTGCATTCCGACAGTTCATCCAGTTACCAGATTTAGATATAAACTGTATGTACACTGGATTAGATGTACGATATCGATTTATACTATGATCATGAGAAGATATGGACTTCAGATACGCTAGTACTATAAGATTCATACTATATAAGATATAGGCTATAGATGGCACCACGGACATGGATGGCACTATAGACTTATACTTGTATTCCGACATTGACTACGGATGTTTACCATATCTGGATAGGCACCAAGATTAATGCAATATGAGCTTGTTGCTTCAGATGTGCACTTTATGATCCACGCTATAAGACACATGCTTATATCCGTGATACTAGCTACAGATACTTTATGTACTACAGACTTATACTATATATGAGACATGCTATAGACATGCATACGATATGCTATAGACATGCCATATATCCAGATACATGCTAAAGATGTATGCTTAGCGATATACACTCAGATATGTACTATTAATATAGACTAAGAAGACTGTACCTATCGGATACATGCTACTAGATCGATATTAATTATCCTTATGGAAAGGATAGATCAGGGTACTTCGGATGAGAGTCTAATTATTCATCCAGACAAAGCTAAATCATGATTAGCTTGCTGGAGTTGTCTTTTAGCATGATTAGACATTAGTTGATCTGAGTTGACTTATTTGTCAATCTAATTAATAGAACTTTTATCCATTGTTATAGTATATAAGAAGGATCATCTACCTGGCCAGTAGAGAGACTTCAGTTTACTTTACACCTGTCAGTTTGATAATAAAATATACCTTTATCAAGTTGACATTACTGTTTTTTTATTCTTTTTTTTCCGTGAATTTTAGTCTATCAAGCCTCAAATTCCACATCTCGATCAGATCTCAGTTTGCATATACTATCTCTACGTATTTGCATCTGACAAAAATATGAAAGGTTTCTTGGTGTAGTCGGTTATCACATCTGCTTAACACGCAGAAGGCCGCCAGTTCAAGTCTGGCAGAAATCATTTTTTGATGCTGTGAAATCAAAAACGTCCTACGTAAATGCAATATTCTGCTTTTCGGCTGTGTAGTTGAATAATGCACTGTAAATGATTTGTTTTTTTGTTGGCTTTACACGTTTTAATAAGATACTAACAATAGATGATGTGATACTTGAATGCGGTGTGATTGAGAAGAAATGGATTGGATTATATTAAGTTATCTTAATACTTGCCTTCTGACAGCTCGTACCTGTTTAATGATCGAATACATCTATAGATGCGTCCATGGTCTCAAACCTAAAAAATCTTCGTCTCACTCGGCCATTCTGGTATGAAAATATTGGTCGACTGCTGACATCCATGGGAAATTAAATGCTCGATCGTTCAGAAAGTGCAGCAATAGCAAGCAAACTTGCTTCATACATGACAGGTTCTTTTAGTGTTTTATTTTCAATCAACGGATAGCTTCTGGAGCAATAAGCTCTTTACAGAAAGTAACAGGGGGACGAAGGCTTGGTGCTCACTATTTGATCTAATGCTTGCATGAATTCACTTTACGTAGATGGTAATCCAACATTCAAATGGATGTACTGACTTGAGATTGGATAACACATTCCGTAAGCAGTGATACTAGAATCAATAAAAAACGAGAAAAATCATTTGCCTCCAATATCATCGACATTTGAATTGAGGATACAATGTATCACGGAAACGATTGTCATGTATGTTGAGCAACCGAAAGTGATCTGAAATTCAAATTACGTGCAAGCAAAATATGTGGTAATCCGGATGCGAAACTCATTTCTTTTTTTTTTTTGCTCTCCCCCTTTCTTTGAAATATAAACAATTCCTTTTGAAAAGATGGTCTTCAACACGATCAGCTTTAAAGCCATTATTATAGCAGTATCACTTGCATTCATGATTAGCTATTCAACATTTGGGTGGAATAAAAACTACTTTATACTGGCCATCTCACTTCCTGTGGCTAGTCTTTGCTCACTGTTGATATTAAACACTGCAGTTTTATACATCTACATCAAATATTTTGTCTCCCCGCAGATCCACAAACAAAAGCTCGATAATAACTTTAAGGCATTGCGAATGACACACAAGAGCATATGGCCGCAACTCACAAAGATACGTCAACAACAAAACGAATGTCATGAAAAGCCGATAGCTGAAGATAAGGACATCAACAATGCATTCAATACACTCCTCCGATACGTCATACGAGACTTTATTCAATCTTGGTACGTTAAAATCACAAATTCAGCATCTGAACAATCTTTTCCTTTTGCTGTTGATGGCATTATACGTTCAGCAGCTGCCAGGCTAGCTCAGCGCTTGGAGACGGCAGACCTACTCTCGGTCATCCTCAACAGGATTATACCTCGCATGACATCTCACATTTCAGAGTTTCGAGCAGCAGAAGTCTCTTTGCTCGGAAAATCACTTGAACGATCTGTGACCCAGTCAGACGAACTGGATCTATTACTGGCCTCACGATTTAGGTCTGGTAAGCTTCATAGGGCGCTTACCACTGTGGCCATGACAACGAAACCCACTGAAATTGCCTATCTGCGGCAGATGATCGAGCGTGTGTTACCGTACATGATTGACTCTAAGGAATTACAAAGTGGACCTGTGAGGGTAGTCATTCGAGAGATTGTTTCCAATTCAGTCTTACAGCCTGTGATGGATATGTTGGCAGATCCCGATTTCTGGAATCAGAATATCGATGCGTATGTAAGTTTTTTCCAAGTAAAGTGGGTTTTGCATGATCGACGCTCTAAGACGCATCTTGAAAGGATTTAGTTAGGAAAGGCCATCATTGAACAAAAAATGGTGCGCCAGTTGCGGGAGGTCATCCGTCAACACTCTACTCACAATGGTCTAGATGCAGACGAGGTAATGAATGTGTTTAGTTCGGATAAGCAAGAAAAAAAGAGAAAGAAGAAATCAGATGTCAAAGAGAGAATTGGACCACAATCACAGCTTTCCTCGGCATTTCTGGGAACTGGCATCTCTACCAACGATTGGAATCAGCAGGGCAATCTCCAGAAGAAAGACAACGATGGCGAGGATGACGACGACGATGAAGATGAGGAGGAAAATGAAGAGGGCGAATCCATGTACGACGATTACTCCAGTAGCCGAGACAGTTTTGCATCCTCAAGCAACCGACTCTTCAAATCAGCATACGATCCAACTACGTCCTCAAAACTGACCAAGAAAAGACAACACGGAGTTGGAAGCATCAAGATGGGAAGACGTACGTTTCAAGACTTCCTCAAAATGATAAAAGAAGAGAAGAATTTGCTGGACCTAAAGAGGGTCAGAAATGACATTGTTACCCAAATTCGAAAAAAGAAGGCACACATAGGTTTGTAAAAATTGCACTTTTAAAAACAGCAGAGGGTTAATGGGTGTATGCAACATTTGTAGTGGACCGAGACCCTGAAGAGGTGGTAGATGGAGAGAAAGTGCAAGATATCATTGTCTATGTCAATCGGCTTGGTGTTGCCAAAAAGCGAGTTGATAAGCGTATTGCAACCTTGTCAGGAGAGCAGTTTGATTTTGTAAGATGGCCCTGACAATCGCGTAGGGAAGAGATCACTAATGAAAAGCCTTTTTTTAGAGGAAATCAACTTCGCAGCTGTTCAATTATCGGAAACAAAGCACAAGCCATACCAATGGTGTTGGATACAGCTTGAGTGAAATTCTGACAAACACCTCTGGCTTGTCGTACTTTATGGAATTCATGGATCGGCGAGGGGATATGGTGAAGCTTCAATTTTGGCTCATAGTGGAAGGGTTTAACAGCACAGCAATCTCCAACAATGAGGAAAGAAAGACATTTCTGCAAGACGTCAAGATGGTGTATGAAATGTATTTCACAGACACAGCTCCTCATCGGCTTCATATTGCAGAACAGTTCAACAAAGATTTGAAAAATGCCATCGACTTGTCATTTGAAAAGGAAAAGTGTGATGAGGAGACATTTGCAAACCAAATACGTGAGCTCAATCTACGCCTCTATCGAATCCAGCAGCATGTGTTTTGGGAGATTGAAAAAGAGCACTATCCGTATTTCAAGCGATCTGATCTCTATTTCAAATTCTTGTCATCAGCCCCACCCATTCAAACCAACCCAATTCCAGAGGAAGTGCCTGCTAGAAGAAGCTTGGATGAAAGCACTCTGTATACATCAAATACATCTCGCTCTATCAAAGGAAACAGGCCTGCTTCGATCCACGAATCGTCCTCATCGGCTTCTATACCTGTGATATTGACACCAACTATATCCACTCCCCTAAAAGAATCAACGTCGTACTTTAACACCTCAAAACAGGCGTTATCTGATTTCAGTGGTAGGCCAAGGGGTCATCAACGAGCTTTGTCAGATTCAACAAAATCATCGCGGTTCTTGTCCTTTTCAAACATGTTTCAATCAAATCGTCTGTGGAGCTACGATGAACCAAGAAGCCGTGCTCCTAAATCTATCAAATCAACAGAGGAGACTGAAGAAGAGGATGACGAGGACGAAGATGTGGGGTTTGCCAACGGATCAGAAAGAGCGAGGCTTGTCAAAAGTGACACTGTGGACGCTGTCGAGGCAGAACTTCGATCTATATTGGACGGTAATAATATGGATGACCTTGCAATGACTGAGAAGAAACCAGCTCAACCTACAGCAGCGATATCACCAACTCAAAAGCCAAAAAAGCCTGCTTCCTTACCTGCAGATTTACCAAACAAAAGCATATCCCTAGCGTCGCCTCTTATTATGAAGCCTTCATCCTCTTCATCTGCGCTTTTACTCTGTGGCTCTAAAGGAATAAAATCCACTACTGCTGATCCAGTTCAGAATGTCTCTGCTCTGCCATCTTGGACCTCTTCTGGTGGCACCAATGCTATATCCGAGATTGAGCACAATTCACTTGAATCCATGGCACCGGCAAAAAGCCCTTCTCCCTCATGCAAATCCGAGCCGCTAGCTCATGATTCCACGATTGATGACGGGTCACTGAAAGCAAATGAGGAAAACGAAGCTAGCACGGCCGCCAATGTTCATTTTGCCCCTCCAGGAGACCTCATGCTGGCCACCAAAGTAGAGCAACTTTCGGCAGAGGTTGAGAAATTGACAGCACAAGAAGCCATTGTAGACGCATTGATCATCAAGGCAGAAGCACAGAACAAGCTGGAGGAATTGCGCATCTTGAAAAAGTCAAAAACAATGTTTCGTCAAGATTTGCAGCAAATCCAGTATCAAAAATCACAGTACGAATTGCAGGAATCAGAAAACGTATTGATGCCTGATAGGTCTCAAGTCAATATCACCAGCGCCACGATTGGGTCAGACAAGAACGGCGAATTTGCACTGTATGTGATAGAGATTCAGCAATTGGGGGCGGATGGCAACTACGCCTCTGGGTGGATTGTGGCTCGTCGCTACAGTGAATTCTTTGCTTTACATCAGAAACTGAAAGAACGCTATCCAGCTGTGAGACATATCGATTTCCCTGCTAAATGGCCGTTACTTAAACTGCAAAAGCCATTTGTCGAGGCACGTCGCATTAGTTTGGAGAGGTATTTACGAAAGCTAGTTGATGACAAGGACATTTGCAGCAGTCAAGAATTTCGATCGTTTTTATCGCAGCAAAACATCTTTGTTCCTGGCCCTGATACCGAGTGGCCATTTGGAAGCTTATTTGGCTCAACGACCATATTACAGTCATCATCTTCGAGCTCATCGCTTCAGTCTCTCCTGTCGCCGTCAGTTCAAAATCTACAAAAGTCCATTGCAGCCCAGGATGATACGCAGCAAAAAAAGACATCCAACAAAGGATTCATGCAGCACATTTACAAAACAGTGGCAGCTGGCCTGGATGATATGTTGGTTGGACCATCCATGTTGGATTTGATCACGCAGCGTCTAGGCGAGCAAGTGATGGAATTCGATCAAAATAACACCAGTCCACTAGCCAGCTCTTCGAGTTCTCGCAGCAAAATGGCTGATTCCAGTGACATCAACACAGCTCATGTAAGCGAGCCATCAACTGAGCTACAAGATTCATTGAAGGCAGAGGGCATTACAAGGTTTACAGAGCCACTGTGTGATTTATTTATTGAAATGTTTGAGCTCAAAGACAAGACAAATTGGTTGCGACGTCAGGCTGTGGTCATTATCTTGCAACAGATTCTGGAAGGCACCATCGAAAGAAAATTGCGAGAGCTTTTGAAATACTTGTGCTCATCCTCAATGATTGTATTCTACTTCAATAAGATAACAAGCAGTCTATGGCCAAATGGAGGGCCATTGACATTCAAAGAGGCACGAAAACCGGAAGAAAAGATTCAAACACGAGAAGAAGCCAATAGAAAGCTGTCGACATGGCTACCAGGTACAATAACTGTCATGCGACGTTGAGCTTATTGACTAACTACTGACTGTTAGATTTGCTTGGCAATATGGTTGGAAGACAAAATGCGCGCAAGGGCGCCAGACGATTATTTACTGTGCTGCAAAACAAAAGATTGAATCAAGACTTGATATATACGTTGTTAGATGAAGTGCTTTATGCCTTATTTCCTGAAATCACTGATGTCAACTCGTCTACTACTACTACTACTACTACTACTACTACGACTACTTTTACTTGAATAAACTAATTCGAATGCACAACGATCCATTATTGTTGATGTGAAAACTGCTCGAGGAGCCTCTAGGCTTCACCTCAATTTTGCTGATGCTCTTTAAAAAGCACATTAATAACAATCTATCTTTGGTCAGTGCACCATCATGTGAGCAGTCCTCCAAATAAGGAACAATCAATGTAATAGGAGCAGGATAGACGGAAAGATTGGCGCAAATGACGTATCTCTCTTCCTTTTTTCTCTCCTCACATTTTAGCGTTTCCATCATGAATGAAAGCTTAGCATCTCAAGGCCTTGTAGGGTTTGCTGTGGAGCCTATTACCAACTGCCCTCATATACCGGATTACCAAATCAACGAGAAAAAGCCAGATTTATATCACAAGCCATGCCTAGCTTGTGGCGATACAAAAGAGAACTGGCAATGCTTGCACTGCAATTCTGTGTACTGCTCTCGCTATTGCCAAGGACACATGAAGCAGCATGTGCAGAACGTCCCAGAACATTCAGTTTGCATTAGCTACAGTGATTTATCAGTTTGGTGCTATAAATGTGATAACTATATTACACACAACGTAAGATTATTTATTGAATGAAGAGTAGAAATTGACACTATGTACTAGGATTTGGAGCCCATTAAGAGAATATTATATGTATCAAAGTTTGGACAAGAGCCACATCAGTGAATAAAGGGAAAAGGGGATATACATGAAGCTACTGAGTGTGATTTACACGATAATCCTTCGAATAGTCTTGATAAGAAGGTGGTGGTGGTTCAACAGATGAATCTGGTGGTCTATAGAAAGTCTGTGTGGATGGCTGTACTTGGGGCGATGTAGGTGGTGGTGGTGCATAAGTAGCAGGATATGTTGATTGTTGTGGTGGTCTGCCATTCATATCGACGACAACGAATTGTGAAGAATGGCCAGGTGGTACTGTGTGTGTAATCGCAATGGTTAATTATCAGGAAATTTATGACACATCAACAACTTACATGGTCGATTTCTAATAGCTCGTTTTCTCCTAAAGAGCAGCAGCAATGAAGTAAACAATAATATAAGACAGATAATCCAGATAATGTTGTAATAGACGAACATTTTATGATTTAAAACTAGAAAAAAGAATAAAAATTACTTGGCATGAATACGATATTCGATCTTTTTATAGACGGCAGACGAGTACTAAATGCTAAGCATTCGAATGATTGGTCAAATGTAATTTGTATTATGGAAAAAAAGAAAATATCACGAAACAAAAAAGCTGTACAGTGCTCAAGTCTGAGCACAAGTTTGACTGATATCCTACTTGATGCTATATAATGTGTTTATGGAGCCAATCATGGTGCCTTTTGCGAGCCTTCTTCTTCTTCTTCTTCTTCTTCTTCTCGTGGAGACTCGTTCTCAATGAGCTTCACATCCTTCAATTTTCTACCCGGGATAGTGTCCATAAATGCCTGTTGCCAGTCATGCAACTCTAGCCATTTCAACATGATTTCGCATACTAGATAATCATGATCAGTGTGCATGAATCAAAGCAGCTGATCCCATCTCTTACCCTGATTAACTGTCAGAACTTTCCTGCTTGCCATTTGCAAATAGTTTCCAATGGGCAATCGAGCAGTTTGGATGCCTTGTTTGACAGCCTTGTCTTGACACAAGTTTTTGTACCTGTTTTTATCCACAATGCCACCGATAATATAGTTTTTGCCCTCTTCCAACTTTTCAATAACATTATCTGAATCTGCTGATAAATATACAAGGCTGTCTTTATCATACAGGTCCATGTAAGATTCTGAGTGTACCGAAACTGTATTTTCCTTCCATTGTTGCCATGTGGGTAGCTTTCGATCCAGGAGATCTTTAAGTGTGTCGTCAAATGAAGTCAGTGCCAATTTCATCGCTTTTGGCGCAATCCTATTTTTTCCGTAGGTATATCCGAGTTGCTTAACATATGATAAATGTTCCTATCCAAATGTAAATAAGTCAATGCTTGATTGTTGGCAGGCATACACTTTACTTTTTCTGTCATGAGGTCACTGAATCCACAATCGACAATGAGACCAACATTCGTCATTTCGCTCAAGTAGGCCAGTTTCTTTTTCGTTGGAGGTCGTTCAATGATACCCTCCCTCATCTGTCTACGCTTCTCTAATCGCCTTACTCGAACTTTTTCTCGAAGTGTTGACTTTCTTTCTTCTTTGTTGGCGTCCCATTGCTCATCTCTCAAAAGTCGTTTAATCGCTCTTTTGGATAATCCTTCGAACTTTGGGTCGCTGATATCATACTCCAAGCCTTTAAAGTTTCTTATTGTCGAGTTGATCGGCTTTGGATCCATTTGCACAATACAATAGAAGCCGTAAAAAGTGAGGAAGAAAGAAAAAAAAACTGTTCGGTTAGTCAAATCTCACGTCAATCAAGATGAACTGTGAAGGACTTGTTACACTGATAGTTCAAAATTATACATAATTTTTTTACGCATAGAGAGACATAAATATATTTTTATACAAATAGAAGTGAAAGAAAATTAGTACAAGGCTGTAGACGCATTTTTGATGAGTTAATTATATTACTGTATCATTCGAATCAGCCGACATTAGCCAAGTGGGAGTGAGTAGAGTAGAAATTGGGTAGTAGAAAGAGCTATAGTGCGGCAGCAGGACAGTGGTAACGCCCTGCAGGCTCAATTACATCGATGCTTTCTTTGACAGTCAACATGTCCCCTTGTAGAAGAGATGACAACATTGGTGACCCTGAACAAGGAAACCCTGTCTGGCATAGATGTCCAAAGGAAGAAGTGCGTTGACCTTTAATCAATTGACCAAATTAATAATATAGCCAACAGTAATGATAGGTGATAACTTTGGATAGCTGTACAAATTGTGCATCACTTTTGAGTTGATTCCAGGATATTCCATATTTTTGTTGTTGAATCCGAGGGTAAAGTAGTAGATAAAAGATCTGGTGATTGAACAGATGAAATCAATTGCTGTATACAAACATGAGTTCTACTCAGACAAATAGAATTAAAAAGAGACGAAAGAAATACAGTTGAGAGGTCGGCACATTAGAATATTTACATCCAAGTGTTCAAATCGTACTCATTTGGGACAATGCAAGAGAGCATTACAACAAGGATTATTTTCGAGAGACGTTCTCATTTGAGAGGTTTCAAAAAAATGATTTCTGCCAGACTTGAACTGGCGGCCTTCTGCGTGTTAAGCAGATGTGATAACCGACTACACCAAGAAACCTTTCATATTTTGATACGTGTGTATTTTTCTCTTGCTTACTTGGCTCTATCTCGATTTCTTAAAAAGGCAATATACCGTATATGGGAAAGGCGCAATGTGGTGGATTCAAGGTATAATTCTCTAACTTATCTACTATGTCTTACTTGAAGGGTTACTCCTCGTTGGTGTGGTGTTCTGGTGCATTGACACACTCATATAATTGTTGTAAAACTGTATGTTATCTCTTGATGGTGCGTTGATACTGTTATTCTAGTCGATGTGGTCTCTATTTGGTGTATTGCTAATCAATGTTGGTGCTTACTCAATTGGTGTCGCTTCTATTTTGTTGTTGTTACATATTCGTTTGATCGTGGTGCTTCTTGTCAAGTTTAGCCGAAAATCTAATCAATATTTGGAGCCGATAATGTTGAATCGATGAATTAGTCAGGGATCTAATAAATGAGATTGCGCGCTAATAGCCAAGCATTACTATTTTGAAATGTGGATTTGACTCTGGACTTTGACTCAGGATAGATGCAAACCAATTGATGCCGAATCGATGCAAGATTCAAGTGGAATTACAACAATGGAATTGGGGTGTTACTATTTTAAACAATGGGATCGACTCAAGAACGCGGGTACATGAAATTGACATTTGTTGTGCCAGAAGGGCTGTTTAGGATATAGATCATCTTTGATAGGCAAATGTATTAAGCGTCGTTTATTACATAAGAGGATCTGAAAATGAGCTGAGATGCATAGTAGAAGTGAGAGGTCTTTATTCAAGCAGCACGAAGGAACATGAGTGGTGCCATCAAATGGCTAATCTATATCCTGGTCCCTAGAGAGTGGTAGCCTATGGTCTTTCGTCCCTGGAAGTGGGTTTCAATTCCGACAAATGTTCTTCCGTCAAAGCTATTAGGAAGAACATTCTATCCTGGATCATCTTTGTTGTTTATCCTTGACTGGTGGTTCATGAGTTCTGATGCAGCACATCCTCGTTACTGGTTCAAGGCTTATACAATTATCCCGCATTCAAGATCAAGGTCCTATTGCTGCGGCACTGTCAAATAACTATAAATACCTTTGATATCTACACTAGTTTTGATCCCTATTCAATCTTGGAATAACAAAATAAATATATTCAGTTCTAATTGTATTTACTCTGTCTATATTTCGTTATTCTAAACACTTTGGCATTCAGAACTTAGTATAAATAGAATAACTCTTGTCTTCATTAATAAATCTTTAGTTTTTGTGTCTGATCTTATTCAAATAAGTCTTCTCTTGTTTTTATAATGTCGAACATTTTTTATAAGCTATAAATAATAATCCTTTTATTCTTTGTGCTTAACAATATTTATCAATATTGTCATGAATGTGTAATTTTTTGTTGATTACTTGGCCCAGTTTCATTTTTTTTTCATAAAAAGGACAATGTACTATATCTTGAAGTACGCAAAGGTGGTGGATTCAAGGTGCAAATCTATACGTTATCTGCTATGTTTTACTTAAAGGGTTCCGTTATTAGTGTGATGTTCTAATGCATTGGAATTGGCTCAAAAACGCCTGTAGAATACATCCACTACGATTTGCATTCCGACAGCTTATCCAGTTTCCAGATTTAGATGTAAACTATATGTACACTGAATTAGATGTACGATACCGATTTATACTATAAGAAGATATGAGCTTCAGATACGATAATATTATGAGATTCATACTATATAAGATATAGGCTATAGATAGCGCCACGGACATGGATGGCACTATAGACTTATACTTGTATTCCGACATTGATTACGGATGTTTGCCATATCTGGATAGGCACCAAGATTAGTGCAATATGAGCTTGTTGCTTCAGATGTGCACTTCATGATCCACGCTATAAGACACATGCTCATATCCGTGATACTAGCTACAGATACTTTATGTACTACAGACTTGTACTATATATGAGACATGCTATAGACATGCATACGATATGCTATAGACATGCCATATATCCAGATACATGTTAAAGACGTATGCTCAGCGATATACGCTCAGATATGTACTATTGATATAGACTAAGGAGACTGTACCTATCGGATACATGCTACTAGATCGATATTAATTATCCTTATAGAAAGGATAGATCAGGGTACTTCGGATGAGAGTCTAATTATTCATCCAGACAAAGCTAAGTCATGATTAGCTTGCTGGGGTTGTCTTTTAGTATGATTAGATATTAGTTGATCTGAGTTGACTTGTCAATTTAATTAATAGAACTTTTATCCATTCATTTTGATCAGGGCACTGATATTCGGATCTAAATTGAGTCTGATAGGAGAATAACAACAGAACAATAGTATGTATAAATAGTATTATTTGGGAACTGCATCTTAATAAGCATTAACCATTTTCTTATTATTTAATCTGAAGTTTAGTTACTAGTGCCAATCTGGTACGAACAAACTTAAAGAACCTTTGATTTGATCTCTCATAACTATTGGGATGGTTCTTATTACTGCCTTCCTTTCCATTTATCAATAAGTATATCTTGATTACCCAATACCAAGGTAATAATTACAGAGAGCTTAATATTTTTCAATTAAAACACTTGCTTATTTTTTTCCATTTACTAAACTTAACCTCGATCACGCCGCGCGATTGTGTCGTAATGCAAAAGCTGAAAGCCTCGAAATCAAAAAACATTTTGTACATTTAGGTCTCCATAGGTGAAAAAATTAGAATCTCGTCAAACTTAAATATGTTGTAGAATAATAATATTGGAGCAACTTCTTAGTGGGAACATTACACTGGAAATGCATACTTCATGAGATAATTAGCATTGGAGATGCTATTTTTAAACGGGGGAATATGCATGCTTTAAATTGCAAATCTTATTATTATCGAACAAAGCAAGCTACAACTATCTAACCTTAAAAACAAGATTCTCCATCATGTCAAGTATCTATTGATAACTTGAAACCAGCAAGTTAATATGGCCCTTTTCGTACGCTCCAATTTTTAAAGTACTCGGTCAAATTCATACTTGTGTGGTGTACACGTGCAGAAGGTCAACGGAGCTTCAATTTCTAATATTTTGAATGATGATCCATGGGATTCCAAAATCTATCGACCTTAACATTACGCGTTTCTTGATAGTAAACACTCCTTTCAACTTATATGAAACTTGTAGAGAATTTAATGGAAAATACAACGGTCTTTATATTAAGTGTTTGCTGTACATTATTCAGTTGATATTTGATAAGCTAAATATTGTAATTTTTTCATTGTTTTCTAAAGATTAATCAGTATCTGTCATCAAAACATTTTGTTAAGCATTACTAGACATTGTAGATCAAAACATTTCCTATCGAATGAGCTATTGCTTGAAGCTCTAGCATGCTTCTATCGTGAAATATTGAAAATATTGTCCTGACCAAAAAATCGTCACCAGATTTTTTGCTTGCTATCACACGTAGATTTTGAAGAAAAATCCGCCATGATTTTGCATGATACTCTTTTTTGACCATATCTCGACAAATACTCACTGGATTCGCACAAAACAAAGACCATTCGATAGCTCTACGTTATATCCATTATAATATAATGGTTTTAAGTACCAGATGTACGTTCCTTTCATAAATTTGCTCAAAATCTTATATTTTATGAGCTACAAGCAGGAGATATTCAACTTTTTTTTATTTATCCATAATAACCATACCATCGTATAGAGAATTGAAAAAGAAACAGAAGCTATTAAGTTTGAAGCTCTCGTTCACTTAGTAAAATCAACCAGTACGGCCCTTTGAAATTTGTCCATTTTCACTCTTTTTCCTCATTACTCATCGACATCGTTGTAATGAAATAGCCCTCCAAGCGCAACTTGATTGAAAATTGCAAAATTCATCAAATAGCACTCATTCAAATTCATGCTATTTGGATCTATTAGTAAAAGCGCTCAAATGTACATCAACAACCATTTAAACATACTAAAGTAAAGATGCAGCACGCTTATATCGCACATCGTGTTAATGAATCATCACTCCTAATCGCAGTGTATTCAATCACACCCATGATGGTCGTAATAAGACATGCTATCTTTATCCAAATAAAATCAAGTCAACAACAAGCATATTCAAATATGACAACTATGCCCTGCTGCCATAGTTGCAGAATATCGCAGATAAAGGGTTCCATACTTCAATAACAAACATCACACTTTAAACCATCAAGGTTACATTAAATCATGCTATGACGATAGCTCACCCAAGCCCATCAACAAGGTTACTCAAATCGACCTTTATTGACCTTCACTCTAGCCAGGAAGAGGCGACGGCATTCCTCAGCGAGGAAGGTGGTATCCTCAGACTCGGCATACTTGGGATCTCTCAGCTTGGTGGTGTCCATTGGATCAAAGGAGATGGGATCAAGCTTATATTTGATCAACTGGTTTTCCAGGGCAGTGTAGTAGTCATTGTAAATGAGCAATTCACAAACATGACGATCTGGGAAATGGATATCCAGGATGCGTCTGTTGTGGATTCCCATCGCATGGAAACCATCCCTCATTTTACTGATGGGTGATCGGCTACGATTTGGAATGTAGACAAACCGATATCCATGATTGGGTGAAACGGCTGAGAATTGACGAGCAGCAGCAAGACCTGCGTCGTTCATCTCAAGGTTGAGGGGCTGATACTTCTTGCGAGATGGTCCTTTGGATTTGGGCTTGTTGGAGTTGGAGGTTGGAGCTGGTTTCTTGGCGAATTCAGCAAAGAATGGTTGGCTGTTCGTGTGGTGATAGGAGGTGAAGTAGGAGTCGATTCAGGGGCAGTAGTATGTGCCTGTGCCTGTTGGGTCACGAGTTTCTGAATTTGCTTTTGGGCGTCCTCAAGCTGTTGTTTGGTTTGATTCAAGGATGAACGGAGGGTGATGTCTTCTTGGATGAGTGCTTGCATCTTGGAAATCTGAGCATCTTGGTTACTCGGTCGAATGTAAATGTCCTTGAGGTAATCAGGGAGATTGGGGACAGAGTGGATGTTCAGGTCACTCAATGATAGGGGGAAATGGTGGGTGGGTGTCGTCGTTACGACAGTTGCAGTGGGCATTACAATGGGAGTGGCACTGTCTGCAGCGGGTTGAAGTTTGTTGTCGGCCATGGTCTTGGTGATGGAACGGGTGAGTCTGGTGGTAGTTGTCAGCTTGGGACGTTGACTAGCGGATGTTGGGAGAGGAATATGAGTTTGTCTAGCTAACGTGGAAAACCGACGTTTAGTAGAGACAGATGGAAGGGGAGAGATGTTTAGTCGACTTTTAGCAGTGGTGGAGGCTGGCTGAGGTCGAGGAGTGGGGGTTTTACTAGCTTTAGTCGCTGGCGTTTTCACTGTATTTACTTCTGTTGTTGTTATTGCTCTGTTCGCGTTAATATTGTTGTTTTCGGGTTTTGAAAGGCCCTAAGAACAATTCAAACGAAAGAAAGGTGGCTTAAAGAAGCATTTTTTTTTGTAGGGGAGTCGAGCTCCAGGTTTTATTTAAAGTCCTTTAAATGTCATACAGAGGGATAGAAAAGACTGTTGGTGGACCCAATGTCTGCAATGAAGGGAAATAAGATATTTTTGAACTAAGTTGGGAAAGAAATCTACTACTAATAAGGTGCGACACCTAGAGCCAGTACAGTCTTGCGGAAATCGTCAAAATATAGATCATGGATAAGAGTACAAAACACCAAACGAGGACATCAATACTACCTCAAAAAATCAAAACAACTTGCGTTCACCAGGATTTGAACCGGGATCCTCCCGTTGGCATACGGGAGTTCTACCACTTCGCCCTACCACCAGGGACAGCTTAAAGGTGCATAGGATGATCAATATACCTTACTTAGTCGAATTTGCCAAAATAGGTCAATCGAGTCGAAAATTATTAAGATTTGGCCAATCTGGAACAGACTATGATTCTGGGTTTGAATTGATTTTGGCTTGTGGGACCAGCTGGCAAACTCAATGCCCTTTTCATACTGCAATACAGCAGTAAATGCTCTTGAAGCGTATGTAAAGTAGATGGCAGGCCATAACACTATTATTTATAATGATATCTTATTGTATTCTATATCGCTCATGATAATATTTTCTTGCATTCTATATTCAATAACTTTAGTCTGGACATTGACGATTCATGGGCTGCGTAAAATGTCTGCAGTAAGTATTGAAATCTCTGAAGCTCCGAGCCGTCGTTCAAGGAAAAGGTTGGCAGCATTGATCAGAGGAAAGATGGTAAAAATAAAAGTGGTTTTTGTTGATTGATCGTAAAATCATTATCCACATATGAGCCAGGCCTGACAGATGCCTTGAAACTCAGGTTCCATGTTAGGGTTGTAAAGTGCAAAAGGACTGAACATTTATTATAATATGATATGAGCCCGGCCTGACAAATGCCTGGCAACTCAGTTTTCATATTAGGGCTGTAAAAGTGTCTAGGAACTATAAATTTAAAACTGGTATCATTAGATTTTCCTTTAAATGCTACCATTAGGCTGATTTAACTGGAAAGCAGAACATCAAGGAATTAGAACAATTTCTCAAATGAGAGACGTAGACCAAAAGCCAATCACCAAGTATTAAGTTCTTATAGAACCGTTTAGACAATTGAAGTTGAAAATCAACCATTTGTATGGGGCCACGAGGAACGAAAAGCGTTCAAGCAAGCCAAACAACATTTAGCAAAATTACCTAGCCTACGGCAACCTGATTTCAATAAGCAATTTGAGTTGCATTCAGACGCAGCCAACACAGCAGGAATAGCAGTAATGTTATGTCAACGGTACGACGGCCATCTTTATCCATTCGCATTTGCTTCAAGATCACTATTTAAGCTTGAAAAGAATTATTCAGTCAGATAGTTGGAGGCTTTCTCGATATTATCTTGAATGTGGAACATTCTCATTTTTCGTGAGATTCAATCCCTGGATACGACAACATGTTTCTGGGCGTACTCGTCCATTTATATCAAGAAATAGATGCCTTCTTCGATGCATCAGAGTAGCACTCTACTGAGATTTCACTACATCGCTTCTAGTTAACGTATACATATTGATCTTACTACAATGTATATTTGAATACTGAAAAGAACAAAGAATAAATGCGTTACTAGCTCAATTACAGGAGTGCACCTGGCAAAATCTAATTAAAAACATGTAGTAGACATTGCAAGAGATAAAAACTCCTTTCATTGTTATCCTTCGAATTATTTATATACAGTGAGTAGAGGGTGAATATGTCTTGGCTTCCTTTATCATTAATTGCACCTCGTAACGAAAGCTTATTCTTCTCGTCAACATGAAGCTACGTTTAGGCAAAGTCTACAATGTGAGTATATCATCTGTTACGAGATGCAGTATGGATTGACTCAAAACCATATTGCAGTACGTCCCCACAATATCACACAAAAAAATGGCCAAGAGCACTAGTGACAATAAGGATGAGCAGCTGCCATCAAAACAGCAAAAGAAAGATCAAGTCCACATACTCCCTGTATCTGCAAGTTCACCTTCCTCTTCTAATACCAAATCCAATGCACCCAATGTCTCATCTCCCATAAGCATTACAGAGGTTCTAGCAAGTTCTTCTAATACAGTATCCCATGCTCCATACCCAATTAGACATTATAGAAAGAAATCCGTTGACCTGACTTCTCAATTTGCTACATCATCCACTTTGTCGGTCTACTCTCGCTTAAGTGCTACCTGGCTGTCTCTTCCCCTCAACCTACGTACATGCACTCGTACTTGGTATGTCGTCTGTGGCTATCGTGCACTTCCCAAGCAGCCTTCTTCTCTAGGCTTCTCATCATTTGTACCAAGTCTACCTGAGATTCCTGAGGAGGCATCTGAAGATGAGTCTCTGGATATTGGATCAGAGCGACAAGTTCATTCCGAGGATCGTGTCACTGTCTACTCTTATGATAGCATCAAAAATCGCAGTATAGATAAAAAGAATAACTTTTACCAACGAGAATTGAAATAAACTGTAATGATTTACTTTTGTTGTTAAGCCATTCGCTGAGAAACACACGCACAGCGCCCGTCGCGCTTGAGTTTGCATGATCCATGCTGAAGACTGCGAATACAGGGACATATGTTAGAACCACGAGGATCAATCATTTCTTTCTTTCGTTCAATTCCTTATTTGATTTCTCCGTTGCATTGTAGACAGTACAATATATCTATTCGATTGAGACAGAATCAATACTATGGAGTGATACAAAAAGGCGGCCAAGGTGAGCTTATGATACAGCAATATCCATCACATTGACTCACATCGACGACATAGATCTAAACAATGCACTCGAATTTCGCGTGTTGGGAATTTCAGAGGCAGATGTTGTCAGTTTCAGATCAAAATCGGATGTGATTCTTGAGATAAATGGAATTAGACGGTTATATTTTCAGGAGAGACAAAGCGTATCCACTTCATCAACAAATTTTTCGTATTGGAAAGACAATGTTATATTCAAAACTATCTGGGAGCCAGTCAGCATCTACCGCGACAAGAGTCAAAATCCAGATATACATTAAAAGCTGATTGAGCCAGACGAACACTTGGGATGTTATGCGATCAACGGCATCAAAAGCAATTACGATAATCCCATTCACTATTGCATCTCAAACGACTCAGCATTTTACCAACCCTCCAGATTCGCCTGCCTTGCATTAGCATCCAACAATATCTACATTATTCGGCCAGACTAGATAAAGGCATTGAGTGAAGCGGCTGAACAATTGCTTGATCTCAAGGCTTTCGATGAAAAGACACAACCCATCACCGTAGACAAGTTTGAGGAATTGGAACAAGCAGCCATCTTTGGACCAGATAAGAAACGCAAAAGGCTATTTGAAAAAAATGGACTTTTGTTTTGGGTTAACAGCAGCGAGAGAGAGAAAGATTACATATTTATATCTTATGCATAGTTTGATCACTTTGCAAACTTATAAAATCAGTAGGTGGAAAGGAAGGATTGAAGACGTGTGAGCAAGCACATGGATTAGGCATTGAGGGAAACCCACTGTTAGTGCACCGCCTGAATCAAAACTGTGAATCATAAAAAGTTTAAAAAGGTCGAGCAATTGAAAACTTCAGTACTTTCGAGCAAAGCCAAGTATCCACCACCCCAATAGCAGTAGCATCATCATCTCAAAGCAACATCAGACGTTGAGCAAGGGGTAAAAAGTGTATACGAATGTTGGATGAGCAACTTTTTGAGGATTCATTTATTTTCAGACATTTTTCGTGATATGGATTCGGGCACTTTGGTACCTGAAGATCTTGGTGTCATCATTCGAGTGAATCGACCTCAACGTCCTTATTCGTCAGCGTTCTTTCTTGGCATCTTTCTCTTTCTTTTAGATGTACATCTCTTGCACATTCATTTACCATTTTTTTCTATCTGTTTATGATTCTGTTGAGCCGACCATAATAATCTTTCGCTTCTTTTTGGCTGATACCAACACACTTTGGGTGTTTACTACTGCTGCTGGGTGGTATTTGAGGTATATGTTGTGTTGGGTGCAACATCTGGTGCTCGACTTGCAGAGTCTCAATGGGCCAGTGTTTTCAAGCCAATGCTCATCATTGCAGGATTTGCTGTATCAGACTTGATCAAGATCACAACTGAACGAGATGGTGGAGCTCGAGCTTTGTCTCAAGCACTGGGTCAGTATATCTTTTCTACCACAGGCTCAGAAAAACTTGCAATTGTTGTCATCAGTGTGGGTGGTGATGTTGTTTTGCTGGGACTTATCAACGGGCTATCGTATGCTTCTGTTGATGTTGTTGCAAGCGGGTCTTAGGGGGCATTTTCCTCCAGCTGTGTCTCTTGCTGGACCAGGAAACGCATTTGCTCTAGACCTCGGCATTGAAAGTGTAGTGCAGGCTGCACTCGAGATCATTAAAGGGTTGGAGGAGCAGCCCTTTTATTTCATGGATGTCAAGTGTGGTCACAGAGAACACGACAGGCATTGGCAGGATCATGAGGCATAAGCTGAGATCAGGAGACTTGTTCGTCTGCTTGTTGCCCTGACCTGAGGATTCCATGAACAAATTGTGCCCAAGCCTAGGTATCTTTGTTACTCTATGGGCAACAAATGTTTGTCTTTGGCGTCCATGTTTTTGTTGACATTCCTATAGTAAGGTGAAGGCAAACTTATGCTGAGGAGTCCCAGTAACTACAATAAGGACGATCAGCAGTTTAATGGACTACCGCACACAAAGGTGCTGGGGGGAAGACGACAAAATCATCTACTTTATCGTCAACAAACAGCACTCGTTGAAAAAGGGCTTTAAGATTGCGCCATTTGCGTCGAGTCTCTTGGATGATATGGATGTGGCCGTTTTGCGAGAAACTGATAGAGGCAGCTCGACAAAAGCAAGCTTAGTTGCTTTCCAAGGTGGCGAGAATGTCAAGCTGCAATGTGTGGAATATATTAAGGCGAAAGAACTCCTTTTGCAAGCTGAAGACAAGGCTGGGATTTGTTTGGAAGGTGATATTAAGTCATCATGTAAATCATGAATGAGGCATTGGGGAAACAGATTGTCTATTTCATTCGACATTTCGCTATCTCGATTGATATCTACCAAATTTCTTTTCGAATGAAGAAAAATTATCTATCAGTGTAAAGCCATTTGTTTGTTGCCTTTTTTAGGTTAACAAACAAATGAAAGTAAAAAAGAAAGACATGATAAGGCACCCAAAGACATTAATCTCTAGTGTAACATATTTTAGCTTTTTGTAGATAAAAAGATAGAATAGATGAGTTTTTTTTTTTTTTTTTTTAAATCTACTATAAAATATACAGCAGGCTTTATGTTTAATTTTGGACAGAATGATGATTATTTGGATATTGAAATCCTAAGCATGGGCCCACTTGTTTAAATCTTAATTCAAATGGAGTGTAGTAAAGTAGCATATCAGGGTAGCAATCTTACCCTGATTTTTTTTTATCAAATATTTGTTACTTTATTTGGAAGAGATGTTTCTCTCTAAAGCTCTTATTGTTGTATGTTGTATGATGTGTAGATAATTGAATCCCCCTCTCCCCTCATCGTTGCCATCACACCATTATCGAACGATTTTTGTGCATAAAAGTGAATCGGCCTTGTCAAACTTCTTTTTTCTTCTTCTTTATTTTAATAACACTACAAGTAAATTTCATAATAACATGGCTCCCAATGTTGAACTATTGCGGCAAAAGCATGATCTCAATTTTTATCGTGCTCCCACTGGATTCATCGATGCCAAAGATATAGGAACTCCAGATGCGCATGTTTCAAGAGATCCAAATATTACCAGGCTCACAGGCAAACATCCACTTAATGCTGGTACTGTACTGCATTCACCTTGTATAGTGTGACGTAGCCCTAACCTTCATGCAATCTAGAAACTCCCATTCCATTGCTTATGGATCATGGATTCATCACACCCAACAGTCTTCACATTGTACGAAATCATGGACCTGTCCCTCAAAATCAATGGGACACCCACCGTATCACAATCAGCGGCCTTGTCAACAAACCAATTACCATCACCATGGATGACATACTCCACTTACCATCGCATACTCTTCCTGTCACTATCTGCTGTGCTGGCAGTCGACGCAAAGAGCAAAACATGATCAAACCAAGCATCGGCTTCTCCTGGGGCCCCGGAGGTAGGTTATTTCTGAACACCATCATAGTATCAGCACCCTCATGTCTTGTATTTTGATAGGTATTGGCACTGCCTATTACACAGGTGTCTTTCTTCGAGATCTCATCAATGACATTGCCGGCGGCTTGAAACCTGAGGCTCTGCATATCTGCATGGAAGGAAATGACAATACGGCCAAGGTTCGTCCCAGATTTTAATATCACCTGCATCGCACTCATCGTAAACTGTCGCTTTTTAGGGTGGATATGGCACGTCTATCACCGTCAATCGAGCCATGTCGCCCGAGTTTGACGTTCTGATTGCCTATAAAATGAATGGTGAGCCTCTTCCTTACGATCATGGGTATCCTGTAAGGTGTATTGTACCTGGTTGTATTGGCGGCCGTAGCGTCAAATGGCTCAGCAAAATTGAAGCATCTACGAGCGTCTCCCAGAATCCATTTCAAAATGCGGACAACAAGGTGTTTCCCTCCACTGTGCTGTCTGCAGATCAAGCTACGGAAGAGAATTGGTGGACTAATCCAGATTACTCTGTCTATGACTTGAATGTAAACGGTGTTATCGCAGCTCCCTATCACGGTTCAAAGATTGCGCTGGATGACCTCAACAAAAAGGTCGTGATAACCGGCTTTGCTTACGGTGGCAGCAATCGCAAAGTTACTCGTTGTGAAATCACACTAGATGACGGCAAAACCTGGAATCTTGCTGAAATCACTGATAAAAAGCCTGAAGGCGATCGCTATGCCTCTGAGCACTATGGCTATGATAACAGCAAATACCCAGAATCTTACAATCAAACTCGTTACTGGACTTGGGTTCACTGGTCTATCGAAGTTTCTGTTGCTGATTTGCTCGGTGTGCAAGAATTCTGCCTGCGCTGTTGGAATGAAACAAACAGTGTCATGCCAAAAGATCTCAACTGGTCTCTCATGGGCATGCTCAATAATTGTTGGTATCGTGTTAAGCTGCATCTTATCCGTGAACCCACCTTATCTTTAATTTTTCAACATCCTACGACATTGCCTGGTGATACAACTCAACTGGAGATTACGCTTCCTGGTTGGATGGAGGAAAGTCAAGCCGAGGCTGCTACTGTTGCTGCATCCAACGAAACCTCTTCTAGTACTGATACACTCAAGACATTCACCTTGCAGGAAGTAGAAAAACACACTGCTGAAGGTGATTGCTGGCTAATTTATGATGACTTGGTCTACAACTGTACTCCTTTTCTGAAAGCGCATCCCGGTGGTGCTTCCTCGATTCTTTTGGCTGCTGGGACTGATTGCACTGAAGAATTTGATGCTATTCACTCACAGAAAGCAAAAGACATGTTGGCTGATTACTTGATTGGCAAGCTGGGCGTTGAAAAACAAGCACCACCTCTCCCTACGCCTCCTTCTGAAATGGAACAGTTTGAAACTGCAAAGCTCACCGCTCCCTTATCGAATGCTGTGAAGCCTTACTTTGATCCTCGTCAATGGAAAAAGCTGGTCTTGCAAAGGAAGGAATGCATGTCTGCCACGATTAGAAGGTTTACATTTGCCATTCCTCAAGACACGTCCCCAGATTACATATTGTCTCTGCCCACTGGGCTCCATCTCTTTATCAAACTCCCAGAAGACCTTAATGATAGATCTGCTAAACCCAAAATGGTGATGCGAGCATACACTCCTAGCAAAGTCGACACAAGAACCATCGAGTTTGTTATCAAAATCTACTATCCTTTTAATAGTATTCCTGGAGGCAAATTGACTACCTCGCTGGATCAAATCCGTCTTGGTGAAACTGTTGACTTTAAGGGGCCCGTTGGTGAAATTCAATATCTAGGAGATGGAGAATTCGACATCCACAACAAACTCTATCACGGCATTGAGCAAATCGGTATGATTGCTGGTGGCACTGGCATCACGCCCATGTGGCAATTGATACAGTCTGCTTTTCATGACAGCACAAAGCGGCCCTTCATGTCTCTTATCTACTGTGCTAGATCTATAGATGAAATCATATTTTATGAAGAATTGAAACAGCTGGAATGTGATCAATTGCGAGTACGGCTTGTCTTATCAGAGGTGCCTGATGATCGCTCGTGGACTGGTGGAGTCGGACGTTTTACGATGGAGGAATTGAAGCAACACCTCTTTCCATTTGCTGATAGCACGTCCAGACTGACCTTCCTGTGTGGGCCTGATTCCATGCTAACTCACTGCTGTCTGCCACTACTGAAAGAAGCCTATGGTGAAGATTTTTGCACAAACAATGTGTTTGCATTTTAACATCAGTGAATCACTCTCTGTCTCAACTCCATTTGTTTGTTAATCCAATTTGGAAGCTTTGTCTCACAATCAACAGGGTTATCTCGGTATCTTTGGTTTACTCCAAATAAAAAATGGGGTTATCAAATATAATTTTTTTAGCTATCTTTTCTCTCAATGTGTATAATAAAATAATGTATCATAACGTATGAAAAACAAGACAATTGTACCACACAAGATAAGCTTGGTTATCTAACAAACAAATCTATCTATTGTAAGCATTTGCAAATGTATCTGTTGAAGAACAGGCGAATTTAGCTGCCGCTAACAAACAAACCGTACATCACACCACATTTTTGCCATCTATATAAATTGACATTGATCCTCCCTCCCCCTTTTCCCTTCCGCCGTTTTCTCTCTTCTTTCTCTTATATTTAACATGCCCCCAAACGCAGTTGACATGCCTTCCTCATCCACAGCTCAGAAAACCATCGTCATTGTTGGTCTCGGCATGGCTGCCGTAGCATTCATGGAGAAACTGATTGCATACGATACTAAAAAGGAATTCTGCATTAAAGTCTTTGGTGATGAACCTGAGTGTAAGCTCCATTTGCCAAAGAGCACATGATGAAACACTAACTCGATTGACCACAGTGGCATACAACCGTGTTGGTTTGACGCAATACTTCACCCATCGAGACCCTGACAAGCAGTTGATGAAACCCAGATCATGGTATCAAGAAAATCAAATTGAAGCTCATATTGGCGATCTCGTTGAGGAAATCAATACCAATAAAAAGATGGTCCGTGCAAAGAATGCCTCTTGGGTCTCCTATGATATCTGTGTTATAGCTACTGGATCTTCTGCCGCCGTGCCTGCCAATGCTCCCACTAATATGGACGGTGTCTTTTGCTATCGAACTATCGAAGATTTGGACAATATCATTGACTGGGCTTCTAGACAAGACGTTCAGAAGGCGACTATCATTGGGGGTGGCCTGCTGGGTCTTGAAGCTGCCAAAGCTGCTCTTGATCTGGATCTCAAGGTGTCTATTTACGAGAGAGCAGATCGTTTGATGTGTCGTCAATTAGATCAAGAAGCATCCAAGCTTTTGGAATCCGAGATTAACAAGCTAGGCATCATTACAAGCATTGGTTATTGCCCTGATCAAGTCGTTGGTGGTGATGTCAACCCTGATACAAACAAGACTCGTATCAGAGGCATAAGAATGAGCACAGATCCTACCGAGCACAGCCTTGTTCCTACCGATATGCTTATCTACTCGATTGGCATCCGGCCCCGTGATCAGCTCTGCGCTTCCTCTAATGGCCTTCTTCATTTGGGTCCTCGCGGTGGTATCAAAGTTGATGAATGTATGGCTACTTCTGCTCCTGATGTCTACGCTATTGGTGAGTGTGCTGCTTTCAATGGCATGTGCTATGGTCTAGTTGCTCCTTGCAATGATATGGCCGATGTGGTTGCCAAGAACCTGACTAGACAACAACCCAATTCCAGAGCTATCTTTAAGGGCAACGACATGTCTACAAAATTGAAGCTGATGGGTGTCTATGTTGCTAGTTTTGGCAATGTCTTTCCTGATGCGTCTCTCAAGACTCAACCTCTGACCTACCGCGATCCTTTCAAGAGCGTCTACAAAAAGTATATTTTCACCCAAGATGGCAAGAAACTGTTGGGTGGTATTATGGTCGGCGATACCAATGATTATGTCAAGCTTCTAGCCTTCACTCGTAGTGGCAAACCGCTGGATCGTGAGCCCTCTGAACTCATTTTAGGCGTCCAAAATGGTGAAGCGGAAGGTGCTGATTCGCTTCCTGACGACACTCAAATCTGCTCTTGTTTCAACATTGCAAAAGGTGATATTCGAAAAGCTATCCGAGAAAAAGGTCTCACTACTGTGGATCAAGTGAAAGGTTTCACCAAGGCTGGTACTGGCTGTGGCGGTTGTGTACCCTCTGTTACTGAGATCTTTGAAGCTGAAATGAAGGCTTTGGGAAAGACTGTCACCAACACTGTTTGCCGTGATTTCAATTACTCTCGTGCTGAGCTTTTTACCATTGTCAAGGTGAAGGGCCTTCGTTCCTATGGTGATATCGTTGAACATTGTGCAGTAGACAAAAATACGTTGGGTTGTGAAGTCTGTAAGCCTACATGTGCATCTATTCTTGCCTCGCTTTACAACGAGAACGTTTTAGACGCTGGCCGTGGTGCTCTTCAAGAAACCAATGATCGCTATCTTGCCAATATTCAACGTGGTGGTCTTTACAGTGTTGTTCCTCGAATTGCAGCTGGTGAGATCACCCCTGATAAGCTCGCTGTCATTGCCCAAGTAGCTAAGCAATACAGCTTGTACACTAAAATCACTGGTGCTCAACGTATTGACATCTTTGGTGCTCGCAAAGAAGACCTTCCTGATATCTGGGAGATTTTTGTCGACGCTGGTATGGAAAGGTAATACATTGAAGACAAATCATATGCTTTGATTCGTTTATTAAGTCAATTGCAATTAGTGGCCAAGCTTATGGTAAGGCTCTTCGTGCTGTCAAATCTTGTGTTGGTTCAACTTGGTGTAGATTCGGTCAACAGGATTCTGTCGGTTGCGCTATCAGACTCGAAAATCGTTACAAGGGAATCCGTTCTCCTCACAAGCTTAAAGGTGGCGTATCTGGTTGCATTCGTGAATGTTCTGAAGCTCAAGGCAAAGATTTTGGTCTCATTGCTACTGAGCAAGGTTACAATGTTTATGTTGGTGGTAATGGTGGTACGAAGCCTCGCCATGCCGATCTTTTGATTTCTAGCGTTTCTGAAAAAGATGCCTTCAAGTATATCGATAGATTTCTGATGTATTACATCAGAACCGCTGACAAGTTGCAACGTACTGCGCGCTGGATTGAGAAGCTTCCCGGTGGCGTGGACTATCTTCGCAAAGTCATCATTGATGATCACCTTGGCATTTGTGAGGAACTCGATAAGCAAATGGAACAACTGGTCGATACCTACGAAGATGAGTGGGCTCGTATTGTCAAGACTCCCGAGTTGAAAAAGCGCTTCCAAGAATTTGTAAATGTTGATAATAGTGAAGCCAAAGAGCCCATGATTGAAATGATTGAAGAGCGAGGACAATTAAGGCCTGCTGACTGGCCTAAGCAAGTGGACGCTATGCCTTCTCTCGAGGAGCAAGTCAAGAGTGAATCAGCAACTTTGGATTGGATGCACGTTGGTTCTGCTGATCTGTACCCTAAGGATGAGGGCCGTGTTGTCAAGATGGGTGATGTGCAAATTGCTGTGTTTCAAACCTCCAAAGGTGATTTTTATGCTACTCAAAATATGTGTTCTGTCAAGAGAGATCTCGTTTTGTCTTCAGGTTTCATCGGCGAATTGAAAAAAACCTCTGAAGATGGTCAACTTGATAACTCTGTCTATGTATCTTGTCCTATTCATAAGAAGAACTTTGATCTGAAGACGGGCAAATGCTTAAATGGTGATGCCCATTCTATCAACACATTTAATGTCAAGGTGGAAAACAACCAAGTTTATCTGTTATTGCCATCCATCAACATTTTAAATGATGTTCTGGGTACTGGAAAGTATATTATCAAGAGATCCATGACATCTCCCACTTCTAGTCCTACTTTGGCTGCTTCTGCTTTGGCTGATAGAAAGACTCCTGTTACTTCTGCTGGTGGAAAAGATTCTATGGATTGGTAGTTTTGGCAGAAGAACTAGCTTAGTTACCGTGTATATGTATATATTTAGATGAGTGCTCATCAATTGTTGTTTTTCCTTTTTCATCGCTTGAAATAAAGTCATACAAATTCATTCTTAACGGTACAGTGTTCTTCTTCTTAAAGTGCATATGTAGAGCAGCGATTTTTATGGAGAAGAAAGTGTTGAATGTATTCAAAAGTGAAAGTCGACAGGGTCTTTAAAACTGTGATCCCCCTGAATCAACTCGCTCAAGGTTTTTACTATCAACGAGAGCGCTGACCAGTCGCTTTATATTAAGCACAATTCTCCAAATTATCATACTGTTCCAGAAGAGAACATAATCTTCAGGGCTTATTTTAGGTTTTAGGTTCGTTCCAAGCAACAACGATTCCTTAAATTTTTTGGTATCTCTCCAGTTTAGAGTAATTATACCTTTGATTAATAGCAATAGAAATTTACGATTATATATTCCTGACGTTGATGATGCGGAATTAAACTTAAAGTAATCTGATTCTTGCATTGTACTTGTTACTATTACTAGCATGCTGAATAGCTTCGCAGGTTCTAAGCTGTAAAAGTTCAATTGTTGGCTAATATCGTACCCCAATTCCAAATTGTAAAAATAGAGTTACGCCTTAGCAACCAAAACACGTTTCGAACAATAAACATATAATGTCTCGCAATTTAATATTAGTAGTAGTGATTTGAAGAACAGCGATGCTCATTGTATTTCGTACCATAAGAATCTACACTGTTGGATCCATTTAAAAGACTGAGTAATTGATATAACATCTCCCCTTTTCCTCAATTATTCTCTTCATAACCAACAAATCATTACTCTTGACATTGGTAACATTCAACCACTTCTAATATTCTTACATTACACTAATAGGAATCAACAGTTGGTTTTTATTTTTGAACACATAAATCACAGAAAGGTCTAAAAGCTAATTTACAAATTAGTATGAAATCTAAATCCTGTTTTTCATCTTCACTATATATACTGTAAAGCATTCAAAAAAAGTAGATAAACAAATCATATACTTTCAAAATTTTAAAGAACTGTGTGCCATACAAGATGAATAAAACCACTGGCAAAGCTGGCAATGGAAGGGGGTTTTGGAAAAGAATATGACTCGTCTAATTCAACACTTGATAGCACTAGTTTATAGGGGGGCTTTACCGTAGCGAAGCAAAGGTGTAAAACCATGGTAATAAGACATCTAATCCAACACTTGGTAACATTGATCTATATGAGGGCTTGATCGCAGCGAAGCAAAAGTACAAACCTATGACAGCTGAGCATCCGATCCAGCATCCGATCCAGCATTTGATAGCATTGATCTCTACGGGGGCTTAATTTTTGCGAAGCGAATATGAAAAACGATGGTATCTAAGCAGCAAATTCGGGTTTTCATTTCCAATGTTAACAAGCTTACCAGCAACATAGCGCATTAAAATTTGCGTGAACCAGCTTTACCGAAATCAATATCCCTTCTATTCGAATTAAAAATTGCTCAAGCTACAGAACTGCTTTTCCAGTAAATTGCAGCTACCAAAGATGTGGTTCATGCCCTGTAAATAAACCCTATAAAGCAATACATAAACAAATTTGACAGCTTTCAAGCCTTCATATCTTGACATGTAAACATTTCTGAGCCACCGGAATGACGCCAAACAATTGTGCTTGAGTGGTAGTAACTTCCTGACACCTTTGCTCAACTTTTTGGTCCAAAAAAAGGCCAAAAATCGACCAAAAGGCATGAGGGGTACCTCATGCATCTTGCACATCAATGTGAATGGTTACTTTACCGATGATGTTCCCAAGCTGCGAGGCTTAAAGCAAGGTGACCCCATTTCCTCTATTTTGTACAATTTGGCTATTGAACTTTTTCTGCGGTCAATTCTCAATAATCCATTATACCACGGCTATCAAATGCAGTGTGCAACTGACCATCCCAACTATAATGCTAATGACCCTTTAGTTCATGTGTCAAAAATCCTTTGTTAAGCTGATGATGCTTTTGTATTTGTTCAAGATCTTCCTGATCTGGCAAGACTCGAGTACCACTTAGATGTCTATTGCAATGCAACCAATGCCAAGATTAATTACAACAAGGTCGAAGCTATCTCGCTCTCTGGTCAAAACACATGGTCATATTGGCAAGCACGACTCTCAGAAATGAATATCACAAAATTCACACCCAACATGGATTCCAATCCAGTGATCTATCTCGGGTTTCCTCTGCTGCAATCGGTTCAACAACGTGAAGTATTTATCGATGGTCTTGTCGACAATCTCCGGACAGCTACCAAAATCCACAGTGTAAGAAGTCTCTCCGTCGTTGGCAAAGCTACAGTGCTCAACAGTTTGATTTTGTCCAAATGCAGGTATGTACTGCGAGTAATCCCGTTTGCTCAAAGTAATGTCCAAGCTATCCAGTCCATTTGCACCAAGTTTCTACGAAAAGGCATCTTTCCTGTTATCCCCTGGGCCACATGGACCAAGCCGAAGCCATTAGGTGGATTAGGTGTTCTGGATGTTGCTCTGCAACAATCAGCCCTATACTTTCGTTGGGTTCAACCGCTTCTCCATCCCTCTGACTCGCCCCACATCCTAGATCTCATGCTGGTCATGCTAGTGAATAAGCAAAATCAGAGTGCGCATGTGCAGGTTTCGTTGCTCTTTCCCCTCACACGAACCACTGGTCTCACTAAACAACGCACCAACACGGTAACAATGATCTACAAATCAGTTGACCGCCTCAAACGCATCCACGAACCAGTTCACCTCAACATTGCTACCGCCTTAATCCTACCTGTCAAAGCCATTCTGCAGCCGTCTGTCACTGTCTCCAAAATGCCGATTAGGGCCACTCAGTTGCAAGTAAAGGATCTTTATCAACCCAATCCTGACCAACCTCTGCAACTCGAAGCACGAAAAGCACCAACCATCCCAGCTGACATTCGACGCGCTTGCAAGAAAATCCTGAAGCAAATCAACGAGAACAAAGTACATATCCAACCGTACTTTAGCCTCATGCTACAACCTCCTCAGGATGGCACCAATCGCACAACCGACATCTGTTTTAAACCCTTCATTGATTCCTATGACTTCAACAGCCAGCAAGAACTCACTCAACAGATTTCAACCAGAACATTCCGCACAGCATGCATCGAGGCTCACACCTCCAGCATCGCCAGGTCCAACTGGAATTTCTTCTGGTTTCTGTCCCTGAGCCTTGTCCACCGTAATGTCATCTATCGCTTCCTCACCCACACCATCCCGACCAAACGCCTGCTACACTACTTTGAGATAGCTGAATCACCTCTCTGCCCGATCTGTGGTAACGAAGAAAATGCTGTACACTTGCTTTTCCTCTGTTCCAGTAGGGTATCCATCTGGAAAGCTATCATCTTTGAATTCCTGTGGCCAACCGTTTCGATTGGTGATATTATCCAAGCCTGTTCCTCTCTTGACTTTGAAAACATCAGGTATGTCTCCAAATCATACACCACTGCTCACATGGTCGTACTGGTAACACTTGGCAACATTTGGCGAGCTCAAGTTCGTACGATCTTTCACTCGACTCCATTTATATGGATCGATATGGTCCAGCAGATCAAGAACGAGCTCCTTCAACTACATGACGAAACTGAAATTCACAAGCAATTGTAATTCTCTAACCACAATTGTCATCTATCATCTGTTCCTGTCATCTACCGCTTTATCCTAAATATAATTGGGTATCATATCAATTGCGCCCGCCTCTTGGTAGTGCCCTAGGGGCCTACTTACACGGAGCAATCAATAAAAACAATTTAAAAAAAAGTACCTCATGCTTTTCATTGAAAATCAAACGATCGCGTTTTTCACCCTAAAAATGAAGACTTTTACTATGACACATATATAATCAAATTAATCGTAAAGACGGGATGCAGCACTGAAAACTTTTTCTATGAGATTTTTCTATGTGAAATTTCGACATTTTGGCAAAAAACATGTTTTCATATTTTTGCAAATTACTCATTATTTTCGGCCGGAAAACTCAGTGTAATTAGAGCCATTCAACGCGGCTTCTTTAGTCCTTTAAAGACATATTAGAAATTTGGGTGTAATAACGAGAGTCTTCATAGTCAAATTTGGCAAAAACGTTTAAAAGATGTCAGATCAAGACAAGGTTGAACACGAAAATACCCACTGCACAAATTCATATTAAATTACCGCAATTAGGGCGGCCGCGACAGAAGACTGAGAACAAATTTACTAGCCGTGACGTCGGATAAGACGCTCTCTCATTCTTTCATACCCCTCGTTTTTTCTCCCTTTTTGCAAAACGCGTTTAGTATCAAACCATGATCGTTTTGGAAACCTTTTGATTGATAATGACACTCTACCTTCTGATAACACTGTCAAGTACCGTTGGAAGAACTTGATGCTGCTTCTTTGAAGTGGAATATAGTAGGTACCATTCGATAACGAGCACTGAAAGGCGTAGAATTAACACTAATAATTGAATTTGTTTATTAGGCTTTGATGATTCTTTTTGTCTGTTTGATGTGGGTGCTGCTGCCATTACTTCTCTGCTATCTCTGCTGTCTGCTTCTTTGGTTTACCATGTCTGGTGGTTGCTTCTTTGGTCTTTGTATGGTCTTTGGTGTCGCTCAATCTTCGGTTTTTCTATGGTGCGGCTGTTGCTGCTGCTGCTACCGCTAATTTGGTCTTTCCTGGTATAATCTATTTGGTGCATGCTAGTTCTCTGGTTCATATCCGGTGATTAAGTAATATCAGGTCTATCTGTGGTGGTGATAAGTGGTAAGTAACTTCTCTGGTCTTTGTCTGCTCTCTGCTGATGGCGTTCGTTCTTTAATTTTTTCTATGGTGCTGATGTTACTGCTGCTAATCTGGTCTTTTCTGGTCTACTGTATCTGGTGCATGCTCGTTCTCTGGTCTGTCTCTGGTAATTGCCTATACTACTCTTCTGGTCTATCTGTGGCTGTGATAAGTGGTAAGTATCTTCTTTCTTCTGGTCGTAATGATATAAAACTTCTTTGAACGTTTATATTATTACTTCCTTTCTCGTGATAATGCATTCATGATGTTTGCCTTGTTGCGCTTTCTTTTTCTTCTTCTTTTTCTTTTGCTGGTAGTGTTTCCTCTGTAGCTTTACATGAAACAACATTAGTCATTATTATGTTGTATTGCAAACTTACAATACCACTGTTGCTTTTGCAGTTGTGCGTATTTGTGCCACATGTTGCTTTACTCACCCGACTATTACTACCATGCACGTTGCTCATGTGTGCATTTCTATTGCAACAACAACGAGCTTTTTTGAATATTGATGTTCTGTTTGTTATGCTTTTCTTTGACTCACTTTATGTGAGTGTTCCTTTTTTGCTTATGTATTACTATACTTATATAGTACAGTGGTATGTTCTTTTCTTCTTTCTTTTATTATTATGTTTCTTTGAAGCATACCTTTTTTACGTTGTGTGGATGTGCCTATCCCTGAAGCTCAACAAGACTTTATCCGAGACTAGGAGGTAGATAGGCCGCCTCCGCTTAGTTATTGCTACTTACTTTAGTGATAATTGAGGGTCTCAATGCCTGAATTTAAAGCTAGGTGGTGTAAGTAAGGCATACTCTAGCACCTGGGGGAAATTTGATGATAGCAACAGCTATAATGCTATATAGCGGAGCTTAAAATTTTGCCTCACATCAAAACAGGGGGAAACCCTCGCAAATTTTTTTAAGGTCAGCGGAGTTTTCAAGCAATCTGATTGGCTCAAAGGTTCAAGCGACGAAGGATTACAACTAGTTGATTTCCTATTGATTTGTCATTTATCATGCTATAGTTTTTGTAATAAAAGAGTATCCAAATAGTTAAAATTTATATTCTTCTTTATCCAAAAGTATGATAAGATGTAATCATTTGATTAGCATCCATTAAACAGTGTTGTAGAATTTGAGACTTATTAAGCCTAAATTTCATGGAAACAAAGAAAAAAAAATATAAAATCAATAAAATCAACTTGATGAAAGTATATTTATTTATCAAGCTAATAGATGTAAAATAAACTGACAAATCTCTACTGGCCAGGTAGATGATCCTTCTTATATACTTTAACAATGAATAAAAGTTCTACTAATTAGAGTGGACAAATAAGTCAAATAAAATCAGTTAATGCCTATTCATGCTACTAAAAGACAATTCCAGCAAACTAAGCATGTTTTAGCTTTGTCTGAATGAATATTTAGAGTCTTATTTGAAGAACTCTGGTCTATTCTTTGTATAAGAATCATGAATATCTATCTATTAGCATGTATTCGATAGGAACAGTCTAACTAGTCTATATCTGTGGAATACATCCACTATGATCTGCATTCCGACAGTTCATCCAGTTACCAGATTTAGATATAAACTGTATGTACACTGGATTAGATGTACGATATCGATTTATACTATGATCATGAGAAGATATGGACTTCAGATACGCTAGTACTATAAGATTCATACTATATAAGATATAGGCTATAGATGGCACCACGGACATGGATGGCACTATAGACTTATACTTGTATTCCGACATTGACTACGGATGTTTACCATATCTGGATAGGCACCAAGATTAATGCAATATGAGCTTGTTGCTTCAGATGTGCACTTTATGATCCACGCTATAAGACACATGCTTATATCCGTGATACTAGCTACAGATACTTTATGTACTACAGACTTGTACTATATATGAGACATGCTATAGACATGCATACGATATGCTATAGACATGCCATATATCCAGATACATGCTAAAGATGTATGCTTAGCGATATACACTCAGATATGTACTATTAATATAGACTAAGAAGACTGTACCTATCGGATACATGCTACTAGATCGATATTAATTATCCTTATGGAAAGGATAGATCAGGGTACTTCGGATGAGAGTCTAATTATTCATCCAGACAGAGCTAAATCATGATTAGCTTGCTGGAGTTGTCTTTTAGCATGATTAGACATTAGTTGATCTGAGTTGACTTATTTGTCAATCTAATTAATAGAACTTTTATCCATTGTTATAGTATATAAGAAGGATCATCTACCTGGCCAGTAGAGAGACTTCAGTTTACTTTACACCTGTCAGTTTGATAATAAAATATACCTTTATCAAGTTGACTTTACTGTTTTTTTATTCTTTTTTTTCCGTGAATTTTAGTCTGTAAAGCCTCAAATTCCACAATATCAATAGTACACATCTGAGTTTACATCGTTGAGTATACATCTTTATTTAGTATGTATTAGGATATATGGCATGTTTATAGCATGTCGTATGCATGTCTATAGGATAATATATATAGTACAAGTCTGTAGTACATTATGTATCTGTAGTTAGTATCACAGATATAAACATGTGTCCTATAGTGTAAATAATAAAATGCGCACCTGAAGCATCAAGCATATATTGCATCGATCTTGATGTTTATCCAAATATCGCAGACATCCGTGGTCAATGTCGGAATACAAGTATAAGTCTATAGCACCATCCATGTTCATGATGCCATCTATAGCCTACATCTGATATAGCATGAATTTTGCTGTACTAGCGTATCTAAAGTTTATATCCTTCTTGTAGGATATATCCGTATCGTACATCTAATCCAGTGTACATACAGTTTATATTTCAATTTGGTAACTGGATTAACGCGAACTATCGGAATGCAGATCAGAGTGGATGTATTCCGCACAGTCTTTACAATAGCGTATATCAAGCTTTGTACAAACCTTATTGTATGCTTCGAGTCAATGAAAAATATGTCTCTAACATGTCTCAATCAAGCATACAGTCTTTTTTTCTGGTATTAATACAAAAGATGAATCAACAACTATTATTCGTTTCTTCTATCTAGGACATTTTACTTCTATGCGGTTAATCAATGTCAAGCCGCTGGTTTGTTGATATACCTGTTGAAACTCCTCGAGATACACAAACACATCTTTTTCATTTATATGTTTCCTTGTGTGAATAAACATGAACACAGAAGAGATAAATGATATAGCCCGCAGGCTGACACAGCAATGGACATCGCTGATCATAAATAGAATGCAAACGCCATCCAATGCACAGGAAAGAGCTTTCATGAAGCAGTTGGAAGCAAATGGGAGCATCGTGTTTCAATATGAAAACCAAGAACTACTGGTAAGACTTGCTTTGCTACATGGTAGAAAAAACTTATAAAGGTTGACTAGGATAAAGCAATGGAAGTGATTCCTTTGCAGCGTCTTTACGAAGAAGCTGAATCCAAAATAGAGGAGCAAGGAGGGGAAGGTTCCTTGGAAGATTTAGTCATTCAGCGATTATTACATTGGTTCAAAAACGCATTTTTTGTATGGGTAAATAATGCACCTTGTGAGTATTGTCAGAATGTAAGTGCGCATTCATTTGAAAAAGGATCTATGAGCTAAAGATATTGAATAGACTCAAACTCGTGGCGTAAATCATTTACATCCAACAACAGAAGAACTGCTGTTTGGCGCTAATGTAGTAGAAGGTTATCACTGCTCATCATGCAATAGAATAACTCGCTTTCCTCGTTACAAGTAATATAATAATAGCGATTATGATACCAATGTGCTGATAATCAATTTTGAATAGCGATCCCGGTAAACTGGTCGAAACAAGACGAGGGCGATGTGGTGAGTGGGCCAACGTAAGTTAAATTCATAATCTGTCACTGCAAGTTGAACTGATATCATTGTAGTGTTTTACATTGTGTTGCCGAGCAGTTGGATCTGAAGCTCGCATTGTGTATGACACCACAGATCATGTTTGGACTGAAGTGTACTCAGAGTATGAGCAGCGTTGGATTCATTGCGATGCATGTGAAGAAGCATGGGACCGAGTAAAGTTTATACATCCAGCTTGACATGATTATCAGCTTACAAAGAAATCAAAAGCCATTGCTATATAACGTAGGTTGGAATAAGAAGCTGAACTATTGCACTGCTTTTTCTGTCGATGAGGCACTGGATGTGACCAAGAGATATACACGAAACTGGCAAGAGGTACTGACTAGACGCACCAAGATACGGGAGCCCAGATTAGCAGTAGTAAGTGAGGACCTTAGCTGATTTGATCACCAGTGCCAACCATTTTATATTCAGTTTTTAGAGGGGATGACAGCCAAACGTCAAGAAAATCTAACTCAAAAGAGAAAAGATGTGTTAAATCAAAGGCGAGTCAAGGAGCTAATAGAGTTGGAAGAAGACAGCAAAAAGGTGGCGGTCAAGGATGACGAGATGGTCGGTAGACAAAGCGGTAAGGTGTCAAGCTGATGCTGGTACAGGCTCTTGATTTTTAAACTTTCTTTGCAAAGGATCTTTGGCATGGCGTACAAGTCGAGGCGAGACAGGAGAAACAGCTACCACAGAGAACCTCATGAGCAAGTTGGAGTTGAATGATTGCAGCAAGTATATCGTAGCTATGTGTGAGATGCTTTGATCTAAATCGTTGTCTTTTATGTTACAGAGAAGCTAAAGATAGACGCTCAATATACGCTCTTGGGAAGTGCCTCCATGCAGTGCGACGGCCGATCTTTTGTTCCCAATGTTCCTTATATCCGTATCACAAGTGCGACACCCGATCAACGAGGCGGTGTTTATTGTAAACAATCGATTCAACTAGACAGCAATCTCAAAGGCATTGAAGTCGAATTCGCATTTCGCATCACAAATAGCAGCGGTCAAGAAGCAGTGAATGGAGCAGATGGGTTTGCATTTCTGATTCAGGCACAGGGCGAGCATGCCCTAGGCGGAGGTGGATGTGAGTTGGGATATGGTGGTATCAGAAACAGGTAAAGTTGCGTTTGGATAGGCGCAGTTTCTTTACTCATATGTGCTTGTGATAGTCTGGCTGTTGAATTTGATACGTATCAAAGGTACATGAGCTTTTTTTTTTGGTCTATTTGTATTTTTATTCAAGGTTTATTTACAACTATTATAGTTCAGATAGATGCGCTGATCCATCAGCTAATCACATCAGTGTTCACGGCAGGAAGCCGCCTTATACCAACTCGGCACATCAAGACTATTCATTAGGACATACTTCACATATTCCTCCCTTGCAATGTGGCAAATGGATCAAGTCAAAGATACGATTGTTGTCCAATGGTATTATTGAAGTAGGTCTAGCCGAAGTTGGAGACAAGGAATATATCCAAGTATTGAAAATTACCAATCAAGACTTTATGGATTATCTGATGCCAAAGGAAAGAGCATGGATAGGCTTCACGGCAAGCACTGGAGGGCTAGCAGAGAACCACGATGTTCAGATGATATCTTTCTTCACATTTACTGAATAAAGCAAGTTTGATGATAGAACACCTGAAGATGGTATTTTGATTGTTCCAGAGAGAAAGGAGTCAATGAAGCACTTTCAAAAGCGAGTTACACATATCCGTAGATCAAAAGTGTCTTTTTTTTTTACTACAACATGCTCCTTGGTTGTTATTAGCATGTGCACAAGGAAAGAGTGGCTCTTCTATTATTACTCATCCCCTTTGGAATATATCAAGATGCATCCCTTACAAGTTTATACTTATTATATCGCTTATTTACTCCCTTCTTTCCCCTTTTTCAGCGCTGTACGTGTTCTCGCAATAGTAGTAAGGGATATATGATAAACAAAGAATTATGCTATAAACCCTTTTCTCTCTTCTTCTTGTCTTGTTTTATCCTCTTCAACACAGATATGCGTATTTACATTATATATCTAGCAGTACTCGTCGTATATGCGCTTCTTATTGATGCCAGAGTTGATCATGTCAGACGAGGTGAGTGCAAATGGACCGATAAAATTACCTTTGAAAGTACTAAGCAGTATTTTATTTCATTATGGACACCAATAGCTGAAGAGACAGGTATGTAAACTGAGAGATGATACCTTGAGAAGCAATATATTAAACACTGAATAGCAGGTAGCGCACAACCATCTGCAGCTGCTCCACAGCCATCAGAGAATAACAATAACAATAACCAACCACAACCACAACCAGCCAGCACTGCTACAGCAGTAGTAACAGCACAAACCAACTCGGCCGGACCACCTGATGGAGGCAGTATGCCTCAGCAACAGGCTGGTGGACCCGTGAATACAGCGCTATCGCCACCCAACAGCAACGGCACGCATGCGAATGCAACGCAATCAGTTCCACCCAATAACGCTAATCCATTTGCTGGCAAACCCACTTATGCATCCTTTTCAAATGATATCCCACCTGCTTATTTAACATGGAAGAAGCCAATTCCCAACCAGACATTCCCTCCACTCTACAAAATCGGCGTTTCCAACATGTCATTCGAGTGGACAGTCGATCCAAATGTGCTCAAAGTGCAGCCTGCTAATCTCACTGTAGCCTTGGCCAATCCTCAAAAACAAACATTTACAGCAGCTATTGTAGCAGGTACAGCTACCTCAGCAAACTGGGATTTGGCTCATCTTCAACCCGGATCACCATTGATGGTTGGATATTACACTGTATGGGTTTACGATCAAAGAGGGCCCAAGGCTTTTCCTAGTCCGGGCTGGCTAATGCCTGATTCAAGGTTGGTGGTTGCCATGTATTCAACAGAAGCTTATGTAGGAAGAACAGATTGTATGTATCCTTTTGCGGCTGGACTATTCAAAACGATGATACTGATAGCATAATAATAGCCATGTTTTGTCCTACTTGTTATTTAGGAGGAGGAGGATCATTCCGTGAGTCATTTTTACCATTAATTACAGCATTTGGAGTAGCTACATTAACCTCGATTGTCATGCTGGTTGGAATCCTAAAATAATACAATTAATACTATGCATTTTGTACACAATTCTTTACTATAAACTGAATACCATCATAAACATTAAAAACACTCATTATTCATTTATACCATCTTGTAGCATGGCACATGATATTTGCATCAGAAACCATATTGGTACGTGGCAGATGCACCGTGTTTGTTTCAAATGAATCATCTAGCCAGCAAACGCTCGCTTTTACAGCTGTCATAAGTAGCAAAACATAGCCCTCGCTTGCTCAACGTCCTGAGCGCAAAGAATTCATCTGGTCTACACGATTAGGAAAACACAAAATAATTAGCATACCGAGTTTGGCACTGTATGCAATATGCAATTTTGCATTTAATCTCATTTTCTGCATCGTACATCGACATGGTAAAAAAACTCAGAGTTGTTGGATGGCATTTCTTTTAGGTTTGGTTGGTAGGCCTTATCCAACATATCTTTATAAAATATGCTACTAGCAAAGTTTTCCCACCATTTTCCCTGGTGTGTTTACCCGGAATGATGTCTACGTACAATAAAACAGACAACATTGTTTGGAAGAATGTTGATTGTTTATATATCAAAACATATATACACCCAGCAAAATGAGCGAAATAGCCACCACTGAGATAAAGAGGAAAAGAGAGAGAGAGAGAGAGAGAGAGAGAGAGAGAGAGAAAGCGAGGACATGCTATATTTAGAAGGGGAAAATCATTCCATTTGGGACACATGTACACAGTGTTGGGGCTCAACAATATGGTATTTCGGTTGATATAGAAATAACATACACACAATCATATCCATACCAAATGTTGGTCTAAACATGCTGCTGCCATTTACTGATTCAATGGTAAAGAGAAGGTTATTATTGTAGACGGCACTAACAAAGGAGGAATGATGCTGCCAAGGACTCCCAGATGTAAGACATCACCACAGACAAAAGAGAGATCTACACACATTTCAAATCAAGATACTATTACACTGCTCAGCGGAATTTCAGCAATGTTCGCAATGTGAAATCAAAGATATATAAATACCCTTCAAATCAATGTCATTCCATTCTTTTTTCTCTCTTGTTCTTTGCAATTGACATTTTAATCAATCAACACACTATACAAAATGAAGGCACTTATTCTTGTTGGAGGTATGTTGTTATCAGCAATGTGCACATGTCAGCCCATTGACCTCAGTCTGGTTCAGGTTTCGGTACTCGTCTTAGACCCCTCACCCTCACTCTTCCCAAGCCTCTTGTTGAATTCGCCAACAAGCCCATGATCCTTCATCAGATTGAAAGCTTAGCAAAGGTAACTAAATTTATTAGCGCCATGATTGAAGTTGAAAATTGATGTCATTTCATCAAAATTTAGGCTGGTGTAACTGATATCGTCTTGGCTGTCAATTATCGCCCTGAAATCATGGTGGCTGCCTTAAAGGAATATGAAGCTATTTACAATGTTAAAATCACATTTTCTGTTGAAACAGAGCCATTAGGGACAGCTGGTCCTTTGGCTTTGGCTCGCGAAATTTTGGGCAAAGACGAATCGCCTTTCTTTGTCCTGAACAGTGATGTGATCTGCGACTTCCCATTTGGGCAATTGAGAGATTTCCACTTATCTCATGGCGGTGAAGGTACCATCGCTGTTACAAAAGTTGATGATCCTTCCAAATACGGTGTCGTGGTCAACAGATCGGGTTCATCCATGATTGAAAGATTCGTGGAGAAGCCAAAAGAGTTTATCTCAAACAAGATCAATGCTGGTATGTATATCTTGAGCCCCTCTGTCTTGAATCGCATTGAGGTTTGTATATGGTAACAGCGCTGATTGATTGCGTGTTGATTGACATTTTTGTCTAGTTGAAGCCTACTTCAATTGAAAAGGAAGTTTTTCCTTTCATTGCTCAAGCTGGTCAGCTACATACCTTTGATCTTGAAGGATTCTGGATGGATGTTGGTCAACCCAAGGACTTCTTGACCGGCACTTGCCTCTATTTATCCCACTTGGCAAAGAAGCAACCTGAAGATCTTGCTAACCCTACGTTAGGATACATTCACAAGGGCAATGTCATGGTACATCCCTCTGCCAAGATTGGTAAGGATTGTCGCATTGGTCCCAACGTGGTTGTCGGCCCTAATGTAGTGATTGGTGATGGTGTCCGTCTTCAGCGCTGTGTCATCTTGGAAGGTGTTGAAATCAAAGACTTTGCTTGGGTTAATTCTAGCATCATTGGCTGGCACTCATCTGTTGGCCGTTGGTCTCGTATTGAAGGCTGTTCAGTTTTGGGAGACGATGTAACTGTGAACGATGAAATTTATATCAACGGGGGCTCCGTTTTGCCTCATAAGGGTATTTCTGCCAATATCACTGAACCCAAGATTGTTATGTAATCTATCATGCACTCTATATACTATCATTACAAACACCACATATTTACATTTTATCCTAACCACTCAGTCCTCTAATATATACAACTCTCTCATTTACTAGAATACTTTTTAAATCATGTTTGAAAACCTTTATTTTTGTTGTAAAGTTACCGAGATCTATGTTGCTACACCTTGTTGAAATGCAACTTGTTGATGAATTGGCTTTCGAGGATATTAACATCTCTGAACATTCTATTGGAACATAATAAATTTATGGTCCGTATACACTTACAAAACCTCAAAAAGGAAGAAGTTGGTCTAACAAGTATTTCTGTGGACTGACTTTATTAGTTGCAAGGCTCCAACATAAAGTAGCATGGCTAACGGTAATTCTATGTAACTGCCACCTACTTTCCATACGCTTTAAAAGCATCTATTACTGTATTGCCTTCATGATGGAAAGGGCATTGAGTTTGTCAGCCAGCCCCACCAGCTGCTAAAATTAATTCTAGCTCAGACTTTCAGTCTACTACAGATTGGCCAAATCTTGATGATTTTCGACTCAATTGAGCTATTTTAACATACCCGACTATGATCATCCCATGCTTCTAAGCTTTCTTGGAGTACTTTTCAAGGCGCATCCAATGGTACCAAGTAATATAGATGTTTTCAATGAATTTGTTGAGTAATTAGGCAAAATACGAAATGAGGTTTTAGTAAAAATATCCAGATTCTACATATGAAAACCCAACAAAAGCGGTTTCAGAGGCGGCTTTGGATCGATAGAAACATTTTGATTCAATATGTACCATAGTAAAAGTCTTGGTTATCAAGGTCAAAAATGCGATCGTTTGATTTTCGATGAAAACAATGAGGGGTACCTCATGCTTTTTGGTCGATTTTTGACCATGCTTTTTTGATCCCCAAAAAGTTGAGCAAAGATGTCAGAAAGTAACTGCCAGATGAGAGCAACTGTTTAGTGCTATTCTGACCATCTAAAACAGCCTTGAAATGAAGGGCTCTTATGTATAGGTAGAGCGCTAGAATGAAAGTAGCAGTATATTGCTAAGGTGAGCAAGGGCAATCGGTAACGTGGTCGCCGCTGCGCAGGTTAATTCTCACCAAAGCGAAGCTAAGGTAGAGAGCCAGCTGAAGCATAGATACACTCGTATGAATATGATGTATCTTGTCAAATTTTGGCAAGCCTCCTTATTTTATCCATAAATCGACAACTAAAGTATGCATTTGTAGACAAAACATGTATCAATTTTATGAAACAAAGATAAGTATCCTTTTTCACAGAATAAATCATTTATTGATTGATTAATCAATTGTTAGTAGGAGGATCTTGTGGATAATCTAAATGTGCCAAGGGAAATGAGAGTTGGGGATGCTGCAATTCAGTTTGTTGTGGTGTTTGGGATGGCTGGGGTTGTAGTTGAGGAGCAAGACTCATACTACTCGTATTATTATTGTTAGCGGATGTTTGAGGCTGTTGAATTGTTGATTGTAATGCGTTAGAAGGTGAGTTTAACTGAGGAATGCCTTTCGATAGTCGCTTCATGATTCTCGTGTACATTTTCAAGCTCTTGATTGAATCCACAACCGACAAATACTTCTTGATACGCTCCTCAAGACTTTTTTGATAAAACTCTTTATCCAGCTCCAACAATTTGACAGCATTTTCTTGCACAGTGCTATCACTAATCAAGTTGACAAGACTTGAGACAGGAGGGAGGTTGTCGACTTTGGCAAGCTCAGATGAGCCAGAGGCTTGTGTATCGAGATTTCGGAAGATAATAACCAGTTTCTGGAGGATGCTTGGGTCGCCGAAAAACTTGAGCAACTCTGCATCTGAGAGCTTCTCAAAGAGCTCCACATGTCCCTTGCTGAGAAGTGAAATGGCTGTGTAGATATTATCATCGTCAAATTGCTTTGTGATGTTCTCAATGGTAGTTTTCTTTGCAATGATGGCGTCGAGTTGCGATTGGTCAAAGCACAGTGTGGGTGGCAATGATTGTTGGTGCTGATTAGTGTTGTTGGCAACAGGTGGGCCAGGAATTACTCTCCATTGAAATAGATTGAGCAACTGCATCATTTGGCTAGGGTTCATTTCGCTAAATGTCTTCAAACGAGCGCTGTTTTGTGCACTTGTGGGGCGGTAATTAACTGCGTTGTCCTTGAGATGATTGAGCATATTTACTAGTTGAACAGCAGGGAAACTACAAAGTTTTTGAATAAAGTTATTCAAAAACAGTTGCTCCTGTCGTCGCTGAGCAGCATCGCTCTGCTGATTATTTACTGGCGCATTGTTGACGGGAGACGCTTTGGTTGATGGCACTCGCGATGATGATGCTGGAGAGGATGAATATGTGGCTGCCGCAGGAGATTGATTGGCTACTGGCGAGGGTGATTGTATATTCAGTGCACTTGGCGGTTGTTGGTACACAGGCACAGGCGCTTGTTTGTACGCAGCAGTGCTCGCAGGAGCAGGCAATGAGACAAGAATCTGCTTAGCACCGTTGTTTGGAGCGTTTATCATGTTTCTCTGCTGCTGCAATTGTACTTGCTGATGCTGTATTATTGCTTTTTGTTGCTGGTTTTGATCAAAAGAAATGCGTTGGCCATTGATATTGTAAGGAGGGGCAGCTGCATTCAAAGGACGCACTTGGGGTTGTATTGCTGGTGGCTGGTATTGAACTATGGTAACAGGAGACGCTGTTGGCATGGCTTGTGGTACTGTCGAAGCAGGAACACTATTGGCACCAGAAGAGGGTTGAATGGGCTTGAAAGATGGTGGACGCTTGAATGCGATTTTTTGCTCGAAAAGTGAAGTAAAGGCCGCTGTGGCATTGGAGGCGATGCCGTTCAACTGAGTTCTCAATACTTCATGCTGGCTGTCAAGCGCTCTTAATTGATCAGCCTTCAACTTATCTTCAGACTGCAGTGCATTGATTTCTGATCTTTTAATCTTGTAATATACCTCGTTTTCGTAAAAGTGGATGTAACCTTGCATCACTTGATGCAGGAGTCGATTGACGTTTTCATTGTAAAAGGCAAATTTCAAGTGGAATCTTTCTGTTGCTACTTCAGGGCTTAAGCCTGATCCAACTTCAGCCAAGAACTCCTTGTCCATCTCCGTCTTTGAAAATTCATGCACACGCTTCCATATGTCACTGAGAATCGCGGCTTTATGATGACCATACTGTGCTGTCGGTGCGTTGGCAGTGGTTGGGTGGTCAGTCGCGTATCTATTGCAAATGTCGTTGATGCCAGGAAACACAATTTGGTACCACAAAACCTGCTGATAACGAGCTGGGATGATCCATTCCCATTCAGTAAGCGGTATTTGTCTGACTGGTTGCAATGGTACTACTGTTGATGTGTTGTGTGTAGAAGCCTTACTCTTCTTCTTGGGGGCCATTTCATCCAGCTTGGGCTTCTTTGTATGTGTCATGTCAGCGTTCAAATCAGGTTTGTTAAAGCCATGATCTTCATTGTCATCGTCTTCACTTTCCTCTTCTTGCAAGACAAACTCGTCGTCTCTGCCTTGTTGTCTCCTTAACGAAATAGGCACTGGTTTGATGTTATTTGACTCGGCATACGACTAGTAAAAGAAAAACACACGGTTGGTATCATGTATATCTAACATTACCGCAGAAGCTTACCACAGCTGTTCTCTTACGACCACCTCTGCCTAGCTTTAATTCAGCCTCACGCTTCTCTTGCCTCTTCTTCTCCTTTTGAGCTTGTTGCTCGATCAAGAATTTCTCCCAAAAGTCGCTTTCGTTCTCATCGTCCTTCTCAGTAATCTCAAGCTCTTCCGTGGTGCCGTCTGCTTGCCACACTTTAGCGTAAGAGAAGCTCATGCTACCTTCGTCCTTTTCGCGGCCCTCCAGTTCTTCCACTTCCTTGATTTGCAATTCAGTAGCTGCTTCACGGTATTGCTCTCGGTTCAATAGGTTGTCTATGGCTGCATCATCGTAGCGGATATCCTTGGAATCGTCATTGTCAAACAAGGCTTCCGTACCGTATTTGAGAATGGATTCCAAGTCTTCTATTTGCTCCTCTTCATCCGCCTTCATTCTTTCCACAACAACATGCTCTAAAGCCATTTTCTTTTTACCAATTTGCAGAATCTTCTCTTCGACAGAGAGACGCGTCATGAAGCGATAGATGATGACCATGTTGGCCTGGCCAATACGATGAGCACGACTGATGGCTTGCAAATCAGCATAGGGATTAAAGTCAGAGTCCCAAATGATCACTGTATCAGCAGTAGCCAGATTGATACCCACACCACCAGCACGCGTAGAGAGCAAAAAGACATTGATCTTGGAATAAGGCGCATTGAATGCATCAATAGCCTTGACACGGTTGTTTTCCTTGGTAGAGCCATCAATGCGCACATATTTCACCTGTTCATAGTCTAAATAGTCTTCAACAATATCCAAGTTTCGTGTCATTGTTGAGAATAGCAACACACGGTGGCCCCGTTCTAAGAGCTTGGGCAGCATCTGGTGGAAGAGCTTGAGCTTGCCACACGCTTCAATCATGGATTTCTGCACATCTGCAGGTGTCGGCTGTTCCAGTTCGACGCCGTCCAGCAAATAAGGGTGATTTAGCGTCTTTCTAAGGTTGGTGAAGATGTTGGTAAGTCCTTTCTGTCGCTTGGTGCCAGTGGCCTCTGTGAGAGTTTCGATGATTTCGCTGCTTAAGCAAAGCTTATAGACCTCTTTCTGCAGAGGTGTCATGGAAATGGGTACAATCAATTCATATTTGGGAGGCAATTTTTTCAGTACCTCCTGCTTTGTTCTTCTCAGGAAATAAGGCTTCAAGCGTGAATGCAATTCTTCTATTTGTGGCCTAGTCATCTCTTGGTAGTTGTCTGCCTCGTCGCCCTTGAATTCTAGGGGTCTAATAAAATGCATAATGTTGAAGAGCTCGCGCAATTTGTTCTGCATGGGAGTACCAGTCAGCAAGATGATATGATCCACCTTCATTCTTGCCAGCGTCTTGAATAGAAGGGATTCATCGTTTTTGAGACGCTGTGATTCGTCAACAATCAGCACAGGCCAGAAGATGTCGTGCAGTTTGGAAGTTTCGATAGCAGATTCATAAGTAGCGATCACAACATGACATTTCATTTGACCCTTGCCGTTTAGGATTTCATTATCCATGGCCAGCTTGCGTGCTGGAGCAAGGCCAAAGTAGGGAACGACGATCATTTCAGGCGCCCATTTAGCAAACTCGCGAACCCAGTTTGTTGCTGTACTGTTTGGTACCACAATGAGGAAAGGATAAATAACAAATTTACGGTATAAATAGAACAGAAAAGATATCACTTGGATGGTTTTTCCCAACCCCATATCATCTGCCAGAATGCATGGTTGACACTTTTCCCATTGATACAGCAGCCAGCTATAGAAACAGAAACTTAGATAAAGCAACATTTACGTACAATCAGATGCTTACTTGAGGGCCTCCATTTGATGTTTCATCAAGGTACCGCCTTTAAGGAAATCAGGCTGAGCTTTCAATTCACGGGATTCATAGCTTGTCTTTGTGGCTGCAGAACGCACGTTGGCAATGAGACCCTTCATGTTCTTTGGCGGCAGTACTTTGGAGGCTAGAACATATCGCTTGAGTGCATTCTGGTAGTCAGCATACAGCTTCTCGTCGTCCTCTGGAGGTGGTTCATCCCAGACAGCTATTAGGAACAGTTAGCATCATTTTTGCACTGCAGCATAGTGTCCACATACCATCGGCATACTCTGTGTCTTTGAACACTGCCAACACCTTCTTGACCTGTGTGCGTTTTGCATCTGCCCATTCCACATCCAAAATTCTATCGATGCATACAACGTCCTCAGAAAGAACCACAGGGCCCTCTTTCTCTTTTCTTTTCAGGTAGCCACGATGCAAGCCTTGCGAGTAGTTGGCGATCCATTTTGCGGATACCCAGCTAGCATGGCGATACGATAGATCCTTCCATTTGACATAGTACTCCAGCATGCCATCTACCTTTCTTTCACCCGCAATGATGTGAGGCACCTTGTCTTTCAAAAATGTGAAACACTCAATACATTGCCCTCCACGGTACATGTCGGCCAAATCAATCGACTTGAGCTTGTCGCGTAGCTCTGAAGAGGAGCCAGCGATGATACAATCATGGTGGAATGCGCTATTGCAAGTCAAGCAACGGAAAGGTGTGATCTTGGCTCCTCTTGTTTTCAAAATACTGGTGTTACATCGGGAACAGTTGGTGCCTCGTACACATTTGGGACACTTGAGACTTTGGGTGGTCTTGTCAACCTGCTTGTGTGATGATATACAGTTGTTGTGCATCGATATTGAACAGCTTTGACACAGCAGAAGCCTTGTTCTTTTAGCTTGTGTTCCAATCTGAAGTTTGCTGTTGTCGTTGGGATTGCCGGTTCTAAGACAACGTAGACAGTGTTCAGAGTGATACTCCAAAAATAGATCATCAGTATATGGTGGTACATAGACTGTCAATGGCTTCTTCGCAAAACGTTCATCAGGCTGAAATTGATCAGGGTAGAATTCTTTTTGAAAGGATTTGGGTTTAGCTGTCAATCTACCGCGTCTGGTCTGTCTTGACTCTTCCATCTCTTCCGATTCCTCGCTGTCATCCTCCTCTTCCTCCTCCTCCTCCTCCTCATCCTCATCCTCTTCATTTTCATACTCGTCCGAACTATTCTCTTTGAATGAGATACGCTTGCTGGATCTTGCTGTTGGATAGTGCTGCTTTATGATGCTGGATTTTGGTGGATTGAGTGGCTCAAAATGCTTGATTAGAGTTGCGTATTTGTCCTTCAAGCTTTTTGATGCGATCTGTTCAAATGAAGAAAAAGAAGGGGGTCAGTTAATATTTCATGTAGCAAAAGTGAAGGGGAATCGCATTCATGAGTAGAGTGAGAAAAGGAGTATGAGGAGCATTCGAGTGATTTTATAGCCATCACTTGATAGATTTACCTTCTTTATCTGGCCATCCTTGAACAGAACCGTGTAATAAAGTGTTCCAGTAGTTGTAAGTGAACTTTTGATGATTTTCTTGATAGAGTGCTGGTGATTCCATGGCTCCGACTTTAAATAAATTGGCTTGAACTTTTCTTTAAGGATCTGTTGATTACTTTCAGTCAATGGGTTCAAATGTACACATCCTGATACGTTACCTTGAATTTCATGTCTGGATCGCGTAGTTGGAGGAAACGAGATGAAAGAAATGTAAATTTTTTGTTTTATTGAACCTCCTGTCCAGTCACGGAAAAACAAGCTTGCCTTTTTTTTTGCAGATCTATAAAAGGTAACAGGAGTGCTTATTGAGGTAAAAATAGCCTGCACTGTAATTCCATTGTGTTTGGATCCATGGTCAACTAACGTTCCACCAGAAATCAGGGAGTTCAACTTTAATAAGTAAATAAATAAACTGATTATTAGCCCTTTTTTTCCTCTTTTCCTCTTTTCTTTCTTTCTTTCTTTGTTTTTCTCTTTATCTCTCTTTTTTCTTTCCTCAAATCATAGATCTATACTCTCCAATTTCTCGAGATTTGCAGCCATTTTTGTTCAACTAAGAGATGCAAGACGACTCTCGTATAGATTTAACTTGTTTGTTGAATACGTCTTCTAACGGACAGCCACCTACTGAAGATAGTATCACAAACTTACTTTCAAGTAGATACAAACGGAACCAACCTTACACCCGTTCAGGTCACTTGAATTTGATCGTCGTAAACCCATATCAACCACTGGAGATCTTGAACGACGCAACCCTTCGATCTTACGCCGATGTTGGATATAGAAATGTTATCGAAAATAAACATTTCATGCAGCCCCATGTTTATGATCTAGCTGCGAGGGTTTACTTCCATATGCGAAGAACAGGTGAAGATCAGAGTATTATATTGAGGTAAGGATCGGAGCTCACATTTAAGGGGAAAATCGGAGTTTAAATAACTCCGGGGGGGAGAGTAACAAAGGGCAGCGCAATGATTGGTTATATTAATTAAATAAAAATAGTGGTATTACTGGTTCAGGAAAGAGTATAACTAGATCCCACCTGTTGAATCAAATTCTATTATTATCGACTCACTCCAAGAAAGAAAACAAGCTTCAACAGCAAATCCGAAATTCTCTGGTCATTTTGGAAGCATTTGGACACTCAAAAACCACCCAAAACTCATCTGCTTCGAAATATGGCATGTTCCAAGAACTCCAATTCTCTGAAAGGGGTAGAATTCTCGGTGCAAAAACCCTTACTTATGCTTTCGACAAATCCAGAGTGACAACAATCCCCAACAATGAAAGAACGTTTAATGTATTCTATTCTCTACTAGCTGGCACATCTCCAGAAGAGCAAACTGCATTACACATTAATTTCTCCCCTGAATCATTCAACTACCTGAATCAATCCAAGCTAATCAAGGTGCCTGAGATTAATGATGAGATTGCATTTGCTGATCTCAAAAGCTCTCTCAAAGTGTGTGGCTTCAAGGCAAAAACCGTTACTCAGATCTTTCAACTTTTGGCAACCATTCTTCACATTGGTAACCTGCAATTTCAAGATGATCACGATGCTGGCAACTTGGCTCAAGAGGCATGCTGTGTCAAGAATAATGATGTGCTGGAAGTCGTTGCTGTGATGTTAGGTGTATCTCCCACTAAACTTGAGCAATCCCTGACTTACAAGCTGAGATTGATCAGAAAGGAACTTTGTACCATGTTTTTGAATACCCAGGGTGCTGCTGAACAAAGAGATGCTTTAGCTCGGGCTCTCTATCATGTATTGTTCCTGTGGATCGTGGAATCGCTCAATACAAAGATCTGTTACAACGATGGTGAACCAGCAAACTTTGTCGGCATTTTGGATCAGTTTGGCTTCCAAAATTTCAAATCAAATGGATTCGAGGAGTTCTGCGCCAATTTTGCAAATGAAAGAGTACATCAATTCATCATCGATCAGCGTTTCAGCGACTCTGAGGGTTTGAATGCCATTATGGTGCGAGATGGTCTGACCCTTCCCAAGGTGATTACCATGGACAATGCTGGCTGTTTAGAGCTGCTCATTGGCAAGGAGCAAGATCATACACGTGAGAAGAACGTAAACAAGTCAGCCGCACTTGGTTTAGGTGGTATTGTCGGGGCCATGGACCGAGATTGTGCCAAATATCAAACTGGTGCTACAGATGCCACAAACGCTAATTTCCTAGCTAATGTGCAGCGTTCATACGGGTCTCATTCCTCGTTCTCCAAGTCTGGACATGCCTATTCGTTCGGTATCAATCACTTCTCGGGTTCCGTCCATTACACAGTCGATTCATTTTTGGAAAAGAATTTGGACGATCTTTCACCCGACTTTGTCAGCCTCTTGCGTGATAACAGCACGAATACGTTTGTATCCACCTTATTTGAGAGTTCCGCTATGGCAACAGAATCTCATCCCAAAGATGACCGCACTATTGTCAAGGCGCAACTGACCAGCAAACCCACTCGTGCACCCTCCATGAAGAAGCCCAACAAGCGCCGCAACAACACCACTGCCGCGACGGATGCTGCCAACATTCCCATTCCAGAAGGAGCCGAACCAGATGCAGAGGAGATCAGAAAGCAAAAACTCATCAAAGACGCCGAAGACGCCTATCAAAATATGCAAGTTACAACTGTCATGGACCAGCTTTATATGACGTTGCGAGATTTATTTTACACCATGGCAGATACCCGTATTTATAACATTATTCACATTAGACCGAATGATACCCAATCTCCTGATGTATTCGATCCCAAGAGAGTCAAGGCTCAGGTCCGCGCATTTTTGCTGCCTGACTTGACCTGTCGCAGTGCTGTAGACTATGCCAATTACTATACCTTTGCTGAATTTCTGGTGCGCTACGAAGGCTTGGTTACTTCCCTACAAATCGACCACACCAAATCCGAGAAAGAGCAGGTGGAAGATGTGCGCTCCATCATGAACTGGACTGAACCTCAAGCCTTTGTTGGTCATGATATGATTTGGATTGCTTACGATACCTGGAAAGAACTGGAAGACGGCTTGCGTGCTGCTGAAAAGGAAGAGCGTGATCGCGCCAAGGGTTTGGACTCCAAGCAGGAACTACTGAACCAAAGTCCAGATGCTCGTCCTGGCATGATTGCTGGTGATGTGCCTCCTACTGGTTACTATCAAGACAGTCAAGATCGTTTGCTGCCTATTGGTGGTGGCTACGTGGATGATGGTTTGGGTCATGCCAGAGCATTTGAAGACGGTGCAAGTTATATGGACAGCGAGGATGGCATGAAGCGAGACATGGAAGGCAGTCAGTGGGGAGAAGAATCTGAATGGGGCATGAAGGGACTCTCTGATGGGTAAGTTGACATGGCAGTGCATGGAGAAAGCCATATACTGATACATTGACTAGATTTGGCCCCAACATGGATATGAGCAAAATGGTTGAAGATTATCACACGCCTCAGCATGAATCAGTTGAAGAGATGCCTATTACAGCAGTGCGTATCTGGTGGATCCGATTTGTCTGGTTGATGACTTGGTGGATTCCTTCTCCTTTCTTGCGTTGGTTTGGCAAGATGAAGCGTGAAGATGTTCAGATGGCATGGCGTGAAAAGGTGACACTCTGTATTATTATTCTCTTCTTTTCTGCAATCACTATTTTCGTTATTATCGGCCTCGGCGAAGTCATCTGTCCTGGTACCCGTAACATGTACTCTACTGCCAATGTTCAAGCACACGGTATTTCCGACGACATGTTTGTCAGCGTGCGTGGTGAGGTGTATGATATTACCAACTTTGCAAAGAGCCAACACGGCGCCTCTTCTTACATTGGTACTCTCGACCTGATGACTGAAGTTGCAGGTCTCGATGTCTCGTACTCTATTCCTCCTCCATTGACAATGGCTTGTGCTGGTTTGGTGACTTCGCCTACCATCAAAGTGATTCCAAACAACACAATCGTCCTCGCTAACTTTGTACACAACTCTGGCGATCAGCTCACCGTTGCTACGCTAACCAAGATGCAAGATCCCCGTTGGTATTGGAATTACTTTTTGCCTACCATGAGTCTATACAAAAAGGGTAAGGTGGTTGTCCCTGTCAAGCAGCTTCATGATGATTATCAGAGTTGGAGTCGCTTGGCCCTTGCTATCAACGGCAGGGTCTACGATATCAACGACTACATGGCTACCTCTAAAATCTACGATTCTGGTTCTACTGCAAGTGACTATCACTTTCTCCATCCCACGATTGAAGAGATCTTTAGCAAGTTCAGCGGCACAGATGCTACCGACAAATGGAATCAGTACCGTGGCTCCATGACGCCTGAACAGCAAGAGATGAACATGGCCTGTCTCGACAATTTCTTCTACATTGGTGATGTCGATGAGCGTGAGTCTGCTAGATGTATGTTTACAAACTACATGCTCCTTGCTGCCGCTATTCTGATGTGTACCGTGATCGTTGTCAAATTCCTGGCTGCTCTGCAATTCGGTGGTGCTCCTACACCTGAGGACCATGACAAGTTTGTCATTTGCCAAGTGCCTTGTTATACTGAAGATGAAGAATCTCTCAAAAAGACCATTGACTCGCTTACTGTGATGAACTACGATGACAAGCGCAAGTTGCTCTACATTATTGCTGATGGTATGATCATGGGTAGCGGCAATGACCGTCCTACTCCTCGTATTGTGCTGGATGTGTTGGGCTATGATACCAAGAACGATCCCGAGCCATTGATGTTCAAGTCTATTGGTGAAGGCTCCAAGCAGCTAAACTATGGTAAGGTCTATTCTGGTCTCTATGAATGCGAGGGTCATGTCGTGCCTTATGTTGTTATCGTCAAGGTCGGTAAAGCCTCTGAGCGTGCCAAGCCTGGTAACCGTGGTAAACGTGATTCCCAAATGATCTGTATGAACTTTTTGAACAAGGTCCATTTCGATAGTGAAATGACACCTCTTGAGCTCGAAATGTACCATCAAATTAAGAATGTCATTGGTGTAAATCCCTCCTTTTACGAGTACATTCTCATGGTTGATTCTGATACTGAGGTCATGCCTGATGCGCTGAATCATATGATTTCCCGTATGCTCCACGATGGTCGTATTATTGGTCTCTGCGGTGAAACCAAGCTGGTAAATGAAGATCGTTCATGGACAACTATGATTCAGGTGTATGAATACTACATCTCGCATCATTTGGCCAAGGCATTTGAGTCGTTGTTTGGCTCTGTCACTTGTTTGCCTGGTTGTTTCTGTATGTATCGTATCCGTACGCCTGTCAAGAACGAGCCTTTGATCATCTCTCCCAAGATCATCTACGACTATTCTGATAACCACGTTGATACCCTGCACAAGAAGAACTTGCTGCATCTTGGTGAAGATCGTTACTTGACTACACTGATGATGAAGCACTTTCCTCAGTACAAGATGAAGTTTACTCCGCATGCCCAGTGTAAGACGGTAGCTCCTGATCGCTGGCAGATTCTCCTCTCGCAGCGTCGTCGTTGGATTAACTCTACCATTCACAACCTGTTTGAAGTCGTCTTGCTGCCAGATCTCTGTGGTTTCTGCTGTTTCTCTATGCGTTTCGTTGTGCTGATTGATTTGATCGGTACACTGACACTGCCTGTCTCTGTCGTCTACTTGGTATATCTTATCTATGTCATTGCCTCTAAATCTGGTCCTATTCCAGTGCTCGCTTTGGCCATGTTGGCTGGTATCTATGGTCTGCAAGCCATTTTGTTTATTCTCAAGCGTCAATGGCAACACATTGGTTGGATGATCTTTTACATTCTTGCTATTCCTGTGTTCTCCTTCTTCTTGCCCATCTACTCGTTCTGGCATTTCGACGATTTCTCATGGGGTAATACGCGTGTGGTTGTTGGCGACAAGAAACAAAAGAAGATTATCGTGGCTGATGACGAGAAGTTTGACGAAAAGATGATTCCTCTCAAGAAATGGAGTGTCTATGAACAGGAACTCTGGGAAATGGGCTCCACTGGCAGCAAGGAAACTGGCATTACTGGCAACACTTACAGAAGTCACCAAACATACGGTTCTCGTGGCAATCAGTCTGGCATGTATGACAGCCGCACGCAATACGGTGGCAGCCAAGCTGGTGGAGAGTATGACTATTACCGTGATACTAACGTCTCTGGTTATGAGAGACAACAACGTGCTGGCGGTGGACCTCGCTCTCATAGCCCTATGGGTTTTAATGGCTCTGTGGTCGGCCCTGGATCTGAATACGGAGGTGCTGCTACTCAAGACTTTATGATGACACCACCTATGCCTCGCGGATCTCAAGCCATGTCAGTGCACAGCTTTGGGCCTGAGTATGCTGCTAGTGGCCATATGACTCCCATGATGAGTAACGCCAGCTTCATGATGGGCGGACAGCAAGACAGAGCAAGTATGATGTATGATAAATCGAGCGGCATGATGGGCCAACAGCCCATGATGATGGGCAATCAAAGTGAATACGAGATGCCTATGCGTCCCATGAGTCAATTCTCGATTCCTTTATCTCAAGGCGGTATGCAGCCAATGACTCCACCTGGCTTCCCTACAGACGATGAAATTTTATCAGAAATTAGAAATATACTTCAGACAGCCAATTTGATGAGTATAACCAAAAAACAAGGTATGTGGCGTGATGGCATCCATCTACGAATAAACTACTGACTGAAACTTATTCTAGTTCGAGAGCAATTAAGCGCCTTCTTTGGGTTTGACATGACTCCTAAAAAAGAATACATTAATACTAGCATTGAATACATCTTACAGGGTCGTCTCTAGACCTTATTTATAAACCCATTTTCATGTAAAAATCTCCAAAAAAATTACTATTTCGCACAATTTAAAAACTATAGCACTCACACTACACAAAGCACACACAATTCATACTATTAAACATTTTTCTGTTCTTTATATTAATTGACCCTCACCCTATTGCATGAACAAATGGCAAGACGGGGTCCAAACCGATAATATTTCCGGGATGTCATGAAACTAGGCTTTTTGCCTCATTGGATTGGTAATACAATAAGCAACAGATTGAAAAAGAGGCTGTGGTCTTTGAATTCGATTGCTCTTCTTCTTTCTTTCATTCATAAAATGCTGCCCATGTCAAATGATGCAAAGAAAGAAAAGCTAAAAGATGTCTTGCTAGGCCTACATTGGGCCGCAACCACTGGCAATGTCGGTAAATATTCATCAATGCATGTGTAAATAATTGGGTTCTTGCGTTCTTATCTGTCATTTGTGCTGCACAGGACTTATCAAATTCGCGTTGGACCATGGCGTCCCGATAGACTCAGCCGTCAATGGCTTTGTACCATTGCAACTAGCTTGTATCAGTGACAACAACATAGCTGCTGTACAGTATCTCATTGATAGAGGTGCTGATGTAAATATCCAAAAGTATGATATATGAATGATGTGAGAATTAGCCAGCATCAGCTCACATGACATTGTCTTTGCTCTGTGTAGATGGTCAAAGAAGCACAGTATAGACAAAACGCAAGCCGTTCCAGGGGCAACAGGATCCACTGCACTCCATGTAGCTTGCGCCAACGGCTGTATCAAGATTGTAGACCTTTTAATCAGGAATAATGCCCGCATTGATGTGAAGGATAAATACGGCTCGACTCCTTTAGATGTTGCACAAGCAAAGCACGAAACTGAAATAGTAAAACTGCTGAAAGCATCACGAGAGCAACAAAGACATTACAAGCATCGCCCCATGTCATATAGCAACGACAGTGATGAGAATGAAAACAGTAGAGCTCGAAAATCTATCGATTCCATCGTCATGACTCATAAGCGAACTTCTTCGGATAAGCAGCCTCGTATACGAAGACCCAGCCTACCATCCATATTCGAAGGGCACCATTTTTTGCCTCAATACATACCACCTAGCATCAGCATGACTCCGTCCTCAACGTCCCTCACAACATACACTAATGCCAACAGCAATCTGGAGCCCCCATCGACTGCCTCGAGGCGGAGTTTTTCAGCGCACAGACCATTGACAGACGAAATGCATACCCATTCTTGTCCAGTGACACCTAGAACTTCGTTAGAGTATTTTAATAGTAGTAAAAGATCTCAAAATCGCAACATACCCCATAGAGACAGATCACCTCGATCCTCTGAAGACTCTTCGGCCATCACTTATTCAACATCGCCTTCTCAAGGCAGCATGTTGAATCCGGATTATGCGACTGCTGTGGTTACTGCTGATGGACAACCAGACTGGTATGCGTATGGCGTAGTCAATCCATACGATGATGACAATTATCTCTTGTCATTGGAAAGAAGAGCATATAATCTGGCCTCCAACGAAGATGGTGGATTGGAAAGACATTCGCAAGATTCCTCAAGACGGCCCGTGGCGTACGACGACATGACATTGCCTGTCTATCGTCGACAATCTACTGCCTCTTCCGGTGATGATCAACAATCAGATCCCCACATCCACACAAGAAGAAGCGATTCATCTGACTCTGGTAACAAGCTGCGGACAACAGCACTAAAGAATGCGATGGCCGCCAATAATGGGATATCTGTCAATCTGACATCAGACTCCATCACTCCCACCTCTGAAAATGAAGAAGAAGGCTACGATGGTGAAGTTGATGATGAAGAGGAAGAAGAAGAGGAAGTAGACGATGAGGAGGAAACTTACAATAGTGAGCCATTACCACGGCCCTCTGTTGTGTTGGACAGCGGTCCAGAAGCAGATCTTGTGCGATACCGATTCTTGCGTCAGGATCAACAAGCGGACGTCATTCATACTGCTCAAGAAAGAGTTCATATGACAGATCATCCTCATCATGCTGAAGGGAAAAAGAACTGGTTTAGTGGGCTGGGAAAAGAAGTAGGCAGGCATTCACTGGATAGCCATTCGCGCAAAAGTTTGGATTTTATGCCTAGTTTTGAGAACTTTACTCAGTTTGCTAAGCGAGGGGTGCCTAATATATTAAGTCAAGATGACGATACATCAGACGATGATGAAAGACACCAGCAGCAGCAGCAGCGAAATGGCTTCTTTTCAAGATGGGCTCCTGCATGGTCCAAGAAGTGATGGGGCTCTCCATTCCTCTATCATACGCGACAAATATTCCCTTCCTCTCTCGTTCTCTATCATTGTGTACATATAATAAAACTTAGTCATCTTGTTTACTTGTTTTGTCGACTTACAGATGCATCTAGTACACATCTCCCTTGTAAGCAGGAGCAATGGCTAGATGCTCTACAACTTTATTAAATAACTATGCAGTTTAGTGTATAGCCTGCAATTAACTTGATTAGCAGACAAACTGAAGGTTTACATCGATAGGATGAGATGCACTCAATTGAGGACGTTGGGAATACTTGTCGCGAAGAATTTGACGCACACTGTTGAGCAATGCTTGGTATGATTGATTGGGATTCTGTCTCAATGTTGCTATTATATGGGCAGCGAGTAAATAAGCAAGATACATGACGGCAGCACACAAACACTTACTTGTGAAGGCATAACTCATAGCACCAGTTGATTTTCCAGCTTCTTGAGCATCAGCAGAAGTTTGGTCATCTTTGCAGCCTGAAAACATAATGACATCTGCTTCTGAAAAGTTACGTTGTCTTTGTTCTTCTTCCACATCGCGAGCAGCAAAGATGCCTTTTCCGAGCTCAATCAATGAAGAGAGGGCTCTTTGGGTATCACCTGAAGCATAAGAGATACCAGCAGAGATTAAACCTTTTCCAGCATCCTTGAAAAGGTTCTGATCTTTGATGACACCTTTTGTAGAGTACACAAACCTAATAGTCTCGTTAGCTGCATGCTTTGCTGTTTCCATATTCCTGACATACGGTAAGTCGAGAGCTGTGCCTGAATGACAGCTGTCAAAAATACAAGTCAAACGACTTCCTTTGCAGAGTGGTCTAACCAGAATGTCATGCATTTGGTCGTCAATAATCTGCCCTGAGGTTCCTTCATAGCTGTCAAAATCAACGGGGTATATTGTTTCATCGTAGCCATCGTCTTCATCGCCTTCTTCATCACGGACGCGGCCACCATGGCCACTGTAATGGAAAAAGAAGCTTGAAAAGGATGGTCTCTATGAGTACATGTAAAATTTGACCAGCACATATCATACTTACGAATCATTAGGCTGTGAATCAGAGACGAGCCATTCCATAGCAGATAAGATATTGGCCTTTGTGGGATAGAATTTGGTATCTCTGTCTTGATCATCTGTCAAAATCACCATGTCGTCTTCCTGAAACCCGTACATGGAGGTAATAAATTGCTTGATATTGTGAACATCATTGATACAGCCACTGAGTTCATTGTCTGTATTGAAATAGTTGATGCCGATTAAAAGGGCCTTCTTGCGTCCTTGACCTGTAGCAATCGATTAAAACATTGGGTTTGCATAACTTGACTATGAATGCCTACAGTTTGATAGTTTGAAATCTGGGCTGCCGTGGGCTTTCACCTTGGGATCCACATGGAGAAAGAACTCGCTATCCTCGCTAAAGTTGTTTTCACCATAGGGTACTAAAGTTTAGCAGAGAAAAAAGGTAAGTTTCCCGTTTTCCTTTTAACCGATCAAGATTGGGCGGAAGCGCGAAGGGGGGCTGATGTTTGTGAAATTGTTGTACATTACCTGGTGTAGAAGGCTGGTTCTCTGACTGAAATGGAGGTTGAGGGTAGTTGGGATTGGGATGCTCAATATCACTTTGAGTGAAGGCAGGATCATATACATCAGATCCAGGTTGTTCCTGACTAGGTGAAACTGGATATCCGTACTATCCAATGTCTCTGATTAAAATCATGCACACGGAAAGTATCTTTGTCCTTTTTTACCTGGTCTCCATGTTGCTGGCGGTTAGAAGTTTGGGGAGGGGGATAGCCGTAATAAGAATCTCCCATTTTAGCAATGTGTAAATTGAAGAAGAAGAAGAAGAAGAAGAAGAAGAAGAAAAGAGCTAGATTGTAAAGCGCAGAAAACTTTGAATTTATATGTTTTTGATGTATCCGTTAGACTAGTTTATCCGAATCAAATTAATTTTGCAAAATGTGTCATCTCTATTTTTTCTCTGTCTTCTTCTTCCTGCAATCTCGTTAAGCCATACATGCTGCGATGGCAAGCGCTTAATGATACAAACGTGCTTGGCATACAGCGTTTCCAACAGCCTAAAACACAAAGTAGACCCAATGCCAATCCAGGGCATTCTCCAACCAAACACTGGCTTTTTGTCATATATTCTGCGCGTTCCATTGGAGGAGAGTTCGTGTAGCCATGGTAACCTTGATTATCAAAAGTGCCTAATTACATGTTGCAACTTGTCTCATGCTTGGGCGTGTCAGCTCAGATTATATATTACGCTGCTCATTTGTGTAGTACTGTACAAATTAATAAAGTCAACATTTTATTTCAGAGATGGATATGGTATGTGTGTATTAGATAAGTGTTGGGCCAGTTGTGTCAATATATGCAGAGAGAGAGAAGGTATCAGAGGAAGCATCTGTCACTGTCCAGATGGATTGAAATGAAGCATTTTCAAAGGGAAGGGCGATGAATTGTTGTGTCGAGGGCAAGTTGGAAAGGGTATACAAACGCGTTGTTGATGCCGACACAATGCCTTTGACTTTGGCATAGGTTCGAAGATGATCCGCAGCTTCTGCTCTTCTCGCTACAATATACTCAGTAACTCTTCGATCCAAGGGCACAGAAAAGTCAAGTCCATTATGGATGGGCTGTAATGCTTGACAAATTTCCAAGGCGTCAGGGCGGTTCTCAGGTCGAGGTTCTAGGCAGGCGACGTATAGTTTTTGGTACCAATCTGGCAATCCTGGAACTGGTTCGATGCGATATACGTGATCTTCGGATCCTTTGTTGCCGTCTAGCAACACATCGGGTGAAGGGAAAATGACTTTGCTGACGAGCTGCCAAATGATGATGCCGAGACTATAGATGTCAGACTTTTCAGTGTAAATGCCTTGACGCACTTCAGGGGCGACGTAAGGCAAACGACCATACACGGCTTTTGTAAGTGCTGTAACCGACGATGATTCGCGTGAAGGTGTTGCAAACCGATAATCAACCAAAAAGTAATCTGAATCAGTGCATACAATGTTGCGAGGGTGAACATTGCGATGACACATGCCAACTTTATGCAGATCGGCTAGGTTGGCTGCTAGTCGAAGAATTGTGCCTGTAATTGTTTTCAAGTCAAGGTCGCCTAGTGGAAGCTGCTGCATGTGGTCTTCGAGGTTGCCGTCGTTGCTACATTTCATAACCATCATCAAGTCGCCGGTGCTCTCGCAGACTGTGAGTCCTTGAAACAGTAAGGGGAGAAAGGCTTTTGATTGAACTGAAATCTGTTTAGCGCATAGATTAGTTGGTAATGCTGTCTTTTTGAGCGTATGTGTACTTGCCTCGTTCAAGAGTTTATCATCTACAATTTTCAGCGCCATGCGAAGTGGCTGTGGATCGTAGGCAGGTGTCATGTAAACAGAATAGACAGCTGAAAACCCACCGGCACCAATGAACTGCATTTCCGAGAACCAGGACCATGGAAACCACTGCATGTATTTATCCAAATTCTCCTTGTAGATTTGGCTAACTGCTTTTCTGGCTCTTGGATGCACTGCCGTAACAACTTGATCTTGGCCATAGTTGTCTGCTAAAGCTTTGAATGAGAGCTGCTGTCTCCACAGCATAATCCAATTCTATACCATGTTAGTGGGCCGTATTTACATTATGTTTTTCGATGTGATTTACCCATGCATGATCAAAAGGCAAGCCGTTATCAATATAAGTTTCACAAACATCTTGGTATAATTGAGCGACTCTTTCATTAATTGGCGATAGGAATTGATCAGTCTGAAGAATCAAGTTTTCCAATCCAAACACATCAGGGCATAGCTCAATGAATTGAGTTACTGCCAGGCGAGTTTGGTTCAATAGCTCTTCGTGTAGCTGCTGCGAATAAATGCGTTCAATCTCACTATCGTCCATCATTGACTAATCTTCTTCTCTATCGTTATTCTAATTTCAAATGTTGGAGGGTTTTTATCCCAATTTTGGAGTTTAATAATATCTATTTATTTATCCAAGAAATGAATAGCGAGAAAAAAAAAAGAGAGAAAGAGAAGGAGAAAGAGGAAAAAAGAGGAAAAAAGAGCAAAGATATACGAATAATCTAGTGAGAAAGGCGGGGAGCAGGGAAAGATGGAAGGGTATATAAAGTAGGCTCCTCCTAGTCACACGAGGCCTTTCGCTCACTTTCTCCAGGCAAACATGTTACACCACCTGCTACGATTGGTTCTGTTCATGATATACAGGAAGTCTTTTTTCCATATTTCAGCTTCCAACCAGTCCTAGTTATATATTTTCTCATAAATATAGAGGTATAGACGCTATAGACAAAGTGTGAAAGGCAATAGAGTTACATTTGTAGTGCAATTTTGGGTGTAAAAAGGGGCCTGGATGGCTAGTACATTTCTTTATGCAGCTGTCAATTTTTTTTTCTTTTTGTTTCACTATGTTATTCTTGCCTCTTTATTTCATCGTCAACGTCTCAACATCTCTCAGTTAACCGTTACCATTGTAAAGAGATACAAGTACGGCGTGGTTGCACATATATGGCTATATATCGATTACTAGCCGTATATGTCCTACTATATTTGTATATATATCTTCCCAATGCCAAATGGAATGTGTTGATGTAATGTTTCCTTCTTACTCTCTTTAAAGGGGACCCTCTATATATATAAAAACATGTTGCTTACATTCCGTTTAACCTTTGTTCATGTATAATACATGACCCAGCATTTAGCAGTTGCACTATTGCGATTAAACATTAAAGAGATATCTATTTTGTATCACTCGTAATTGCTAACGAAACATGCATAGACTGCCATCTTTATTCTTAAATCAAACTACTCGATACCAGGCCATTCGTGTTACATTTCAACCCTCGTTTTTTTTTCGACTATTCCTTTTACTCTAAGGATTCTGAAATCATGACGGAACTTGTATGCCGCATCAATGTAGCTATTTTTAATATAATTTATCTCATTATCTTGCTTCAAGTCGATACGTCAGCCTTTGAAGAGGTGGGATGTGTCGCTAGATTTGCTGGCGATGTCTCATTTATGCCAATGCTTCATGAGAAAGTATCCCCAGTTTTTTTTGCATGAGATGTCGAGGCGCTGCTCAGGAAAGAGCATTACAAGCAACATGCTCAACTATACGTAACAAAGCTGATAGATCATAGAATGCACTAGAGGCACTAGCTCAAATCATTTGTAAATTCTCGGCTGTAAAAATGTACCTGACTAGCATTGATATTGCTAGCGGCCAAAAACAGTTCCAACCCCGTCTAATTTTTCTATCCATTTTTGTTAATTTTAGATTACTTTTCGACTTGCTCGATTTATTTTGTTGAGTTCGACTATATAAATCGTGGTCATCATCCCACACTCCCTTAAGCTTCTGCTTCTTCCTCAATCTCTGATGTTGATCTGATTCATTTCTTCCAACAAATATTACTCTGTTCCTCTCCCTATCTTGATCGTGATCTCTCTCTCTCGTTCAATGATCTCTCTATTCCTCAACTTTTCGCAACTACTCTGCTGACAATATGGCAAGCGCACTGGCGCTGGATCTTCGACCGAACCCCGTTCATCGCTGACACTGTTCAACATCGTCTTGCTCGCTCTCTTGCTCGCTTGGATGCCGAGTTAAAGCTAGATTCGTAAGTATTCAGTTTTTCCTCTTTTATCCATTTGCTCTTTTCTATTTGTTATTTTTATTTTTTTCTTTCGTTCCTCCGATCCTCTTGTAATCATACCCAGTCTTTCCTATCACTCATAGCGACATTTGAAGGACTTAAAATAAAAAATGGAGCTCGGCTCCCCTACAAAAAAAAAAAAAACACTCCCTTAAGCTACCTTGGAGTACTTTTCAAGGCGCATCTAATGGTGTCAGCTAAGATAGATGTTTTGAACACCATTATAGAGCAATATTGAGAAATATGAAATGAGGTTTTTGGCCGAAATGTCGAGGTTTTGTATACAAAGATTGCACAAACAAAGTTTTACGGGCTGTTTTGGATAGAGAAAATCATATTGAACTCATATTTATCATAGTAAAAGTCTTTATTTTCAAGGTCAAAAGCGCGATCGTTTAATTTTCGACGAAAGCCATGAGGGGTACCTCATGCTTTTTGGTCGATTTTTGTCCATGTTTTTTTTTGGTCCCCAAAAAGTTGAGCAAAGGTGTCAGAAAGTAATTGTCAGATGAGAGCAATTGTTTAATGCTATTCTGACCATCTAAAATGGCCATGAACTCGAGAAAACACAGCTCAAATGCACTCAGATTTTGCTGTATCAAGGACACTAAAGAATAAAAAGGGGAAATACCTGCATGCTACTTGCCTGTATACAAAATATCTACATGTGTGAGGATGTGGAACATCGCATAAGAGTCAGATCCACAGATAATATGAAAGACTCTTATGTATAGGTAGAGCGCTAGAATGAAAGTGACAATATATTGCTAAGGTGAGCAAGGGCAATCGGTAGCGTGATCACCGCTGCGCAGGTTAATTCTCACCAAAGCGAAGCTAAGGTAGAGAGCTATCCAAAGTGTAAGCACTCGTATTACATAGTGGATTATAACTAAGTATGTTGAAAGTGTCTGTGCCCTAAGAATAATGTTTGATTCAAGGACAAGATCATACAATGTAGCTATGTGTCATGGAATGAGCATTGGAGCCCTGGCTTATCTCTCCTTCTCAGAACAAATATTATTAAGTATCGCCAACCTTTATTGTCAAACGCATACCTGGTTTGAAATTAGAGTTTTCTGTACTGTCTACAAAAAAAAAGCAGAAATGTATATACATTCCCCAATCCGAGAAACGTGGCAAAACAAACAAGTCAGCCCGCTTGAATCAGTTGCAATTGGGATCCTCATTCACTCTTGCTGGAAAGCAAGCACGCGCGCACACACACACACACAAAGCTACGTTTGTGTGTGTAACTGATTTTATTCAAATCTAGAATTTTATTGAGTTATGAATGTCTCTTATCAAGGGAATGCTACTAAACAATGCTATTTAATATAAATTGCCAAATCATCGGCTTCATTTTTCTTCTTTCTTCTGTATTCAAATCCACATTGAAATGATATCCATTAGACAAAGCGTATACTTGGTCCTACTTTTCTCACTCGGCAGTTGTACAGCATTAGCTACCAATACAGAGTACCACACGTATGGCACACTCAGTAACGAGGAATATGATAGACCTGGAGTCACTATTGATGGTGACATTATGGCCATGGTCGGTCAAATGTCTGTTGAGGAGAAGATTGGCCAGATGACTCAAATCAACCAAGATTTAGTGCTTGGAAAAGATGGTGTACTCAACCGCACTGCTGTGGAATACTACGCAAAAAACTATTATGTTGGCTCCTACTTGAACCAGTTGGCAGTGTAAAGTATTATGAATTTGGAACAAAGCATTGGCATTCACACTATTTCTTGTAGTGACGGCAAGAACTACGATGCTGCTGACTATGCTGAAATTATTGAGGAGATGCAAGAAATCACGCTAGGTGTCAATTCCACATTCAAGATTCCAATCATCTATGGGTAAGTGTGTTTGTTACTCATAAAGACGACAAAACACTGATTTTCTTTGATAGTTTGGACCACATCCATGGTGCTCACTATGTTGCCAACAGTACGTTGATTCGCGTTTTAAAACGTTTCATTTACTAAACAATGTATATTTTAGCTACCATCTTCCCTCATGGCATTAATCTCGCTGCAAGTTTCAACCCTAAATTAGCGTATGAATCGGCTTCTATTACTGCCAGAGATACTCGTGCCGCAGGTGTGCAATGGTACGCATCTCCCTCGCGAAGAAGAGAAAATATAGCATACGCTAATTAATAGCATAGGACTTTTGCACCCGTCTTGGATATTCCCGTCAACAAGCAATGGCCTCGCGTCTTTGAAAATTTTGGCGAGGATCCTCATTTATCGTCTGTGATGGGTGTGGCTTCCATCAGAGGCTACCAAGGAAAGTACAAGACAGATCGCACTAAAGTAGCTGCTTGTATGAAGCATTTCATCGCCTACGGAGCTCCTTATAGGTAATTACCGTAAATCAACATGTAAACTCATAACCACTCACACTCGTCAATAGCGGTCAGGACCGTGATTCGACTGTCGTGTCTGAGAGAACCATTTACGACTACTTTGTCCCTGGATTCCAAGCTGCCATTGATGCTGGCGTCGCCACTGCCATGGAGAGTTACATCGATATCAACGGCGAGCCCGTTGTCTCATCCAAAAAATACTTGAGAGAGCTGCTGAGAGATCAAATGAAGTTTGATGGTATGCTGGTGACAGATTGGCAAGAGATTGAAAACTTGCACATCAAGCACATGGTCGCTGCCTCACACAAGGAAGCTGTCCGCATGGCCATTGCAGATACCAGCATCGATATGTCCATGGTGCCTCAAGACGTTATTTTCTTTGATTCTATGATGGCGTTGATCAAGGAAGGCGCTGTATCGATGGAACGTGTGGATGAATCTGTTGCCCGGTTATTGCAACTCAAGAAGGATGTAGGTCTTTTGGAGCCCAATGGCTGGAAAGCAGATTCCAAGTTACAAGCTATGATCCAGAGTGAACAAGACATTGATGTCGCTATAAATGCTGCAAGAGAGTCCATGACACTGCTCAAGAACACAAATGCCACATTGCCCTTGACCAAGGAGAAGGTCAAGCGCGTGCTTGTCGTTGGTCCCACAGGTGACAATCTAGGCCATTTAGCTGGAGGGTGGACAATTCAGTGGCAAGGCGCTACAGAAGACGCATGGCACGGTGCTGTCAGTGACGAGCAGTTTTACGGTAATGGCATCAGTATTCTGGAAGGTATCCAAAACTCAGCACCTGAGGGTGTCGAGATTGAATACATGCAAGGCTTCACAATTGACGGCAAAGACGACGATATGAAATCAGTCTTGGAGATGGCCAAAGACTTTGATGCATTTTTGGTCTGTATTGGTGAGCATGTCTACTCTGAACTTCCAGGCAATATACACGACATGACACTTCCTCAAGGCCAAATTGATCATGTCGATAGGCTTTCCAGTGCCATTGGTAATGACAAGCCTTTGATTACCGTGCTGTTGGAGGGAAGACCTCGTGTGTTGGACTCTATTGTCGAGAACTCTGATGCTATTTTGCAAGCCTATCTTCCCGGTCCTTGGGGCGGTCAAGCAATTGGCGAGGTCATCTTTGGTTTGACAAATCCCTCTGGCAAATTGCCTTACACCTATCCAAAATATGCTGGTGACACTACACTGAACTACTGGAGACCTGCCAACGACCTCTGGGATCCTCTCTATGAATTTGGTCATGGCCTCAGTTATTCTACATTCCGATACAGCAATATCACAGTTGATGGTTTATACAACACAGACGAGACTCAGTATCTGTTTACTGGCGAAATGGAAAAGGAAGTGTCTGTCAATATCACCAATACAAGCCCTGTTGACGGCAAAGAGACAGTGATGATGTTTGTTCAGCAACCATTCCGTGTTGTCACACCACCCAAGAAGCTGCTCAAGGGGTTCTACAAGATTGACGTGCCTGCCAACTCTACTGTCAATGTGCGTTTCGCCGTGGACGCTGATTTATTCCGTTACACTGGCATTGATGGCATTCCACAAGACACCATTGATAATGGTGCTGTCAAAATTCTGATTGGAGATCAGGAATTTGATTTACAGGTTGTCAACAACGACAAGTGAATTTATTCATAATAAACATGTGTCTTATTAGATGACAGTATCAGAGGAGGGAATTTGTCGATGTTTAAGGTATTCTGCAATAGGTACAATGGTGAATGCGTCGTTGTCAACTTGAATGGTAGCAGGATCTTTTCTGTATTTCTCAAAGATAACAAAAGACGAGCATGCATCGTTGGGTTCAATGATGAATTTGCCATAGTCGTAGAATAGCGGCTCTGCTGTTGCCATGTCAAATGGTGTGCCAGGGCTGTATTTGACCAGAATTGTGTTGCTCTGATTTGAGATGATCTCTGGCACCTGGAAATCAAGACAATCAAACGCAGTGCGCACCAGTGCTGTCTTGTTGTAGATGGCATTGAGCACATTGTCCATTTTGCCATCCTTGTTGGTCAAATCAATACGAACAGATCCATAGTTGTAGACCTCATCTTGTTGTAAATTCCAGTTATCATCGTCGTTGTCCTGGTCTTCGTCCTCGCTGATCTCCCAGCCATCTGCATCCACCTTGGGCTGCATCTCTCTTTGTCTCTCTTCTTCTTTGGCCTCTGCTTCTGCTAGTCGCTCTGCCTCAATAGTAGCGTACTTGTCAGGATTTCTCGTCTTGTCAAGGTAGGCAACGAGTTTCAAGAATACGACTCCAGTCATAAAGGCGTCATATCCTGCTTCATGAGCCATTTCTGTTAAATAACGAGGAAACTCAGAATGCATGTCAATATGTGGATTTTTGAATTGCTCTTTTTTGGTCTCGAATCGAAGGGTCTCTAGTGCGGTGCCTGATCCAAAGATGGCCTGTCAAGTGATGCAGGTTAGCAAAGCAATTATTGCTGTAGAGTTAATACTGTACGTTTAGTTCTGGTTCAGCAGTACACATGTATTTGGTATCCACCATCCTAATATAACGAGTCAATACACAGATGCGATAGACGCACACATAAGCGCAACTTACTTGGGAAAGAGTCGATGCGCTAAAGCCTTGAATTCAGGTAGTGTCTCTGGCAAAGGTTCCGCAAACTGGCCAACGACATGGCAAATGTCCAAAAGCATATTATGACCCACCATTGTCTTGCCAGACTGTGAAATCAGGTCAATAACCTTTCTGAACCCAACAGCTGCAGCACGATCCTTTTCAAACCTATCCTGCTTTTCCTTTTGTCTGTCCTTGGCCTGTTTCTCTGATAGTCTGACCACCCGAATAAATCCTTGCATACCAATCGCTGTCAAGCCTTCAAATCTAATGTAGGAAATGATTAAATCAATGCCTGCATAGCCAATGTATCCAAGCGATTACTTTCTAGCTTCCTGGTAGATCAATCGTCTTTGATAAGCATTCCTTGCTGTAATATTGACACCATCGTCTTCTGCGGTTTTATCGGCATGGATCCAGTCGTTGATCTTTTGCTTGGCTTCATTGACAAAGTCCCGTTCCTTGTCGTCAATCGGGATATCAGGCATGTTATCAGCCATCTTCTTGCTGGAGGCAGCTACAAACGCCTCCTCTTCTGCTACGGTCAAATACGGGATACCCTGATAGACCCATTTGTTGAAATCAAACGATTGCTTTGTCAAAAAGTCGAATGCTTGTGCCTGTGTCATAAAGACTCGGTTAGCCTGGATTTGGCCAGATGTGCTAGTAGGGAAGATGTAAAAATTGAAAGGCTTTGCAATGTAGCGTCCAGAAGGCTCATCCCATGTAAATGTACACAGTCCAAATTGGATGATCAAGAATCTTTCGGTTGCTTCCTTGTATTCTTGGTAGCGGTCTGCCATACTGTACAATCGAACAGACGTAGGAGGTCGATGCAGGCCTAGCAGCGACAAGTCATGGTTAGCTCAATGCTTACACACACTAGATGCATATTCACCAGATAATTCAGTATCAATGGCCATAAAGTCGCATTCTTTAATGGCCTTTTCGACTTCTGGTAACTTTTGAAGAAATTGGTGTCGTGATATCTCCATTTTTATAAAAAAAAGCTTAAAATGCTAGTAACTGGTAAAAAAAAAAAAAAAGAACGCGCTGCTTGTTTGCTTGGAAATTATATCAGTAGAAAAGTTTTTGAGCGTCGGATATCCATCTTTTTCTCATGATTTATACTCTTTGGCAGGAAAGTACAGATCAGTTATAGCAGAGTATCACTGGTTTGAGTTGCATTTAGCACTGGATTACATTCGTGGCAAAGAATGTTTCCCCTTCTTTCCAGAAGCAATGATCGAGAGCTTGATTAGAACGGCATCAAAGCGATGAGAGAATAGTATGGCGAAAGAAGTGTAATCTACTCAGGAACAGTGTTGGAGAAAGAATCGACTTGCATGTCAATGTTTGCATGAACAGAGAGCATGGACTTGTAGTAGTACAATCTACAGTGATTACCAAAGCCTATCAAATGATTCAACAGAGTAAAATACATACTCAAGATGGCAGGGCATGGAGCCTCTGGAGTTTGCTGACACCAGTCGCATAGAGATCAAAGTGATAGTGGTATATGGAGTGTTTTTATTGATGTTTTTGTTGGGTAATGTTAAAATACTTTACAACGACTTTTGGGATGCTTCTTCCAAGGAGATTATGCGGTCAAGTCAGAGAGGACCTTATCAAGCTACAGTATAGGCAGAGTAATCCAGCAAAGCCATCCAAGCGCTGGTGAACCAGCAGGCAAAAGCGAATCGAGATGCAATTTCACTTTTGATGAATGTGCTTGACCAACAAGAGCGTCTGTTCGTACACCAAAAAGTTCAGCGAGTGTATCGGAAATGCACGTATCAGCGTCACTGTAATGCCTCTGTAGAATCCACTCAATCCATTCTGCTTATAGATGTCTCGCACGCACGCCATTGCATTCTTATAAGTTGGATTGGGCAACAGAATCTCTTTCTGGATCAATGTTTTCACTAAATCAAGCGGGAAGACCACAATCCAACACATGATGCCACATATACCTCCAGCTAAAAATTGCGTTAAGGGTCCTGCTGATGCACTTTTATTGCCACTTAATATATATTTTGTAGTCTCATAACCTCCAAAGTAAACACCTGTTCCAATCGTATCTCGCACTACAAAAGGGGTCAGCGTCTTTGTTTCATGCCATCACTCACGTATATTACCCAGGTGTAGACTGAATCCGCTGTAAATCCCAGTGATGCCCTTCTTTTTCAGTATCTCTCTAGCCGAATGCCAGCTGGATGTCGAAGTGTAGGAGGGCGGCGATGGCCTTTTGATGATGATGGGTGGTGTGGCGATTGGTTTGACTGGCAGACCAGCGCCTACCGTTGTCTTGTTGATAATGGTGGGTTTGATCTCGTTTTGAAAAGGCATCACAGTGACGCCTCCAGAGATACTGCTAGCCTGCAATAGTAGGAATTCCAGTTGCTTTTGTACCTTGACGAGCTCGAATGGACAGCTCAGTGTGGCAATGAAAGCACCACTCACGGAGCCAGCCAGAGTTGATACGCCCATGGTCGATAGCATGGTGTTTTGGTCGAATATAGCTGGATAATGCACTTTGCAGTACCGCTTTGAGTTCTCATACACTGAAAATGAGATGGATTTGATGATGCTGACAGTGATCAACGGTGGTATGACACCTCTGAAGAATCCTCGTACACCTTCCTCATTATAGGTTTGTTTGACGCAAGCTGCTATTGAGTCATAATGCTGCGTCTGTAGCCTTGTTTTGATCGAGTCAAACTAATGAAAGAAACACGACTGGTGAGTTCATGTTTGATTCTGAGAGAGAGAGAGAGAGAGAGAGGCGCTCTTACAGGATATCCAGAGACTACACCAACGACGGCAGCGCTTGATGCTGCAATCACAGTTCTGTTTGCTAATAGAATCGTTAGATAAGGAGATATAAATCGCGTTGTCTTGATTACCCCACAAAACTTCCTTGTAGATTGATTCAAATGGTAGAGGATGAATCTTCCTAGTGTCGTCTGGTTGAGACATGCTGTGAGTAAGAATTCGGTGAAAAAAGGAGAAAGAAAGAGCGAGTTGATTGGTATTCTCCAAAGCTTGGGAATTATTTTAAATAGTGCAGGTGCACATAGAGAAAGCCTAATCTCGACATTAATTCACGCATTGTGAAAGGGGGGTCTTGGAACTAGGGCCAGCATCTACCAGAGGCATTTTTGGACATGCAAAAGAGCGCTGGCATCGATGCAGAGTCATCGCATGTCTACGCGATGCAGTTTCATCCACTGCTCTACAACACGGAGAGAGTTGTTGTCTGTCTTTCCTACGAGCAGCATGGCAATAAAAAATCATCGACAGACTCCCGCGTGCGTGCCAAGCTTAGACACAGGCTTCAGCGGTCGACTCTTTTGGCTTCCAGGCGTCTCCGGCCTACATTGAATCGAGCATTGGAAGCATGAATGATTCATGACCAATGTCTGTGACACTCATTTAGTTGCCGGGAGCGTGTGTGTTTGCACACACAAATCAAATTCCAACATCTACCACTGAGTTTCCTATCTTTATTGGCTATTACAAACAAAAAGCAGGTAAATTAAGCACACCAGCCAGCATGATCGATATACCAGCATCGTTCATTATCTCGTCTCGATTGTCTGTCTTGGATTCAAAGGACATACTTCGAGTCATCCATCTCGCACAGCAAAAGTGGAAGGAGTCCCAGGTCAAGTCTCGCATGCAACATCACAGCACAACACCACTACTCGCAGTGGGTATCTCAAATCCGCAAGAACTGTCCACAGTAATAGCAAATGATATACCCATCATCCACATTGAAAGCGACTGCAAAGCACTGCAAGCAGTTCAGAAGCGAGAGATACAGCACCAACGACACACGAGCCGAGTGTACATGACACTGTTATCCAGTTTGTGGGGATTCTTGCTGTACCAGCTGAAATACAACGGCCTCTTTAGACTGAAAAGAGGAGCAGATGTGGTCGACGTGCGTGTGTTTGAGCGTGGTAGTTTGCCCCTTCCCAACATCATGATTGCAGGGATCAGTCTCGGATTCACCGCATGTTTGGCTTGGATCACCAAACGACGCTTGCACAAGAAGCGCATGCAATATGATTACATCGATGGCGGTGATGATGGATTTGTCTTATTAAGAAATGATGTCTCATTTAGTAGATTTAGTTTTATTGCTACAGACGTAATTCCTTATTGTATCATTGGTGTAGGAGCATTCAGTTACAAACGAATAAAGATGTGAGTTACACTGCTTTGGTGATTTAGCCATCCGCCCATATTAAAGTTGATCACCTGCGGTGTACAGCTGTGTAATTAAACTTGTGCGGTTTGTGTGAACATGTATTTAAAGCGGCCCTTTGTTTGATATTCTGCATCTCTTCTTCTTCTTCTTCTTCTTCTTCTTTACTTTTCTTTTCATAAATGATGGCCCTCAAGTCAAGATCCCCCTCCATAGGGACTATCTCAACTATATCATCAACAAACACATCCATGATTGACATGCCAATGCCATCCTTCTCCATCACAAACAAGCCTTCATCTGGTACATCATTATACCACACCTGTCGCTCAGTACTGGATAAATTAGCGCTTGTAGAGGGCATGACATACTATTTGGATTTTGAAAACCTGAGCTTGATCACATCCACCACGGGCTCATCTGTCATGTCGTCTGAATCAGGCTCCACTACAAGCAGCAGCAACCTTTCAAATGATCCCCTTACAAAATTATGGGAACTGTGTAGACGAGGTGCTCCGCTCGCAACCTTATTCAATGCCTTGAATCCATCAGAACCACTCAAGCTAGATTTCACTCAGAACCACCAATTAAATGAGTGCAAGAAAACTGTCTATCATTTCATCGTTGCATGCAGAAATCAATTGGACTTCAAAGAGGAGGACGTATTCACATTGTCTGATCTCTACAAGGACAATACAAACGGCTTTGTCAAGGTAAGACAGAGCGCAGGAAATTGAGGCTTTTCTTTTAGCTAACCCAGACGCTTGTCATAGGTGGTGAATACAATCGATCTCATTTTGCAGTTACTGGAAGAAAAGGGCATCATTTGCACAAAAGATTCCGCCAATAGAAACTCGCTCAATGCACCAAAAGATACCAGAGACAAGGTTGTCCATGAGCTGCTTGAGACAGAGCGCAAATATGTACAAGATTTGGAGGTTCTGCAGGTAACTGCCTTGCTCATCACTTATGGAACAAAGCCCGTAATTAAAACCGTTTTAAATAGAATTATATGCGTGAATTACAGATCCAGGAAGTTCTGAATCCCGATACAATTCACTATCTGTTTGGCAACCTCAACACGCTGGTCGATTTTCAACGTCGTTTCTTGATTTACCTGGAGGAAATTGGAGAAAAGCCTGCTGAAGAACAAAATTTTGGATCTCTTTTCAGCCAAATGGAAGATCAGTTTACTGTTTATGAACCTTATTGTGCAAACTACTTTTCTGCTCAAGATCTGGTGGTTCAAGAAGCGCCTAAATTACAGAAATTGGCTGGCATTTTAAATCCGGTATATGAACTGCCTTCCATGCTCATCAAGCCTGTACAGCGTATCTGTAAATATCCTTTGCTACTGAACCAATTGATCAAGTCGATGAAACCTGATTGGCCTCACTATGAAGACATGGAAGAAGGTTTAGAATCTGTTAAACGTGTGACAGAAAAGGTCAATGAAACTCAACGCAAGCATGAAAATATCCAAGTTGTCGACGATCTAAAGAGAAGAGTCGATGAAATGCGCACTGCTCAAATCGATAGCTTTGGCAGCTTGCTGCTGCACGACAAACTCGTCATGCAACAATCAGATGAATCGGATAAGGAAATGCACATCTTCTTCTTTGAGAGAACCATGCTGATCTGCAAAGAAAGCAAAGATGCCACCAAGAACAAGAGTGCGAAATCAATCAAGAAGAAACGAAGGGGAAGTCTGCAGCCCAAGGGTCTCATTGTCATGAGCAGGATTTTGTCTGTTCGAAACACATCGACTGGCGAAGGAAACTGGTATCTGCGTGTCGATTGGAAAGATGGCGAAGTCCATACAGTTACATTGAAATTTAGAAATGAAGAACAGGTCAGGTTATGGGAATCAACTCTCAAGAGAAGAATGTCTCCTATGAAATCTACCGTTTCCAACACTCAACTCGCCTCCATGAAGAATGCGCATCAACAAGTGCCTGCCTCTCTTCGCACTGACGATGAGGATGAATACAATGACGACGCAACTCTTGTTCAAAGATCCAGATCCAACTCTTTATCTGCTCATTTGCTCAATTCGATCTCTGGTAGACCGAAGATCCCTCGCAATATGAGCGCTGATCAAGCTGCACATGGAAAACAACGCTATACTGCTGGTACAAATAGCCCTCTTCCACGTACAAGTTCAAGTGCAAACACTCACAATGCCCACGATTATTACTATCCTGCTTCTCCTCCACCTTCCAATCCTTCCTCGCCTACCACATCCTCTCGTGCTTCACAATCTAGTACAACCAGCTCGACCAGAGTCGGCGCATCTCCATTAGCTGATATTGCATCGAAATTCATGTCCACTAGTAGTGGTAGTAGCACTGAAGATGATTACAGACAATTTCCCCTTCCACCTCCACCTCCACCTCATGTCAATCGTAGTCAATCACATTCTGCTGCATCACCTTATCATACCATCAGTGCAACCACATATCAACAACAGCAGCAACAACAGCAGCTTTCAGCATCCCCCAGACTTAGATCCCAAAGTAGCCCGAATATTCATCATAACAATATCAGCAGCATGGAAGATGCGCCTCAATTACCATTTAATTCACGTACATTATATCAAACACCACCATCACCACTTGATTCTCCCATCAGGGACAGCAATATATCCTATCGTACTACCAACAGTAACACATCTCGTATATCCGACCTGAGCAACCAGCAGGTACCACTTTCTCCCATCAGCAGTATATCAGGATGCGTCAAAATCAAATTAAACTACAATGATGGTATCTACGTCGTCATGTGCTCCAGCGAAGTGTTATATTATGAATTGATGGACAAGGTAGAACGCAAGATTCGACTTGTTGCTAATTTGCAGCCGAATGATATCCTCAGACTCAGGTACCAAGATGAAGATGGTGATTTGATCACTATTAACTCTGATGACGATGTGCAAATGGCTTTTGAAAGCAGAGGAAACTTGAACACTATCAATCTGTTTGTCAGTGTTTAAGCTAGTCTTTTCTGAATTATGACGAATTATGCCAAAGCCTTTCCTTTTATCCTTTGTATGAATACCAATCCTATATGTACCATATCCCTCACCTTCAAGTACCCAAAAGACATTCCTTTCTTTTTCTCTCTGTTGCTGTAAATAATATATCCAATCCTGATATCTTTTTGTACTTCCTTTATAATTATTTTTTTTCCCTCGCAAAAAATTACACTGAATAAACTTTTAGCTTTTTTTTTTTCAATTTGTTTGTTGTACAATACTCAAAAAATGAGGAATTTTGGCTTGTCTGAAAATCCCACCCTTTCACGAGTAGCAAATCCTGGGTTCTGTAACTGATGTATTCCCTCTACTATGTGAACATGTAAGTGCATACGTGAAAGATTCTAGACAGCACATTTAGCTTTAGCTCTTCATTCAATGAATGAGATCATTGCTGAATTGATGTTTGTTCAATGATTTGCAAAATAGAACGCTCAGATGTTTTTTCATGTCGCTCGAAATGTTGTGCACTGTTTTATGCTACCACTCAGCATGGATTCGATTTTTTCATGGGGCCTTTTTTTTATGATTGCGCTCGCTTGGCTCTGCATGTTTTACTAAACTAACTCTGGATGTACCTCTTTTAAAACATTCTATTGTAGCTTCAGAAGATGCTTTTGCAAAACGGTTCCCTACAGCGCTCTATTGATATCTAACTTGTACATTAGATTTAGGAGCTAGCGTCTTTTTTTGTGTTTGTATTTCGTAGACCATCTAGCATTGTTACATTTAAGAATGCTTTAGTTGTTAATTCCCGTATATTTTATTTCTTTGACGTTTTACAAAAATTAAAACTTAAATTGAAAATAGATGCTCAATCATGCCCTGCATTTTCAGCAATTCAGAGAGTCTGATACTAAATTGTGTAACAACCTACCCTCTATTCATCTAATACTAACTTGATTAGGGTACCTTAGAAAGCAACATCAATTCTATTATCATTTATACAAAAATGTAATGGCCTATCATCTATTTCCTTCAGTATACGTAATATCTTTACATACGTTTATATACTCACGAAAATTATAATGTGTTTTTAATAAAGCAATCAACGTTTGAAATTCAATATTTGAGCGAACAAATCAAGATCGGAATGCATCTACCGAAATTTATCGTCAGTGTAAATATATATGCATTATCCAGATCTGTTCTTGAGCATTCTGGGAATACATGCGTGGCAAACATGGCATAATCTGACAGCATTTACAAATCCCCAGCCCATATACAGCTGGAGAGAGTAGCATCAGAGCCAAAAAAAAAAAAGCGGAGTATGAAACTGAATTCGTACCTGAATTTCCAAAAAAGGAAATTTTGATGTGCTATGAATTTAATGCATACTCTTGTACCCACAAAAGCCAAACTTTAGTCTAGATTCGTCCACTCTACAAACCGAGTTCTTTTGTAAATTGAAGGCTAAAAAAAAATAGAGCTATTGGTTGACAGTTTAATATCAAAACGATAACTTGCCATACATAGGATTATCGTATTCCCTGAGTATTACCCTTCCTTTTCTCATCCCAAAATCAGAAATAACATGAAAACTTTGCAAATCTATGATAGAAGCACTGGATGTATAAAACTAGAAGAGGTCGTGATAAGGCTGATTTGGAATATTACACAAACTGTTGCACAAGTTACTGTGACGAAGAGAAGACGCCGAGTTGTGTAAAAAAAGAAATATTGGGATTTGCATGCCTTTCTGTGAGGTGGGACAACCAGTAGATGGCAATTTAAAGAAAAGAACAGAACATGGTACAACAAAAAAGCAAGTAGGATACATGCTGGTTACTCAAAGGCTCGCGTGCGAGCAGGACTATCGATCGCAGGTATGTCATTTACTCAAACTTTTCTATAGATCTACAAACACTTACTTAATTCCACATCTAAAGTGAGGCTGATCAGACAAAGGAATCTTATTATTGCATCACAATGATCAGCAATCTGGACATTATGTTCGTTGATCTGCGGGATGGATAAGAACATTATCAGTATCCAACATGTCTGAGTTGATCTTCATGCGAAACAGTGTTTGATGTTACCCAGGCATTCCCCATCATTGATGAAATCTACTATTCTCACACACCTTTGGATCTACACCTAGTAAGCAAGACCAACATTTGATGCATTTGCAAAATATGAAGATATTTCAGACCTACTTTACCAATGTGCCTCCCTTTTGCACAAAATTACATTCATATCCCGTGATGGTTTTGCGGCGGTTTTCATTTCGAGCAAATTGAATGAAGTTAACTTCACAGGTTTCATTGATAATATTATCATTGATAACTCAGTTGCCCACGTGCGCTTCCGCTTGCAGCTCTGAACAGGCACTTTTGTTTAGCCTTTACCATCAATTCATCAATAAACTCTCTCATTGTTACATTTTTTGATAACATGTAAATAAGCTTTATGTGGATCAAGATTCGTCAATGGTATTAGCTTGTAATTATTATGCATAATTCGAATAAACATTTTGCAGATCTCTTTCAAAATTAAGTTACCGTGACGGGATCAACTTTCAACTTCCAAGTGATCTTCATCACCCTAAGTTGTCCGAATATCACTTTTTCATACAATTATCGTCAAGCATGATATGCAATTCATTCATAATATTATATAGCTCTCAACTATAGCTCTCGGAGATCTCTGCTATAAGAAATTCAAATCGATTCTTGATCTATTGCTCCCAAACGTCGATATCAAATGCCACAACTTGTTTGCACAATAGAGTTTAAGACTTCGGGATCTCAATCACTTTCATGACGAGCATCTAGTTTTTTTTTTTTTTCTTTTATAAATTACATATCTTTCCTCTTTTTGCTGCTTCATAAATTCGATCACTCGTTCTTCGTTATACATCATGGCCGAGAAAGCTCAAATCTCAATAGATCAAAGTGATTTACACAAGGAAGAAATTGGAGCCGTATCTACTCAACAGGCCAATGATAACACTCTATCAAGCAAGCTAGGTGAGGTTGGAGTATTGGATGCTCCTGACGGCGGAAGAGCTGCATGGACTGTGGTTTTCGGTTGCTTCTGTGTAAGTTTTTCAATCGCTCAATCTAACTGCAATCACACTCATATCAAACGCAAATAGGGCATGTTTGCTATGTATGTCAAGATAATCATCATGAATACGACTCGATTACTAACCGATGATTCATCATTTGCAGCTATGGTGTAAATTACAGCTGGGGCTTATTTCTTCGCAATTACAATCAAAAAGTGTATGTCGGAGAGATGACCAGATTGTCATGGATTGGATCTATCTGCATAGCCTTATATTTCATCATCGGCCCCATCAATGAATGGGTAGTCCGTAAGCTTGGCTATACCAAGATGCTTGCTTTCGCTACTATCATGTGCCCTCTTGCGCTGATGCTTGCAAGTATCAGTCATGAGGTATGATTTATCCAGGCATTTTCGCTACGATTTACTCATTTCAAAAGCATAGATCTGGCAATTGTATTTGACTCAAGGCGTCATGTTTGGCATTGGCGCTTCCTTTGTCTGGTTTCCTTGCATTAGTGCACCTCAAGAGTGGTTTTCTAATCGTCGCGGCACTGCCATTGGAATCACCATGTGCGGATCAGGTATCGGCGGCCTTGTCCTGTCCAATATTTGTCAAGCTGCTATGCTTACATTGGGATACCGTTGGGCTCTCCGCATTGCTGGCTTCATTTGCTTCTTCTTTTTGGTTCTTGCCACTATTTTCGTGAAGCAATCGCCCACACAATTGGAGAAACAACGACTGCAAGACGAGAGAAATGAAGGTCTTCGCGAAATGTACCACAAGCAAATGTCTCTTTTGAAGAACAGTCAATTTAACATTATGCTGATTGTTGGTTTTATTACGACGTTTGGTTACTTGGTACCATCTTTCCTTTTGCCATGTAAATATCAAATATTTGGGTTGTTAATGTTGTGCTGACCATCTCTTTCGTAACAGCTTATGCCACCTTCTTGGGGTTAAATCCATGGGTCAGTACCAATTTGTCCGCTATTCTCTCTGCCATCAATGCTGTATCCAAGCTGATAAATGGCTATACTAGTGACAAGATTGGTCGTATCAACGGGTTAGCAATTTGTACGTTCTTGTCTGGCATCATGAGTTTAGCCATTTGGACAAATGCTCGTACAGAGCCTACCATCTGGGTGTTTGCAACACTGTATGGCCTTTTTGGAGGTGGTTACTTAACGCTGCTGGCCGCCTCTTTGCCTCAAGTCGCTGGCTATGATAACATTAATGCTGCTAATGGCTTAATGTACTTTACGAACACATTTGGTTACTTGTTTGGCACGCCTATTGCATCTGCTATCATCAATCATTCAAGCCCTCCCAACTATGTCTATGCAGCAGTGTGGGGTGGTCTTTTGATGGCAGTGGGCGGCATATTCTGCTTTGTTTTGCGCGTCATGAGAGCAGGCTGGCATCCTTTTGTCAAGGTTTGATTGACTGATACCAAGATATGCAGCGATTTAGACTTTTATGCTGTTGTTTTATTATTCATTTTAACACTTTTACATACTCATACATTTATACTTGTCGAGGGCTATTTATTTAATCTGTTCTAATGCATATACTTAAATATTGGCTTTACATGCAACTTGAATGTGCTTATTATGTTTCAATTTTTCAGAGAATATCAATATATACAGAGTGAGGGGAGCTAAGGGGAGAGATAGGAAATAAGATGTATAGAAGCAGATTTTTGGGTTGGATCATTGTTCGCATCTGCCTAGTTGGGATGCTCATGGAGGAAACCACAGGAATCACCATTACGACAGCCATCTGGCGAGTTATAAAAGGAACAGACACGAGCATTATTTCGGCCCTGTCCATGGGAACCACCGCGATTCCCTCTTCCCCTTTGGTTACGAGCTTTAGCCTTTTTTCGTTGCAGCTGTTGTTGTTGTTGTTGTTGTTGCTGTTGACGGTTCTGTGTACCGTTATTATTGCTGCGATTCCAGTCCTACAATGACGTAACTATTAGCTTTCTATCCTTGAAAGTATCAAGTCAATTATACTCACATTCTGTTGAAATTGCTGTGTATTAGAAGGAGGTGGACGTTGATAGGGATGGTATGGCTGTGCAGGTTGATAAGCGGATTGAGGTGGAGCTGGGATCTGTTGCTGTGGCACAGCATTATTAGCATTGCTGGCCATGTTTCCTGTTGCAAGGAATGAAAGCTCCTTCAGGGTTTGCAAGATGCTATATCAAAACCTATTAGTGGCAATTTCTATTACCAATAAGTGTAAACACGAACCTTGGATTCTTCTCGAGCATTTCATTCACATTCTGGTTGTTTATCTTTGGTTGTCCAAGCGATCCTATGGCAGTAGGCTGAGCAGTATTCTGGAGAGCAGCATTATATGGTTGATTATAATAGTGAGCTTGTGGTGCAACAGGTGGAGAAGCAGCTACAACAGAGCTTGTATATTGGGGTTGTTGAGCTTGCACTTGAGATTGTTGAGGTATCATGAAAGAGGATGTATCTTTCATTGCAGCAATAGCAGCAGCAGCAGCACTTAAATTGGCAGGTGTAATCAAGTTGGGTTGGAGTGTAGAAGGCGTCATTACGGAAGTGCGAGGTGGTGAAAGGGTTGAGACAGGAGAAGATGAAGTGGGAATTGTATTCATAGGTAACGAGTCTGTATCATCTAAAGGAATAATGGGGACAGAGCCATCAGCATTGGGGTTTGGAGTCTCATCTGGCTCTGCCGGAGAGGGTGGAATATGTTGTGGGCTAGTGTAAATGGCTGCTAACGCAAGCTTCTCTCGACCATCTTGAGCCAAAACTTCGTCAGTTTGGATTTGAGTACGAACAATCAAGGTTGAGCTGGGACTCTCATCAAGCTGAAGCTCAAGTGGGGTATACCAAGCAATCTGAGGAACATGCATAAATGCAATTTGGCCCTCTTTTACGTCCAAATCGCGAGCATTTCCGTATTGATGCTCCACATTAGCTCCAGTTGTGTCCTATACGATATGAATGAGCAATGAGTCTTTATAGATGTCATGTCATTACTTACAAAGTTGGTCCATTCTTCCGGATTCTTTTCATATTCTCTGATTTCGACAAGATTATCCTTAAAACGCACTCTCTTTCTCTTTGACGAATCGGCATCAGCAGAAGTGCTACTAGACTCTGGTCTCTTTAGGCTATTCTCAGTGGTTGGTTTTCCAGGCTTACTTCCAAACCCTTCGAGGATTTTGTCGACATTATAAATAGGACGAGTGATTGGATATTTCTTAGATTCTCTCAATGACGACAAAAAGTTGGGATCTGCCATAGCTTTGGGTCTTGTGGGTGGTTCTTTTTGAATTGCAAGTTTAATCTGCTTTCTGGCAGGTGACTCAGTTGACGAAGGCGGAGATGTGGAGGAGGCTACAGATCACTGATTAATTGGCACGTTCCTGAGCTGTCATTGGTATCTTACCTCTATCAGGGCTGTTGCGCTTGCCATTGGCATTCAACGATCCTTTCTTCTGGAGCACCTTCCACTTTTCAATCAATGCATTAGTCATGTCAACAATATCAGTAGAGTTCTTTTCAATTCCACTCTTCTTGATATCTTTCACACCAAATCCCAAAGAGTTTTTAATCAAAACATCCAAATCTAGCGGTAAATAATCCATAGTCTGAAAGTATGCGAGGGTTGAGTATATGAGTGCAGCATTGCTCATCGAGACATACCTTTAAGATAGCCTTGATCAAGTCCTCATTCCAAGAGCTGCATGCAATGTCGACTATCTGTTTCATAACCTTGCCAAATTCTTGTGATTCCCCAATGCTACAGGATACAATGTGAATACAATGTTGCTGACAAGAGAACTACAAGATCACAAACCTTTTCAGTACAGCGTTGTCTACTGTCTTGTACAAGGGATCAAACACATTGGGGTTGAAACCTTCTGTGTGCTTTAGCAGAGAGAGGTATTTTTGGTAGTCATCTACAGATTGAATGCCTTGATTGAACTGGTCGAGTGCTACTGCCAATGGCTGTGTGGTCGTTGTTAATGGCATTGAAACTAAACAAAAGAGAGAGTTAGGCAATGTTTTTTTCTGACGTGTAATAGAATATATTTTCAAACATGCCGCTGTTTCCGTGAACCGCATGATTGATGTGCGGCACACAGAAACATGTCCAAAAACAACACCCCTATTTCAATCCAATGACATTTCTGTGCACGCACCTGCTACGCTGGTAACACCTCCATTTATCGGATGAGCTTCTGTTTGTGATCAAAGAAATCAATATTCAATAATGCATGTGTCAACAAATCAAAAAAAACAAGGCAGTTCCCGTATTTCTTCGCCGCCCCTCGCTCTCTCTCTCTCTCTCCTCCACTCCGGGTGATATTGTCAAATGTATTGTCGATTACAATGAAATCCCTGCGTTTCATTGTGCTGCCTTTTTGTCCTCTTCTTCTGGTCGATTCATTGTACTTCCACAGGATCATCGCAATCAAAAAACAGATCTTGTTTAGTTGCCAGTGGGTCAAGCACATCATGCATGTAGCATTTCTCAAAAATAACGAGTTTCTACGTTTCGCTCTTCCTTCTGCAGATAAGGAAAAATAGTAGGTTTGAAGAAAAGATACAACACAAAGGAGAGATGCGTTCTTCTAATACTTTAGAATACAAGAAAAGATAAAAAAAGCGAATGCAATTGTGGATTTTACGCTGGTAATTGATTCGCTTTCTTTCTCTCTCTTTCAAAAACGCTGTTTCTTCCCTTTCATGATTGGCTTTTTTTTTTGTGTGGTGGATATGTGATAATAAAATTTTTAAGTGACCATATTGGATATATACTGAGATATCGTTTTACATAATTCGTGAGTGCGAGAGAGAGAGAGAAAAGAGAGGAGGGAAGAGAGAGAGAGAGAGAGAGGGAAGCTTCCAGCTGTTGCCAATGTTGACAAATTTTATCTGGCCAAGTCATCCCGTAGTCCATGCTTTGTTTTTTTCGATTGATTAATATGAAATGTAAGGCTTACCATTCGTGCCGCTAGACATTTTGGTTTTTATACGACAAAAGATATATGTACAATAATGTGGATAAAAGGATAAAAATGAAGTTGGTACAGAGTATCTGTTTTAGTTTTTGAAAACTGTAATGAGAAATGGAAAAAGAGGAAAAGAGAAACAGAGAAAAAATTTATAATTTTGATCACTTTATAGCAGTCGTTCTCACTGGTTTACTAGATGACGTCTATTGGGTTTGTGTCCTCAAATACTCTGTTGGATTTGTATTACAAGTTCCCGTTTTACATCGCAACATGTCGACACCCACTACCACTGACGAGGATCTTGATAAATTCTTCTCTCAATCAGAAAAACACCTAGAGATCGAAAGAGTTCTTGCTTGTTTCAAGTTGGATCCATTCGCAATCCTGGAGCTACCCTATACCAAACCCGATGCCAAAGCAATCAAAATGGCATATCGCAAAAAGAGTTTGATGATCCATCCCGACAAGGTCCAGCACGAGCATGCGCAAGATGCCTTTGCTCTCTTGAAGAAGGCCGAATCCGAATTATCAGACGAAAACCGCATCAAATTCCTATTGACAGTGATTGAAGAAGCTCGTGTGGAGGTGCTGCGTGATAACGGATACAAGGTCAAGACAGAGATCAAGGTAAATGCTCCCGTCATGACAGACGATCCCGAGGGCGGAGCTCCCCAACTCAAAGCATCATTGGATTCCATTGCTATCCTGGACGAGAGAGAATACCCTTACTTACAGACAGCTCAAGGCCAGGCACAAGTAAAGGAAAAGATGAAGGAGATCCTGATTGAAATGGAGCTTCGAAAACGTCGTCAGATGAAGAAGGAAATGGAGGCAGAGGGTGCCGAAAAGAGAAAGGCTGAACAAATGGTCAATGAAAGAAAGCGAAAGGCTGAAGATGCAAAGCAATGGGAAGCTTCTCGAGATACTCGCGTAAGTAGTTGGCGCGATTTCCAAAAGAAAGGTGGTAAAAAGGTCAAAAAGATTAGAAAATCTGGATTGTAATAAAGTGAAATGTTGGTCTGGGCTGATTAGTTTCTAGACATGTCAATTGAAGCCATGATACGATTTAAGTCGAATGGCCTATGGATGCTTGATCCGTGGGCTAAAACTGAGCAAGTATGCATATCGTCATTACAGGACAGTATTAAGAATGAGTTCTTATCGTCCTATCTGTTAACCTGTACTCTTCCACATCAGTGTGTACTCCATGCATGAATGCCTTCAATCCAGATGACTGTGAATGAGCTCACCAACTTCAAATTGGAAGCATCGACAATATGCATCTTAAATAATTCGTTTATATCTCACTAACGTATACCACGATTTCACAGTTCAGCCTTACACTATCGCGGGAAAGCCTTTTTTGAGCGACTTTTTACTGTAGAACTGACGATTCGATAATGTTCCGTGTCTGAATCAATGGGAACAACTCACAAACGGGCCGGCAATATAGTAGCATCTCTTCTCATTAGTCCAAAATATGCAAATTACAGCGAAATTTTGGTGTATTTGAGCCACAATTTCTCGTGCTAGAAGCCGCTTTAGGCTGCCGGAATAGCACCAAAAAGTTGCTCTGATCTGGCATTAACTGTCTGATACCTTTGCTCAGCTTTTTGAGGACCTAAAAAATATCGTCAAAAATCGACCAAAAACCATGAGGTACCCCTCATGGTTTTCACCAAAAATCAAACGATCGCGTTTTTTACCTTGAAAACGGAAACTTTTACTATGGCATGTATTAGTTCAATATGATTCTCTTGTTCCAAAGCAACCCTTAAAACTTTGTTTGTGAAACCTTGGTATAGAAAATCTCGGCATTTTGGCCAAAAATCTCATTTAATATTTTTTGAAATTACTCCATAAGCTTGTTCAGAACATATATTTCTATTAACACTATTAGATGCTCCTTGAAAAGTATTCTAAAGAAGATTAAAGGATTACTTTTTTTTTTTTTGTAGGGGAGTCGAGCTCCAGGTTTTATTTAAAGTCCTTTAAATGTCATACTGAGGGATAGAAAAGACTGTTGGTGGACCCAATGTCTGCAATGAAGGGGAATAAGAAATTTTGAACTAAGTTGGGAAAGAAATCTACTACTAATAAGGTGCGAAACCTAGAGCCAATGCAATCTTGCGGAAATCGTCAAAAATAGAGAATGGATAAGAATACAAAACACCAAACGAGGACATCAGTACTACGTCAAAAATTCAGACAACTTGCGTTCACCAGGATTTGAACCGGGGATCCTCCCGTTGGCATACGGGAGTTCTACCACTTCGCCCTACCACCAGGGACAGATTAAAGGATTACAAGGTGATCATCACACTTTCTATAGTCGAATCTTACAAAACAGATCGATTGAGTCGAAAATCAATCAAAATTGACGAATCGATGAAATAAAATCTGTGGCGGAATTTGAATTAATTTTGGCTGGCAAAATGCCTTTCTGATGAATGTAAACGATGTTTGCGAAGCTAGTAAGAAAGGAATAACAAGTTGAAAGGTATCATAGTTCAATCTGACCACCTTTTATTAACCTTGTTACAATTTTTTCAAGTTTGCAGGATTTAATTGCTTATCCTTATGCGAAATGCAAAATTGTCTGTTGGTTCAAGGTTGCATAGTATCTTATCAAAATACTGCTACTTTCATTTTGGCCCTCCACGTACACATGAAAAACCTTCATGTTATCTATGGATCTAATTCTTATGTGATTCTCTACATCCATATACACGTAGCTACTTCATATACGGGCAAGCAGCATACTGGTATTTCCCCCTTTATATTCCTTAGTGCCCCTAATACCGCAAAATCTGAGTGCATTTGATCTGCGTTTTCTTGCGTTCAAGGCCGTTTTAGACCGTCAGAATAGCTCCAAACAGTTGCTCTCATCTGGCAGTTGCTTATGGCCACTATTGTTCAACTTTTTGGGGATCAAAAAAACATGGCCAAAATTCGACCAAAAACCGTGAGGTACCCCTCATTGTTTTCATCAAAAATCAAACGATCGCATTTTTGACCTCAAAAATGAAGACTTTTACTAAGGCATATATCAAGTCAAAACGTTTCTCTCGATCCAAAGCAACCCTTAAAACTTTGTTTGTGAAACCTTGGTATAGAAAATCTCGGCATTTTGGCCAAAAATCTCATTTAATATTTTTTGAAATTACTCAATAAGCTTGTTCAGAACATATATTTTTACTAACACCATTAGATGCGCCTTGAAAAGTACTTCAAGGAAGCTTAATAAGGCATAGGATGATTAGCATATTTTACTTAGTCGAATCTGGTAAAATAAATCGAGCAAGTCGAAAAATGAGAATATCTTTCACGGAGCTTGAAGTGATATTGGCCGGAGAAGTCAATACTATGCTTATTGTATAGGTAATAGATGCTTTGAAGGATAATGAGAGGGGGATTGCGAACGGAAAGGAGCTACAAATTGCCCTAGCTGCCTTATTTTCTATTTATTGTGCATTTTTATGGCTGGTATATTTATTCATTGTAAATTGAGCATCCAATTGCGAAGTCTAATTGAATGCAGTTTTGCAGAAGTCCCCTTCTCGGATTCTTCGATAGTTTGGATGGGAAGAAGAAGAGTGTCAAGGACTGGATACCTAAGGTGTCGTCTTTTATTACCCAACACTCGGGTGACATGCTGCATGACCACTGTCTCAAGTAGAGCAAGAGGTTTTACAGTGAAGGGTTGCTTTCAAGGTAGACTTACTTTTGGGACTAGTTGTATTTTCACCTTCTCGAGGTTGATCTCTGTTTGTATCAGGGTATGATGTGGTTTGATTGACCAAGAAAATACGTTTTCTTTCTGTACGCTGCTTGAATAAAGCTTTTTATTCTTCAAAACTGGTGTAATATTGTGCCTTTGATTGATGTTGCATTGGGAACCAGATGTTGTGAGTGTGGGATGTGTTCAGACTAAAAGCCCTCTGCCTAACGCATCCAAACTAGAATGAGATGAGCACCGCTATCTTATGGCATCAGGGCCTTCTTCTATATCAATATATACCGTACTCTTGGTTAAGCATTAGAAAAACAAGATGATTAGGTAAAAATGCAGAGATGTCTCTACATAGCTCAAGCTGTACTGGACAGTAGGCTACTACAATGAAGTCTTGCATAAATTGGCCATTCAGCAATCTCCACCTGACTGAAATTGAATAAAAGCATCTGGAGGAGCACACCAGAAGCAGTTAATTAAATTAATTTCTTCCAACAGTGCAACACCTTTCTTTCTGTTCCTCTTGCTTTGCGCGTCATCAACGTCTATATCAATATTTGCTTGTAGCACACAACTCAATAGATAGATATAAACTTTTTTGTTTCGTATTCTTATTCGCCCTCATTTCTCTACATTTTGCAACGATGCCAGCCACCAACGATGAAGAACTTGGAAGACTAGCGAGGTCGATGGAAAAGACCACAGTGAATGATACCAGTGTATTTGCAAGCGGCATCGAGTTGACCTTTTCAGCAACTCTAGACGACTCTGAAAACCTGGAACAGTTGGGTCCTGTCATCAAGAACATTACAGAAACAGGCAAACAGGGAGCATTCCTGGATGCGCTGGATACTTTGATTAGAAAGAAGGATGGTGAGATTGAGCGTATGTGTAATTCTCATTATCAAGTAAGGCAACAGGATGGCAATTGCAATACAAATTTCAAGTGTTGATGGAATGTATAGGAATTCGTGCACGCTGTCGACCAACTCTTGAAAGTGAGACAAGGATCAGTTGAACTACGTAGGAAACTGGCAGAAGTCAATGATGCTTTGCAATCTCGAGGCACTCGTTGGGCTCAGAAAGTAAGCATCTTAGCTGTCTGCATGATGCGAAATGCTGATCTTTCTCATTGACTAGAAACGAGAACTGACAAATGCCAGAAAAGTGCAACAAAATGTAGAAGACGCCATCGAAGCTTTGCAATCCAGCTTGGTCGTACTGGAATCTGCCAACAAAGTGAACGACTTGCTGGAAAGAAAAAAGTACTATGCAGCGTTAAAAGTGAGTACTTTTCCATAGAAACATGTCAAGGAGTGTACATTGAACAGTAGAGCAGACGTTGGATGGACTGGAAAATGATCGCTTAGGCCAAACCACACAATATACATTTGCTAGAATGCTGTCTCAGGGCATTCCTGTGATGCAGAACACCATCAAAAGCACAGTGACAGTCGAGTTGAAGGAATGGCTAGCAAGAGTGCGTGAAATCTCTCGAGAAATTGGAAACTTGGCTATGCAACGCATGCAAGAACGACAAGAGAGATGGAGATCAAAGACAACAGAAAACCCTAAATTAAAGAACCTCCAACATCATCAGGTGAATTCAGCAATTGAAATGGTCGTCAACGAAGGATTAGAAAGTAAGTTTTGCTCATTTTTGCCATTGGACACGCAGAGAACTAATGTATGCCGACTTTAGCGAGTATATTGGATGAAGTGAATATTGACTTTGAGCCTCTGTATCGTTGTATTCATGTGTATGAAACGCTGGGTAAAAGAAACGAATTTAAGACATCGTATTCGGAGGATAGAAGAGTAAGTTGTAGTATATCAGCGATCATGCCATCCACTAAACAGTTGATTCAGGCACAAGCCAATCTCGCCTTGTCCACGCCAATCAATTTGCGTGATGGCAATCTAACCACCTTTGATTTCTTGCTACAAGACATTGTTGGCTTCTTTATCATTGAACACATGATTTTACACAACACAACTGAATTCAGAAGCCAAGCAGAAGTAGATGGTTTGTGGGAGATGGTAACAGGCAAAGTTATTCTAGTGGTCTCTGAAAGTTTGAAGGGATGCAGCGATCCTGAGCTGTTCCTGAGAATCAAATTTTCTCTGCTGATATTTATTCAAACACTAGAAGGATTCGACTATTCTGTCAAGCCATTGCAAGAGACCTTGCTGACACTATTCCAGCGTTATTCAGAACTGCTAATCAACCAATACAGCGAAGTCTTTGAGAAGATAGTGCAGGAGGATGAATGTATGCCCATGACGGTGGAGAACGACGATGAGCTGAAGGAAGTAATGCAATATACCCGATTCCGACCAGACCGAGAATTTATAAAGAGATATGGGTAATGTGCTGCTGGATGTGCTGGATCAAACAGACAATATGACTCACGCAACTATGCTCAGATTTCCCCTTCGTTTACCATTCTCCAAGGTGTTTCCTACCTGCTGTCGAGACGTCAGCTCCTTTGTACACCAATTTTATCAGTTTGCAGAAGGATTCAGTCAGACACATGGTGAAATGGACGATATTCTCAAGAAGGCCGTGGATAGTTTATTGATCAAGAAAGTCAATGCCATTTTGCTCAAGAAATTACAGTCCACCAACTTGTCGCAGATTGTGCAGATTATCATCAACATTGAGTACTTTGAATCCACATGCCCTGATTTCGAAATGTTGCTCATGGAAACCCGCTCATTCCATCGTTCTGGTCATATCCATCTCAAGGCTACTTCGACATTCAAAGATACCCGTCGAAAAGCAGAAAAGCGTATTTTTGAGTTGGTGAATTCTAAGCTGGATGAGTTCCTGGAGCTGTTTGAATACGACTGGGAATCGGAAGAGATCCAAAAGCAACCAAGTCCCAGTTTGCAGGATCTCGTTACGTTTTTGACCAATGTCACCAATGCTGCATTACTCAATCTGCCCGAGACCATCAAGAGTCTGCTGTATTTTGATGCCCTGGAGCACTTGAGTCAGTCCATGAAGGCCCTCTTGCTGAACCCAGACCAGCGCATCATGACGGAAATTGCGTTGAGTAATTTTGATATCGATGTCAGGTTTGTAGAGGATTTTGTGCACAATTTGGGCGATCCAACTATTATGGATACATTTGTGGAGCTGCGACAATTACTGGATCTGGCCATTTTATCAGACAATCCTGAAGAATACCTGACTCCTCAAGTAAGAAACAGAAAATACAATCGCCTCAACAGCCGAGATGTCATTGTCTTGTTTGAAAAGTAAGTGGTGCCACAATGACCTAATATGTCAAGCAAAACTAATGGACTATCAGAGTGCTGCGAACACCGTTACCTATGCACACAGTGCTCAGTCAAAAGGAGAGAATGAGACGCAAAGCAATGGAAAATGTCGCCAGGTAAGGGTTTCCTCCTATCATATCTGATGAAGCTATCGACTCACAACATTGCACAGAGTACTGAGATCAGTTCATATTGGAGGCTCTCGCTAAATAAAACCTTTATTCTTTACAGCTTTTTTTTCAACTTTTCCAAAGCCGTAACTGCTCTATCAATGCCCATGATGCCAGCTCTCTCAAATCTAATCTTTGCGTCCTGCAATCTACCAACAGCCTCATAAACGCAAGCAAGATTGTACTGAACTTCACCGTCCAAGGGGTTGAAGTTGGATGCTTGTTCCAAGTGCTTGATAGCGTTTGTTGTGTCCTTCAACATCAAGTAACCTGACGCAATGTTGGTGTGAGCATCTGCTGAGTTGGGCTCATAATCTAACGAACGTTCAAAGGATTTGATGGCGTCCTTGTGCTTGCCTGTGCAAGCTCATGTTAACAGATGGAACATTAGCATGAATTATGTCTTTGTATTTACCCATTTGGAAATAGCATACACCAATGTTAAAGTAGCCAGCCGCACTGGGGGCTGCTTGAACACTTTTATGGAAGCTATTCATAGCCTATGATATGCCATTTAATATAATTCAGGGGATGAATGCATGTGGTTTTCCTATTACCATATCAAGTGAGCCTTTGTTCATGTAATCAGCACCAATCTTAATCTGCTCTTCTGCATCAGAAATTCTATCAAGCTTGGGAAAACTGGCTGAGAAGGCTATTATATTTATAATTAGCATATCAGGCCATTTAATTTCTGCCTCCAGGGTTCGCGAATAGACTTACATCTGCCAAACACATGCTGAACTGAAGGTCGAATAACAGCACGCTTGGAAGGAAGACAGCAAGGGCGAACGGCAGCTCTGGATAAAATGGCTCTTTTCAAAATGCTGGACATGTTGTGGGATGCGTTGTTAAAACAGAAAGAAAGCTGGGGTAAAGTTTGAGAGAGAAAAACTGTCAATCACAACGTTGAGTTTGATTATTCCACATGAATGGAGATTGGTTGATCGAGAGAATGCTTACACTGACGCCCGTAAGCAGTTCATTATATAATGAACTAGCAAGAAATGTGTTTGCAGTGGACGTATGTAATCTATTGTTCAGTATCCAATGCAAGGCTTTGGCTAGTGTATCAAATCCATCCGTCTATTGGCCATGCTGGACTGGCCACGCTGTCTGTCATGAACCAAGGGGTGGGGGGGATAAATGGAAATACAAACCCTCTAGAAGCTCATCCCATCGAAAACTTTGGAAGAAAGATTACCGAATTTGACTCCCAACTATGAAACCCAAAATCTTTTTTTATACACTGAACAATACACATTTTGCATCATCTGCTCTTTCTTTTTTTCTGTACACTCAACTCATCCTTTCCTCCAGTGTCTGTGCGTTGTTCTCTTTGATTGAATTGAATGGAAACTATCATCGATAAAGTCGAACAACTTGGAATTGATACATCAGATATCGCAAAATGGTCTGACAGCGAGGATACAACAAAGGAGCCATTGACACCTGTTTCAATTGATCTCCATAGCGACCATCCACCACCACTGGATGTTTCCATGACAACATCTCCCATTAAGCAGCACAAGAGATCCGCCAGCGCAGTCTACGAATACACCATTGACAGCTTGCAGCCCCATCATCAATCATCTTCAGACCTGAAGCAATACGTACAGAGGAATGTATCGCATAACAAGAAAAAGTGGTTTCAATTGCCTCGTATGAACTTGAAGAGGCAGCAATCCACTCCACCCAGAAGAGGGTTTGGAGGACTCAAAGCTGGATTAGTGGAACCTCCGGAACCACCGCCACAGCTCCTCTTTAATCTAGATTGGTCAACAAGTTTGAAAGGCCCTACAGCACTATGGGAGAATGATGTCAAGCAATCAGCAAGTACGCCCGTTACACCCGTTGTGAGTAGAAGGAGTTCTGGTGTTTACTCTGACACGATTTTTTCAAGCGAGTACTACACTACTCGTCATAAGTCGTCATCGTCTGTGTCATCTGCATCTACCGTTGTTCCTGAGCAAGACAATCATCCTACCACCACCCAATCGGAAAGTGACATGCTCGCTGTAAGACGATTGAGTTGCCCAAATTACAAGTATCAGAACATCTTTCTGGATGAAGCAGGTAATACAACGTCCAAATCAAAAACAGGTGGCACAAGCACGAAACTATTCTCCATCATTCCAATGCACCAAAGACCCAATTTGAAGCGAGGCACCTCAACGGAAAGTGTCCTGTGCCATTCATCCCCTTCACCAGTATCTACACCATCGTCATCATCCGTATTTACACCACCTCCATCACCGCCACTATCCAAGAGCAGTGCAGACTACAAGACCTTATTGTTTAATGTTTACGCGCCAGATACCAACGAGCTCGTATTGAACTTTAGAAACATTCAGCCGAGAACTGTGAAACTGAAACGAAGATGCAACCTCAAATCTGAACAAAAGGCGTTGCACCAATGGCAAACCTACCTGCTAGCAGCACTGAAGCATTCGTTTTCCGTTCAGCGCCAAGACAACACGATTGTAAGTATTTGATTACACGTATTGCTCTAATTGCTCTTACTGACATGTGCTTCTCTATAGTCCCCCGCAAAGAAGGCCAGATATTTCCTGACGAGACGCTTCATTCTACAAGAATTCTACACGACTGAAATCACATTTTGGAACCAATTGAACTTTTCCAAAGTGGTAAGTTGATTACAAAGAAAATGTGAAGGGTTCTCTCATCTAACCGCTAAATCTAGATGTTTTGTGATCCGCTAAAGTTGGCACTGGAAAGAGGCAGTGTGTCAGCTCGCCCCACTGACATGGATTGGTTTGCCAACTTACAGGATCTCATGAATTTCTCATCTATATTGATTCGTCGACTAGGGCAATTTCAAGTGGATAAGATCCCTCCTAAAGAGGAAGTGAATGATCCCAACTGCCAAACGGACCAAGTGAACATTGGGCTGGTGTTGCGCGAAATGACCGAATCCATGGTCACTTTTCTGCGGTGTGCTTTGGACTACAAAGCCAACAAGAAGTTGATGGATCAAAGAAAGACCAACAAGGCATACACCTTGTACAACGAAAAACTAGCGTTGAGAAAGGAAACCAGGCAGTTTACGCTTGGTGATTACCTGATTATTCCAATTCAACGGGTTACCCGATACGGTCTGTTACTTGCAGGTATGGCATTGACTCAAGAATGGATGTTAATTCGTTGCTTATCAGTCATTTGTACAATAGATCTCGAAAAACATACCGAACCAACGCATCCCGACTACAGAAACATCAAAATCTCATTGTGCATAATACAAAGCTTAGCATCTGCTATGAATGCTGTTCAAAATTAATCTTAATTTATATATATTCTACTTTGCATCTTTCTTTCAATTATATATTTCTTTACTACTTTGACTTAATACGTTTAATAAATTATTCTACCTTTCAATGGATACACACGAAATCAAGGCGTCTTTTGATGATGATCAATAGTTTATTGTCGATGAATAATAAAGTTTTAATAGTTGAAATATAGAGTATAATGATTCTGGGATGATGCTTAGATCATCATGACAATGGCAGCACCAATAGCGCCAGCAGCACCAACAAGGCCAGCCTTGAGGTTTGTAGCGCCAGACACAGAGACACCAAGATGCCCGACATGAGCAGAGGGCATAGCAGAAACCATGGATGATGCCACAGAGACAGCAGTGGGCATCATGGAAGAAGGTAAAGCAGAAGCAGGGGCAGAGGCAGAGGCGGTCATCATGATGGAAGAGGAAGCGTTGGAAGCTACAGAAGATTGAGGCATAGCAGTGCTAAGAGCAGCAGTAGCGACAAGGGCAACAGATGAAGTAGAGTTAGTTTGAACACCAGGAGCTTGACCAATGATGGTGAAATAAGCTGATCGCAATCGGTTAGTGCTTGCCCTTCTTTTTGACAACACTTGTTTGACTTACCAGAATAAGAAATGCCTTGAGAGTTCTTTGCCAGGAGAACATAACTAGTAGCAGTGGTCAAGTTCTTTGAAGGAACCCAATCAAACTTGCCCAAAGCCAAAGGAATGGGTTGAGTGTTGATAGTTTGGATCAACTCGAGGTTGGAAGCGGAACCCATTCTCAGTTCAATGGCATCGATCTTATCGTCAACAGCATTAGGAATGGCTGTCCTAAGCACGCAGAGGCACCCCATCAGTAAACATCTCCATATTCCATGCAACAAACTTACCAAGTGAGAGAATAAGGAGCATCGGCCTGGAAGACTGAGCCAAGAACAGGATTGGTAAAGTAAACACCGGCATCCTGTTGATTGACAGCGGGTTGTTGAGCCCTGACCAAGGTAATGGCACCAGCAACAAGGGCAGAAAGAGTGGCAATGAACTTCATTTTGTAGGTATTGGAGCAAGTGATCAGAGAATGATATGATGGGTATAATGATTCAATTTTACGGCTTTTATACACAAGATCTACTCGGACATGTAAATGCGAGTGAAACTTGCATTTGTAGCACATTTCAACACCAAAAAAATCATACCAGATTTTCCTGCTGTCATTGCTTTATGTACTCGGTATGACGATACGCTTCACATTGTGATCTACCCGTTTTTATGGTAACTGCGTGCGTATGATGTGGTGGTTGTCAAGCTACAGAATTGCCATGTGAACGCAGACATGGATGGCATGATGTATGGTCAACATTGCCTCTGAATTAGGACGGAGCCATGTTGCACCGTGAAAAAGTCAAAGAGCTATCTGATAGAGGAAATACTAAAATGATGCATGATAGCTCAACAAATGTATCATCCTGTCAAAAAATGTGTTTGCCAATCTCGTCATGGTCAATTACATGACTTTGAGATAGTTTGGCCCTTATCTTACATTATAGTTTGAAGAAAGGAGTTAACTGTGCCTTTTTATATGGAACAAAGCGACATGGCAGCATTGCCAGTTTAAGTTTATGCTACTCTTCAGAGTGTATCAGCGGCAAAAATAGTGATCATCTGAAACGTATAAAATGTTGAGGGGTGTCTCGAAATCTACAGAGAAGTAAATAGTGTGATAACAATGGTCAGCAGGATCAACATCTTTTGAATTCTGTGATTTTACTGTGCACCTGCTGCTCTGTGAGATTTGGCAGTAATAGCATCATGCTATATTGCTATGCACAAACACTATCAACACAACAAATGCATGTCGTCACCCATCAGTGTGTACACACATACATTCGCATTAGTCAGGCATACTCCTATTTCTTTTCTTTTCCTTTCTTTTCCTTTTTTTTTTTTTTTTTTTTTTTATTGATTAGATAGCTAACACTATGCCAAAACGTGCAACTAAAGCCAGCAATGTCCCTCTGCATAAAGTTATCATGGTAGGATCAGGCGGTGTTGGTAAATCTGCTTTGACGCTGCAGTACATGTATGGCGATTTTGTTGAAGAATACGACCCTACCAAGGCTGACTGTAAGTTGATGGACAGTGACATGATTGAGATTGTACATACTTATTTAATCATAAAGAAAAGCATACCGAAAAAAGATCTTGCTGGATGGCATCGATTGTCAGATTGATATTTTGGATACAGCAGGACAAGAAGAATATGCCGCTGTAAGTTGGATAGATTGGCAAGTGGTATCATATCAACGACTATTGATTAACGAACGATGCAGATTCGAGACAACTACTATCGTTCAGGAGAAGGGTTCTTGTGTGTCTTTTCCGTCTGCGAACAAGAATCTTTGGACCATACGCAGGAATTCAGGGATCAAATTTTGCGCGTACTGGATGATGAATCAGTAAGATGCTTGACCGAGTTGCCCACAATAGTGATTTGTATACTGATGTGGCTTTACGGATAGATTCCGTTTGTATTGGTTGGAAACAAGGTTGATTTAGCACATTTGCGTGTCGTAGATTCCAGTGAGCCCCGGCAAATAGCTCAAGGATGGGGGTGTCCTTACATTGAGACGTCTGCTAAAACTAGACAAAACGTCGAAGAAGCTTATTGTACGCTGATGAGACTCATTGTCAAGCGAAAGGAGACACTTCATCGTGAGGAAGCCAAATCAAAAAAGAGCTCCTGTATGATTTTGTAACGCACTGCACCCATCAATAAAGTTATGCGGTAGCTTCTTGATTCATTCGCATTGCTAACAGAGACGTATGATGATTGGTCTTTAAGAGTCTTTATTTACAAACTGGAATCCCAAGATGGATGCCACAGATCAGGTCATGATGGAAGATGCCATATTTCTTCTGTTTGTATCATTCTTACTCGTGGCATATCCCTCGGATTTGTATTGATGGTATTTGCGAGATGCCATGTTATCAGGGTTTATAACTGGAAGGTATGTCTTTTTGAAATTGGTGTTCAGTGGGCCCAATGGTGTATATCTCTTCTTTTCGTCTGGTGCAGTGGATTTGATGAATGTGGAGCTGATGTGATATCCTCTGGTGCACAATGGTGCTTTGTTAATGCAGTGCGGATGGAATTTCAGCTGGCAATCTACACTGTATGTCAGTAATGTGCTTTGCTGTCATATTCAAAGAAACTTGCCTTGGCAGTTTTTGACCCACAATCGCTTCATTTGAATGTTGCATCCACAGCATGCCTCTCCTTTTTGATATGTTTGGTAGTCCACAAACTGATGTGTTAAGAAATCATTACGGTTCGTACTTGGCTCTAGACTTGTCTCGCTCTTGCTCTTCGTGATTGTCTGTCTTTCATCACTGGGGAGCGACAAGAATGATGGGTCTTGCTGAAAGTAAGCCTCCATCCACTTCATCTGCATCAAGTCAAATGCACTTGGTCTGTCTTCTGGGTTTTTTTTGAAGCAAGCCAACAAAAACTCTCTCGCTTCCTCAGACAGTGCAATGTTCTTTGGGATAGGTGGCTCGTCGTCTTCTACGATGCGATATAGCGCTGCAAATGATGGAATGCCTGCGTATGGTGGCTTGCCTGTCAGCATCTCTACAATTGTGCAGCCGAGAGACCAGATGTCTGATTTAGCGGACGCTCCAGCAAATTTGATGACTTCAGGAGCCATCCAGTTGGGTGTTCCTGCAGGCTCGCCTGTATTCTCATCGTCCTTCATCTTTAGACTCAAGGAAACACCAAAATCGGTCAATTTGAGACCCCCTGTTTTTGTAATTAAGATGTTTGCTGCCTTCAAATCGCAGTGAATCACATCTTTTGAGTGCAAATAATGGAGCCCTGACAGGATTTTGTAGGTATAGGAAGCTGCTAGTTTTTCTGGAAACTTGCCAAATGCCTTGATGTTGTTGTGCAGCGATCCCATCTCGACGTACCTATGTAGATGATGTATTTATTAGAGTCAAGTAGCATCTGGCTGTGTGTATGTACAAACCACTTACTCCAAAATAATGTTCATGTACTCTTTGTCTTTGCAAAAGCCCTTGTATCTTACAATGTGCTCGCTATTGAGATGTTTCAAGACACCTACTTCGTTCTATTCAAAAAGTTAGCATTAGCTCCCCAAAAACTGAACTGAGTTTTCACGCACCATATCATCACACTCCATCTGATTTCTCTTGATGCGCTTAATGGCTACGTATTCTCCAGTGTCCATGTTGAGGCCACCAAATACTTCTCCAAATTGACCTTTGCCAATGCTTTTTCCCAAAGCCTGTTTCATCAAAGCGGTTTTAGCGCGTAATCATTGCATTTCCCGCATTATCAAACAAGCTTACATAAACTGCAGACGTCCCATCGTCGCTTTCCACTGTGAGAGCGCAAGATCCCATCTTCTTTAGCGATGTCTTTCTATTATTGTAATCCGTATAATGCTTCATCTTGTTATCAGCTGTGGTCTTTTTCTTGGGAGCAGTTGTCTTGGCTGTTGCAGTGACATTGGTAGCTGCTACTAAGGGTGTCGATTTAGAGGGCTTCGGCATTGGCATTGAGCTGCTACTTTTAGCAGCTTTACTTTTCTCAGTCGTCATATCATTGGTATTGTCAGAAGCAGAGTATCGCTTCACTGAGACTACATTGGGTTCTGCCACTGCCAGGTGGCTGTTGGTAGTAATCATATGCACTTGAGATTTGACATAGCCTCCTGCTCCACTTCCTCCCTTGTTTCCGCTACTGGTGCTCTTTTGCTGGAATCTCTTCTCCAAGGATATCTTCCTTACATCGCCAGTAAACTCCGAGCTTCGTCGTGCATTAGTAGATTGCTTGGGCCATTCACAGCTCGTGTTGTTTTTGCTACTAGTTGGGATATAAGGCACACTGGCGCTTTTTGCCTTGGTGTGCAGCAGGTATTGGTGTGCAGCGGTGGTATTTGCAGTGGGTGGCGTAGTGGGTGGTGAAGGCAGCAGCTTCTTTTCGTCGCTGAAGGATGAATTTGAGAAACGCTTTTGATAGCTGGGGCGACAAGTGTTACCGTGTTTGTTGGCCTGTAACACATTGTATGCATTGCCGTTACAGGTAGCTGCTGCTGGAGGTGATGAAGGTGTAAGCAACAGGTGAGAATTGCGACTACCACTCTTTCTGCCTGTCGTCAGAAACTCTGATGTGGGTTTCGTGGGTATTACTTTTCTTTCGCTCATGATGCGTTTGATTGCTAAAAGGCAAGAAATCACGCTCTGCATTCGCTTTCCTTCTAATAGATCTACAGTTTGGAACAAGTCAGACTGGGGTATATGAAGCTATGATAAAGTCAATGAGTTTTGAGTTATTCATGCTGTAGCGCCATTCGGTACTCACACTCTCGGCAACTCGGAGAAACTGCCCAATGTTGTCTTGCTATGTACAATCAAGTGGAGAAATTAGCAACCCAAGCAATAGATCCGAGTCTTACAAAATCTTACATATGCAAAGATGGTGCCGCCTTCGTTTTTGATGATGCATTCGTTAGGCGAGAATCGTTTGATCAATCTGTGCACGAGAAGATGTTAGCCTTGGATTCGCTGTCTGCTAGATTCCGTTTGATCTTACTCGCATAGCAGAATGCCATCCTTTAGTATATCCTGCAGAGATCCTTTGGGCAGTTCCTTTCTCTCGAGTGTTTCCATCAGAAATTGCTTGACTGCATCTTCTGGTTGTTGCTGAAACACAAAAGTCAATGATGATGAATTACTGCTGCTCATCTCTAAAATGTAATGATAATGAAATAAAAAGAGCAATAAATGAAAATGCACCAAGAAACGATAATAAAAGAGAAAATGATTGTATGTATCTTGCCAAAACAGGGAATTATTATACAACACTTCAATTACGCTCTTAGTACGACCCTGCGACATTTTTTCGCTTACTATGTGTATCGCTTCAAAAAGAAAGCGTAAACATATTACCCTATATGGAATCAAAATCTCGATCCTGTAAATTTTCATTTAAGGCTTTACAAAGAGTCGCTAGCAGTATGGGTGAGATGTTAAATAATACCAGTTCATCCAGACCTAGTTGTGCACTGCTTGACAATTCGCAGATCTACGATTTTACTAGCAAATTTGGCAATTCTGAGGCAGCTGTTTTATCTGATGTTTCACATTTGTTCGTGTTAAGATTTCTTTTCCTGTTGCTTCTTTGAACAGTGTGCTATTCGCTGCCAACTTGAAGATGCAGTCGACCTACCTATGTTTTTAAAGCATACTTAACCTTCAACATGGAACTCACCGAGAAACGATGAGCATATGTCAAGCATTTGCATCATATAGCATATCTGGTTTGATTGGTTTCCTTGGAACATCAAGGCCAAATACTGTAGCCAAGGCAGTTATTCTGCTGTCAACATGCCTGAGTTGCTTTGGCGTTCCTGAATGTCAAGCGCAATGTCGAGCATGAATTACGCACCTCAAAAAACACATCGCCATGGCTGTAGGTTGTGTACGTTTGGCTGTCCGACGACGACGACGATGATGCTGATGATGAGCAGTTTCTAGTTCGGGAACAACGAGACGCTCATCTCACTCAGACCTGTTTGTTTGTTTCGCTATCTTTTTTTTTTTTTTTTCTTTTCTTCTCTCACTCTTTGTTCTATATACAAAATGAAGTATACATTTATTTCGGTTCCTGCTCTGGGAGACAAGCAAAACACCTATCTAAACATCAAGGGAAAGCTGACCGAATATGCTCAAGTATACAAGATGAATATTCCTGATTTCAAGGTGAGATTTAGCACTGTACATCTTGCTTTAATATGTAGTAATGTGGACCACAGATTGGTACTTTGGATGCCTTGGTGCTCTTGTCTGATGATCTTGTTAAATACGATACTGTATTTGAGCAATCTGTAAACAAGCTGGCCGACATGCTCAACACCTTGTTGCGAGGCCAACAAGCCAATTTGCAAGACCAGTTGTTAGTGAATGATAGTGAGTTTCGATGCACTCGTCTAGAGAAAAACGCGTTTAATAACACCACAACGTAGAGCCTATTGACCAGTATATCTCCACCTTTACATGGAATGCCATGAAGTATCGCACCGATAAGTCTTTGCAAGAAACCACTGCAACCTTGAGCCAAGTAAGTCCATTTTAAATGATGAAACATCAACCAAACGCCTGTTGAACAACAACCCCCTTTTTTTTCAGGAAGTTACAGCCATCGATAATGTCATGAAGAACAAGTTGAATTTGTATACCCAGAATAAGAACGCACTCCAAACATTACAACGCAAGCAAACGTAACGTATACATCTCTGATCTCTGTGGACGCTGCCTTTAACATTGCATATACAATCTAGGGGTAATTTATCAGTTCGCAACTTGAATGGCATTGTCAAGAAGCAGCATTGTGTTTTGAATTCAGAGTTCTTGACCACCTTGATTGTTGCTGTTCCCAAGACACTTTTCAAGCAATGGAACAACAGATATGAGACGCTGACGGATATGGTCGTCCCTCGCTCCTCAGTGTAAGTAGCCTTGACGCTGTTGTAGCTCTAATGCTGATATGTGAGACTAGTAAGATTGCTGAGGATGAAGAGTTTGGATTATTCACTGTTACAGTCTTCAAGAGAACTGTTGATGAGTTTGGTCATAAGGCTAGAGAAGAGAGATTCATTCCTCGCGATTTCACTTATGACGAAGATGCTTTGCAAACCCAACAACGTGAAATAGAGGAGGCATATGCTACTGAGCGTGAGCAACAAGCTGAATTGCTGCGCTTAACAAAGACAAACTTTGGCGAAACCTTTGCTTCTTGGCTGCATCTCAAAGCTCTTCGAGTTTTTGTTGAATCAGTGCTCCGTTACGGTTTGCCTCCTGATTTCTGCTCAGTTACCATTTCACCAAAGCCTAAATTCGAAAAGAAGATTGATGAAACGCTCGTTGCTCAATATGGTCGCTTGGGTGGTGTTCACGGTCAAGCTATCAAGAGTGACAACCAAGATGAGCTCTTGGATCACGACTTACAATCTGTCAACGACAGCAGTTACCGACCTTATGTTCAATTTGAACTCGATTTTGATTATGAACGTAGATAAATCAGACAATAAAAGAAAGAGACCCATATCCCAAACATTCATCAAAATAAATAAGTGCAAATCTTTATTTCTCTAATATTGAGATGCCATTTGTTGGCATTGCTTTAATGCGTCGAGGTACCACTTGCAGGCAGACATGTCATTATTCGTTGCTTCAAGACATTGGGTAAATGCTTTTGCATCAGCTTCACACGATGCTCCATTTTGATTTTGAGCAGCCATAGATTGCTGATATGGTTGTTGGTATTCTTGCTGAGGCTGTTCTTGAGGTTGAGAGTCGCTACTACCGCCAAACATGGATGAAGCGGCATTACTAAGGCCGTGACCTATTGTGCTGCCAACAGCTACGCCAGCCGCTGTGCTAGCCACTATATAGTTTCTAAATGTTAGTACAATTATTAAAAAAGGTTCATTTTGATCAACACACTTACTTTGAGCAAACATGCCAGGCTGACGAGGTTGTGCTACGGCAGGTGGAGGAGGAGCTTGATGCTGCACAGGAGCATGTTGCTGTTGTTGCTGTTGTTGTCTAGGAGGAGGAGCTTGTCTTGCAGGCATGGAATGAGCGCTGCGAGATTGCTGAGTAGGTCCAGCACGACGAGTCTAATTGAGTTCATGCTAAATGAGCATCACTCTTTTGCGAGAAACATGAAGCAACTTACTTGTCTTGAACGAGCCATAGTTGATAAATAAAGGATTGAGTGGGTAAAAAAAAAAGAGTATAAAGATTCGTAAGAGCAGTTTGCATTTTAGAGCTATTTATACGCACTAGGGTTTGCAATCACACATCTGCCGACAATGCATTCATTGATTGGACCCTTTGTAGCTCGGAAAAAACGGGAATGGTTATGCGTCAATGGAGTCTTCCGCTGAGTTTTCGATTCTGGCAAGTTCCTTTTGATATAAATCGTGTGGAGTAGTCGTCATTCTTCTTTTACTTTCCATATCCATTTCAATCATATTATATACACAGATCATGAATCAATCTGGAGCCACCGCAGGATCAAAGGAGTTTGGCTCAAGAGAAAGAGCTGCTGAAGATCAATATGCTCGTCAAAAGGTAAGTGATGATGGCATTCATCAAGTGAATTCCAACTAAATGAATCTTGTAGGAAGCTGAGCAATTAAAGGCACTAAAAGCTTCAATGGACGCTGCCGCCGCAGCCAAGAAGGAAGATAGCAAGTCCGATAGCAAATAATTTGACAACTCAATGCTTGATAGTACTCATCCAATGCCAGGGTAATAAAAGCATTTGCACATTGTAATCCTAATCAATCATGCGATTCAAAATAATAATAATAATAATAAAACCTACAAGACCGAGATTAAGGGCTCAGTATTGATGATTTGCTTAAGTTCAAACTGTGGCATGACGCTAAACAAACCTGGAGACATGATCGATGTGTTTCATTATTGTACGATACCTGCTAATAAACTTCTTGGCTATTCACCGTTAATTGAGAGTCCTTTATAAACAAGATGTCACTGCAAATCTAACTCCCGTAGGTAGCTCGCGTCTATAGCAACGAAAATAGTCTGTGAACAGCAGGCAGCATACTTGCATTACCCCCCTACCCACTCCAAAATATGCAAATTACAGCGAAATTTTGGTGCATTTGAGCCGCAATTTCTCGTGCTAGAAGCCGCTTTAGGCTGCCGGAATAGCACCAAAAGGTTGCTCTGATCTGGCATTAACTGTCTGACACCTTTGCTCAACTTTCTGAGGACCTAAAAAACATCGTCAAAAATCGATCAAAAACCATGAGGGGTACCTCATGGGTTTCATCAAAAATCAAACGATCGCGTTTTTTACCTTGATAATGAAGACTTTTACTATGATATATCCTGAATCAAAATATTTCTATCGATCTAACACAACCCCTGAAATCATTTTTGTGGGACCATGATATGTAAAATTCTGACTTTTTGGCCAGAAATCTCTTTTCGTATTTCCGTAATTTACTCAATAAGTCTATTCAAAACATCTATCTTACTTGGCACCATTGGATGCGTCTTGAAAAGTACTCCAAGGAAGCTTAAGGGAGTGTGGGATGATGATTACGATTTATATAGTCGAATTTGATAAAATAAATCAAGCAAGTCGCAAATTGATCAAATTTCTTTTTTTTTTAGGGCAAATGAATGCTTTATTTAAAGCCCTTCTTTAAACGTCCCCCAACTAAAGGAAGTCGAGAAGGGAAAAAGACTGGATATAATAATGGAGTTACAAATCAAAGAAATTGATCAAGATTTTCTTGGGAATGTAAAGTTGAAAGCGATTTTTGGAAGTAGGAAAGAAGAATGGTATTTAAGAAGGAGGTGTGGTGAAAATGATGCTGGTAGTGGTAATACCAATTAGTTTGCAACATAGGTACTATAATAGCTCCACCTGGTTACTGTCTTTCACTCTTATTGCGCATTTGTAGATCTGGTAAACGCAAACGTTGCGAAAATCAAAATTGTTATCGTCTTAGTAATCCATTACTATATAATCAAGATTTACGCCGATAGACACATCAAACGGCATTTCAAGTGTCAGTCATTTACAAGGCATTCAAAGGTAGATGATGATGATTGATAAGTATAATATTATATTTTAGAAAAGATTAAAAAGAGGGAGAAATTAGATGGAAAAGAGGCTATGTTCATGTCTGAATATGATTGAAAGAGTTGAGACATTTATGCAAAGGAACCAAAGTATGGGAGGGAGAAAGATGAGAGTAAGAGGTAGAAATAAGAACAATAAATAGAGTAAAAATATAGATAATTAAGCGGTGGTGCTCTTGGGTCTGAAGCTCATGATACAACCATCTTGAGGGTAAATAGTAGCGAAAATAGAGATATCATCGCTCTTCTCAGTACGTGTATGTGTCCATTCTAATTGGAGAGATGATTGGGCAATGACAGCCATCAAGTGCATAATGGCAAATTCTTTGCCAAGACAGTGATGAGGGCCATTGCCAAATACCATAAAGTTCTTGGGGAACTTTTCGGCGATACCGTTAGGTCCCCATCTATCGGGGTCAAAAGCATCAGGGTTAGGATATGCGGTAGGATCGTGAAGAGCAGGATAAGTAGTAGGAATGACCATAGCTATAAAATTAATTTAGACATCTTTTTCAAATTGAGAATCGTTGCATACTTACAGCCCTTGGGGACAGTATAATTAGGGGTAAGGGGCCATTCACGAGTAGTTTGATAAGGAACCATCAATACAGGAGGACGGAGACGAAGAATTTCTTTGACAACTTGGCGAAGATAAGTGCTTTCCTCCATTTGCTCCAAAGTGAGTTCTTGCTTGAGATCGCCCTTGCGAACTTGAACTTGTTCAGCGTATACCTTCTTGAGCACTTCAGGATGGTCAGCTAATAATTGATAAGCCCAAGTCAAAGCAGACGAGGTAGCATCTTGAGAAGCAAAGAGGAAGGTCAAAAGAGTCAAAGCGATTTCACGGTCATCAAACTTTCTGGGTGCAGGCTTGCCAGCCTCAGCACATTCAACTTCATATTCATTCATAGAGTTGATCCAAGCATCCATCATAGACTTGATTTCGGCGCCCTTTTCAGCCATTCTGATACGACTATCCTTGATACTCTCAATAAAGTGCTTGACAATGTACTTGCGAGATTGGATAGCTTTGTAGACCTTTGTGCCAGGCAAAGGAATAGGGAAGTTGACAAGTTCTAATGCAGCAGTAATGTTGAAGTATTCTTGGGAGATGGTAGATGCAACTTCATCAGACATGTAATCGCCCATAAAGACACGAAGAGAGGCCTCCATGTTGAGCTCACGGAAGCGCAGTTGATATTGTTCTGAAACGCCACCTAAAGCGAGCCACTCATCAAAGTGCTTTTGGTAAACTCTCTCTTGAATGGGAATATAGATGCCCAATGCTTTGCGAGTAAACAAAACATTTAACCCCTTACGGTAGTCCACATGAGCCTTACCACCCAAGAAAACCCAGTTATCGTCACAAAGAATATACTTCATGGAATCAACAACAGCAGGAGACACATAGGCAGGAGAGTTGAGGATCTTACGGCTCAATTCACAGGTGGAAGCGATGACTACGAATCTATAGTGCAAAACGGTCAATATAACGGACATTGAATGATGCTACACCATCGCCATCATCATCAGCACCGCCCCATATTACCCCCCGCATTTATGAGACTGATAGGCAACAATCAAATAAATGCTTATCTGATGACTAGCTAAATCGTCAAGAAAATATTTACCTGTCAAACACGCTAACACATGATAATTCACCACTCTTCCATTTGCTCATGTAGCCTTCAAATGTAGGGTAAAGAGAGTCCATGAAAGCGCCAATGATTGGAATCTTGAAGCTGGGTCCAGGCAACGACTTTTTCTTCTTAAGATAGACATATTGCTCATAAGCAAACAAACCAACTACGGCTGAACAGATAACAGCAGTGGCTGATACGTTTTGCTGAGAGAAGGCGGTCTTCATGAACGAAGCGACTGTATTCTTTGCTGATTCAATAGAGCGAGGATCGAAAATGCTACTTCAAACAGAGATCAGATGTCATGGCATTTTGACACCTTCATGACATTTCCTTACCTTGATGAAGACATACTGTTTATATACAAGCAAAAAAAAAAAAAAAAAAAAAAAAAAAACAGAAATTTTGTTAGATTTGTACAAACAAAACAGCACTCTTTGCATGGCAAACGCGCTTTACCTAATTTCTTTCTAATCCTTTAAAATCTAAATGTGATGCGGCGATGTTTGATTTAACAAGAGGATGTAACAAGATTTGAAAGAAACAAGGAAAAAGTTTGGAGAATAAGAAGAAGAAAAAAAAGAGAAAAGAAGAGAGAAGAACGAGATGTCGAATAAGAAATAGTCTTTTATTTCAGAAACCCAAAACCATACAAAGAGCATTAGGGAACACAAGGAAAATTATAAATCAAAAAAAAAATCTTTGTTTTATATAAAAGTTGCCATCGGCCTAAAATGAAACCAGAGAAAATCAAATTTGCTGTCAATTATGATACGTTTGCGATCTCTAAAGGATCTCAATCCTTGATCTCGATATGATAATATTTGATTTCAACGCTAAATGTCCCTTCCCATAATGCATCCTTCAGCAATTCTATTTTTTTTTTTCTAATGTTACAAAACTAAAAAGATTTGTTTGTCTGCTACCGTCTCCGAATAACCCTTTTTCTGCTCAAAGGTGTCATCGTCTTTGTTGAGTGTCATTCCATCAAATCTGCTTCTCCACTTGTTTCATAATTCTTTGTTTACCCCACAGTTTTAACTTTAAGCTATGCTCACAGTAGCTTGCTCATCGATTTCATCATCAATGTTGTTGCTGGAGAACGTGGTAAAAGTTAATTCAAGTGATTCCATCTTTATATTTTTCGGCCCGATGAACTAGGTAATATAAAGCCGGTAAACTAATCATCCGCGTAAACTTATCGTTGTACAAATCCAATGATCTTGCTCGTTTCTCAAATTACAAAATACACAGATGGCTAGTCAATTCACCTCTTGCTGTATGTCGACACTAAAAATGAAGAAGCCAAATGGATACTGTAATAAACATGTGCATCGGCTAAAGGCGGGGACACATGTGGTGCAATGTATGCCATGCAATTGCTTGAAACAGCCAATCTCAAAGTTGATGGGCTCCCTGGCCTTATTGTTCTTATTTTAAATCAAAAACTACAAACATGAGAATCACCCCATAAAATCAAATGCTGCATTGTTACATTGCCAATTGGGAGAAAAAGGAAAAAAGAAAATCACTAACAAGATGAGGGCTTATATGCGTTTATAAAGGGTAAACCCATTTGCTGCATTCGTGGTTGCATTCAGATCCGAGCAATATAAAGATCGACGAAAACAATCGCTGAAAGAATGTATATTTATACATCTCTCTTTGATAGCTTGCTTGTTCATCCGGAACGGATAAAAATTTTCTCCAAAATTACTCGTGTTACTCGAGCCTCCTTTGAGTTTATGTCAAAAATATAAATGGACATCGTGTTGGCAGCAGTGCATCAAGACTCTATCAACTCAATCGCCACTATCCTGTGCACTTGCTGGATCGACAGCGCAAAGTACATTTGATTCTTGGGCAAATCGACATTGTGCCTGGATTAGTTTTCGTGTGGTAGGGTCATCCAAGTTACACCTTTGAGGAATTACTCATGCATGCAACAAACATTATAACATCAAGAGGCATGTGACAAGATGGTGTGAATACTTGCTATACAAAGCTTGAATGTTTGTCTTGGAAAAGCAAATCACGCTGCTTGGTAGATCAAAAAGGCATGGGTGGTCATATGTTGCATGTTGCCGAATGTTGGCGTAAAAGCATCTTTTCGTTCTCAACAAAAAGGTGCTGTAAAACTTCCTATCAGCACGGTATCATTCAGGATTTTGCGATTTCTGCTAATATGCTATTCTGGACAGCTAGCGATTTCCATCACATAACTGTTGCGCAGTAACGTATATGTTTGTTGTGATTTCATGTATTGTTTGTCGAACCGATCGCAATAAGTAGATGTTTATTGATTCCCATACACAGATGGATCTTTTCTCTCTTTTTATAGCCACTATGACAATGACTTTGAGAGTCGCATCAGAACTTCCATTAGATTCCGTGGTATATTGTGTAGCTAGATACTCGTTCTCTATATATAGAAATATTTCGTCGTTTGGTAGTACAACCGAGTGGGCTATACACCTAGCTTAGGTGATACGAGTAGGTATGGTGATGGTACATTGCGTCTAAAGTGAAGGGATCAAGTACTTCTCGACAGTGCTGTTTTACGTGCTCTGTCAGATGCACAGTTTCCATTTTCATGTCATTCCTAATTGACGATTATGACTCGGTGTTAGATCACGAACTGGCTGTTTAGCCCCATTTCTATTGAGTTACCATCATTCAAATGATGTACAACAGCAGTAGAGTTCAGGTTGTCGTACAATATCATAGCGTAGAATACCTTGGTTCATCTGTTCTTCCGATCAATGTATACAGATTACCCTTGAAATACCTGTGCCATCTATAGATAGAACAAACAACGCATTACCGTTGATGATAACCCCTGAACATCAACCTTAAATTCCAAGTCAATAGCACAGAAGATATCGAAAGACATTCCAAAATTCAGAGACCAAGAGGAGTGCCTTTGCTTCTTCTTTTATGACGGATAAAATCCCAGTTAAGGCAATTAAATCAAATCAGGGTTTGGAAAACGTGCCTGAAAACCTTAAACCTGGGCCGTATTTTAATGTATATCCATTGCCAACACTGCAAAGATGTATTTTAAGCATCATTGGATATACGCAGCTCAACAGTAAGACCCTCCAGCAATGTGCTCTGATCATATATATCAGCCGACATGAAAGGTACTGAACCAAGCCCCAAAGATTTCAAAAGCATTTACGACTGGATCAAATGTCATAATCTTTAATGCTGGCAAAGAAACAAAAAGGCGCAGTAATTTTTTTTTAGCTCTTCATTACTAATCAGGTTGTCAAACGAATGGAAATAGGAATACAAACCATGAGTTGCAAAATCGTAATACTTTTGCTTTTGATTATGAGCTCAATGATTGTCGCTAGTCTTCATTAAATGTATTCTTGATATGAACAGAAAACTACTGGCCATGTTGAACTATTTTCCACATGTCTATTAGAAGCAATTGAAGCCCACCACAGAGCTTTCACATTAGCATGGCATTTGACTAAAGTTCAGTGCATATACCGTCTTCAAACTTTTGATATCAATTCAGGATAGTACTTGCAATGTCTTTATTCTTTGTGTTCTTGGTTAGATATGAAAAATAGAGCTTTTAAATTTAATTACGAAAAAGCATCTTGTCAGCTGAGATGTTTAATGATGCGACAGCCTTTCATGTATGATACAAGTATCTTAGTATTAACGTAACGCCTCGTTCTCAAAAAACGTAACCCTACCAAGTGCACAAACGGCCATTTTCAAAGGGTATACTGGATGGCACTTTCAAAAGACCATTCAATTCTATTGAGTATTCTGCAATATTTGTGGTATACCAAAGCATTATACAAAGTCTGCATCATGTGGGTATTTAGTGTATATTCATTCACTAGCTGATCTATCTCGCTACGCTCGATGTCGGCGTCGCCCTGCGGGCTCTCACCGAAGACATTTTAAATCAGATATTATAACACTTTGATATATCAAGTAGATGTTAAACAGCCAATTATTAGTTAGTAAAAGAAAGGTTATATCAGAGCCAGGAGGAGGAGAGGAAGTAGCTCCCTCAGCATCCTTTTTGCTTACACTGATATCAAACAGAACTATTATTGGGACAATGTGAAAGAGAATTCAATATTTTATGCAGCATTTGTACATTGCAATCACCATTTTCTGATAACAGAATTGCCATATCATTCGCTACTGCTGATGCTCTTAATAGATGGCGACATAAAGCTGACCATGTGTAAATACAGGACTTCTATCAGATCTACAGCGGCTTTTTTTTTGAGATATTGTCATTGCAAAAGACACCTTTATGAGGCAAAGCTCCCCCAAAAAACGTATTTGTGCTAAGGAATTGTCCTTTCAATTCCATGATCGTCATTTAATCAGCATCGCAATCATTATTGCCATCAACAGAAAGGCATTTAGGTTAGCCAGCAGCAATGCCGCAGCCAAAATCGATTCAAACTCAGTATATCCTTTTTGTTCAAGATTGGGCAGATTTTGTTTTTTTTCGACTTCTTTAATCTATTTTACAACATACGACTATATGAACTGTAATGATCACCCTACACTTCCTAATACATTCTTGAAGTACTTTTCAAGGCGCTTCCAATGGTGCCAAGTAGAATAGATGTTTTAACTAAACTTATTGAGCAATTTTAGAAAATTTGAAATGAGGTTTTTAGCGAAAATAGCCATATTTTGCATATGAAAACCTTATAAAAGTGGTTTCAGAAGTTGCTTTGGATCGAGAGAAACATTTTGATTCAATACATAGCATAGTAAAAGTCTTCGTTTTCAGGATGAAAAACGCGATCGTTTGATTTTCAATGAAAACCATGAGGTACCCCTCATGCTTTTTGGTCGATTTTTGGCCATGTTTTTTTTTGGCCCAAAAAGTTGAGCAAAGGTGTCAGGAAGTTACTACTGCCCGAGTACAATCGTTTGGCGTCATTTCGGTGGCTCAAAAAGGACTACATGTCAAGATATGAAGGCTTGAAAACTATCCAATTTGGTTATGTATTGCTTTATAGCTTTTATTTACACGGCATGAATCATGTCTTTGGTAGCTGAAATCTTCTGGAAGGGCAGTTCTTCAGTCTGTGCAACTTCTAATTCGAACAGGAGGAATTTTTGAAAGGATATGATTTGTTTGTCTACTTTTTTTTTTTTTAAATGCTTTACAGCATATATAGTGAAGATGAAGCTCATGAATATAGTAAACAATGTAATAGTTTGGCGGGCGTATGATGCTTACTCGAACGCTGGATGCCTTTCATGCAATATTTCAAATCAGAAACCAAACAAATCATCTGATGACCTAAATGACTTGGTTTGACGAAAAAATGCGCACACAATTTATTCATAACAATGCTAGCTACACAACAATTCCTCTTCTCTTCTCTTTCAAACAAGCCATTATATCTTATTCTATCGATATCTATATACCACCATGGAATATAACAAAGACTGTAACAACAGCGAAATCAAAGCACACAGAAATAATCTCGATCAGTACTACGAGTATCGAATCTATGACAAGAACATTGGCCATTCCATGTATGCCAGCAGTAGTTTTTCAGAGTATGCACCTTGCCCTATAGTCATCATGTCTCGTCATCAAGGATTTCAATGGAATGACGAACTATTTGTCAATGCCTATCGCCGCAGTGCAGGCTACGAATGCCACAAGAGTGTCAGCCTTGAAATCAAAGATAACAAGGTGATGAATAACAAGGCAGACGCACAAAAGCAAGTACACCAAGAACAAAGCAGCGAGATGCCTATCGATGTCATTGATATCCACTTGAGTGAAGCTGAATGCGATGTTTGGCCCTAAACTTGAAAAAATGACATCTCATCATGTGCTAAGAAAATTAGTGTGTCTAATAGTAAACATTTTAGCTGAAAACTTTATATATGGGTTTAAGCAAATAAATTATAATAATAGTAATAGTAGTAGTAAGAATAAATAAATACATAATAATATAACTTGGTTGTCTACTCATTGACCCAGGAGCCACCTCGTTTCAACCATTTAGCAAGTAATACAGTGATATCTCTCACAACGAATCCACCTATAACAGTATTTATAACAGTACAAATTTTGATTAATTTTGCAATCAACACATCATGCTGAACTTGTCTTGATTTTTGCTTTTCAGTGTGATAGTGATTCAACCAGTGTTCTATAATATAACGAGTTAGTTTGATGGAACTCGTACATGTTGATAAATTGCTTACCTAACACATGAATCTTGGCAAACAGCTTTTGCAATACTTCAATGTAGTTTTTATACTGGTCCTCACTAAACAAAACAATCAGCACAAGCCAAAACACTCTGCCTATACAACGTACGTCTTTGTCAAACTAAACGCATTCATTCGCTCCACTGATTTTGTCAATTTCGTGCCCCATGACATGAAGGATTGTGTCTTCTTTCCGCTGTCCATACGGCTCATGGATATGGAATCACGGCTTGAGCTATGATGGATACTTCCATTATGACTGAGCTGGCTTGATCCACTATTTGAACTGCTTTCAATGATGCTGTCTCTTTTCAATTTCTTGGAAAGTGTCATCTGAAGGTGATCCACTGACGTTTCAAAATGATCCAAAAGACGAGTGGAACTGATGAGGTCGTCCAGATAGGACCAGTTCTCGAGGCGTACTATGTCTGTCAACAGTGATTCGCATGCTGATACTTTGATGTCCATGGAAGAGAGTCGAATATTGGGCTGTTGCCTAGATGGCGCATTCAGTATGCCGCCCTGTGCGTATATATAACATTGTCTTACCATAAGCTTTTGGGTATATACAGTCTTTGTGTAATATGAGCGCCTTCCAGCATACTCTTTTCAAGAGCAAGCAGTAACTTGAGATGGCTACTACTTGATTGCTTGCTGTTTTGCAGCGATAGGTCCTCGTTGCTTGAATTAGATTGAGGCAAAACATCATCCTGAATGGCTGTAGAGCTGTCCATGATATATTCCAGATCATCAGCAGCAACTGGCTGAATGTGGTCCTTCAAGAAGTTACCATAGGTGTTGCTACCAGCAGACGGCGAGTTGGACAGCTTTTCTTTTGCTCTACTAATAGTGAATCCGTCCATGGACAATCGATTGGCAGCTTTCTTGCGCATGGATCCTAATCCGCCTACTGAAGGCCGACTGATAATGGGGCGATTCACAATCATTTGAGCCGGGTATGTTTGAGAGTGAGAGGGAGGCGTGGTATCAATGGAAATTGCTTCCCTTGGTTGATGATGATGCTGTTTATGCTGTTCTACTTCTGTAGGCGATGATATAGTTTCGACTGTTGACATGGACGACGATCTTTGCATGATAGGTGCTTTGGGGAGGCTGCTTGTGCGAGCACGGAATACAGATCTCACTTTTGGTATAGGTGTGTTACCATGGTCTTTCTTCTTTAAAGATGGTAAATTCATTGCAGGCTGTTCCACAAGGGAGTCTTGAGATGAAAGGGCCGAGTCCACTGAGCTGATGGATGATCTATTACTGTCATTGTTGCTATTGCGGCGATGCGACGGTCTTGCTGGCATAGGCTCATGAGGGCCAAGCAGGCTGTACTCGTCCTTGTCCAGATCAAACTCATCACTGTCAAGATCGATATTGTCCTCCTCCTCATCGTCGTCGTCGCCATCCGCATCCTCATGCCTGTAATTGTTCTGTTTATGTTGACGGCTACTACGATTACGATGGTGTGGATGCGTAGGAGTACTTTTTGAAGCTTGCATCTGAAATATGGGTGGCGAAACAGGAAATTTTGGCATCTCCTTTTGACTAACAGGACGAGTTGAAGGAGAAGGAGTATTATCCTGCCAATGATTGCGCGCAGGAGGTGATTTCTCATGAATGGAGCCTTCAATTGAAGAGGAGGATGTCATTTTTCTCAGCATCATTGCATGCGACGGCCTTGAGGCTGTAGCAGTGCTTGTGGTGTTGATCGACTGTCTGGAGCTGAAGCTTTGGATGCTTGCTTTCTTGGCCAACCATAGTGTCTCTTGTTTCTCTGGTTGAAATGGTGCTTCTTCGATGGGTGATTGCTCTTGCTCCTCTACTTGTTGTTTAGTGATCATGTCAGTTTCTGATTTTGAAGTAATTGTACTCAATAACCGAATTCTTTCAGAATAAGAATCATGCTAGTATGAGCGAGAAATGTTAGTTTGCTGGATCAGCTTGCCCTTCTCTCCTCTCACATCCCCTTGATTTTTGTATTCTAGTAATAAAAAAAAAAAAAAAAAAAAAAAAAAAAATACATGTCTATTGCCAACAGCAACCCTGGTTTCACTGCCCCTCCTCCATTTAGATAAATATATATATGAAAGAATTTGCCTTTCTTCCAGATGAACCCATTGTTACTTACGATAGATTGCAAACGCTGACGGTCGTTTTCTTTTTCAACTGTAGACAAAACACGTTCCAGCAAAGAAATTGCTTCTTTATAGGCATTGATGGCACCCAGCACATCGTTTGTTGAATCACACTGGACTGCTGCGTTTGCCTTTTGCAGGGCAGATCTCAAGATCAATTTGGAGACATGCTTTGCATCAGATGTGGTTGTCGTGTTTGTGGTGGTGGTTGCAGTTGTGGTTGTTGGAAAGGGATCGTTATTTAAAGTTAATAAATTTGATGTGGTTTCGAAACTCATTATTCTATTTCAACGCTGTAAATTGAAATTTGCTTTGTTTGCCAAATAGTAAGAAATCAAGAAAAGCTGCGAAAACAAGGAGAATGTGTGTATGTGTTGAAACCTGATGTGTGTGTGTGTATAAAAGAGAGGAAAGAGAGAGAGAGAGGGAGGGAAAGGAATACAAGAGAAATATAAAGTGAAGAAAAAAAAAGAAAACCTAAACACCAAGGTTAATTGTCCCTAAATACAGTTTTTCCTTTTAGGATCTCCATCCCCTTTTTTTGTTGCTGTATCGCTTTCTCTCTCTCTTTCTCTTTCTCTTTCTCTTTCTCTTTTTTTCTCACTTGATAAACAGCAAATTGCTTTGGGCTCAAATCTGAGTGCATTTGAGCGTCTATTTTAAATGAAAAAATCAAGGAGGGAGGGGGGGGGGGTCATCATTTGATGTTGAGACGTTGAAATGGATCAATAAGCTCAATTAGGGAATCTGAAATATCAATTAAACTATGGGTGCACTTGTCATACATGCAATAAGAAGACGCTAAAAAAGTAAAATGAAAAGAGAACGATCTCCCGGATGTCTATCCTGTTGCAGATAACATGTATTTAGGCCATCGCCATCGTCATCATCCGCATTATCAGCATCATCGCCTTCGGTTTTAGCAAACGGTTCTCTCGCAACATGTACAATATGCCGTACAGCAAAAACTTCATACAAAAAGTGGCTGCATGATAAACCATAAAGCTCTGAACTGTTTAATAAAACATATCACCTCATAACTCGATCGCATTTTCGGGTGGTAAGAATAAGAATTTCGTTTTCATTTGCAATAGATAATCGGTGCATTTTGCGGTTAAATCGTCATTTGAATACATTTTGCAATTTTTCATACAGCTTCTATCATGACAAGATGCCCGAAAAATGGCTGATGATTATAAGAGCCCTTCTATTGCAACTCTCTCTCTCTCTCTCTTTCTCTCTCTTCTTTTCGTTCAATTACCTTTTTGATTGTGTAGATTCTACATAACAAACATTGCTGTCTTTGCACTTTTGCCCAAGCTTTATTTTCTAACTGCATTGTACGTTTACATGTGCATCAACGCACGCACACTTTATACTCTTGTACATTAAATCAAACAGACATCAGATAAGCAAGAACATGCAGCCAGGTAGCCGCCACCAGCAGGAACAGCATGCTCACAACAACGACTTTTCCTCCTCCTCACTATCGCAATCGCATTACACAACACACCCATTGCAGCAATCTCCCGTGAGTCAATCAGACATGCCAAGTAAGCTATGCACCACCACACGAAATAAATTAGAAACGGCTACTAATTTCTTATAGATCAATGGCAGCAGAACGATGATCATGGCTGGAACAGATCGCTCTCTTTGATGAACAACACTCGTCTATCGAGCATAAACACAACTACCATCTCATCTCCTTCCTTACCACCACTACCGCCAGTGCCTTCGTCTACCCCTTCATTACTACAACCTTGCTTCTACCCAACTTCATCTTTGGCGAATACTATGCCTCCACCTCCTGCTTCTTCTTCGACAGCGCATTTATTCCAGCCATATCCTGCCTTGTCTCGATCAAGCAGCTATCTCGGCCATTCAGGATACGCAAGCAGGACATCTGGAAACCACAAACCGCTCAGCAGACCCAGATTGACGACTACCTTGTGGGAAGATGAGAGCACCATATGCTACCAAGTAGATTGCCGCGGTATTTGTGTTGCTCGGCGTCAAGGTCAGTACGGGCAGATCCTTGAGCATCTGTTGACAATGCAAACTGACATTTTGCATTACATTATAGACAATAACATGATCAATGGAACCAAATTATTAAACGTCGCAGGCATGTCACGAGGCAAACGAGATGGCATCTTGAAAAACGAGCGCGGTAGAGTGGTCGTCAAAGTGGGAGCAATGCATCTGAAAGGCGTATGGTAAAGTAGCATCAAACTGGAACGTTGCAATGACATGCTTACAAGTCTAATAGGATTCCGTTTGTAAGAGCAAAGGCACTAGCCAACCAATTCAAGATTCTAGATGTACTATACCCTATATTCTCGGATGATCCAGCCTCTTATTTGTATCCTTCTCATTTGCATCAAATGAACAGATTTAATAATTCCAATTCGTCATCAAACCACCATTTCAATCATGCGAAATCGCCAAGTCAAGGCAGCTTTTACAAGACAAATTCACCCTATCCAACTTCCACATCTGCTCTAGACCTTTTGGCTACTGCTCGGGATACAGGCTCGGTTGTAGATGATATTGTGCCTCAAGTGAATGACACTTATGGCATATATCACCATCATCATCAACAGCAGCCACGAGGTAGTAACAACAACGGTTCAAGTTACAGCCAGCATCAAACAGATCATCCTTCTTCCGCGACGACAACAACAGCAACGACCGCTACTAACGTCAAAAGTCCATCTTTTTTGACCGATTATTCTACCGTCAATACCAGCCATGGCCAGCAAGATTCGGTACAAGAAAGATCAAATTATAGATACAGTCAGGGCCAACAAGGTACACATGGATAGAGAGTTCTGAACAGCTTTCCATGCACGTACTAATTTTATAAGTTGTATAGCAAACGTAACTAGATCCGCAGCATCTAATGTAATTTATGGCGCCTCATCACAACACAATCCATACTACCAACATGATGGTGCTTATAATAATCACAATATAACATCTCCCATACCTTCTCCAAACAACTCTACGAGCGACATTATGTTCAGACCTACTACTACTACTACTACTACTACCACTACTACCACTACTACCACTACGGCTGCCTCTTCATCCTCAGCATCTCCATCTATGCAGTGCGCAAAGACTATGTCAAAACCGTTCTGGTAACCTTACATGAATTAGACTTTTTTTTTTTTACCTTTTCTCATACAAATTATAAATATAAAACCTGCTACACTGTCTATCATGATACGCTCTTAGTTTGGATCATTGCACAATGCATGAAAAACTTAATACTTGAAGATGGTCAGATTTCAAAAGCTCCTGATCCATCTAGGGAGACCATATCCAAACGACTGACCATGTTTTACCTCGGATGCCACACTGTTCTAGTTCTAATCATCCTGCCGAGCATTCTCTGTTCATCCATGTTCCAATTATGTTTGTCTTTCCTTCTTTACATTAAAAACATTCAGTTTTTATTCTGGAAAAAACATAAAGCTATTTGTTGTAGGTGTCGAGTTGGAGAAGGATCAAAAAAAGGGGGGTGGCATTTGAATGAGTGCAAATCTAAGCCTTGACAGCATACTTGCGAAGAGGGAAATGAGCCAACTTCTTTTGCTCACGAACAGTCTTCTTTGACTTTTCGAAAGGAGTCAAAGCTCTGCGCATAGCACGAGTCTTCTTGACACGGAGATCAAGAGGAGTGAAACGCTTCTTTTGGTAGAAAAGACGAAGTTGTTCACGTTGGGTTTGGTTGATGACGGTCAAGACACGGGCAACGTTCTTGCGAGCCTCACCACTATCAATCGCAATGAATGAGTATTCCTTTCTTTGTATCTTTTTCCACATCAATTTCCACTTACATTTCTTGAGATCTACCACCAGCGACCTTTTGGACGCGGATGTTAGCAAGTTGTTGCTTTTGTTCGTCAAGGATCTTGACGAGCTCAGCCTTGTTCTTGTTACGAAGTTCGAAAGCCTTAACGATAGCCTAATTATGATGGTCATATTGTAAGCAAAACAAGTTGATGAGGTGCCAATCTACCCAATGCTGCTATATGCACATATGTACAGAGAGGAAATGCGCATGTGCTGTAGAGTTAGTTGCTGGTATTACTGGTATTTCAGGTAATGTGTATGGGCGAGTAAAACAAGAACAACGATGGCTGAATGACTAGTGCTGAATTAGGCTGTCTCATGTCGCTTAATTTCCTCAGTTGAATGCCAATTTCATCTCTGGTACTGTGATGTGCTGGTAGTTTCCTTGCCTTTCTCTCTTTGCACATGCATATAACAGATGGATGATGGATGGATGGATGGATGGATGGATGAGCCTCTCTTACCATTGGTAACACCGGTGAAATAGAGGGAAAGATTTGGATGCTTGTCAGCAGAATGGATGCATTTGTAGGAGACTCTCGGCTTTCCGGTGGAGTAGAATAATTGACATCCCGCATTTCAAGCAGGCATAGATACATTTGATCTGAAAAAAAGAGCCTTATAGGAATGTATACAGTTCATGCTCTTCATGATATCATACATATCATCTACTTTATTGATATAGGTGGTTTGCGTCAATGCATATTGCTACAAATACCTATCTGATGGTTGCATTTGAACATTTAGCTGTTTGTAACGAGCGAAATAATCAACCCTTGAAATGCCAGACTAGTAGATGCAATACCTACTTCATAGCTTTCCTTAAATGCCACTTGTTTGATAGTAAACTTTGTTGCTGCCTCCATTTCTGCTATTAGACTTGTATTTGATCGAATTGCGGTGTATTTTCTGCAAGCAATTATGCTAGCTATCATTCAACGCCAGTAACAAAATAGAGATGAGCTCAAGTGCCACTGCTGCAAAACTCATCTCGTAGGCAGATCACTCTCGATATTTCGTATGTAGATTGTTTAATTGAAAGCCAATCCAATATATTGAATACTAGATGCAGATGATCTATTGCGTCTAAAATGCCCAACGCGTCTTACGATCGCCATCGCCTTAGTAATAGGCTGTATCATTGTGCTATGATACAGCGACACAACAATGCTGCTCAACCTAACATTTCCAGATAAATATTTAGATGCAACAGCATGTTCTGAATTAAGGTTAATGCATACAAGGTATTTACGCCTTTGTATCATAACGAGAACACGCCTATTGTCAAACAAACGCATGAATTACAGCCAAGCCTGACAGCCTTCAAGCCTTCATATCTTGATATGTAGTCCTTTTTGAGTTATGTTTTGCTTTATAGCTTTTATTTACACGGCATGAATCATATCTTTGGTAGCTAAAATCTTCTGGAAGGGGAGTTCTTCAGTCTGTGCAACTTCTAATTCGAACAGGAGGCATGTTGATTTCGGTAAAGCTAATTCATGCAGAGTTTGATGCGTTATGTTGTTGGTAAGCTCGTTGATAACATGATTGAAAAGCCGGGTTTGCTTCTTGAATATTAGGGGTTTCCTCCTTCGCTTCGCTACGGCACACCCCTCTTATTATATGTTAATATCATCAAATGTTGGGTTAGATGCTTAGTTGGCATAGGTTTTGAACATTTGTTTTTATTCGCAGCATTTGAGTATATTGTATGATTGTCAAGGAATTATTCGTTGTTATAATGTTTCGCTTTGCCTATGCAGATTTGATTAAAAGTGCAACTTTTGTTCTTTATGAGATAATTTAAGATGCATTATATTGATGCTTTCCAAAGCAGTTCTCACATGAAAATTAGAAAGATTGAGTATTAAATGTTACAAAATTAAAATGACTAGATAATTTTATTGATAATAGACTATGATACAGTGTTGAACTTTATACAGAAATAAGGAAAAGCAAATATAAATGGGATATCTAACTAAGGTAGTATAGTAAAGTAGTGTTGAACTTTTTTGTTGATTTAAGAAATTTAAGCGTACTTGGCTCTGAATTGACGAGCAACTTCAACTAAGTTGGTGAGAGCAGCTTCAGTTTCGGGCCAGCCACGAGTCTTGAGACCACAATCAGGGTTGATCCAAGCATGTTCCTTGGGAATGTACTTGATAACGTTGTCAAAGATAACAGACATCTCTTCAACAGAGGGAACACGAGGAGAGTGAATATCAAAGAGACCAGGACCGACTTCTTGGGGATACTTCTTAACAGCAAAGATGTTGAGGAGCTTCTCATCAGACTTGGAGTTTTCAATGGAGAGGACATCAGCATCAAGATCGACAATAGCATCAAAGATATCATTGAAATCAGAGTAACACATGTGAGTGTGGATTTGAGTTTCGTTGCGGACACCAGCAGTAGAGAGACGGAAACAACCGACAGACCAATCGAGGTAAGCATCCCAATCAGCACGACGAATAGGGAGACCTTCACGAATAGCAGGCTCATCAACTTGAATACAAGGAATACCAGCAGACTCAAGATCGACAACTTCATCACGGAGAGCAAGACCGATTTGAGCACAGACATCCTTGAGAGGAAGATCATCACGGACAAAAGACCACTTCATCATGGTAACAGGACCAGTCAACATACCCTTCATAGGCTTTTGAGTGAGAGATTGAGCATAGACGGTTTCATCAACAGTCATAGGACCACGACGAGAGACATCACCAAAGATGACAGGAGGCTTGACACAACGAGAACCATAAGAGACAACCCAACCGTTTTCAGTGAAGTCATAACCGTGGAGAAGATGACCGAAATGCTCAACCATGTCGTTACGTTCGGGTTCACCGTGAACAAGGACATCCAAACCAACCTTCTCTTGGAATTCAACCATTTGCTTCATCTCCTTCTTGATGAAAGCATCATAGTCCGCAGTAGAGAGCTCACCCTTGTTGAACTTTTGACGAGCAACACGGATTTCCTTGGTTTGAGGGAAAGAACCGATGGTAGTGGTAGGGAAGAGAGGCAAGTTGAGCTTCTTGACTTGAGCTTGACGACGAACACTGAATTCAGCAGGACGCTTCCAGTCAGCAGCAGGGATGTTGTTGGCACGATCACGAACAGCAGGGTTGGTGGTTTGAGCAGAAGTACGACGAGACTCGATAGCGGCAGCGTTGGCAGCAAGAGCGTCCTTGACAGATTCAGGGCCGTTGTTAAGAGCAGAGGCAATGACAGAGATTTCCTTGGTCTTCTCAACAGCAAAAGCCAACCAGCTAAGAAGCTCGGGGTTCTTCTCGGCAATCTTCTTCTCAAAAGAGGTAGAGAAGGGAGAGTGGGCAAGAGAACAAGAAGGAGCAATGAAGACACGTTCCTTACCGAGAGCAGCAACAGCCTTTTGACCCAACTCAATAGACTTGGCGAGGTTGTTGATCCAGATGTTACGACCATCGACGAGACCGAGAGACAAGACTTGAGAGTTGTTCAATTGAGGCAAGATAGCATCGAGTTCCTCAGGGGCACGAACAAGATCGAGATGGACACCGTTAACATGGGGAATAAGACCAGAGATGTTGGACTCAACACGACCAAAGTAAGCAGCAACCAAAGTCTTGATGGAAGTAGCAGCGTTGATGGCTTTGTAAGCTTCTTCATAGGCAGCCTTGACATTGGCAGGCAAATCGAGGATAAGAGCAGGCTCATCAATTTGGACCCATTCAGCACCAGCAGCTTCGAGTTGCTTCAAGAGTTCGATGTAGAGAGGAAGGACCTTGGGGAGGAGAGAGAGAGTATCAAAGCTCTCGAAACCCTTGGCAGTCTTACCGAGGTGAAGGAAGGTAACGGGACCAACAATGACAGGACGAGTCTCAATACCGAGAGCCTTGGCAGTGTTGTATTGCTCAACAGCACGAGGGTTTTGGAGAGTGAATTGTTGGTTAGGTTCGAATTCAGGAACGATGAAATGGTAGTTGGTATCAAACCACTTCTTCATTTCTTGAGCAGGGACATCAACCTTTTCAGTAGTGGCAGTAGCAGGCTTTTGAAGACCACGACCCATAGCAAAGAATTGTTGAAGAGGATCTTGGATGTGTTGGTAACGAGTGGGGATGACACCGAATTGTTGAGCAGTGTCCAAGACACGATCATACAAAGTGTAATCACCAGAGGGAATGTGTTGAATACCTTGCTCCTTTTGCAACTCCCAGTGTTGTTCTTGAATCTTTTGGTAGGCAGTCTTAAGCTCATCAGAAGAGATCTTTCCAGACCAGTAAGCCTCAACAGACTTCTTAAGCTCACGCTTAGCACCGACGTAAGGGAAACCGAGGTTAGTAGCAACAACCATTGTAATAATTATTTATGAAATAAAAAGATAATGAAAAATGAATGGAAATGTTGGCTTTAACTTTGCTATTTATACTTTTTTTTTTCAGCTCTACATTTGTGTTAAGTTGCATAATTCCGTTCTAGTTTGTGATTCGAAGATCTGCTAAGGATGCATTGGCAGATGAGATGATGTTTCAAATGGCCAATGGAATCCTCAAATATCAGTCATCTCCGCCACTTGAAAATCATTCCCAACCTTACTCCAAAATCCTCTACACGTCGAGATGTAGCAATATCAAACTGAAATTGGTTATTTGGCTGCATGCATGCATATCTGAAATACTATACAATAGCTTTTTATTCCAAATTGCATGTATTAATTCTTGAGAAATCAACGGTATTTAATTTTCTACAGATTTTTAAATACGGCGTCTGGCCAATGGATTTTAATCATCAAAGCTCTTGCATAATTTAAGCCATTCAACGAATCAAAAACGAATGCCTGTGCTACTTCGACATTTGGTGCTAGGTACCACATGCCGTTCATTTCAACATTTCCAAAGAAAGAGGCCCATCAATCAATTGATAAACGTACAAGTAAATTAGGGGATGGAAAGACATTGAATGAGCAACTAATGGTTACTGCTTTGAACTCGACAAAGAAAGGTAGAGAGGATAGGTTCGGGCCACTTTCGCTGACTCTACCATGATTCCATCTTCAAATGTGTCTACAAAACCTGAACACAAGTTACCATGGAAACATAAAATAGTGAAGATCTGATTACACGTAAAGCCAAGCAAACCACTGACCTAGATGTTCCTATTGTGCGGTATTGAGCAAGATGGCTGATGGCGATAAATGGTTGGCTTATATTTTCCCATATCTGATCACAGATATTATGAAATTTGATATATACAACATTTCGAGCTATTGGCGATTGAAACCCAACATCAAAAAAGATTGACCAATAAAAGGTAAATTAAAAAGTAGATATTTCATCATTTAAAAAACCTTTCAATTTCTATTGGAACTCAGGGAATGCTAAATCGCATCTCTATGCCGATTAGCCCATAGATCAGTATCATACAAACCTGCAGGCATTGAACTTTAATTAATATTTAATCGACACATCTCCTTTGTGAGAAATCATAAGAGACTATATCAAACCGACATTGAGCTTGATACAAACAGGCAGATGATAAAAGTGGGAATGATCAACTGAAGATTTAGTGCCTTATTCATTGGCACAGCATGGGATGTTGTAGCATGTATATTGAAAGCGAACAAAGAGATTCAAAATGGCAAAGCTTTATTGGATCATTTTAAAACTGATGGTGATTTTACGGCTTCGACTTAGATCAATTCTTCCATCAGGAACAGATTAGGAGGTATACATAATACTCGGGATGTGATCAGCCCTTCAGTCATTGATCTGTATTGCATTTCATTGCTCTTCATTCTGTTTCTCCTTTCTTTCCAGTTGCTCATGACCCAATTTTTTGTATTAAGTGTTGAATATCTGATACTATAGTCATCATCATATATACAGTACTGGTGTTATTCTTCATGTTTGTCGCTAACGCTCTCGCCGCGCGATGCTCTTATTCTATTATAATCAAATTCATTAGTGTTGATATGATACTCGGTAGAAAGTTAATGCACGTTTTTATAGTCAGGTATTAGCTCTTTGGATGTAAGTTATATCTGTTTCTTGCGCAACTAAGATGGAGGTAGAGACACATATAACAGCCCTATTCAATTTACAACACATGAGACCAAAAGGCTTTTTCACGCGATCGACAGATGACGAACGACTAGAAACTACATTAAATCTTAGATTTCGTGTAAAAAGCATCTTGGATTTGTTTACCTGCTTATTTCACTGCGGATAAACGAAGAATTTGGTATACTTTGCTTTGCCTGCACTCATGTGTGCGATTCTTTCAAGGTTTTGTTGTAAAACAACTCACGACACATGTATAGAAACATAATGTAGAGTATGAACTGACCAAGTAAGTGGCAAGTCGTCTAAAAGGCTTTAGCCAGCAAAGTAGAGCGTGCTGTTTGAGTTTATTGTGGAGTTCCGCATAACAAATGCATAGACAACGTAGAGATATACAGAACAAAGGTGTTTGTATCAGATGTGCTGTTTATTATTTGTTGATGAGTCTTTGTGTGTAATTTTCTACCGATCTTGTGGCCTGGGCCTCAGCATTGTTGTATCCAAGCTTGGAAAGGTACAAATATCATAACATAATATATTTATAGCCTCTAGACACTATTACAGCCCTAATATGGAAGCTGGGTTGTCAGGCATCTGAACTGTAACAAAATTATTAGGAACAAATACACGTACAGGTCATTTGCATAGCCATCTCACGAATACCTTTGAGGTACTCCGCTTTCAACAGTGATTCCTTGTCATTACCAAAAACAGTAGCAGACGTAGATGCAAGAGCAGAACGAGCAGGAGCATTGCCGTTGGGAAGCAAATTCGAAAGAAGTGGCTCCATCTGAGAGGCAGGCAAACCAGGCAGACGTTCAACTCTATCAGCGTGAACGCCTAAGGCCGAATCTTCCTGGACAGGACTCCCAGCAGTGGGACTTGATGGGACAGATGAGGCCTCAGACGTTGCTAATTGGATTTTAGGGTTTGATATAATCGTTGACCAGCTTCAAGTCAAGCCCACTTACTTTTCATAAACGTCTTTAGCAAACCTAAATCCAGTGGATGTCCTAATACTTTATGCACGGAATCCACATTGTCAGAGGCAATTTCTAAACATTGTTAGCTCTCTCAGAATAACACAGATCATTGAATTACCTACTGGAATTAAAAAAAAATATCACTGGGATACATAAAGTCATTATCAGTTTCTGTATAATGATATAAGACGGCATGAAAATTGTATTTGTCTAGCATTGCTACGAGGCTTTTAGCGGTGGTATTGAAATCATTATGGTAGACTTCAAGTCTTCCTCCGGTGGTAATGGGCTCTGAATCCCTAGCCTTGGTCTTTTCTGCGGCTTTCAGCTTTAGTTGGTTGACCTTGTCAGGGTTGTTTTTCTTGAGCGCCTTCCAGGCTTCCGCATACTTGGCCATCAAGTTTTGTAAATCGTTGGGTTCTCCCTTGCTAGCAGTAGAGAACACCTCACTCGTCTGCAGCATCGTCTCTTGCTTGAACATGTCATAGCCACTGATTGCTTTTCTTTTCCTGCTGGCAGGAGCAAGCTTGATGGTAAAATCAGCCATGTTCTCTTTAACGAGATGGCCGGCGACCAAGCAAGCAATATCATCATTTTGCTCTTGGTGTTGGTCTGCATAATTTCTAACAAGCTTACTGACATCGCCAAATAGTCTTCTAAGATCATCTGTATCTTGTTTGGCTGTTGGTGTGCAGCGCATGGTAATTGTTGTGAAAGAGAAGATTCAATCAGACTTTTATTTGAAAAAGTACTTTAATATTGGCAGGTAAGGTAACACTACAGAGTACACTAATTTGTTTTTCGCCAAAGAGATTAAGATACAAAATATGATGGCGCTTTGCAGTGCTTGCAGAGGATGGACAATTTTCTTTCATTTGATGCAATTGCATGTAGACAACTCACGCTCAAACCAAGGATGTTGCCATCATCTCTGCTGATGGATATATTTCGAACTTTAAGCACAATAGCTGCGTAACTTTGACTCAGGTTTCTACAATGTTGCTCTAGGAATGTCTGTCACTGATGAGCTTGTAGTAAAGTTGGAAGGAGCCTCATCCATTTCAATATTTTAAGAAATACAGCATAATAAGGATAAAATGGCCACCAAACACAAAGCTACTGAAGTAAATAATACTAATAATGGGCCGTCCATTGAGAAGGAAGCTTTTGTTGCCAACGATGCAAACCAAACGTCAGCATCAGATGTCGAGGAGAGCAGCGCAAAACAAGCGTCGGCCTCGACCAAAAAGGTCAAGGAGCTTCAAGTCTACGCTCCCAATCGCAACTTTCAGAAACGCAGAAAGTTGTTGATCAAAAAGGCCATGAGTCTGTTGAGAAGAACAAGAAACGACCTATTGATCACGGTCAATTTTGTACTGGAAGATGTAGATGAGCTTATTGCCAACTATCCAACGACCGAACTTGAAGGGAAGCAGATAGAGATCATGCAAGTGTGCTACGCATTCAGCGTTCATTGTCTCGCTTCCAAAGAGCAAAAATCACTCAACGCAGCAGCATTTCACCATAAGCAATTGATGAAAACCATCAGACCTCATCAACACAGATTCCTTGCTAAGCAATGGAATAAAACCTATCTTCTCATCGATTATCAACCACCTTCTGCTGTTGTAAAAATGTTTTTCAAGTCATGGAATAACGCCAAGGACCACATCTGGGACGCTTGCCTTGTCTCCTTCCTGGCTTTTTTCTCTTTAGCTGATCAGCGATGGCTAGCTACTGCCAAGGAGTTCCATCGTTTAGAAAACATGTAATTGTAGAAATAAATCAATTTTAACATCTTGATTTGAATTTTATTCGCATTCACTGCCCATTTTGCATTGCATTTCGTCACAATGGTGTGAATAAACAATGGGTGAATGTTGATTTAGAAAATAATTGTTTATTGTTTACAACACCAACTCGACCCAATGTTGATTTGACGATTTCCACGCAGTGTCTGTGCATATCTGGTTCCTGACAAAGTAAAGGTAAAGTATCTACAAGCACTACCACGAGTTAAAAAATAACAAAAGATTAGATGCAAAGAATCGAACTTGCGGCTTTAATAAGAATCAAATTTACTTCGGACGCTCTATTAGTTGTGGCAAAAAATAAATGAGATTTTTTAGCTAAAATTTACTTAATTGTATCCTAATAAATTTTTTTTAGTTACGTTAGTCGTTGTCCTGTAACCTAATGTTGTATGATGATGATTGCTCTGTTGTAATAGCTTATATTCATTTTTTTGTTTGATCTTATCATTGCTAGACAAAGCGATTCTTTTGGCTACAATTTTCGTCATTTTTTCTGGGTTTTCAACTCCCATAAGGCCTTAAAAGGACTAATATACTGTTTGCAGCTGCATAACTATTGTTGGAAAGGTTTGGAAGCAGAACATTTACATAACTCGAACTGAAGGGAGCTTGCTAATGTTAAGATATTGTTATAAGACCTACTCAAAAATTAAACTTCGTATAACAACGCTTACAACATCACAATATTCTAGGAACTGGTTGTCAGATCAAGGTAACTGTTATTTTATGCATACAACCAAGTTACTGGATCATTGAAATGTTTCCAAACATTATTATCACTTCAGTATCAATGATAATATACGCTATGATTTCCAGGATCAGAAATACAATTATTTTAGACTACATTATAACGAAAAGACGTTTTTTTTGTCGATATTAATGCTTCATATGGTCGTATCTAAAGAAAAGCAATTTCAATTGCTTTGTAAGATAAGTGGAACCAATACTTCCTTCAATGGCGAGCCACAGAAAGGTAAACCATGTATGTAAACGACTGCAAGTGAGGATGGGAATGAAGAGTGCTAATAGTGTTCCTTATACTAGGCTGTTGTCTCTTCTGATGAATTAATTTGACGTCTGTACCTATGGAATTATGATTTCTTATCTGGTTATGGAATACATATCCTATATAACTCACCAAAACGTAATAGTATTATTTCCACAGATGAAGATCATGTCATTTAGAAATAGAATTGTCAACTATTTTGCGAGAGTAATTCATATATATGTTACGTCTGTCATTAGATCTATAGTCATTATGATGGTAAAACTTTATTTTTAGTAGTAGAAGATTGAAGGTTGAATAATGATATAGAGCCACTAAGTAGACTGCTCGAGCATAACTGAGGCTAGTGTAGACGCTATGCTGTCAGCCATACTTGTTTGACTATCACCATGACCACGATCATCATCGCCACCATCGCTCTCTTCATCATCATCATCGACTTCATCGTCTCTACCATTATCACTGCCAACAATGTCTTCTTCATCTGCGCGGTCATCAGCAAGTGGTCTTGGCGAGAACACGTGGACATCACTTCTGTCAGCAAAGCAAACGACTACCAAATCATCATCTCCTTCCTCGGGGTTGTACCTTGGTGGATTCTTTTTCAAGATTTCCATCAAGTGGCATTTGTTTTTTTTATACAGCCATACCCACTTGAGATAATCTATCTTGATCAAGTGCTTCTGGCGAGCAGCTTCATAGATGCCATCAATACGAGCGAGTAAGTTCTGCTCGTATCTCTGTGCCTCTTCCTACGACATTACCAGAAATTATTAACTGCAGAATGGATTTGGTATTTGACACTTACAACAAGAATTGATGTTTCCTCGACACACTTTCTATGGGTATGCCAGTCTTTCATTCCTTGGGACAGTCTCAAGAAATCAGCATCTTCATTGTTTCTGAGCCTTTGCAGCTCAATTGCGACACTGGGCACTTTTTTTTACTAGGATCCCCTAATATGTCAGCGAGAGATTGAGAAATCTTACACTTGATTAGAAAATTTGGTAATCAACAGAGCTTACCTCCAAAGTTTCTATCGACAAAATTGTTAATGCTATCTACTACTAATCCAGCCTTCTTTGTAGAGGAGGCAATGGATACTAGCAGCCTAGCAGCTTTATCAGTTCCTAAGAAAATTGGTTAAAACCAATTTAAACGGCTTGGTGTATCTTGCTTTTTCTTTACCAGTCGAATTGGGCCTACGAAGCTCATTATCGTTCATGAAAATGGAAAAGATTAGTTGTCTTAAGACTTTAACTAATATGTTGTGGCATTCATCTTTGATTGCATCAAAGTATTGCTGCATTGTAATGTGACCAAAGGTTGTCGGCCTTCCTCCATGGACAATTAACTGAGGAAATAGTCGCTCGAGTTCATTGAGTTTTGCTTCCAGCTGACGCTTCAAGCCAGTTATATAGCCACTTGTAATACTAAATCAAAATCGATTAATTTGTTGGCTCAAAAATATCATGCAATATCTTACGGCGAATCTCTTGAGTCGAGGAAAATGAGTTGACCAGCTGTCACTGCATACTCATGCTTAATATCGTTCATAAGCAAGATATTTCCTTCAGCCCTTTCATGTAGCCTTTGGGAGTTCCTCACGTTGGAAAAGGGCACAGCGAGCGCAGTTCTGTGGCTATTCCACTGTACTTTGAAACTGTTGTAGGCACTCTTGGTCATGTTGAGTTGTCTGATAGTGTCCATTGCTTTGTCGTATTTTTTCACGAACGAATTTGCTATGAGTTACGTAAATTACTTGGTGCTACTGTTTAAATAAACATATTAGTCAACTTACGCAATTCTATCATCTTCTCGTCGCAATATGCCTCAGCCAATTGAACAATCATTGCTCTACGGTTAGCTTTGTTCATCGACCTGATTTGCGCGACGAAATGATTGGCAAACGACCAAAATCTCTCTTGAAAAGCCATTAATCATCAATAATGCCTTTGGATCATACCTGACATACCTGCTCCTTCTCCATCTAGAGCAATGAATAAGAAGCTTTTAGAGCATGAAAATGTCAACCATCAAGACTGAAGGTCTTACCTGTTAATCCTAGCGCATGATCCACATACCTGGGGTTGTTTTTGGCTTGGCAAGCAGCACTATGTGCGTACGCATGAAAAATACTCACCGCATACCACACATCACGCTCGCTTTGAAGCTCTAGGAAAGCTTTCTTTTGACCAATAATTGCAATCAGTATATTGAGTTTACATATGATCCAGGCCACAGGAACTTACGTAGAAAGTTTCTCTACATGCGCATGCTACATCATACATAATCAGAAGTTTCTGATCTTCTTCCAAGTTTTTGATGACATGTTCTACACCAGCCAAAGCATACTTTCTCCTACAAAAAGATTAATTACAATTGGATCCACAGCCAACTAATCTCTTACCCTTCTCCCTCAAAAATATCAAATGGTCTTTCAACAATTCCATGACGAGCACAATTTATACTGAAGACACCTAGGAGACAATCACATTTGGGTTAGATAATGTCCAATGAAAGATGAATTCATAATTTACCATTTTCATCAAAGCGGTTGCTGGTAGTTCTGCGGTTATTGCTGAGAGCCTGAAACTCGCTATCTAAATTTTCCAGAAGACACTATCAAGATGATATAAATGTGAGCATTGGAATTGTCTAATATAAACAAAACATTTACATCCTCGGTCGCAGCAGCCTCTGCTTGATCATATTTATCGACATTTGCTTTGTCACCAAACTTTGCTTTCTCAGCCTCAGAAGTGAGAAAGATGTTTGGATTGCCACTATCAACAATATCAATCTGTCTAGATCTCTATCATTTTTGTTGGAAATTTCCATCCATTGTGATTCCCTTTCTTGGTGCCCCCTGGTTGTATTCTGATTAATTGTTGTACTCTCTAAAGGACAGTTTCTTACCTTGCATGCCAAGCAGCTGCAATCTCTTTCCACATCATGTTGACGATATACGCTGTCAATGGGGTGTTTTTTTAACTCTCTGATAAACTACAGCCAGTTCGTGAAACGAAGATGGAAGAGGTTTGAACTGGTGTTGTCAAGAAGCCGATTAGAGGGACATGATTTTAACTGATAAGTGAAATACATACTTTGGGATCATAGCTTGAGAGTCTCAGGTTGCTAGCATTGTTTGCTTTAACAAAGCCATAAACCGATGAGTACGCATTTAAGCGATTGTCAATCATAGACTCAAAGAGGGAGAAATGCACTGCAGACTTGGGAAACACAGTTGCTGTTGGCATCATTTGAGACATCAAAAGCGACTCGAGCAATGTTTGGTGCGAGCAATACTCCACTTGGAAAACACATCGCTCTATTCCATATTGTTAATTCTCACATTTGGGAGTTTTTCCTTTGGTTTTTGTATTTACTAAACATCATGAAGCCATTGATAGGCCATGAAGTGATTCTGGAGGTGCAATCGCAGCTTTGGGGCTTCGTTCCAGTAATTATCGGCGCGTCAAGGCATGGATCGGCATGGCCATGCAATTCGTGGCTTTCTATATAGCTCTTCAAAAGCACTTCACTGAGATCTTGCCACTTGAGATATCTGTCTGAGAGGGAAGTATTGACTTCCTCATCAACATCTCCAGTTAGATCATCTAAGTTAATGACATTTGATCCGCCATTTGGTCTACTGTTGGCAGAGGATGAACTAGGTTCTTGCTGATTTCTTTCAGCAGAGGATAAGGGGCGAGGATGTCTTGCAGGAACAGCTCGACGAGCTTCATTCACGTTGACCCCCGAAGCATTCATGTTTGCCAAATAGTTTTTTACTAATTGTTTTTGTTTTCTTCTTTTTTGCTGTTGAAATTCCATAGTGTACATTCTGGGTTCCCTCTTCAAAGATCCAGCGGATCCACTTTCGTCTTTCTTTCTTTGTTTAGTTATTCTATTTCTAGACATGTTCAAAAATCAAATATTTATATATATATGTATTTTAAAAGTGAAAATTTCGGAAATGCAGGTACAATAACAGTTGCTGTTTGTGTGCATGTCCTAGTAATTTGATCAAAGAACCTTGTAGTCACACTACTTCAGCTCCTTTGTATCACTTAGTAGCTGCCGATTATAAATCGAGATAGTTTGTAATAATTTCCGATTAGAAATCGAAAATAAGCACAATGAACATAATATGAAAATTTGTGACGAAACATGATATATATGAACCCTATTAGCTCTAGGAGTTTGCCCACTATATATGTGCCTATACAGCACAGTTTTTTGATATCTCATTCATATATTTTTCAGTGCTATACCATCAGTAATATACAGGACGGATACAATCTCAAAGCTGAAGTGCCGATTGGAGAAAGGTATGATTGATAATCAAAGCCTCTTCGATTTTTAATCGGAAAATTCCGCCCAAAAAAATTTTTTTTTTCGATTTTTAATCGGAAGTGATTAGTTAGTAAGGGGTGTCGATTGGCTAGATTTTGATAGTTATTCGACTTGATCAAACTATTTTGTCATATTCGACTATATAAATCGTAATAATCATCCGATGCTTCCTAATACATTTTTGGAATGCTTTCCAAAGTGCATCCAATGGTACCAAGTAAGATAGATGTTTTGAATAAACTTATTGAGCAATTTCTGAAAATATGAAAAGAGGTTTCTGGCCAAAAAGTCGAAATTTTACACATCAAGGTCCCACAAAGATGATTTCAGGGCTTGCGTTAAATCGATAGAAACATTTTGATTCAATACATACCATAGTAAAAGTCTTCATTATCAAGGTAAAAAACGCGATCGTTCGATTTTCAATGAAAACCATGAGGTACCCCTCATGGTTTTTGGTCGATTTTTGACGGTATTTTTTAGGTCTTCAAAAGGCTAAGCAAAGGTGTCAGACAGTTAATGCCCGATCAGAGCAACTTTTTGGTGCTATTCCGGCAGCCTAAAGCGGCTTCTAGCACGAGAAATTGCGGTTCAAATGCGCCCAGATTTCGCTGTGTACTTTTGAGTGGTAAGAGATAATGTTGGCATATCGTCTGTCCGTATATACAATAAACCTCATTGATACAGGTGCGTAGTATCATAGAAGTCTCGGTTCCACAGCTGCAGACCGTTTGTAAAACTTTTCGTCTGATGGTACTAAGCTAGAAGGCAAACCTTGGTATATGCCAGGAAGATGTCCTGCTTCAATTGATTCCGTTACCTGGAAATCAGCAGGTACAAATGCCTGATTCGTTTGATGAAAAGTCGTATCCACAATCTGCCCCTGTAGTATTGGGGTCATCCAGAATTTGCATTAATTGTTGCAAGTTCAATCATTTGTCTGGTGAAATGATGTTCCCTTCAGATGCTATTTATCCATATTTGGTCAGTTTCTGTTTTGAATAACAGGTAAATCCAATCATGCTCTACTAGTCACAGGTCTTTTTTTTATTTAAGCACGCACACACCAGGCTTTCCATTTTTCCTTCGTTTTCTGTATATACAAACAGTTAGATGATCTTTTCCAAAGTCTTCAAATCAAATCCGATACAATCATTTGAATTGACAGTTGCATCGGGCGCCGGAGACAATATGATTGCTTTTGGCCCTGCTTCCATTATAAACGGTAGGTTATTTGTTTCAAATCAAAGTAATGAATCGCTCACCTGTACACCATTTGAAGGAAGTGTAAAGCTGTTACTAGATAAACCTGTTCAGGCAAAATCAATAAGAGTAGTGTTCTCCTGTCATGAATGGGATCAGCGGCAGGAACCTACCAAACTACTGTCGGTAGAGTCGGTTATTTGGAGTCAAGGTAGGGTTTATTAGATAGTGATGACAGTAGAAACTCATTTTTGCATAAATGCCACTGCTAGATGCTGATAATGACTTGCTGGAGAGGGGCAGCCACTTTTATCTGTTTGCTATACAACTGCCATCATCAGTAAACTATCCACCTACGATTCGAGACTCTTATCTTGGTCACCGCATCGAATACACACTGCAAGGTCATTTGGACTTTGCACTAGACAATAACATGCATAAACAGAAATCAACTGCCAGTGTACCTCTGACTTATTTGCCTCTTGTGACATTCGATGACCGTATGAATCAATATGCAACTCGCAACAAGTCTATAAGGATCGAGCAAGGCAGTGAATACGTACACGTTACAGCAAGCTTGGCAAATCCTTCATCTTGCCCAGGTAAATACATCTATTTGAGGATATTAATTTGCCATTGGTTGACGATTCCCGTTTATCCTTTTAGGTGATCTGTGTTCCATCAAACTCTATACCCATAACAAATCATCTTACAGTATCACCCAGGTGCACATTGTATTATTATCCACAGCAACATCATTGAATGACAACAGACATCCTGATCCACCGATAGCATCAGGTCCTTCTTACCAACACAAACAGCGTCAGATCTTGAACGAATCGTTTTACGTATCTATACCCAAAAACACAAGCGACATCACCACCATATGTCCATTCAAAGTGCCTTCTTTCTGCGTGCCTACTACGCAAAGCCATTTTGGAAAGTACATTGACATCGCTTACGAGGTGTTTATCATTATTCCTGCTATGGGCAGCCATTGGGATGGTTGTACCACCTCGCAACTATTCCTGAATACACAAGCTATTCGACTTCCACTCTTTATTACAACAGTGCCGTATTGCTCTACACAACCTCCAAAGTTACAAATCCCATTTGCAGATGAGAGCAATGCCGATGTACCCAATTTTATCATCAATGAATCGCCCATCCCGAGTCCCATCACTGACGGCTGGGGACCAGGTAGTCCTGTTGATCTGGATGATGAGCTCTGCTTACCTCAAACTCACGAGGACGCTTCAGGGCATTTGATGGTGCCTCCCATTGCATCGCCCTCAACTTCTGTCAGAAGGTCTCTCTCTGTTCACTCTACAACCAGCAGCGCAGCTTGAATCTCTAAGGAATGATCACAATTACGTCTTCCTGCAGAATAAAACGATAACAATGCCCCATTCGATGTATAATTTGAAGGCTCCTTATTAATAATAAGTGGGTGGCTGGCCCTTTTGAGCACTTGTATAGGCATTCACATCTGCTCTAATCGCTTTACAGTGATATAGATCGCAGTGAGCCGATCATCGTTTGATCTGATTGTGAAAACCTCAGGTTTGCATTTAAATGCTTCTAAAACGAGGGTGTTGAAAGAGTCACCCCGCCTTTTTAATGTTCTCCACTGTTTATTTCTCATCTTAATCATGTTACAAGCGTTTTTACGTGCTCCCACCACAAAAAGGCTATTTTCTAATCACATTCATACCATCATGAGTCAGCGTTCGTTCTCTGCGGCCTGTTGCATCATTGGCGACGAGATACTCAATGGAAAAACTCGAGATTCAAATGCGAATTATCTCGGTAATGTATCATGGTTGTAATCTGCTTGCATATACACTAATTTCTGGAGGGATTCAGCCAAATATCTGTTCGAGCTGGGAGTGGACTTGAAGAGAATAGAGACTATTGCTGATGATTACGAAGCCATTGAAGAGACAATCAAGCGATTATCGAGCCAGCATGATCTTGTGTTTACCAGCGGAGGCATTGGGCCCACGCATGACGATATCACCTATGCAGCGCTTGCCAAAGCGTTTAATTTACCTTTAAAGTTGGACGAGGAAACATGCATACGTATGGAGAAGGCATCTAAAGCCAAAATCCCAGACTGGAGCTTGACAGAAGAGAGAAAGCGAATGGCCATCTTTCCAGAGCCATCAGAAAAGTTGCGAAATCATGATGATTTGTGGGTGCCTGTTGTCGTCGTCAACAAGAACGTACATGTATTGCCCGGTATACCAAGGTTATTCGAGTCACTGCTAGACTCTTTAAAACCACATTTCGAGGCATTAATGGGCGAGCGTCAATCCTACCATCGAGTCCAGATTGCAACCAAGCTACAGGAAGGCAAGATTGCGCCCTTCTTGACTGAACTGCAAGAACAATGCAGCTCCAAGCAAATCAAGATTGGCAGCTACCCTAATTGGGGCGAGGGCAAAGATGGTGCTCGCGTAGTTGTCAGCGTGGTTGGTAAAAACGAGCAAGATGTTAATGCAATTGGAGATCAAATTATTCAAGGCATTGATGGGTGGATCACGAAAGGCAAACTGTAAGATGAAGATCTAGATGCTTTTGTTTGATTGGGCACAGCGTCCATCATGAAAAAATTGTAAATTTCAAAAAAACATCAAATCTAGTTTTTTTTTTTTGCACATTTTCATTTGGGCTAAACGTGCGTCCTGTCAATCATATGAAGAAAACAAATAAATTTATTTTTTTATCTTTTTATCAACCACTACCAAAAAGAAACTTCTCTTTCACTCGCACAAATATGTTTACTTATAAAGAAGCCGTCGATAAGCTCAACTCCCTCCAAAGCAATGCTGCTCTACTAGAAAAATTACGCAAAGCAGGCCCAAGAATGAACGAAAAGAGTTTGCCAGAAATGAGAGACTACTTTAAGCGCATCGGCTATCAGCCCAAGGACTTTGATAAGCTCAACTTGATCCATGTCACTGGCACAAAAGGAAAGGGCTCAACAAGCGCTTTGACTCAATCTGTTCTCCACAATTACGACACCACTATAAAAACCGGCTTATTCACCTCGCCTCATTTGGTCGCTGTTCGTGAGAGAATTCGTATCAATGGTGTACCTATCAGTGAAGAGTTGTTTGCAAAGTACTCGCAAGAGGTATGGGAGAGATTAGAGGCAACCAAGGAAGAAGCCATCAAGGCCATGAACTTATCCGAACAAGACACCAAGGAAATGCTGCGAAACACAAGAGAACACCCTGATAAGCCCATCTATTTCAGGTATTTGACATTGGTGGCATTGCACGCATTCGTCCAAGAGAAGGTAAGTTTCACTCGGAATTTTTCCCATCGTATATTCATCAATGTGCATAGGTGGATTGTGCTATTTTGGAAGTTGGCGTTGGCGGTGAATACGATTCCACTAACATCATCGAGAAGCCAATTGTTTGTGGTATCACTGCTCTTGGTCTGGATCATGTTTCCGTGTTGGGTAATACTATTGACCAAATTGCTTGGCACAAGTCTGGTATCATCAAGCCCAATGTGCCCGTCGTATCGTTTGAACAGCCTCCGTTGGCAATGGAAGTCGTTGAGAGAAGAGCACGAGAAAAGAACGCGCCATTGACTATCCTACATGCTAAGGATGTTTCCAAATTAGAAGGTGTTGAAATAGGTAAGAGCACGATCCACAATTCAACTTACATGGCACTCATTTGTGAACGATAGGTTTGGCTGGAGTTCATCAAAAATACAATGCTCTGACAGCAATCGAATTATGCAAAATATGGCTCAAGAAAATTCGAGGTACCGTGTTGGAGCAAGATGTGCCTGAAGGTTTCAAAAAAGGTTTAGCATTGGTGAAATGGCCTGGCAGAGGACAGCAATTGCCGCTGAAAGACACAAAGTATGCAACAACAAGCAACAATGCCACATGGTACTTGGACGGTGCACATACCATTGAAAGCCTCCAAGTATGCGCCGAGTGGTTTAAAAACACCATCCACAAATCCAACAGTGATGACCATATTCGAGTTTTGGTCTTTAATTGCACGCACGGCCGAGATAGCAGCCATCTTTTGCAAGTCATTGCCGACATCCAACCTCAAGTTCAGTTTGATCATGTCATTTTCACCACCAACATCACATTCAGAGAAGGATACACCACAGACAATACCAACAAGACTGTGTCCATGGAGGAAGTTGTCTCTGTGCAGCAAGAATTGGCCAAGAGCTGGAAAGAGCACGTTCCCGACTTTTCCAATGATCGAGTCCACGTCGTTGACACCATTGAAGATGCCGTTGATTTTGCTGTTGATCTGTCCAAGAAATCAAGCGATAAGCATGTTCAGGTCTTGACTACCGGCAGTTTAATTATGGTGGGTAACACTTTGACGGTATTGGGCATCGAGCCTCAGTGAAGTGTTCATGCCATTATTCGAATGCAAGTGGTGTGACATCACTTGTGTGTGTATCAGATATCTTTCTCTCTCTATTTTTGATCATAACTAGAGAAATTGTTTCCTTTTCTTCTTTATTTTCTTACATACATCTACAATAATACTAATAAAATGACCACATTACAACAAGAGTTCAGCTTGGAAATGGTATATTACATCTGAATGTGATGTTGCTGCGATTGTATTAACATGCTGCGGTTCCATACAGAGTTCTTTACCGAGAGACCAAGTCAAAGATGTGCTTCGGGGTAATTCAGGATGCTATGATTTTCAGTAACAGTTGCTCATCATTTACTAGGCCTGCTACATTCCATCTTTTTTCATAGACTACTTATCAATGTGCTACCTCGTGAGCTCCGAGTTTTGAACACAACAGTAGTAATGTATTCGCACAACTGTAGACAGCTTGGATATTTATGCCTCGTGTAGTCTATTACAGATAGTCCAGATGTCGAAAGCCTGATTGAAGAGAAGATAGCGGAGTTTTTGCATAATAGCAATAGCCCTACGCAAGTGAAGCAAGGAAAGGTATAATTTAATGATGGCGGATCGGGTTATGGAGTGGTTCACTGATAGGAAATAGTTGGCAGTGCTGTTTTATGAAAAAAGGCTAAAAAAGAATTGGTTTCAATTCTCTAAATCAGAGGAATTTGTCTGCTGGGAGCAATGGGACATCACATTAAATTTGACTCAATCACCCAAATCAGAGCAAGGTATTTATTACACAGCACACAGACTTTTGCAAACGTAAACAAACAAATAGCCCGTATAGAAAAATCGAAATTAATGAAATCTGTGGAAAATCAGTTTAGTCAAAACCTAATGAAGATACTTAAAATTGTGAACGATTACAAAGAGCATATACCCTCGATCACGACAACGGAAGGAAACCCATTTCCGTACCAAATTGCCATTCAGTCACAATCAGAAAGCTGGAACACAATGATCAAAAGAATGTTGGTTACGGATGCACCTACCATAGAAAAGTCGATCAGTAGTCCTATAGCACAAAACACAGCAAATGCATCATCATCAAAAGCCAGTAGCCGACCTTCAAGTGTAAGATCTGACAGAGGAATGTCCTGATTTGTATTTCTTGTCTATATTCAAATAACATTTTTTTATTCTCTTATTGGATTTCAAACAAACCAAACAATGTATAAATAATAAGGTTTTCTCAATTATGAAAAATTGAAAAGTATATATAAGTTTTTAAGATGAATGTTGATCAAAATTATTTGGCAATCTCAACACCACCAGTGGCACCCAAAACACGCTTAATATCACCATAGATGGCGCTACAAAAAAAGAACATAATTAGAATACAATGAAATACATCACACACCTTTCAACTTACAATTGACCAGCAGTAAGAGTAGCAACCATGACAATACGGGGACCGAGACCCAAGAAGAGACCCTTGAAACCGAGTTGACCAGCCATGGAGACGAGACGAGAGGTGAGAGACTCACCAGCAGCACCCTTTTGCTTGTTGATCTTGGACAACAAGGTATCAGCAGGTTGAGAGACAATGGCAGCAACGGTACCGGCAACAATACCAGAACCGAGGTTGACAGTAGTCATAGTGGAGGGAGCAAGTTGGTCCTTGGGGGTACCAATTTGCTTCAAGATGAGTTCACTACATAGTTCAACGCATTTAGATACATCTGAACTGACTAAACAGCAAACAAAAAAAAGTCAACTTACGTGGTACGTTCAAAGACGACGAACTTGGCCATGGTATAAGGAACTTGCTTCAACAAGATGGGACCGAAACCAGAGTAGAAACCCTTAATAGCACCCTCTTCCTTCAAAATCTTGGTGAAACCACTGAGGAGACCAGTAGCGAAAGTAGGTTGAGAGACGAGACGAATACGAGTAGCTTCCAAAGGACAGAGAGCAACATCAGCGAAGAATTCGGCGATAGCAGAAGAACCGAGATAGATGGCAGTACGGTTCTCAGAGGCCTTCTCAGCACCAACCAAATCGATAAAGGTCTTCTTCCAGAATTCATAACCACCAAACTTGAAGGCACCTTGCAAGAAGTAACCGGCAGCAGTAGGACCGAAACCGGTCAAAAGAGCACCAGCACCTTCAGCGGCAACGACTTGACGGAAACCGGCAATCATACCCTGTTTAAAGTATGAGTCAAATCAATTCCTACGTTTTTCCGTGATCCCCCATTCAATGACAAATTGCAATCAGCTCAAGTTGCAGCACACACGCACAGACTTTTTCACTGATATTGCAGCTTTGCCCTTTGAATTATATGATCTTTACCTTGTTGTAAATCTCGGGAGACAATTGGATTCTGGTCTTGACGACATCAACGGGGGTCTATGTTGTATTTAAAGATTAGTATCTACAGTTTTTGATCATTCAAATAATGGAAAACTGTGAATTTACCCTATGATCGAACATATCAGTCAATTTGTAACATTGATCAATGACAAATATAAACTTACATAGCACCGTGAGTGACACCACAACAGATGGCACCGGCAATGGCGAAACGAGCGTAGAGGTTAGCACCAGTAGGAGCAGCAACATCACCAGCAGGAGAAGGGACAATGAAGTTCTTCTTTAAGGATTCTTGAGAGGGGAACATTTTTGGTATGTTTTTCAAAAAAGTGGTAAGAGTGGGGTTAAAGAAAGAACATTTAAACAACAGGGTCACCCCGTAAAGATATTGAATGCGGTCATTTAAAAGATTTAGGTACTAAAGATCATTTTAACCTTGTAGGAGGGGGTGTGGATGTCGAAAGAAAGGAAGGGGTGACTTGTCCCGACCCCTCCCTTTCTATTCCTATCTTGTAAAAGCCTTTTCGTATTGATTAAGTGCGAATTTCAATAAACACAGCTATATTCAATCTACCTAGAGGACTATAGCCTCTGCATTCAATCTACATCTTTGTACCCAAATGCCCAAATGCCCAAGGCATTGTCTGCTTTTTTGAATGAGGACATGACGCCATTGAGACTATAGATTGAGACTATAAACTGAAATTATAGATTGAGACATGACCACATATCAACGTCTTGTTTAAAGACCGTACTTTAAGGTACCAAATCATTACAGACTTGTGATAATGAATGATATCCAATCAGAAACCTAAATTCCTTCACGGCAAAAAAGGGTTGAACAGAAAGTCTGCCTATTTGACTCAACTGTTTGTTCCACACATCAACAAATACATTGTTTGTAGGACAGTACGGAAATATATGGAGCGATAAGCCAGAGGGAAATTACAGTGCATCAAATCATTCGCTCGCGATACATTTTTTTTTTCGTCATTAAATGTAGCTTGTATGAAGTATATTGTTTCCCGGTTCATGCGTGAGTGAATGTATGATTCAATTGACAGCCAGCTATAGTTAAAAGCATCAGACTCATCTCTCGCATCTGGATGAGATATAGCCTAATTGTGTTGCAGACATATATTTGCGCGAGTGCTTCTTAAAGTATACATACACGTAATTGATGCCCTGATTTAGAGATACGTATCACCTAGTTGAAAACTAACAATAGCAAAGGATACTGGAGCATGTGCTTCGTGTCAGATTCAGCATTTTCTGCTTCATGTAGCAGTTTTCACTTTATAGCAGTGAGCCAGACGCATCTATGTTGGAGTTCACGAAGTATCAAATGCTCAGCCATAATAAGTGGTTGCGTAGTAAACTTTACGTCCAACTGGATAATTTATTTACTGTGAAAATATTCAAAAAAAAGTAGGCAAACAAATCATATCATTTCAAAAAATTAAAGAATTGAATACTGTACAGGATGAACCCCACCACCGGCAAAGCCGGCATTGGGGAGAGGGTTTAAAGGTGCTAAGCCCATCTACCAAGAACATAACGCATTTAATTCAACACTTGGTAACATCAACCTGTGAGGCGGTTTTACGGTAGCGAATTGAAGGTAAAAACCATGGGAACTAAGCATCTAACCCAACCTTTGATGATATTGACCTACAATAAGAGGGGTTTGCCGTAGCGAAGCGAAGGTGCAAAACCATAGTTTTCAAGCAGTAAATTCGGTTTTTCATTTCCATTATTAATAAGCTTACCGATAACATAACGCATCAAACTTTACATGAATCAGCTTTACCAAAATCAATATGCTTCTTATTCGAATTGGAAATTGCACAGGCTGCAGAGCTGCTCTTCCAGAAGATTTCAGCTACCAAAGATATGATTCATGCTGTGTAAATAAAAGCTATAAAGCAAACACATAACCAAATTGGATAGTTTTCAAGCCTTCATATCTCGACATACAGACCTTTCTGAGTCACCAGAATAACGCCAAACGATTGTACTCGAGCAGTAGTAACTTCCTGACACCTTTGCTCAACTTTTTGGGCCAAAAAAAAACATGGCCAAAAATCGACCAAAAAGCATGAGGGGTACATCATGGTTTTCATTGAAAATCAAACGATCGCGTTTTTCATCCTGAAAACGAAGACTTTTACTATGCTATGTATTGAATCAAAATGCTTCTCTCGATCCAAAGCAACTTCTGAAACCACTTTTATGAGGTTTTCATATGCAAAATATGGCTATTTTCGCTAAAAACCTCATTTCATATTTTACCAAATTGCTCAATAAGTTCAGTCAAAATACCTATTACAATTAGCACCATTGGAAGCGCCTTGAAAAGTACTTCAAGAATGTATTAGGAAGCGTAGGGTGATCATTACAGTTTATATAGTCGAATCTCACAGAATAGATTAAAGAAGTCGATAAAAGACAAAATCCGTCCAATCTTGAACAGAAAAAATAAACTGAGTTTGAATCGACTTTGGCTGCGGCGCTGCTGCTGGCTGACCTAAATGCCTTTCTGTTGATGACAATGATGATTGCGATGCTGATTAAATGGCGATCATGGAATTGAAAGGACAATTTCTTAGCACAAATACGTTTTTTGGGGGCGTTTTTCCTCATAAAGGTGTCTTTTACAATGACAATATTTCAAAAAAGCCGCTGCAGATCTGATAGAAGTCCTGTATTTACACATGGTCAGCTTTATGTCGCCATCTCAAGAACAACATCAGCGAACGAATAACTCCCCTCCAAACTCTGATATAGACTTTTTTTTTAATATTAATTGATTTTCTAAAATCTAATTTATGCCAGATTTTTATTATCTCTGATTTGAAGTGTCTTTAGCAAGAACCAACAGGGCGACGCCGTCATCGAGCGTAGCGTGATTGATCGGCTAGTATATACATACTATGGACTACCTGAGAACCACATTTGGCATTATGTTTAGCCAGTAAGATAGTGATAGAAAGTACTAATCTAAAGAACGCAGCTTCTTATGGGGAGTGCTCCTCAGAGGCTTTACTGCTTGTGTAGTAAAGAGAAAAAAATTGAGTATTTCACGTAAAATTGATGATGCCAGAAGTCATTGCACCTCATTGTAATGATATGGATTAAAAACTGTTTGTCACACCTTGGCACTACGAATTAGTAATAATGCTAAGCAACTGCATGTACAGAGCAATATATGATATATGCTACCTTTAGTAAGGAAAGGTCAAAACAGCAATGATGTCTCTACTAACGCGATGCATTTAAATGTTCAGTAAATATATCAGCCAAAATCTCCCGTTTTTACAGGCATGTTACTGCCATGTCAATTGGCTTACAAAGCCGCGGATATCAAGGTGAGTCTCGCTTGGTATATCAACCATGTCTCAACCTCACTACTGAGTATACAGTTTACTAGCCGATCAATCACGCTACGCTCGATGATGGCGTCGCCCTGTTGGTTCTCGCTAAAGACACTTCAAATCAGAGATAATAAAAATCTGGCATAAATTAGATTTTAGAAAATCAATTAATATTAAAAAAAAAAAGTCTATATCAGAGTTTGGAGGGGATTTATTCGTTCGCTGATGTTGTTCTTGAGATGGCGACATAAAGCTGACCATGTGTAAATACAGGACTTCTATCAGATCTGCAGCGGCTTTTTTGAAATATTGTCATTGTAAAAGACACCTTTATGAGGAAAAACGCCCCCAAAAAACGTATTTGTGCTAAGAAATTGTCCTTTCAATTCCATGATCGCCATTTAATCAGCATCGCAATCATCATTGTCATCAACAGAAAGGCATTTAGGTCAGCCAGCAGCAGCGCCGCAGCCAAAGTCGATTCAAACTCAGTTTATTTTTTCTGTTCAAGATTGGACGGATTTTGTCTTTTATCGACTTCTTTAATCTATTCTGTGAGATTCGACTATATAAACTGTAATGATCACCCTACGCTTCCTAATACATTCTTGAAGTACTTTTCAAGGCGCTTCCAATGGTGCTAATTGTAATAGGTATTTTGACTGAACTTATTGAGCAATTTGGTAAAATATGAAATGAGGTTTTTAGCGAAAATAGCCATATTTTGCATATGAAAACCTCATAAAAGTGGTTTCAGAAGTTGCTTTGGATCGAGAGAAGCATTTTGATTCAATACATAGCATAGTAAAAGTCTTCGTTTTCAGGATGAAAAACGCGATCGTTTGATTTTCAATGAAAACCATGATGTACCCCTCATGCTTTTTGGTCGATTTTTGGCCATGTTTTTTTTTGGCCCAAAAAGTTGAGCAAAGGTGTCAGGAAGTTACTACTGCTCGAGTACAATCGTTTGGCGTTATTCTGGTGACTCAGAAAGGTCTGTATGTCGAGATATGAAGGCTTGAAAATTATCCAATTTGGTTATGTGTTTGCTTTATAGCTTTTATTTACACAGCATGAATCATATCTTTGGTAGCTGAAATCTTCTGGAAGAGCAGCTCTGCAGCCTGTGCAATTTCCAATTCGAATAAGAAGCATATTGATTTTGGTAGAGCTGATTCATGTAAAGTTTGATGCGTTATGTTATCGGTAAGCTTATTAATAATGGAAATGAAAAACCGAATTTACTGCTTGAAAACTATGGTTTTGCACCTTGTACGGCACACAATTCTTTAAAATTTTGAAAGGATATGATTTGTTTGTCTACTTTTTTAAATGTTTTACGGCATATATATAATGATGAATCAAGCCAGAAAACAGCACTTGAGCTATCTATACACAAGGAGATATAAAGGCCTTTAGTTTTGCAAATTGATACCCTTTTAAAATTGCAAATCTTCAGAGACGCTCATTGACAGGTTGTTGGTTCAGGTGGGCAAATGTCATGTGGTATTAGGTAGCCAGAGGTCAGAGCCACTCTATTCAACATCAATAACGTATCAAAAGTGCCACTCAATGATTGTTATTGACTCAAAACTATAGTCATTCTCTGATTGATGACAAACCTTTTATGCTTATTGGTATAGGACAATTTGAAAGTTTCATCAAGACTGAGGTTATCAACAACGACCTTCCATGCATCTGCTGGAAAAATCCATACGGCTGTTTTAATTTGGCATTCATGTTACCGTGAAGAGATAGCAGAAGAAAAGGACAACGTTCATGTATACAAACAAGCGCTCGCTGTACAAAATAAATTGCAAGCATTACAATATTCTCTTTGTATGATTCTTGTTTTGCATGTATCAGTCGTTTATACTTGATCCTTGAGTGTTACCACCCAATTAACTCGCTATCAGCGATTGGCTTTGTTGTTGTTTCAGCCCTTATTCATTACTGCTGACCCTTCTCCTTGACCTTAAACACTCCTTAAATACCCCGGTTGAAGGGTAGCCTTCACATAAGACGAATTTTATCAAATTTTATAAACTGCAAAGCCTATCTATAACAAATATACATTCTTTCATATAAGTTGGTTTCATGTCTTTCGAATAACTTTGGTACAATCTTGGGCAAAAAGAAAATTTTATTGTTTGTCAAATAAGTAATCTTTGAGAAAGCCTATCTATTGCACTTTCCTTTATTATCAAAGCGGTTGCTTTTGATGCTAACAGGATTGACCACGAGAAGGTAAAAGTGTTTGTAATCCCAAAAGATGAAGGTAGTTACAGACAATAGCTCCACAGCCAACAGCTCATCTACCAAGTGTGAAGGGAAGACCATTTTGTAAGTGACGTTCATACTAAAAGCGTCCTAGTACCATAAAACAGAAGAGCACATCTCCATGTCCCTATAGTGTCTCCCGACAATGTCCAAAGGGCACATGAATCATTGTGAGGGACAGCACACTGTTTTTAATTACAAGGCGCCAACATCTCTGGGGCCATCATATTTACTGCAATTTATTGAGCTTTGGAGGACAGAATTCTAGAAAAGTCATTACCGCTTAGATAAGCTTAAAAAAGGTTCAAGGAACTGGGCTTCATCACTAGCAAAAAGGTTAAAAGATAAAATCGAGATCGAATCTCGGAGTAAAAGCTTTATAATTTATCCATGAATTCTTGTTGGCATCCTCTTCAATGATGCAACTGACATCTTGCAGGCTTAAGCAACTCCTTCTAGCTAGCTAACACTATGATCGCATAATGATTCCGCAAGATTGGTCGTTTTGAGTCGTTTAGCTTATAGAAGAGACAGCGTTCTGTAAGGATCCGCTGTATAATACATTTTGAAAAAAAACTGGTAAAGTTTGATCTGGACTTTGGTACGACAGCTATTCATAACATTAACGTATTCATCAAGTACAAACTCTTCTTATATCAGTGTTATTTTTTGATTGATTTTATTACATAAAGTAGGCACAGCCAGACGGGAGAAAAAATGAATAGCATAGAAAAAAAGTGAAATGAACATTCGTGTATATATACAAAGAAAAGAGGGATAGGAGAGAAAGAGAGAGTAAAGTGAAATAATAATTAATACAATGGGCAATCAAACGGGATGACATGAATATCTAGCCAAATGTTGATACGATATGAGCCAATTGAAGCAACCCGCCAGAGGGTGATTTCGAGCTGCTATTGCTGCCATTATTATTGTCCCCATCTTCATCCATAGGGTCGTCCTTTTGATGGTCATCAGACGATGGTTTGTAATTCCCACTGGTTTGATTTCGTGCTACGTTGGACAACTGTTCCTCTTGTTGTTGTGCGGGATGAAGCAATGTATACGGGAAACTCGAGTTTTGTGGTCTTGTGAAAGTTAAGGGACGATGTTGGTAAAAAAGTGTGGAGGTAGGGTTTGTGGAAGTGGAAGGGTTCAAATTGGGTGATGGTTCTTTTTCATTTGCAACAAGCACTTCTTTGGGAGGTGAGGTAGGCCTAGAAGCAGGATTACTGGTATCATCCATGATGTGGTGAATAGATGGCAGAGATGTCGAGGAGGAAGAATGGGAGAGCGTGGGCGAGGGAGTACGATCACGGTGTTGCTGCAGTGGTAATTGGGCTACATGTTGTGTTTGTTGCTGTTGCTGTGATGGAGTAATAACTTTTTTCAGATTAGAAGGTGATCTAGCTGCGGAGGATAATGGCAACGGGAAATTAAATCGAACAGGAGTGTGTCTTTCATGTGCAGTCGTAACGCTGGTTAATGATTGATGGTAATTGGAGAGATGTTGATCAATTGTAAGCGGAGGCTCTACTCTTACAGGATCTGATCTAATACGATGATGGGCATGAAGACGAGGCCTTGGTCTCGGTTCTTCAGCTAATCCTCTCTTTTGTGATCTTCTAGATTTTGGTGACATGTGGGTTCTATAGTGTTGCATCATATTATCTTGACGTGAAAATCTTGATTGACAACCTGGAAATAAGCAAGGAAAATTCTTTTCGCCTGTATGAATCCTGTTGTGTCTTGCGAGATGGCCACTAAATGTTATATAGCCCATAATGAGTACAAAAGTATTACTTGTGCAAGCTGTGTAGCTACCTTGTAGTGAAGCTCTTGTTACATCCAGGCTCAATACAGTGGTATTTTCTCTTTGATTGTTGAGCATCTTGCTGCCACTCATCAGCAGAAGAGGTAAACGATGTTGGTGAGGTGGGTATTTTTCCACTGGGAGACTCTGGCTGTTCATCATTGTTATTCAGCAGACTGACCTGTCTGCCAGATGCATTTTTTACTGATAGCAATCCTTCATTCATTTCTAGTAGAGATGGCAAACAAGGGAATATGTATAAAAGCGAAAGACAGAGTGAGGAAAAGGAGAATGGAAAAGAGAATGGAAAAGAGAATGAAAACGGGTTTCAGATACCAAAAAGATCAAATGAGGTTTTAAGCAGTGAGAGTTTTTTTCTCATATTATTATATAACGCTTTTAAAAAGCAGATGCTCCGCGGAATCCACAGAGACCCTTTACCTTAAGGGTACCCAGCTTTTTATTGTCGTATGACCGGTAAGGGTTCTATCTTTATACATGCTAAAATGACTTTTTCCCATCCAAGCAATCTTTGGGTTTTAACGTAGAATAGCTCACTTTACTAAACCTCTTTTTATGCTTCTTTTTCATCCTTGGCTGCACATTAGACTTTGCTTTTAATTGCTTTTGACATCTTGCAATTTGCAATCATCCAGATGCTGTGAATATAAACTATTTTTCCCCTCATCTTCCCAAAGTTCTTTTTTTAGTGCTTGTGATTGAGGGGCGGTAGTTTTATTTCACCACGATTCGAGAGCAGACTCCATGGAACGAATACAACTAAAATAAAATATTGCCAAAAACAAACTAGATGTCTTGTTTCTATCACAATGAGAATATAGATCCCTACTTTTTTGAAGTTGAATTGGACCCTGTTTAATTCAAGAATCGCATCTATTAGTCATGATACCGCATCGGCAAATTTAGTGAGATTATGTATGTCATTAAATCATGCTGGATGAGGATTGAAACGTCCCAAATCCTATCACTGTCGAACAGATGCTTGTGATTCTGACTCATCCATGCTTGGTTGATAAATTCAAAGTTCCTATCAAACGACTCTTTTTTTTTTTTTTTTTTTTTTTTTTTTTTCTTTATCTAACATACGTGATCAGTGATGAATGTCTTGAATCCCTTTTGGCCATACATTGCAAATACCAAGCCAAATTCATGATAATGGAATTGAGCTTTACATTACTCCAAGCCTCCACACCGAAGATTGACAATTGTGATCATCTCTTTTTATCGGAAGGCAGGGCCAATGGTATTAGTTGTGGTAATTACATAAGGCTGGCGAACGCATGAGTAAGTATGTTGGTCATCAATGTTTGATGAAAAACTTTAAGCAGAAAGTGTCATTGCATACTTGCCCATCAGTAATATTACTTGTAGCATTTCCACAATTCATAGCTGACTTTCACTCTGCGAGCGTAATTTAGCTTGAAAAAACAAAATGTTTAGATACAATTGTGTTTAGGAGAAGGATTTCTCTACCACAATCCAAGAAATCAACCTGATACCCTAATAAATGCTCTAAAATTCATCTTTTCATCCGATCAAAATCATAAATCATCTGTAGTTATCAATCCAAGTCTTTGCGAAGCTCCACATCCATATCGATGGAAATAATTCATACACAGATGGGCAACATAGTAGCACTACCTCTTGTCATTCGAAAGAATGCAAAACACAGCGAAATTTGGATGCGTTTGAGGTGTATTTTCTCGCGCTAAAAGTCGTTTTAGACTACCAGAATAGCGCCAAACAGTTGCTCTCATCCAGCACTTACTTACTGACACCTTTGCTCAACTTTTTTGGGATCGCCGAATTCGACCAAAAACCATGAGGGATACCTCACAGTTTTTATCGAAAATCAAACGATCGCGTTTTTTACCTTGAAAATGAAGACTTTTACTATGGTATGTATTAGTTCAAAATGGTTCTCTTGTTCCAAAGCAACCCCTAAAACTTTGTTTGTGAAACCTTGGTATGGAAAATCTTGATATTTTGGCCAAAAACCTCATTTCATATTTTCTAAAATTACTCAATACGCTTGTTCAAAACATCTATTTTTATTAACACCATTAGATGCGCCTTGAAAAGTACTCCAAAAAAGCTTAAAGGATCACGAGGTGATCATCGCACATTCGTAGTCGGATCTCATAAAATAGATCGATCGAGTCGAAATTTAATCAAAATGAACGAATCGATGAAAGAGAATCTAAAGCGGAGCCTGAATTAATTTTGGCTGTCAAAATGCCTTTCTGATGAATGTAAACAATGGTTGCGAAGCTATTAGGAAGGGCATCGCAGATCAAGACACTTGATAAATTTGCCTGACTGTCCTCTGTCTTTTGTGGAGTTTTTTGTTCTTTGTAGATTCAATCATGAAAAACGCTCATCCAAATGCGAATGTTTGTGCGCAATACGAAAGTGTCGCCTACTTCAATACTATGTATGGTACTTTAATTTGATGGTCTCTACAACAGTAGTACTACTATATGATGGAGAGAGGAAAAGGAGTCATTTGTCCAATGTCATTTTAGCAAAGTGTGATGACCACCGCAATACATTTAATTATTTCTTAGAACCATTGCTGGATACTGACACTGTCAATGCGTAGACTGCCTGGATACAACAAGCCTCAATATGTTATTGTGCCAATGCTGCGAGCCTGTGCGAAAAGAAGTGGCCTGTCAAGTATTTTTGCGGTTGAGAGCAACATCGACATATTAGACCAATAGGAAGATTTACGACATACGGTGTTCCTATAACTTGATTGCTATAAATGGCGGCCATCCAATCCCCACTTTCTCTTCCTTTTACCATTCGACTTTCCACGCGAAAACGTTCATTAACAATGTCAGAAAGTGATACTTACTACATCGGCATTGACGTGGGTACAGGGTAGGTGCCATCAGAGGACAAACTTTGCTCGAGTCTCAACCAGAAACCTCTTACAGTTCAGCTCGTGCTGCCATCATTGATGCCAAGGGTCAGCTCATCAGTCTGGATGTCCAATCTATCATCACACACAACCCAAGACACGACATTTACGAGCAATCCAGTTCAAACATTTGGTCAAGCATCACTGTTTGTGTACATAACGTCATGCAGCAATCAAAACTTCAACCTCACCAAATCAAGGGCATCGGTTTCGATGCGACATGTTCTCTGGTTGTGCTGGACAAACAAGGAAACCCACAATCTGTCGACCAAGCATCAACATTTGCAGACAATGACTTTAACATCATTTTGTGGGCCGATCATCGTGCTATCGAGCAAGCAAATCGTATTAATGCAACACACCATGATGTCCTCCGTTATGTCGGGAACACCATCAGTCCTGAAATGGAAATCCCAAAGACGTTATGGCTCAAAGAGAACATGCCCGAGGGTTTATGGAACTCGATTGGGCATTTGATGGATCTGCCTGATTTTCTGACATATCGCGCTACTGGATCGCTCGCTCGTTCAACTTGTTCATTGACATGCAAATGTTCCTACTTGCCACGATTGGTAGGCAAGGGTTGGGAGCCAAGCTTCTTTAAAGAAATTGGATTAGAATGTTTGGTGGATGAGGGATTCGCAAGAATGGGTGGCAATGATCAAGGAAACGTATTAGAGGCAGGAGATCCAGTTGGATCTGGGCTGACAAAGGATGCAGCTAAAGAGCTCGGTCTTCTTCCAGGCACACCTGTAGGATCTGCTATCATTGACGCTTATGCAGGTGCCATTGCTACGCTTGGAGCAACACCGTTCGGCACAACTGAAAGAAACAGCATGCTGGCATCACTTGATGAGAGTCTCAAAACCCAAGGACCTAGTCGCTTGGCCATCATTTGTGGTACATCCAGTTGTCATATTGCCATGTCGCCCAACCCCATTTTTGTCAATGGTGTGTGGGGTCCTTATAGATCTGTCATGGTGGGCGATATGTGGTGTGCAGAAGGAGGACAATCATCTACTGGTCAATTGATTGATTTCATCGTCAACACACATCCAGCATTGGCAGAAGCACAACAGAGATCAGCAGAAGATAACCTGAATATTTACGCGTACCTAGCACAACATTTGGCATCGCTTCAGACCCAGCGTGGTCTGAGACATATACAGGAATTGACAAAACATCTGCACATTTATCCGGATTTTCATGGTAATCGTTCTCCATTAGCAGATCCATCTTTACGTGGCACTATTGTAGGCGTTTCTCTTGACAAAAGCATAGACGACTTGGCATTACGTTATCTGGCAACGCTGCAAGCCATTGCATGTCAAACACGTCATATTATTGAAACACTAAACAAAAAGAGATATACCATCGATACACTTTGCATGTCTGGTGGTTTGTGTAAAAGCCCACTATTTGTACAAATCTTGGCGGATGTCACTCAATGTCGAATTATTCTACCTGAATCCATTGATGGTGCTGTGGTGATTGGTGCTGCATTTCTAGGTGCTAAAGCTTCGGGCCTATCAACCGATTTATGGGACATTATGGTGAAATTAGGCAGAGCTGGCTCCACTATTCTACCTGATAAGGATCAACAAGTTATGGAGATGAATAACCGTCGATACAAAGTATTTCTTGCCATGCTGGATGATCAAAAAAGATACAGAAGCATCATGGATGATTCAAACTGATAATATGGTTGCTATGGTAACCAGATGTAGCGGAGGTGTGATGCCCACAATTTATCTGATCTTTTTTTCGATTGCCATGTTTCAATGATAATAAACGTGCAATGGTCTTGAAATTGTATATACGATTGATAGCTATCTTATTACAGCATAGCAATGGCTAGATTCGAAGTAAATGTTGAAAGCGATGTAAAAGAGCTTAAAATGCTCAAGATCTGATATAAAGACTAAACCATCAGATATGATGAAACTGAATGGTTTTAGTGGACACAAATCAATCTGACACACAAACGTTTTAATAACCCCGGCCCTGCTTCCCTCATAATTATATAATTGCATCAGTTTTAAACGAAAAAAAAAAAAACTTCTCTTTCATCATTATCAAGATCAAGAGATGAATGAACAAACACCTTTACTGAAGACTAAGCAGCAAGATCCATGCTGTTCTTCGATTGCTGATAACCAACAGCCACCAGCAACATGCTGTTCAATAAAGATGAACAATGGAGCAAATGGAAAATCAGCGTGTTGCTTAGCCAAAAAGAAAACAAAGCCATGTAATGGATTGCCACCTGTCAACGACGAAGATTATTGCTTTTTGGCTGAACAGAAATGGGAATACAAAGCCATTGCTTTGGCATGCGCCATTCTACTAGCTAGTAAGGCGATCATTCTAATCTAGTTCCATGAAATGAGTATTCATCATTATGTTAGTTGGAAGCCATTTTGCTGCTCATACATTGGGTGCCATGAAGAATACTATCAAGACTGTAAACATATGAATGCATCCAACACTTGGCTGTACAAGATCACTAATACAGCGCATTAGGAATTTGGTATTAGTAACTCACAGTATGGCGTTATTCAGTCGAGTGTGGCGATAGTCAACACAGTGCTGCCCGTCGTGGGTGGTATCTTTGTCGATGCATTTGGCACAATTCCCGGTGCCCTGCTAACAACATTACTGATTACATCCGGCAATGTGCTTGTTGCATTATCAGCTTCGTTCAAAAGTTTGTATATGATGATTTTTGGCCGTGTACTCTATGGTATTGGTAGTGGCACTGTCGTCATTGTACAAGAAACAATCCTAAGCCAGTGGTTCAGAGGACGAAGTCTGGCAGCCGTCCTGGCTTTAATGCTCACTGTCAGCCGACTGGTAATACTATTAAGAATATACAAACAAAACCGCCTGTTTTCTAACAACATTTAATCGCAATAGGCATCGTTCTGTGCCCAGGCAACCGTCATCCCCATTGCTAACTGGACTGGCTGGTACGGTTATGGATTATGGGTAAGATATGATTGTTTCAGTTCGTTAGGCCTTTATTGACATGTGCTGTATCATACTAGTTTTCTGCTGGCCTCTGCATCTTTTCCATGGTCATTACGCTAGTGTACATTGCCTTGTTAAGAACAGTGTCAAGCTCTGCTGTTACATGCCGTAAACAGTTAGAAGTCATTAGCCGAAAGAAATCATTTAGCTGGTCTAAGCTCATGTTTCTGCCTCATTCATTCTGGTTGATTGCAGCTATGGAGTTCTTACTAGGCGGTGGTTGGGGCTGCTTCTTGCACATCAACAGTGAATATGTCAAATTTAGATTTTCATACAGTGATGCCCACGCTGCTGCAACAGCCAGCGTAGCGCAGATCTTGCCTGTAGTGCTCATGCCTTTTCTCGGTGTCTGCGTCGATAAGTTTGGAAAGCGTACCTGGATGAGTAAGTTTCCCATGATGTCCCATTTTTTCGCAGGATTACTCACACCATGCAGTGATTGGAAGTGGTGCAGCCATGCTAGCATCCATGCTCTTGCTTGAGTTCACCGAGACTCCTCCTTTGTTCGGCATGCTCTTGTTTAGTATGAGTCTATCGCTTGGGCCAGTTGGTCTTGTGTCGTCTGTGCCTGTCATTTTACCATTGTCACTGGTGGGTACAGGTATGGGTTTGATCAAATCAGGCACGAATATCGGTGCTGCTCTCTTTGATATTGCTACAGGTCTTCTGCAAGACGCGGACGCCCACAAGGGATACGACGGCGTCATCCTCTTCTTCATCTCCATTTCGTCTCTTGCTGTAGCAGCTGGTGTAGTGTTGCATATTCTTGATCGTACCATTTACAGATCAGTGCTAGATCGATCTGCTCGTGAGGCATATCGCAGTGACGAAAACAAGCTCAACAATTCTCGTCCTGCCCCACTGACACCTCTCAAGGCCAATTACATCTATGGGTCAATCTACTTTCTCTTATGCTGCCTCAGTTGGTTTTTGTTTTTCAGGTTCATCCTGGCATAAATACCTGGTGGTTCTTTCTTTTCAAACATTCCCTACATACCTCTTTTAACATAGATCTTCAAAATATCCATTTCACTTTGTGGGATGGTCTGTAAATAGCACATTCTCCTTACTTGTTCATGTATTTTGTTCTTTTGTTCGCATATCTGGAATAAACATCCGCTTGCTCATGATTCTAGCAAGATGTGGCACCCCGCATTATTTCGACAGTATATCAGTGTGTGTGAGTCGAGCATGCTATGATTGATTAGACTTCCAGCGTCGATATACTTATCTCAGAATTCATGCCGTTCGACAGAAATGGCAGCAATCTCCTGCAGATAAACTTTAAAAGGATAAGGTGATACTCAAGTTGGCAAATCAGAAAACTTTTCATCTATTTTCACACATGGCGCCGATGCAATATCACGGAAGGTGAAGCGAAACTCTTCCAATGGAGCGCTGACTTGATTGGGGATTATCATGTTCAATTTGATGACTGGTGAAGGCTTGAAGAGGCCAAAGCATGTGTAGCAGATTTGGTGAGGCACTTGGATGAAGCTACGACATCTACTACAGGCATTTCAGCTGGATTTTAGCTCCATCATCATATCAAAGCACACCCTAATGCGGGATAAATGCAACCGACTATAGTCACAGTAAGCAGGCGAGTACAGCATTGGCCAACTTGAAAGCCTTTATAAAACAATCCAAAATAGAAGAGGGGCTTATTTGCCTTCCTTTCTCCTCTTTCTTTTTGCTTACTATACCTTAAAATGCTGAATGAACCAAGCGACATCCTCACTGTTCAGCGTGCTCAATACATAAATTGGTGCAATAACCGCAACTTTTTATCTTCGCCATTGATTGTGCCAACAAACAGCAAGCACATGGAGAAAAAAGCAACAGCAATGAGCAAGCGTTCAGTTTCATTACCTCCAGAGTTATTGATGGAGATCTTTAGCTATTTGGATGGTAATCAAGCTGCACTGCATTCAGTTTCACTCGTTTGCAAGCAGTGGTTCTACTGCGCTGCTCCCATTCTGTATTGCCATCCTCAGATTAATGATACCTATCGCTGGGCTACCTTCATACTGACATTGACAAGAGAGCGCATGTCATTCTTTTACGGGGATCTCATCAAATCAATTGACCTGTCCTCGGGAAAGTCCATTGGTATGTCTAGTCAAAACGCTTGTTGGAATAACTGATCTTATTGTTTGTCTTAGAAGCGATGAAAGACCAGGAATTTTACAGACGACTATCAGATGCAAACGATAACGAACAGCTACAGCAACAACAGCAACAACACACTACTCCTGGCAGTCAAGTTGCAGGACTGACTACCAACAACCGCTTCTTCATGTCTTCTCGACGAGAATACAGAAGCACAGAGGCAGAAAGACGCAGACATGAGCATGAATATGTTGTCAAGGGACTACCTTTCATCATCGTATCTACATCTTCGTTGCTTCAAGTTTCAAAAACCTGCAAAAACCTGACATCTCTCAACCTTTCCTATACAAGTCTGTTACATGATAGTGTCATTGCCGAGACTGGCGAGTATCTGTCCACCTTACAACGTTATGCAGTGCAACCTGGTTTAACACACATTCAGATCCCGATAGAAGATGCTATCGAAGCCATTGGGAAATCATGCTATCAACTGGAGCAGGTCAAGATTCAACGTTGCGAATGGGTTACTGCTCAAGTCATCTGGCTGTTTGCATACCATTGTCCCAATCTGAAACGACTGGATGCCAGAAGGTCAACAAAATGCACAGTGAAAAAATTGATTGCCAATGTGTTGGAATTGCCCGGTTACTATAGTCAACATCCATATCGCAGTGGTGATGAAGATGATGTCGCATTGCCGTCGTATATCATGCCCGACGCTAATGGCTCCATAACTACTGCTAGCCTTGCGCTCCCACGATTTTCAACTCAAAGTAGATTTAGACTTGAAGGTGATGAAAATCATGCTGTTGCTGGTGATGACGAAAACCAGACTATCGTGATTGAACCGCGAGCTGAAGATCAAGTAGACGAAGCTGAAGATCAAGGGGAAGACGCACCAATGATTCATTTTAGATTCAATGGTAAGATTACATAACCTAAAATCATCAAATCATCCAAAAGCTAATGATGTCATGTGGGTTATATAGTAGAAACAGGATTGTGGGAACGGGAAGTCAACGGCCAATTGGGACATATGACAGACAACGCCGATGCTATTCGAAATGGCACTTTTTGGTTTGTCCCTCTATCCAACGGTGAAGATGATGTATCAGCAGCTGGTAGGCGACCACCTTCACCTGTGCAGCACACTCTCTCATCGCAATCAATGCCCTCAGTTGGAGATGAGTCTCTGAAAGACATTATCCGCACTGTCATCATGGACTGTAAAGATTTAGGCGCTATTGATCTCAACTGGATCAGCGACTACAATTGATCCCCCCCCTCCTCCTCTCTCTTTCTGGCTTTCATTTTGATCTGTTCTTTATCTTCGCATGTCTTCATCACATATACCTCTTTCTCTCTCTTTTTGCTTAATATACATATATCATAAAAATTGTAGTATTTATCCCACTGAATATATATATATAAAATGTAAATAGTCAACATTTATAAAGAAGCTCTCTTATTCCATGTAGTATTGATTGATTCCAAGGCGAGAAATGACATACTTCGGAATACAATAAACTGGATTTACAGTTTTCAATCCAGGATACCCTAATAACGATAAGCCTGCTACACCAAATACAGTATGAAACACATCCACCATGTCTCCAGGCCTGTCCGATATACCTCCATTTTCAGGATCTTGTGCTGACAGGATGAATTTCGACAGTTTTTCCTTGTCAATCCAATGCACATTTCCCAGGACAGACAGTGAGGAGAGAACCCACCATGAATAGCACACATCTTCTAGTTTCTGTGGTCTACCATTAAGTCCACCGTTCTTCAACTGTCTTTCACATAGCCACCAACTCAATAAATCTCTGTCCACGTGATGAAGAGCGTCTACAATAGCTAGTGCAGCCACGCAACAAAAGATTTGGCCTGCATGCGACTCTGATCCCGGCCGACTGCCAAAGCCTCCATCGTAGTTCTTGCACAGTAAAATCCATTCAACCGTCTTCTCAATGTTGATCGCATCCAAGCGTTTCACGAGTGATAATAAATTCAGAGCCATGTATGAAAATCGCGAATCCACTTCTCCCCATTCATCTCCTCTGAAAGATCCATCTGGATTTTGTAGTGTTTGAACATCTATTCCAGAAGCGTTAAATTGCCCTGCCTTGGCTTTGGAGTTTGTTCAAGACTTACATTCTATCGCTTTGTCAAGATCAATAGCTTCTAAAGCATCCAAAGTAACTAAGATTTGAACCGCGTATAAAGTATTTGAAAGATGTGTATCGTGGTCCTTGTCCGCTCTAAATCCACCATTATCGTGTTGGAGACTCTTGACATAGTCTATAATCTTGTTGCGTGGCAAGGCGTCAATGTGGTACATGAGGTCCAGCGCAGTAAGGCCCCAATAAATGCCACTCAAACGCAAGTGCTCTGTAAGCCAGTATTCAAGGTCGTCTTTACGTGTGTCGAGAGACTGGATGTATTTTACGTGCAATGGTATCAAAAGCTCGCCGATTGTTTCGGTGTTGGGTGCTGAAGACATCTTTATTGATAAAAGAAAAAGCTAGGTAGCGAAACGAGGATGCATCAAAAAGGTTCAAAATTAGCGGATGTGTAAATTTATCTCTGTCGAGATGAAAAAAAAAAACGCCTCAAACGAGGATTTTCCCCTAACAAAAGTAGCAGATTATGCGACTGGGACTTTTAGGCAGGACTTACAATAGCATAAAAGCTACCCTTTTAAACTGGTTCTCTTAATGTGGCGGTTTCAACAAATTTTTGTCCAAAAGATTCAAGATTTCTGGTCATTTAAGAGAAGGTAGAAAGATTTCCAACTACGCAATCAAATTCTTCTCAACACAACCTTCTTTTCTCAAGATACTTTACCTTTCAAACATCAAAATGGGCTTTGAGGAGAGAGAAACTAGAATTGCAAACATATTAGAAACATATTTCAGTGACGCCTCGTTGTTATGGGATAAAGTCATGCTCAGTAAAATGTTGAAAGATCCAGAAAAGAGTAAGCTATTCTACTCAACTTGAAGTTGCCTTCATCGCATTGATTTTGTCTAGTGGTAACATTCGAAGAACTCTCCAATTTACCTAAATTCAAATCGGTAGCAGCCACAGCGCAGGAAATCGTATCAGCTGCAGAGAATCATTCGCTTCATCGGTTAAAGGTGATTGATAGAATTGATTTGATTTGCCAGAACTATACACTGATTTCTCGATTAGTTGGACCAAACCAAGCAAAAGATCGGCAGAATCAAACCTTACATTGTAGACAAGAAAGAGGAGTTAGACGAATGGTCTATTTACGTAGAGGGCTTGAAGAAACCATACGACAATGAGCAAAGCATCAAAGAGTTGTTTAGTAAATTAGTCGGAAGTGTTTCCTTCTTTCGCGTACCTCCAAACCAAAAAGGAGATACTCAATTCTTTGGTTATTGTTTTCTCGAATTCAACGATAAAAGCAATGTAGAACGAGCCGTTCGGTTAGTCAATAGATATAATAGGTCAAGCACTGACATTGATGACTCAATGTCAGGTGAGTCAGACGCAAAAGAGCTCGCAGACAAGCTGAATTTGAGGGTCATGTCAAAGTATTATCATTTCACGCTTGTGGTAGTATAGTTATATTGACTTTTCTCTGTATAGATCACAATGGAACGATCTGAAAGATGGATATTTGAACTTGCTGGCAGAGAGAAAAGCATACGTAACTGACTTATGGACAAAATATGAAAGCGGCGAACAAGTCCAAGAAGAAATAGACGAGGAAGTAGACGAAAAGCCATTCACAGAGGGCTTGATCGTATTCGTAGACGGTTTACATCCACAATGCCCAAAAACGATAGCAATAGAATTATTACAGACATCTGGTGTTCAGCTTGCTTTTATGCATCCAAAGAAGAAGGGACTCTCAAGCACTCACATTCGACTGAATACGGCTGAAGATGCCATCAAAATCTGCAATTATTTTGATACACATTACATTGTACAAGAAGATGAAAAAGATAGAGTTGGAAATGCACAAGGCAGTAAGACGTCTGCCTCTCTGAAATTGAAGCTTTTGCAAGGTACGTGATCCATACATCCGGCCTATCCATGTTCAACCTCATAGTAACTATAAATTCAGGCTCTGCAGAAGAAATTTATTGGGAGAATGAATACAGACAAGGACGCTGAATGCCATCAGATGATGTTCAATGAGTAATATTGTCCTGGCTTTATTAAAATCGTTTTACTTTATCATTAATTAAATTATACAATTTAATTGTCGAAGCAGTCTTTCGCAAAGTTGATATAAATATCAAAACAGTTCGCAATACAATATATGGCTTTTTATTGTCTGCACATTTTCTCGGGTACATGTGCTTTGTCAGATGCACACAGAAATTGTGAATACCCTTCTTTTAATATAAATACTAAATTAATTGTGAAATTATAAAGATCATCTTTTATATCATATATTCTTTTGTGTACACTAATTTATAGAAGTCTATTCTAAATCCACTGTCTCTATACACGACAGCGCCTCTCAACACTAAAACAACTGGTGAAAATTCATAAAAAAGGGACAGCCAATCTAACCGAACTCCTCATCATTACCTTCTTTGTAATTCCAAACTAAAATTCAACTATTACGTTACCCTTTCATCACAAATTTTGTTACAGGAACGTGCTACTTTTAAAACGCTTGCATCAATATTTCAAGAAGACTCAGTTTTGGATGGCTTCAACCTTGAAATCAAAGTCGCTTTTGTTGGAGCATTTTTTTTATATAGGTGGTAGCCCAAAGCCAATACCATAAAACATATTATTAGCTATCCAATAATAGATTCATATAACTCATACAGCCAACTTTTCTGCAAAGACATTGTGAAAGAAGTAAATAACTTTGTAGCCCTACTATGCATTTCCGGTTGAGTAAAAAAAGATACTCTCCTTAAAGCATAAAGCGTTGTGTTATTATACTCTTAATAAACAGTAACAACGGTTGTTTAGTGGTGGCAGGATGACCAGAATATAATGTTGTCTGTTGCCACAACATCGTAAACACAGCACTGAACTAAAGTAGCCATATATTATATAACTTCTTTTCCACAACAATATAAAAGTTTAAAAGATATTCCTCACTTCAAGCTGTGTAGCAGACGTCAGAACAAACAAATGCAGAGTATCTCACTACTATTATTAAATAAAGGACTTGAATCGTGTCTATTTAGATAACCTTTTTATTACAAACATAAAATTATAATGAATGAAAGATCAACAACAGATCAACTAGTTGTAGACCTTCGTTGCTTCAACCTCCTAGCCAATCAAATTGTTTGAAAACCCCGCTGACCTAAAAAAAATTTTGCGAGGGTTTCCCCCTGTTTTGATGTGAGGCAAAATTTTAAGCTCCGATATACATAGCAATATAGCAGATGCTATCATCAAATTCCCCTCAGATGCTAGAGCATGCCTTACTTACACCACCTAGCTTTTAAATTCTGGCATTGAGACTCTCAATCATCACTAAAGTAAGTAGCGATAACCAAGTGGAGGCGGCCTATCTACCTCCTAGCCTCGGATAAAGTCTTGTTGAGCTTCAGGGATAGGCACATCCACACAACGTAAAAAGGTATGCTTCAAAAGAAACATAATAAAAGAAAAAAGGAACAAAAGAAAGGAACATGCTACAGTAGCACTACAGGAGTACTATAGAAGTATGAAGGCAAAAAAGGGATACTCATACGCAATGAGTCAAAGAAAAGCATAACAAATACAACATCAGAGAATGTTCAGAACAGCTCGTTATTGTTGCAACAAAAATGAATACATGAGCAACGTGCATGATAATAGTCGGATGTAAAACAACACAAACACACACAATTGCAGGAGCAACAGCAGTATTATCAGTGTACAATACAACATAATGACTAGTGTTGTTTCATGTGAAGCCACAGAGGCAACACAAACAACAATCCACGACCATATAACATAGTAGTATTACAACGGCAATACAGATATATAGCAGCACATCATGCTTGTTGCTTCGTATATACAAAGCAACAACATTGTAAGCATCCGTTGAGCTGATCATATCACAGCCAACAAAAGAAAAAGAAAGCACAACAAAGAAAACATCATGAATGCAATATCATGAGAAAGGAAGCAATAATACAAACGTCCCAGAGAAATTTTATATCATTGCAACCAGAAGAAACAAGATACTTACCACTTACCACAGCCGCAGATAGACCATAGAATACGAAACCACCAGATATAAATCAGAGAACGAGAATGCACCAAAGACAGTAGAACAGAAAGACCCAACTAACAGCAGCAACACCATCAGCAACACCATCAGCAACACCAGCAGCAACACCAGCAGCAACACCGTCAATAACACCAGCAGTAATACCAGAAACAATACCAGCAGCAACAACATCATGAGCAATGCCATCAGCAGCACCAGAAGCAGCACCAGAAGCAACATCAGAAGCAACATCAGAAGCAACATTAGCAGCGACACCATTAGCGACACCATTAGCGACACCATTAGCGACACCATTAGCAACCCCAGCAGCAACACCAGCATAGAAAACCAAAGAACGGGCGACACCAGAGACCAGACAAAGTTTAAAGAAGCAACCGCCAGAGATAGAGACCGAAGAAGCAATCACCAGACATGGTAAACCAAAGAAGCAGGTATTAGAGATAGTAGAGAAGTAACGGCAGAAGCACCCACGTCAAACAAGCAAAAAAATTATCAAAACCTAAAAAAACAAATTCGATTAGTGCTGATTTTACGTATTCAAGTGCTCGCTATTGAATAGTACCTACTATATTCCACTCCAAAGAAGCAATATCAAGTACGTTTAACAGTACAAGGCCGTGTTATCAAAAGCTAGAGTGTTATTTTCAATCAAAAGGGTTCCAAAACCAATATGGTTTGATACTAAACGCGTTTTGCAAAAGGGAGGAAAAACGGGGGAATGGAAAAATGGGAGGGAACCCTATTCGACGTCACGGCCAGTAGATTTGGTCTCAGTCTTCTGCCGTGGAAGCCGTCGTAACTGCTGCACTTTAATTTGAAATTGTGCAGTGGGTATTTTCATGTTCAAATTTGACTTGATCTTACATTCTTTAAACGTTTTTGCTAATTTTGATTATGAAACTAGTCGTTGTTATACTTTACTTTCTAATGCACTTATAAAGAGTCAGTCAAGGCGCATCAAATGATGCTGGTTACATTCAGCGTTTAGACCGAAAATACAAAACAATCTTGAAATACTTGAAAATAGGTTTTCTGCAGAAATGTCAAAATTCAACATATGAAATTTCCAGAGAGACAGTTTACAATATTGCATTTTACCATTACGATCAATTTGATCTAATATGTATCATAGAAAAAGTCTTCGTTTTTGGGATGAAAAACGCGATCGTTTGGTTTTCAAGAATTTTGCCTTGCTAATACTCATGAAAAACAGCTCTTACACACTGCTGTACTCAGAGTTATATATCTTTCCATTAACACTTGGGGGATTTTTGTACCAATCACAGATGATATCGAAATTACATGTGATATCAAAATCCAATGCTGTTGTGCTTAATAGGCCCTGCTGCCTATACCTAGCTGCCTATAATAATACGTTCTGCCCTCTACTATACCTTGCTGCCAATTGTTTATTGACCGCAATTATTGGGGGATGCCTTCTAAATATCATTTGATCGCAGTAGGCTATCATGCCTTCCACAACTCACTTGTACCCCCACGCTACTAGTTGCGCTTGGTTTAGCTTTCTCTTTCGACTGACGCAGAAGCTTCTTCCCTTAACTATATTGCCCTGCCTGCCTATCTAATCCTAGCTTCATTCTCTACGCTGCATTATTTTCGTAACAATAGTTTCAAGCATGCTATTGGCAGTTTTTATCAGTAGTTTCTGTTGCGAAAGCATTTGATGCGCAACCTCCTCAAAACATTGCAAATAATTTTGATGAGCACTCATCAAATACAAATTTCTGATTGCAGTCAACGCAAAGTACCTTCCTCTGCTGGTATGTGATTCAACAAATTGGTGTTTAGAAAAGAGCACAAACATCTTCCCCAACTGTGTAACTGTGTAGGTTGTGGAACAATCGAGTCGACTCATCAAATACTCTTTGTAAGGAAGCCAGCCTCACTTTTCTATTTTCGTCCGCTATTCATCAAATGTTGAAAAACGACGCAGCTTATAAAATTGCTAAGAGAGCCAAGAAGGCCACAGGAGAAGAGGCAAACAAGGAATCAGACAAAAAGGTCATCAAGAAAATGCCAACAAATGCAGAGGAGATAACCTTGAAGAAAAATGACCAAAAAGCACGCAAACAACGCAGCCGCTTTACAACAAAGTCTCAGTTGATGAAGACGAGCACAAAGACTGCACATGCGAGAGCCATCATGTACATCAATGAGCTGGGGAAACAGAATAGGCAAGCTGTAACCCAGCCTAATGCTTCGCTGAACGACAACAATAGACAACCTGTCCATGCAAACGGAGCATTTCATTTTGACGATGACAGCATCGACCATGGCTTCGACTACATAGAGCCTTCTAACCAGCGTTATGGTTTCGCAACCATTTTCAGACAAAAAAAAACAAAGAATTAGAAAAGACTTTTGGGCTCAAGAAAGTGTATCACTCAAGAAGTGGTATCTTGAATCTCACGAGATTCATGGCCATGCCGACCCTACCCTCAAAGTCTCAAATCAATTGAAAAGCACATATCAATGCAACTGCAGCAATAAGAAAACATTGGAGGTATATTGTTATATGCTACACAGTAAGTAAATTTAGTGAAACTCCAAATATTACATAAGCTAAACTGACTCTTGATTTGCAGACCATCAAAAAATCAAAGTTGATTATTGTATGCATCAACCAATCCTAAAGAAATCGGTATTGATGCAAATGTTGCCAAGCAGTACAATTCAATCAAAAGCTGCGGTCCATTTCGCCGTCTTTGAAAAACTGATGAGCTTGAAGCTAAATGGAAGCATTTCAAATTATGCATTCGTGAAGACGCAGAATGTTGATAATCTCTTGTTGAGTAACTATGGTGAAAACGACGTAAGTTAAATGCTGCAGACCATTGTGCTGTTTATCTCAATATCTCGCCGTTCTCTTTTCTCTTTAATTTAAAATTTTGAATAACGGCTTGCTCAACACAACACTACAAGTAATATATAGATAGTTGTGTATACCAGGGCTAAAGGAGAGGGCTCCTTTATATCTCGTGACAGTATTCCATGCCTATGCTCATAGCATGCACTGTCAAGTCCAACATCATCCACGAGTTGTCAATGGCAGTGTCAATACCGGTAAATAAGCATGAACAACAAAAGTGAGAGAACAAAATACTGACTCAATAATTAGATGGCGAAGGTGTAGAGCGCTTCTGGAGCACAGCAAATCGCTTCATTTCCATGATCAGACAGATGAGCAAATTCAACCGCAAATCATTGTTAACAGATGTCGTATATCATTTTAGACAGAACAAAATGTTGGAAATTCGTAAGCTATACATAGCTTTCATATTGTTGTCTTACTAATCTATTTATAACAGCGGGACAAATCTTAAAAAAGTACACCAATGCAATGAAGAAGGTGAGCGAGTTCAACATTACAAATGAGAAATTTTTTGCACTGGAAGAACAGTGGAGTGAGCATGTAGAGATCGTGATGATTCCAGCAACTCCTGTCGGTGTGCAAATCGTTATAGATAAGGCAGAACAAGAAACCCATGTCAGTAGGTATTCTTACTACCTTAAATTAACTGTTGAATATTTGCTGTTGAATGACTTGAGAGATGAAAGGTAACTTTTAAACATGTGCATAGAGGAATATTACTGTTGAACCATTTTTAAAATGTAGTGGAAGAAAAATTGAAATCATTACCAGGAAAAATATCAATAGAAACAATTTTTTGGTCGATCAAATCAAGCAATTACAATCTGTGTATGGGTATGCGATGATCAACAGCCTAAATGATCCAGCCTTGCAAGAACATCGAGAACGGATCATTGAAGTTCGATACAATGTAATGAATACATTTGTAAAACACCTCTTGTTTGCAATTCTGATGAAAGAGCACAAGATATCTCAACCTGGCTCATTTGGTAATGGCTTGGCCTTTTGTGAGAACGAAAACTTTCCTTAGATTGAACTCTAACCCAAATGATAGGCACTGCAAAGGCGGCCAGAGTTATTTTGTCGCTTGAAATATTGAAGAAGAAAGCAAAGGTGATCATTTCGATGATCAACAAATCTGTAGAAACCTCATACAGTGAGTTATAATTTTGAATCGCAAGCGAGAGCAATATCTTAGTGTATAATGGTATGAAGGTACGCAGGCAGAGATCGACAGAAGAAAGAAGAAAACAGTCGGAAAAGAAGTGGAACGGATCAGACTGTATGCTGCCGAAAATGGTCTGGATTTGCCCACCCCTTTGAACAACTAGCATATATTGAAAAGAAACGCCGAAGAAGTTTCTATTTTGATAGTAGGCTCGAGTAAACTCAATAGCATAAGAAGCATGTATACTAATCATACTTTTCGATGAAGGGTGAAGCAAAGAGGGTTCTTGGCAACTACGAAGGTGAGTTGTCATCGTTGAGGGGAAAACAGAACAATCATTTTGTCAGAATGAGAGTTCTGGACGTTGCTCGCCGTCAACGCAGTGCCAAGTCACTGTTGAAAAATGTTTCAAGATCCAAACCTCCGGTATTGCTTGCAAGCAGAGATGCCTCTGACTTGCTAAACAATGTCGTTATTTTTTCTGAGGTGGATCTTAGCGATGACGAGAATGAAATTTTCGACAACATTGAGGATGATGTGGTTGACGCCGGTGATCCAGACCATGCAAATCCTGGTGAAGGCGGTGAGCCAAACCCAGAAGACGAAATTCTAATCACATTTCAAGACATTGAGGAAGGATCATAAAGCATCAAGTGCCTATTTTTTTATTTTATATATATATATTATCTAGTAAAACTTTATGGTATGAAAAAATCTCAACATATATATGTTCCTATATCAAATTACCCCTGAATTAAATGAACATTGCTACAAACACTAATAATGGCAATTTTCTCTAAAAAAGAGAACGCAGGGACTTGAACTCGTAATCTTGTCTGTTCCGTCGACAGAAAGTTACCATTTCGCGAAGCAAAAATTTAAGAAATTTCAAAAATTTTAGATAATACTATAGTTATTACAATATTTTGTACTACTACTCACGTGATGTGAATCAACTTGATTGTCTACTAGCTTTACATGTATACCAAACTGATTGTATTCTTGTAAAAGTATCATAAATCTAATATTTTTAGTTTCTCAAAGGTATTTCCGATGTATCAGAAATGTAGAAACAGTGATCATATTGACTCAAACTAATGATAAGCTAATAATAAACTATGAATCTTCTGAATCATCTTTAATACAGTTAGCCCAATATAGCATCGTATTAAATCATATCAATTGTTAAGTACAAAGAATAAAAGGATTATTATTTGTAGCTTATAAAAAATGTTCGATATTATAAAAACAAGAAAAGACTTATTTGAATAAGATCAGACACAAAAACTAAAGATTTATTGATGAAGACAAGAGCTATTCTATTTATACTAAGTTCTGGATGCCAAAGTAGCAATTTATCTTGTACAACGCTTATCACATCTGGTGAACCTCAGTATTTAGATAGCTGAGATGCACTTCACTTATCATAGCTTGTCCATGTTGTTGCACAACACAGACATATCTACCCATCAAGAATACCTTAGTCTTTATAGACAGTTGTAGCCCTTCTGGCACAACAACATGGATTGGTTAGATGTGCGATACTCACACCAGGCATCTTTGGCTACGACTCGTAAATCTTTGATATCTTGCTCTTTGCTTCCACGAAGCTTCTTGTTTGATTTTTGAACAAGGTCAGCTGAAATGGCACTATTGCTCGGATCAAAGGCAGTCAGTAGAGCATTCGATGATTTGGAAGAAAAGTTTGAAGGAACAGGCGCAATAGCTGCAAAATATCCAGCGATCGTTGGTGTATCGTCCAGTGTTGAAATTGCTGCAGCAGGCCTTTTTTTGAGAACCTCGTGCTTCATTATCCTCTCGTGAATCATCACCGTCCTGGAACGAGCCATCAGGGTCATAATCGTCATCAGAGTCCTTCAGGATTTTGGGGTACCTGCGAGTAGTAGTGTGGGGAGTGAGGGCAGCGTGGGCAACGTGGGGAATGAGGGCAGTATGGGCAGCATGGGGAGCCTTCCTCTTACCAGCCAAAAATTATCAATTTTAGACATTGAAAAACCAGTGTAATACATACCTGGGGTAATACGAGTTTTTCGAATCTCTCTTTCCAGAAAACCGATGATACTCATCGATGGTAGCGTTTCCTCGATTTGTTTAAAGGCTTCTTTTGATTCATCTATGACATACATGTTAACGAATGTCCTTATAACCGACCGCAGAAAATGATTTACTGTACCAGAATTTGGCTGATGCAATGGTACGTAGAGTTTATCATGAATGGTGTCAGTTGCTCGGTAAATCATCAAATGTGTGCGATAATTCTCTCTGAAGAAATCTGCACTTCTGCGAAATTGTTTCCAATGTCTATCAAAAGACTTGTACTTGGCCAACATGTCAATGTTCGAGGACCGCTTCTTCTCTTCCTCTGCCTCTTGTTTGTATGGCCGTTGCTGCTCTGCACTAAGCGCCTTCCATTGGGCTCCAAGTTGCTGCAAATGGGCTTTGCGCTGTAATTTCAGGATTTTTTGCCCTGAGTATGTTCCTTCTGATACATACTCCAGCCACTGAGCTTTGTCTTGATCGCTTGGGGAGGCTTGAACTCTCCAATGAATTTTGTGTGATGCTCGTAGCACACATGTGCTCCAAGATATCGCTTCACTTGGTCTTTGGTGAAGGCTGCATTTGTTTCAGCGAAATCATTTATCAAGAGGTCCACTTTTTGGAATAATGGTCTTATTAAGACTTCATCCTCACTTCCATACATGAAGAACGACTCAGTACTACTGTGTTTGTCTTCATCCTCATCTTCATCTTCAGGCTCTACAGTTAGGCGAGTGCCGTCGCTGCTATCACTCCAAACGTCCCCAGCATCTTGTTCAATGATTGATTCATCATCGGAACCACGACCAGTCTGCTGGCTCGCGTAATCCATCTCTCCTTCTAAGGCGCCAAAATAGTTTTTAATCAATTTACTCATTTCAATGTATAGAGAAAGAAACAAAAACAAAGAAAATCTCAAATGTATTTATAAAAATGGCTTGTTCTTAACGAGAACTGTATAATTGCAACGGCTTATCAACAGAAATATGATCCACAGCTTTAACAACGCATGCATGAAGCGAGATCAATTCATAAATAGAAGCATGCGAAGATTTCAAAAACAGTACAAACCCGTTTGTGCTTCTCCCTTATGATAAACAGACAACACTCGTCATTTTCCTTGAAAATGTACTATAAGAATTTGGGTTGTTCCACAGTTGCGTAACGTCGCTTTTGTCCAACATTAATTATCAACTGGGTTCTGAATGGCAACAAACCTATGTTTATTTAAGAAGAGCAACTTTAATGCAGACAATCACTGTACTAAGCAGCTACTTTGACGAATAATACAACGAAGCCATAATAAACGTAGGCTTAGGCATATATGAGAGTTGGCAGAGGCACACAGAAAAGTGGGCAGAGATGTATTTAGCTGTGGGCAGAGGCATATATGAAAGTTGGCAGAGATGCATATGAAAGTAGGCGGAGATGTTAATGAAAGTAGGCAGAGATGTTTGTGGAATTTGAGGCTTTACAGACTAAAATTCACGGAAAAAAAGAATAAAAAAACAGTAATGTCAACTTGATAAAGGTATATTTTATTATTAAACTGACAGGTGTAAAGTAAACTGAAGTCTCTCTACTGGCCAGGTAGATGATCCTTCTTATATACTATAACAATGGATAAAAGTTCTATTAATTATATTGACAAATAAGTCAACTCAGATCAACTAATGTCTAATCATGCTAAAAGACAACTCCAGCAAGCTAATCATGATTTAGCTCTGTCTGGATGAATAATTAGACTCTCATCCGAAGTACCCTGATCTATCCTTTCCATAAGGATAATTAATATCGATCTAGTAGCATGTATCCGATAGGTACAGTCTTCTTAGTCTATATTAATAGTACATATCTGAGTGTATATCGCTAAGCATACATCTTTAGCATGTATCTGGATATATGGCATGTCTATAGCATGTCTATAGCATGTCTCATATATAGTACAAGTCTGTAGTACATAACGTATCTGTAGCTAGTATCACGGATATAAGCATGTGTCTTATAGCGTGGATCATGAAGTGCACATCTGAAGCAACAAGCTCATATTGCATTAATCTTGGTGCCTATCCAGATATAGTAAACATCCGTAGTCAATGTCGGAATACAAGTATAAGTCTATAGTGCCATCCATGTCCGTGGCGCCACCTATAGCCTATATCTTATATAGTATGAATCTTATAGTACTAGCGTATCTGAAGTCCATATCTTCTTATAGTATAAATCGATATCGTACATCTAATCCAGTGTACATACAGCTTATATCTAAATCTGGTAACTGGATGAACTGTCGGAATGCAGATCATAGTGGATGTATTCCACGATGTTAATGAAAGCGGGCAGAAAGTAGGCAGAGAAGTATTTAGATATGGGCAAAGGTATATATAAATATAGGCAGGGGTGCATTTGATAATAGGCAGAGATTTACATAAAAGTAGGCAGAGATTTATATAAAAGTAGGCAGGGATATATTTAAATGTAGGCAGAGGTGTAAATGAATGTAGGCGAGAAAGGTATTCATGGGTTGAAATGAACAACGTTTTCATTGGATTAAAAATCCGTGATGTTGGGGGAAATCTGATTAAACTCTGTAATAGTTAAATTTGCACACTTTGTTTAATGTTACATGTAACTCTTTTTGAGTACAGTGTGGTACGCAACAGGTCTTTTTCATGAGTATTAGCAAGGCAAAATTCTTGAAAACCAAACGATCGCGTTTTTCATCCCAAAAACGAAGACTTTTTCTATGATACATATTAGATCAAATTGATCGTAATGGTAAAATGCAATATTGTAAACTGTCTCTCTGGAAATTTCATATGTTGAATTTTGACATTTCTGCAGAAAACCTATTTTCAAGTATTTCAAGATTGTTTTGTATTTTCGGTCTAAACGCTGAATGTAACCAGCATCATTTGATGCGCCTTGACTGACTCTTTATAAGTGCATTAGAAAGTAAAGTATAACAACGACTAGTTTCATAATCAAAATTAGCAAAAACGTTTAAAGAATGTAAGATCAAGTCAAATTTGAACATGAAAATACCCACTGCACAATTTCAAATTAAAGTGCAGCAGTTACGACGGCTTCCACGGCAGAAGACTGAGACCAAATCTACTGGCCGTGACGTCGAATAGGGTTCCCTCCCATTTTTCCATTCCCCCGTTTTTCCTCCCTTTTGCAAAACGCGTTTAGTATCAAACCATATTGGTTTTGGAACCCTTTTGATTGAAAATAACACTCTAGCTTTTGATAACACGGCCTTGTACTGTTAAACGTACTTGATATTGCTTCTTTGGAGTGGAATATAGTAGGTACTATTCAATAGCGAGCACTTGAATACGTAAAATCAGCACTAATCGAATTTGTTTTTTTAGGTTTTGATAATTTTTTTGCTTGTTTGACGTGGGTGCTTCTGCCGTTACTTCTCTACTATCTCTAATACCTGCTTCTTTGGTTTACCATGTCTGGTGATTGCTTCTTCGGTCTCTATCTCTGGCGGTTGCTTCTTTAAACTTTGTCTGGTCTCTGGTGTCGCCCGTTCTTTGGTTTTCTATGCTGGTGTTGCTGCTGGGGTTGCTAATGGTGTCGCTAATGGTGTCGCTAATGGTGTCGCTAATGGTGTCGCTGCTAATGTTGCTTCTGATGTTGCTTCTGATGTTGCTTCTGGTGCTGCTTCTGGTGCTGCTGATGGCATTGCTCATGATGTTGTTGCTGCTGGTATTGTTTCTGGTATTACTGCTGGTGTTATTGACGGTGTTGCTGCTGGTGTTGCTGCTGGTGTTGCTGATGGTGTTGCTGATGGTGTTGCTGCTGTTAGTTGGGTCTTTCTGTTCTACTGTCTTTGGTGCATTCTCGTTCTCTGATTTATATCTGGTGGTTTCGTATTCTATGGTCTATCTGCGGCTGTGGTAAGTGGTAAGTATCTTGTTTCTTCTGGTTGCAATGATATAAAATTTCTCTGGGACGTTTGTATTATTGCTTCCTTTCTCATGATATTGCATTCATGATGTTTTCTTTGTTGTGCTTTCTTTTTCTTTTGTTGGCTGTGATATGATCAGCTCAACGGATGCTTACAATGTTGTTGCTTTGTATATACGAAGCAACAAGCATGATGTGCTGCTATATATCTGTATTGCCGTTGTAATACTACTATGTTATATGGTCGTGGATTGTTGTTTGTGTTGCCTCTGTGGCTTCACATGAAACAACACTAGTCATTATGTTGTATTGTACACTGATAATACTGCTGTTGCTCCTGCAATTGTGTGTGTTTGTGTTGTTTTACATCCGACTATTATCATGCACGTTGCTCATGTATTCATTTTTGTTGCAACAATAACGAGCTGTTCTGAACATTCTCTGATGTTGTATTTGTTATGCTTTTCTTTGACTCATTGCGTATGAGTATCCCTTTTTTGCCTTCATACTTCTATAGTACTCCTGTAGTGCTACTGTAGCATGTTCCTTTCTTTTGTTCCTTTTTTCTTTTATTATGTTTCTTTTGAAGCATACCTTTTTACGTTGTGTGGATGTGCCTATCCCTGAAGCTCAACAAGACTTTATCCGAGGCTAGGAGGTAGATAGGCCGCCTCCACTTGGTTATCGCTACTTACTTTAGTGATGATTGAGAGTCTCAATGCCAGAATTTAAAAGCTAGGTGGTGTAAGTAAGGCATGCTCTAGCATCTGAGGGGAATTTGATGATAGCATCTGCTATATTGCTATGTATATCGGAGCTTAAAATTTTGCCTCACATCAAAACAGGGGGAAACCCTCGCAAAATTTTTTTTAGGTCAGCGGGGTTTTCAAACAATCTGATTGGCTAGGAGGTTGAAGCAACGAAGGTCTGCAACTAGTTGATTCCCGATTGATGTCATGTATTATAATTTTGTGTTTGTAATAAAAATGTATTCAAATATTGATACAATTTAAATCCTTCTTTATTCAAAAGTAAGATAAGGTGCAATTATTCGATCTGGCATTCATTAAGGAGTTTTATATGAGGAATGTAACTTAAATTTGACATTATGTGGGGAGTATAGATGACTTTTGAAATTCGTGAATCTTGGATAAATGCTAAAAGTAGAATTTCTTTAATTGTTGTATCCGAGCTTTGAAAGGAAGTACAAATATAGTACAGCAGCAAACAGAATTGCTACAGACATTTAAAAAAGGACGTATAATAGAAATGACTAGAGGCTAAAACTGAAGAGTCTTTATTAATTAAAAGGCATTTCGAGATTCTTTATTATATAATACGAATTATTATTGTTCAACAAGCCAACGATCCTTTAGCAATCAAGAACCAGCAGAATAGAGTTCCTACAACATTCGTATAATAACATAGTACTTTTCAGAAAGCATACTGTGGAATACATCCACTATGATCTGCATTCCGACAGTTCATCCAGTTGCCAGATTTAGATATAAGCTGTATGTACACTGGATTAGATATACGATATCGATTTATACTATAATATATGGACTTCAGATACGCTAGTACTATAAGATTCATATTATATAAGATATAGGCTATAGATGGCGCCACGGACATGGATGGCACTATAGACTTATACTTGTATTCCGACATTGACTACGGATGTTTACTATATCTGGATAGGCACCAAGATTAATGCAATATGAGCTTGTTGCTTCAGATGTGCACTTCATGATCCACGCTATAAGACACATGCTTATATCCGTGATACTAGCTACAGATACTTTATGTACTACAGACTTGTACTATATATGAGACATGCTATAGGCATGCATACGATATGCTATAGACATGCCATATATCCAGATACATGCTAAAGATGTATGCTCAGCGATATACACTCAGATATGTACTATTGATATAGACTAAGAAGACTGTATCTATCGGATACATGCTACTACGTATAATAACCATAACATCATATAAAGAGTTGAAAAAGAAACAAAAGCTATTAAGCTTGAAGTTCTCGTTCACTTAGTAAAATCCAGTGGTATTGCCCTTTGAAAATCGGTCACTTGGAACATTTTCCGTCCGTACTCATTGATGTCGCCCTCAATAACCACACACCAAACATTCCTTAGTCAAAAAAAGTATCTTCTACAATTTTCACTACACATACATTATCCCACCTTCTCAGTAATTTAAAAAGTTTTACTAGCAGTGCAGTGAAATCAGGTTTGAATAGATTTCACAAAAAAAAATAAAGCAATAGTAAAATACAATAGAAATCAACTGTATTTTATTTGTGTATAAAATGAACTGAAGATCCTGGAATTGAGTAAAAAAAGAAGAGTATTTAAACATTTGCAACTAGCTTGTAGGATTAGTGATGATAGAGAGCAATAGGTTCTGCTATTGCGATATCTGGCAAATGTTGTTGATACTTGATTTAGAGTGGTAACCAATGCAAGAGCACTGGCCATAAGGGTCGATTTGAGTAACCTTGATGAGCTTGGGTGAGCTATCGTCATAGCATGATTTAATGTAACCTTGATGGTTTAAAGTGTGATGTTTGTTATTGAAGTATGGAATCCTTGATCTGGGATATTGTGCAACTATGGCAGCAGGGCATAGTTGTCATATTTGAATATGCTTGTTATTGATTTGATTCTATTTGGATAAAGATACCATCATCACTTATTACGACCATCATGGGTGTGATTGAATACACTGTGATCAGGAGTGATTCATTCACACGATGTGCGATATAAGCATGCATCTTTACTTTAGTATTTTTAAATAGTTTTTTGCTGTACATTTGATGAGCGCTTTCATTAATAGATCCAAATAGCATGAATTTGAATGAGTGCTATTATTTGATGAACTTTGTTTTTCAATTAAGTTGCGTTTGGGTGGCTATTTCATTACATATGGTTTCGTATGATTTGGTTATGTAATTGCATTTTATGGATTTAAAAGTAAGGTTTGGCATAAGATTGTCCTTTTTGGATACAAGATACGGAAGGCGTTGCAGCGTTGATGTGGGTCTTTAGTTCATCATGCCCGCTTAATATGCGGCATTTCGAGTTGAGTTGTGGCCAGAGTGTAATTTAATCGATACCAAAAGTGATGTGTTTTATATGTAAAATAGAGACGAGCAGATTGAATGATTATATATAGTGGCAGAAAAAGAAAGTAGATGTTACGACTTGTAACACAGGTATTGCTCTAAATTTTTACCACTAGGACTACATACACCTCATTCTTCTGTAAGAATGAAAAAAATAAAATACCCAGTAGGGGGGTCGAACCCCTAATCTTCCGTTTAGAAGACGGATGCCTTATCCAATTGGGCCAACCGGGCTGTTATATTTTACTGTATTTATAAGCTTAATTAAACTACCTATAAAAACCCTGTTCTTCTTTTGATTTTCCTAAAAAGGCAATTCTTTGTGGCAGGGATTCTGCAAATGTGGTGGGTTCTAGGTGTAAATTCATATATTATTTGCTACGGCTTAATTGAAAGGGTCATTTGTTAGGGTGATGTTTTGGTACGTTGATACATGCATTTATTGCTAATAACTGGGTGCTATATCTTGGTGGTGTGTTGATAAAAGCATTTTACCACTATTCAAGTTGACGTGATCTTTATCTGGTGCATTGTTAATCAACATTAGATCTTCGTTCATTAAACTTTGTCTGTATTTGGGGTTTTGTTACTTATCTGTTACCCGTGATTCTTCATATCAAGTTTTGGCCGAAGATCTAATCATTACTATTCGAGGCTGGTATTGTCGAATCAATAAGCTGGTCATGGATTTGAATGAGAATGCGCGCTGATATACGAGGATTACTATTTTGAACAGTGAATTTGACTCTGGACTTTAACTCAGGATAGGTGCAAGCCAATTGATGTGGAATTGATGCAATATTCAAATGGAATTACAACAATGGAATTGGTGCATTACTATTTTGAACAATGGAATCGACTCAGGAGCGCGAGTAGTACATTAGATTTGACTTTGAAGTGAAGGAAATTCCGCTTGGGTATCAAGACACTAACATTCGGATCTGAATTGAGTTTGATAGGAGAATAACAACAATTACAAGAACAATAACAAGTATAAATAGTATTTGGAACTGCATCTTAATAAACATCATCCATTTTTCTTCTTATTAATCTGAAGCCTAGTTACTAGTGCCAATCTAGTATGAACATACCTGAAGAATTCTTAAATTTATCTCTCATTACTATTGGGATAGTTCTTACAGCCTTCCTTTCCATCAACAATAATTATAACTACTTGATTACCAAGTACCAAGGTAATCATTAAAGAGAGCCTGATATTTATCAATTTGTTAAGCAAAATATATATTATCAGAATAGAAAAACCAAGATAATCATCACCACGTAATCTAACTGCTTTCTTTGCCTTTCGGTGTGTTATGAGCACAATAGCTAGGGCCATAGAATTTTCTTTTGTCTAACGCAGATTTATTCAGTGAATTTTAGAGATTCCACCATCCTAATTTCGAATTCATAGGTAGTAGTTCTAGTGATGACCGATTGCAACGAAAATTCTAGATCTGAATCTCGTATATAACCCATGAAATTGATAGATAAGGCCGAATCTCATGTCTCAAGAGCCCAAAACAAATGTTTTGTAGTTTGAGTTGTACCGTCCTAGGTTTACTAGCCTGAAGGTATCTAAGGATCATCTATTTTTTAATGAAATGAGCATCCCTTTTGTTCTTTAATTTTTTATCGTTATCAACGAGGATGTAGCTATAGTATGTTGTATACCCTTTCTTATACCATGGTATGCATCAACCAAATTGGTCTATAGAATGGCTTTTGATGCCCATGACTCATGTGACAAATATGATTTAGCTGTCAAACGAGGCCTCCGTCACATGAACTACAGTTTTGCAAATGTATAAATACTCAAATATTTTTGATTTAAAAATCACTCTTTCTTCTTACCATAAACATCTGCAATCAGGTAGGATACAATTTCATATCACTCAAAGTACACAGTACGCGTTTAATTAGTTCGATTAATTGGTAAAACGATCATTTAGCAATCGTTCCCTCCTACAAAAAAAATTGCAGTAAAATCAAAAGAGTTTGCACGTTATGGAGAATAATAATCAAGAAAGAAACCCAACGAAAATCTTCAAACTGTTTGATAAATGGGCTGAATTACTTCCAAAAGAAGGAGAGCAGATGCATAGTGGAGCTTCTCTCAGTAGAATTGGAAGTGAAATCAAGCAACAAGTTTCAAGCTTAGAGAACCAAAAAGTACACGACAAGATTAGTACCATAAATCCTGCTGACCAGGGACTGAAGACGGTCAAACAAGAGGTAGACAGCACATCAAAAGAGGATTTGAAACCAAAGTTTCTGTTTGAATTGAAGAGGGACAATACAAACAAAAGCACAGAACAGCAATTATCCCCATTCGAATGTGTATATGATTTTTGCCTTGCTTTGGAAAAGTTTTGCAGATCTAAATCCACAGCTGAAAATCGACTTGACATAAATGAGGATTGGAAGAAACTGCTTTTTACTTGCTGTTCTCACAACCCAGAAAGAGCCATGTGGATACACCTTACATTTCAAACATCTATCAAAATGAAATTAACATGGAAGCAGGTTGTTAGGAGACTGATGGCTAATTTCGACGACCCAAAGAGAATCTTGTCGCTCGAGACAGCACTGTCCAAATTCAACTTTATGCCCGAACTAGAGTCGATCTACGCAGCCAATATGGAATTTGCAAGATATGCAGACGAGTTGGGGAATGATACAAAGAGAACAGTAGAGCTTTATTTGAACGGAATGCCTCCAGCTATCAAAGAAGTCCTTGAGTCAACAATTGCTTACGACGAGTCGACTCATTTCAGATATTCTTTATTGGATGTACAACAGAGATCAGCAACCTTTTTAACGGCAAATGAAGGGGATTTGGTCTTTTACTCAAAAAGTGCTCATCTGGCTTTAGCTTTGGAATATGAAAACGTTGACACCAGAAACTGTGAATTTCATTTGCTTGCCGATCACTCCACCATCGAATGTCCTGATTACACTGTCTTGAGGTTCCCTTATATGGATTTTACTCCTTTGACGTTTGACTTGAAACCTGCTGGATCAATTGCTCAAAACACACAACCAATGGAAGATATTGCAATGGGAGCAAGCTCTGGAGCTGATACCTTAACAGTTAAAGCCTCGCCAGTTGATGTGAAATCCGAGGCGCCAGCTGATACATCTGCTCAGCAGCCTACTCAGGATATTGTTGAACCACAACTAAAAGAAACGGCTGAACCACCTAAAGAAGCAACCACGCCTTTAAAGGGGAATTCAGTTCCACCAGCAGTGAACCTTGCTCCAGCAGCTACTACTAATACTACCGTTGCCAGTACCACAGCAACAGCAAGTACTGCAGTTGATACAAATAATAATGAGCAGGTAAGTTATACAATAACACAGCAAAATCTTCCTGCTTCGGCTGCTTCAGTCAATGTAGAACACACTAAAGATTTAGTTAATCAACAAAAACAGCCTACATCAGTGGCGACTGTCAACACGAATGCAGCGCCATCACTTGTCAAACTACAGCCGAGCAATGTTGCACCAGTTGAAACATCAGCAGACATCCAAATGACTATAACTGAAGCAGACTTCGTTACTGGCAAAAAACAGCGTACAGGAGCAGAGCTAGAAAAAGCTTCGGCTGTTGTGATGGGCAAGCTTGAAAATAGCCCGTTATCTCCAAACTCAAAGACACGAGCTTTTGCAAAACATAAAGAAGCAATCGACACGATGCTTGCAAATCACGAGAGACTGGATTCAAGTGTCACAGAAACAAATACAGCCAGCGCTCCTCCACAGAAGCAGAAGCAAATCAAGCCCAATGCACCTCGAGTGGAAACACGCGAAGAATTGGCCGCATGGGTTGAAGCTGGAAAGGAAAAATGGCCTAGAGACAATTCAGAGAAAAAAGGACAGAAGAATGGCGAAAAGGAAGCCCATAGTGAGCCACCGAAGCCAGTGGAAGCCGCAGCATTTGCTTCCGGGCCATTCAATGCGCAACTACCGCCCAAACTACCCACAGTGACCACAAAGCCAGCTCCTTTGCCTGAACCAAAGCAAACTGAGCAGACAAAGATGAGTGCAGTTGGACAAATTATATCAACACCCAGCAGTGCTTCTGCAAAAAACAAGTTGCCGGAAATACCTACAGGTTCAGCTACTGTTAGGGAGAAGGGTCTAGCAGGCAATCAGGCATTGAATACACAAGAAAATATATTATACACAACGCTTGCACTTGCGCATAAGAAGGTTACTGCTCTTAAACCACAAGCAATCAAGATCAGTGTCCCTTCCAATAGCAATCAAACAGCTGCTCCGCAGTTCAATCGTCCATCCACTAGCCAGCCACTGTCAGTAAAACCAGCAGTAACGGCTACTAAATTCAAATATCAACCATCCATATCTCCTCGTCGGCCCAGATCTCGCTCTCGCTCTCCATTCCGTAGATCTTACAAACGACAGATATCTCGCTCGCGTTCTCGTTCTCGTTCTAGGTCTCGATCAAGATCCCGTTCTCGTTCATCAGATCGCAGCTACTATCGCTCGAAGAGCCCTCCTCGACGTCGCCGTCGTTTATCCACAAATAGTCCGCCTCGCCGGCCAAATTCTCCCGAGACAGGTTGCTATATTCATGGGAGTGGAGCTAATCATAGTACTAAAGATTGCCGTCAAGCCCAATTGATGATCCAGCCACGTAAATTGAAACTTGATCGCCAGACTTCTCCTCCGCCCATTAAGCGCACAAACATTAATAAGGACGGATTCAAGAACAATGGAGAACCTAATATTTGCATCTTTTGTGGATTGATATTCAAGCCTGGCCATCTTCAATTCTGCACAAAAGTAATACAGCGAAAGAAGCCCTTGAGAAAATATTGATCTAAGTTGATTTGAATTCTAAAGCATATAGCCAATCTAAAACTGATAAAAGCTATTTCTTCCTTCAAACAAATTTATTGGATTGTATATATATATTACTACTAGTGAGATTACGAATTAAGTATGAAACTAGTATACCCTAGTGTTCTATTGGGTTGTAGACAGCATAAAACGACACCCAGTAAGCCGTAAAATCCCGTTCTTCGTCATCCTCCTCTGCTATTCTTGGCTGTGTCTCCATTCTGATATCAGTAAAGCCTTCCTTTATCAAAATCTGCTCAAATTCGTCTATTGCCATGTAATATTTTAATGACTTTGTTGCTTGTCTAAAGTACTGAGTCGATCTGTCAGCACACACATGCCCACCGACTAGAATTCCACCAATCTTTAGAAGCCATGTCGCTCTATGAATAAATTGCACGATTTGGTCGAGATCAAACAAGTGGAGTACACTTCCAGCGTGCACAATCGAGATGGTATCACATAGAACATGTGTCTTTTGAAAGGTAAATAAGTCGTCTATAATGAATCGAATCGGGCAGGTATCTGGATTGTCTTTAAATAGCTCATATCCGCAATCAATGTAGCATTGCTCAATATCCATGCCAATCAAATAGTTCTTCGGGTATCCATCTAGCATCATTTTCCGTAAATCTGTACCTGTAATCACACATCTACATTATTACAGCCCCTTTTTCACACAGATATCTCGCTTGTCACTCACCTGTACAGCAGCCAATGTCTAGAAAATATGGTTTTTGATGCTGTTGTTCAAGTGTCTGTCCAAGCTTGATTAGGTCTTTATAAAAGAATCGCTCGTATATTCTCGAGAAGGCAAACTTGAATCGCTGTATGCAGCGATAATTAATCCGTCCTTGCTAGTCGTCGGCTCTATCAGTTGCTTTTTTTCAGGATCACTTCTACTAATATACATACCTTGGCTAATTTCTGTTGGATTGTCATCAAGTGGTTCTCTAGATTGTGGACATCATTCACGCCCGTGTATTCTTTGTAGAATTGAATTGTCTCCTTGCTAAATGAGGCTGCGCCTTCGGTCATTGCGATGCTCCTTACTGCAGTAGTGTGAAAAAGGTAGAATTTCGAGCACAAGCAGAAAAAACAAATGTGTGATAAAGCTTGCCTCATTTGCGAGGCCAGTAAGTCACATTTCCTTAAGGATAAATCACAAATTTGGGCAAATTATATTGAAACAAAGAGGTAATTGCTTTCATTGCTCAGTTAATACCAGATATATACTATGTCTCATCATAGCTTGAGCGAGGATATGGATGCATAAAATGACTGTCCTTACTGAGAGCTCAGAAGCCTTTTGTCATGGCCATTGACCAAGGTTCTTGATCTGTATGTGCCCTACTTGCCAGTGAATCAACGTTGTACCTGAATAGGACTCCATGCAACAGCATCACTCAATATGCAACTCTAATGTTGATAGATACACGGACTACATGCAGGTTACGTAATTGTCTCGATTCATTTGTTAGTATGATATATACATGATAGTAGTGCTCTGATTTAGTCGTTGGATTTTCTGTACATGGGCCAACGCCATATTGCCTTAAAGTGGCATTTCCGAAGCTTTTTTTGTGTCAGTTTTTTTCTAGAAACTGCCGAATTTGCAATGATATATTGAGGATTTTGCAATATGCATCACCAGGATGTCAATATTCACGATTTCAAGGGCAACGCAATAGATCAAATTAACAATTTAGTCATAGCAATCATTTTGTTTAACCCAAACCATTATCATCGTCTTGGTTTCATCATATACAAAACATGTTATCAGTCAATAGTTAGTCTATTTTGTGAATAAAAAGACAATTGCATAGCTCGTCTACATGATAAATCATTGTCAAATACGCATTATAAAAGAAAGGCATCATTCATTTCTGATTTTATCTCGTTTTTTTCTCTTGTATTTTTCTCAATCTCACGTAAGTCTTCAAATGACAAGGCCCAAGCGCAAAGTTACATCAAGGAAAGTGCCTCAGAAGGTAGCTTTGCCTGCTTACAGATACCTTCCCTCCAAAAGTCCCTCGCCTGATGAAGCCCCTCAAACATCTGGCTCTACTGAGAGTGGTGGAGGTGAGTCAAGTTCCTCAGGCTCCGTTGATCAAGACGAAGATCCCAATGAAAGTGGTACTGATCAAAGCCATACAACCTCATCTCCCGGTGATTTTCCCCCTATTCTGGTTCATCCCAGACAACGGTTCACAGCTGATGAAACCACTGCCTTGGAGCAAGTCTACAGGCGAAACAAACGTCCTTCCAACGAAATTAAGCAACGTCTCGCTCGCAGATTCAACACATCCATGTCTCGCATCCAGATTTGGTTCCAAAATCGACGAGCAAAAGAAAAGAGAAATAACAGCAATCCAAGTAATCAACGGGCATCCACTGCTGGTGAGCAAGACCAGGATGGAGATAAGTCAGCACCTTCCGATGATCCAAAGCAGCCAGAGCCATCTACATCTGCAGCCACTTCGTCATCCAGTGCAAGAAGACGGAGAGTCCCACGAAAGCCATCAGCATCTCCTCCTGTTGATGCTGAGAGCTCCAGCAGTGCTGCCAAAAAACGCAAGAAGCAAAAAGTGCCTGTCGTCCCTACACACTATCCTGCCACCCACCCATTCTTGTCTTCTGGAAGCTATGCATTCACCTACCCAGAATCTGCAGCAGCACCTATGCAGTCCATCGATTCTCCAAATTTATCAAGCCCTCCTGGGCCCAATGAGAATTTCTTGTATCTCGGCCATCCTCCTGCTCAAGCCAGAGGAGGTTTCTTCGTTCCCAACTTTGATTGGCACCATTCACATATGATCCACCCATCTTTCACACAGGTACTTCAAGGACCTCATACCACTGAGAAACTTATCAAATACGTTGATCCCAAGAACGTTGTCAATTCAGAGTCATCTCAGCCAGTAGTCGGTCAGAGGGGTGAGCAAGGCACAGCAAGTAGCAGCAAATCTTTCTCAAGAAAAGGCAAGCAAAAGCAAAACGGCACGGACATGACCGACCCAGATCCAGAACAGGATTTCAGAGGAGAGTAGGCTACAGGTGATCTATAAAATAGCTACTGCAACCAAGGAAAATATGATAACACCTTGCTTTTTTACCACAGTTTCTTTTGCGCATCTCTCCTATTTATTTCTCTATATATGCTAATACACATCAACATATATCTTGCCGTTTATTCATTCTCTACCAACTTCTTTATACCTTGTTTCCTTTCACAACATCCTTCATCTACTTTCAAGACCGCAAAGGAAAGGGATGACGAATGGACTGACATGCAAACCGGCTCTCAGGATTTAACCATCCTGTAGTCAAATTATGGAAATCCCTTTTGCTATAAAACTCTCACAAATCCTTTTTCCAACATCAAAAATTAGTCTCTTTAGCTCTTCTATCATCACATAATCATGACTATACTCCCTTCTTTATCTACTTGCAATAAAAAATGGCATCTAGCATAAACTAAGCATGAATGGCTTTGAAAATGAGTCAGATTGACCACTTGCCAATACAATCTCCGTGTGATGATTACATATACACAGTCTTATTGGTATTGGCACATCTATCATCCCCTTTTCTCTCTCTCTTTTTTTTTTTTTTTACAGTTTCGATCAGCAGCTAATTGACACCATGACAACCTTACTTATCGACAACTACGACAGTTTCACTTACAACGTATACCAATATTTATGCTCTCAAGGCGCTGATGTCGTTGTTTATCGCAATGACAAAATCACCATTGATGAAATCGAGAAACTCAATCCTCGCAACATTGTCATTTCTCCTGGACCTGGTCATCCTGCTCACGATGCTGGCGTCTCTCGCGATGCCATTGCCCATTTCGCTGGTAAAATTCCCATTCTAGGTATCTGTATGGGCTTGCAATGCATGTTTGAAGTCTATGGCGGTACTGTGTCTTATGCTGGTGACATTCTCCATGGCAAGGCATCTCCAATTAAGCACGATAGCCGTGGTGTCTTTAAGGGTGTCCCTCAAAACAACATGGTTACCCGCTATCACTCCTTGGCTGGCATGCCATCCACTATCCCCGATACACTTGAAGTTACTTCTACTACAGACGACGGTGTCATTATGGGTGTCCGTCACAAGGAATACACTGTGGAGGGTGTCCAGTTCCATCCCGAAAGTATCTTGTGTGAGAATGGCCATACCATGATCCTCAATTTCTTGAATTTGAAGGGTGGCACTTGGGAAGAGAACCCTGGAGCTGGCGTCTTGCCCAACAAGTTGAGATCCTCCCAGAGCAGTGAAACACCCAAGAAGCCCGCTGCTCCTGCTGCTGCCCCTGAAGCTACGGCCGCTGCTACCAGTAGCACAAATGAAGCTGCTCCTTCCATTTTGACCCGTATCTATGCTCAACGTGTCAAGGATGTCGAAATTGCCAGAGAAATTCCCGGTCAAAGCATGGAGGATTTAGAGAAGCTGCTGCAGTTGCATGTTGCTCCTCCTCTCCAAGATGTTGTCGCTCGTTTGAACCAGCAAAAACCAGCTCTTTTAGCTGAAGTCAAGCGTGCCTCTCCCTCCAAAGGCAACATCGATGCTACTGCGAATGCCGCTGAACAGGCTCTGCAATACGCTTTGGCTGGCGCAAGCGTTGTCTCTGTCTTGACCGAGCCAAAGTGGTTCCGTGGCACTATTCATGATATGCGTCAAGTGCGTGAAGCCATTACCCATCTGCCCAATCGTCCCTGTATCTTGAGAAAGGATTTCATTGTCGACCGTTATCAGATTTTAGAAGGACGTGTTTATGGTGCCGATACAGTGCTGTTGATTGTAGCCATGTTGAGCGACGAGAAATTGCATGACCTGTACAACTACTCCAAGTCGCTTGGCATGGAGCCCTTGGTGGAGGTGAACAATGCTGAAGAAATGGCCCGTGCAAATGCCCTTGGCGCAAAGGTCATTGGTGTCAATAATCGCAATTTGCACAGCTTTGATGTGGACATGGAAACGACATCTCGATTAGCTGAAATGGTGCCAGCGGGTACTATCTTGTGCGCTCTCTCTGGTATCACTGGCAGAGCAGATGTGGAAATGTACGTCAAACAAGGTGTCAGCGGTGTGCTTGTGGGTGAAGCTTTGATGCGTGCCTGGAATTTGAAAGAGTTTGTCGCTGATTTGCTTGGTCTTGAAAAGAAAGATCCTGTTGTTAGTAGCAAAGACAGCAAGCAATCGCTCGTCAAAGTGTGTGGTATCTCATCTGTTGAAGCAGCTACTGAAGCAGCCAACGCTGGTGCTGATCTCATTGGCCTCATCTTTGCTGAAAAGTCCAAGCGCAAGGTATCTATTGAAACAGCCACTGAGATTGTGAAGGCTGTTCACTCTGCGCCACCCAAAGCTGTCAAGAAGCCCTCGTATAACACACCCTCTTCTGACTGGTTCGAGATCCATCGTCGTTTGTTGGAGAGTCGCACGAGAAGACCTTTAGTGGTTGGTGTGTTTGTGAATCAATCAGTCGAGTACATGTCTCAAGTTGCTATAGAAGCTGGATTGGATCTCATTCAATTGCATGGCACTGAGTCTGTGGAATTAGCTCGCTACTTGCCGGTGCCTGTGATCAAGGCATTCCATATCGATAGCGCTTCATTCAATCCTGCTCAGATCTCCAATTTGACACAACCCGGTGGCCATCAATACGTACTTTTGGATGCCAAGGTTCCTAGTTTGCCCTCAGACCAGCAAGGCGGTCAAGGCGTCAAGTTTGACTGGAGCATTGCAGAACAGGTTGTCAACCACAAGCAATTTGAATTCCTAGGTAACAAAGATTTCCCTGTGATTTTGGCTGGTGGGCTTGATCCTTCCAACGTGGCCAGTGCCATTCACCAAGTCAAGCCTTGGATTGTGGATGTGTCATCTGGTGTTGAAACGAATGGCGTGAAAGATTTAGCAAAGATTCATGCTTTTGTTGAAGCTGCCAAGTCAGTCAGCCACTAGGTTAAATAAAAATCTCACAGCGTAGACATTTGCTGACGATCGACCCACATAAAACATTTCTTGTTGTACAATTAAGGTCTTTATTCGCTTTAAATAACTTATTTCTTACCCTCTTCGTCCTCAAGAGTGATAATTTCGTTCTTTACTAATAAATCCTCTAAATCACCAGATTGATGCATGTTCAATAAAATATCGCAACCACCGACAAATTCGCCCTTGACGTAAACTTGAGGAATAGTGGGCCATTCAGAGTATTCCTTGATAGACTCTCTTAATTCGGCATCTTCCAAGACATTGAAAGCATTGACTTTGGTGTCAAAATCAACACCTTGAACTTGCATGATTTGAACAGTAGCACGACTGAAGCCACACTACGTTTTAAAGCGCACATTTAGCAACCATCTTGCACCAAATACCATATGTATATATATATATATATATTCTCTTACCATGGGAGCGTCAGGAGTACCCTTCATGAATAATACAATATCGTTTGACTTGATGTCCTAATGTCAAATAAAGCCCCGTTCAGCATCTCATCCTGCTTATCAACAATGCTCAATGCTCCCACATCTTACCTTATCTAAGCGAGCCTTCATTTCGGTGGAGATCCAACGAGCAAACAAGGAAGCGCTTGGTGATTGCAAGTTGACAGTAGGACGCAAGAAAGCAGACTATAGAAACATTTAAGAGATTAGCAAACATGAGTCATGTCAATAGGCCAGTTTTCCACTTGTATATATGAATAGATTCAACCATTCATGGTGTTAATGGAAGCAATTACTTACGGTTCTAGTAGCAGCACGAAGGAAACTCATTGTATAGTTTTAAGAAAAAAGAGAGAGAGAGAAACAACAGAGAAACGCTAAACAGGGACATGGAATTTAAGTGAGTGGGGGTTGCCCACTGTCTCGGTGACTGGTTTGCCTAGCACATACGCAGTAAGATTTGAATGAGTGATGCATGTCAGGACTAAAGATCTCTGCCTGTATAGCCCTTAATACTTGGATAGACTTATAAAGCTTTGATGTGAAATCTACGAGAAACCATCTTTCTCTGCACTGTGTATGTGAAGTCTGTTTTGCCTCAAGACGTATGCTGAAGCTAATAAAAAGTCAACTTTATAATGTCAAGAGTACATGAGACTTGGTGCCCATGATAGGCGATTCTCCACTTCAGTTTGATGGGCATCTGGATCATTCGACCTTTATTAGCAAGGAGAAGACAGCAGAAAGAGTGACAAAAAGTACATGTTAGATATACTTGCAAAAGAAGGGAATAGAGCAAAAAACAGAATCAAAAAGGCACATGAGATGGCATCATTACATGGATGGTTCCCAGTTGATTATTGGAACAGATGATTGATAAATGTCAGATTGAGGAGTAGCACTGTCAGCATCCTTGATATCATCGTCGTCCTTGACGGAGCCTACATCAGGAGAATCATGGTGATGGTGGGCAGGATCACTAGGGAAGTCCATGGACATTTCTGTTGACTGTGCGGGCGAAGATGGGATAGACGCCAAATCAGCATCCACTGATTCATTCAAATTAGCCGAGCTGCCTGCGTTTGTCGAAGCAAGGCCTCCAGGAGTGGCGGCACCACAATTCGACGTGTAGGTTTTCATGGCTTCCTCATACTCGTCCACTTCACGGTTATACATGTCATAATATTTCTATAAATACAAGGCTGACTCAATAAGGAGTAAAAGCTGAAAGCACACTGCAATACCTTTTTCTCATCCTTTGGAAGACTCTTCCATCGCTGGCCAAGAAGCCTTGTCACCTCACCCAAGTTTTCAGTTGGAAACTCATCTTTAACCTTATCTCTTTCCAATCTACAATACAAGAAAAAGACATTGCCTGGTCCTTTGGGCGCGTTGGGATCTTTCTTCTTGCGTTGTGGTTTACTACCCGCCGATTTATCGATTCGACTACGGCCATCCTGCTTGTGGCTGCCCTGGATCCTATTATGCAACATCTGCAGCAATACAATCAGTTTCAATGCTTCATCTTTAAATCGGCTGCCCGTGGATTATACCATGTCTGATTCATCATGGGAGTAAATGTCAGAACCCACATCCGAGTTATCGCTATTGTAGTCGAGAGATGTATGGTTTGATTTATCCATCCTATCCAGCAAGAAGCTGTATACATTTGTTTAATTAGCAAGCATTGCTTGTTGTGGATCCATCGTACGCTTTACGTTCTCTCCAATTTGAGGTGGCGAATGCTTTTATGAGCTTTGAACAATCGCACATTTAGCACATCGTTTTCCTAGAGGTACACATTCGCATCAAACGCTAGAGTTAAATTGCTTGATCAAAATCTACATACCTCTTCAATGTCTCGAATACGCTTTCTCAACTCTTTGTATTTTCGCTTGTATTTTACGTCTACATGAGATACGTGGGAAATGAAGATCAGGGCATTAGGATTTTCCTGTGAATTACAACATTGGTGATGATTACCGTCAGCCATGCTGAATATATCAGAGATAAAAGTGAAAGGGATGAGAAAAAGGGAAATCAAAATATTTTTCTAATATCTGTTTCATTCCGTAAGCGAGGGGAAGGATCTTCACTTGAAAATGGGTTGGAAGCAGTCAGTTCTGTGTCTGTGGTGGAAGAAGGTTACCAGTGCTGCTGCTTTCCGGACCCCTTTCAAAATTATGCATAATTTTGACGGAATCTAGCATACCAAAAAAAAACCACTATGTTTGCAATTCAAGCCAACTGAAGAGGAAAATGTTGTATTTATTACACATCAGTAAAAAGCGTAGATTCTGGGCTCCCTACCGATATCGTTTTTATACAGCAACAAAACAAAAAGAGGTTCTATTGACATTTCAATAGCGGTTACCTTTACCATCACTTTTTCTCAATGTGGCAATATTATCAGGCATTGCGAATACTGAATGTTTGATCTCTTCTGCATCAATCAAACTACAAGCATTTTTATGGATTGAGTAAGCTCATGCAGTTTCATCCTTTGGCAAAAATCCTTTCTAAATCCTGTTTATTCATAAACTGCGTGAACATTCGAAAGGGAATTTTGAGTTATCTATCAATTCATTATTTTGTCTCCATTTTTTTTTGCTTGCATCGCTGAATTGATATGATTTTCGATTGCAATAGATCAAAACTGCTTCTCTTAATTGTTTAGCCTAGATGTAACCAATTGGAATCGGCTCGGGTCTAGCGCTAGTTGATACATTTGGGCAAAATAGTTAAGAAAATCCTGTTTACATTGGGTGAAATTGACCTGGATTTGAGTTGCGTGAGATGATAAAAACATTCGACACTTCATCTTTATGAGATCAATTATTTGATGTCAAACATTATGTTTATTTCCGCAATAAGCTGGTTTGCTTCTCATCAAGACCAAAAATAGCATGTACCTTTCTCTCTCCAAACTATTCGATTAGTTTATATAACAAAATACCAATTCTACATCAAGATCTGCATTTGGATGAGCATTGTCTTATGATTACGCTTTTTAAATAAAAAATAGAGTTATATAAAAAGCGAAAAAAAAAGTAGCCAAGCTAGACGTTAGTGCTTTCTAGTTTACAATCCCCTTCTTATGAGCTTCAAAACATCATTATATCCATAGCTGACAGCATTTGGACAACTAGATTTTTCAATCTCCGATTTTTTTTTCTATTCTCCAAGATTGGCCAAATTTTGGACAAAATCGATCTGTTTGATCTATTTTGCAAGATTTGACTATGTAAGCTGTGATGATCATCCCATACTTCCTAATGCATTCTAAGAGTGCTTTTTGAGACGCATTTGATGGTGCCATTCCAAAAAGATGTTTTGAATGAGCTTATGGAGCAATTCTTGAAAATATGAAATGAGGTTTTTGGCGAAAAAGTTGAAATTTTACATACCAAGGTCCCCCCCCCAAAAGTGATTTCAGAGGTTGCTTTGGATCGAGATAAACATTTTGATTCAATATATGTGATAGTAAAAGTCTTCATTTTGGAGGTCAAAAACGCGATTGTTTGATTTTCGATGAAAACCATGGGGTATCACTCATGGTTTTTGGTCGATTTTCGACGATCCCAAAAAAGTTGAGCAAAGGTGTCAGAAAGTAAGCGCTAGATGAAAGCAATTGTTTGGTGTTATTCTCGCGGTCCAAAACGGCTTCCAACACTATAAATTAAGTCTCAAATGCATTCAAATTTAGCTGTGTTCAGCATAATTTTAAGTAGTAAGAAGTAATGTAAGTATGCTATCTGCCTATGCATGAATTGTCCTCATTGTCACTGACGCGGAGTATCGTAGAAGAACCAGATCCACAACTCTAGTTTGTTTATGGAGGAGTTTTGCGTAAAAAAAAATGGAGTCAAAGAGTGTATTTTAGTACAATTATCAAAATTGTTCATCAATCTGCCTTCCACTACATGCTGATGAATTAGACAGTCGCAGCTCTCCAACCATGCTCATGTAGAAAGTAAACATTCTCATTTAAGGCAGATCAGCCTGGATAAAAATTTCATAGAGCTAATTCTATGCTTGAATCACTCATCTTAGTACAGCATTTAAAGCAATACTTGATCCAGATAGGGCATCTTTGCATAATATCGAATTTACGAGGTTCAAGCGCTGGACGAACAATTGAACGGTATGTTTCAGAAGAAATGGTATCACGAGGAAGAGAAAAGCAGCTATGACCGATCCAAATACAGAAATCCACAGTATGTTTGACATTCTGTTCACTAGTAGATTTCTGATCTACTCTTAATAATCAGGTGCCGAACATTTGGTACCAACATCGGCTCTCTAAAAAGGGGGCAGTGGTGTGCGAGCAGTGCGATACTCACACACGCTGTGGTGAATAAGTTGAGGTCCATTTGAATAAAACTGAAATAAAAAGGCCTAGCATATAAAACTTTCTTTTTAATCCATAGTACATCATGGGTAATATAGATATAAACTATGCATCCATCCATCCATCCATCTAAACTAATCCATCCTCTTTTTTTTTGTCTTATCAAAATAGCTGTTGGCAAGAACAAGTAAGTGGTTAGATGGAGACTTTACTGGAGTTTTGGAATTGACATTTTTGCTCTTATTAAATAGGCGTCTTAGTAAAGGAAAGAAGGGTTTGAAGAAGAAGGTGTAAGTAAATGATATTATAGAGCCTCATTTTGCTAGTGTGCATGTGGAAATATGTGGAGTGTTCGATAGCGCAGTATGATCATGGACGTAGAGCGAGATAAAACGGCACAATGCTTGTGGTTACCGATATGAGATCCTCACCGTGGATCAATTTGCACTACAGCATCAATTCGTAAAGAACGGTATACAAATAGTGATACATGTTCATCAGTCATTCAAGCGAGATGCGGGTTGAGTAGAGTCGAACAGTGAATCATGTACAACAACAACAGATCAACACAATGCGAACACACGCTCATAAACTCATGCACACAGACACAATACGAGGCCATTCGTATACTGCGACCGATGAAACTCATGCAAATTATTATAGCGTTGACCCCTTCACCCGTAAGGATTGGTATGATATCAAGGCTCCTTCCATGTTCGACGTCCGTCAAGTCGGTAAGACTCTCGTCAACCGTACTCAAGGTCTCCGTAACGCCAACGACTCTCTCCACGGTCGTGTCGTCGAGATGTCTCTCGGTGATCTCTCCAAGGACGAGGCTCGTTCTTTCCGTAAGATCCAATTGAAGGTTGACGAAATCCAAGGTAAGAACTGTCTTACCAACTTCTACCGCATGGACATGACCACCGACAAGCTCCGCTCCATGGTCAAGAAGTGGCAATCTTTGATTGAGGCTTTCGTTGATGTTAAGACTACCGATGGTTATCTTGTTCGTCTCTTCACCGTCTCCTTCACTTCTCGTCGTCGTAACCAAATCAAGAAGACCACCTATGCTCAAGCTGCTCAAATCCGTCAAATCCGTAAGAAGATGTTTGAAATCATGACTGAGGAAGCTGTTGCTTGTGATCTTAAGGAATTGGTTGCCAAGGTTACCTCTTCTGCTTCTCAATCTGCTCAAGACGCTATTGCCGTCCGTATTGAGAAGGCTTGTCAAGGTATCTACCCTCTCCAAAACACCTACACCCGTAAGGTCAAGATCCTCAAGGCACCCAAGTTTGATGTTTCTGCTCTCTTGGCCCTTCACGGTGGTGCCGCTGCTGCTGGTGATGACACTGGTGCTAAGGCCTCCAAGGACTTTGTTGAACCTGCTATCCAAGCCTCTGTTTAAATAACAATTTAATAAATTTTTGCTACAACATTTAAACATTCAAAGAGATCTAATCAAAAAAAAAAAAAAAATGTTGCCCTAAAGTTGATCGATGGTTTTGTAAAAAGTTACAGGTGCTTTCCCTTAACGCTTCTGCTCATCTAATCCCTTTTATTTACCGTGAATCATGTTGGATCTGATCAAGATCAGGGGTTATAAGAGGCCGATTTTAAGCTTTTCTCCATTGCCGATAACCTGATTAAAATAGGCCTTTCCTCATTATCAAGAAACACTCCTAATGTTACATATTTAGTCATTGAGGCTAAATATACAATCTGCCAAGTTCACACGTTAATGTAACGTACCTAGTAATGCATTACTTTGGAACACTTTGAGCCTGAATCTTGGCACTAAAAAAGTAAATTGTGGCTTTATGGTTAGCAATGTGTAACTAATGGCGAGTGTTGAGAATGGGTGACATGATTACTCGTATAACTTGGTTTACCGCATCCAAATTACGCTATTGGACATACTGTTTGGTAGCAAAACGTGCTTGGCCATGATGAACAAGTTGTTGATTGATTAAATCGAAAGCATGAGGGTCTGTCATTGAGTTGTGAAGCTGCCATGTTTTTACCTGAAAAAAAGCCATCAAATATAGGAGGTTTGAATAAATCATATTGCGTGCAAGGAGAAAAATCCATGTACATATATATCACTGTGTCTGTACATGTAAATCATAAATGTTGTCAGAGGTATATAAACATCCTCTGATAGTATTGTTTGCGTTGTTTTATGTACAGTTGATATTCACACTCTAAACCCAAACGACATGGCGTTTCAAGATGCTGATCAACAAGCTTAGTTTATATTTGAATTAGCATTGAACCGAAGACAGAAAGTTTATTTGTGTGTTTATATAGTTTTGCTGGGGGGACAGAAATAGGGAGAGAGAGAGAGAGAGAGAGAGAGAGAGAGAGAGAGAGAGAGAGAGAGAGAGAAAGAAAGAGAGAGAGAGAGAGAGAGAAAGAAAGAGAGAGAGAGAGAGAGGCACACATAGAGAATAATTTGGACAGGGTAAATCAGCCGATGTACAGTAAACACACACACACACATACACACAAAAATTAAATTAGGAAACATAAAGTGTATAAAAAGACTTGATGAATTCCTTTGGTTCCTCTTTTTCTTTCTTATCCTCCAGCCAAAACAAGATGAACTCTCTAGTCAACATTTCAGCAATCAACTCAAATCAAATTACAAGCCATTCCTGCTACAGCTTCTGTCCAAAGTGTGGTGTAGACATTACTCAATTCTCACATGAAGATCATTGCCCTCACGCCAATCATTGAAATCGTGTATAGCAAGCAGCAGTAGCAGCCATAAAACGATTGACTCGACTTTATGCAATCTTATATATATATATATATATATATAGCTTCCAATACCATATTTGTTGTAGTATACATGTCTTTATCTTATTTATACATATAAACCGTACCCAATACATACGTACTTGCCATGTCCCCCCCCCCCCTCCTCCTGCCTAAATATCAATTTGATGATTTTGAGTAATTTTTAGCCGTAAGCCATCATTCGTTAATGAAATAAATTCAAGTTTTTTTTTGTGCCAAGCATACAGATTTAGGAATGTTGCAAGTAAACACAATTATACGAGCCAATTCTTCTATCGACTTCTATAAAAGAGACCTTGCAATAAGAATGTTTTCATTTCAACACACCTCATTCACCCAAAGAGGCATCCTACTGCATTTTCCCATTGATTGCGTTCTTGAACTCTTTTGTTGATAGGAACCCTAAAGCCAATATACTTTTGCTCTAGCTTTATTGCAGCAATTAAAGCTTTAATAAAGATATGATTGAAATCATGGGTCAAATGCCTCAATTAGCCATGAAATACAAGAAAAATGTTGCACAAGCATGAAATCCGCATTTCGGAGCAAGCTTGTTTATGGCGAAATGTAGTGGGAAATGAAAAAATCAGGTACTGAAATCTTCATTTTTAGGTGAGATTACAAGGGAAAAAAGCTATATTTGGTCGTAACAGCATGGTATCTTGGCTTCATATAAAGCTCTAATACAAACAGAATCAAGTGCCGTTCATTTAACCAAAGCGCAATCCATCTAATATCCAACTAAAGAAATAAATAAATTAAATTAAATGAAAGAAAAGAACCTTATCTTTGATATGATCCAACTCTTCCATGCTGTTATTTCAGTAAAATAACTATCACACGTTCTATGGTATATTTCAGCCTAAATACGACATCGAAATCGCCGATTCGTCCCAATTATGGAGCAAGACAAGCAAAAAGGAATCGCATGTAACTCAAGCATCTGTTTCAGGGCAAATTAAACAATGCTAAAGTATATTTGCCTCTTCTTATCAAAGCGGTAATATCATATTGGTTGATTGTATTCTACTTTAAACTTAATGCGTCTTTATTTTAGTTGCAAATCCTCAATAACTCTAAACCAAATTGTGAGCTTATTTTTTTTTTTTTGCATTATGACATAATAGACATGAGTGATAGCCATTATCAGCATATGAATTACATGTTGCTAGAGATAGAAGTCGATATAAATGAACCGACATTTACACTTTCCCGCCAAATTTCATTCTTTGAATAGGGCCCTTAAAAATAAGGGACAGGGAGGATAACACACCAAAGAGTTCATTTTGATAAAATACTGGAAATCAGATGCATTGTCGCGTTGATGACCTTCTTTAGAGCACTTTGACCATTTGAAACGTGCAACACAGTTGATAGCGGGAGAACAAAACTCTGGCATCATTGGTCGATATGAGAGCATGTGGAATTAGCGTTGTCTCTTTTTTTTTTTTTTTTTTTTTTTTTTTTTTTTTTTTTCCCCATACACACATACAACAAACAAAAATGCAACATAAAAGTGTCTTGCTCCTAGTATTACTCTTCGTATTCAGTAGTGTGTACGCTATCGAATTTATGAATCAAGACCACTCAAACTATGGCGATGATAAAGACAACAAAGCGTAAGTCTCTCTCGCTCCCTTCATGTCGATGTAGGGCTCAACTGTTGAATTTACAGCCATATCCGGGAACATTTGAAATCATTAGCTGCTGATGCCTCACAAGAGATTCCAGACGACTTGAAAGATGAAGACATGATTTACTACTTATTCTTGATCCACGATGTGAATGGAGATGGCTTTTTGGATGGACATGAATTAAGAGCAGCTTTTACGGATTTCGGTGATGAGCATGAAGATGCCACACAATATCTATCGTTAGAGGAGGTAACAGAGATGGTTGATCATGTATTGGAAGAGGACGATCTTGACGGAGAGTAAGTGGATATTGCGATGGGTGCATATACAAACACTCATATGCTTTTGATAGTGGACGCATTAGTTGGTCAGAGTACCTTGAATCACAAAGCTATCACCAAGATAAATAAACTCTTTGTTTGTTATTTATACCACATAATTGAACGCGGCTAGTTACAGCGAATTGATCTCGGTTATATTTGTTGTCGACTCAAAGCTCATTCAAACCTTGTGGATGCCTTTTTTTTTTTTTTTTTTCATTCAGTCGAAAACTCTAAATGACAGGCTTGATGACTGCAGAAAGGCCGTTTGGGATTTACCTATATCCCTACTTTGAGTCCTTTTATAGATGCGTTACAGGAAAGAAAGCATCATCATTTCGATTTGTATATGGTAGCACACCACTGTCTACCAATAAAGAAGGTAACGGTAATCATCACAACGCACACCAACAAACTACTAACTCGGTATCAGTCATCTTGTCATGCATTGCGTATTTTGTCATCCTATTTGGTGGCAGAGAATGGATGAAGAATCATCCGCCTTTCAAATTGCAAAAGCTGTTTCAACTACACAACCTTTTATTGACAGTGGTATCTGCTGCCTTGTTGATGTTGGTTGTCGAGCAAATTTTCCCCCAGCTCTATCACCATGGCTTGTTGTATGCCATCTGCTCTCCTCGTAATTGGACGCAGAAATTAGAGTTGCTGTACTATCTAAACTATCTGGTCAAGTACTGGGAACTAATTGACACTGTATTCTTGGTATTGAAAAAGAAGAAGCTTGGTATGTGGCGCATTTGATCACAGAAGCGCCCGCAATTAACCACCTTACACTACAGAGTTTCTCCATTATTACCACCATAGTTTAACGATGGTACTGTGCTACACTCAACTCAATGGCCAGACAACCGTTTCTTGGGTTCCCATCACACTCAATCTGATGGTGCACGTATTAATGTACTACTACTACTTCCGAACGGCTGCAGGAGCCAAGATTTGGTGGAAAAAGTACCTTACAACGCTTCAAATCATTCAATTCGTTATTGATCTGGGCATCGTGTACTTTTGCACCTACACTTACTTTAGCTACACGTACATTCCCATCCTGCCTGACTGGGGATCCTGTGCTGGCACCGAGACATCTGCATTATTCGGTTGTGCATTGCTCAGTTCCTACCTGTTGCTGTTCATCAACTTCTACCGTCTCACATACAAGCAAAACAAGCAGCATCAGCATACCACCAAGGCAAAGAATCCCATAGTGGTTATCGAAAACAACAAGGAGGCAATTGAAAGAATGACTCGCTCCAAGACAAAGGGCTCCACTGCTTCCCCCTCTACCACAGCCAAAGACACTACCCATGCGACTCAAAAGAGAAAGTCTAAAAAGATTTAATAACACTATGCTAATAAACCTAGAAATACATTATATAAAACTTGAACTGTAGCATCCAAAGGGCCTGGTATGCAGTATCTTGAACAATCTTGACCACCCACATGTCCATCCGGTCTCAGATCCACCATAGCAGCCAAATCCACATAAAGCCCGCCAGCGGCCTCCACAACTGCTTTTGCGATTGCATTTCGTCTCTTGGATTCGCTCCAACCATAAGGCAATTTCCTCAGTTCTGGATCTGATAATGCCTTTTCCAAAGGGGCCTTTGCATCATCACAGAACGGGTGACCCACAAACGAGGATTTGTAAATGACAAGCGCATCTGGAGATGTCTCTCGAATCACTTTGAGCGTGTGGATCAAGCGTCTGGTGAAGAGGACATCATCATCACCTAGTACAGCGGTTCGACTGAGTAGTAATATAGGATAGGACGATAATATATTGGATGTAACAAATGGCCACTCGACTACGTTAGCTAAAGGATGTCCTCCGTCTCTGTTTTGGAATTTGCGAATGGTAGATAAAATGTCGTTTCGAACGTAGCGAAGTCGAGTGTCTTTTGGTTCCTTGCAAATCGTATGATCTACGTCCATACTGTCAATTTGCTGTACGCTCTCGTTTAGAATGCGCTGTTACCTTTGCAGTTCAATTCACCAAAACACACGGTAGGATCGTCTCTGAAGGCATCCAGCAGTAACTCATGGTATTGATAGTGTGTCAAATCACCTACCAACAGCATGTTTCTGCCCTTCAGGCTTCTGCACCACGTTTGGGATTCCACCTTGGCGGATAAAGGACAGCTGTCTGATTCAGGCACCCACCGATACTTGGTGGCCTCTCTCTTTTCTGAAGCATCGTGTGTCTTGTAGAACTGGCGGTCGCAAGAGCTGTACAGGGGATCCTGAATGTGTTTCAGACTGTAGGCATCGTCCTCTTTGACCCAGCTTCCTCTTGTCCAGCACTCTACTTTGCGTCTAAACTCTGATGCCTCTTCTGCAGTTGACAGCGAACTGCCTCGAATACCAGCATAGTCCTCGGGAGCAAACCGTCTGAAAGCCAGTTTCTTTGCTTGCAGGATGGCTTTTTGCTGGTAGATTTCTCGTTCTTTGATCGACATGTGGAGTGTGGTAAGCGTGCTGTTTGGCCTGTATTGAGGTCGTGTGTGCTGCTTTTGGTACCAAGGAAAATCAAGGTAAGTTTGGTTATCGTGCTCAAATGTCAGGATGGTCTGTTGTTTGATATTTTTATTCTTGTAGCTATGTGAGTGATAGATTAAGTCGTGGTCATGAACAGGTGTATTTTGTGTTGTTGGAAAGACAGCATGGTATATGACTTTGGAGAATTGATATAATACAAACACGACTACAAAGTAGATGATGAACCTGAGCCAGTTTTGTTGCTTTCTCTTCTTGTGCTGAGGCTTCAAATGATCCAACATCTAGTGTGTGTAAATTAGAAAGAAAAGAAAAAGAAAATAGTGGAGGAAGGGGAGTGCCTAATTAACTCGTATTCTAAATTTAACGTTGTACACACAGTGCTCACAAGTCAAACGTAATTGGTAACTGATTTCCTCGGTAGCGGTGATCACACAGGGAGGCATTGATGTAGAGTCGTCCGTCTTCATTGAAAGTATAGCCGTGCGCTTCATGGATATGCCCACAGACAGAGACCTTGGGCTGAATAACCTGATCTATCCTGTCCCTCAGATATTGACATCCTACATGGCGGCCCCGTACAATCCTATCTCCGTAGCCATAAGGCGGTGTATGCGTGACAAGAATGTCTACGGGCGGGATATCATCCCAGACGGTAGACATGTCATCCAGCATGAAAGCACCTCCCAAGTGGATGGGCGCATATGGCGAAACAAACAATGTCAGTGATCCCATTGATGCTGGTAGCTGAAACCTCTCGTGTTCCAGGTAGGTCAACTTGTGCTTCTCCATCAATGCCAGGATGTCTTGTTTTCTCTCTACAAATCCGAAATGGTCGTCCAGCAGGTGGTCATGATTGCCACCAGTGATGATTTTGATCCTAATCCACCATGTTGGTACGGCTGGCAGCGTGCTCTTGACATGAACTTACTTGTGAGGCAGTGTTGACAGCCATTGAATTGTCTGTGCAAATTCTTGAAAAGTGCTCTTTCGAGTGATATCGCCAGCATGAACTGCGGATAATGAGTTGAGACACATGTAGCACACACACACACACACACACATCCAGCATATACTTACTAAGAACATCACCATCAGGAATAGCGAAATCCGTCTTGGCATGTGTGTCAGAGATGCAGACAAACCTGGACTTTTCATGATGGCATTTGCCAGTGTAATTGACAGGTATTTGAGTAGACATAATGTTGAAGAAAAAAAGGAAAATAAAATATAAAAAGAGGCGTAGTAGTTGAAAGAATGAAATATAAAAAAAGACAGAATTACGAAATGAAACTGGGCCCATTCTGTGTTACCCGTGGATGGGATCGTAAAAAAGAGGGGCAGGTTTGGGACCTAGCTTTGTTGTTTCTCTTTCTCTTTCTTTCTTTCTTCATTTTATCAACATGTCTGCCGAGAAACCGTACGACTATCACAGCGATAGGCATGATGATCTCCCAACATTGGACCAAGTGCTTACTCGAAAAACGCTTCCGCCCGTGTGCTTATACAACTTTTACATCATATTGAGAGATAGACTTAAAATGGAGGAAGTGCTCGATTTCTATCTAGACTTGCAACACCATGAACTACTATGGAAGAAATATGTCAAAGCAATGCACCGTAGTGGACATTTGTCAGAAAGCGATCTAAGCGAAGGCTATCAGTCACCTCGTATCATGAGTCGATTATCTCAAAACAATTCCTATTTCCCTGCTGGTTCGTCTATACCCTCCTCTCCCTCTCCCCAACCACCACAACAACAACAACAACAACAACAACAACAACAACAGCAGCAGCAGCAAACACTTCATGTGCCAGCATCCATCACTCGACCTTCACTGGGCTCGTCCATTACGACAACGACAGACAATCTCAACGCACGTTCAGCACCCAGCCGCAAAGACTTGGTGGACTCATCACAGAGACTCTTGCTTCGCTATTTGGTACCGTCTGCCACCAAAGAAATCACGCAACTGCCAGCTGAGCTGGTTACTGCTCTTCGAAAGGAACTGGAAAAGCCAGAGCCTCGCGATGATCCCTTGTTGTTTCAAGAAGCAAAGGAGTACTTGTTTGATTACATGCAATTGCAAGCTTATCCCAAGTTTTTGAGGCTCAAGGTCTGGGGAAACATCACCTTGTATCAACAATTGGGCCGTCTGGTGATTGGATTGGTGTGCTTGTTGGCTGCTCTCACAACGTCGCTCAGTTTGATCTTTTTAGGGTATCCACAATGGGGTGTTCGGTTCTGGGTAAGCTCTACAATCCTCCCCTTCATATTCATTGTCTGTCCCAAACTCATTCATTTCTATCAACAGATACTGCTACCATTCTGGATTGGCGTACTCAACATGCTGATATTCATGACCGGCTTGGATCCAATTTGGGCTCTTGTTTTCAATAAAAGGTATATATATATATATATATGTTCATGATACACATGTGCTAATATAGTAAAATCTCACATTTTACTATCCACAGCGAAACCACCACATTCAAGTTCAACTCAATCAAACAACCTCAAGTCAAACGCATTCTAAGATCACGATCCATTTGGTTATTAACAATTAGTATTGTGATTGCAGTTATTTGTACTATTATATTCTGTGCTATTCCAGCAAGAAAGCTCTAGTCAATAAATATGTCTTCTATACCCTCGCCTCAGTACTAGAATTCGCTGAATTTGTCATGATATGGATCTGGGCCTGGCATGCCGTATTTCTCACTTGTCTCTGGATATCTATCAAAATGCGACGCATCTCCTTCTCCTCTGATATTTGGCACATAAGGTGATCGTACCTGACGATTTGCCACACGCACAAAATCCACTCCACTGAACCATTTGTGGTTCTTTATGTCGTTGGCTCCTCCCTTTAAATTACCATATCGACGTGATAAATCCGGTGTTAATAGTCGTTTCAATAAGTCTTTGGCATGTGGATCGAAATATGCCGGCCATTTGATCTTTCCATGCAAGATTTTTTCATATAATTTTAAGTGATCGTCATCGTAAAAAGGAGGATGGCTATTTATTAATGTGATTAATATATATATATATATATATATATTATGGCTATTTTCCATATAACTTACCCGGCCAACATTTCAAATATGAGGATACCTAGACTCCACCAGTCGACCGCCATGCCGTAGCCTTTGGATTGAATCACTTCAGGTGCCAAGTAGTCTGGTGTGCCGCACAGCGTCCATGTGATGTCAGGGACATGCTTTGCAAAGCCAAAGTCTGTGATTTTGATATGACCTTGAGAGTCCAGTAATAGGTTCTCGGGCTTGAGGTCACGATAGATAATGTCTTTGGAGTGAAAGTACTCAATTGCTAAAAGGACCTCTGCCGCATAAAATTTAGCAACATGATCAGGGAATCTCTAAGGTAATGGATAAGTATTTCATCCTTCAGACAGACCGCTCATCAGTCACTACCTGATTCTTTCGTAATATACTAAACAACTCGCCGCCTGGAACATAATCCATGACCATATATAAATTGATATCATCTTGAAACGTTCCCCATAAATTGACCATGAATGGATTTGCTGCAGATTCCAATATAGACTTTTCGGAATTGGTATGCTCCACTTGCTTTAATCGAACCACTTCTGCCTTTTTCAGCACTTTGATGGCATAGTATCTGCCATTATGTCGGGATTGTGCTAAATGAACCCTGCCAAATGAACCAGTGCCCAATGTGCGCAACAAGTGGAAATCATCCAGCTTTAGTTTGGGTCGGTTTTTACGCTGCTCCAATATCGCATGGTCGTAATTTGTATATCGTCGTTGTAGGCGCTCTCTTTCTGCTTCTATAGACATATACAGACTTCAATATCGACCCTTGGGCTTCTCGCTGTAGACATTTACCTTGTGGATCTGCTTCCTTACCATCCTCATTCGCTGCAATGCATGTCCCAGCTGTTGTGTTTGACGTGAGCGATGGTTTCTTTTCTGTTGTAGTGCACATTGAGTTTGTTGTAGCGGTTGAGGAAGACTTGTTGAGTTTAGGCTGTTGTTGCTGCAAATCTTGTTTGTCAATAGCGGCACTGCTGTTTCGACTTGTACCACCAAACCCAAACAGCGACCGACGTTGAGGTTTTTCTTCGGTTGTAGTATTATGCCGTGTTGCTCGGTCTATCATCTTGTGAATAAACGACATGTTGCGATTCGTGAAATTAGAAAAAGAAAGAGGAAAAAAAAAAAAAAAAAAAAAAGAAGGTTATACCTGACTGATCAATGGCTGCTATTTATATGTGATGGATTCACAACTGAAACTTTTTTTTTTACTGCTGTTCTTCCTTTCAAATGACTGCTTTACTTTGTTCAACAGGGTGAAAGATCACCACACAGACAACCTTATATAGTCGGATATTGCTGTATTTGGGCAATTTAAAGCAGTTGAATTCATCTGAGATCAATGTGCCTAGATGGATCAAGTTTGGAGTCTGTTGGAGACATGTAGATGCATGTTGATGTTATTCAAGGCATGTATACCAACATTTGTAACATAAAGGCGCATGCAGGATTGTCGTGCAAACAATGTCATGATAGATTTTTCTGTAACATGTTGTAAATAAAGGATGTGCTACCAAAAGCTTTAGATATAAAAGGAGTGTATCCGCATTTTAAAGTTTCTCGTCTTTCCTTCGCTCTTATCACCTAAAAGAATGACTAGAACAAGATTACCTTCATTCACATTTCCTCTCAGAGGCCTCTACTTTTTCATCACGCATCCCAAGGTAAGTGAATCTATGCGTATCAGCAATAGCCTAGTCTAACGCTGGGTAGCAACTGTGGTTGGTCACCTTGAGTCCCATCATCTTGACACTCATCTTCAGTGCCTTCTCTATCGGCATCTCCATTCGATTCTTGTTGCCTGCTTTGGTCGATAAGTTCTTGGAGTGGAACTGGCCTCACTGGATGTCATGGTTTGTCTCGATTGTCTCTACCATCCTCGAAGGTGCTATTCTCAACTTGATCTTTTTCATGGTGCTTACCCCCATCTTTCAAGATTTGGTCTTTGACAGAACTCTCAAGGCCAGAGGTCTTGAGCAGATTTTCGAAGATGAAGAAGAAAGAGACGATCCCAAGTTGGTTATTTGCTGGCGTAATTTAAGGTCCAGTGTTTTGGTCACGTTGTGTTTAATCATTGTCAAGGTATACATAGAGAACGATTAGTAACCATCATGGAAACTAACGTATATGCACATGTAGATCTTGTTCATTATCGTGACAGCACCACTTCAGTTGGTTCCTGTCCTTGGTACAGCTTTGGCTTGTTATATCAGTGGTTGGCCTACGGCGTAAGTAACAAATAAGGGAAAAAGTCGAGGAAAAGGCTGGTTATTAATCTTATATGCGGTACTCTAGTTGGAGTCAGCGTTTACATTATGATATTGAGCTTCGTGGATTCAAGGTTTCCGAATCCTATCATCATGCTCGTGATTACAAGTGGGACTACGCTAGCTTTGGTTCCGTTGCTTTTGGTCTAGAGCTTATCCCAGTTTTCAACATTGTGTTTTTATGGACCAACATTGTGGGTGCTTCGTTATGGATCGCCGAAGAATACGAAAAAGAGATGGGTATCACCAAGGACGCAAAGAAGCAGGGCAGAGAAGTTTATCCCGTTGCACAAGCTCCCAGTACTTCGACGGAACAAACCCCATTGCTCCAACAACAACAACAAGATGCTTAGATTTAGAACTTTGGAGTCATAGATTGCATATTATGGCCTTCCCTCCTTTCCATGCATTTTGAGTTAAACTATAATAAAGAGGGGCTGTATATATATATATATAAACGTCAAGTGTTGTGCAACAAGCACTATTCATTGAATTGCTAGTACCCGAATACATGGATGATGTCAATCACGTGATGTAAGAAAAGTGCCTCTTAAATGCACTAAACTGATGCAGTATTTTGTCATATAAATAGCCAGAGCAACACGGTTGGACTGTTCAATGATCTTCACTCTTGTTTGTTTCAGGTTGAACGGATTATGAAGTGTTGTGTTCACTTGGCTCGGGAAAGAGTAATATGAACGGAAGCTGGATGCAACCCCTGATTTTGATTCTAATTTTTGTGATCCGAGTTTTTTTTTTTTTTTTTTTCCTGTGATGCTGTGGAAGTCTTTTAGATACTAGCATTTTCAATCTCTTACCTCAAACACACCCTGTTATGTATAGTCTACAGTCTTATTAAGAAAGTCTTGCATGAAGAACATTTCACTAAGATGATAGTTATGCGATACTTTTGCTACTAGGCTCAATCTTGAGATGGCATGTAACCTCGCGTAAGCCTTTGCCGTGTTCATCGTACCACAAGGCATTTCGCCTTCACGGAGATTATCACCATCTATATCCTTATAACGCTTTGAAACCTGACAACATTGGTTTTCAGAAGAGAACAGGGATTCTTCACAATGATGTATAGTTTTACTAAACGATCAATCTCGCTACGCTCAATGACGGCGTCGCCATGTGAGCTCTCGCCAAACACATCCCAAATCAGAGATAATAAAAACCTGGCATATCAAGTAGTCTTTAAACAATCGATTAATAATAAAAAAAAAAGACTATATCAGAGTTAGAATGGGGAGGTATCCATTCGCTGTTGTTGCTCTTGATATGTCGACATAAAGTTTGCCATGCGTAAAAACAGGGCTTATATCAGATCTATAGCGACTTTTTTGAGATATCGCCATTGCAAAAGACACCTTTATAGAGAAAACTACCAAAAAAAAATAACGTATTCAGGCTAAGCAACTGTTCTTATAATTCCATCATTAGTATCGCAATCAGTATTGTCATCATCAGAAATGCATTTGAGCTAGCCAGTAGCAAGCCGCCGCCGCCAAAATCATTTCAAGCTCAGTGTTTTTTTTTTTTGTTCAAGATTGGCCAAATTTCGACTTTTTTAATCTATTCTGTGAGATTCGACTATATAAATTGTGATGATCATCCGATGCTACCTAATACATTCTTGAAGTACTTTTCAAGGCGCTTCCAATGGTGCCAAGTAAAATGAATGTTTTGAATAAACTTATGAGCAATTCCAAAAAATATGAAATAAGGTTTTTAGCGAAAATAGCCATATTTTGCATATGAAAACCTCATAAAAGTGGTTTCAGAAGTTATTTTGGATCGATAGAAACATTTTGAACTAATACATACCATAGTAAAAGTCTTCATTTTCAAGGTGAAAAATGCGATCGCTTGATTTTCTATGAAAACCATGAGAGGTACCTCATGCTTTTTGGTCGAATTTTGGCCATGTTGTTTGGGTCCCAAAAAAGTTGAGCAAACGTGTCAGGAAGTTACTACTACTCGAGTACAATTGTTTGAAATCGTTATGGTGGCTCAGAAAGGCCTACAAGCCAAGATATGAAGACCTGGAATCTGTCAAATTTGGTTAGTTTTTTTGCTGTATAGCTTTTATTTACACGGCATAAATCATATCTTTGGTAACTGAAATCTTCTGGACGGCCAGTTCTGCAGCCTCTGCAACTTCTAATTCGAATATGAGGTATATTTGATTTTGGCAAAGCTAATTCATGCAAATGTTGATGCGCTATGTTCTTGGGAGAGAAGTTTTTAAACTCTGATTAGTTACGATGACGCTTTTGTGTCCATGTTTTGCAGTATATACAATGGTCATGATAGACTCATGAAATGCGTACTCATTGCTACTCGATATATAAAATGCAATCTTGATCATCTATTGCTAAGCTTGTCTGCTATCAAACAATAGCATCCTGCCATACAATCCATTTTAGGTCTCGAGAATGATACCAAATGTCTGGCCGAGAGTGATAGTCTTGCCATGCCAGCTAATGTTTCTCGCCTTTACTGGACACTGCTTGAAACATCTCTTAGTCTGAGGCACGTAAGTAAGTGTTTGCACCCTGGATCAGGCCGGGATCTTGGATATCATCGCCTATTCAAGTACTGTTCCAAGAAAATCCAGGGCAGTAACTGCATTTCCTCCAAATTTGCATTGCATGCACAAACAAACAAACATTGCATAACACTGTCAAATACTTTCTGCAGTAGCTGAATTCTAACGCCATTAATACGATCTGATACAAAAGTACATAAATGTTTGCAACTTGCATCAAATTGAGTTTCGAGTTAATAGCAAAGCCGCTCAAATTACCAAATCTCACAAAATGTGTTATCTACGCAATCAATCTCGTGTGGTTTCAATGCGAAGAGCTATGAATTATTAAAGTCAATAGTACAAGATAGATTTATACAAGTGCTTTAATGATGAGCTTGCCAAATGAACTCTTTAAGCTGAAACGTCTGCTCAGTTTTGCGTGTCAAAATTAGCTCCTAATCAAGCTGTGATGCAAATGTATTACATATCTGCATGAATAATATACAAGATACATGTTTGCTTATACAATGCAATAAAAATAAACGTATTTTATCAATTTCTATATAAATAAGGTGCATTCATCACAGAATTTTATATAAAAATATATATTTCCTATCGAATTTATGTCACAAGAAACAGAGTTTCGACCGCTATTTTGTTTGAGGTCCTCAGAAAAATATAAAGCTGCCAACGTTTCGCTTCGGTCAGAGCCAAACTGCACAGCAGCAGCTCACGCTACCGATTGCCCTTGCGTATTTTATCGAAATACTGCTACTTTCATTTTGACCCTCGACTTACACATGAAAACCCTTCGTATTATCTGTGGATCTGATTCTTATGTGATGCTCTATGTCCATATACATGTAGCTACTTCATATACGGACAAGCAGCATACTGGTATTTCCCCCTTTTAGTCCCTAATGTACCTGACACAGCAAAATCTGGGTGTATTTGTGCTGTGTTTTCTTGCACTCAAGGCCGTTTTAGGCTGTCAGAATAGCACCAAACATTTGCTCTCAATTAGCACTAACTTGCTGACACGTTTGCTCAACTTTTTTGGGACCCAAACAACATGGCCAAAATTCGACCAAAAAGCATGAGGTACCCCTCATGGTTTTCATCGAAAATCAAACGATCGCATTTTTCACCTTGAAAATGAAGACTTTTACTATGGTATGTATTAGTTCAAAATGTTTCTATCGATCCAAAATAACTTCTGAAACCACTTTTATGAGGTTTTCATATGCAAAATATGGCTATTTTCGCTAAAAACCTTATTTCATATTTTTTGGAATTGCTCAACAAGTTTATTCAAAACATTTATTTTATTTGGCACCATTGGATGTGCCTTGAAAAGTACTTCAAGAATGTATTAGGTAGCATTGGATGATCATCTCGATTTATATAGTCGAATGTGATAAAATCGTTTGATCAAGTCGAAATTTTTTAAAATCTGTCCAATCTGAAACAGACTAGAAATCTGAGTTGGAATTATTTTTGGCGGCTGGTGGGCCAGCTGGCAAACTGAGTGCTCTTCTAATCCTGAAGGCAATAATGAATGTTCTTGAAGCCAATGGAAAGCAGGCGGCAAACTACATAGTGGTCGTTAGCCATGCTATTTTCCTTTGAATACTTGCGACTAATAACGCCAGCCCACCGAAATACTTGTATAATCAAGTTCTTTCCTTTTTTTGAGGCTTTAAAAGTGTATAGGGACAATAAATTTATTACGTTAGCATGAAGATACTTTTACTGTGGAATAAAGGTAGACGCCTAGTTTTCGCTTTTTTCAACATTGGTCTTCAGTAACCTTTTTGCTTGGTAAAGCCATTCACATCAAGTTCATTTCATTGACTATTACAATGGGTGATCTTCTATCGTTTCAGTTTATAAAAGCTGTCCATTGACTGATTTATATACAACCTTCTTTTGGTTACCAATAAACGTACGGTCATTTGCAACCTATGGAATAGTATAATTCATCTCAACACCTGAGCTTCCGGTTCATCTCAGGAGAATGTTGTTTATTCATTATGACAAAAACAAGGCCAAGCTTCACAGTTTTCACCTCAGTATCATCTAGACATAGTCGATAAGCGAAAACCAGAGCCATTTTTTGAGGTGCCTGATATCATGATGAATGATATGCTAGAAAAGTGAATTTTTACTCTGGCGACAAGCACTCTTGCCGCTTGTAATAGTTTTGAATTGTAACTAGGAAAAAAGCTAGAGCTACCAGTACTGTATGGACACCCTCGCTCAAATACATAACATTAATCAATAAATCCAGTAGTTAGATAAGAAGGCCTGCAAATTAGATATTATCACACACATTAGACTGAATCGACACGCATATTATCTGGATCCTTAGCTCAAAACTAGATAAGCTGTAATATGTGTTATTAGCAACACAAAAAAGGAAGAATATGGGTCATGATTATGTCAGTTTGCAATCATCTGCAAACAGCTTAGATGATAGACCTGCTGGTGTCCATGTAAAAACGCAAACCAACAAAAAACAGATGAAACAAAATGAATTGACATAATCAGTTAGCTGGAAAAATAACATCGATATTTCGAATAGGGAGGATCAGATTTTTTGTGCGTTATTTTTTGATAGAAAATGGCACTAGTGCAGTTATTGTGTCGTACATTGTTCGGGCGTACACTAGTGAGAAATCTCGATAGTAATTGATTTTCTCGGAGTTGTGTCGTCTTTGCTTCTCTATACTTGCAAAGCTTGGTAGATCAAGAGGGTTGCTTTGCTATGGAAGCGAAACACACACTTAAGGAGGAGGGAGGGGTAACAAGGGAGGCGACCGAAACTATTTAACTAAATTTTATGCCATCAAACAAACATGTAGATTTACTGCTTCAACAAGCATAGATATACAAACAGCGCACTGGTTTCTTAATTGCAAGTGAAAGGCTCTTGCTTTTTAAGGCAACAATGATGAAACACACGTTCTTATATGTAAATTAAAGTATTATTCTGCTAATCGATACAGATAAATATACATCTTTTTCTCTCCATCTCGTTTTTTCCCATTTTTTGATTATTATTTTTTTTTTTACAACATGTCCAAATTGAATGAATCAGCCATTATAGAAGAGAATCACTGTAGCCCATACCACCATCATCAAGGCACATACAAGAATGAGTTTTCACTGCCATCACCTACATCCAATTACAGCGATGCAGAGATCTCTCCCGATATCGAAAATAGCTATATTCAGCAAAATCTACCTGTGAGACGCCAAAGCCTGATTGTTTACCACGATAAATTGAGGAGCGAAAATATGCTGAAACAGCAGCAATCAGACCCACAATCACCCAAACGACATTCCAGTCTCAATTTTCCAGTAGCAGTAGCTCCAGAAGGGACAACCGAGGAGAGAAAGAGTAGGTTGTATAACAGTAAATCACTGAATGCAATACACAGCAAAAACGAAGACTATCGCAAGAGCCGAGTGCCGAATCCATCATTGACCATAGAGATCACGCATCCTGATTCTTCAGCCTCCACAACCGTCTCATCCTGCGCTAGCAATAGTCCGTTTGAACTATCCATGGATACGTTGTTTGAAGAAGATCGTTCGCCTTTGTCTCCATCACAACAAGCACAAGCACAGCAGCAACTACCACCACGGCAGTCGATTCCAAGATTTATGGGTAATTCATTAAATATACATGACAAAAAAAAGGAGGGGGGGGGGGGGAAGGGAGGAAAATGGCCAAGCTGTCGTATTCTAACGACCTTAAAAATTATTTAATATCAGGCCTCCTGAGACCAAGTAAATCAGAAACTATATACAATAACAAAAAGAGCGATAAGCTAGCAACGCCAGTGGACATGAATTCCTCGAGTCCACTATCCACATCCTGGAATGATAACATGTCGCAACCCTTGTCAAGACTAAGAAATGTATTTTCGAGACTTCAAACCAACACAGTCAATGTGAATCCGAATAATGCATCAAGCACGATCAAGCCATCCACATCCACGTCAAAGCGTATGCCCATGCAGGTCATGGAAGCTAAAAAGAAAAAGAGGATATCCACAGCTATCAAAGGAGGAACAAGCGACAATAAATCGAAAAAGAAGTCGGTGGCCAACATTTACACTGCTCTGCTGTCGCATGTCTCGAGGGAATTTTTGAAGCGTATGCAGATCTCGACAATCGCATTCAAAGATGGAATCCAATACCATGATGTGTTTCATGGCATTGAGGCTGTGGTGAGTTGGTTGCATAGGTATGACTCGACGAGATGCTCACACATAAAACAGAACTGTGTACTAGACATCCTTTGCACAAATGACCGCAATTTAGCATTACTAGTGGGCCGAGCATTGGAGAGCCAAGGTCTCTTTCACCACGTTAATTACGACTATAGACTACGAGACGCAGAGTCTGAGCTATATCAGTTCCAATACTTGCAGTCGCAACAAGATATCCCTCCTACGTATGGTGGCAGGCCACCAATCCCATCTCAGTTTACCAGCAACAACTCTACCAAGCTGCTATTGCTGAAAAAGTCGAACCGAAGAAACGGTAGTACTATGGCTCACATGTGTTTGCATGCTAAACCTTATTAATTGCTCTGTTTAGCTCCATCTGTCTGTGAAACATTGCCGGTCAATGGCGTCTTTTCTGTGCTGACGGATTGCTATTCACCCACTTGCACCAGAAAAAGCCCATGTTACAGTATCAGTTGTCCTCGTATGATGGCCAAAAAGAACAAGAGCATGCAACGGCCCTTGAGCTCGCAATTTCTCAGAACAGAACAAGAGGTATATTGTTAGCCTAAGCATTTGACAGCTCCAGCCAAATTAACTGTGCACATAGAAGCAGTTGCGGTCGTTGTGGAGGCACTCTGTTCCTCGAAATGTAGTGATGGGCACCAACGACATTGAGCAAAAGCGACAGGAATGCATCTACGAACTCATCTATACTGAAGAGGACTTTACCAGAGACATGCATTATGTGCAAGATGTAATATACCTTTATAGTGACACATGGGCTAATTGACAATATGCTGATCTCCTATCTCGCATGTAGTTTTGGATAGAGCCCTTATTGAACAATGACATCATACCGATAGATCGAAGACATCAGTTCATCACAGACGTATTCTGGAACTTGGCCGACATTGAACGCATCAGTACGGCATTATCGAGGGACCTTACAGCGCGACAAGATAAGCACTCTGTTATTCCCTGTATTGGCGATATTTTACTGGAGCATGTCAAGGGATTTGAGCCCTTTGTCGTATATGGCGCACATCAAATTATTGGGAAGCACAAGTTTGAGCTAGAAAAGAAGCGAAACGCCAAGTTTCTTCAGTTTGCACAGACATTGGAGCGACAGCCCGAGTCTCGCAGATTAGAGTTGAATGGATATCTCACTAAACCTACATCGAGATTGGGCAGGTACAACCTCTTGTTGACCACCATTCATCATCTTACACCCAAAGACCATCAAGATTATGAGGCGATTCCAAAAGTGATTGACATGATTACCGAATTCATGGTCCAATTGAACAAACAAGTTGGATTATCAGACAACGCGTTCCATTTGGAGCTGATATCTTCTCGCATCATCATGAACAAGGGATCGTTTGTAAGTGCTCCACAGCATGATCACAAGCACATTGACTAAATCAACATAGGATTTGAACTTGCTGGACCCAAACCGACAGCTCTTGATGCGTGGTAAAATGAAGCGAGCAAATCAAACTAGCAAAAGCTTGTATTCAGCAGCAACATCGCCCATCACCGAAAATACCAACATTGATATCCAACTGTTCCTGTTTGACAACTACCTCGTGTTTTGCAAGATAAAACATCAAGACGGCATGGATTACTACAAGATGTACCAAAAGCCCATTCCACTGGCATCTCTGACCACCTTTATACCCTTTCACAATGCCCTGAAATCGAAAATAGTCAACACCAACACCATTCCAGATACCAACTCTCATCCATATCACCAGCAGCTGCACGCTAGCCCTTTGGCTGCCAATGTGGGTTATCCAATTACCTTTGCAAATACCTCGGATAGCCTGTCCTCCATCACATTACTGGCATCCACTGAATCCACTCGAAAATTATGGCTCGATAAAATCAAAGAAGAGCAGGAGAAGCTCAAATAAAAAAAAACAATGCCATCTAAGCCTTCTTTTTACTCTGTTATGATTACGCTGCTTTAATCGTGAGCATTGTTGTGTGCAACAAACAGCAAAAAGCCTAATTTGGTCGACCATGAAAACAATGATTTGCCTTTTATATTCTCACAGCACAAATGTATAATTTCCTTTCAATAGCTTTCAAAACCATTTCTTTCCTCTTTTCCTTCCCTCTTCTTTTTTTTTTCTAGTCATCAGCGACATGTATCCTGCCTTTAATCCAACGCCATCTCCCAATTCGCCTCCAGTACAGCAGAAAAAGAAGCATCGGAATCCGTTTACCTACCTCTTCACAAAGCAGTATAAAAGCACGCCTACAAGTCATCTTTACGGGCAACAGCAGGAACAATCAAAACAAGGTAATTTAGTAGTGGGCGGAAGGGAGAAGCTGTGAGAGTGAGGTTGTTAATCATTTACCCCTCCTCCCTATCCAAAAGGCATATTTGGAGTTCCTTTATGCGATGCATCCAAAATTGGCTCTGATTTATGGGATCTAAGAGTGCCAGATCCAGTTGCTCTGTGCTTTGATGAAATTAGTAAAAGAGGTAAAGAGATCATGCTGCTAGTCTCATATGAACGCACAGACTCATTCACCAGAATTAAGGCCTGACTACAGAAGGCATTTTTCGCTTATCGGGTGCCACTTCCGAGGTCAGCTTACTTGAAAACAAGATCAACATGTGCTCACCTGATGAAAGAAAATCCATTGACCCGTCTCAGTTTGATATTCATACGCTGACTAGTCTAGTCAAGAAATACCTTCGAGAGTTGCCTGAGCCTGTTATACCAAATGCGTTTCATGAGCAGTTCCAGGACATTGACCTTGACTTCAATACGGTGCAGCAGCTGTCAGCCATTATTGTAAAACTGCCATTTTACAATCGCCAGCTATTGCATGCCATCCTACTGATCTCTGCAAAAATTCAGCATCACGTCGGCGTAAACATGATGTCCCCTGAAGCACTAGCTACTGTGTTTGCTCCTGTTTGCACTGGTTTCGAGCAATCACTCAAAGACCACATGAACACTTCCTTCTCAACTCCCACTGCAACGATACATAAAAAGTCAAAGAAAAATGCCCACAGCTCCATCCAGCAATCCTCCAACATTGAGCAGCATATCAAAAGAAACAAGAATTGGACGAATGTTTGGAAGGCCATGATTGAACAACACGAGAGTTTGATCTCTGCTCTGGATAAGCAAATGTATCAGGCTCAAGAAAGCCAGTACAGATCAGGCCAAGACTTGACCTGGAAGCAGCACCGTGTTTACTACAACCATACACCAGCATCGGCCGGCAACAGATCCCTACCCTCTCCTTTCTCTACCAACGGCAGCCTGGTACCTCTGCCAAACGACATTATGATGGCACAATTTTATCCCATGCAACCACAAGGAACGAATTCTATCATACCAGTGGCACAACCTTCAACCGCTATCCCTCCTCCCTCTTGCAGCTCACCCTTATCTGCTTCTGTATCTGCAACAACTATCTCTAGTGCAACAAACTACTATCATCAACAGAGATCAAATGATACCATCTTTGAGGAAAGCGATAGTCATCACAACAGCAGCAGTAGCGGATTTCACCACTCATTAGCAAAAAAAACGTCTTCTTTTTTTCCAAAATCAAACACAATAAGAAAGATACTATCGGCAAGCACGCTTAGATGAAAGCAAGTTTGTATACTACTCTATTCCCATTCCAGTCTTTTCTTACAGCCACTATGACCTCTATTTCACTTTTTTTTTATATTTATTTAATATGCCCTACTATTGTTCTTTTCTTTTGATTTCTCTTTTTTTTATACAACCATTTATATGCAGAATTCGTTTGTGTATGTTTGAATCATCACATCTTCACGGAACTTCTTCTCCTGTGTGTGTATATAACTGTAATAAATCCCTTGGAATTCATCCGATCAACAATCGCTAACGTCTTTAACAGTGCTTTTTTTTTATCTATTGATGTTGTGTTAAAAGCTGTTGAATCTGCGGATTTGAATCGTCTCAAGTTCTCCATATCTGTATTAATGGCGGCAGTTCATATACGGGCAGACATCATTCTTACGTTACCTCTTGATGCTCGAAAGTATGCAAAGCACAGCAAAGTATGAGTGCATTTGAGCAGTGATTTCTCATGATAGAAGCCGTTTTAGACTGTCAGAATAGCGCCAAACAATTACTCTCAACTAGCATTTACTTGCTGACATCTTTGCCCAACTTTTTGGGGAACAAAAAAAACATCAACCAAAATCCTACAAAAAAAAACCATGAGGGGCACCTCATGGTTTTTTTTTTCGAAAATCAAACGATCGCGTTTTTGACATTAAAAACGAAGACTTTTACTATGCTGTATATACAATCAAAACGTTTCTCTCGATTCAGCGAAACTCCTGGAACTTTGTTTCAAGAATCTTCATATGTAAAATCTCAACATTTTCACCAAAAACCTCATTTCATATTTTTTGAAAATTGCTCAATAAGTTTATTCAAAACATTTTATTTAGTTGTCACCACCGGATGCGCCTTGAAAAGCATGGGCTGATTATCACAGTTTATAGTCGAATTTGGCAAAATAGGTCGGATAAGGTACAAAAATGTGAAAATCAACGAATCAGGTCAAAATGTAAATCGGAGATTTAAATATTGTTGTCAGGCAAAATGCATTTGTCGTGAAAGCAATCAACGTTATGAAGCTGATAACAAAGAAATAGCGAATTGAAAGGTGATATGACTTACATCAAACACTTTTATTCTCCATTAAATCAAGTGTAAAACCAGTGTATATACCCTGCAAATCAATTTACATATTATTTCAGCAACTTCAATTATCAGCAGCGGTGGAATCCAATACAGCGTGTTTGACATAATCACTCTCTTTAAACTTTCCAAGTGTATGCCTGAATTGTGTTACCGTGTTTGGGTAGATGTTCGTTACCTCTCCTGAGCTGTTCTTGTACCAAGAATTACAGGATGTCGTCCAGATTGTTCCTTTGAGATCAGATCGCAACTGTCCCATGTAAGCTGATTGTGCTTCAATTGTGGGTTCAATTGCGCTCATCTTTTTTTCAATAATCAACTTTTTGATGCAGTTGACAGCAAAGCTGACTTGTCTGTTGTTATCAAAAGTATTCGTATTGAGTCCATTTTGCATTTGTGAAATAGCATGAATTACTTACGCTTCAATCATAAGAATTACCGAATGATGTCCCAAAATGGTCGTTGGGCCTAACAACATGAAGAGATTTGGGAATCCATGGGTAATCGTGGATTGGTAAAATTGAGGCAACTCCTTCTTCCAGATCTCAGTGAGCGATTGGCCTTGGTCGCCAATGACTAAGATTCATGTCAATTCACACTCATTGTGAAAGGCGTTATTCTATCTGTCACTTACTTTCAATGTCTCCAAGCACTCCTTGTTGCGTTTTGAATCCTGTGCCCAACACAAGGATATCGATTTCTTCAGTGACTCCATCTTCAGTAACGATAGCGTTGTCTCTAACTTCTTTGATGGCTGTTTGGTTCAAGATGACATTTGGTCTTGCGATAGCTCTGTTGAATTCAGACGAGAATACCAATCGCTTACAGCCCATTTGATAATTAGGCTTCAACTTTTCAACCAAATCAGGACGCCCAAGTTGAGTCAGTTCCTTTGCGTTTGCGTTTTCGACCAATTTAGTTACTCCCTTGGCTATGAAAGAGTTGGGATACCCAAAAGCAGGATAAAGTAACTCGTTCTATACTTGGTAGCTTAGTAGGCAGCTACAGGCAACAAATGAAGCAACTTACCACCATGAAAAAGAACCATCTGTGCAGTAGCATGACAAACGGTATATTCCTGAATATCCATTTCATGAATTCAGGATATTTGAGCTGAGGGCGAGGGAAAATCCATGGTGCAGATCTTTGATAGGCAATCACTCTTGAGGCATTTTCAGCCAGGTAAGGCAATGTTTGTATGGCACTATGATGCATGAGTCTTCCATATACAAATACTCCTTCTGTTTGCACGTATACATACCTGGAACCACTGCCGACGATAGCCACGCGTTTATCCTTAAAGTCAATTGAGTGATTCCACTTTGCTGTATGAACGATAGGACCTTTGAAGGACTTGAATTCCGGAGGCGTGTTAATGATTCGTAAACAACCAACGCCAGAGAACCTGTGTATATTCGTGTAAATGCTACATATGGTACCCTTCCATGCATTTACACTTACAAAATATCAAAATACACAGTTTCAATAGCAGCATCAGCTGAAGAACGGGTGTTTCGTATGTCCAGTTGCCACTGCTTTCTGTCGTCGAGCCAGGCGGCCCGTATTACTTCTGTATTGAAAGATACGTGCTCATAGATGTTGTGCTTTTTGGCCACGTCCTTGAAGTAGGCCTGTATTTCAGCTTGCAAACTATAGGTTTGAGACCAATCTGTGCAAACTCATGTCAGTATTAGGTAGCTTTGAGATATACCCTTATGACTTACTAGGATTCAAATCTGATCTCAATGAATAGACGTGGCTAGGAATATCGCATGATGCAAACGGGTAAGTATTTTGTCGCCAAGTGCCTCCAACATCATCTTCCATCTCAAACAACGAGGCTTGAATTCCCAGTTTCTTTTCGAGTTCAATGTATGCACAAATGCCACTCGCACTGTATGAAATTCAGATTAGTCAGGGTTCTGACACCACACGAGGGACATACAAACCCTGCTCCTATAACTGCCACAGTGGGTTTCTCAGATTTGGTTTCCAACATGCTTCAATGCGAGGAGAAGAGAAAAAAAGAAGAAATGCAAAGATAAAATACGCCCAATGTATGCAAGAACCATTGCCTTCTTATTTACCAGCATTGGTTCCTCTGTAGAGATGTAGATTCTTGTTTGTGGCAGGTCACTCATTGGCATAAACATCTCGACATTGCACCGCCCCATGTGATGATGCTGTTTGTACCACACCTTGCATGACTACAAAAAAAACCTTCATTCTTGCGTCTTGGTATAGTTGAAAACCAACATTCATGTCTAGCACTATCTTGTAGTATTTACTATCATTTAATGCTTACAAAAACATCAATGAATCATGTAGATTTGCAGTTTACATATTTATTGATGCTGTGAAACATTACCAAGGTTGGGCCTGATCACCATAAAGCTTAAATCATTGCTCTGGATCCTCATGGAATTGACATGTCATATAAGCAATATGTGCTGACCTGATATATTTAGACACATAGTAGTAGTTGATATGAAAGGGAGATGCTGTCTTTACTCATCTAGCTCTCAAATACACAAAATAGCAACCGCGTGTAAATCAGTGGCCACTGTTATTTGCGTGAGACAAAACATTTGTGCCATGGATCTATGAACGAGGCTCTAAATTAATGCTTATATCCGAGCCTTTACAGCGAGATGCAATTTCTTAATGATAGCAATACTTCTGCTCACGATACACGGAGTATTTATCGTTGTCATTCTGCAAATCTATCTCATTTCAGAGAGTGGTGATCCAACCCATATTGAACGGGGTCAAGACAGAATAAATGAATGCACGAATAAACGATCTCTGTGCTCCTATGTGGTGTGTGCGTGTGTGTGTGTGTGTGTGTGTGTGTGATAGTTCATTCTCGCCCAAGGTAATACATGTGTCATGCGGTATACATTATATTAGGAATGATGAGAGTTTATTTACAAAAAGATGCTTTTATATACACACAAATTTATTCTACTCAAGCAAGAACTTGATAGACGGTAAATGTAACTCAGAGTGTGGAACGTGTGGTTGAGGATGAGGAGATGTCAGTATAGGAGAATAATGGTTTGCAGAGGGCAGCACATGGCAATGGTTGGGATGAGCGGTGCCTATCAAAAGAGGAGGTAATGTCAAATTGGATTTTTGATGCTTGAATGATGGACCTAGTGTAGGAGAGCTATCTGGTGTGCAAATGTGCTCGCTTTCAGAATCTGATAAAGAGGCTGAGGAGGGGCAATAGTCAGTGGAGTATGATCTAGATTGGTGTTGTTGCTTTAATTGAACTGGACTGGATGACAGAGGTTGATAGGGCGGCATTGCGTTCGATTGAATGGGTAGTACCATGGGTCGAATGACTGTGCTGTTGATTCTTCTTTCTCTGTTACGCTTTGATGGTGAGATGTGAATACGAGCATGGCGAGTGAGCTCGTCAGAGCGGGAGAATCGCTTCTCACAATTTGGAAAAGAACAAGCATGAGGCTTCTCGCCGGTATGAGTTCTAATATGTCGAGTACGATGTTCCAATCTGACAAAGGCCTTTGGACACATTGGGCATTGGTAAGGACGAGGTTTATCGGCTACCTTTTCGTTACCACGTCGAACAGAACAAGCATTCATTTTTTTTTGTATAAATTCAAGTAGAGAAAGAAGAAGAGAATAATGGATATAGAGTCAATGCAAGGAAATTGGGAAATTTATATAGACATGGAATTGCAGAAACAAAGAATAAAAAAAAAGGAGTCGAATAGGGGCAATCTATATAAAAGAAATTGATGATATAAATGTATATAGAGATAAAAAAAACAAGGAGAAAGAGCTTTGATAATGATGAATGCTTATATATATATGACAAAGAGAGGAAAAATAGGATATTTCTTTTAAATTATGTCGTATTTATATGGGTGATCGCTTAAATGGCTATCAGGCTCATTCAATTGCCCATATTTAGATATTTTGATTTAAAGTGTCTTGCTGTGATTTCGCGATAACAGAGCGTATTGCGGATAATAGATCTGTATGTTCATTAAGAAAACACTAAAACATCTGATGCTCTCATAGCAGGAGCATGAGCAGCAGGGGGGGGGGGCGTGAAGGTGGGGGAGAGGGAGGCATCAGAAGAGGAAGAAAAGGGTTAGAGACAATTTGACATACCTTATATAGCGCGTATGTCTATAAAAAAAACAAATCAATGCTAAATATGAATGTCAAAGGGAAGACAGCTCAGTGACAATGTGGCATAGGAGGAGAGGAGCCAGAGATAGAGGAGAAGGAGGGATATGAAAAGGGACCCGCGTGGAAACCTACATAGTTTTCAGAATATCGACATGCCTTACAATGAACCCTTTACATTTAGTGTTGCACTCGCAATGTCCTTTTAATCTTCATATAAGCTCGGCCCACTCTATTCATGCTAAAGTTTTGTGATACTATAACTTTAATTCGATCATCGTAGATCCGCTCCCCTCTTCTCTACATATTCCCCTCGTTCTCCTTCAAACTTGTGTTTAAATTACATAATAAAATGAAAGCATGACAAGCTTATAAATCATGGTTCCTGAGCTTAATCTTCAAAACTAAGGAAAACAGCATAGAAGTTCTGTATATATAAACGTACCTCATGACAATGGATGATGTCCAAATGTCAAGGATTTACTTGCAGCAGATGATGGATAAAATATATTTTACTCTTTTACAGGGACTTTTTTCTACAGTTGACAGACATTCGGGATCGAAAGACGAAAACCACAAAGTGGGTTATCATGTATAAAACTTTTCGGCTTATTTAACCCATCTTTTCCCCTCCCCCCATGTTGGCTTGCCTAAATCCCGATCAACATGGAAATAATGATTAACCGCTTTTTGTAGATTCTGTGTGTTTGCCTTCTAGTAACGTTTGTGGCATTCTTCAACAGTGGCTTGCTTCACTTCAATCATAGCGAAATTGATTTAATTAACAATGGAGCGTTTTTTTTGCAATCCATAGTCTTGAAATGGCACTCTTGTTAGATAAATGCTTATACGTTAATCCACGGAGCATGCAGCAAGCACCGATAATCATGCCATTATGTTACAATCCCGGGAAACTCAGTGTATTTCATGTCTTGCCTTGGTAAATGTGTAATTAGCAATTGACATTCTGAAAATCGCTTGAATTTCTTGTGAAATTTATGAAACCTATAACCGATCCTGGTGGCTGCTTGATTGGCATGATATTTATTTCCTCATTTCTGACCATCCCCTCTTTGATAATGCAATCTGCAATGAGTGGTTTACATCAGCATTTTCTTCCATGCATCTTCTTGTCGTTTCTCAATTACTTAATCCAATGTACAACTATTAGATGCTGTCCAGATGATAGATCCAGGTTTCCGTTTTTCGTCAGAGTGAAGATTAGTAATGCACCAATGCATTTATAATTGAATTGGGAGTACGTGTACATACTCCACAATAACAACTCCTTATGGGGATATTACAGTATCGTCATCTGGAAAAGGTCAACCCACTTTTTCATATATATTGCCGGCCAGCTTATTGCCGTAGAACGAATTCGAGCTTTCTTATTGATAAAACGTGAAATTTTGCAGAAAATAGTCTCGTCGAGAGTCCGTTGCACTTTATGTTGTAGTGAGTCTTGGTATACCGTATTTCTTCTGTCAGCCTCTTTGCAGTGATACAACGCTCCAATGACCTATTGAGCAGAACGAAATATGAAATGACAATGAAAGCTGGGATAATAACGGATCCAATACATTTATCCACACACTTAACTATCAGTTCAACATCTCTGACATATTGACTGCAAATGAAAATGAGATACAGAAAGAGGTGTGAGATATGAGTAAGATACAGTTCCGTAACGTGGCTGAACCAGTTCGTATTTAGCACAATTTAAGTGCAAGCAATTGAGAAGTTCTCAATCGCATTTATGCACGATATCGTGGAAAATGTTGCACCAAAACATTTGCCCATTGAGTGTGTCTATTGTAAACAGGATAAACTAAACGCGCTTAGTTTTGTATAGCCTACATTTGACATTCTGAAATTGATTGCAAATGTTGTTTAATATATATATACAAATGTGTGAAATGTGTTCTGATATTCCTGATGAGCGACCCTTGTTGCACTAAACTTTGAGTTTTTGATAAAAGCTATCCAAGTATCACGATGATTCTGCAAAGTTTTAGGGAGAATAGACTTGATGGCAACAACTTCTGAATAGTAATGTGCTTATTGGAGCAGAGTTATGTTATATTCTGATAGCAGCAATGAGCCAAAACCACTTTAATAAAATACATTTGTGATGCTCTACATGTGATCTACAATAATATTGTTCCCTGAGCGACTGTAGATGAAGTAGTCTGTGTGAAACACATGTGTCTCTTGCAAAAAGAAGATAATTCTTGTTATCTCATACGGGCCATTCGACACTTCAGATGGTTTCCTGGCCTACGCTTCGCTCCGGTGTAAACCAACCTATGTTCAAACGGCTCGCGCTGCCGCGGGTCTTTGGCTAATATCGCAAAATTAATATAACTAAAATGTTAGAAGAACCCTGATTGTTGATTGATATAAAATCACTAATCCTATGAAAGTTTATGCTTCGGATGGTTCTCACCGAAGCGAAGCAAAGGTAGAGAACCAACCTACGCTGCGGGAGCTCATGCTACTGATTGCTCTTGCGAATCTTTTCAAAATACTGCTACTTTCATTTTGATCCTCCACTTACACATAAAGACGCTTCATATTATATGTCTATCTGATTCTTATGTAATGCTTTACTTCCATATACACGCAGCTATTTCATATTCGGGCAAGTATCATACAAATATTATTCCTTTTTAGTCAAGAGTGTGCCTAATACAGCAAAATCTGAGTGCATTTGTGCTGCGTTTTCTCGCGTTTAAGGCCGCTTTATATCGTCAAAATAGTTCCAAATAGTTGCTCTCATCTGGCAGTTACTTTCTGACCTCTTTGCTCAACTTTTTTTGGGATCAAAAAAACATGGCCAAAAATCGACCAAAAAGCATGAGGTACCCCTCATGGTTTTCATCGAAAATCAAACGATTGCGTTTTTTACCTTGACAATGAAAACTTTTACTATGGTATACCTTAAATCAAAATGTTTCTATCGATCCAACGTAATTCCTAAAATCATCTTTGTGGGACCTTGATATGTAAAAAATTGACATATTGGCCAGAAACCGCTTTTCATATCTTCGTAAATTATTCAATACGTTTGTTTAAAACATCTATCTTACTTGGTACCATTGGATCCGCCTTGAAAAGTACTCCAGGAAAGCTTAAGGAAGCATGCAGTGATCATCATATTATACTTAGTCGAATCTGCTAAAATAGTTCAATCGAGTCCAAAACCATCAAGATTTGGCCAATCTAGAACAGACTGTGGGTTTGGGTTTGAATTTATTTTAACTTGTGGGGCTGGCTTATCATATATGAGCCAGGCCTGACAGGTGCCTTGAAACTCATTTTCCATATTATTAGGGATGTAAAAGTGCTTAGGGACAGAGCATTTATTATAATATGATGAATGAATATGTTTGAAGGCTAGATTCTCTTTTTGCTGCGTTTGGTACTATTACCCTCATTGGTAATAACTAGTAACGTTTGGACTATAATGTATAGTGTCATGGTCTAAACTTAATAAAATGGCTCATGCATGTATGAGTTGCATGTGAATATATGAAATTCGCAGTAGAGTAGTACTCATTGGCAACATTGTTTGTAGTTTTATTCTCACAATCAGCATCATCAGCACCACATCACTAGATATAAAACGTGGTTTTTCATATTTTATCTCACTCTCACTTTTCTTGGTCCTCCCACACCCCCAAATAAAAGTTTGTGCTCACATGTAACGATGGCTCTTTTATCTGACAAACAAACATATTAGGCTGGTTGCACAGATTTAAGTTCATAGCTATTGGAGATGATTCTGATCATTACACAAGGCCTAAAGATACCGTCTATTCTCTACATCAGATGTCCAGATTTTTTCATTTTGAGTATTGTGAATATTTAGAATATGGAGTATAAATCCCACACTCTTAATAGCTGGAGAAACGGAACGTTGACGTGCTAAAAGACTAGGAGAGAGAAAATTGAACGTTACATACACTTGCCATATAGGTATAATGATAAGATATTGAACAAACGGGGGAGGGGGGGTGAGAGAAGTTCCAAAAGAAAACTTTTTCGCATACCCGAGAAAGCTATTCTGTAAGATTACTACTGGACCAGCCACGTTAGTAACAACTCTCTTCACGATCATTATCATCGGTTAAACTTGTTTCTGAACAATGGCTGCTTTTAGCAAGTTTTATTACCAAAATTTCTCATGCAGAGAGTTGCATGTAACATTGGAAATACGGTCATTCTATTAACCTACGTATTTTTATTCGGTCATGGCCCTAAGCCGAGGTTATTCTTGCTCCACACACGGACATCTTTCAAGCATATTGGTAAGTAGAGTTAAATGATATAACTGTATGGGCTCTGTGATACAAGAAGAATGGTCGCATGCGCATGTAAGTTTGTCTCTTTTGCTATTTATATAACCTTGTTTATATGAAGTGCACATAGTAGCGTGATCGACATGGAATATACCATGTATAATCGACAGATATACTGGTTATAATTTATGCGAGCAGGTTGCTGTCAATGCATATATGTGTTTTAATATTTGGTATCATATTTACAGACATGACAGCAAGATGGATAGCCGTTTAACAAGGCTCATTTGGAACGGAGAAGAACTTAAAATCCCATTTCAAACAAAAGGGGAACCAATACAAATACTACAAGCTAATTTTGTTTGTACTATACAGCCATTTGATATATATGTTATATGTACACAAGAAACGGTGATGGGGCCTCCTCTTCTGGCTGATCCCCCCATTTCCTCCTCGTTTTTATTACGTAATAAGTTGACATATTTTATAGTATAGATTCAATGATGCGTATGAAGATGTTGCTGCTGCTGCTGCTGATGTTGCGGATGATGAGTATGCATAAGACTGGAAGGACCTCCCATGGAATTTCGATGTAAGAGCATAGTGTTGCTGGTATTGTTGTTGGTCACAGTAGACGCATGAATGACGAGACGACGCTCCTTTGACGAGACCATGGAGCCGTCAGGATAAAACCAGAAATGAGTTGCGAATTTCAGCTGTAATTCAGAGACTAATAATGATTTTGTATTGCCAAATTGCTTCTTTTGACCATTTTCCCACTCAATTGTCTGGTCCCACCGTCCAGACTGAAGTCCATTGATAAATTCGTCCCACTCACTGTTGGTAAATGTGAGATGTAGCTTGGATCCACTGAGCTCCTTGGTCATGAGCAGCACGCCCTGTCCAACAAGCTTGGTGAGTTGCATCATACGTTCGCCGACCACAATGTTTCTTCTAAATGCTGCCCAGTTGGTCTCGGTCAGTAATGGCTCGATCCAGACTCTGTATGCTTTCATGTTGGCATTTCGCTCACGATCTTTGTCTCTCTCTGTTGCTGCTGCCGTCGTCGCCGTGCTCGCTGTGGTGTCACTGTCCGCATTGCCTGCTCCTGCTGTTTCAGGCACCTTCATTACCTCGTTGGGGAACAAGATGGCAAAGGTGCGTTGAAACTGCTCAAATGCCAGGTAAAGTCTAAAGTAGTCAGAATTGTAGTAGATGCCGTTTTGATTCATGCCGTTGTCTAGATGGGGCTTCATGTTGGAATGGTTCGTGAGAATGCGTAGCGCTGGCTCCAATAGTTCAACAAGCTGTTCCTGAGACATGGATCCGTTGGACACTGTGGCTGACAAGTTGTTCTCTGCCAATGTCACAGATTCATCAATAGCGAGTGTGAATTGATTTGGTAATCGTTGTGCTTTTTGCTCCAAATCTGCCATGGTAATACTTCGCATACGGTTGATGATATCGTCACCTAGTTGATGTTTCACGATGAGATGAAGAGCCACTTTAAACCTTTTTATATATACTTACGTCTTTGCTCAAATTCACCATGTCGATGAGGAATCTTGGGCTTCTTTGTTGGCACTGGTAGATTAGAGACTTCATAAGGTGAATTGGCATCAGCAGAGTGTCGTTTACGTTTTCGCATCAATGAAGCTTGTGTCAAGATGCCTTGTTCAGCATAGCGTTGTAGTAAAACAGGCTCTCGAGCGATTCTTCCATCCTGATAGTAGAAGCCTCTTTGTTGAGGCTCCATCACAACTTCTGCGCTCGCTGGGTGCTGAATCGTGTTGCTAGTCGATTGGTGATAGCGTTCTGCTGTTCCGTTGGATGATGCATCAGGATGAGACATGGATAAATCCGAGACTTCCACTGTTGAATGCTGCTGGTGTTGTGATACATGGTGAGAGGCAGAAGGGGAGGGTATAGAGGGTGAATGTCGGTTCACAATAGGCGAATGCAAAGTTGCTGCTACTGCCATAGTAGAAGAAGCAATTGTAGGGCTGCTTGTATGATTTGCTCCAGGCGAAGCAGATGTAGAGTATAATGGGCGAAAGTTTGTATAGGGGCGAACTGAATAGACATCTGTCGACGTATTGTCATTGGAGATCTCGGATAAATTGGTCGTATTTGTGGGTGCAACGTTAGTGGTAGAAGCAGTGGTAGTCGATGTTAAGGGCTGGCTGTTGGTCAAGTAAGATACAGAAGGTAAGCGAATCAAAGGCGAGACGGGAGATGGCGATGCTGTCGATGCGACAGAGGAGGACTCAATCCACTTTTGTACACTGTCTTTTTCAGGTTTGGTCATTGAGGAAATACTGTCATTCAGGGGGTGATTCAGGCTGAACGTAGCAGTCGAGGTAGAAGCTCGATGTTGGTGTTTGTGATGGCTGGAAGAGCTTGCGTTTACACAGCAGGAGCTGGTGCTGGGCAAGCGTACTGAGTGCACGGCTGACTGATTGTCTCGAAACACAATGCGATCTTCATGACATGGCTTGCTGAATTTGATATGGTCGCCCAAGGCATAAGACATGCAAAACAACAGCTTTGCCAGCTTTTCAGAGTCAGGATTCTTTCTTAGAACCTGCTTGACAATTCTGAAAAGATCAAGCAAATCCTCATCAGTCAAGATGTCTTCGGCCTGAGGTTCAAATGGCTGGATTTCGGGAGCAAGCAAACATGAAGAATTGGTAGCCATTTGCTGTGGATTTGGAGGATCAATGCCGTTCATGACTTATGGTTATTTTTAGAGAGAATGACTTGGAAGAGAAAGAAAGAAAGATTCCCCATCTCTGGATGGTTCTTATTCTCATGGGGAAAGTCCAAGAGGAGACTTATCCCCGCCCCTCTGGTCTACTGAGTCTAAATGGTGCAAAATCCAAAATGCGATGGGACCTATTGTATCTATTTATTTCAAAAGATTGATCTCAATTGTCCATACAACAGGAGCATCTGTCACTATCTCTACCATGTCGTTATCTACGGCATTCGATGTGCTGACCATGCCGCCAAATTCACACTTTAGATTGTCTGGTAGGAGAAATAAAAAATGAATGAGAAGGATGTAATCACATTTGGAGCTGCTTCAATTCGTATTTTTTACCCATATCCCATTTTAATCCTTTTGTTGTAAGCGTAGCAGGCGATCCAATTGGCATTACACCACAGGTCGGACCTAATGTTTGGTGTAAGCTTTCCTGTCTGCTGCTGATGCCTCCCCCCCCATCATGGTTGTGTTACTATACCTTCCAGGTCCAGCTGACAATGTATTTGGTGTGTTCCCTAAAAATTGAACAAGCTGTAAGCAAACAAATTCCAAATATGTTGCTGTATAAACACCTACTTTATCTAACAACATGGTCAGATTCTCATCACTCACTAGAATGAACCGTCTCTCAATTTCGTCTTTGAGCATGTATAGCATGTTGATACTGGCTATTGTTTGGTCAAATCTGCCTCCTAGTGCTGGTGTCGCAACGATATCGAACTGTGGAATAGAACTCTATAAATATTTATGCAACTCCCAGCCCGTTTTCCTCTTTCAATTCTTACAATTTGTCCTCTTTCCTTTTCTTTTTCATTCAAGAGAGCCACACACTTCATGAAATCCGTTGAATCTTGATCGCTCACTTTGGTAATTTTGACGCTCTTCCGATGGTAGATATTAATATCAGCCTTGATACCCCTTCTTTCTCTTTGACTGCCCATGTTACCTTGGATTCATAATATGCTCGAACATCAGGTCTAATGGAATCCAAATCACCTCTAATTTCGTCTGGAATATATCTGATATGCACTCATCAGTCGTTTGCTCGGTGCATTTGCCTTGTCAGTTGGTACTCACTGTGCTAGTGCCTCTTGATCATGTTTGAACGCGTCATACAGTCTATTGGATCCTCCATCAGCGACAAATTTGTAGGTTGCTATGCCATGACAGAGAAATTTAAGCTTCAAGTGTTTTGACACTTTGTTTATATGAACTTTACCGTTACTCCATAGTCTGTGGAATGCATCGACATGATTGATAGGTTGATTTAGAACGATGAGACAAAACTTTTTCGCATTACCATCTCTTGATAATATGTTTGATGGACACCAATGTGTAATAAGGTTAACTAAATTCTTTTTAAGCATGCCGAGAGATAAGAAAAAGCGAGAAATAGAGAGAGAGAGAGAGGGAATCGGAACTTAATAATGGTGATTTTTGTCAAAAAATCTCTCTAATGCTGTCTAATCTACAATACAGATGCCTGCATTGATATCATATGATCTCGCATTTTCAGGCAAGTGTTTACTAAGAAAATTGTCTAATATCTACGAAAAAAAGTGTATCGTGCTCGCTTTTCAATGCTTCTCCCTGCCTCCTCATTGTTCTCGGTTGATTCAATCCCGCGTCACCTGGATGGCGAGAAATTGCATTCAACGACAATAATGAGAATGTAATCTGAGCCAGTTTTATAGAATGGCATTCCATTGGTCAACCCTGAGAGCATTTCAGCTCGCAGGACAAACAATTTCGATAAAAGCGTCTTTCTTTCACTTTATTTAACTAAATGGTAAGCAGTTGACATGTATCAATAAAGTGATCATATATTGACAAGGCAAATAACGATAGTCTGCTACAAACAAGCTCAAGAGCATTGTCCCTCTTCTTGACCGCGTTTTGGTTCAACGCATCAAGCCTGTTGAAGTGAGCATACGCTGTATAAGAGATGACATGTGGATGCTGACTATCGCTTATATAGAAAACTTCTACTGGTATCTTCATCCCTGAGAAGGCTCAAGAGGCCATCAATGAAGCCTATGTTGTTGCTGTTGGTAAGGGCGCCCTCAACAAGGAAGGTGGTCATATCCCTCTCCAAGTGAATGCTGGTGATAAGGTCATTCTTCCTCCTTTTGGCGGTAGCCCTGTCAAGGTTTTGGGAGAGGTAAGCTCCGGTAGATTTGACAGACCGAGTAACTAACTGTACCTGTGCAAACAGGAATACCTTTTGTTCCGTGATTCTGAGATCCTTGCTAAGGTTGTAGAGTAGATGTTTCAAGACTTGGATGGAAGGAGATGAATAAAAAGTATATTTGCTTGGTTTATATGGATTGTGCATGTGTGAGTGCTTTTATCGAATGTGGCAGATTATCCACGGAAACGGTATTAGTCTGTAATAGCCTGGGGGGGTTGGCTATTCAAGTATTGCATTCGATACGAGCCTATGGATATCAAGTGTCAAATCATGCTCTTGGCCGCATACACCGGGATGAGTTACTGAGAGCATTCTGATACAAATCATGACATGGAAAACAAACGTATTGCGCCTGAAGTTTTACAAAATGTCAGTGTACACAGCTTTACTACTTGAGCATCTTTCTTACGCTTATAGAGCCCTTCAAATGCTAGTGTTAATGCGATCAAACCAATCATAAGTTATTGCGGAGAAACGCATAGAAAAACTTTCATTTCAGTTCCATGACTCGAATAGAAAAAACAAATTTTCCATTCGATTCTTTTCTTTCCATCTCTTTGAACCAACAACACCTATGGCTGACGACGGCGAGTGGCACACAGTTACAAGTAACAAGCATGCGCATCCAGCACCAGCAGATACTTCAAATGGGTCTGCTGCCAAGAACGCACATGCTGCTCCTTCACAACAAGCTTCGAAATCTCGACGCAAGTCTCGACACAAAATCAATGCACCCAAACAGCAGCTCGCAAAGAATGGCAACAACCACAAGAAGTCATCTAGCACTCCTTCAACCAACACTACCCGATCTGCTAAACCAAACGCCCGTAGCCATCATCATGGTCATGTTACTGCTGCTTCTTCCAATCCATTCCATGCAGCAGCTGACGACGACGATTCCGATGAAGAAGAGGAGGACGGACAAGTGGACCCTATCGATCTTCCTGTTCCTCCCTATCACACCACCATCGTTGTATCCTGCCCTTTCAGTGATTGCGATTCTCCAATCCCGTTTCTCGACACAACTTCCTTAGTCAAGCATCTGAAAGGAGAGCATAAACTCATGTTCAAGAACCTACACCATATGTATATGGCTTTAGACGCTTACTTGGCTAGATGGTCAAAGGAACTGGCAGCAAAGCCTGTTACCGAGTACGCTCAATTGGAGTCATCTGATAATAGAGAAGGTAGGTTTGTCATGATTTACGCTTTTTGGATAAAATTGACAGCGGGAACCATTAGTATATGTGATTGATCCCGAGAAATGTGTCTTGGACAAGGAAATTAGAGAGGATATGCAACGTGCTAAATTGGTATGTCTCTTAATTCACTGTATGGTACGATGTTAACGTTTGCATGCAAATAGAATGAGGTGCTCAAGACCCAGCAAGATGAGCGAGAAGTCGATTCAAAAGCATCTCGTAAATGTCTCTTTTGCAAAATCGTGTGTGAGAACAGGTACTACCATATAAATGTATAGAATGAGCACTATTCTAAACTGATTGTATAGAGCCATTTTATTCAAACACATGTTTGCTGAACACAACTTCAATATTGGATTACCAGACAACTTGGTGCATGTCAATGAATTTCTCGATACATTGGAAGCCAAGCTGTCAAAGTAAGTGCGCGTTTCTCTAGTCGAATAAGATCAAAGATCTAATAGTTTTGTAGGCTTCAATGCTTATACTGTGAAAAAACCTTTACAAGCCCTGCTGTTTTGCGCAAACACATGAGAAAGAAGAAGCATTTCAAGATTGCTTCCAAGAACAGACAGTACGACCGATTCTATGTGATCAACTATTTAGAACCTGGAAAGAATTGGGAGAGTTTCGAAAACGACAACTATGATAGTGAAGATGAAAAGAAGGACGAGTAAGTGAAATTGACCTTTTTGTGGTAGACGAGTATTCATGCATCCCATGTAGATCGTGGGCAGATTGGGAGGAAGATGTTCAGGAATCGACCATGTGCTTATTCGATACGCAAGTGCTGCCTTCACCCAAAGAAGCATTGGAACACATGAAGACAGTACATTGCTTTGATCTAACTGAACTCAAAAAAACCAAAGGTACGTATTCTGACAGCTCAAGACAGCTATTTTGCAGGTATTCATACATAAAACACTGTAGATTTGGATTTCTATCAAATTATCAGATTGATCAACTATATTCGACACCAATCCTCTCTTGGCACTTGCTTTTCCTGCGGCAAAGTCATGGACAGCGAGACTGATCTAGAAGACCATTTTAAGCAAGGCAATTGCATTGCTGAATTTGTGCCCATGGACGCTTCTTTCTGGATAGATCCTCGCTACTTGATTCCAACATACGAAAATGACCCATTATTAACAGGGTTCGAACAAGACAGTGATGAAGACGACGAGGATATGGCATTATCTGATGATGAGGCAAACAAAAAGTATCTTCATCAGGTCATGGAGAGATCGCTGTCCATTTCTGAAGAGAGGAAACTAGCGTAAACTATACTGAATAAAGGTTTTTATTGTTATTTTGCAATAACAATAATGAGAGCTAAAACGCAACCCACAATAGTAATGATCAAGAGGAAGCAGCACATGTTTCTTCTTGCACTTTTTTGATGACGATTTGCAATCACAAGCTCATCAGCGGCTTGTCTGGTATTTTGTGCAATGTTCAACACATTGCCATAGATACTCTCTGTACATACAAGTCAATAACATACCTTATGCACTGTCGATGATACTTACGAATACCGCTTTCTTGTTCATTGACCAGCATGCCCATATCGCGGAAAATTTCATTGAGTTCAGTTATACCCTGCTCGATATTCAGTATTTCGTCCTCTCGCTCTGTAATTAGGAGCGCATTATATTCGATCTCATTATCTAAAGCCTCTAATTGCATTTGGCGTTGCGTATCCATCAATGATCCATGATGCTGTTCCTCTTCCAGCTCTTCCTCATTAGATCTATTTCCAAAGTTACTACATACTCCATCCTCGACTTTGCATATTTTCGACTTACACAGCTTGAGATTGAAGCATCACAGTTGTTGCCTTTGCTTTATCGACATATTCTCGCTGCTTACTTGCAGATAACCTCTGAGCTTTTTGGAAGCTGGACAGTACCTTCTGGAAATCCTTTGATAACTTCTGTTGCTCTAGTCTACGTTGTCTCTACTCAGAAATCGAATTAGATATACTGCCATATCAATCGACTAGTGTTATAAGCTTACAGTTTTTTTAGAATCCAGAGATTGGCAAGTTGATAATGATTTAAAGTCTTGTGTAGAGTCTTTGATAAGGTCACGAGTAGCGTTCGTAACATCGTGTCTATAAAGTACTATGAGAAACAATGCTCGCAAAATGATGGACGCTAAAGATGTTACAAGTTTCCGCGAATTTCGCTGGTATCTCGAGGACCACCGAGGAGATTGACAAGTCGCTCAATGTTGCTTATGTTTCCATTGATATGAAATATCTGTTGTGCAATGCGCTGTGTTAGGTCTTTATACTGTCGATCATCATCTGCAGATAATTCATTGTGAACACAAGGAGAATTTTGAAATAGAAAGCTGATGAGAGCCTACCTGATGCGAAAACTGTTGTATTTGGTGTAATTCTAGAAGTATTGGGAGAGCCAAGGCCCTGCTCCAAATCGTTAAAGGACATTTTTTATGCAAAACAAGAAAGAAAACGAGAAAGATTATTTGGATTACTTGGCAGCCCGAATTGGCATTTTCAATGTTGCCCCAACTTTAGCCAATACGGAATTCCCATTTGGAATCGTCGCATGATCTACACATCAAAACTTGTCTGTATGGCTTTGATACCTTGAACAATATAGCCAGTGAAATCAATGTACTTGTGATTTGCTTGGTCAATAGCAAATGTTGGTCAAGATATAAGACTACTAGATTGTGTGCAGATGTAAATAAATAGTACATGTAACTAAAGATATCCCCATCATTTTCATTTAATAGCGACAAAAAGACCATCTCCTTGTAAACTCGGTGGTAAAAATACCGCTCACTTCTCCCTTTGCAAAGGCGTAACAATACTTCAGTGATACTTGCTTCCAGCCGTTCTTGAAACTGTCCCCAGTTGCGATAAAATGGGCATTTCCTGTCTGAAACTTCTTATATTCAATGTTGTGCGTGAGTAGATTCCGGATGAAGATGGATGTTACATTGTAGGTCGATACTTTCTTGATTGTTTTGACCATACAAAAGAGAGTGGCTATAAACTGCATCATTTCGCCTCTGATGCCTTTAATTTTGGTGTATCTTGGCATCAAGTATGCGGCCAAGGCAGGACAAACATCTTCATTGTTGAGGTTAACGTGTTGCAAAGAGGATTCTTACCTCACTGCAATACTGCTACTTGTTGATCCTTTTTACCTTTGATTTGTATTGAGTGTGACATTTCATGAGATTTACATCTATTATGACCTTTCTCTGCTAATAGAACAAGCAGAGGGTTACATTTCACATTAAAAAAGCAAAATTTTGTTTAGAAATGATACATCACTGGCTGCACAAGCAAGTATTACCTCGATCACACTTTCAGTAAGGCGAGTTAGTAATTTGCAGCTTGTCCATTACAAATATATGCAAAAAAAAATGAAACGATAGACAGGGCGTTGGAGCACCTTGTGTTCAAAACTGCTTGACTATATCTTGCTGCTTTATTGTGGTGTGGTGGCAAAGAATCAAAAGTTTACTATGCATTTTGCAGAAAAAGGAGGAACAACTATTCCAGGCCCAATGTTGATGCTAATGACTTTATACCAGTAATATTGTTTGCCTACTTTGAAGGGTTTCTAAACAGATGAACAGATTTCCAGTCGCTACATTGTTGTCATATAATCTAGCCATTAAAATGTAACAAAACCAATATAAACTGAACGGCGTTTTGACACCGCTGTTTTCTGTACAGCTGCCAACTTAACTAAGCTTCTTCTCCATTAAATGGATTTTGCTCCCCTGTATTTCCTCTACAAAATGAGGCCGCGTTTGAACACCTACGATGCTTCCTTTCAAATATAGGTTTTTTATCCCCCAAGTTAAACTTTACAGCAGTGACAAAAACATAATTTTCTTTAATAATAACAGCAAAATAGAAACGTTCATGTGGTGCTCAAGTTTTTGAAATATGTTGCAGCTTGCATTGACCAATGCTGGCACGCATAAAAAAAGCTTGATATGCACCACTATTGCAAAACGTAGCTTTGAGCAATCAGTTTTGGACAATTTGGCTGGAGCTGACCTTTTCGGCAGTGTAGGTCCATGAACTATTTAAACACGATACCACTATAGTCTCCTGGCATCGAATCTCGCATCACAGAATTTTTTATAGCTATCGTGAATCTCTATTTGCTCAACTTTGATACAGAGTTTTGTTGTTAACTTTCCCCCCCCCCATTGTGTTGACACCGAACCAGCCTATTCGGTTTCAGTCTGTTTGGGATATAGATCATCTCTGAAAGGCAAATGTATTAAGCGTTGTATATTACATAAGAGGATCTGAGAATGAGCAGAGATGCATAGTAGAAGTGAGGGGTCTTTATTCAAGCAGCACGAAAGAACATGAGTGGTGCCATCAAATGGCTAATGTATATCCTGGTTCCTAGAGAGTGGTAGCCTATGGCCTTTCGTTCCTGGAAATGAGTTTCATCTCCGACAAATGTTCTTCTGTCAAAGCTATTAGGAAGAACATTCTATCCTGGATCATCTTTGTTGTTTATCCTTGACTGGTGGTTCATGAGTTCTTATGCAGCACATTCTCGTTAACTGGTTCAAGGCTTATACAGTTATCCCGCATTCAAGATCAAGATCCTATTGCTGCGGCACTGCCAAATAACTATAAATACCTTTGATATCTCACTAGTTTTGATCTCCATTCAATCTTGGAATAACTTTGTGGAATAGATCCACTATGTTCTGCATTCCGACAGTTCATCCAGTTACTAGATTTAGATATAAACTGTATGTACGCTGGATTAGATGTACGATATCGATTTATACTATAAGAAGATATGGACTTCAGATACGCTAGTACTATAAGATTCATACTATATAAGATATAGGCTATAGATGGCACCACGGGCATGGATGGCACTATAGACTTATACTTGTATTCCGACATTGACTACGGATGTTTACCATATCTGGATAGGCACCAAGATTAATGCAATATGAGCTTGTTGCTTCAGATGTGCACTTCATGATCCACGCTATAAGACACATGCTTATATCCGTGATACTAGCTACAGATACTTTATGTACTACAGACTTGTACTATATATGAGACATGCTATAGACATGCATACGATATGCTATAGACATGCCATATATCCAGATACATGCTAAAGATGTATGCTTAGCGATATACACTCAGATATGTGCAGTGAAATCAGGTTTAAATAGATTTCACAAAAAAAATAAAGCAAAGGTAAAATACAATAGAAATCAACTGTATTTTATTTTGTGTATAAAATGAACTGAAGATCCTGGAATTGAGTAAAAAAAGAAGAGTATTTATACATTTGCATCTGGCTTGTAGGATTAGTGATGATAGAGAGCAATAGGTGCTGCTATTGCGATATCTGGCAAATGTTGTTGATGTTTGATTTAAAGTGGTAATCAATGCAGGAGCACTGGCCATAAGGGTCGATTTGAGTAACCTTGATGGGCTTGGGTGAGCTATCGTCATAGCATGATTTAATGTAACCTTGATGGTTTAAAGTGTGATGTTTGTTATTGAAGCATGGAATCCTTTATCTGGGATATTGTGCAACTATGGCAGCAGGGCATAGTTGTCATATTTGAATATGCTTGTTATTGATTTAATTCTATTTGGATAAAGATACCATCACCTATTACGACCATCATGGGTGTGATTGAATACACTGTGATCAGGAGTGATTCATTCACACGATGTGCGATATAAGCGTGTATCTTTACTTTAGTATTTTTAAATGGGTTTTTGATGTACATTTGAGCGCTTTCATTAATAGATCCAAATAGCATGAATTTGAATGAGTGCTATTTGATGAACTTTGGTTTTCAATTAAGTTGCGTTTGGGTGGCTATTTCATTACAATATGTACTATTAATATAGACTAAGTAGACTGTACCTATCGGATACTTGCTACTAGATCGATATTAATTATCCTTATAGAAAGGATAGATCAGGGTACTTCGGATGAGAGTCTAATTATTCATCCAGACAGAGCTAAATCATGATTAGCTTGCTGGAGTTGTCTTTTAGCATGATTAGACGTTAGTTGATCTGAGTTGACTTATTTGTCAATCTAATTAATAGAACTTTTATCCATTGTTATAGTATATAAGAAGGATCATCTACCTGGCCAGTAGAGAGACTTCAGTTTACTTTACACCTGTCAGTTTGATAATAAAATATACCTTTATCAAGTTGACATTACTGTTTTTTTTATTCTTTTTTTTCCGTGAATTTTAGTCTATCAAGCCTCAAATTCCACAAACTTAATAAATATATTCAGTTATAATTGTATTTACTCTGTCTATATTTCGTTATTCTAAACACAGTCGTCTCTCCTTAATATAGAAGAGTGTTTAACATCGTGGATGGGCTTTAAGTCTAGTTCTACGGCTAGATATGGCATCTCTGTTATGGACAACCAAACATATCTTGCTCACATGATAAGCATCTGGTTCAATCCGTGCATTGTGTTAGATTCAAATTTGCATAATATCATTGACGCTCAAGTTATGAAATTACTGTATTGGCGCATCTCTAAAAGAAAGATCTAAGCTTCAGAGTTGGAATAAAAGCGTCGATCCCTTAGGGACTAAGTTCTGTACAATGCAGAACATCAAAAACAGCAGACAGAGCATTAATATACTCACTTGTTTGACAACACAACCGAGTAGGTCTTATATTTAAGCCAAACTCTGTCGAACTTTAACCATTTTCAAGCATGAATAACTCATGCTACAAAGCTTTGTGGACGCTTGGAATAGCGCCAAAAGTATCTTCTTGGCTACGCTTTAATTACTGATGCTTTTTTTCAAAATTTTCTTGGCTATCGCACATTCATGAAAATCATCATTTTTTCATGAGTATTAGCAAAGGAAAATCCTCAAAAATCAAACAATCACGTTTTTCACCCCAAAAATGAAGACTTTTCCTATAATACATATCAGACCAAACTGATCGTAAAGACGGAATGCAGCACTGGAAACTCTTTCTATGAGATTTTCCTAAGTGAAATTTCGACATTTTGGCAAAAAACATGTTTTCATATTTTTGCAAATTGCTCATTATTTTCGGTCTGAAAGCTGAATGTAATTAGCATCATTCGATGCGGCTTCTTTAGTTCCTTAAAGTTATATTAGAAAGCTGGGTGTGATAACGAAAGCTTTCATAGTCAAATTTGGTAAAAACTTTTAAAAGATGTCAGATCAAGACAAGTTTGAACACAAAAATACCCACTACACAGATTCAAATTAAATCGCCGCAATTAGAGCTGCCGCGACAAAAAACTGAGAGCAAATCTACTGGCCGTGACGTCGGATAAGGCGCTCTCTCATTCTTTCATACCCCTCGTTTTTTCTGCTTTTTGCAAAACGCGTTTAGTATCAAACCATGGTCGCTTTGGACACTTTTTGATAGATAATGACAGTCTAGCTTCTGATAATACTGTCGTGGACTGTTAGAAAGACTTGATGCTGCTTCTTTGAAGTGGAATATAGTAGGTACCATTCGATAACGAGCATTGGAAGGCATATAATTAACACTAATTGAATTTGTTTATTAGGTTTTGATAGCTTTTTTTGCTTGTTTGACGTGAATGCTGCTGCCATTACTTCTCTGCTATCTCTTTTGTCTGCTTTTTTGGTTTATTATGTCTGCTGGTTGCTTCTTTGGTCTTGGTCTGATCTCTGGTGTCGCTCATTCTTTGGTTTTTCTATGATGCTGGTATTGCTGCTGCTGTTAATTTGGTCTTTCCTGGTCTACGGTCTTTGGTGCATGCTCGTTCTCTGATTCATATCTGGTGATAGGTGGTAAATAACTTCTCTGGTATTTGTCTGCTCTTTACTGATGGCGTTTGTTCTTTAGTTTTCTATGGTGCTGGTATAGCTGCTGCTGCTAATCTGGTCTTTTCTGGTCTACTATATTTAGTGCATGCTCGTTCTCTGGTCTGTCTCCGGTAATTGCCTATACTCTTCTGGTCTATCTGTGGCTGTGGTAAGTGGTAAGTATCTTCTTTCTTCTGGTCGCAATGATATAAAACTTCTTTAAACGCTTATATTACTGCTTCCTTTCTCGTGATAATGCATTCATAATGTTTGCTTTGTTGCGCTTTTTTCTTCTTTTTTCTTTTGTTGGTAGTGTTTCCTCTGTAGCTTTACATGAAGCAACACTAGTCATTTTGTTGTATCGCAAACTTAAAATACCACTGTTGCTTTTGCAGTTGTGTGTATTTGTGTCATGTTGCTTTACATCCGACTATTACTACCATGCGCGTTGCTTATGTATGCATTTTTCTTGCAACAGCAACGAGCTTTTTTGAACATCTTTGATGCTGTGTTTGTTATGCTTTTTCTTTGACTCGCTTCGTGTGAGTGTCTCTTTTTTGCCTACATACTACTACTATACTCGTATAGTATTATATTCTTTTCCTTTATTATTATTATTATGTTTCTTTGAAGCATACCTTTTTTTACGTTGTGTGGATGTGCCTATCCCTGAAGCTCAACAAGACTTTATCCGACGCTAGGAGGTAGGTAGGCTGCCTCCACTTGGTTATCGCTACTTACTTTAGTGATGATTGAGAGTTTCAACGCTAGAATATAAAAGCTAGGTGGTGTAAGTAAGGCATGCTCTAGCACCTGAGGGAAATTTGATGATAGCATCTGCTATATTGCTATGTATATCGGAGCTTAAAATTTTGCCTCACATCAAAATAGGGGGAAACCCTCGCAATTTTTTTTTTAGGTTAGCGGAGTTTTCAAGCAATCTGATTGGCTAAGAGGTTGAAGCAACGAAGGTCTACAACTAGTTGATCTGTTGTTGATCTTTCATTCATTATAATTTTATGTTTGTAATAAAAAGGTTATCTAAATAGATACAGCTTAAAGTTCTCCTTTATTCAAAAGTAAGATAAAAATGCATTTATTTGATCTGGCATCTATTACACAGTTTTATGCGAGGGATGTCCTTTAAATTTATTGTTTGGGAGAGCTGCACATGCAATTCTTCAGCACAACGTTATCTACGTTGTTCCAACACTATTTATTCAGGATAGTTGCGAAAGCTATTATCTCAATGCTACTGAATTGAGTAAGTCCCAGCCAACCTCTAGAAATTTTAACCAATGTTATACACGCTATTATACCGCAGTTATGTCCATTATACATCCGAAGCATCATCTGGTATTTTGGGTATAATAGCATATGATTACTGCAATGTTTTAAACCATAAACATCGGTTATATAATAGTTTCAATCCATTCAGTAGACTCATATGCATTAAGTAATAGATAACTATCGCTAAATATGCCAGAATTGAAGTATAAAGTGATTCAGTAATGAGATTCGCTTAAGATGTAGTAATGCATCTATATATCGGTGGCGCTACTGATAGGTTGTCTGTGGATAATGAGCCATGTCAAACATCTGAGTCCATCCAGCTGATCTACAAAGCATCTTTAGTATAGGACTTCTGAAACGCTAGAATTAGTACCACTATTTTCAGGAATTTTAAAAATGTGAGTGCTGCTGTCTAGTATAAATGAATGCTTGCACCGTGATTTGACGGACCTGTTACCAAAGCTAATTTTTTATCAACTTGTCTATTTTGCATTTTTACTGTGTAATCAATAAGAGCTATTCGTTTATGTGAAGATAGCTAAGTAGTTGTTCATATTGGCATCATTGTTGTTAGAGCCAAAAAGCTTCCAATTTGTATTATATTCTGAAAGTGTTTTCCTTGATTCATTTGAACCTACCACAAAAACGACATGCGTAATTCAGAAAATTGAATAATATACTTTACAATCATTGATACAGGCCAAATAATATTTGGATTTCTCGTTTAATTATAGTATTAGGAGTTCTACATTAAAGAATATAAAAACTAGGAGGATTGAGATTGCATTAGCAAAAGGAGTTGAGATTTAGTGGAAATGTTCGTGATTGATTCAAGTCAAGGAGTAGGAGAAAGGGAGGTAAAAACTGTCAATTGAGGAGATAGGACGGAGGAAAGGAAGTAACATGCACATGTATGATACCGAGAAATATAAGCACATGGTTAAGTCATCTTATAACAATAAAGAAGAAGCTGCTAGAGTCATACCGAATGCAGCAACAGTGAAGATGGTGGTAGTGGAAGCAGAACTGGCAGCTTTAGCAGATTGAGAGCTACTAGGGACGGCAGATGAAGAGCTACCACCGGAACTAGCGCTTGTAGTGTTGGTATGAACGAGAGAAGGAGTTGCAGAAGCAGAAAGAGAGACTGGAGAAGCAGAAGCAGAACCGGAAGCGGAAGCGGTAGCAGAGACAAGGGCAGTAGAGGGTAAAGTAGCATTGCTGGTAGAGTTGCCAGCAACAGCAACACCACCAGACTATATGTATCACAGTTAGAGTTGAGCGCTGGCTATATTGTAGTTCATACATACACAAGGTTCCTTCATACAGACACAGAATGGCTTACCAGTGTCAAGGTTATCACAATCCTGCATGTGTAAAGTATGTTTAATTTGATTGGATCAAACAACAATATGTGGGCACACTTACATGAGCAGCGCTGTGATGAAGTCCAGGATTCTGTAGCACGTTTTATAATGAAATTTTAGTGATCTACCATTGATATAGTCCCATCATACGTGTATTTTACCATGGCATAGAATTCAGCTTCTGTAATTTGGAATTGAGCAGCAACAGATACACAACTATCGACAGCAGTAACTAGAAAAGAAATGATTCATGTTAGATCCAATGTCCCAAACAGGCGGGAAAAAAAAATTGATCTCACTTGTATAGTTCTTGAGACATCCTTCAGCAGGCTTGGCAAAAGCTTGACCGATAAAAAGAAGAGCAATGGATGATACAGCAATGAATTTCATTTTGATATTAGTTGAACTAGAAGAAGAGGAGATGATTGAATGGGAAATCAACCTGGAAAAAAAAAAAAAAAACTCAAAGTTTATATAGGCCAATAAATCCTCGATTGTTTGTATAACCCTGCTGGCATTCACTCGTGTTTGTAAGCTTATTGTAGATATTTAAAGGATGTAAATGGAAATATCAAACTTAAAGCGGTTAAAAGGTCGTTACTCAAACTCCTTTCTGATTTTGTAATGGGTTGTTAGTATTTGAGGAAGAAGGAGCAAGGTCGTGCCACTGATTTGATTGCGTGGCATCATCCCGCGCAGAAATCTTGCTTGTAGAATCTCGATAAGCTGTGCTCCAAGGAATACCTCCTGAATATAACTCTGCAGTGAGCTCGTTGAGCAATCAAATTATTGCAATGACTTGATCTATAGGCAAAATATAACGAGATGCTAAACTGCATCATTGCACAAATATTTCATGGAAATACAATTTTACCAATATGGTCAACTAAATTAAATTCTTTATTGCCACATTATAGAATAATTGCATTCAGTGTAATAGCTAGTGATTGTGCATTCAATGTTTCTGCCCTCCTCCCTCCTTGTTTTTTTGATCATGCATTAAATTGCATACTTGACAGTGAATATAGGCCCCTGAATCGAGAAAGTTTACTGCGATTTTCATTTAGAATAGCCCACCGTGATGACAAAACGGGATTCATAAATTACATACACAGTGATGTAGTACGAAATATGATTTCTCTATCAGTTAAAATGGTGGGAGCATGGAAAAACGGTTCAGTCTTGTATCAGCTAGACAATTGCATCCTTCGATCAAACGCCCAAGCTGTAATAGATTGTGTTTTTCCTGATCAAATGTACAATATAGTAGCAACAAGCCTGTATAGTTTATTGTTATGTGCTCAATTTCAACTAGGAATCCCGTTTATCGGTTGCTTGGATTCAGCATCTCTCTGTCTTTGCCAAGTATCAGGATGATACACCATCACCAGCTTCATCCACATTTGGCATTTCACGAAGCAACTTTCTCTACCGCAAAGGATACAGACAGGTTTTGCAGAGAGAAACAAACGACCCTCTATTAAGCAGTCCTTAGAATAAAGTTAATGCAACATGACATCCCTGCCTTTTTCTTCTTTCTTCCATAAACAACATGTATACAGCACCCGAACCCGGCTCAAAAATCATCATTGTAGGCGCTGGTTGCTTTGGCCTATCTACTGCTTTTGCTCTTTCAAAAGATAAACAAAAGAATTACGACATTTGGGTGTTTGACAGAGGAGAATCCATTCCTATCTCGGACGCAGCATCCACAGGTATATGTTGCAATCACTGCATGTCAATGCTACGCTTCTAATAGGATCGATGTACACTGAGTAGACATCAGCAAGGCTGTCAGGATGGACTATGGCAACAACACGCTTTACATGCATTTGGCTGTTGAAGCTATTGCTGCTTGGAAGCAATGGAATACTGAACGGGCAGAGAAAAATCTGGCACCTGTTTACCACAACACGGGTATGCTCCTATTCTCAGCCAACGGACGCTTTGCAGAATACGAAATAGACAATATGAAGAGTATCCGGGCGGCCGGATTTGGGGATTACATTGAAGAATTAAATGCGGAGCAGCTCAAAGAGAGATACCCTTCCTTGTCGAATACTGTTGATAATGGATATGATATTGCTTATGCCAACAAAGTCGGAGGTACTGTAGACTATCTAAAAACTGGTTGGAAGGGGAGCATACATCTCATTTTACTTGCAAATGGCATAGGTTGGTGTAACTCTTCCGAGTCGATCAAGCACTTGTATGCTGGATGCGTACAAAATGGCGTCAACTTTGTCTTGGGAAATGAGGCGGGCCGCTTCCAGGAGTTACTGGTGGACAATCGCCATGTCAGAGGCATCATTACTGCCGACAAGAAAGAGCATACTGCAGATCGAGTTATTGTGGCTGCTGGATCTTGGACACCCTCTGTGATCGACATGCACGGACAAGCAATTGCGACAGGCCAATATGTCATTCATTTTAAGCTTTCAAAGGAGGATCAAGAGCGTATGGCAACATTCCCTGTCTGGAGCGCTGATGTTTCAAACACTGGCTTTTACGGATTTCCATGCAATGAAAACGGCATCTTGAAGATTGCCAAACATTCGACTGGTTATTTGAATCCTTCCAACGTATTGAATCAAGACATTTCAGTGCCTAGAACACAATCTACGAATCCAAACGACACCATCCCTAAGAGTGCGCTTGCTGAAGCTAGAGCCTTTCTCAAGAAATTCTTGCCCTTTACTGATGCGTTGGATGTTGTCTATTCGAGAGTCTGCTGGTACTCAGACTCTATTGATGGCGATTTTATTATTGCACCACATCCTGATTACGATCATCTCATTGTTGCAACAGGTGATTCTGGACATGCCATGAAGTAAGATATTCCAAGCGTAGTCTCTACCGTAAACTTATTTTGCGATATATTGTAGATTTCTACCCGTCATTGGCGACAAAATTCGTGACATTGTAGAAGACATTGATTCAAAATACAAGCAAGCTTGGGCCTGGAAAGGAAAAGAAGCACCCAATGGATTCTACGATAGACCGTTGTTGGTAAAAGAAGGTGATCAATATATCAGAATGGCAACAAAGGACGAGCTACAAGCAAATAAAGATTAATCGTGAGATGTCTTTATGAGTTCATTCTGCTGCATATTGATGTTATTAGAAACAGGTTTTTTGTTATTATTTCTACTAAGCTAGCGTGTAATGCAATTACAGAGCAGTGTGTTGCAATCCATCAAGCTACAGCAATGCCAAGTATGGCACGATTCAGGTACCAGCATCAACAACGTGGGGCTTTCAAAACTCCGTGATTGATGCGTGTATATCATCCCCTCTATCAAAGATCCTCAATACAGTGCACACGGTCCTTTGTTTATGTTTCTAACAAGTAATGTTCAGCCCAAAAGAAGCACATCAACACAAATGGCGTGTTTATTTTATGGATATATATTTTATTTGATGAAAAAAAAAAGACGCAACATGTAAAGAGAGGATGGATAAAAAAAAATGACATTTGGATATAAGTATATATATATATATATATAAAGATGAGGATATGGATATCAGGTTCTATGAATAACGAAAGAAAGAAAGGGGGGTGGCGATAATATACAACAATTTTTTTTCTTGCAGTGCATTTACACATACAAACAGATGTGGATAAGGATTACTTTTGATAGAAAAGTGGAGAATCAGGTAAATCGGCTACGATAGCATTTCTACGACGAAGAGCGTAGACAGGCAGTTCGATGCTTGTATCATCATCAAACATGACAAGTGTTGCTTTGGCACGAGGACTCTTTTGAAGCCATTCATTGATTGAAAAAGTGGATAGAAATTCAGAGTTGGCCTCTTCTAGAATGGTGTCGCCGTCTTGGATAGAACGCATGTAGGAGCACGTTGGGTGGACAAAGACTTCGGTAGACATGTTGGCGATAGAGTAGTTTATATATTATAAAAGGTGAGGAAAAAGGGGAGAAAGGAAATGAAATTGAGCAGCCCTCTTTATATAGTGTTTTCAAACATTGAATTTCATTTGTCAACACTTGTGTGTGTGTATGTGCGCAAACATGTAGCATACACAAAGAGGAAGAAGCACGCGACCACTTTAGCCACGTGGGTGTTTGTGTTCTCTTGTCGATTACCTGTTATAATCAACCTCAATGTGAGAGCATGCTATTATTCACTGCAATATATGAGTAATTAGAGCCATTTGATGCCATTCATCGTCTTGCATCATTCTTGTCATATATACATTTAGATGGCTCCTATAAGGATCTCTTTTATATACATGCGTGTAGACATCTTTGCAGAAGACAGTCTACTCATTGCCAAAGAGGCTAGTAAGCTTATAGGTGTAGATCAGCCATTAATGGCAATACCGAAGCACGATTTGTGCATTGTCAAGTCTACTTCAGGAATACTCAACCTTGTCGATTACTTGAAATGAGAGGTCGGGCCACCTATTGCTGCGTCTCATTATAAACTCATGAGCTGTTAGATGCTATTTCAGCAAGATGAAAATGGTAAGCGGCATATGCGAAACCTACTAGTATTGGCTTCTAATGCGTACCAAAATGATTAAATTCATAGTGCCAAGGCGACCATGTTCAAACACAACATGGATGCTAATCTGTACAGAAGAGGAAATTCTGGGCCTTATGGCGCACTACCTCTGATCCAATAGAATCTAGCATTGTATTCCCATTTCACAACAAGGATGTAACCACTTGAATGCAATACAGACATTGCCAACTTGTCCATTGGTACTAAATTTATTTACACTCTGTAAAGCATTGCCATGAATTTATTCAAACGAGAATGTCTTTGCAGCCGCCTGTCCTTCCCATCGCTTTTCGTCATACACATCGTTCATCAGTTGTCTCTGCTTCATGAAATCAGTGGATATATAGAGAAAAGAACTAAGGATAGATGCTCTCTTGTGGTTCTCTAGCGTCTTGTCGTTTAGCTTCTTGTACTTGTTTTTTCGTAGCTCTGTTTCCATTGCAAATGCTTTGTCTGTCATTGATAAGTAGGCGTATTTGAAGGCTCGGATCACGAGTGATGAGTTGTATGATTTCATGCCAATATCGTTGGATGGGTCTAATGGATCTTTGATGGAGAACACGGCTCTACCATTTCTACAAGAAATGCCAGACTACACTCGTGTGTGAGATGTGCTGTATAGAATAACAAATCCACTGCTTACCTTATCATAATAACTTCCTTCTCCTCGCACATCAAGACCTGTCTCGTCCAAGTTGAAATTGAGTCCATACAGCTGAAAAAAGTCCAACAGTAGCACACCAATATTCTGCATTGGATCAATAGTGCCTGAAGCTACTTTTGGATGCATCTGTAAAAAGCTGACTACCAGGCAAACAATGGCATATCCACCCAAACCGCCTGTGAATACCTCATTATGTCCACGCAGCGCCAACAAGTGCTTTACGATCAGTGATATAGGTCGCAGTCCAGGATACTTTGCAATCATATCATTGATCTCCTCTGCGCTGTCCAAGCCAGATGTTGAATTCAAAACGATGTCAACTTTGAGGTTGGTCATGGTATCTGCAAATTTGATAACTGGGACCTGCAAAACCCACATACATTGGTCAACTGCTGCTATTCAGTGTCAATAATGCTCTACTCACGGTTGCGTGTTCAATGACTTGTGGATCACGGCAGATATCATCTTGCACAAGCGTGCTGGCAAGATTTCGAAGTCGTAGTTGCGTGGAGGGAGGGAATTGAACGACAAGATCAATATCACTGTTGGGTAAATATAAGGTTGTGGAGAAACTGCCAAAGACAGATACTGTAGCAGATGGCCATTTTGCTTGTACTGAGGTTCGTATGCGGTGTACCAGGTATTCTCTTAGTTTGATTTCTATCCTTGTCGGTTCCACGTATTGCACAAAGCATGTTACTTCACGTTGCAGTAGTCGAATAGCAGAGAGTGGCTGTCTCAGTCGATTGGAGCCCATCAAATCCATCCAGGGATAGCATAGAAGCGAGTCGTCGTAATCATCAGCGTCATTGTCGTCGCCTCTTTTGCGTTTCATTCCAGCTCGTTCATCGCTGCGTCGCTGCTGTCTACTGCGATTGTCGACTTCTGTATTCAATGAGATGAAATCCTCTTCTTTATGGCTGTCCTTGTCTTGCTCGTCATCGGATGATGCTGATGGAGCTGATGATGAAGCTATAGAGATGTGATCTGTTGTGCTCCTTGTAAATAGGCATGACGATAATCAAGAAAAAGAGTGACCTACCATCTTCGTATAAACCATCGTCATTACTAGAGTAATCGACGAAGTCATGATCTCGCTTGTACTTTCCTCTCTTCTCTTTGGCGTACTTTTGGCCCTTTCCTCTTGCCATGATCGACTACTTTTGACAAGTTGAGAGAATAAAGTGTTGCAAAAAAAACAAGGAATTGAAAGCGTCGTTAAACTCATCTTGTCATACAAGCCACCAATAAGTGATCTGCATGTTGTTGATAAGCGACATTCAATTGCCGTTGGATCCTGCAAATCAAGGACAAACAAAGGGGGGGGGGAGAGGATATCTGCCGCATTCCCTCTTGACTCACTGCAATGGAAGCCTCTTTAGTCATGTTGATGTAAAGTGATCGCCGTTATTTACAAAGCGTCTGAAAGATGCTTGGAAGCTGTTCTTTTGCCCCTCCCCTTTTTCCTCTCAACTCCACCATGTCTCTCACCATTGACCATGCTTTGTTTGAAAGCGCATTACAAACGTCTTTAGGTTCAAGCTCTAATATGCCAAAGAACAGCAAACTACCAGCTCAGAAACAAGCACATTCAAGCAGTCAGGCCACAGACGATGAGAAATCAGCCTTTCGAGTTACAAGAGTACGATTTATTGTGCTATTTTCTGGGTATAAAAACAACCACTGAATCAAGGTTTCCTCTCTACTAATGGACTCACATGCTATATAGGATGTTGCTTGGCTTCTTTATGGCAGCATTAGATACAACCATTACCATCACAGCACTCGGTGCCATAGCATCAGAATTCAATGCTGCTGACCAGATCGGATGGGTATGAAGATGGACATGCACACACTCTCACACAGTGTACTCATTTAAGCCATAGATTGGATCAGCTTACTTGTTGACATTGAGCGGATTTCAGCCCATCTATTGCTCTACAGCTGATATAATGTAGGTACGCTTAGAAACCTCTCAGGAATGCTTCTAACCTGTGTATGTATGATGCACGGTTCTGCAGAGGTCAAAAATACTCATACCTTGTGAGCATCACCATATTTATTCTGGGCAGTGTACTGTGCGGTGGCTCATCTACCATGAACATGCTGATTGTCAGTAGAGGTATTGTCTATAAGCTTCTTTTGTCAACAACGTTAACCAACATCAGTTGAAGCAATCCAGGGAGTTGGAGGCGCAGGATTACTTACTTCTGTCTTGGTCATTATTTGTGATTTGATGGACAGCAGAACAAGGGGTATGTAATTGCTTGTTACAGCCCATACTTGTGAAACTAAGCTCGAGATGATATTTAGCTGTTTATCAAGGCATACTTGGAGCTGCGTTGGGCCTTGCTACTATTGTAGGCCCATTGTTGGGCGGCTTTTTGGCAGATCAGCATCAATGGAGGTATGTAGTGTGTGATTAGTGCGTATGTCAAATAGAGCACCTAACCATTCTTCGTGATACTAGGTGGTGCTTTTACATCAACATATTCATGGGGTAACTACATACGTATGATACATGCTTGATTTTGCATATATTCTGATGGTTTAATCTATACAAAAGCGTTGTAGTCTTTGCTATCATTGTCGTCTTATGCGATCTTCCTTTCACCAGCAAGCAAACGGAACGTCAGCGCAATGAAAAAACCCTATGGAGGCAATTCCGTCAGGTGGACTATGCCAGCTTCTTCTTACTGATGCCAGGCGCTGTTTGCTTTCTCGTGGGATTACAGATTGGTGGTGATCAGCTTAGGTTCGATACGCCTCTCATCATAGCACTCTTGATCCTGGGCCCTGTATTTACGTCTCTGTTCGTTGTATCCGAGATTTGGATCGTACAGCATAACCCCATCTTTCCTCGACATTTCGTCATGTCCATCAACAACATGGCTGTTCTCGCAGGACAATTTGCAGGTGGTGCCGTGAATAACGCAATCATCTACTTTATTCCTTTGCATTTTCAAATTGTCAAAGGGGACACAGCAGTTGAATCTGCCTTGGAGCTGCTCTCGTTTTTCATCACTGCTGTGCTTGGAGGTTTAGTGTCTGGCATTGTGATCCGTAAGACAGGCCGTTATCGATTTATGCTGTGGAGTAGTACAGCATTGAGTACAGTGGGTGCTGCACTGTTGCAGACTTGTACAATTGATACGCCAAATGCTGTTCAATATGCGTATCTTGCGATATTGGGATTTGGAATAGGTGTTTTTAAAAATGTATTTGTGGTGGTTGGTCAAGCAGCAGTTCCCGTGGAAGAGTAAGTGCATGGTATATACAGTACTTGTATGCTCATAAACATGACTCATATACATAGTTTAGCGATTGCAACAGCACATGGACAATTTGCTAGGCTGTTGGGTGGCGCTTTTGGGGTAAATCTGGCTGCAGTGATATTCAAATTTTACAGCAACAGCTCGCTTGCCAATGCTTCGAAAGAATGGCACTATGAAGTATCGCTCAAAAACCTTGATTTATTAAAGGTCATGCCAGATATCATGAAAAGAAAGGTGCGCATCGTGTGCCTTGATGCTTTAAACAAGATCTACGTGATGGGTATGTACAAATGCCTCTCGTTTATGTACATTGTTGCTTATATATCTATCTACCACTGTGTAGTCGCCGTGGCTGCTGGTATCACATTCTTGTCGACCCTGTTTGTAAAAAAGTACAATGTATCCAACAAACTGAATAATGTCGTAGCCAAAAAACCGAATCCACTGCAATAAAGTCTACATGTCGCTCTTGGATTGCATGTCCATGATCGTCTCCTTTGATTTCTCTTTAGTTGCAGCGCTTTCCACTGTGGCAGTATCTTCTACTGCTGCTGGACTCTCTGCAGCAATCTTCTTTGGCAGTGGTTTGTAACCTAGTGCTACAAAGAAGCCCTCGGTTGATTGCTTTCTCGATGCATCTGGCTTTTCCGTCTTCACTTTTGCAAACATGGTCTGCAATCTCTTTCTGAATTCGTGCTCGGTCCCTCCCATCAAAAACTACATAGCCTTGATTAACATCACTCATCACACTCTGCCCCACAGAAACTAATCAAACCTTTGCTACAAATGAGCCGCCCGGTGACAGCACCTTCTCAGCAAACGTCAATGCTGACTCACACAGCTCCATACTTCTCGCATGATCTGCTGTATGATTTCCTGAGAAGCTCGGTGCCATATCCGAGCACACCAGATCCACAGATCTTCCATCCAAAAGCGCACGGATAGCGTTTTGTGTTTTTAAGCGCATGAAATTTCCTCTGATGAGATGTGCGTTGGGGATGGGATCCACAGGGAGCAAATCAATGCCAATGACGAGCCCTTTCTTGGTTACCTTTTCAGCTGCAACTTGCGTCCATCCACCGGGTGCTGCTCCACAATCCACAACAACATCATTGCGTTGAATAATGCGGTACTTGTCATTGATCTGTATTAGCTTGAATGCACTGCGTGCTCGATATTGGTTTGCTTTTGCTAATTTACAGTAGGGATCCTTGGCTTGTCGTGACATCCAGTTCTTGGAGGATGTAGAGTACAGCCGTTTGAGTAGTGGTATAGAATGATGCATTGGTTGCAATGAATATTTTATGTGCAATAGCAAAAAAGGAGAGAGAAATGTAAAGGGTTCATCTATTTTTTCAAATCATGGCACCCCCCCCCATTCTCTGTCTAAATGCACCACTGATGTTGCATCCTTATATCATTGCATTCTATGTATTATTTTCAATCGTAGTAAAACCACTACTCCATATCATGACTCTAGATCAGTGTCTATTGTCTGATTTAAACAATGAACCTTGGCTTTTTGCAAATGCTACTGGATTTGACTCTATAATGAAACCAACTCACTTTTGTTGAACGTTTTGAATCGCAATGTGCTTGCTTGGATTCAAAAAGTGGCTTTTTCTGGTGCTTCTGCAAATCGCACACTTTTTTTCCCTACTCCATACATCAACATGGATGCTATCGTTAATACTGCAGAGAAGAGCACCGAGCAATTCGTTCAATTCTTCTATCCCAGTTATGATACACAACGACAAGTAAACACATCTTGATACAAGATCGACAACAAGAGAGACTGACATGCTTATAGAATCTAGGAAACTTATACCGTGATAGTTCTGCCATTTTATGGAATGGTAGGGTGCGATAAATAGACGTTGCTATGTCAATTCTCATTTGTTTTTTGTTGCTAGGCAATGCATTTTCTGGAGCACAGCAATATTCAGAATTCTTGGGAAGATTGCCCATGTCTCATCATGAAGTGGACGTATATGATTGCCATCCCCTTCCAGCAACTATCAATGCGCAAGGTGCTTGTGGTATCCTGATCAATACCACAGGTACAGTCAAATATGGCGACAATCCATCTAAGCGTACCTTTTCACAAACATTCATATTGATGCCTGACGAAAAGCAAGCTGGCAATTACTATGTTCAAAGCGACAATTTTAGGTAACAAAAGACCTACTCGATATGTGATGCGCCATGTACATTGACTAACACACTATGGTTATAGATTCGTTTAAGGAAACCCACTATATAGTAATAAAAGAACAAGCATAGTAGATGTATCCAATTGTTCATGTAAATAAAAAAATACAAGAGAGATCCACACGACACTTCGCGTAACAAAAGTATGCGTGCTCGCGCGGGATGTCTGCAAAATTCTTTAATTCTCAGGAAAACAGATAATGTAGCCTTTCTTTACCTTTTTTTTTTATTCCCTGACTACCTATGATGCTTAGTTCTGGATTCCAGCAAGCAGCAAGCAGCAGCAGCAGCAGCAATATACCCGAATCCATTCCCACTGTGAGTATACATAAACGACAAAAAACAGGTATGCGAGATGGCTGCTATTACCAAGCACTTTTATAAACATTGAATTCCATTAAGATCATGTACCTCCGGAAACACCATTGCCAACGGACCACCAAGTCGATGACGATGATGATATGTTTGGAGATGATATTGCTTTGGATGAATTGGACCTATCTGCCATTGTTAACAATGCCAGTAAAAAACCAGACATGGCAATGAGTAGTGATATGTTTGACGATCTGGACATGGATGAATTAAATGACTTGATTCAAGCAGAGGAAGCAAGGCCCTCACAACCGCCATCAAACACCCTTGCTTCAAGAGTAAAGTAGATGGAATGACTTGCTTGCGAGGACAAGAGTAGCTAATAGGTAGAGTGCTTAGGAAAAGAGACGGAAATTCCTTCGATATCTAGTAGCCAGCATGACAAGTCAAATCTATGTTATGGATGAAACAAGGTACACTGAAAAGGTAGGCTCATTAGCAAGAGGGTAGTATGGCACCATAGACTAAGGCAGCAGGTAGGTTCTTGTATTGATCCAAGAAGACGAAAACCGTGCCATCACCGCTAAATTACGACAAGAATGGGAGCAAACTCGAGTTGTGGTGGGCGATGTGGTTCATATACCTTATACAACAAACCTGAAAGAGATCATCATTGACAACCAAAAGAACTTTATTGTGGTTCATCCAGATCGACTGATTTCATGTACGGCCGTCGCTGATAGTTACTCATGTCTTCGCAAATCAGTTTTGCAGCTCAAAGTGAAAGGTGTCAGCGAATACACAGAGGCACTTGTTCACGGCAACATTATTCACGCCGTCTTGCAAAATGCACTGCAAACTGGAGATTTTTCAGTGTCAAGCATCAAGAGACAAATGAAGAGCGTCATTGCCAACTCGCTGGAGGATCTATACGCTATGGATCAAGATGAAAAAACGGCATTGGACATTTTGATGGAGTATGCAGACCACATTCATGCATTTGGCACGAAATATGTAAACGAGTATCCACGGCCTGATGCGCGGGTCAGCAAGAACATGGGCATGAATCCCGAGGCCGAGATGGGGTGTACGTCTGTGTCGATCTGCAAAGTGTTGGATATCGAGGAGCATTTATGGAGTCCCACTTTTGGCCTAAAGGGCATGGTGGATGCCTCTGTTCAGCTTAGATTGAGTCCAACCAACAAGGTCTTGACAGTGCCATTTGAACTAAAGACTGGAAAAGTGGCAAAGTTCATCACCAATCGTGCGCAGACATTACTCTACACGCTGTTGATGAGTGATCGATACGGTAAGGTGCCACCCACCGCACATGAAACTAAATTGACCCTGTTTTGTAGATGTTGAGATTGGAGCCGGTATACTGTACTATTCCAAAGTTAACAGCCTGTACCTGATTCCATCATCCAGAAACGACCTGCGTTCATTGATCATGGCACGCAACTACCTGGCCATTGCCTGCAGTAGTGAAAGTCTGCCACCAATGCTCAGAAACAGCCATACATGTCAGTACTGTTATATCAACGACGCCTGTACGCTATATCACAAGGCTGTGGAAAATGGAAACGGAACAACCAGTGGCCTTTACAAATTATTTGACGACAAGACAGACCACATGACGGAATCCACCAGCAGCTTTTTCAAGCATTGGTGGGAGTTGATAGATCAAGAGGAAACCGACATTGATTACATACGAAAAGACATTTGGAGCCAGCCTGCCGAGATACGTGAATTGTCGGGTCGCTGCTTGGCCAGCATGGAACTCAATTTGGCTGCCAGTAGTGTGGATCCTCAAATAGAGCAATGGAAATACTGCTTCACACGTAATCCTAGCCAGATGGAGCAGCGCCCTTTGCTCTGCAACATATCCGTGGGTGATCCTGTTGTCGTGTCCAGCATGCAGGGTCATATTAACTTGGCGTTAGGGTTTGTTAGCAGCATATCAACAACTGAAATCGTGCTGGATCTCAATGAACCCTTAAGAAACCCACCACAACTGGGGTCATCCACATTTGACGCGCTCAACAACCAAGACTTCCATTCGTTCATTCGTTTCAAAGAGGATGTCCACAGCTATTACTCGCTGATGAACGTTCAATACAGAATAGACAAGGATGACATGTCGTCTGGTATGGCCATGCTTCGCAACAATCTTGTCATGCTGACAGCAAAATCCAACAACAGCTCTTCAAATGACAGATTGCGTGAACTCATTATTGATCTCAAAAAGCCCAATTACCACGCAACTACACCCCATGTACCTCCCACACCCCACATGAACCCAGATCAACGAAAAGCACTGATACGTGTGGTACAGGCAGACGATTACAGTTTGATTTTGGGCATGCCAGGCACGGGTAAGACAACGACGACAGCAGAAATCATCAACTACTTGGTGCGTCACAACAAGACAGTGCTGGTCGCTGCTTATACGCATACTGCTTTGGATAACGTTTTGATGAAAGTGCGAGAGCATGGTGTCGATGTCTTGAGATTGGGTAACTTGGACAAGGTGATGCCGGCCATGAGGGATTGCGTGCCATCCAGCAGTAGCTCCATCACAACAGTCAAGGAAATGAGAGAACTGTATGACAGTAAGAAGGTGGTTGGTGTTACGTGCCTTGGTATTGGACAGTAAGTGGTGCAGTGAAACGCTCTGCAAAAGATGCTCAACAGAATCTTTATAGTGTCTTGTTGCAGAAACGAGAGTTTGATTACTGCATCATAGATGAAGCATCGCAGATCACACTACCCACATGCATTGGGCCTCTTCGTTACGCCAAAAGATTTGTGCTCGTAGGCGATGTCTATCAACTGCCACCCATTGTGCGCAACAAGGAAGCAAATGAAGCTGGATTAGATAAATCGCTATTTGCCATCTTGGCTGAAGCAAGACCCGAGTCCATCAGTTATTTAGAGTACCAGTACCGTATGAACAGAGACATTATGGATGTATCCAACGCGCTGATTTATGACGGCAAACTCAAGTGCGGTAACCATCAGGTAGCATCCAGGACGCTGCAACTACCACAACTGGACGCTGGATTGAATTCCATGCATGAGCACAGTCAGTGCCAGAGCAAATATTGCTGGTTGGCATCCGTGCTGAATCCCAGTAGAAAGGTCGTTTTTGTCGATACGGATGAGATGAAGTGCAAGGAAAGTCGACCCCTAGGCAGTTTTCTACAGAACGAAGGCGAAGCACAGTTGATCCAACAGGTAGCTGAGACGCTGCTCAAAAGTGGTTTGGATGAGGACGATTTAGCTGTGATTTCAGTGTACAGATCGCAACTGCGCGTCATTTCTCAATTGCTAAAGACGAAGAAAAGCATTGAAATTGCCACAATTGACAAGTATCAAGGCAGAGATAAAGACTGTGTATTGATCTCGTTGGTACGTAACAACAACCAAGGCAACGCTGGTGATCTTTTGAGAGATTGGCGTCGACTTAATGTGGCCATCACGCGTGCAAAAAGTAAATTGGTGTTGTTTGGTTCTGCTTCTACCTTGAGAGCATCTGCGCTCTACAGTCAATTATTGGATTCGTTTGAACAAAAGGGCTGGTTGTGCAAAGTGCCGGAAAATGCACAAGTACTTCACAAGCGACAGGGTCCAACAGCAGCAGCATCAGCAGCAGCAACACAGGCCCAAAATGAGAACGAGCCTGTTCTATTGACACCGAAAGAAAAGAAACCACCTAAATCATTTCTGCCTACACATGCTATTCTAAAGAAGAATGAGATTTTGCAGGATTTGTACAGCAATGCACTTTAATCAATAAATTAATTTATTTGGCCCTAGAGCCATTTCAAGACATTGGGTGATTGTTGTCCACGCTGGTTTGAGCAATGAATGATATAACTTACAGTTGTAAAATAAAAAGGCTCCTCCCTATCAACACATCTGATGTAGGTATGCATACATGCTACAAAGCATCTCACTATGGTCACATCACGCATTCAATGTATGATGCTCGCACTGTGATGCTTCGATAGATTATGCGTATATAAATATACATTTCTTCTCCTTTTACGCCCCCTTTTTTTCTTTTTCTCCACTCCACAACATTTTGTATATATAGTAATTATGAACACGCTTCCTACTATAGGCGAGTGCAATCTTTGGATACTAGATCAATGCCAAACGATACTATGCTACATTGAAAAGGGAAACTTGGACATCAAGGACATTGTCCAAACAACGTTCGAAAGCACCAAATTACTGATCCATGCACTGGATATCTCACAACAAGACAAATGTAGACTACTGAACAAGCTTGAAAAGTATTCTAAATTCAAGCAAAATCAAAGCATGATCAAGATGCTGGTGAGTAGTTTACAAGACGGGCGGACGGGTAATGTCATCAATGCTGAGTACTCTTTATTCAAGGTTATCAACATTAAGGAAATCTGCAACCAAGTATCTTTACAGAATCAGTATTTTTTAGCAACAAGCAAAACCAACTTTTGTCGAGAAACAGAGAGAATACTATTCAAACATGTCGATTACAGCACTATTTGGCCGGATCAAATAGACGAGAAAGCATGTTGGTTTCGGAAGTACTTTGTGGGGAAGCCTTATATTACATTAATTGGGCCTACTTCAGAGGACGAGAGTGATTTAGCCATTGTGTCCATTGTCAAGGAAGCGATGACAAAGCCCAATACACAATACAGGATTATTGTTCGAACAAAGCAGGCAAGTTTGTGGGCCAATAACCAGCATTCTTTCCTGCTGTGTGTTGCTGATGTGAGTGTGATAACATAGGACTGGAACATGGGATTTATTGTCAAGGAATTGGATGCCACTGAATTGATACTACAACTAGACTCATTAGGCCAATTACACAAATTAGATTTAGAATTGGAACCACAAACAAAAAGAAATCGACCAAAAAGAAGCTTTTCCTCTGCCATCATTACAGGAATGACAAATCAAACATTTCTGCTCAACAGCAACCACCATCAACAGCAGCAGCAGATCACAGCTTCATTGATAACAACAGCGAGATTGATGCGAGCCTCTTTGATGTTTCTTTTTCAGGATGTCAACTTCAAATCATTCAAGGAAATTTCTGCCCAAGTTACCATCATGGCAGGGTTGGAAAAGGAATTCCTGAGATATGATGAAATAGGGGTATAAAAAAAAAAAAAAGGAAAAATGCCCGCGCAAAACCCTAAACGAGTGTCTCTAGATTCCAAAATCATACAAATTCGGTGTATTGACAGTGGGCGAGGGGCAGCATACTGAGGAGGAATGGTTCTCCAACACGGACATGTCGCCTGGATTTGACAAGTTCCTGAATATCATTGGAAAACCTGTCCAGTTGAAGGATTATCAAGGATACGCAGCTGGATTAGATACAAAGAGTACGTAGGCGAATGCTTCCTCATTGACAGTGGATCCTAACAGTATTGCAGCTGGTGAATCAGGTGAGATATCATTTGCATCTGCCTGGAGAGATCATGAAATCATGTATCATGTCGCTGCCTTGATGCCACTGAGGCAACATGACACGCAGCAAGTGCATCGAAAGCGATACATTGGCAATGGTAGTACACTTGAGCGCACTCTGTGATGGGACATGCTGGATTGATTCTTTTAGTGCATGTGTAGATATTGTATGCATCGTATTCATGGAAGGCGAAAATACACAGAGATTCACCCCAGAGTCCATACGATCACAGTTTTTGCATGTGTTTATCGTTGTATACGTTGAGCGGTTCCACCAGCAAGATGCATGGCGAGTGGAGGTACTGTACAATAAGGATGTCAAGTCATTCTCACCGCCTGTGCCTAGTCCGCCTATCTTTTATGATGAGGCTACATTGCGAGATTTTCTTTTACTGAAGCGTAGGTTTTTTTTTTTTTTTTTTTTTTTTTTTTTGGCGCTGCAACATATCTCGCACGATTTACTAATCTTGCTCATATAGTCATCAATGCCGAAAATGCATCACTGAAATCATCGGACAAATTCACTCTGCCCAACAACAAAGCACGTCTGTGTATTCTGAAAAGCTTGGTTGAATCAGGTTTAGAAGCTAGTCAAGTAGCACGATCTTTTGGGGCTCAACATGGAACAGCATGTCGCTTGGGTTCAGGAAGCAGCGCTGATAAAAAGCACATGTCAGAAAGGCCAAAATCAGCAGGAGCAGTGGCAGCGTCTACTACTACTGTCACAACAGCCGTAAGCACCGCTGCTATTCCTGTCATTTCAGGCAGCAACATCATTGAAAAGTCAGAGCAACAACAGCAGGCAATTGTTGCTAGCGATACAACCAGTCATTCAATTACTCCTGAGCTACCTCCCGTACCATCTATTTCAAGATCAAATGTGTTACGTGAACTTGTGAGCTTGACAAGGAGAAAAAGTAGCCATAGTCATAGCAGCAGTAATAATCACCATGGACAAGCAAAGTTCTACAGCTATCATCAGTTACAACAGCACAGTACCATCAGTGAGGATAACAATGAGAAACAAGGTAAATTAAAGTGGTCGCTTTACTCTCGGAAAGCTGACATCCCTCATCAAATCACTGCTTGACAGAACCCAATGCTTCCATTATCAAAACATCCTCTTCCACCCATGGCATTCGACACAAGGCTCATGCTGGGCTGTCAGGCATATTTGATAAGTTTTTTTGACTTCGGAAAGGAGACACCGGCTCAAACAGCATCATTGTGGCACAAGTGTAACTTTTTGTACATGCATTATTGATCCCACATTGCGAAGCTTTTATAAACAATCCCCCCCTTCCCCCCATCTTTTCGACCATGAATGGATGTATTTGTCGATTCAAGGACAAAAAGGCATTGAAATAAACATGGAAGTCTCGTTTCATCTATAAAAGTACACAGGTCGAATACATTTGAGACTTGGCAGATACGCCTTCAAAAGCATTATCATCCTACAAATTAAGGGGTGATCTCGTGCGACATGATCATTTGCAATTTTATAAATATATATCATTGGAGATCTCTCCCTTTGTCAATTAGTGAGACATATACAGTATAGTACGCTTTTTATTCTTTAGTGTGATAAGCCGTTTATAGAAGGAAAAAAAAGCCAAATAGTGAGATAATGGTTATAGAATTTAATGGACAAAAGAGGAAGAGTATAAGGAGGATGAGGATATGATACAAAATATTGGTATTAGCAGAAGAAAAAAGAGGTAAAAAAGACAATACGACGACTACAACAGGCCCACATTACGCAAGTTATCGTGCACCAAGATATCATTGATAGCATTCATGACAAATTTGATCTGTTTGGTCTCTGTTGCGCATGTCAGATGAGTATAGATTTGCTTTGTATCTGCTCTTGTATTCAAGGAGATGAACTTTTGCAAGAGATATTGGCACGCAGCATCATAGTTATCACCGCCTTTGTAATCACCAAAGTAATCGCCCAAGGGACTTCTAGGCAGTTTCTCGGCAAACAGGTCTATTTTGTTGAGGAACAGAATAATGGACGTCTTGATGAACCATCTCGAGTTGCAGATGGAGTCAAACAAGGTCAATGATTCTTGCAGACGGTTGACACTTTCATCTTCAAATAGGACCTGATCATACTCTGAAATTGCCACCAAAAACACCAAAGCCGTAACATTTTCAAAACAGTGGATCCACTTCTTACGCTCAGATCTCTGTCCGCCCACATCAAACATGCGGTATGTCAAAGAATCAATCACGAATGTAGTCTCTGTAATACCAGTTGATTTAACACGGGAACGCAGGACATCTTGATCGCTAGGCATGTAGTTTGATTGACCAATACGAAGAATAGAATCAAAGTAGCTGTGAAGAGCGCAAGTAGATTAGACATCACGCATTCTTGAAAAGCAGTAAAACGAGGCAACTTACTATCGTGCTGAATCATTTAGTTGGAATTCATTTGATCTCTGGACACACTGTTGCACGCCTTGGTCGTCCCAAAGCGAGGCAATGGCTTCTACCAGTTCATGTCCAAGATAGTCGATTTGAGGAGGCGCTTCCAAGACCAATCGCTTGTGTCCCTCGTTCTCTGGATTGTCAAAAGCAATGCCCAGGTTGTTCATTGCCTCCAGAGTGACACGCATGGATTGCATTGTGTTGCTAAAGATGACTTCCTTGAAGCTCTCTCTTTCTTCAGGTGTGTACCCGCCATCATGGATCAGTTTCATTTGCTTGAGAATAGTCGATTTGCCTGATTCACCAGCACCCAGTAGCAGCATTTTGATCTCTTTTCGAAGATTGACTCTGTCTCTTTTGATCTGTGCATCAATTTCTTGATTTCTTTGCTTTTCCTCTACTTGCTCGGTGGATTGACAGCAGCCCATGATGATTGAAATACGAATGTGGTATTGAGAAAAAGAAAAAGAAGAAAAAGGGGATTCGCTAGACACCTTTTTTCGCTTTTCTCTGTAGATTTATATACGACGACGACAAGTGTTTGTTTTCTTGGGATATTTCAAGGAGTAGAATGTGCAACCATCGTTGTTTTTTTACAGTTATGGAAACAAGCCTCAATCATGTCATTTAATATTGAATATAAACAAACAAGTTTTTGCCTTCTCCTTAATTCTCGTATTGCACAGACTCTTTCTTTATTTGATCAAGGAATCGGTGGCAACGGTTTCTCCTCCCATTTCTCTAAATCGTGCTGAAGTGCGTTTAGTTTTTGCCTCTCCATCTCCAATGATGATCTGGCAAATCTTTTCAGCGTCTTGATCATTTTGGCTGGGTGGATATTTTGAAAGTGGGCCAATTCGTCGGATATCAGTCGATGGGCTTCATGGATTTGGCCATCAATATGGTTGAGATCATTCATGTTTTGTATGACTTTTTCCTTGCTCTCTTCCATGCGCTTCTTCTTTTCTTTGGGTGAAAACAGATGATGCCATGTCTTGGATTTGCGCAACATTTCTTTTTGCAGTTCAATGCTTTCCCGCAGAGCACATCGTTGTTTGATCAGATGAAATGGTCTTTGTAAGGAGAGCTATTGATATGTGGATAGTGTAAGAAAAAGTATCACCGGAATACCAAAAACAGCAGACACCTACTAGTATACCATCTACCATGGCATAGGCCATTTCGCTCGCCTGAAGCAGCTCCAACCAAGGAGAGGTGCACTATAGAGAAAGAGATGAGATGAGATATTACATACACACACATGCACAAACAACAAGCTTACATTGTTTTCGAACGTTACATTGGCACACACTCGCATCGTTTCTACAGCGAGTGTGTTGCTTGTAAACATATCGGATGCCTCCAAACAAGATGCAGCCGCTAGCGTATCTTGTGCCACCAACATCATATTTCGCTGCAATTCTGTTTACATGACATTTTAGTACACACATCCTTTCTTTTCAAGTCTAGCTCTGCCCCTCAAACCTAATCCTATGTGCTGCAACTGCCTTCCCTTGAGCACCACGTTCAGGTAAAGCTCTTTCAGAGGCATCATGATCTCCTGTGCGTATGTCAAAAAGTATTCTTCGTCTTTACTGCTCACCATGCTTGTCGTAGTGAGCGGGATATCCTTGATCTTTTCCAACATGAGTTTTCTCCTTGAAAATGAGTTATCTCTGATGACCGATTTTTGTAAATCACAAGAAGATCGAACGAATGACATGACAAGATCATGGTGCTTCAAAAGGGGGTGGTATTGTAGCCAATCCATAAAGGATTGTAATTTCGTCAGTGTGGCATCGATCCATGCCAGGGGTGGTGGCCGTAGATCCATAGTGCTTGGATCGGTGAGCTGGCTGAATGTGGGTAAGAATAGCTCTGGCATCTCGTACAGTAGCTCCTTGCGTAGAAATGTAAAATCTTGTAGCTTTCGACTGACGATGCGCATGGTATCTGGCTTGCCTATCTGCCCGCTTTTAATAAAATAAGAGACTTCTGAAGTATGATCTTTAGTATGCTGTTGTATCAGGGGTCGAGTGACAGCCCAGGTATACTGATATAAGCTGTTATGCTTCATAATAGAAGAATAGAATGTCTCTCTTTTCAAGTGTAGTTCTATCATTTGTTCATCACGGTCAGCCCACAATTCACGCCATGTATAAAAAAAAAAGCTTACCGTCCAAGCAGGCAGTCAATTCAGGGATTCGGCATATATTTACAGGATGCTCGTCTCGCAGATTGACAGTGTTGATGACAGCGCCATAGTTGACCAATGCCTTGATGAATGCAATGGCATTGGCTATGCTGTGTGCTGATGCTAGTGTGGTTGTCTCTGCCGCAATGTGCAAAGCTGTATTACCATGACTCCAATCGCGCACATTGACAACATGCCTCATCCTCTTGATAATGTAACCCAAGCTGTCATTGCCAAAAGTCAAGTGCCTACCAAGGTGCATTGCGATCAGATGTAGCACTGTCCGTCCCTCATTGTCCACCCTGGAATAATCTCTGGCATAAGGAATAATAGCTTCTACCAGATCCAATCGGCCGTGCGCTGCCCAAGTCATCAAAGGAGATCGGCCAAGATGATCCACTTGGTTGACAATGACGTTGACATTGCTCGAGTGTTGCTTGATAGCGTGCTTGACGTACTCTAAGTTACGACATACATGAAAAAACGTCTCTCCCTTGTAGTTCTTTTTTCTAGTCATTTTGGGACTCGACATGTGTTGCATAATGTAGCTGATAAACGCCATAGACCCTCCGTTTTTCGCAGCCATGTGAAGTGCTGTATCGCCAGTAGTTTGATTGATTTGGTCCAATAGCTGGCCATGATGACCTCGCTGCACTACCGCTTGCAAGATGTCTAAATTATTTGTGCTGCTAGCATACAACGCTGCCGTATTTCCAGATAAATCGACACAGTCCAAGGTCTGGGAGTGGTCGAGTAGCAGGCAAATCGTGTCCATGGATCTGCTTTGGACGGCAGCAATGAGCGGCGTCTTGTGTTGGTCATTTCTAATCGTTTGGATGTGTTGACGGGTCAATAGCTCTGCAGCCATCTGCGTCTGTCCATGGAAGCAAGCTATCATAAGCGCATTATTTCCTTCGATATCATGTACGTCAGCTGCATCTTCGTGATCTATCATGTCTTGTCGAAACTGGTCCAGATCACCGGTCTTGATGCATGACCAAAACGCTTGATTTTGCTTTGATACCTTTGACAAAGATGGATGTGCGTCCAGGATATACTCGAGGACTCCTTCAAATGTACTCAGGGCATAGCCATATTTCCCAAATTTGATGTTTCTTTCAAACGTATAATCCTGCAACACGAATCTGTTAGATAAATGTACGATTGTACACTAGCTAATGCAACCGCACCTTCATATAGACTAGATTCGCTGTAAGATGAGGTACTTTGCTGCGAATCAAAGTGATCAGCAATAAGGGTATAAGTGAATCTGAGTCGCTGTCTTGCGTCAACTCGGATACTGTCTTGAGCAAACAATCTAACTTCTCTGCTGGTGTGCGAAACGCTCCAATCCTTTCAAAATTTTCAATGGCACTGTGAACTCGCCGCCGTGGATCGATGATGGTTGCTGGTAATGCAATTTGTGAGAAATCCAGATACTCCATATCTTCCAATGCGGATGTCAGTGCCTTGTCCTGCGGTAGCAGTAGCTGAGTGATCTTGAAAAAGGCAACATCGTATGTCAAATCCATAAAATAGCTAGCCTAGCCATTCAGCACATCAGCAATAGACATTGCCTCACCACATACCTTTCATAGGCTCCACACAAATTGTCTATGCTCAAGTCCAATGATACATTTGCAATGGTATTCAAATCCAGGCTCTCTAGAAGCTAATCCTATTAATTACTGAGCTGGTCCATTGATCTGATCTTGTCCTGCTCACATCATAGCCTTCGTACAGTATGTTTTCCATACATTCACGTAAACTCGAGAGTGTATCGCAACAGACAGATGTGTCACAAAACTTTAAAATCAACAGGTCTATTTTGTGTACAACAGTGTCGCTATTGTTGTTTGTTGGCACTAGTTTCTGAATCATTTCCTTGAAACTGTTAAAGAAAAAGATTAGAAAAAAAAAAGTGAAGAAATCAAGGTACGAAATCAATCACCCCAAATGATCCAACGAACGTTCTTGCTGCTGTTGCATCTAAAAAGGGATGATATGATGATTAACCACAGAGTCACAGAATATGACCACATAATGATACCTACACCTACCAGCTTGCCGTCGACTGTGGTTGCTAGATCAATGACAGGTTGGTCAATGTAGAGCAACAGATGCGTACAAGTTGGGTTCCCGGGCAGTGTGTATAGTAATTCCGCGTGAGTGATCTTTACTTTTCGTTTGCTGTGATCGCAGTAAATATTGCCACCGTATGCTTCATATATTGTATCATTCATTGCTATCATCAGCTGAGCATTTTCATCATGTTGAACGTAATTCTTCTTTTTCTGCAATTTCAACCGAGCATTGGCTGAACTGAATAGCAATAATCCCCATGGCACATGAATGACATGGCTTTCTATACATCAAAACATGAATATAGCTCTCGGGCGTTTCGATGGATACGACTTACGCAGGAAAGCGGTGTGAGCAGAGGAAGAAGAAGAAAACGCAAGATTACCGGTAATAGGAGGTAAAAGAACAATGGAGAATACTGCTTTGCTACTTAATTGAGCATCGTTTAAAATAGATTCCAGCATATAGCCAACTTGAACAAGTGCAAAGCACAAACAATAGCGTCTGCTTTATGCGGAAAACCCCGAGTTTTTATCTCGTTGATGGAGTTTGTAAAAAAGATGTCTTGTGTAATATTGAATGCTCTTGATATAATTTCCTTGCAACAACATGTAAGCCAACTTTTAATACAACTTCTCCTTAAAATACCTCTTTTATAGCCAGTATTTGTTTTGGCCGCTTCTTTTGCACTTTCTTTATACTCTCTTTTCTCTCATCATGGGAACTGTATGCTGCAAAGAGGAACCAGTGGATTTACTAAGCGAAGGTAAGGGCAAATCCAAATGGAAGCAAGAGGGGTTTTAATGAAATTCTGTATTGAACCACATTTCCACATTAATAGTTGAATTATCCCATTTTGTTCTACTGAGATCTGTGGGTAAGGGTGCATTTGGAAAAGTGCGAGTGGTTCAGCACAAGGGCACCAAGAAGCTATTTGCTCTCAAATACATCAACAAGGAAAAATGCATACAAATGAAAGCCATTGATAACATCATTTCAGAAAGACAATTGCTGGAACACATTGATTACAGCCTCATTGTCAATCTAAGATATGCATTTCAGGACGATGAAAACCTGTTTATGGTACTCGATCTCATGTTGGGTGGGGATTTGCGCTTTCACTTGGATAGATTGGGTTGCTTGCCTGAGAAGCATGTTCAATTCTATGCTGCAGAGATCGCTTTGAGCTTACAATACCTACACTCAAAGAACATCATTCACAGGTAACTGCTTGAAAATACTCATGACCTATCCCCCTCAACTCATCTTGACTTATAGAGATTTGAAGCCTGATAATATACTTTTGGACGAAAAGGGCCATGCCCATCTAACTGACTTTAATATTGCTGTCCAGTTGAATCATAAACGAACAAAGCCGCTCACTTCCATTGCAGGAAGTCTTGCGTACATTTCACCAGAGATTCTCAAGAAGCAAGGGTACTCATACTCGGTCGATTGGTGGTCGTTGGGGATAGTTTTATACGAACTTTTGTATGGCCAAGTATGTATACCATCATTCAGATCTTTTAACAAGATACTCATATGACGATGACGTTGCCTATAGAGACCATTCAAGGCGAAATCCAATGAAGATTTGCAAAAATCCATCATCTCTGATCCAGTCGAGTTTCCCAAAGAACCCAGGATATCTCACGAAGCCATGGATTTCATCCGTGAGCTACTAAATCGAGATATCTCGCAGCGTATTGGCGTTGGTGAATCTGGATTCAAGCGATTAAAGAGGCACCCTTGGCTAAAGGACACATGCTGGGATATACTTTCATCAAAGACAGTGGGCGCACCATTCATACCCGATGTGAGCTGTACAACGATCACGACACTATTCACTTTTATTTACCCTTCTCTTTTCTAGGAAAAACGATCCAACTTTGATCCAACTCACGAGCTGGAGGAAGTTTTGCTGGAGGACAACCCCTTAAAGGTGAAAAAGAGGGCACTTCAACCTAAAGCAAGCACTTCAAATGACGATCTGTCACATAATACCCTGGATATGAGCGACAATCAATTGCTCGAACAAAAGTTCACTGCTTACGATTATACAAAACCGGAAGAGAACGAGAAGAGAGCAAGAGCATTAATCTCATCCACAATAGAATCTCAACCCAATCGAAACAGCAACCGGAAAAAAGTAGGCCTCCAGATAATCCCACATGAAAGCCCATACATGTACTTACTTTTTCCTCATCATCACTGTGTAGGATCATCGTCAGCGCACCAATTCTACAGATGAAAATTATCCAATGCTTCAAAAATCGTCCACCTTGTTACAAGATTTTATGCTGAGCTCTGCTTTGAATGGTAGCAATAAACAGGATAACAATGGCAGCGACGATCAATTGCTCCATAAACCTCCTGCTGCAGCTCAAGGGACACCTCGATCCATCAAAAACCCTCTTCTGGGTGTCCGTGCCTGAGTGCTATTTAAACGAATTCTTGTTTTACTGTATTGCTATTTTCAATAAATCAAGTCATCATATAATACCTTCTTAATACATTTCATCATATCCCTCAAAACTCTATTCTCAGAATCGCAAACATCGCATATATTTCCATCGCAGAGTTAGGGTTTGGCAAACTACACCAACACCATCCACATTGGATCTGCCTTTGTTCTTGGAGTCACCTTATATCATGCTTTTACGCGAGTCATTGCGCTGATTAAGCCGTTGTTGGCTGACCATCTACCTGAGCTGTACAAAGTTTCAGGTCGTTATTCGATTTCTTTCAGCCTTTCAAACATACGCCATCAGTGATAGGGTAATAAGCAATAAATTCTCTCTGTATACCGAAGTAGAGTAACCATAGCAAAAAGACGCCATCTAGAAACCCAAAATCAACGTTCCATCTCATTTCGTCGCACATTCAGGTCCATAAGACAGTCCAACATAACTCGTCAACAGTTAAAGCAGTGGCAGGGGCTATACCTTGGAATCATCGAGAGCGGTTTTTCTCTTGGGCCTTTTACTTCTCTTTCGATTTCTCTTTGAATTTCGATTTTGAAATTCGAGCTTTGAAATTAGCAAGTTATTATAACGAAATTTTGGGTAGAAAACGATGGTATAATTGGAATTTAGATAGAAAGAGATGTGGATGAGGAAAGAGAGATTTTTGAAGTTTGCAAATTATGGAGAGATGCTACGAATAAAAGTCAATGGATTACTATATGAATATTTGTTGTATGTCTAGTAAAAGTTGTAGAGGGTACTTTTGTTGATTAGGGAATGTTGTATTTGGGCTTTCTGAGAAGGATGTCGATGAGTAATGAGGAAAAAGAGTGAAAATGGACAGATTTCAAAGGGCCGTACTGGTTGATTTTACTAAGTGAACGAGAGCTTCAAACTTAATAGCTTCTGTTTCTTTTTCAATTCTCTCTACGATGGTATGGTTATTATGGATAAATAAAAAAAAAAGTTGAATATCTCCTGCTTGTAGCTCATAAAATATAAGATTTTGAGCAAATTCATGAAGGGAACGTACACCTGGTACTTAAAACCAATTATATTATAATGGATATAACGTAGAGCTATCGAATGGTCTTTGTTTTGTGCGAATCCAGTGAGTATTTGTCGAGATATGGTCAAAAAAGAGTATCATGCAAAATCATGGATTTTTCTTCAAAATCGACGTGTGATAGCAAGCAAAAAATCTGGTGACGATTTTTTGGTCAGGACAATATTTTCAATATTTCACGATAGAAGCATGCTAGAGCTTCAAGCAATAGCTCATTCGATAGGAAATGTTTTGACCAACAATGTCTAGTAATGCTTGACAGAATGTTTTGATGACAGATACTGATTAATCTTTAGAAAACAGTGAGAAAATTGCAAAATTTAACTTATCAAATATCAGCTGAATAATGTACAGCAAACACTTGATATGAATACCATTGTATTCTCCATTAAATTCTCTACAAGTTTTATATAAGTTTGAAGGGGTGTTTACTATCAAGAAACGCGTAATGTTAAGGTCGATAGATTTTGGAATCCCATGTGCAGTGAAATCAGGTTTAATGGATTTCACAAAAAAAATAAAGCAAAGGTAAAATACAATAGAAATCAACTGTATTTTATTTTGTGTATAAAATGAACTGAAGATCCTGGAATTGAGTAAAAAAAAGAAGAGTATTTATACATTTGCATCTGGCTTGTAGGATTAGTGATGATAGAGAGCAATAGGTGCTGCTATTGCGATATCTGGCAAATGTTGTTGATGTTTGATTTAAAGTGGTAGTCAATGCAGGAGCACTGGCCATAAGGGTCGATTTGAGTAACCTTGATGGGCTTGGGTGAGCTATCGTCATAGCATGATTTAATGTAACCTTGATGGTTTAAAGTGTGATGTTTGTTATTGAAGCATGGAATCCTTTATCTGGGATATTGTGCAACTATGGCAGCAGGGCATAGTTGTCATATTTGAATATGCTTGTTATTGATTTAATTCTATTTGGATAAAGATACCATCACCTATTACGACCATCATGGGTGTGATTGAATACACTGTGATCAGGAGTGATTCATTCACACGATGTGCGATATAAGCGTGTATCTTTACTTTAGTATTTTTAAATGGGTTTTTGATGTACATTTGAGCGCTTTCATTAATAGATCCAAATAGCATGAATTTGAATGAGTGCTATTTGATGAACTTTGGTTTTCAATTAAGTTGCGTTTGGGTGGCTATTTCATTACACCATGGATCATCATTCAAAACATTAGAAATTGAAGCTCCGTTGACCTACCGCATATGTACACTACACAAGTATGCATTTGACCAAGCATTTTAAAAATCGGAGCGTACGAAAAGGGCCATATTAACTTGCTGGTTTCAAGTTATCAATAGATACTTGACATGTTGAAGAATTCTGTTGTTAAGACTAGACAACTGTAGCTTGCTTCATTCAAGAATAATAAGATTTTCAATTTAAAGCATGTATATTCCCCCGCTTAAAAAATCATATCCCTGTGTGATGCTTATGTCTTCTATGAAATAACGTTCGGGCGTGGTATGGCTGATAGCCATACACAATGTGCGCTATCGGTCGACTTCCGGCATCTTATAAGGCTTGAATGGGGATTTGTCATTTTGTTTCATTTCATTACTATGAAAAATCACTATATTATACAAAACGTTATTAAACTTATATTAATGAAATGGACATTTCTAGTAACACTCAGTGCATCGATTTGTAACATAATATGGCAGGCAAACAAACTGTAATTACATGTGTGCAACCCACGTTCAAGTGAAATGTACTTGGGATTTGTGTAAAATGCAAAAGTAGATTTTTAAAACAAATTCAGGACGACCGCCCACACCCAACCTGTGAAGATACGAAGCTGCAGATACACCAAGTATCTAATCTGCGAGGAGCTAAAATTACGACAGCTTCTAGTAGCAGCTAGGTTATCGCTTCGATGTATGAAATACATATATAGAATTCTACTATATGAATTGATAGAGTGCTTTCTGTATTGTATTAATGCAATATATAATCACTTCTTGATATGTAATATTGTGTTTTCTTGGCAATAAGAACCTTTGTTTGGCGAAAACAATGGGTGGCCAGCAACGGAAATTTTAGTAGAATGTTACTGATTTGCCCTGTTTCAATTCTACAAGACATGATCATGGAAAAAGGTCCTTGATTAAACAGTCCATTAGTGCTATGGGATATTCATCTTCCAAGTTTAAAACTCCAAAAGTCGTACTACTAGGTTGCGAGGTTTTTTTTTTTTTTATTGTTGGTTGTTTCCCATTTCATCCATCTTTCCTTTTTTCACCAAATCAAGACAAACACGCGAAAAAGAAAAATGGTACTTACAAGCGAAGAAATAAACATCATTGTTTATAAATATCTACAAGAATCTGGTAGAGTCAAACTCGATTAGAAGACAAGACAGTAAAGTAGTCTAATTTTTCGTATTTTAGGTTTTCGACATACATCGTTTGCCTTTCAATTCGAGAGCCAAGTTGAAAAGTCCACTTATCGTGACGCCCCCATACAGCCTGGAGCACTGATAAATATAATTCATAAAGGTCTGCAGTTCATGGAAATAGAAGCACACATGAATGAGGTTTGTCCATGAGACATATTGGAGAGGACGGTATTGCTAACAATCATCTAGGAAGGCGAATTGGTGGAATGCAATGTGCCATTTTCTCTTCTAGAACCGCATACATGTCACGTCAGTACAGACGATGCTGAAAACGAGCCTACAATTCCTTCATCCAGTAAATCACATGCGTTGCCTAACAGCAGTACAGCAGCAGCATCTTCAACTACAGCGGCAACCACTACCACTTCGACGAAGAGAAAGAGCAAAGAGGAAAAGAGGCAGCAAAAAGATAGAGAAAAGAGAGCCAAGAAAGAGGCTTTATTAGAGGATGAAGACATGCCAATAAACAATCGCGTGAAAGAGGAGTCAAAGAACGAGAATTCACTCGTCGAGAAAAAGGCCAACGGCACTTCTACAACATCATCTTTAGCAGCAGCATCCCAAGCAGTAGCAAGAGATATGGACGAGGAAATGACAGAAGTACAATCAAACAGTACGGAAATTAGACCTGAAGACGTCGTTATTCTCCAAGGCCACCAAAGTGAAGTATTCTCATGTGCTTGGAATCCAATCGTATCATCACTTCTTGCATCAGGGTAATAGCCAGCATACAAACCCACCATTGACATTTGCGTATATTGACGGTGTATATTGCTTTTAGTTCTGGAGATGCCACAGCCAGATTATGGGAAGTGCCAGAAGAAAGAGAAAAGCCAACTGAACCCATTGTATTGAACCATTTGCCCAACATGAACGACAATAAGGATGTTACAACTTTAGATTGGAATGTGAGTACTTTTATTACTGCTTTATTCAATTCAACTAATGTGTACATCCGGACTAGCCAACGGGAAGTTTGTTGGTGACAGGCTCATATGATGGTCAAGCACGTATATGGACACAAAAAGGCCAATTGCGTTTTGTAATGGGACATCATCGTGGCCCCATCTTCTCTCTCAAGTGGAATATGTTGGGAGATCTCGTATTGAGTGGAAGCGCAGATACAACAACCATTGTTTGGGATCCTGAGACTGGAGAAATGAAGCAGCAATTTGAGTTGCACACTTGTAAGTCTAGGGAGAGACTACAAAAGTGAGTGTGTGGCTCGTTGTATTAATTATCTTTATAGTGGCTATTCTTGATGTTGATTGGATGGATAACACAACATTCGCATCGTGCTCATCAGACAAAACTATATACGTTTGCAAAGTTGGATCAGCAAAGCCATTGAAAAAGTGGGTTGGACATGAAGACGAGGTCAATGCAGTTCGATGGGACCCCACAGGACAATACTTGGCTTCATGTTCTGATGATATGACGACCAAGATTTGGAGTATGGCATCCGATGAACCTATTCAAGAAATCAAGGGACATAACCTCCAGATTTACACACTGCAGTGGGCACCTTACTCACAAAAAGATACATCAAATAACTCACCGAGAATATTGGCTACCGCTAGTTTCGACGCCACAGTTCGCATCTGGGATGCACTCAAAGGAACTTGCCTACACGTCTTGAAAAATCACAGCGAAGCTGTTTACTCCATCTCATTTAGCCCTGATGCTCGTTTGTTAGCGTCTGGTAGTTTCGATGAGGTTTTAAATGTGTGGGACGCCAAGGTACATTGATATTCCATGTGATTAGCAACTAAAACTAACATAAACTATTGCAGGATGGCTCATTGAGAAAGACATTTAAAGCAGATGGCGGTATTTTTGAAGTGCATTTCAATAAGACTGGTGACAAATTGGCAGCATGCACTTCCAATAAGCAAGTTGTCATCTTGAATCATATGAAAAACTAAGCCTGTTGTCTCTCTAACCTACCTTCCCCTCTCTTTCGCTTTATAATATATATATATATATATATATATGTATATGTATATATAAAAAACTAATATTTTTTGCTCTTGAAACATCTGTTCCACTGTAAATTAAGCCCTCAGATGCTTATTCAGCATACAGGCAGTCTTCGTCTAATGAAAACATGGCAAGCAAATGGTCGTAGAGTGGCACTATCGCACATGTCTTTTTCAAAAGAAATGAAAACGGCGGATCGACTGCCCCGGATTCTAGTCGTCAAGTGATGGTTGACGACTGATTGGACAATGCAAGCATAAATAGAAATTTTTATGTGCTTTTTCCCTTTTTCTTCTTCTTTCGTATATTCAGTCAGTGTAAAAAAATCCAAGATGAGCTGTGGCTACTGTCACTTACCGCTTCGCAAATTCTATTGTGCTGATTGCATGCATGACAAGTAAGTACATTCCATGCCATTGCAAACAAAGTACTAACGCATCCTGCGACAGAAAACTGAAAAATCTACAAGAATTGGATACAATAGTGCCTGAGCGAGATAGCGCAGTCGCAGCAGCTACCGCATACTTTGAACAGACAGCCTACGTGCAACAATTGATAGCAGAAAAGAACAAACGAGCAACCCATGTAGAATCGCTTAGACACAACCAAATTTGTTTGTTGGAGGAATGCAACAAAAGTAGTATGAATGCACAGGCAAAATAGAGATCTAGGCTAATGTTTTTGTATCAAATCAGAAAAACAGCTGATAAAAGATCTGCAAGATCGAATCAAGGAGAAACGATTGTTACTTCAAGACGCTTCAAAACGGAAATCACAAGCGCCAAAGACATTGGACAATGCAGCTGTAATAAAGCATTGGCAAAGAACGCATAAGATGACGGTTGGAACTCGACGCATTTTGGTGAAAGAAACTACATCATTGTTTGAACTGAAACCTGGTGTAGTCGAAGAGCCAGAATTGTCCATGTTTTCTGCTGCTACTATGAATCCTGCTTCTGCTTCTATGACTGATGTCAATAGCATGTTGCATCAATCAGTTGAATTGCCACCATTCAGTCCAGCATCGTCATCCATACCTATGGAAACGAAAGAAGATCTATATATATGTGGAGTTACACTTCCTACCAGATTGATTGACGTGTCCAGTAAGTCGAACAGCATTGGATTTCTTGTGGACTTCTTACGATGGCAATGCTAGAATATCCCAAAGAAGAGCTCAATGCACCGATAGGCCTGGTAGTTCACATGCTTGGTTTGATTGTCCGCTATCTAGGCATCAAGTTACCCTTCCTCATCATGCAAAAAGGTACAAGACCTTACATCCGTACCATTAAAGGTAGTATACAGCTGTGGCATAGTGATAGGTAAAGAAATTCAAAGAATGACCTCCCACTCACGCAGTCATATCCATTTTGTATATGTTCATCACCCCCTCTCCCTATTCCCCACATATTCGCAAACACTACAGATCCATTGATTGATGAATACAATGTGATCAAGGATTGCAGAACGTTCAATGATTTTAACAACTTTCATACTGATAGAAAAATGCCATTGTTTCTTGAAGACGATGACAAGAATTTCAAAAAGTTTGTGAACGGCATGGCCATGTTGAATTACAACCTCGCCTACCTATGCTATACCCAGAATATCAAGATACCAGTGAGCCAAACAGCCAACACATTGCAGAGTTTAATGGCTTGTTGCCGAGCATCAGATTTGGGCATGTAAGTTTAGGTTCAATTACATTTGAAGGGAGACTTTTAACCGGCCCGGTTTTATGTCTAGTCAATCACACGCCTTATATTACCACAACTTGCGAGATGTCAAGTTCCCAATCGAATTTCAGCACATCTTGCACGCCACAAAGCTTCGTTATCGATGCAGTAGCAGTGCCAGTAATAGTAGCACACATGCCAACAACAGCAATAGCGGTAACACCAGTGTGAGTCCAAGTAGAGTGACATCCAACAACGAGCTGCACGATGATTTCTACAGAGTACGCTCCTTCAACAGCAGTAGCCGGCACGATGATTACGATCAGGATGAATATACTGGTATATACATCGACAGTGATGATGACAGTAACAGCCAACTTATCTCACAGCAACAGTATTACGAGCAACAGCAACAGCAGCTACAACAAAATCAACAGCAACAGTCATCTCAAACCGAAACGTGGAGTCTTGTAGAGGTTGCACCATTTTTATGATTCAGATTGACTATTTTATCACAAAAGTCTTGGTGGCTATGCTTCCCAATAAACAGAGGGTGATGGTTACTTTTCAAATACTATGCAATACCAACAAATTTGAAGAGTTTCACCCTGGATCTTATTGCGAAAAGTTCTTTTTTAACCGGGGCAATCTAAAACAACATGAAAGAACTGGAAGTTTTATACAGTAATTGTAAGATACACTGTTTATTACTGTCTTCGTGTCACGATGACAATGTAACATACGCTATATCCTCCGTTTTGGCCTAAGATGATGCTATTATACAGTGATCGCTCTCTAAAATGATCTAATTGCAGTAATTCACTACATTCATGCCATGGCACGAATGAAATGGGCAAACATCACCTGGCACTGAACCGAAAAATGAAACACCTGGATCATCTCTATGTTGGGCAGTTGTCATTAAGAATCAGCCAAGAACGTGCAAACACTGATAACAAGATGAATAAGCCTTATTTGTACTTAGGCATTTAGCATTACTACTCTCGACTGCAATATAATAAAGGAATATGTACATTTTTTTTATTTGATCTTATCACGAGTTGAATCCAGAAATAAAGGTGGGGATGTTATCTTGCTTCTCCAGCAACCAAAGAAGATGGTATTGTCAAAGTGTTATTATTAGTAGTACTAGATGTAGCTGTTGCTGTGTTGGCGGTAGTTGTAGCTTTCGATGTATTGTTGAATGAGCGTAATGACCCTGAATTCAATCTCTTCTTGGCTTGCTCGTTCCCTTGAGCAGCAGCCTTTTTGTACCAGTTCATTGCTTCATTGACGTCCTTGGGTCTACCGATACCTGTTTCTGCAAAATACCCCAATGCAAATTCTGCTTTAGGCAATCCCTTCGTTGCAGCCATCTTTGCCCAATAGAGTGCCTTCTCCTCTGAGGGTTTGATGTGTGGTTCATCACCTGCCAAATACCAAGCAGATAGAGCAAAGCAAGCCTCGGCGTTGCCCTGACGAGCAGCGATGGTATAGTAGAATACAGATGATGCATAGTCCTTCTCGCAGCCAAGATATCCATACTCATAACATTCGCCCAATCTATAAGCTGATGGTGCATAGCCTAATTCAGCAGCTTGTGCGTATAATTTGACTGAATATGCTGTATCTTTGAAGATGATGTTGTCCAAGCCCTTTTCATGCAACAAGCCTAGTTCATGAAGTGCGTGAGGGTATTCAGGTGTAGCTGCATCGGCCGATCGCTTCAACCATTTATTGCCGTCCTTTACGTTACGTTGCAGACCAAGAGCACCATTAATATCCGCTAAACCCAAACGATACATGGCGCCAGGATGACTTAATGTAGCAGCAATCCTTTTATAGTCAAAGACGCATATTAGTCATACGATCCGCCATTTTGCTCAAGACTTACTTGTAATACTGCACAGCCTTGGACTTGTTTTTGAGACAACCTAAACCATCTTCATAGCATTTAGCAGCACTAAGGGAGGCAAGTCATTATTAGTATCTCTTGGCAAAAATGAGTGTGTGCACAAACAGTGAATGCTCTGGCATTTAAAAAAAGCGCGAAATAAAGTTTTCCATCATGTCATGGAAAAAGAGAAAGAAAAAGAAAAAGATGGAATGAAAGGGATCGTCGTCGTCATGATGAGAGACGCATAATATATAAAATAGAGACGTGGCCAAATGAGACACTTACCGATATGCGGCATCCGCGTGTTGATGTTTGGCAGCTTGCACAAACAAAGGAAAGGCATTTCCAAAATCAGGCTTGCCAGATTTATGCGTGGCACCTGAAGCATAAATGTTGGCAAGGTAATACTGCGATTCAGCATGTCCACGTAGAGAGAGCGTCTTGAGGATTTTGACGGCTTCTTGAATGTAGGCTTGCTTCTCTGAAGGCTTCCGGCTGTTCTTTGTCGATTCATACAGGTAGATGGCGAGATCACATTGAATGGTGGGGTCATTGGTGCGCTTTGCGTTTTCTCGGTACAAATTAATGGTTTTATCATAGGACAGTAGCTCGGCTTTGTTGCCAGGCTTCAGATGGTTGTGATTCAAAAAGTACTCGCTGTTCAATGAAGGCAAACTAATGTTGGATGGATATCTGCCATGTTTTCCCATGACAGGAGGCGGCGTGGGAGGCAGTGATAAATTGATGCTTGAGCTTGACGTGGATGAGCTTGTAGCATTGCTATTACTAGCACTGGGCGTTGCTTGATTCTCATCAATGCTGGTGCAGGAGCTTCTGCTACGAGGTTTACTCTTGTTGGATGAAGAGGATGTGGAAGATGTTGAATGCAAACTACCTGTGCTCAATCTATGCATGTTGGCGGGCATCTTCTCTTTGTGGCGATGGGAGCTGCCGCTTGGGAGTGACATGTGCGCGGGTGGAGGAGGAGGAGGAGATAGGCTGTTTGGCTTGTTGCTCAATACAGGAGATGACTGGCTGTATTTGGGATTGACGATGGACGAGGGCTTGTTGTCGCTACTGCTGCCATTCGTTTTGACTGACCGAATCGAAGGTGTGGCGCTCTTTAGCTTGTTCTTGAAATCTCCAAACATGATATTAATTGAACAAGAAAAAGAGGAAAAGAGAACAGCATCCAGATGTTCAATCAAGGCCACTTTATTTATAACATGAAGGCGGTTATTTAATCAAACGTTAAAAATAACATTTTATCTCCTCATAAAATATAACATTTGTAAAACTTTTTGTCATAAACGGAAGAGCAAGGCCTCCTTTTAAACATGGAAAAGAAAAAGAAGAAATATCTATGGGTTTATTATTAGTGATTAAGTAAAGTGAATGGAAGTTGGGTATTGTATCCTGGATCTTGCGTCGCTGGATCATAGCTCTAACATTGGCAAATGTATTCGTGAATGTGTCTATTCTCGACCTTCTTATTTTTGTTGGGTTAAAACTAGATGAAATGACAGTTTAAGTGGCTAATAAGAGACACATTATGTAAACATCATACCACACGCTGCATCAACCCTTCTTCCTCGTCCGCTTGATTATCCTGTGATAGCTTGTCTTGATGCGATGAGACCCAATTCTGTTGAAATGTTAGTGACAAACAGCGGGCCCAGTATGCTGCTGTCCATCATCTTACCTTGACCAGACTTGACTTTCTCAAGAACAGCAGAATCAAGATGGATACAATCAACAGCACAGTCATCAATGGTCTTGATTCGCAATTGTAAGCCTCCTCAGTCATGGTATTATCATCACAAGTGGTCCAATTTACTATTCATATTCGGAAATGAGATTAACCGCCCATGGATAGAATGTGGTAGAGTATGTTACATGCCTTGGCTGCCATGCATAGAAGTGTGATTTGATGGTTCTAAATGTGAGTTGATTTTAGAGTCATTTTGATATGACGAAACCTGGTTGTCATTTTGCTGAATTGACTCCATAGTGAACCCGGAAAAACCAAAGCAGAAAAAGCAAGAAAAAGAGTGAGAGAAAAATATTTCTTCTTTTCGCTAAAATGATAGTAATAGTATCACTTATCCTTGAGCTGTTGTTGCACAGCAATCAACGTAAATGTCCAATCATTCAGTTGACCTGAATTTCAAAAGCATTTAGATTTCATGTACGTTTTGAACGACAATTTATACGATGTAGCATTCATCATATCCGCCTACATGCACAGAGAGTGAGGCAAAGCGGAAAGGAAAGTTTGAGATCAAGGCACCCTACTCACTCACCCTTGAACTCATTATATAATCCTATCAAGAACACCAGTAAATGTGGATCCGAGTTGCCGGTAATTACGGATCTGAATATTTAGTAATAGCCAATGTGCTATTCTTAGTAAATACAATCAGTGTAACATTCACTCGATATCAAAGTCTGACTACAGTGAAACTGGGACAGCAATATACGGCATATATCATAAGGATCCAGCTCAAATGTAGCACCAACCAGTTTAGTTCACAGTGTAAATAGAGAAGAAACCCCCATGTGGAGACATTAAAAACAACAACAAGGCCAACAAAACGGATTATCTCCTTTTTGTTTATCAAGCATGTGTGTAACTCGCTCTCTCTCTCTCTCTCTCTCTCTCTCTTTCTGTTCGGAGCAACAAACATTTGAGTGCATTTATGCACATTTTATTACATGCACCGTTTGTTATTGAGCTTGCTACATCTTGGATCGAGTTTTTCAAGGAAAAAGGGGTAAATGCGGCATGTGAGAGTCCAGCAACTCAAACGCAGGACATTGTCAGGTACCATGTTTAGTAGCATACATGTGCGAATAGAGTGCATGTATTTACAATGCCTCAGAGCATACACTACATACCATTGTTTGTGCGACGCGGTTATTATAACTGATTTGTCATTTTAGTCTTCCTAGAGACAGTTCAATGGTCAACATGTTACACTCCTCAAAGAAGGGTCACCATGGCAAATATTTGATGAAAAACACACAACATGAAACCTTATAACATATTGTCAAGTAGTGTTTGTTTTTTTTATTTTCGCATAATGTATTGCCTAATGGCTTTTGAACATATAAATAATAAGGATAAATTTTTCAGGAGTAATATAATACACAATCAAGCGGTTTCAATAGGTCTGGATTCACGCTGATTTAAATGTGGAGATTTGGCTTCGTTTTTCTCTGTAGCGGCAATAGTAGTCGTAGGTGAGGATGCTTCGTTATTGTTTTCATATGTTTGTTGTTGTGTGGGTGGCGATGATGGTGTTGTACCTCCTCCACCTCGATACGAATGCTGTGTGGGTCGTAGGTTTGTATTGTGTATTAATCGACTACTTGTTAATCCGTAATTTACGCCACCTAATAATGAACCGGGTAAGGTAGAATCTGCTCTGCGTCTGTTTCGTCCAGGCTTGTTGAATCGAGCAGGTTCAAATGTTTGCCAAACATACTGAGAGCATTTAGATGCGTTTGGTAGATCTTGAATCATCTTGGCAATTGTGTTTTTCCGAAGTCCAAAGAAATCAGGTCCTACTGGGTTGTGGCCATACTCTTGATTGCGAATAACAAAGGCGCGTCTAATGGCATGTGTGTTAATAAGCTTCCTCCTAGAACGTATCCATGTATTACCGAACAATGATAGTCCACACTGTTGTTGGTGTAGGTCCTGAATATGTCATTGGGCAATCATCAGCTGTTACTTCAAATTTGGGCTCTCTTCCATTCTCTAAAATACGACATGTATATTGTGTGTCACTTTTAGGATCAATCATACTTCTGTACCATCTAATATAGACTGTATTAGTCTTTGTTACCAATCTATGACTAATAAACTTACTTGCGCACAGTGTAGTTGGCCGGGTAGATATATCTTTGATTGTGATATGCTGGCCTATCGTATATCACTGTACCTAGATCAACCACTGTCCAAGAATCAATTTCCACGGGCAAAATGTAAGCGCCTTGATTATCTCTGTCTACTTCATAGTAAGTACGAGGCACTGTATTCACTTGCTGCTGCTGCTGCTGCTGCTGTGAATGATGAGAGGCTTGATTTTGATGCTGTTGTTGTTGTTGTTGGTGTTGTTGTGAATACATGCCATTATTACCATGGTTGTCCGCATTCATAAGTGAAGGGTTCTTCATCATATTGGAGGAAGAGCTACTAGCAGTGTTTACAACAGCAGGGTTCTTCTTTCTTTTCTTATTGCTGGGCGTATAAATAACAGGGATCATACTGTTACTATTTCCATTGTTGTTTTGGTAGTTTGATTCATCGTGCATACCATGCTGGCGTGGCTGTTGCTGATGTGGATGGTGGAGGTGGTGATGGGGTGGGTGTTGCGCTGGCGGATGATGATGCTTGTAATTTTTACTACTATTATTGGTATTTTCATTATTATTACTATTACTATGGATGTTATTATGTGCATGTAAATGAGTCGAGGAAAACGAGGGAGGTGGCGATGCCGAAGAAGAGGATGAAGATGTAGAAGAGGACGGTAAGTAGCGATATTCTTTGTCAGATAGAGAGGCAATGGTGAATGCTGATCTTCTACTGTTTGCTGAATCGGGTTTCTTATTAGTACTGGTATTATTACTGCTGGCATAGGGTGGTAATGTGGACGAGGGGATGGGTAATGTTAGCTCTTCCGTTTGTTTGTAGAATGATCTCGAGTTACTGCTCTCTGGCAAAGGTGAGTTTAGTCGAGATCGCTTGGCTGTCGATGTGGAAGGTGGCGAGGATGAGTTATTTGTGGTAGTTGCTGTAGAGGAGGATGGGAATATGGGTTCAGGTCTAAATACAGGTACAGAAGATAGCGATGGTAATCGAGATGGTAATGGAGGGCTACTGTCAGATGTTTGTACTCTATGCCGTAAATACCGATCGAATTCTGTTTCATTTCCTTTGTGTTGATGCTGAGAAGAAGGAGGTGATGCAGTAATTGTGCGTTGTATATCATTGTGATGATTATTGTAACAATTGCAAATAGGATGAATTGGGCTTAATGTAGACAATCTAAACTGTTCGAACGACTGATTTCTTAGGGCAGAGAAGAAATCGTCTTTGATCCATTTCATAGTCTATCAGAAGGTTTAGTCTTTGATTTGTATATTTCTCAATGGAAACCTATTACGCACCGGTTGCAGCTCAATATAAACATCAATGTTTAGATCAAATTTACCTGATTTGCCTCGAACAAACAGCTCGTCTTTTGACTGATCCATGATCCAGGACAAGAGCCCATGCCCTTCCCATATGAGCGAATTGCTTCTTTCACTTGGGCCATGTCCTGATTCATGAAAACTAGCAGTATAAACAGACAAATCGTGATCTCTACAGATAACATCCGGACTAAGCAAAAGAAGCTTATGAGCATCACGTGTATCAGTTGAAACTAAAAAAAACCACAACAATGATTACCTTGATGAACAGATGGACCATAAGCAAGTCTTCAATGGAATTGGCATTGATGCCAAATCAAAAGTGTCATCATTGGGAGCAGGCAGCGTAAATGTAGTCAGACGAGTTGATTTTGAGCCACGTAGATGATAGAAAACTTTGACTAGGTGTAAATGTGTGTTATTGGCAAGTTATTATTGCGATTTCTGCTGCTTCAAACCTTTAATTGATTTATTTTCGTTTTTTGCAATGGTTGACATGATACTAGTACATGTAAGTATTGTAAGCTTTTATGTCTAAATGTGTCTCTTTTTTTTTTTTTTTTCTCTTTTAAGCTCTCAAATGTATATCGAGCTATGCGAATGAACAAAAGAAACAGAGGAGAAGAAGAGAAAAGAAAGAAAAGAAGAAAAAGAGAAAAAGCTTTTACTCAACAGGTACAAAATATATATAACAAGCGTTGTGTGCGTATGTTGTGTGCTTGTGTGCGTGTGTGTGTGTTTTTATACTAAACTCCCTAATTGTTTACTGGATATAGTTACCTCTCTTTTACATAAAAATGATGATAATCTTGTTGATAAATAAGTTGTGAATATTCCCATCCCCATTCGCCCTGTTCAGTAACAGCAACAGCAGCAAAAGCTTGAACGACATGCAAAATGTTTGGGGTTACATTTGTTTCCTTCTTTCCTTCTCTTATCATTCATCATAATGATGCGTCTTCCAATCAAAGCTCAATGTTGTATTTATGCTTCTCTTTTGCCTCTTTGCTCACAATTGCTGTCAAACATTCGTTGTTCTGTTGTCGTTTTTCTATTTTAATTATACATCGTTCTTATCGATCTTTACTATTTTTGTGAAAACTGCAATATGAATCGAGCGTTGGGTTGCACAAGTGCAATAATAAGGCGAATCGAACCTGTGTCTTCTATCAGTCTCTTGCTTCCCGGACATGGCACTGGTTTCTGTGTGCAATTCAACCCAATGCCTCCGAAATTGTCCATATGCAAAAGGTAGTAAAGTGCTCATGAACATTCTATGGTTCTTGTTGCAAATGATGCTTGTACCCCCTCTTTTTTAGCCTTTTTTTTACGACCCAGATTGACAGGCAGTAGCCATCATCTAATAACAAGAAGGATCTGGTTTGCACGCAATCAAAAAACCTTATTAGATTCCAAATAGATCAAGAAAGATTCCAGTAAAGAAACATCTACTTGTGTTGAATAAGGAGGATGTAATACCCTCTCGCCCTCCCTCGCAACCTCTCTCTCTCTCTCTCTTTCCGAACCCCGTAGCGACCACACTAAGCCTCATTCAATTACAATACTCGTAAACAATATCAAAAAGTTGCTTTAAAAGGAACCAAGGTATGCAATCAAACGAAAAAAGGGGCAATTTCCGCGCAAATTGAACACCAACTCTACTCAATTGGTAATAACAAACCTTAAAATGTGAGTCTGCAACTTCCGAAAGATTGCCATTTCTAGACGAATCGTGATTTACGATTTTATATAGAAAATGTTACATGAAAAAGCTTATTGGGAGGGCCAGAAGCGTGTGAAGTTTAATGGCGCGGATTTTGTCTTTTATGCACCACTGTTGGTTCGAATTTAAATATATCGGTGTGTACTCTTTAGATACAACTATGCTACTTGTATTCCATCGTGTTAGGATGGCGCGTCATACAATCACATATATATTGTAGATATTGTCATGTACATTGCATGACATCATGGGCTCCTTGAGCGTTATCATTGGAGACAATGATGGAGTTTTCGATTTAGTAAAACCCCAACATCTTCTCTTCAAAATCAAACAAATGACAATCTGTATCAAAAAAGCTACCCTCAACCAATTTGATTCTCAGGGGATGCTTTCAATGAACTAAACAAGCACTGTTGCATCAAGCATTGGGGATGGGTAAAATATTTCCAATCTGTCAAACTAATAAATCCATGTTACATCAGCACGATCTTCTACTGGATCACATAAATACATATGATACTAAAGCATTGGTTAGTATAGGAAGATGATGAGCGGATTTATTTGATGATGGTGATATGGAATAGGATATCTTGTTTGCTAGAGAAACTAAATTAATTGTGTCCCCTCAGATATAACATACTACAGACGCATTTCATCAGCTGATAGAGAAGGGACGCAGGAATGTACCTGGTCAAGGGTTACATGAAACGTGAAAGGACTTATGTAATTTAAATATATTTTAATGGGTCCCTGTTTTTTCAGAAAACTGTTCATCTCCCACGCTTTGATCTAACCAACACATCTTCTTCGGCAGCATGTGCATGTGGCTTCATGGAAAGCATAGAGAACCAATGTTTGTCGGATATTGGATACGCATGAACTAGGGATATATTACAGTTTCATCTCTGGTTAATCTAGATGTGGATAAGGATTATTTTAATGCTTACCGTACTGCACATTCTTTTCGCAAAATCAAATATGATTTGGAAACCCTTTGGAATACGAATCAAGACGAGCCAGACATGATAAGTAGCCTTCTTTTTGTTCTTTTTACTAAAAAAAAAAAAAAAAAAAAAAAAAAAAAGCCTTTTGCTGTTTGCCATTAATAGCTACAAACACATGTATCAACATAAACGCCGAAATTCATGCACCTTTATGCATAGAAGTTAAATCTTAATCTTTGAATAGATCCTATATGTCGTGCTCACATTCACATGTAAGACGCCTTCAAATCATGCTCAGGGCAAGGATCCTGAACAAACGTATTGTTGATGAGAGCGGAGCATGTGAGCACACACTGATGGCTGAACAGCTTTGCATATGTCTCCATCTTGATCAAGAGAAAAAAATGGCTAGATACTCTCCATCATTTGATGGCAACACCTTGAAGGTTCTATCTACATAAATCTTTGATAATTGCTTTCATATTGTGCTGGATAGCTACACTGGATTGACATTAGCAACTGCTTTAATATTACCTAATGTCCATTATTTTGATATACAGACAAGGTGGTCAAAACCCTCTGAACCACGCAACTTAAATATGGAATGCTGTGCGGAACAAATGACAAATGGTCGCACGAATCATATATAAATATTTCTGAAATTAGATTGTCGAGTTACAGAATCCCTTTTTATTAATAAGGTTTGATGCGGAAAAATATGGCCCGGTGGTGGGTGTTCTAGTCAGTATTACCTTACGCTAATTGGTATAGAAGTAGATCGATCAATTTACTCTAGACTCTTCTTTGGCTGGCTACCAACTCAATTTTTTCATAATTTTACTATATATATCCTGGATATTATAATTACGCACTACAGTAGAATGCGTAGAAAGACACCATCTAAATTTAGAAATGACCAAATGCCGCAATATGCCTCACACTCTGTCAATTCAACAAAATGAGTTACCAAAAACACTGCTACCAGATGGATTACATGACCTAAACTTGAACCTTTGTTGTATTTACAAGGATCCAAATTACCCCTGGATCAGAATCTTTCGGAGATAGAAAATGTCGATCCACAAACAGTGAATCAGAAGAACATTAACGAACACTCTTCTGCTATCCAGAGAAGTAAGGTAATACGCCTTTCATATTTCTTTAGATAATAGAAAAAAGTAAACTTTGTAGTAAGCTTTTCCTTATAAGAGTATGTCCTAACATCTAAAATTACGAAACAAATCACTTTATTGTCCATTTACATCGTGTCGTACACTATTAGCAGTTCCCGCGTATTATGAATGTCGTTTTTTCCCACAACTGACTAATCTACATCGGTAGACTCTCTATATAATACGAGCCTTTCGACACTTCGGGTGGTTTCCTGACCTACGTTCAAACGGCTCGCGCTGCCGCGGGCCTTGGCTAATATTGCAAAATTAATATAGCTAAAATGTTAGAACCTTGATTGTTGATTGATATAGAATCACTAATCATATGAATATTTATGTATTGGATGGGTCTCTACCTTCGCTTCGCTTCGGCGAGAACTAACTTGCGCAGTGGCAGCTCGTGCTACCGGTTGCTCTTGCGTATCTTATCAAAATACTGCTACTTTCATTTTGACCTTCCACTTACACATAAAAACCCTTTATATTATCTGTGGATTTGACTCTTATGTGGTGCTTTACATCCATATACATGTTGCTATTTTATATACGAGCAAATATCGTACAGATATTATTCCTTTTTAGTCTATAGTCTCCCAGATACAGCAAAATCTGAGTGCATTTGAGCCACGTTTTCTCTCGTTCAAGGCCGTTTTAGATTGTCAGAATAGCACCAAACAGTTGCTCTTATCTGATAGTAACTTTCTGGCACCTTTGCTCAACTTTTTGGGGACCAAAAAAAAACATGGACAAAAATAGACCAAAAAGCATGAAGGGTACCTCATGGTTTTTACCGAAAATCAAACGATTGCATTTTTTTTACCTTGGTAACGAAGACTTTTACTATGGTATATCTTAAATCAAAATGTTTCTATCGATCCAGCCCAACCCCGATATCATCTTTGTGGGACATTGATAAGGAAAATCTTGACTTTTTAGACAAAAATCTCTTTTCATATTTTTGTAAATTATTCAATAAGTTTATTCAAAACATCTATATCACTTGGTACCATTGGATCCGCCTTGAAAAGTACTCCAAGAAAGCTTAAAGAGGCATAGGATGATTATCATACCTTACTTAGTCGAATCTGCAAAAATAGTTCAATCGAGTCGAAGAACATTAATGTTTGGCTAATCTAGAACAGACTATAATTCTGGGTTTGAATTAATTTTTGCTGGTGGGCTGGTTAATCATATATGAGCCAGGCTTGACAGATGCCAGGCAACTCAGTTTCCATATTAAGGCTGTGAAAGTGTCTGGGGACTGAACATTTATTATAATATGATATTGCGTAAGCGAATATTAACTCTCAGGGCATGTCTGCTAAAGGATCGATTTGACTAGAACAATATACAAGCGAGATCTTTGTCACATGCTTTTTTCAAGTAACACTGCCAGTATTTTGAGCCATCAATAAGAGCAAAATGCTCAATACAAGATTACTCTTTACTCGAAAAAGTCATTATATAGCGAAGATGAATTTAATTTGGGGCAATCTAAGCGGCAACGATTCAAGACATCATATGCTTTTGTCCATCTTATTACATTACTGTTACCTTCATCATAATCCTCCGTTTTTGCATGAGAGCTTTATAAATCTATCAATTTTAACTCTCTCCTGCGATGCACCACGTTTATATTAGTAGTGATAACTCATACAGTAGTAGACAACATACTTACATTGTCTCTTACTACTCAAAAGTATACAAATCACAGCGAAATCTGGCTGCATTGGAACAGCAATTTCTCGAGTTGGAAGCCGTTTTAGACCGCCAGGATAGTACCACACAATTGCTGTCATCTAGCACTTACTTTTTGGCACCTTTGCTCAACTTTTTTGAGATCACCGAAAAATGGAATAAAAACCATGCGGGATACCTCATGGTTTTCATCGAAAATCAAACGATCGCGTTTTCACCTTCAAAACGAAGATTTTTACTATGGCATATGTTGAATCAAAATGTCTCTCTTGATCCAAGGCAACTTCTGAAACCTCCTTTGTGAGATCTTCATATACAAAATCTCGACATTTTCGCCAAAAACGTCATTTCATATTTTCAAAAATTACTCGATACGTTTATTATAAACACGCTTTATTATTAGCGCCATTAGATGCGTCTTGAAAAGCACTCTTACAAAGCTTAAGGGTGTAAGGGATGACCATTACAGTTTATATAGTCAAATGTTGCAAAATAGATCAAACAGGTCGATTTTTTTTTTAAAATTCGACCAATCCAGATAAAAAATTACGTGTCGGAGATTCAACCAGATTCAGCTGACAAAAGGCCATTCCTATGGAGATAATCAGTTTATGAGGCCAACAAAAAGAGGATTGCGGATTGAAACGTACTGTAGTTAGGTATAAAATGTTTTTCTTGCTTTCGATGTGCAGTTTTATATCCGTTAACACCAGTCTACCTAGGTTACCACCCCAACATTTCTAAGCGGAACTTCTTTTTTGAAGCGTCCATCGACGAACAGTTTCTAATGTTTCGAGGTAAGTTTATAAGATGTAAATACTGAGAAATATTAAGGTTTAAATATGTATACATAAGGCGTAATGAGTTAATTAAAAAAAAATAGAATATTGGCTCTTAGAGTGCATGATAGGGGTAAAAGCGATAGAACAGCCATCTCTTATTTGCTTGTCAGATAAATGTTGGTACCTTTTCGACTTTGCTTTTCTTTCCCGTTGTTATATGTGGATGGCTTGATATGCGATGAGAGTAAGTCTGATTTTTCATCGCAGAGCACATAATCTTCTTCCACACCACTGTCTCCACTATCATCGTTGTAAATACTATCAGCAGCATTGGATGATGATGGTTCCATAGTGATTGGCCTTGTCAAATCGTGTTCTTGAATCAGTGAGCCGCCCTTGTAGTCCTTCAGGTAGAGTTGAAACGATTTGGGCAACTCGTCTTCCGAACAACCAACTGCATCCTGATACACATTGACCATGCATTCCATTGCTTCATACCAAGTGTAAGTCTTTGCCTTTTTAACTGCTTCACGTCTCAACTTGCCAAGTAAATGAGGTTGATTAACTAACAGCTCTAGCAATCCACGATACTTTCTTTGCTGGTCCTTTGCCGACAAATCCAATGTATTGAGTAACAGACCCGTGCGCTTATCGTCCACTAGATCCCGAACACCTTCAGCGTCAAGTCCTACAACAGGTAAACCCGATGACATGGCTTCCAAGACAACCTGACCAAATGTTTCTGTTACTGATGGAAATGCAAAGATATCAGCTGATGCATAAGCCTGTGACAGGTCCTTTCCTTGTAGGTAACCTGTAAATGTCACTGGAATACGTTTTGTTAAGCAGTAGTTTTGAATTTCATGGAAAGCTGGTCCATGACCCACTAGCACCAGATGGCACTTTTCGTGATCCATTTCTTTGTAGGCTTCAATTACCAAGTTGATGTTCTTTTCATACGACACTCGGCCAACGTACAGGATAACAGTCTTGTTCTCTGATTTCAGTTCTGACACACCCATCCATTGTGCCCGCAAGCCCTCAGATCTTTGCAAAGGAGAAAAAAGAGAGATATCGACACCACGGGGCCATAAGCGAACCTTGCCAAACCCATGGTCATTTAAAATAGCCATTGTTGAAGGAGATGGGCAGGCAGTGAACCGACTAAATGAGTGACAGTATCGATTCCATCTCCACATCATAGATGTCATGAACCCGTAACCAAAATGATCGCAATAAACGGCAAGGTTTGTATGATAAGAAGACACAATTGGAACATTCGGGAGATAATAGCATACAACGGCAAGTCCAAATGCGCCCAAGAATACGGGATCAACCAAGTGGATTACATCTGGTTGAAATTCTACTAATTTTTGAGTGAATTTTGGCCGCCAAAAATTGAATTTAAGCTCTGGATACAGAAAAAATGGTATTCCATATGTGCCAACAAGATCTGCCCCCGCATAAGTCGTCATGTTGGTTTCAGGTCCTAATAGAATTACTTGATGGCCCGTTTTTGCAAGATGCTCCAACAGTCGAGCCAATGTACGTGTTACACCATCGACTTTGGGTAAGAAATTCTCGGTGATAATTGCAATACGCATGATAAAAGTGTCAAGACGTAAACAACCAGGGGGGTGTATTTGTGCTGGAAAGAAAAAATACGAGGAAAAGAGAAAGATCTGACTATTAATAAAAGCGAGAAGAAAGTGGAATAAACAGAGAAAGTGTATTTTAAAGGAGAAATGTATCGTAGTTGCATTTACTTTTTGCCATGATACTGTAACACTTTCTTTGAATGACTCTCTTTTTTTGTATGGACAATATAATCCATGTTTATCCACATGATATATATCCAAAACATCTTATAAACCAATTTTATAGCTAGGCAACATGACGTGGAAATACTCTTCACCAGTGATTTGATGATACCTTCCTTGTCTGCTCGTTTATTCAAATTTGCATGTGTTGGATACGATTGGCTTGCTTTGACTTGATCCTGTTTTGCAAAAGGTCTGTGCAGTCTATTCTACGTTAATACAATACACACAATAGAAGTGTGATAAATCTTGTAAGACCACGCGAAACGATCGACCAATGTTTTTATCTCTGCCCTGCTTCTTTATCGTGGTACATTTGATTGGCCCTTTACCTTGAACATCCACGTTTTCTGAAAGCTTTATGGTGGCTGGCTCAGATTCGTTTATCAGCAGGTAAACCAGTTGGATGATAGATGGACATGATTACAATCATTGCACCCTAATATCTTGATTACATTACCGTTATTCTAAATTCTCAGTTGTTGATAACAAAATTCGTCTGGTTAGATGAAGCAATCCGATCAAAGTACTAGCCGAAATCTGTCCTTCTGTTTGTAATAGTAACGTATCACAAATCAAACGAGCATCATAAACTAAGAGGCGCAGTGCTTCAAATTTGTTGGGACAAAATCAAAATTTGGGCGGCCAAATAGCATGCGACAGTAACCTGATCAAGGTAGCCTTAGCAACGGCGAATGTGTATGCTATGGCCATTCGATCAGAAAGCAAGGTTGAAAAAAGTGCTTCGAATTACCTTTTCCAACCACATGATCCAGCGATATGTATCATGCATTTGCGTCTCAATGCACAAGGTGAGATTTCGCATTGTTGCCTCTTGGTAGTGATGTTCCCAACAGAATTTATTTATCCATTTAAGTTTCTCTGTGTCTCAAATACTTCAATGGCATCTTTAGAGTAATTTTCATCATTTGATGATACATGACGAATCACCAATAAGGCTACATTTCATAGGACACCTTTCAGTTGTAATCACCTTCCGAAAATCATTTATTAGTTCCTGAATATCTTTGGTACCGGTAGATTAGTGCAAAACTTGCGTCGATAGAACGGTCAAATTCTGAAACTTGGCAAAGCATTAGCTAACAAGGAGGCTTTTTCAGAACTACGGACTCTTAAAATAACAATATAAAACGGGATAAAGATGCCTGTTCTTTTGGGATGAAAAGAGCCTCCTTTTATCATATAAAGTAGATTTTCACATCCTTGTTCCCTGTATAAATAGGGTTGCTTTGCATTTTCACTTTTTCTTTTTTTTTTTCTTATTTTTTTCCATTGTAATATGTATTTTTATAAATCCTGGATAGCATCATGCATTCTTATATCCACTGTGTTACCATATTTGACATTGGGTAACAACATATTTATAGGAAAGAGTGTTTTCCAATAAAGCTAATGATGTTAAATACAGGACACAGCTTCAATGACAATCAATTGAATCGAATAGAGTCGATATCCAACCTCAGAGTCGACATTGCACCCAGATCTCGACATTTCTTTCAAAAGAGATCACAGTCAATGAATCCAGAGCTTTCACCAAAGACACTTGAACATGACGATTCGTTTCGTCTCACATTAAATGCTTACAATCAAACGTTCTATCTGTATCTCAAGCCCAACTTTGAATTGTTTCCCCCTCAAGCAGTGATGCATTATACAGGAGACGAAAATGATCAACCTATCCAGCAAGAAAAGGTACTAGTTTACAAGGGCCACACTGTCCGTTCACCCGAGATGGACAATCGCTGGATGCAGGAAAACGCAGACGTCTTGAAGCTCGGTTCTGAATTTGATGCTACCACAACACAACTTGGATGGGCTAGAATATTGGTTCGACATGATTTGATGTCTCGGTAAGATTTGCATTGGGTGTAAAATCACATCTCTATTAACTTGTATACGCACACACACACACACACAGACACAAGACGGATCAACCTATTATTGAAGGTGCATTCAAGGTACAAAACGATATTTACCATATTAAAGCAACCACCAATTATAATCTGGTCAAAAGATCCGTGGATATTACCGCTTCTGATTCTGATGTGATGGTCATTTATCGAGATTCGGATACGCAACAGCACCAGGGACACGAAACTTCACAAGCGCACGCATGTGGATTCGACAATTTATTGCATAGATCCATCGCGAAACGAGGAGAGGTGTCTAGAGATGCGTTCACCAAGTTGACTGGTCAGGGGTGTCCAACCACTAAAAAAAGTAACTATTATTCTCTCCTCAAATGTAATTAATATAACTAACTTATTATCGTTTATGGAATTTAGTTAATTATATGGGTGCAGGTAAAAAAAAAAAAAAAAAAAAAAAAAAAAAAAAAAAAAAAAAGAACATATGCCTATAGACAAACAGACATGCTGACGAGTTTTATTCAGCTGCTGATTGTACCTATGTCCAGTACTACAGGAGTGTCGATAATGCTAGAACTCAAATCATCAACAATTTCAATATAGCCTCTGCTGTATTCGAAGAGACATTCAATATCTCACTAGGTTTAATCAATATCACCATCATGGATCGCGCATGTCCACAGCGAATTGATCCGGAGATGGCCTGGAACCGAGCTTGTGATGCCAATTACTCTTTAGGTAACCGACTAAGTGATTTTAGTCTATGGAGATCAAAAATGAAGAATGATGGAGCAGGTCTCTGGCATTTGATGACCAACTGTGCGTAAGTACAGAGCCTTAATGTGTGGTTTAATATACCAGAGACTGACTGCGTGCCCTGTATAGCACTGGGGTGGAAGTGGGCCTGGCTTGGTTGAAACAGCTTTGCAACACAGAAGCACATGCCCAGGCCAATGCAGACGGAAAGAAGCAATTTGTATCTGGTGCTGGTATATCTGCTATCAGTAAGTCCAGGTTTTTCTTATGTTTTAAACACTTGGCCTAACACAAATTGTAATAGCACGAGATGAGTGGAAGGTCGTTGCACATGAAATTGGCCATGGGTTTGGTATGATGGTCTCTCTCTCTCTCTCTCTCTCTCTCCAAGCCAAGAACAAGATACTAACAACAAGTCTATTATATTAGGCGCCATTCATGATTGTGTAGCTGATAACTGTCCCTGCACTGGAAGTGATTGCAAATGCTGTCAATTAAACTCAAATCAATGCGATTCAAGCGGATTCCTCATGAGCGCTCTCAGTAACACATCAGCAGAGAGTTTCAGCCCCTGTTCTATCAATACAATCTGCGATGCCTTCCCTAGCATTGGCTCCTGTCTGGTTGATCCAAGTGACAATCGGCACCATGTCTATCGGTTGAATGTATGTGGAAATGGAATCAAAGAAGAAGGCGAAGAATGTGACCCGGGCGGAGTGGACACTGATTGTTGTGATGCCAAAACATGTAAATTGAAGCCAACAGCTGTTTGCGAAGACACCAATGAAGGTTGCTGCCGTCAGTGCCAAATCAGACCTAAAAACGACCTGTGTCGACCTGCTTCAAATCCATGTGATATCGCAGAATATTGCTCAGGCACTTCGGCCGAATGCCCAGTAGATACATCTATGCGAGATGGTACATCTTGTGGACCCGGTGGACTGAAATGTGCTTCTGGACAATGCACTTCTAGAGATGAACAATGCCTGTCCCGTGGCTATGTGCTAAACATCACTCGATCCTGCATCAAGAACAACGAAGAGTGTAAGCTGTTATGTAACTCGCCTGACAGTGAAAAGTGCTTGATCTTTAGCGGCAACTTTATCGATGGTACACCGTGCGGTTTTGGCGGTAGATGCTTTGCGGGTGAGTGCCATAATGGAGATGCTATTGGCAGCAGTATGCTCTACCTCAGTGACCATAAGGGCGTTGCCATTCCGGTGGGTATTATCGTCTTCTTGGTGGTATGTGCGCTAGGCTTTGTTCTGTTCTGGTTTGGCTGCTGGCGTTGTACAGGCTACAGAGAAAAGAGAAACAGAAGAAGGAGCAGAAAATCAACAAGTACGAATTCCATCAGTCCAGCCTACTATTCTGATAGCAGTTCTAGCTCGCAGGATCTACCTGGCTATAATGAGCCATTACAAGAGCTCACACCAGCCCCTAAATTGAGTGGTAAGGAGAAGCACTCTTTGGATTTCATGACTCCACCACCATACATTACCATCAATGCAGCTGGACAGCAACAGCAAAAGGAGAAGCATCACTCAAACGGGTCCACGTCGCCTTCTCCCTCGTCATCGTCTTCCTCTTCCAGTTTGGCCACTATTGTAAATACAGAGGACAAGATGAAAACCGAGAAAAATGAATGATAGAAACTGTAAATACGCCTCTTTTATTCAAGTATCATAGAATGTAATAATTAAAAAAAAAAATTAAGCAAGACTCTCCAGTACAGTTGCTAATGTCTTCATATCATCTCTTATGCTCTTTGCAAATCGAACAACCTTTTCCTTGTTATCCAGCACCTCGATTGTCTGTGTAAGTGCGTTATATCTCACAGAGAAAGGTCGGTTCATTTTGGCTGCAAAATCTCTCACTTTCTCCTGTGCATCCTTGAATGACTCTGCGACAAAATAGGTGGGCTGGAATTCTGTGATGGGGTATTTCTGAACGGCAGTCTTGGAGGGGTCGAATGGTCTAAGTTCAGGTTTATCCGATAGTGCATACTCAAGCTCACCAAATGAACTTAATAAGCCAGCGCCATAAGCCTTTATCTCTCCATCCTGACGACATAAACCAAACTCCACTGTAAACCAAAAGATAGTAGCCAATTTAGCAATATCTTCATCTGAGGCACCAAGAGATGCTAAACCAATTTCTTGTGAGAAATCAGCAAAATCGGGATCAGCAAACTATAGGTAATACATGTCAGCATGATGATTTCAAAAGGGGGAGCTGATATACAACTTACCAGTGGAACGTGACCCAACAATTCATGGCAAACATCGGGCTCGGGAGTGTAGAATGGCTTGGAAGAGTGTCTGATGTATTGAGTCGAGTAGAAGATTCTGAAAGCAAATGAGTTCAAGAAATCACGGCTGGACAGCAAGCCCATGACAGGGCGAATAGTGAAGCCAGTGCAGTCCTTCAAGAAGCGAGAGATTTGCTCGATTTGAGGAATCTTCTTGTCATTGTAGCCACAGTTTTGGATCAAAAGAGGCAAAACGTATTGATGCTCACGACAGGCATGCGTGGGGTACATGGCAGTCAATCCGCGGAAGACCTTACCCCAGGTTTCGTTTTCCTCGTCGGTATATTCGATCTCAGGAACGGCTTGACCAGTGCGGTAAGTCTTTGCAATACGAGTGATTTCAGCACGACGAGCACGGTAAACAGGGTCATGAGCACCGGGATGGTCAGAGCCTATCAACAGGTGGTTGGGTTGGCTACAGCTTTAACCGTGGGAAGATTTGCATACTTACTGAGTTCTTCGCCCATTTCCATTACCTTCTCTGCAAATGTATCCAAATCTGTCAACTTGCGTGGGAACCATGGGACGCTGTCTGGTGAAACATTTCACAGGTTAACACATCATAGTGTGTTGACAAGCAGCTGTCTATACACTTACCCCCAGTGGTACTATCAGAGCCAATCACACGGACATCCTTGGTATGCTTGCGGAGGCCCTCGACGACGTTGCTTACTTGGTTGGCATCCTTGGCATCGAAATCAACAAAGAAATCATAATCCCATTCCTTGGTACGGCTAGGACGACTGCAGAACTAACTGTGAATATAAGAGTGCTACAGCGAGAACGAATGACACTTACGACTCGATACGAGTAAGAGAAATGTCCATGGCTTTGATGGCAGCTAAGCAGCTTTCGAGACCGCCAATCTTGTCTTGGATAGCAAAGCACAAGGTGGTTTTCAAGTTTTGGTTAGTGTTGGCAGGAGACATGGCTGATTTAGTATAAATGATAAAGAAGAAGATGAAGAAAGAAAAGCTGGATGAGATAGCGAGCATTTTTATTCTGATTGATTTAATGTTTGCCACGGTCACGTGGGAAGCTGGAGAAAGCATGCAAGCATGCAAGCAGGCAAGCAAGCAAGCAAGGGTTTTGGAAGATGGATGCTGTCTATCTGCATGTATGCTTGAGGAAAATGGAGTGTCTTATCAGTGGGATTTGTCATACCATCTTCTGTAATGATATCAGTAATTTATCACTCATATAAACAAAAACTCATTCACACGATGGCTTGCACAACATCAACATTTCAACCGTAAATTCCTGATTAGCGAAGCATAAATATTTGTTGTTTTAGAGGTCAATTAGATTTCTCTCAGGTAAATTATATGCACACATACCATGACAAGCTTGCCAAATGCAGCACGGAAGCGGCTGTACATCTCTTGCCTTCATGCATCTCAATCTCACTGAGTATCTCAAATGAACGATTTTAGGCACAACGGATTCTTGGAAAGATCACATTGAAACGGGCGGCAGGTGTGTAAAGAAAAACCTGATACTCTTGTTTCTTGCATTACTAGAAGTATTCTTTTTAGAAATCGAGTCAATTCGTAGTACATCAGAATTCATAGTCGAAATAGCATGGGCAATGTTAGATTAGATGGCGCTTTTGGAGGTTTGCATTGGGATGAGCAGCTTGAAATGATTTAATCTTTTCAGGTATAATAACCCGTAGTTTAAGCAAAACAATTAATTTACGATATGCGCTAGTAAATTCCAATTTTCAGTGCCCTTCCTATGGCCTTCCAACGGCATCAATAACCTTCATCAAGAGCATGGTATCCGTCTCACCAGCTGCTGTATATATTTAAGCATCGCTATCTACAAATCCTTTCGATTCGTTGATTTTTGATCAAATTGCGACTTGATCAATCTATTTTGTGAGATTCGACTATGTAAGTTGGGAAAATTAGCCCTTACTTCCTAATATATTCTTGAAGTAATTTTTGAGGCGCATCTAATGGTGCTAATAATAAAGCATATTTAGAATAAACGTATCGAGTAATCTTTGAAAATATGAAATGACGTTTTTGGCGAAAATGTCGAGATTTTGTATATAAAGATTACTCGATACGTTTATTCTAAACACGCTTTATTATTAGCACCATTAGATGCGTCTTGAAAAGCACTCTTACAAAGCTTAAGGGTGTAAGGGATGACCATTACAGTTTATATAGTCGAATCTTGCAAAATAGTTCAATCAAGTCGAAACTAGTTGAATTCAATCAATTTTGAACAGGAGCAAAGCGAAATTTTAATCAATTTAGGCTAGCAAAATCAATCATATAGACAATCGATGTTTATGATACTAATATGACAAAGATAGCGTTGTTTCATCATGAGTAAAAGGCTTGAAAAGCAAAGAAATTTGTAACTTGAAAGGTACCAATTCTTTGTTTAACTCCTTTGCTTTGGCAGTGTATTTATATATCTAATAGCCGGAGTCATTGCAAACTGCTCATTTAAATGCTACTTCTAAGGCGAAATATTAGGATGCCACTTACTGAAATTGCACAATAAGTGAAGAGTCCTAGCGATAAGTTGAAGAGTGGGTATTTGCTACTAGTATATGTTTGGGCGGCGCATCTTAGCAGCAATTCTAATGTATAATTAATATCATTTGGCATAATTGCAGATACGGTTGATCATTACGGAAGGTGTGAAGATGGACAGGGCGATGCTATGCCAAGAAAAGACAACAGTGGCTGAATCATTGCTTGATCTTGTTTATGAATTGCTTTCTGTGTGCATCACTTGTCTCTATTGGTCAATACATTGAGCATTGACATTTGTCTATTTTAGACTTCAGCATTGCTGGCCGAAGAACTAAAGTGCTAGATGATTATCAATTACGATAAAAGGCAACATGAATTAAGCTCATGTAATTTCCAAGGTACACAAAGCGTAGAGCAATTAATACACGTGATTCGTACAACTTGTATGATGCCTGTGTCCTTTCTAATGTATGTAGCCTTTGGTTTAGTGCTACCTTTTCTCTCTCACTCCATATTCCCCCCTTTTTCTTTTGTTGTATACATAATTAAATCCATGTCAGAAACAGAAACGATCAAAAAAACTCGAAAGCCAAATGGTATGTGCAAAACAAAAGTCGAGAGCATGGCAAAACACTGATACTTGTTTCGAGATAGATAGCCCCTTTACGCAACAAAATTTACCTGCTTGGCAACCAGTGCTGACGCCTAGAGCTGTATTGCCTACGTTTTTCGTGGTTGGTATTTTGTTTATGCCAATCGGTGGGTTGCTGTACTGGTCTAGCAATAAGGCAAGTCAAATGATAGCGTCTTGTATAAAATGCAGAATATGAAACTTATGCAAACGATTCAACCAGGTGAATGAGATTATGATTGATTACACTACTTGCAACACTTACAGCCAGCCTGTTTATCTGGATGAAAGCAAGTACAGCTTCAAATTTTCAAATGAAAACACGACGCTAGAGCCGCCTGCGTATCATTTCGAGAATGTCACTGATTTCCTGGATTCAACATGGAAGAACCCAAATCAACTCAATATTCAGAGATGTATGCTCGATTTTACTGTGCCTGAAACCATGACAGGACCTATTTTCATGTACTATCGCTTGACAAACTTTTATCAAAACCATCGTCAATATATCAAAAACTTTGATGCTACTCAGCTGGATGGCAAGAAGGTAGACACAACTACGCTCAACACAAATTGCGGGCCATTAGGCACTAACGAAGACGGCCTGGTTATATATCCATGCGGACTGATAGCAAACTCCATGTTTAATGGTAAGTGCTTTGTTGGTCAATTTAGCTAGGAAGAAGCAGCCGATTTATTCTGCAATTTTGTAGATACTGCATCAGATTTGACTTCTGTATCCTCTACTAGCCCTGATTATGTCTTTCAAAGAACTGGAATAGCATGGCCTACTGACAAGAAAAAGTACAGGCCCACACAATACACCAACGCAGAAATTGTACCTCCACCAAATTGGTCGTTGCGCTACCCTCAAGGGAAATACACAGATGAGTATCCTGCACCCGATTTATCCAACATGGAGCGATTTATGATCTGGATGCATGTTGCTGCTTTACCTGATTTTAGAAAGATTTGGGCTCGAAATGATCACGATAGCTTGCAGGCAGGAAGATGGAGAGTATCCATTGATATGAGTAGGTGATGGCATGGGGGATCGGATGAAGTGGATAAGACTAACGCTATCGGTAGACTTTGAAACCACCATCTACGGAGGATCCAAGTGGATTGTCTTGACTACAACTTCACCATTAGGAGGAAGAAACCCTTATCTGGGCATTGCCTATATGGCCATTGGTGGTATATCCATCTTTTTAGGCACTGTATTCTCGCTTCGACATTGTATAAGGCCAAGGTAAGCTTCAATTATTCTCAGCTGTATTCCAAGAGTGGGCTCTAACAATACCTGCCATAGAAAACTTGGTGATGAGTCGTACCTTACTTGGAATCAACCAGGCGGTGGACTTCCTATGAGCAAACGTGGAAAGAAGTTGCTTCATAAAGATTAAGATAATACCCATTCTTAAGATTATCCTTGTACAATAATGTTCCTTATATTTCACCTATTCAACTTGCAAATACTTATACACTGGCTTCCTTGAACGACCACAGATAAGTAATAGGAAAAATTTATTATTAAAGAAAGTAATTTGTATACAGATAAAGTGCAGTATTAATCATCCCATTCACTGCCATCATCACTGTCCGAATCATTGTCTGATTGAATAGCCTTTTTACGATCATTCAATGCTGCTAATAAACTAGTTGCTAAATCGCCGCCAGCGGCAGCACCTCCTCCAGCAGCGGCACCTGCACCTGCGCTTGCCAACGGACTACTACGGTCTTTGCGTGCTTCAACAGGAGTGGCGCGGAGTGATGAGATGCCACCAGCGCCGCGAATAGCATCTAATAAAGCGTTACGAGGCTCAGTAGAAGCAGGCAAAGGAGACCCAGCACCACCAGAGCTTGCAGTGGGAGGAAGTGGAGGTGGAGGAGGAGCGCCACCCATAGGAGGCATTGGTGGAGGTGGGGGTGGAGCACCGTTCATGGAAGTCATTGGAGGAGGAGGAGGGGGAGGCGGTGGTGGAGGAGCACCATTAGCACTGGATCCCATCATGGGAGGCATTGGAGGCGGAGGTGGAGCATTGGATCTCACATTGGGTCTTTGTCCCATGGGTGGAGGAGGAGGGCCTCTTCTATCTCTGTTGGGAAGTGGAGGAGGTGGAGGAGGAGGAACTGATCTTCCTGATGGCATAGGTGGAAGTGGAGGAGCAGCAGGCACTGAGCGATGAGGCATGGACGGCAATGGTGGAGGTGCGGGTGCTTCTGGAGCATCGTAAAAATCGTCATCGTCCTCATACGTATTACTGTATTGGGATGCCACTTCTGGTTCATGCTCTTGTTGATACACTTGCTGTTGCTGTGGTGGTTGAACTGGAGGTTGAGGTGGAGGAGGAGGAATTGCCACAGGAGGAAGTGGTGGTGCTGGAGGTGAAGAAAATTGTTGTGGTGACTCAAGAGCAGGGGGAGAGAATGCTTGCTGCTCTTGATGAACCATCTTGTATGGATTGTTGGACTTTGTTGCTTGTGGCATGACAGGTGGAGGTGGAATGGAGCGAGAAGGACTACCCTCATGCGTGGGTTGGGATCGCATAGGAGGAGGTGGAGGCACTGATCTGCTGGAACTCTCACTGTAACTCTGCTGTGGAGGAGGTGGAGGAGGCGGTGGTTGAGATCTCACAGGTGGTGGAGGTGGCATTGCGTTACCAGGAGGTGACATTTGATGCGAAGAAAAGTTTGGCACTGGAGGTGGAGCGCTGGAAATAGGGGTCGACTGATATGTACCCTCTTCATGGTAGTTGTTCGATGGTTGTCGAACTGGTGGAGGTGGAGGTGGTGCCTGGATATGCGAACGACTGGGTGGTGGTGGAGCTGCTCGACGGCTGGGAGGAGGTGGTGGTGGAGGTCTTCTTCCTACATGCCACATTAATAAACCCTTATTCATTGTACGACATTAGCAGTATAATACTTTACCACCAACAGGAGGAGGTGGAGGAGCATGACGTCTTGATGGTGGAGGAGGAGGAACACGAGCCCTTGAGCCCATCGAGTCAGAAGGACGGGGTGGAGGTGCAGGCGGACCGCCTCTCTCATTAACAAACTCTTTGATAAAGTCCTCGTTCTCATGAAGCTCTTCAGCTGAAATACCAAGATCCTTTAACTGATCAAACAAACCGTTCCACTCAGGGCCAGTGTTCTGCACACTGAACCCTTTATCCGGCGTATAGCCAATATGACCCAAATGTCTATATGAGAATGACAAGTTCAATGAATAAACACTTCAATTTAGCAAGGGAAAGCCTACCTGAATTCAGAGGGTAAACCAATTTGAGTTTTATCCAACTTTCCCTTGGGTCTTTTACCGCTTGTTTCTATGTGTAAACACAATGAACATCTGCAAACACAACACATACACACCTCACCCTGTCTTACCCTTCTTCTTTTTGCTTTTGCTGCTGCTACTGGCCTTACTACTGGTTTTTGAGTTGCTTTCCCTGGTAGAGATCTTTGTGTAAAATACATTGGCATCCTCTACATCCGAGAACGATAATCCAGCCATGTATTCCTATTTTGTGTAGTAAACCAACTTAGTATCATGCACGCACACAAAGCGTTTCGCTCGTCAACTTACATCTGCGGCAAAAGAGTAAAAGAATGGGGTATGCTTGGTGAATTCGAATCCGTCGTAGAGTTCTTGTTCCCAGATTACACCTTTATGATGCTATTTAGATGGGCTGTGTTACTACTACATGATGCTTGCGTGGGCTATAATGTATACGTTACTATCAAGTCAATGATGCGAATGTACAGCGAGTGTGTCTTTTTGTCTTTGAGGAACGCAACAGCGCCCCAGATATTGGAATAGGCCCATTTGTGTGGATTGGGATACGCAACGTACAATCGAGCGACTGTAGCCGCATAAATTTTCTAATGCGAGAATGTGGTTAATTGGCGTGGATTTTGCTTGGGTTTTGTAGCTATTGAATAAACTTACGGCAGTTGGCAAAGCACGCCTTACTTTGTTCTTGTCTTCTGCGCTTGAGAGTGCAAGCGAAGGCATTTGATGAAAATATCCCTTGGCAAAATATGTGTAAAAGAGGAAAAAGAAGCTGAAGAAAAGGGAAATGTATTTACTTATTTTGGGTTGCAAGCAGCAGCTCTTTAGTGCGACCTCAACTTGTATACCACCAACAATATTCAAGCACAAGACAGACACCATTGGGTTAAAGTGCCGAAACATCTGTCGGTGGAGATGCCTCGTGTATACCTCTCTCACTTGACATACATTTGCCTCACTGCTGTAGCGCTTCTGATGGCATCAATGGTCAGAATCAACGAGCCTGTACTCAAGGTACCCTTCTGCTATAAATGTACATGCTCAGTAGGTCCTACTTGATTCTGTCTTGTCATTGAATCGATGCCTTCTTTCCATGATTGCATTGTACATCGTGACCTCATTTCATGTGCAATCGAAGCCACTGTAATGATTTACCCCCGCTTAACCATTTCCCCTTGTCCACAGCGACCCACAGAGAAATTTGGAAGGGGCTTACCTATCAAATATTGAAAGGCTTTCTTTTTGAATTTACATTCTTTTACCTTAAAGCGACTTGATACATCATGTTTGCCACAATCACAAAATCAAGCGCCCTTTCCAACAAGGTGATGACAGCTGTCAGATCAGGTAAATCATTTCACATCCCATAGGTTATAGTCGTTAAAGCAGAAGCTCATCCTTCAACGTATAACTATAGCACCTCGCTTCAGTTCAGCTTTACTCCACACTCAACCTGTTTACCAGAATGGCGAAAACGAGGACACAGCACCCATCAATGCACTTGGGGCACGTCTTGGCTTATCATTAGACACCAATGTTTTGAAGCAAGCCTTGACTCACAAGTCTGTGGAGGGCAGCAACAACAACGCTATTTTGGAATACATTGGAAAACGAGTTACTGGACTCTTTGCCACAGAATACATCCACAGCAGATTTCCACAACTCCATCCTGGCGCTTTCAACACCACCTTAAGAGCCTACATTGGCAACAAGAGTTTCAGCAAGATTGCCACTGAAGTTGGTATGCAACACACTGTGGATTGGAAGGCACCAGAAAACGATAGCGTCAAGTTGGGCCACTCTAGAGTCTTGGCTGATTGTATGAATGCGCTTATCGGTGCCATCTACCAAGAGCAAGGTCAAGACGCAGCCAAAAAGTTCATTCATGATTTTGTCTTGTCTCGTGATTTCGATGTTAGACCTGGTATCAAAGTGCAGGAACCCAAGCGTCATTTAAGCATATTGATGAAGCAATTGAACAAACAGCCTGCAGTGTCTCGATTGTTGTCTGAGACTGGTCGTCATTCTTCAGCTCCTGTCTTTGTTGTAGGCGTCTTTTCTGGAGAAAACAAGCTAGGTGAAGGATTTGGCAGCTCTCTCAAGATGGCAGAATTCCGCGTAAGTGCTATGGAGAGAATGATGAAGCATTTAATTTGACTTACCATTTGGAACTTATACAGGCATGTCAAGACGCTCTAACAAGCTACTACGGAAAAGAATACAAAGACTTTACATTGCCATCCGATGCTGAAAATGTAGATAAATACGTTGCTAATCCCTTGGGCAACACTCAAGCTATCGTTTAATGTTGTATGATTTAGATTTTTTATTTTTACTTTGATGTACTAGCAGCAGCAAAATAAATTCCTTCCTGTATAAATATGAGTACTTTTGTCTTGCTTTGACAGTGCGTTTGCGTACCTGAGCCATCCATTGCGTGTTCTTGGATGCACTTCTGGAAGCAGCGACTTCCAATTGACCAGGAATGGGCTGTCCAAATTGGTGGTTGCTATTGCTGCTCAAATAAGCATAGGTGTCTTCGTGAACAAATTGCACGGGTTGTTCACGATGCCACATCTTATCCCCTGAATTCAGACACTCTACTTTCCAGTTATCTCCAGAATCCTTTCCATCGTAGCAACTCACTTCTTGCTGTCTAGAGAGAGGCGATTGGTGCAAATGACTATGAAGGTAGCCTTGCGTATTGGCATGCTTTAATCGAATTGCTGATCCACAAGGAATGGGCTCACTATGTTGGCAACAAGCGTTTTAGATGAACTCGTCTCTTGCAAGTATTCTATCATCTCGTTACCCGCGACTGCACGCTTTTCCAGATGCTGCTTCCACTATCCAGAAACTGTTGCCATCATCCGCATTTGGGAAGCCCGTAACTGATTGCTGACCAGAACCACTGCCTATCATCGTTATCAGCAAGCCAATCCATGGTGTATCTACTGTATCTGATATGTGCCATTACCATATGTCACGCCATGTGAGTGCAATTTGTAGTTGTTGGCCTTGTTGGTCAATTTCAATGTACTTCCGCAAGTAACTTGCTCAAAACCTTTGTAACAAAATGTAAGTCTATGCGTACAGTATACAATCAACTAAATTTACCGTCTTGGATCTCAGGCACACTGGAATCAGCAGCAAATACGAAGGGAGCGAATGCTAATAATAAGTAGGTGGCCTTCATTTTGAATGATCTATTGAACAATAAATAAAATGAATGAGAAAGATGTAAGATATGTTGGTCGAATAGTGTGTACAAATGAATTTAATGGTCTGTAAGTTGATGATTGGCTCAATTAGCTCTTGAGTTCAAATCATTCAGTAATTGCTTCACATTCGTAGCTTCATATGAGCTCTGTAAAGTGCTCTTCAGGCTGCCAATCTTGAAAGTGCTGGCTATCGATATGCTGAGTATCTTTTGATTGCTCTACAAGATATCTTACATAATAGTGCCTGCGAGAGCAAGCCCGTTTGCAGGCGCATTTCAGCGATCCAAGAGGCTGATCTAACCTTGACGGAGTTGTGCCTCTTGAGCCAAAGGTTAGTGCCACCCCTACCCCTTCCTCAATAATTTTTTCCAATTGGAGTGTTCATTTCTTACATTACCAAAACTTGTCGGCAGTAACCAGCTATCGAAGAAGCAAATACAATATTCAACATGCTTCTTCTTGCCGCTAGATCTAGACCTATGCTCAACACAAAGCTTTGCATGCAAGCCTTCAAATATTCCACTGTTCCAAAGCAAGCAGCAGGTCGATTTACCAGCAACAAGTTGATCAGTCAACCCATTGAAGGGCATACCAAAGATGTGCAAAAGACATTGGTATATATAGGTAAAGTCTACATGTCTGAGACATTACAAGAATTTAGACACTGATACAGCTATACAATTGAGCAGGCCCTTTTGCAGAGACAATGAGACGATACAAAATGACAGCTTCGTTCTTTGGATTATGTGGTATCTTTGCAGTACCTGCGCTATTGAGTACAGGGCAAGCGCCTGCCATGAGTGTGGCATTAGGTAGGTAACCATGGCAACACAATCAAAGCAACTGGCTAATGCCATTTGTATCATTGTGTAGCTGGATTTTCTGCGGTATCACCAGCCATCTTTGTGCATTTATATACCAATGGCTATGTTACCAAATTGGTTGTTTACGACGATGTCAAGAGTGTTGAAAAGGACCGTAAAAAGCCCAAATTGATCAAGGACAAGTTCATTGGAATCGAGACAGTGTCTTTCTGGGGTAGATTCAAGGAAGAAACCATGTGGCTATCGCAATTAGCCTATAAATCAACACCCAAAGGGATCACATGGCAACAAAAGATAGGTGCTAAGCATGTATATACTCTCGAACGAGAGATCATGGAGGCAGATCCATATCTCAAGGCTTTGGCAGACCGTGTTCAGAGACGAGAAGCTTAGATAATGTAATGAGATACAGGAACGATTGGTTCCTTAAAGCAGAAAGATAATGAATCTCCTCCAAATAGAATGATTTATTTGTATTACCTTTCATTAAAGTGTAATCCATCATGATAAAATTAGCAATGAAAAAAAAAAGTTTTTCTCTTCTTTTTCTCTTTTCGACATTTATTAGAATAATGCCAACCTCATCCTCATCTTCGCTGTCTTCAACGACCTCAGCTACAAGATCCAAGCGTAGACCCTCCTATCTCAACTTGAGTTCATCACAGCAAAATGACATTGTAAGCGATGTGCTATCTCCCCGTACACCACGATCCATCTCAAAATCCAGAAGATCCTCTGTGGTCGCTGAGCATGTCCAAGAGGTAATTGAGAACAGCACCAGCAGCAGACGAGGCAGTGTGGCCAGCAGTAACAACATCATCGCAGCAGTAGCAGGATCAGGAGGACCTCCTTTGCTCTCTGACAGCACCAATTCCTACTTTCAGGACTTGTCTTCACAAGATGATGAAGCTATCCGATCCGAAACTCCTACATTAAAGGCAAGAACTGCATCGAGCGAAGATTTAAGAAACCGTTTTTCATCAACCGCGGCAAGTGCTAGTGGAGACAGCAGCACTAGCAATCGTCGTACTCGATCATCTTCCATTTCGAGTTTATTAGGTTCTACACATGTGTTACCTAGTTTCGATGTACACACACTATACAAGATCAAAACGACTCGCTCATCCAGAAAATTAGACCGTTTCTTTGGAGAATACGCCCCACATGACATTTGTATCAAGGAAATCAGAAAAGAGGGACTCAAGGCTATTTTAGAATCCAAGGCACCCTTATGCTACTTTTTGTACCATTTACTAGAAGAGTATAGCAGTGAAAATTTGGCAAGTTACCATTAAAAAAGTCATGATGGTGCTCATCTAACACAGATCAACATTTAGTTCTTTTTCATTGAATTGGAGCAATACGAATCCTTTTCTTACGCATCTCTGGGCCAACAACTCGCAACAGCACAGCACATTTTCAACACTTACTTGACTAGGAATAGCTACTTTGAAGTTAATTTAGATGACAAAGTTCGTAGAACAGTAACTCAATCACTGGAAAAGAAGAATGCCAAAACTTGTTTTGAATTCGCCAAGCGTGCCGTGTATTCGCTGCTGGAGTCCAGCTACATGCGATTCCAGAACACAGACACATTCCAGGACATGGTGAAGCAATGCGGTGAATTGACTGCACACTATAACGATGAAGCCAGGGCAGCAGCAGTGAACAAACTCCTCGCTTACGTTGAGCAGCAGCATCTGAAGATCTATGCCAATGATAATCCCACCGCCGTATTTCAAAGTACCACCATCAGACGACATGAACTGATCAAATCCATGATTCATGAGTTTTGTCGTACCTTGGTGGGTGTAGAATTTAACTATTACACACCTGATACGTCCAGCAGCAGTATCCATGAAGAGACATCAGATACCACTGCTTCAGGAGCCAGCAAATTCCGCCACGTTGGATTCCCTTCATTTGGCAATGGACCTAGTGCAAATAAAAAGAGATAAAATAGAGCCAAAAGGAGTGTATACATAGATGATGTGCCTTATTGGTGTTTGCAATAAAGGGGGAGCCTCATTGTTAGGCTTCGTTCCATGTAGTTACATGCTGTGATCAAATGATGATGATGGATCTAATAGATATACTGTAAAACATTCAAAAGTTTAAAGAATTGGCCAAAAACATAACGCATCTAATTCAACATTTGGTGACATTGACTTATGAGGCAGTTTTACCGTAGCGAGCGAAGGTGAAAAACCATGGCAACTAAGCCTCTAATCTAGCATCTGGTAATATTAGTCTTAATGAGGGGTTTACCGTAGTGAAGCAAAAAAAGGTGTAAAACCATAGTATTCAAGCAGCAAATTCGGGTCTTCAGTTCATTTATTATCAAGCTTACCAACAACATAACGTATCAAAATTTGCATGAATGAGTCTTACTAAAATCAATATGCCTTCTATTCGAAATAGAAGTTGCACACGCTTGCAGAACGGCCCTTCCAGAGGATTTCAACTACCAAGGATGTGATTCATGCGGTGTAAATAAACGCCATAAAGCAAAACATAACCAAATTGGACAGTTTTCAAGCCTTCATATCTTGACATGTGGACATTTCTGAGCCATTGGAATAACGCCAAACAATTGTACTTGGGTAGCAGTAACTCCCTGACACCTTTGCTCAACTTTTTGGGTCAAAAAAAATATTGTCAAAAATCGACCAAAAAGCATGAGGGGTACCTCATGGTTTTCATCGAAAATCAAACGATAGCATTTTTCACCTTGAAAATGAAGACTTTTACTACGATATGTATAGAATCAAAATGTTTCTCTGGATCCAAAGTAATCTCTGGGGCCACGTTTATGAGGTTTCCATATGCAAAATCTGGTTATTTTCGCTAAAAACCTCATTTCAAATTTTATTAAATTGCTCAGTAATTTCAGTCAAAAAACTTATTACAGTTAACACCATTGGAAGCGCCTTGAAAAGTACTTCAAGAATGTATTAGGAAGCGTAGGGGGGATCATCACAGTTTTTATAGTCGAATATCATAAAACAAATTACAGAAGTCGAAAAAGACAAAAACTGTCCAATCTTGAACAGAAACAAATAAGCTGGGTTTGAATTGATTTTGGCGGCGGCGGTGGCATTGCTGCTGGCTGGCCCAAATGTCTTTTTTGATGATGACAATGATGATTGCGATGCTGATTAAATGGGGATCATGGAATTGAAAGGGCAATTACTTAGCGCAAATACTTTATTGGGGAGCTTTTCCTCTTGAAGGTGTTTTTTTGCAATGACAATATCTCAAAAAAGCCGCTGTAGATCTTACGCAAGTCCTGTATTTACTTATGGCCAGCTTTATGTCGCCACCTTATTAAGAGCATCAGCAACAGTGAATGGTATGACAATTCTATTATCAAAAAATGGTAATTGTGATCTGCAAATGTTGCATAAAACCTGAATTTTCTTTCGCATTGTCCCAATAATAGGCTTTGTTTAATATCAGTGTAAGCAAAAAGGGTGCTGAGGGAGATGCCTTCTCTCCTTCTCCTCGTGACTCTGATATAACCTTTATTTTACTAACTAATAATTAGTTGCTTAAAATCTACTAGGTATACCTAAATTTTATAATATTTGATTTAAAATGTCTTTGGTGAGAGCCTGCAGAGCGATGCCAACGAGCGTAGCAAGATAGATCGGTTAGTAAAACAGGCTATCTTGCATCTAATACATGAAACGTCTAACTCAGTTTAATTTTGATAGAAGCTAAATGCTTAAACAGGAGTGATACAAGCGAGGGAAGAATGGGATCAGATCGAAACTTGTAGTTATTTTTATCTCTTTCTCTCTTGTTTACTTTTTCAGATTCCAATATGAATCCTACCATCATCACATTCTCTGTGCAGGATGACAGCGGATTGTTTCTGCCACAAGACAATGACAAGGAGGATATTGGCCATAAAATTAGCATAGAGCACGAGCCGCCCATGACCATCAGTAACCGAAAGTAAGTTGGTTTACAGGCTATAATCTGAGCAATCACTGATAGAATGCTTGCCCTACTATAATAGCAATCTCTTTCAGAGGCATCCATTTTTTTATTCCATAGCCAAAAGAGCCAAAATCAATCAGCACCGCTGCTATTATCACCCCAATCCATCCTAAACAAACCAGGAAAAACAAGCAGTTCTCCCAATGTGCTCCTGCCACAAGCAGATGCCATCACCAAAGACAATGAGCTGAGACGACCCAGTCTAGTTAAATTCAGCAACAACACAAGCAATAGTACCGTATTCTACGACGCCGTGACAGAGCAGCAAGAAAAGCGCAAAAAGTCAATTAGTGCCACACTGGCCAGCAGTCGTCGACCCTCGCTCATATCTCGCATATCATCTGCCTATACCAACAAAATAGCAGAAATTCCCTTTCATGAGATAGATCCATTTGATCAGCATTTACTGCAACAGGGCATCGTGCTCTGTGCCAATGTGCTCAGTGCGCATCAAGAGATTCGAAAGAAGGCGCTCAAGTGGAGCAAATATAGAGCCGTCATTACGCAATCAGGGTACTTGGAACTGTACCATGTTTGTGTGCATCAAGAACGAAATGTAAGGTAGCCAAGCGTTTCAGATACAGTGCTTTGTTGTGTTAAATGATTTGATAGCTGTTAAACAGCCTTGCTGCTGCTGCTGCTGCTGCTGCTGCTGATAGCTGCATTCACAGCCATCTACCGCAATACCGAAAGCCTCGATTCATCATTGATCTTCACCCGTCTGTAGACAACCTATTGTTTCAAAAAAAAAAGCGCTTGTTTCGCAACAGATATCGTTGTTCAATCTCTGCAGCAGAGCAAAAGGCACTGCTGGATGGCACCTATTTTCTTTTTCTCATGTCACCTATTGATTTTTCATGGTCATTGATCTCGGCTCGACAAAAGTTCTATTTCCAAACAGCCTCTATCAGTGAATCGCAGCAGTGGTATCAGTCTCTGTACGCTTGTCTGCCCAACAAATCAAAGCGGCCATTGCCGACGGTTGTTGATCTCAAGGTGCCCGAATTATCCGTGTGTATCAGACTGCCATTATCTGAATTGATGAAGCTGGAAGAAGAGAACATTGATCTAAAAAGGACACGAGACAGTGCTCTCGTATTACTGCATCGGTACGGGCATCGGCCACCACATTGGAATAGACGAACAACTGGATTGCAGTGGAGATACAAACAGCATGCTGATTGGACTGTTCGACCTCATTCAGATAAGCATGATGAAGAGGAAGAAAGTGCATTTACTGCCTTTTTAATAGAGCCACGGCTTGTTGAAAAGGTAGGTTCTGTAGCTGATATGATGCTATTATTTTATATGCTGAATTTTCATATCTGATATCAGACACACCAATTGGAGCTGCGTTACTATCAAGAAGAGGAGCAAAGCATTGCAAAGCCGTGGGAGGGTTATCTGAACCGTATCACGAAAGCTGGCAGATTCGTCTTGCATTATGCGCAATCCCTGGACAACTTTTTGTTTCTGTTTGAAACGGAACAGAAGCAGCGGCTATCATCATCACCATATCCAAACTGCTTGGCGCTGCTCTTGTCTAAAAAAGAGAAACTCAACATCTCCCGTAAACAACACATCCCTATTGAAAGCAGTGATTGATCTGTCTCATATCAGACAGATCTACTGTGACGAAAAGGCAGAAACACTGTATTTAGATGGCAACGAGTATTGCTTTCAAAGCGTGAATCAGCCAGTAACTAACTGGAGCACACGACTCGCCAGAGCCATGCGCAATACAAATACCCATGGCACCAGCGGCGAAATCAAGGTAAACCTTATGGAGATATCTACTGCTTAATATAAACATTTAATTAACACAAACACAACAAGATGCAGGATATGTTATATGTGAAATATGCTGCCAGCCGCTATCATACGTTTCAGAAAAAGACCTGTATCTTGACGGTATCTGGGCTCTTTTGTATACTAGACAAGAACAGCAACATTGACTTTTACTCTCATTTGCAGCAAGATGAATACTACATTTATAGTGGAGACACTTGTTGTAGCTACATTCAGGGTCTTTTAATGGAGCTGCCGTGTCGATTATTTGATGCTGGCCTCGTTGTTGAACAACAGGACCGGCCAAGTCAATGCTGTTCTGTGATCCGTTTCACAGCATCCAACAAGGAATACACATTTCTTGCAAAGACCCAAGACCAAAAGGAAGGTTGGGTGTATGCCATTGCCAATGGATAGTCGTCAGAGTAGTAGATAGACAACTGTATTTATATGCTGTCTTTTTTTTTCTTAGCCTCTCTTTTCTCTCTCTCTCTCTCTCTCTCTTTCATCAGTAATAAAATCATGTTTCAATATCAACAGCCATATGATCAATTACCGCCCACAGCAGCCATGTTTCATCCACCTCCATTGATGCCGCCCGCCATATTCTATCGAAGACATAGCCGAAGAACAGGCAAAGTCAAGTTCTTCAACATGGCCAAAGGCTATGGCTTTATTATTCCAAATCAATCACAGTATCCTCAAGAGCAACCTCATGAATTGACATCCAACAAAAAGGCATCCTCATCCTGTTCATCGCCTGTCAATGAATTCAAACCAAATAGAGTGGAAGAAGGTCTGTGTGTCTTGTTATCAGAGGTTTAAACCTGGCATTTAACGTCAATTTTTTTGATATTCACAGTCTTTGTTCATCATACTTCAATTTTAAGTTTGAATAAGGGTTACTTGGCTACTCTAAATAAGGTTTGTTATACGCCCTGCTGTTTTTGTTTATTTGTTTACATGTTGAATGTTTATGTGTTTTATGTTGTAAAATTAGGGAGAAGAGGTATAAATTTCACGAGACTATGATGGCTGGCATCTTGTAACCGGTTTCTAGGTTGAATATGAACTACACGATGGTCCAAAGGGCATCTATGCTCTGTATGTCACTGGTATTTATGGGCGCTACTTGGACTGCAACAAGTATGCTATTGATTAGTAAGTGTTCAGGTATATGCTACAAAAAGACACTGTGGTGATTCACATATGCCAGTAGTCAAACCAATACCGCCAATGCCATTGCAGCTACTACGACATCATCTTCCTCCTCCACGACTATTACCACCCAGCAACACGAATCATCAGAGTATCGTCACCATATCAGTGAATGTAAATAGCTTCTTTATTACAATGTGCTTTTACTAACCATGAAAATTACTAGTAACAAACTCATTTCCTCCACCACCGCCGTCTCATCACAATACTGTTACGGCTCCTGCTTCTCTCCCAGTAGGCACTAATGGCGCCTATCCCTTGCCATCACTCTATCATCATCACCACCAACACCAACACCAACACCAACACCAACACCAACACCAACAACAACAACATTTCGTCACTTACATCATACCTCATCATCATCATTATTTATAAAGAAAGAGACATGGATGTAAACAATTCATTTGTATCGTATATATCAACGTGATTTGGTGGTGGAAAGTACGGTTGAACTGGTACATTTGATTTATATCGATTGCCCTATAGCATAAAAAAAAAAAAAAACCCATGATTAAGAAATAAAGGCGATCAAATAGGTATGCAAACATATAAACATTACGAGTCGAAGCGGTGTGCTTGCATTTACTGTTTTTTCAACTTGATCTAAATTCTCGGCTACTGCATTATACGTGTCTTTAACACGGTTGATCAATAACTATTGCATAATATGAATAGAGATTTCCTAGCAGCGCACATGGTATTCAATTTCGCTTACTTCCAATTGATCAATCTTGCCAAATGCTGTCTGTAATTCTTCATCTTTGGACTTTAGTGACTGAAGCAGCTCATTTATATTGTTCGTTTCAGACTGAACCTAATAACAGAGGCATGTTATTACACATTTTACTCATCCGAGCCTGATGCTGAGCATAATACTTTGTTGGCTAGGTCTGTGGTATCCTGAACACGTTTCATACATGATGTCGTTTCTTTTTTAAATGCTTCAATCTATCGAGTGTTTAGATCAGCATGCTGTGCCTTGCATCCATTCAGTTTTAGTTTACAGTTGGCTTACTGGCAGCATCAACCGAAAATGCATTGGTCAACTCATCCACTGCTTCATTCACAGTGGTTTCCATGATGCTTCAAATTAATTTGTTTTCAAGAAGGAGCGAAAAAAAAAAAAAAAAAAAAAAGAAAGTCAGAAATGCTTTATTCAAAATTGCGTGAGATGTTTGTATACAAAAAAAAAAGAGAACAGGTGTGTGTCAAGAGAAAAGGGAGCAGGAGGAAACATATGTATAGAAGTGCATAAAGGACTGTGTGAGAGAGTGAGGGAAGGCATATGGAAAAGCTTAATAAAACGTAGTCGTGTTACTGGGTATAAGTTGTAATGAGTGTGGTGAATCCAAATGAACAGGTGATTTTATCATATTGCTGTTCAGTTTTCTTCTTTGTTGTTGTGATACAGTCGTGAAAGACGGGTTATTCCGACGAGCCGATGCAGTTGTTACTGATGCAGTGGTGGAGGATTTCTTGAGGTGGGTTGATTTAATGTGTTTTCTAAGGGATCTTGAATGAAAGTAGGCTTTTTCGCAACCAGGCATAGAGCATAAATAGGGTCGAATATCGGAATGTGTTTTTATATGTGTACTGAGGGAATCAGGTCTAGAAAAAGTCTTGTTGCAGCCTATCATTTGAAAATGTGAGTATTTGTTATTATCCACTTGTAGCAAATTACACACACATACCTATCACGGTACAGACAAAAGGCCGTTCACCTGTATGTGTTCTCATGTGATTGTGCATTTTATGTCTCTTCATGAATGGTTTCTTATTTCTAGCACAGTCTTTCCATTCACAAAAGTAAGTGGCCTGTTTAATATCATGTTAGGTAAGCCGTTTGTGTGTATGTGTGCAATTATTTATATATATATATACCTTGCCACTGCCGATATGATTTTCGCAAATGTGCGTCATAAGCTTCTCCAAAGAGGGTGCTTGAGATGTACATTTGACCCATAAACAGGAATACATTTCCACAGTGTTCTCGGCGGAAGTTTGGCTGTATAATGCAGATGGATCTGCTGGTTCAATCTTGATTTCATGTGAAGTTTGGCCTGATGAGAAGCTCTTGTTTGTGTCTAGTAACATGTGTGCGTGTGTTGGTTGTTAGGTAAAGTTTGTTGATTTGAATATACACATACCTATTCTTGCTTGTTCGTAAAAAGCTCGACAGTCGACATCGGCAGCAGATCTATTTGATCTTTCCATCTCCAATTGTACTACACGTTCAATAAGCTGCTCCCGTGATAATTGGGTCAAGGCGGAATCGTCGTGATGATGCTGCTTATACTGTTGTACGTTGGTATCGATAATGACTTGACTATCGTTGTAGTAATCATGACTGTAAGGCATAGGAAGGAGTGTCTGTTCATAGGGGTCCTGTTTCTGCTGATGCTGTTGTTTACTCTGCGGCTGAATAGTCAATAGCAGATTGGAATTAGCAGGATGATGATTTTCGGAATATCCTTTTTGTAACAACATCAAATGATCTTGATGCTAAATATACAATTAAACAAAAAGTTAGCTTTTTATCCTTCTGTGTCAGTGCACGATGAATTCCTTTTTTTTTTAGTCACTTACGGATAGCGAAGGAACGAGTTGTTGTTGCTGCTGTTGTTGTTGTTGTTGTTGTTGTTGTTGATGCATAGAGTTGGAGAAATATGCTTGGTTCAGAAAGGATGTAAAACCAAACATTTGTGAATTGTCAGATAAACTGAGATCAGGGGTACGGATACCAGGTGAGCAAGATGCTTCAGAGTTGTTGTTACTGTAGGCACAGAAATTGAATTGGTTTTGGATCAGCCAATCTTCGTGATTTTGTTGCTGTTCCTGCAGCAATGGTGTGTTTAACAAAATGTCTAGCATGTACATGTGTTAATCGAGATGTAATGGAATCCAATGACTGACTATGTATACAAACCTTGTTCATTGGGTGGCGAGTGAGGTGAAGGATAGAAGTGATTCAGCATTTGCTTGCAAGTAGTAGATGAGGTAAAGATTTTCAATTCGTCTGATTTGATGTTATCTTGTTGGTATGAGTAGGACATGGCTCTGATTTTTTTTTTTTGGATTTCCTGGGAAATAAGGCGAGAGTGAGAAATGGGGATGTGGAGATAACAGGCGGACGGAGACAAAGTGAGGAAGAGAGAGAGAGAGAGAGAAAGAGGGAAATAACATGCACAAAATTAAGTACCTTTTTATAACTGTAAAAAAAAAAACCAAAAATAAACAGGTTCAAGCATACAGCAAATGTAATTGTTGACAATTTTTAATAATCAGCAGCAAATCTACATTAAACTGCTGCTTTTTGGTGTAAATTGGCTGATAAAAATCACAGCATGGATCACCTTTCCACCCTCATAAAAATAATCTCGTTTTTTCTATATACACTCAATATTGGAACAATGATGACATTTGGTCATTAATATCATCAGCTTTCATTTCAATTTAGAATCAAAGCACATGTAACACGCTTTGCCTAGTTCTTGTTGTAACACACACCATGAAAACTAGAATAATCGGACGACACCGGTATTACGGTTTGTTTTGTGTTATACCCCCATATTACAACATACGATTCCAAATAAAGAGCGAGAGAGGGGTGGGAGCACCTGTTTACGCATCCCTTCCTATGCCACAGTATACAGAATGGCTTATCAAAGACTGTATCTATGTGCATACGTGTCTGACTACCCAATTACATGAAGCAGTGCTTTCCAATACCCAGCTGTGAGTCGAGCTGGCTAGGCGTGTACATATCTCGTAGCAAATCAAAGGCAGAAAAGCTTATTTTCGACCGTTTTTGTCGGCTGATGCGCGACAACATTACTGTTTCTAAAATAGATTGTGGACATAATACATCTGCTTAACCCGAGCTAATCTTATGAACTATAACATGTCTCATGAAATTAACATTGACTTGATTTTCAGGGGTCAAGGCGTCGAAATTGACGCGACAAAAAAAAAATAAAGTCTATTCTGCAACTAGCTGTAGTGTTATTCAGTAAAATATCCTTGGATCAAGCGCATTTGTAAAGGCGTAATGTGGATCACATTGGACAATCAGAAATAGAGAGAATCGAATTGCATGTCTGTACACATCAACGGAAATGGATCAGCAACTTTTGTTGCAAACAAACAGACTTAGATTCATGTGATAAACAGCTACCTCGAGGCTTTTTTATACGGGCTCTCCTAACGCATGGAACGAGGCGGTGTTGGGGGTGGTGATGATGGATTTCAGGTACAACTACATATTCTGATTGATTGATGTAATAATCGACCATGGCCCTACCCGAAAAGAATATTCACATACTTTATAAGCATATGAAAGAATGAATGCTCTCCTATTTCGGCGAAGCATCATGTAGAAAGAGGGCTGGACATTTCATGCGAGTTCCTAACATTTGCTATGCCAACCATGTTCATTTTCCTGGCCTATGTTTGTGATGTATCTCAATTGCAATGAGATCTTTTGACATGTTGAATGTAGTGAGCTAAAGCTTTGGTTATGACCTTTATAAATGACGGATCATTTACATACATAGCTCCATGGCCACTCTGCGAAATATTTTGTTTATGTATTCATACAAAAGCTTGCTGAGAAATCAAAGCCAGGGTCGTTCATTGTCGATGACAGTTTTCACACAAATGAGGTTTATACTACCGTCAACAATATGGGCCCAAAACTTTCTCATGGTAGTAAGGAGATATTTCATGGTAATGCCCGACTCTCCATCAATTCGAAAGAGTGTTTGTAAAATGGTCAGCATTGCTGCCACCATGAATCTTCTGACCTGGCATGATCATCCTGCATGATTTGGTGCCTGAAAACTACACCCGAGCTGACCTATCAAATGGTAGTGGTTTGATGGTCAAATGTTGGTTCTCCAAGGCAATGCACAAGCTGTCTACATGGTTTCAACTCACTAGCTTTGTACTTTTTACTTGGTCTGCCAAAATGATCTCAATATCCACGTTTCGAATCATGAATCGGAAGGAGATCAACTTGACAATTTCAAGATTCCACAACATTCCATGGTTAATTCGTCCTACTATTACCAAGCATTGGTTACACATGAGCTCGGTTCATGTCTTTGTCTCTTGCAGTAACCACAATAGCCTCCCTGCATGGTTCGCACTTCCTGGGGTTCCAATAGCTGAGGAGGGTAGATTGTAGTATTGCGCATTCGTGTTTACGCTGATTGTAGATGTAAAAAAGAGTTTTTTTTTTTTTTTTTTTTTTTTTTTCTAGAAATGAGATGGTTATACCAAACCTCATAAATGAAAACGAATGATCTTGTCTCGCCCCCCCCCCCCCACAATGAAATAGAAATAAGACGACCTTTTCAAAAGGGATGAATAGGATCGGGAGCGGATTGAGTTTTTGTTGTTTTCACACATCAAATGACATGAACAACAAAAGGCATTTTCTCGTTTCCATGTGTGAAAAATGCAGAAGGGGGGCCATTCATTACTCCAAATGCTAGACTGCACTCGTTGGACAGTAAGTATAATGTCACATTATCGAATGAAATAATCAAATCATCAGGCACAACATTACAAAATATAGGAAAGAGCCGATACCAGATTACTCATCCAAACATAAACATACAGGTGATGCTTTCTTTGCAGAGTCTAGCTCCATCACCCAACAAACATATATCAAAACAACGTTATATACAAACAATTTATATTAGGAAAAGAGCCGAGCCAACCTTAGACATTTGTTTTATTTCAAGTCTGATGCTGTCTCAACGTGTTGATGCTGTTGTGGTTCTTGTTGATCAGGCTTGTGATCAGCAGCGTCATTTCCCGGTATTACAGTAGTGGTAGGTGTAGTAGAAGTAGCTGTAGCAGCGGCGTCTCTCTTCTTTTCAGCCTATGCATATGATAAACAAGATTCATCAGATGATCCGCACTTCCAAATATTCCATCTGAAATGATTAACTTACAGCAATTCTCTTAGCTTCCTCATGGACAGTAGACACTTTGCCAGCCACCCGAGATGCGAACCCTTGTACCTTCAAACTAGCTCTAGAGTTCATCAGATTTTGCATTCTAGATGAAGCAGGTGATGCTGCCGTAGTAGTAGTAGTAGTAGTAGTAGTAGTAGTATTAGTAGTAGTATTTGCGGCAGTGGCAGAGCTATCGACCGCATTATCCGCAGGGACAGCAGCTACAGGGACGCTTTTCTCTTTCAAAGTACTCGAGCTATGAAACTTTTGATTCAACTGAGTCAAGCTAAGACCCATCTTGGTCAAATAACCATTGACGCGAGTGGAAACACCATGCTTTTCATCAAATTCGGCTCCCTTATTCACCACAGATTCTGTCAAAACATAGCCTGATGCCAAAAGTTCCGCCATCACATGAGAAACTGATTTACTCTCCTGAGGTTGCTGTTGTTGCTGCTGCTGAGCATTGCTTACTACCGGTGTCGTGATGTTCTCGGCCGTTAGCACCTGCTTGAAATAGGGCTCTACTTCAATTGGACTATCGTCGACCACAGCTATACAAAGGATCCCATCCATGAATACTTTACCGCTGCATAAATCTCATGTGAATGACTGTACCTTGGCTCAGCAATGTGGCAGTTTTCGCTGCTGAATCTTTTTCAAACATAATCAGAGCTATTTGATGCTTTTCATCTTGGAAATCCTTCTTCATCTCGAAGGCAGCAATGATGCCACAGAAGGAGAAAAAGTCCTTGATCGTAGCTTCTTGCGTCTCTAGTGAAATATTTTTGACAAGAACAAGCTGTGAACTGGGTTCGGCAGGAATGTTGATAGACCATGAATTATCCATTGCAGTTATGTACAGAGAAAAAACGATAAAACCTCAATTTATGAAACTGACCACAACACAGGGTTCATTCTCTATCAACAAGCTCCGCACATGAATCATCAAATGCAAATGTAAAATGTGGTTTAAATATTGAGATTTATGTATTTTGTTACAAAGAAATTTGTCTATTCCTCTTCTTTTTCATGTAAAAAACGATGAATGCATAGACATTGTGAGTCTAAACAAACACCATAAATTAAATTGTTATCAACGTGATCAAACTTAAAGAGCAGAAGCACCAGTAATAATATCAACTAGTTAAAGTAAATCTAATTAGTAAAAGTAACAATATACATAATTTAGCACACTTACTCAATTCGTTGGTAATAACGGCTTGACGACCACGGTTGAAAGTCATGGTCAACTTTTGGATCATCTCACCAGCGTTCTTGGTAGCGTTCTCCATAGCAGCACGCTTGGCACACATTTCAGCAGCATGGCCTTCAGCCATGGCCCAGTAGAGACCGTTAGCAAAAGAGAATTCTTGGAGGTTAGCAAGAACATCATCCTCGATTTCATAAACAGCAAAGTTGGGAGAAGCCTTGAAGGTGGCTTCAGAGTAGACGGGGATGGTTTCAGCTTCGTAAGAGACAACAGAGTGGAACTTGTTGTAGACAATGTTGGCGGAATCGAACTCGAGCTCAGAAGACTTGATAATATCAACAATGGAAGCAGCCTCTTGGAAAGTAGGAACATCCTTACCGATTTGGTTGAACGTAATGGCAATTTGCTTACGGGCAACACGACTCAATTGAGCCTTGGGCTTGTCACCGAGAACAACGAGATCGGAGGTGGGGTGTTCAGCAGCGACCCTGCGAGTGGCCTTGGAGACGCTGGAGTGAATACCGCCACAAAGACCACGATCAGATGAAGAGGCGACGATGAGAATCTTGCCATCATCAGCAACCTTGGTCTCAGCATTGGCAAAGAGAGCTATAATAGAAGGTGGTATGTATTAATATTCCCCGCAAAATGTCTAAAAGATTATCTCCAATCATCCCTATAAACCCTTCCTCTCTCATCCTAACACACACACACACACACACACACACACACACACACACACACACACACACACACACACACACACACACACACACACGCATCCCTCCTCGACAATCTATCCCAATCATGTTATAATACTTTACAGTTGGAAGCTTGACCGAAAACACGGGCGGCTTCCATACCACGTTGAGCCTTGTTGACCTTGGTGGAAGCAATCATCTTCATAGACTTGGTAATCTTTTCGATGTTTTGGACAGACTTCAAACGTTGTTGAACTAGTAACAAAATCAATTAATTATGCTGGCCATTTCGCAGCTAGTGTTGCACGTATGTTTCTTTTCTCGATATTTACTTTCTTTCAAGGTAGCCATATTACGGGCTTGAACAGCCTTGCTATAAAAGATGACAAGGGGAGGATGTGAGCTTAAAAACACTGTTCATTGGTATCATATGTTGTCTGTATCGGTACCTGACGGGAGCAGCAGTAGGGCGTGCAATGCGAGAGACAGTGAACAACATTGCTTATTTTTACAAAGATATATAAAAAAAAAAACTGTACAAAGTTAAGAAATACAAAATCTTTAGGTGGTGGTTCCTTTTTTAGGGTGATTCGTTTGGTTGTGAAAAGACTGTGGGGCCATCCCCGGACTTTCCAAAGTGTATAGTCTACGTCACAAGAGATGGAATCAAGACATGGCTTACTATTCAGCAATGCATCATGGCCAATCATCACTGTAAATGTGTTTTCTTGCTTGCAATCACAAGTGTACTGATGCAGCAGCACATTGGAGGATCCAACATACCTAGACATTTGGAGTAGAATAACACGGATGCTGTACAGTTCCAGTTGAACATTTATTAAGGAAATGCTCTAGTAGATGGCTGGACATTTGACTCGAGCTCGAAGTATGAATTCCCAACATTTGGTTATTGAATTGCCTCCTTTTTCAAGAAAAAATAATCATATCTGTCAGGCTATACAGTGCCTGAAAGGATCTATTTTGTTGAAGATTGATCAAGTAACATCTATTCGGCAGCTTTGGAAATCAGAACAGAGGTGATCATCATACAAATGTCTCTATACAATCTTTAGATTCATGAAAAGATGATGTGGATGCTTGAGATCAACATTTGACACATTCAATCTCTACTGATTGCACCAAGTCAAAGTTTTTATAATTTCCCTTATAGAATGATGTATGTGTGTTTGTAAACACATGTCTGTGAGAACGCCTTTAAAGACAAATGATAAAAATCTTTCTTTATTACCTAGAAGGCATGGTAAATCTGAAAAACACTAGGCCAACTATCACTACTGCTGTCTATACTACTATTATCATCTCCAATCAACCCCTAAGAAGGACAGCCACTATTCAAGAGCACCAAACATCCAGCCGTATACAATGCGGTATTTCTACAGTGCTGTATATTTGCGCCTTGCGTTTGTGTGTGTGCGAGAAAGAGAGCTTGACTGTGTGTGTGTGTGTGTGTGTGTGTGTGTGTGTGTGTGCATGGTTTCATCCCTTGCCACGATGGTGTAATGCTTAAAAAGCACAAGACTAAGATTCCTTTTTATTGGTTTCAATCAATCAGCATAGGCTCAACAAGAGCATCCTTCTCCTCATCTTCCTCGGATTCTTCGTTATGGGTTGGGAATTCGACATCATCAATGTTGATTTCTTGTTGGATCAAATCAACAGACAGGCTAGTTTTTAAATGTTTGATTAGATAGGAATATTTTCAGCATTTGAGGATACTTTACTTGAGCGATTTTAATAGACTTTTGCTTGGATGTGCAAAATCAAGCGCTTTCTCACACTAAACAAACGTGAATATACTATATAGGTCTACGCACATTATGGCCACAACTTACGTCTTTTACCGATGAGCGCTGCTCTGATTGCAATGATAACGATTCATCCAATGTGAGCATTCTGACTTTTGCCTGTGGTCAACATGAGTATCCACTGCCAAATTTCAAGCGACCCATACTTACATGATGTGGTATACGTGATGTTTGATTATCCTGTGGTGCGCCACTCGTACGATAAGCGTGTTGGCTAAAGAAGATTGACGGACAGGCATTGCTTGGCGTATGGACATTTGATTTCTTCCTTGGCTTTCTCAACAACAAACCACTTGAAGCATAGTGACTAAATGCTTGTTGATTAGCTAAATCAACCGATCTCTTTCGAGCTCCCTGGTGAGGAGTGAGAACTGACATGCTTTGCAGCTTTTCCGTCAGAGGACATTCCATGTCATTTGTGTTGTCTGGGGTGATTTCATCAAACACTTTCAAGAGCAAGCTGTCAATCACTTGATTTGTTTCTTTCAGCTTGGCGCCTTTATCTGGCAAAGTGTCGATAACGGATCTACGGTATCTGATGAGCGATTTACTTGCATCTCGCAAATATATACCTACTGGTTACTCAGCATCTGTGAGTTTCTTTCTCGAAGTTCATGAAGCTCTGCTCTGGAATATCGACTTAATTTCTTAGTTGTGCTTGATTTGCTGTCAATAGCATACGGATGTCGTAGCATGGAGGAATTCATATTGCTTAAAAAGAACTTTTACTTGGGTGTGTGTGTAAAAAAAAAAAAAAAAATATGGATAAAAGAGAGGGATAAAATACGTTGAAATCATGCAAAAGGAAAAAAAAGAATACTATCAATGCGGCAGTTCAACCTTCTGATTTGGATTCAATCAATGATGATGACTTGTTATTATTACACCTACTCTTTTTCTTTTTCTTTCTTTTTTTTCCCGAGATAAAAACGACAATACACTACCATGTCGCAACCACAAAGAGTATTCAGTGCAAGAAGAGAAGATGACGACGAGGTAAACACGCCACTTATTGCGAGAGACATCCCTGGCGCTTCATCCAACGCATCTCCAAGACCAAATGCCTCACGTTCTTTCCCACAAAGAAGCTCTCATTACAACACTTTTGTCGAACAGCAACAACAGAAATTGCAAGCAAGGTCCAACAAACCCAAACTACCTATGCGTACAACTAAAATCTCTCAGAAGTTGAAGCTGTTTCCCGAAGACAACGATCAATGGAATGAAGATGCTGATCAAAACGAAGCTGATGTGTATACTCAGATTGCAAAGATACCGCACGGCATGGCGAGACAAGAGGCTGAAATGCTGAACAAAATGGATCGAAGTGAACTGTCAAGAATGACAGCTTATTGTACCGCATCGTAAGTTTTGTTATTGCTGTCGACAAGCGAACGATGTTGTGTAACAATCGCATAAACTCTGATAGTGCTTATCGCATGGATGCGTTGGTGAAATATCTTCAATCCAAGAAGAAATCAAACGGCACTGCCCCCAAACGATTCGACGAATGTCTGTATACACCTTATGCATTTACGTATCCAGTAGCACCACCTCACGCATCTGCCAACTCTGTCAATACAAGCCAAAAATTACCTGAGATGTTCTTGTTCGATTACGGTGTTGTTGTGTTTTGGGGTATGACTCTCAAAGAAGAGCAGAGGATATTGAAACTGTTGGTTCCATTCGAGGAGGAAAAACTTGATGCCGATGATGTTGAGACGGAAGAGTTCCATTACTACTACAATGAAGCATACCAGCCACGGTAAAGTAAATGTGGATGCAAACTCTGCCCTTACTCATTCTTTCAATCTTTTTTTTTTTATTCAAATTGCAGTATCTACAATGATATTATTACGCTAAGACACCCATCAAACTATCTTATCAAATTGACTATTGCACATGCAATCGCACAAAGTGTCAAGATGACTCTCTTCGAGAGGCTGATTGATGATACCATCAACGAAACCAAATACATTCCTCAGGTCATGGCTGAAAGTGGAAATATACAAATGTCTAGGTAAGCTGCACATTTTGCACACACACACACAGCACCAAAGTTAAGCAATACCCGAGTAGAACTGCAATTACAAAAAAGATTGGCCAGTTGTTCATCATGCGTATCAATGTCAATTTGGTCTCCAACATTTTAGATACACCAGAGATCTTTTGGTCAGAGCCTACTTTGGAGCCATTATACAGCGCTATCCGTGGCTATTTGGAAATCTCACAACGGGTGGAACTCTTGAATCAGAGAGTAGAAGTGATCAGTGATTTATTGGAAATGCTGAAGGATCATTTGAATAGTTCGCATGGTGAGCATTTGGAATGGATTGTGATCTGGTTGATTGGAATGGAGATTTTAGTTGCTGTCATTACCACTTCATTAGACGCATTCAGTCTGTACTATAATAAAGAGTAAGCGAAGAAGGGCAGCCATTATTCAAATGATAAATTCTGCTTGGCATGCAAAGACTATAATGTAATAATGTGTTGTATGTTGTTTGTATTGTCAAAGAACTCGTACTGTTAGATCAATGTTTGATCCAAAAGGGTAATTGATGCAAGAGCACTGACACTAAGGATTCCTTTGAATGGTCTTGATGGGCTTGCTGGGTGAGCTATCCTCAAGGTGCAACGATAACATCTGAACACCTTTGAATGTCATATTGAACTGTTCATACAAATATAGACATGTATACTGTGATTTAGTACGTCGTGATTAAGCGCGATGTGCCGCATACGGATTGCATCCTTACTTTTGCATGTTTAAGTGATTACATATGAACAATTGTGCGCTTCATTGTTATGTTCAATAGCTTGATTTTCAATTCCCAATGAGATTGCTATTCCATCGCGATCATATACAAGCTTATATGGTCCACAATAAGAGACATTTTTGCAGAAGCAGTAATGACTCCGTATAACTTATTGTCCTATTGTAACAGTCCATAGTTATTGTTGGATAATGAAAACTTTATTTCGTTGCTTCAGCCTCTTAGCCAATCAGATTGCTTGAAAACTCCGCTGACCTAAAAAAAATTTTGCGAGGGTTTCCCCCTGTTTTGATGTGAGGCAAAATTTTAAGCTCAGCTATATATAGCAATATAGCCGTTGCTATCATCAAACTTCCCCCAGGTGCTAGAGCATGCCTTACTTACACCATCTAGCTTTTAGATTCTAGCGTTGAGACTCTCAATCATCACTAAAGTAAGTAGCAATAACCAAATGGAGGCAGCCTATCCATCTCCTAGTCTCGGATAAAGTCTTGTTGAGCTTCAGCGATAGGCACATCCACCACAACGTAATAATGTATGCTTCAAAGAAACATAATAAAAGAAAAAAGGAACAGAAGAAAAGAACATGCTACAGTAGTACTACTACAGTAGTACTACAGGAGTATGAAGGCAAAAAAAGAAATACTCATACGCAATGAGTCAAAGAAAAGCATAACAAACACAACATCAGAGAATGTTCAGAACAGCTCGTTGTTGTTGTAACAAGAATGCATACATGAGCAACGTGCATGGTAATAATCGGATGTAGAGCAACACAAACACGTACAATTGCAGGAGCAACAGCAGTATTATAAGTGTACAATACAACATAATGACCAAATGTTGTTTCATGTGATGAAGCCACAGAGGCAACACAAACAACAATCCACGGCCATATAACATAGTAGTATTACAGCAGCAATACAGATATATAACAGCACATCATGCTTGCTGTTCGTACATACGAAGCAACAACATTGTAAGCATCCGTTGAGCTGATCGTATCACAGCCAACAAAAGAAAAAGAAAGCGTAACAAAGAAAACATCATGAATGCATTATCATGAGAAAGGAAGTAATAACAAAAACGTCCAGAGAAGCTTTATGCCATTACGACCAGAAGAAAAACAATACTTACCACTTACCACAGCCACAAATAGACCTGAGAATACGAAGCCACCGGAGAAATACCAGAGAAGGAGCATACACCACAAATAGTAGACCAAAGGAGACCAGACTAGCAGCAGCAACACCATCAGCAACACCATCAGCAACATCAGCAGCAACACCAGCAGCAACACCAGAAGCAATACCATCAGCAACACCAGCATAGAAAATCAAAGAACGGGCGACACCAGAGACCAGACAAAGATTAAAGAAGCAACTGACAGAGATAGAAATCAAAGAAGCAATCATCAGACAGGATAAACCAAAGAAGCAGGCAGTAGAAATAGCAGAGAAGTAACGGCAGCAGCACTCACGTCAAACAGGCAAAAAAAATTATCAAAACCTAATAAACAAATTCGATTAGTGCTGATTTTACGTATTCCAGTGCTCGCTATTGAATAGTGCCTACTATATTCCACCTCGAAGAAGCAGTATCAAATACTTTTAACAATGCAAGAACGTGTTGTTAGAAGCTACAGTGTTATTTTCAATCAAAAGGGTTCCAAAACCAATACGGTTTGATACTAAACGCGTTTTGCAAAAGGGAGGAAAAACGGGGGAATGGAAAAATGGGAGGGCGCCATATTCGACGTCACGGCCAGTAGATTTGGCCTCAGTCTTCTGCCGTGGCAGCCGTCGTAACTGCTGCACTTTAATTTGAAATTGTGCAGTGGGTATTTTCATGTTCAAATTTGACTTGATCTTACATTCTTTAAACGTTTTTGCTAATTTTGATTATGAGACTTGTCGTTGTTATACTTTACTTTCTAATGCACTTATAAAGAGTCAGTCAAGGCGCATCGAATGACGTTGGTTACATTCAGCTTTTAGACCGAAAATACAGAACAATCTTGAAATATTTGAAAATAGGTTTTCTGCAGAAATGTCAAAATTCAGCATATGAAAGTTCCAGAGAAACAGTATACAATGTTGCATTTTACCATTGCGATCAATTTGATCCAATATGTATCATAGAAAAAGTCTTCGTTTTTGGGGTGAAAAACGCGATCGTTTGGTTTTCAAGAATTTTGCCTTGCTAATACTCATGAAAAAATGAGGATTTTTCATGGATTTACAATGAGCAAAAAAATTTTAAAAAAAAGCATCAGTTAGTCAAGCGTGGCTAAGAAGGTACGTTTGGCGCTATTCCAAGCGTCGACAATGCTTTGTAGCATGAGTTATTCATGCTTCAAAGTGGCTAAGTTTGAACAGAATTTGGTCTAAAAATAGGACAAACTAGGGCTTTCTGCCAAAGAACTATGTAAATTACAGCTCTGCTTGGTGATATAAATGCTCTGCGTTGTACGGAACACAATTTCTAAATGATAGACGCTTTTATTCTAACTCTGAGGCTCAGGTCTTTCTTTTTGAAATGCACGAATACAGTAGTTTTATACCTTGAGCATCACTGATATTATGCAAACTTGAAACTAGCAAATTGCACGGTTTGAACCCAATGCTCATCAGGTCAGCAAGGCACTTTTGACTGTCGTCCGCATTGTAAGCGCCGTATTTATTAGCCGTAAAACTAAGCCCATCCACGACTTTAAACACTCACCTTTATTAAGGTGAGATGACTGAAAAAACTGGATAGGCTGAGTCGTTGTCAGCACAATGGGGAAGCAAACAACAAAGCTTTGTATCAAAGTTAAACGATTAGATATTCATGATACCTACAAATCCTGTGATACAAGATTCGACACCAGGAGACCACAGTGGAATCGTGTTTAAATGGTTCACAGACCTACACTGCCGGAAAAGCAAATGATCCAAAATCAATCGCTCAAACATTATTTTCCACTAGAATATAATACTGGCGTATGTTGCATATAAGCATGCATCTTAGGGTACATTCACTTTCTCCTCAAGCCACTTTTTACAGTGTAGCAACATAGATGATGTTTATCGTATCACATCACATCTATGTTTACAAGTCCAGTCAACTGTGTGTGCACGGTCGCCTCAGGAACTACAATACATTCAATCTCCTTAATGTCAAGATGTCCAGATCCATCTACACTACATGAAACATATCGACTTAGGTAGCTTCTCAGCAAGCTATACTAACAATCCATAAGGCTCCAGTGGCCTGCTATTTATACGTATACTGCAGTGAAATCAGGTTTAAATAGATTTCACAAAAAAAATAAAGCAATAGTAAAATACAATAGAAATCAACTGTATTTTATTTTGTGTATAAAATGAACTGAAGATCCTGGAATTGAGTAAAAAAAGAAGAGTATTTATACATTTGCATCTAGCTTGTAGGATTAGTGATGATAGAGAGCAATAGGTGTTGCTATTGCGATATCTGGCAAATGTTGTTGATGTTTGATTTAAAGTGGTAATCAATGCAAGAGCACTGGCCATAAGGGTCGATTTGAGTAACCTTGATGGGCTTGGGTGAGCTATCGTCATAGCATGGTTTAATGTAACCTTGATGGTTTAAAGTGTCATGTTTGTAATTGAAGTGTAGAACCCTTCATCTGAAATATTGTGCAACTATGGAAACAGGGCATAGTTGTCATATTTGAATATGATTGTTATTGTTCTGATTTTATTTGGATAGCGATAACATCTCTTATTACGACCATCATGGGTGTGATTGAATACACTGTGACCAGGAGTGATTCATTCACACGATGTGCGAGGTAAGCGTACATCTTTACTTTAGTGTGTTTAAATAGTTGTTGATTTACATTTGAGCGCTTTATTAGTAGATTCAAATAGGATGAACTTGAATGAGTGCTATTTGATGAATTTTGGTTTTTCAATCAAGTTGCGTTAGGGTTGCTATTTCATTGCAAATCTAATCTTGACCTTTGAGCTTCAGGAGAGAACCTGTCAGCTACAAGAAGTAACTGCAAGTCATAGATCGATGGATTCGATATTGAAAATCGTTCTATTCAAAAATGTTTCTTAGCATTTAACTGTATTATGGTTCGGCAAAGATTAAAAGTTGTGCTGCGCATTTTACGAAAAAGGTGGAGCAGCTATTCCAAGCTCTATGTTAATGAGAGAATCTTTATATTAGGGTTATTATATACCCTCTTGAAGGGGTTGCTATTCATATGGACGAGTTTTTAGTCGCTACATTGGTTGTCAAATAATCAGGCAACAAAAGTGTAAAGTAGCCCATATAAAAAAGAACAGTGTTTGGATGCTGTTTCTTGATCAACTGTCAACTCAACATGGCTTCTCCATTAATTAGATTTTGTTCCTCTTTGTTTGCTCTATAAAATGAGACCTCGTTGGGACATCTACGATACTTCTTTGTAAAGGTCGTTTTTTTCACCCTCCAGTTCGAGTTTACAGTGGCAAAAACACGTTTTTTTTTTAATAACACCACAGAAACATCTATGTGATGCTCAATTCTATAAAATAAATTTAGGGCGTGGTATGACTAATAGCAATGCACAAAAAGAATTTTATATGTGCTACTACAGCAAAAGTTAACCTTGAGCGATTGTTTTTCGTCAATTTGGCTGGGGATGACCTTTTCGGCAGTGTAGCTCCAGGAGAACTGATCCTACCTCTTTTTGTCAGACTCCGAATAATAGGTAACAATTATGTCTGTGGAATACATCCACTATGATCTGCATTCCGACAGTTCATCCAGTTACCAGATTTAGATATAAACTGTATGTACACTGGATTAGATGTACGATATCGATTTATACTATGATCATGAGAAGATATGGACTTCAGATACGCTAGTACTATAAGATTCATACTATATAAGATATAGGCTATAGATGGCACCACGGACATGGATGGCACTATAGACTTATACTTGTATTCCGACATTGACTACGGATGTTTACCATATCTGGATAGGCACCAAGATTAATGCAATATGAGCTTGTTGCTTCAGATGTGCACTTCATGATCCACGCTATAAGACACATGCTTATATCCGTAATACTAGCTACAGATACTTTATGTACTACAGACTTGTACTATATATGAGACATGCTATAGACATGCATACGATATGCTATAGACATGCCATATATCCAGATACATGCTAGAAATGTATGCTCAGCGATATACATTCAGATATGTACTATTAATATAGACTAAGAAGACTGTACCTATCGGATACATGCTACTAGATCGATATTAATTATCCTTATAGAAAGGATAGATCAGGGTACTTCGGATGAGAGTCTAATTATTCATCCAGACAGAGCTAAATCATGATTAGCTTGCTGGAGTTGTCTTTTAGCATGATTAGACATTAGTTGATCTGAGTTGACTTATTTGTCAATCTAATTAATAGAACTTTTATCCATTGTTATAGTATATAAGAAGGATCATCTACCTGGCCAGTAGAGAGACTTCAGTTTACTTTACACCTGTCAGTTTGATAATAAAATATACCTTTATCAAGTTGACATTACTGTTTTTTATTCTTTTTTTTCCGTGAATTTTAGTCTGTAAAGCCTCAAATTCCACAATGTCCACACAATCTATACTGCCAAAAACAAACTCAAGTAGATTTGGTACCTTCGTCTCTTTGAAAACCTTAAACTCATGAAAACCTGGCGGGCCTAAATCCAAGCGTTGGGAAAGCTATAAAAAGTGGTGCCATTTAATGCGTATTTTATTTTTGTAGGAACTTATTGCTATGGATTAAGGGCGATGGTCGTTGTGGAAAAATCTCCTGGTTTTCACTTTTTGAGTCTTTTTTTTTCTAATTTTCCTCGTAGCAGATGGCTTTTGATCTTTATATATAACTGTGTTGTTGTTACACAGAAATAGCTTCTCTAGGTTAGTCGTCAATGGGTCCTTTTACCAAAGGAATGGCCGTTAGTTCGATCCGTGCCTTTGTCGATTTTTCTTGTTGCATTGTTGAGGTTACGTGAGATGTTACTGGTGCCATAATTGTATCTGTGCCATTGATGGCGCTCTATGCGTTCTTAAATGGACATCTTCGATTTTCGTTTTTTTTTTAGTTTTCCTCGTAAATTAAGCTTTGCTTCAGACATTAACATGACACCAACTTGCTACTTCCACAAAGACTTAAGCCGAACTCAGTATTCCGGCACAAAGCGTTTTGATTCTATCATTATAAATCCAGGGAACGCAGATTAATTTGGCTTCTGTTCCAAAAAGTATATAGTAATGTTTATTTCATCTTAGTGTAATCATAGAAAATCCTGCGGGCAACGATTATGTTTGCTAAGTGATGTGCAAATGAAATTATGCTTTTCATGAAGCACGTTGTGTAAATGTAAAACTAGACATCATTAATCTCCATCAAAGAACAAGCTGTCAAGGACTATAGTTTCATTCATTGTATTATGCACGAATTGTTGCTGCTTATCTTTTCGTTTTTCGTCTTCCTCTGGCTCTTTCTCTAGCATGCTCTCTTCGAACTCTAGAAGGTTAAAATCTGGATGCTGGACATCTTTGTCACATCTGACTTCTTTGCTAATGTTTGTCTTGATTGATATATGAAACGATTTCCACAAATGAGACAGCCCAGCAAAGTGGCCTCCTACTGCTGCCAGTGTTTGCAAGCCATCGTTGAATCGAGCAAGATTATGGCTCAATCGATTCAAACAAATGCGTGCTTCATGCAACTGCTGATCCAATTGAACGTTATAGTCTGACGTGATGTCGATGCTGCTTACCAAGGTGTCATTTGCATTCTGGCTTGATAACATTTCACACAATATTACGAAGCAAGACGAAAAAGATGAGAAGCATTGATACAGTGATGACATTTAATAAGGTATATTTAAGAGACTGCAAATTAAACGAGACACACAAAGAAAGCAACAAACTGAATTAAATAAACTATACATAAAATAATGATCCTCTGATCTTTTACTTCTTGTGACAAACAAGAGTTACAATACATGTGATATCATCCACTTTTCCGCCTCTATAATTGCTTCCATGCGCTTGAGCAGCCTTTGCCCAGGGACTGAGACGTTTGGGATTCAAACTTAAACGACGAGCCTTGTCAGTCAATGTTTTGGCCAGCCCTCTGATGGTAGCGGTGACCAACTCATTATCTTGATTATTCTCCAGGATAGGACTCATGCCCTGATTGATTAATTCCAATGTCTCCTCAGAATACATGTTATCAAAATAACCATCTGTGGCCAACAGGATCAAATCTCCGTCTTTCAGAAAGAATCTCTTTGTGTCTGCATCTTTGGGCAAGTCAGTGACTAATTCATCACGGTTTGGGTAAGTATCGGGGACGACGGTCAGCTGATAACTACACAGTAAATATGTATTAGAATAAGAGACGAGTCAAGGTGCAAACGATACATACGGGCAGTTGAAGTAATGCTGTTGACTTGGACTTTCGTATACGATTTTTTGATCACGGACCAACAGAAAAGCAGAATCACCCAAGTTGCATGTCGTCATTTCACCAGTTGATTTTGATAAATTCAAGATACAAGCAGTGCTGCTTCCAGCCGAAACTTTCCCACTCTTTCTCAGTTCATGAAAAGCAGAATCTAGGATTTGATGAGCGTCAATCGACTTTTCATTCTTGGCCACAACAGCAGCGTTATCCATCAATGTCCATGAGAAAAGAGCTGGGTCCACGCCAACAAGACTCCAGCCACCGACACCGTCTGCCACACCAATCGCAAGACCTTCGGGTGTGTTTGTTTGAAAAAATGCATCTTCTCCTGCATCCACTTTGCCTGCTTTTTGATTTTCTTTCCAATATGGTATCTTTTTCGATGTGGGCGGCGCCTTTTGACGAGTCTTTGGATGCCAAGCAGCATACGCAATGAATTGGAAACTTTCCGATGTGTTTGTGCTTGGTAATTTAGAGTTGTCGTCTTCCACGATAGCTGAGGCTGTGTTGGTGAGCAAAGCGGATCGACTTGTAGAGAAGCTGCGTGCACTGCTGCCACTGCTATTGCTGCTTTCCACTAGTATAGGCTGTTGTTGGTGAAAGTACGACGGTAAATGTGCTGCTAATGTTGGTTTGATTATCGCTGAATTTGTCCATAATGGTCTAGACGACCTTAGCAATAAAGAAGCGGCTGCTATTCTTTGTATGTAAGGTCTCATTGTAGTGATGGATGATATGATAGAAGGGGAGAGAAAAAACAAAAAAAAAAAAAAAATCTGCCTGCAAAGTCGGACGAATTAAGATGTGATTTTGAAGCTCGTACGTCACATGTAGTTGGGGAAGAGCCGACATCAAGCGCACGCAAGGCATTTGGGTGGTGATTGTAGTGAACGAAGGTTCCACCAAAACCAGACCATGCAGAGATCCATTTGAGAAATTTTGTTCTTGCTACTGCGAAACCAACTCTATTGGTTATGAGCTCTGCAACAGCTTCGTCCCACAGTCAATGAGAGTAACAGGTGTTTTCGATGTGAATTACACAAAAAGTGAAAACGTCTATATAAGTTGATCTAAAATCAAGCAATCTAAACTTATAGACTCCTTTTCACTCTCACTTTTCCCTTCCCAATCGTTTCCCTCTTTCTTCGTTCATTGGTCTATACAAAATGGAAGAAAAGACTGAATACACTACCTATACCACTACCACTACCACTACCACTACTACCACTCATCAAAACAGCTCTGAAATGAGCGATTCCAAGACTGAACATGAAGTCGTTTTGAATGAGAAGATCGATCAAATGTCCCATCACTCCGCCTCTGCCCACGGAAATGCTGCTGCCATGGAGAAGGGCCAAGAAACCAACGAAGAATACGATGAACATGGTAACCAAATCAACTTTGTCATGTCAGAGACTGAAATCAAGCTGGTTCGCAAACTTGACTTCATGTATGTGATGCCATACATTGCTGTCCTCAATTTCTTGCAGGTAAGGACATACACTCACAAGTTACAGACTCTATGATTATTAATGCATATCTATAGTTTTTCGACAAGTCTGCTCTTAATTACTCTGCTGTGCTCGGTATCAGAGAAACTGCCAGCTTGGATTTGAAGCAATTCAGTTGGTTGGGCTCTATCTTCTATCTTGGTTATCTCCTCTTCCAAGGTCCTAGTATGATCTTGATCCAAAAGATGAGATTGAGAATGTACATTGGCACTGTCATTATTCTTTGGGGTGTCGTTTTGCTCTTGACTTTCTTGGGCCACAACTTTTCTCAACTAGCTGCTCTTCGTTTCTTGCTTGGTTTCTTTGAAGGCGGTATCTATCCTTGTTGTATTATGCTCATCAGTTCTCTTTACCGTCGTAAGGAACAAGCTGGCCGTATTGGTGTCGTCTACATTTGCAATGGTATCGCTCTGTCTTTTGGTGGTCTCATCGGTTACGGTATCGGTAACATGGACGGTGCCGGTGGTTTGCGTGCCTGGCAATGGATCATGATCATTCTCGGTGCAATTACTATCCTCTTTGGTATCGTTTCATTCTTATTTATGGTTGATAACCCAAAGTCCAAGGTTCTCTGTTTGAGCTCTGAGGAGGAGAAGATTGTTGATGCCCGTATGCGTGACAATGCTGTCGTCCGTAGTAAAGAAATCAAAATGAGCCATATCTATGAGTCTCTCAAGGAACCTCGTTTCTACATTTTCTGTCTTTGCTCCATGCTCATCAACTTCCAAAACAGTGTTCTCAACACATATAGTTCTCTGATCACCAAAGGTTTTGGTTTCACTGTAAGTACAACTTTGTAGCACAAATGTATACGCACGCCATCGAATGATTCTTTTGGATTCTGACTAATAACATTTGCAATCTATTAGAGTTTGAATGCTATTCTCTTGACCATTCCATCAGGTGTTACTGATTGTCTCTTCATTGTCATTGCTGTTTGGTATAATCGTCGTTATGGCAACACTCTTTATGGTGCCTGTGCCTTCTTGTTCGTTGCCATCATTGGTATCTTGTTGTTGGTTGTCATTCCTGTTGCCAAGGCAAAGCTCTTGGGTCTCTATTTGACTTGGGCCTACGCTGCTGGTTATGTTTTGCTTCTTGTCTCTGTCGCTAACAATGTTGCTGGTTATACCAAGAAGATCTTTTACAGTAGTTCCATCATGGTCTTTTACACGTTTGGTAATTTTATTGGGCCCTTTTTTATGGTCGAAAGTCAAGCACCTTTGTTCGTTGGAGGTAATTGCAATACTCTGCACCAACACGCTTTTGCTAATGTCTTTTTTTTTTTTTTCTTTCTCTCTATATAGGTATGGTTGGTTGTATGGTTGCCAATGCAGCCACCATTGTCTTGTTCATCTATGCTCGTTGGGACATGGCCAGAGAAAATCGCAAGCGTATGGCCAATCATGTTGAGATGGAGGTTACACCTGATATGACTGATGTCGAAAACAGAAACTTTATTTATCGTCTTTAAACCGTTACTTAATGTGAAATGTCTTTCCTACTCATTTTGTTTCGTTTGATTACAACTACTAATTATATCTACTCTTTGTAACAACTCAATAAAAAAGTTACATCTAATTCTACAAAATCTAGAAAAACAGGAATGTCGTTGTGCATGTATTTCCCTGAATTTGATGTATTTGCACACAATTCATTTTGACCTGGCACCAACATGTCATTTAGAGATTAAATCGAATTTCTTGTATACAAAAAAATCATTCGGTGTTCCTAATTTTATGCAGGAGCAAAGAGTTGAGGTTATTCTTACAACCCCGCCCAGGAACCTTAAATAGGAGGAGCGAGGTATTTTTACTCTTAAATGCAGTTCTTTGTGGATCCGAGTTTAGACATATATAGCTTAGAAGCATAAATTATAATTGGAAAAACCATGTCTATGTTGAGCATCGTTGTTGTACAATACCACATGGATCTGATTCAAATAAGACAGCACCAGATAAAAATTGTGGAATAAAATGATAATCGTGTACTTGGAATTAACACTCAACTTTGTATCAGTAGTTGATCAGAGAGATGTGCACATTTGACCAGTGCACAAGATTGGATCTCCTCCTGTGCAGCTATCAATTCACGTCAGGATCAGTACCGGAACCATATTTCTGCGCTTTACAATACGGCCTATATAAAATATACACGCATGATACATTTTGTTTACAATGAGTAATTTATTAGAAATTTTACTTATTTTGTCTATGTAACCAAAGTTATTCATGGCTGCCGAGAATGATACAGTTGCAAGCGGGTATATTGAAATAATTTGATCGCGTAGATTGCAATGTGTAACTTAAGAATTGATACATGTTACATGGAATTAAAAAATGACAAAAATAAGAAATAAAGAAAACGCATGGTAATTATCCAATGCACATCAAATTATTACATACATGGAGTTTTTAGCATCGACGACATTTTAGTCAAAAAAAATAAGAGCGCATTGTAGAAAGACCAGATCATGTATTATCGGAACCAATACTGTTTAAATGGGCAAAAGCGAATAGAGAGGAGCACAAAAAATATAGCAAATTTGATTATGTACTTGTTGGTAACCTTCTTATATTTCTTGTGGGGTCTTCCACGACATATAGCCATTAAGGGAAGGTATTTTAGGGTATCTATGCAGAGTGATGTTGGGGTTGATTGAATATGGCGATGAATGTTGGCATATATAGAAACTCTGACTACAATCTTTGAATCTAATGCAGGTATGATATCAATTTAGGGACTTTAACAATGGCTATAGCTATAGTTAGTAGGGACGTGCGAAACTGGATCCAAGTTTATGAATATCTTGAATAGTGTTTAACATATGTATTCATTTACACAGTAGCCTATCATATCATTGATGCTACAATCCCTCATTATCAGTGGATTACACATCTCGTTTCCTCTTTCTTCCTATTTAATAACAGAGGACTTGTCGGCCTCTCTTTCTCTCTTCCCTTATTTACCATTTTCTTGGGGACCTTTCAAACCCACACTGCCTCTATTTTTTTTTAATATTGCATCGAGAAAAATAAACATAGCTTAGATTGCATCACTTTACACACCTCTTCTTTTTCATTTGCTCTGAAAAAAGGCCATGACATCAAACAATAACTTTGGTTATATCAATAATCAATTCACATCATTCAGTCATCGAAGCTACAATGATTCTCGAAGCCCGATCGTCGAACTTGAAAATGCACAAACAGTAGATTCAATGCCACATGAAACGAAATGGCAATACAGCGGAAATAGAGATGATTTCTACAGCGCTTCCTCAGACACTGGCTATGAAAGAGGTTATTCCGACGAGGAGAAGGCACTGGTTCGTAAGATCGATTGGATGGTTATGCCAATTATCTGTATCCTGGATTTCTTACAGGTACAGCAGCCAGCAATTAGAGCATCCTTCCCGCCGTTTAACACTAACAACCACACACAGTTTCTAGATAAATCAACCATCAGCTATGCTGCTTTAATGACATTTAAGACTGATCTTCATTTGGTCGGAAATCAGTTTAGTTTACTGGGTTCTATTTTTTACCTAGGATATCTTGTATTTCAGGTAAATATCTGCCTCAGTTTGACCCTCATTTTAGTGTAGAGTGTAATTTCAATTCTATTTGTAGATACCAAACAATTATTTATTGCAACGTATTCCTGTTGGAAGATATATTGGTGTTATCGTTGTTCTATGGGGAGCCGTGTTGATCTGTACTGCCTTTGGAAAGAATTTTTCCCAAGTTGCGGCCATGAGATTTCTCCTAGGTTTCTTTGAGGCTGGCATCTACCCCTCGTTGACCTTGCTTGTCAGTACTTTTTACAGAAGATCAGAGCAGGTTGCTCGCCTTGGCGCTTTCTGGATCTGTAACGGCGTGGCTCTTGTGGTTGGTGGTTTTGTAGCCTATGGTATTGGCCATATTGGCAATCCAGGGGGACTGAAAGAGTGGCAATGGTAAGCTTAGCAAAAAGCACACTATTCTCTACAAGCAATTAAATGTTTTGACAGGATCATGATTATTCTCGGTGGTGTCACTGTCATTATGGGTGTCTTCTCGTTTTTCATCTTGATTGACTCTCCTAAATCGCCCTCACTCAGGTTGAATGCCGAGCAGGAAATTTTGGTGGAAGAAAGAACCAGGGATAATGCTACTGTGCGTACAACTGAAGTCAAAACAGAGCAAATCTGGGAAGCTGTCAAAGAAGTCAGGTTTTGGTGTTTTGGTATAGCTTGTCTTTTGATTAACCTTCAGAACGGGGCAATGACCATTTACAATGGCCAGATCACTGCTAGTTTTGGTTTTGATGTAAGTTGTAGATGTAAACTAAAAGAGTCTAGTACGTTCCAGATCTAACTCTATTTTCGCAACAGCAATTACAATCCATGCTACTCACTGCAGGTGCAGGTGGTTCCACCATTTTATTCATTGCAATTGGTGTCATACTTGTACAAAAGACCCAGCAAACCATCTATTCCGCCTGCGGTTTGATGGTCACCAATATTGTTGGTATGATTTTGCTTTTAGTGATCCCTGTGACCCGAGCCAAATTACTTGGATTCTACATGGCCTGGTCTTACTGCAGCGTTTATGTTCTTCTCGTAACCTCTATTTCAAATAATGTTACCGGTTACACCAAGAAAATCTTCTATAACGGCGTTCTCATGATCTTTTACACAGTCGGAAACTTTGTGGGACCATTGATGATGGTTACGCCCCCTTACATAGAGGGAATGCTCGGTTATTTGGCTGCCAACTGTGTTGTCGTTGTGCTACTGCTGATTGCTCGTTGGAGAATGGCTCTGGTGAACCGTCGCCGCTTGCTTTTACTGGCGCACACATCTGCTGCAAGCATAGCTGCTGCAAATACATTTACACAAGACGATATAAGCGATGAGCAGGACCAAAACTTTATTTACCTTTTGTAATTTTACATTTTACCTACAAGAATTAAGCATAAACATCTCCCTTTTATAATTTTCTTATTTTTTTGCGCTGAATCATCAACTACAGTTAATCTAAACACATAATTTCTCTCTATCCATGCATAACATGAATTGCAGCGATGCAAATCAGACTTCATCCAATTTAATAATAATCAATCATTACTTAATGCTATTTATTACCGGGTAAAGGGATATTTGTGTCCATTACATTTTCTTCTGTTTCGTAAAATTCTGAATGTCTTTTCCGATTACAAACTCAAATCGAAAACTCTATGGGTACAAAATAATTAACTCAAACAGAAGTCAATTATATGTGGCACAGTTGACTATAACCATTAAAAGAATATTAAAAGTGTGTTCTAAGAGCTCATTTGAAGTTAATCTATTACTGAAACCGTTATTTTTACGCTGATATATGAAGATCGACTCCAACTGCAAGGAGTACTATGCCGGTATTTCGAGCCCTGCAAGCACAACCAGCATTCTACTGACATGTACATGTTGGCTGTTTACTATCACATGAGAAATCTTCACAATTTACCTTTAATAGTGAATCTGAATCTTGTACAATGCTCCACACTTGTATCAACGGGAACAACTCATACTTGAGCAGACAACATATCTGCGTTGGCTCTTACTACTCAAAAGTATACAAATTACAGCCAAAACTGGATACATTTTTGAGGTGTTTTCTTGAGACAGAACCCGTTTTGGACTACCAGAAAAGCACCAAACAATTGCTCTCGTCTTGCACTTGTTTTCTGACACCTTTGCTCAGGTTTTTTGGGACATCAAAAACATCATTAAAAGCCCTGAGGGATACCTCATGGTTTTTGTCAAAAATCAAGCGATCGCGTTTTTCACCACAAAATGAAGACTTTTACTATGACATACGAACCTTTTAGCACTTCGGTGGAAACCAACTTACGTTCAAACGGCTCGCGCTGCCGTGGGCCTTTGGCTAATATCCCAAAATTAATATAGCTAAAATATTAGAAGAACCCTGATTGTTCATTGATATATAATCACTAATCATGTGAGTGTTTATGCTTCGGATGGTTTTCTATCTTCGCTTTGGTGAGAGCCACCCTACGCAGCGGCAGCTCGTGCTACTGATTGCTCTTGCGTATCTTATCAAAATGCTGCTACTTTCATCTTGACCCTCTACTTGCACATGAAGACCCTTTATATTATCTGTGGATCTGACTCTTATCTGATGCTCTACATCTATATACATGTAGCTACTTCATATACGGGCAAGTAGCATACTGGTATTTCCATTTTTTAGCCCTTAGTGTCCATAATACAGCAAAATTTGAATGCATTTGAGCTGCATTTTCTCACGTCCAAGGCCGTTTTAGATTGTCATAATAGGACCAAACACTTGCTCTCATCCGGCAGTTACTTTCTGACACCTTTGCTCAACTTTTTGGGGATCAAAAAAACATGAACAAAAATCGACCAAAAAGCATGAGGTACCCCTCATGGTTTTCATCGAAAATCAAACGATCGCGTTTTTCACCTTAAAAATGGAGACTTTTACTATGGTATATCTTGAATCAAAATGTTTCTATCGATCCAAAGCAACCTCTGAAATCATCTTTGTGGGACTCTGATATGTAAAATTTGACTTTTTGGCCAGAAACCTCTTTTCATATTTTCTTAAATCATTCGTTAAGTTTATCCAAAGCATCTATATTACTTAGTACCATTGAATGCGCCTTGAAAAGTACTCCAAGAAAGCTTAAGAAAGCACAGGATGATCATTATATTTTACTTAGTCGAATCTGCAAAAGTAGCTCAATCAAGTTCAAAATTATCAAGATTTGTCCAATCTGGAACAAACTATGATTCTGGGGTTGAATTAATTTTGGCTTGTGGGGCCGGCTGGCAAACTCAATGCCCTTTTCATACTGCAATACAGTAGTAAATGCTCTTGAAGCGTATGAAAAGTAGGTGGCAGGCCATAAAGCTATCGTTTATAATGATATTTTATTGCATTCTATATCGTTCATAATGACATCGCCTTGCATTCTATATTTAATAACGTTAGTCTGGACATTGACGATTCATGGGCTGCGTAAGATGTCTGCAGTAAGTAGTGAAATCTCTGAGGTTTTGAGATGTCGTTCAAATAAAACGTTGGAAGCATTGATCAGAGCAAAGAGGGTAAAACTAACAGTGGTTTTTGTTGATTGATTGTAAAATCATTATTCTCATATGAGCCAGGTCAAACAGATGCCTTGAAACTTAGGTTCCATATTAGGGTTGTAAAGTGTCTAAGGACTGAACAATTATTATGTTATGATGATATTAGTTCGAAATGTTCTTCTTGATCCAAGGCAGCCCTTGAATTTACGTTTGCGTGATTTTGATATACGGAATCTCAACATTCTCGCCAAAAACGTCATTTCATATTTTCAGAACTTGCTCAATAAGCTCATTCAAAACACATTGCGTAGATGGTATTATTAGATGCACCTTGAAAAGTACTTTTAGAATGCATTAGAAGGCATGGGATGATTATCACAATTTACATAGTCAAATCTAGCAAAATAGATCGAACAGGTCGATTTTGCTTAAGATTTGACCAATCTTGAATGAAACAGATTGACCGAGGAATAAAATAGAGTTGGCTGCTCAAAAGCCTGTCTCATGAATGCAATGATGCTTTGAAGATTGCGAATAAGGAATTATGAGCTCCAATTGATTAAGCCTTAGCCTGGCTACTTTGAGCTTCTTTTGTTTGAAGAAATCTTATATTTGAGAGATTTAATCATAGGACATTGCTTATCCAAATACTAAATTGACATCCTGTTTGAGTTGCGTATGATTCCTCAAGCTATGATATACGGTGCACTTAAGTTGCGCTTTTCGACTTGAATCTAATGTCTCCCCCCATAGCAGTAATAGTATTGTACATGTTTTAACACAGTGAAACAGAGACGCATTTCTAATATCACTATACTGGCCGATCTATCTCGCTACACTCGATGTCGGCGTCGCCCTGTGGGCTCTCGCCAAAGACATTTTAAACCAGATATTATAATATTTTGGTATATCAAGTAGATTTTAAACAACCAATTATTAGTTAGTAAAAGAAAGTTTATACTTGAGCCACCAGAAGGAGGAAAGGAGGTATCTCCCTCAGCATCCTTTTTGCTTATACTGATATCAAACGAAGTCTACTATCGAGACGGTATGAAAGAAAATTCAAATTTTATGCAGCATTTGTAAGCCATAATCTCCATTTTCTGATAATAGAATTGTCATATCATTCTCTGCTGCTGATGCTTTTAATGAGGTGGCGACATAAAGCTGGTTATGTGTAAATACAGGACTTGTGTAAGATCTACAGCAACTTCTTTGAGATATTGTCATTGCGAAAGGAATGTTTTTAAGGAAAATCCCAAAAAGGGCATTTGGGTTAAGCAATTGCCCTTTCAATTCCATGGTCCCTGTTTAATCAGCATCGCAATCATCATTATCATCATCAAAAAGGGCATTTGGGCCAGCCAGCAGCAATGCCACCACCAAAATCGATTAAAACCCAGCTTATTTTTTTTCTGTTCAAGATTGGACAGATTTTGTCTTTTTTCGACTTCTTTAATCTATTTTATGACATACGACTATATAAACTGTAATGATCCCCCCTATGCTTCCTAATACATTCTTGAAGTACTTTTCTAGGCGCTTCCAATGGTGCTAACGGTAATAAGTTTTTTGACTGAAACTATTGAGCAATTTAATAAAATTTGAAATGAGGTTTTTTTTTAGCAAAAATAGCCTAATTTTGCATATGAAAACCTCATAAACGTGATTTCAGAGGTTACTTTGGATCCAAAGAAACATTTTGATTCTATACATATCATAGCAAAAGTCTTCATTTTCAAGGTGAAAAATGCGATCGTTTGATTTTCGATGAAAACCATGAGGGGTACCTCATGCTTTTTGGTCGATTTTTGACAATATTTTTTTTTGACCCAAAAAGTTGAGCAAAGGTGTCAGGAAGTTACTACGACTCAAGTACAATTGTTTGGCGTTATTCCAGTGGCTCAGAAAGGTCTACATGTCAAGATATGAAGGCTTGAAAACTGTCCAATTTGGTTATGCTTTGCTTTATGGCGTTTATTTACACCGCATGAATCACATCCTTGGTAGTCGAAATCCTCTGGAAGGGCCGTTCTGCAAGCGTGTGCAATTTCCAATTCGAACAGGAGGCATATTGATTTTGGTAAAGCTAATTCATGCAAATTTTGATGCGTTATGTTGTTGGTAAGCTTATTAACAATTGAAATAAAAACTTGAAATTGCTGTTTGAATACTATAGTTTTGCATTTTTGCTTTGCTATGGTAAAGCCACCTCATAAGTCAATGCCACCAAATGTTGAATTTGATGCATTATGTTCTTGGTGGATGGGCATAGCGCCTCCTCCAAACCTCCTTCCCAATGCCGACTTCGCCGGTGGTTTATTCACCTTGTACTGTACTCAATTCTTTAAATTTTTGAAAGGATACGATTTGTTTGTCTACTTTTTTTTTGAATGTTTTACAGTATATATAGTGAAGATTGAAGTAATACATGCGACTACCACATGTTATACTATATCAGAGATCGTAGGATTGTGATCTCAAAAGTGCACGCCCTGAGAATCTTTTTTGAAAAATGCCTCGCAGATGCGTTGAGCTCGCTAACAACAGCAACGCAACATAAGCGTGCTACCTCTAAAGGGCAGTGGGAATCTAAAGAAGGGTGCCTGAACACAATTATGCTGATGCTTTTGTGTGCACTCGGATTTCGTAAAGGCTGAAGCTTCACTTGAAATCATGGTTACATGTATTTGATCTTTTGAACTTGCCATCAGAGTTTGTATCGCAAGAGGCTGGGTAAATATAGATTCTGGATATCTCGATGGCGTTCAGAACATTGACAACAAAGCCTCAGCCATGTTAGCTTTGGAAATAACTAGTGGCTGGTGTCATCTTCTGAAAGCGCAGTTAAAGACTACAACATGTTTGAGCCCAAATTGATCCATATATGGAAGCATTCAATCATTGACTTCAAACAATCCTTGGCACATACATTAACAATGTGAAAGCCATTACTAATACAGGCTTTGATGAGCATGCAAGTATACAAAAATCTCCACAATCAATATATGAGATCATTAGTCTGTCATGTCAAAACCTAGTGCGTAGATTGGATGCCGTCCTCGAGGCCAATTATATCGTTTGCATATGTATGCAACAACCCCTGAATCCATACGTTTGTTTCAACATTTTCGTTCTGTGTTGCAGAGCATGTCCATGTCCGTGGAATTGCACCGCACTCTTACAGCACTACAGGTATCATACGAGCTCAAATGATACATTTGTGGTAAAGTTGATTAAGTTTGTACAACACTCATTATCGACTATAAAATTTATAAATAAAAATGCCATGTGGCTGATATTTAAAAAACATGTTACCATGAAGAAGTTGTCAAGGGATGTTTTATAGGCCATCGCTCTTGAATCAAACGTTGAGTATATTTATCAGAAACTACGATTTTATGGCCACTTAAAGAGTCAGGACACATGCGAGCAATACTAAGAAAGCAAGTGAGCCTTGTACGCCGGTCAATTTTGCTCAACGCGGATGTTCAATGTACTAGATAGTACACCCGAAGAAATGAAGCTCGCTTTATATTAAATAATCACCACTGAAAATTGATTCTAATGTAGCACGGAGTCCTTGCAATATCCAATGTTATATATTTCTTCATCAGGTGGGATATACGATAAGGATGAGAGAGGGAGAGGGAGAGGAAAAAGAAGCCGACGGGCTCGATGGTGTAGGTATATGAGATGTTTGTAACTCCAATGTATTTTTGCATACAAATATACAAGCCCAATCAATTCTTTTTGGCTGTTTTAATGATGTGCAATGTACAGAACAGGATAGTGCATGGTGGGATCTTAAACGCAAAATCTATTCGACGACTTGTCTCTAAAGCAGCAGCAGAGCTATTACTTTGCTTTTCTTTCTTTTTCTTTTCTCCTTCATACTTTCTTTGTCTCATCTATTATTACTATAACATTTACTTTCAAATGACTTCAAAAGAACAGTGTTCAGCCGATTACATTGAATTATCGATAAACGAAAATAATGATAGCGATGAACCACCGGATAGTAACAATCACAAACAAGAGCAAGATTGCCAGCCTACAACTGCTTTATTGACAGACCAGGACAACAGCAGCGAAGAAGATTTCATCATTTATGAGTCTGGAAGAAGTAAAGCAACCGCTCCGAAACATGAGAACTCACTCGCTATCCAGGTAAAAATCACCTACACATTTACTCCCTACTTTTTTGTATATCGTTTTTACAAGAATCTCCTTACAACAGCAACATTTGAGTGATCCTTCTTTCAATTTCATCTGAAAAACAGAATGGAGCTCTCAATTGCTGTTAGATGGATGTACTATCTTTTTCGCCTTTATACCAATCTTTTAAACTTTACTTCCAAATCTAAATCAGCCAAAAAATGGTCTTCATGTTCTAACTATACCTTAATTACTCAGGCATTGCCATCCTTGATCATCTCTGTCATTGGCCTCGTCTTTGCTGGTGATTTGATGGACGAGTTCCAGGTTTGTAGCTGATAGAATCGGAGGTAATTTCCATATCTTAACTTGCTTGTTACAGCATTGGGATGTCTTTTTGAAGACAACAGAACTCTTTATTCTCTTGCCTATTCTCCTCAATCTCAAGGGCAATTTGGAAATGAATCTTGCTGCTCGGTTCTCAACTTCAGTAAGTTTTCAAATCAATGTAATTAAGTTACATGTCACTAATCTAGCTACCATAGTCCAATCTAGGCGAGCTTGACTATGGACCTACTCGAAGATCTCTGATCGTGGGCAATCTTGCGCTGCTTCAAGTGCAATCTCTTGTTGCAGGTGCTATTGCAGGTGTCGCATCATTTGCTCTTGGATTGATCACCAAACCAGGCAGCAGCACCAGCTATTATGAAATGATGTTTATGACATCGAGTGCCATGGTATCTGCTTCCTTCTCTGCTGGTATTTTGGGCATATTTATGTGTGCGCTTATCCTTATATGCAGAAGATTCGATGTTGATCCCGATAACATTGCTTGTCCTATGGCATCTTCTACAGGAGATATTGTAACATTGGTCTTGCTGGCCACATGTGCTACCATATTACAAAATGAAATGGGTTAGTTTACAAGTTTGAGAGATATATGAATTGCCAAAATAACGCAGATCTAACTAAATCTTCACTTTTGGATAGAGAGTATTCTTAGCACCATTATCTTTATCATTATGCTGGCCATGATACCCTTCTTTGGATTCATTGTTTGGAGGAACACGCATGTCAAAGATATGCTGTTTGCTGGATGGACCCCTATCATTCTGGCCATGATGATTTCGAGCTTGGCTGGTATCTTGTTAGAAGCCTACGTGGAACAATACAAGGGCGTGGCTTTGCTTACACCAGTGTTGATCGGGTTGGCTGGTAATTTAGGTTCCATCTATGCCTCGCGTATTAGCACATGTTTGCATGCCGAAACCAAAGAGAACTACAAGGCGGTAGAATATACCTTGTTAGCCATGAACATTCCCGTGCAGATGGTCTTTTTGATTATCATTTGGGCATTTAGTATGGGCCAACTGCAATACAATGTCTGGTTCTTCTTATCGTATTTTGTCATTTCGATGGTTTGCGTAAGCGTCTCACTGAATTTGCAAGCAATCATGTACTCATTACGTCTTTTTATTTTTATAGACTTGGATTTGCTTGAAGATAGGCAAATTAATGACCTTGATGTTTTGGAAGATGGGATACGATCCCGATAATTATGTAATTCCTTACTTGTAAGTGCAACCTATGGAGAGACTTGGAGCACTGGAGTTTGCCATACTCACTGACCTTTCGCTGTAGAACTGCTTCGATTGATGTAGTAGGCACTATACTTTTAGTAGCAACATTTAGAGCACTGACAACCACTGGTGCAACTGATATGGCATTGGAGACTGTAAAAGCAGCGTCAGCATCAGCAACTGCGACATGATACATGTCATGATCATGAATACACGATACCCCCCTCCTCTCTCTCTCTCTCTCTCTCTCTCTCAAATCCATCTAGATGCATTAGAGTATTTGATCATTGACACTCTTGTATATATATATATATCCCTTCCCGTGCATTGTGTAGATAATTGCTATTGATTCATTCTATACTTTTGAATAAATTCATACGCTTCATCGAACGATGAAATGTCTTTTATAATTATCAGATCGAGTGATTCAAAGTGATGCCTGGAAAAAAAAAAAGATCCCACAGCATCGTTTCGGGCACCGCCTAATCGTTTTTGCATAAATCTTTTGCTATCCACCAGAAAAACGAGCATTCATGGCAGTCAAAAGGCACTTTCCAAAGGCCAAAGTATACAATAAGTAGCATACGCTACCAATTGTAAAATGTATCATGCAATGACCTTATCAAACACTTGCTAAACATTCATATTGTGCGCATTTCAGCGGAGCAATTAATGATACATTTGCATTCATGTAGCTTGCCCTCCTATCTAGCAGCGTTGGGCCGCCATTCATAGTATTATCAATTACATGCTAAGCATTATATAGCAATAGGTCCTACTCAATGGCATACGCTCTATCTCTAGCAGAATGTCAAGTCCAAACAGCCAAATTTATGATGGTGATACAATTTGCAAATATTTGGTGGGGTAATAAGGTTTATGGACACCCTGCTTTGTTCATTTACTACTCATCACTTGAGATTAGATGTTTCGAAATTCCCTATTTCTCTCTTTCACTCACTCTCTTCATTTTTCTTTAACCCGAAATACATTACCTGAGCTAAATGCAAATGCATCGTTTGGCTTATAGACTACCAGTAGCTTCATTCAACCATTTATCGCTTGTAAAGAAACGATGCAGCAGCATTTCTATATATACCCGTTCTGTATGTTATATCACGTTCTTGTCCGAGGCTAAATGAGAATTAACAAGTCCTTAGATTTCAACAGAGACTCATTTACATTTTGAGGATGATTTACCAGAGGTAATATGCAACTCGACAGACTGGCAAGTGTATTGACCTGGAGTAGACCCATGTTTTGCATCGAAAACTATCAGGTGCCCGTATGTTTATATTAAACAGACCCGAGAAGTTAAACGCACTCAACCTGGGCATGATAAGAAACATTGGACCACAACTCAAAGCATGGGACGTATCAAAGCTGGCCAAAGTGATATTGATGAAAGGTGTAGGCAAAGGAAAATTCAGTGTGGGTGATGACATTTTGGGTATGTCTTGCATGCATGTGTTATGAATGTAAGCTAACAGATCTGTAGATGTGTTGACAAGAGCCAAGGCCAAGGATCCTGATGCATTGTACTTTTTTCAAGATAAATTTCGGCTCGTGCAGATGATAGCGACTTTGCAGACACCGTATGTGGCGGTTCTGGATGGATATGCCTGTAAGTGTTTGGAAGGGACACCAGGGGACATTAGGCTCTTATACATTGAACATAGTGGGAGGCGCTTTAGGCTTGTTTGTACATGGGCCCTTTCGAATCGCTACAGAAAAGACCATTTTCGCCACACCAGAAGTTAGTTTGGGTGCATTTTTGAATTCTGGATCTAGCTTTTATCTATCAAGACTGGACGGAGAGATTGGAGCGTATTTAGCATTGACAGGACACAGATTAGAGGGTATAGATGCATTGTAAGCATATCAGTGGGACAACATTCCGGATGGTATACTCACACCATGTGTCCAGCTTTGCAGGCATAGCTACACATTACATTCCATCATCGAGATTAGCAGCGTTGGAGGACAGACTTATTGATTTAGAGACATCAGAGCACGAAATTATTCAACGAGTGCTGGAGAAATTTGTGGACAAGAAGCCAGTAGAGAGCATTGGATTTCCCAAGGACATTAGAGAATCCATTGATCGATGCTTTGCATTTGACACAGTAGAAGAGATTGTGGCGGCATTGGACAAAGAGAAATCATCCAAATGGACTCGAGAAACCAAGCAACGATTAACTACATTTTCACCCACGAGCCTCAAGGTGACATTGAAGGCATTACGAAGAGCAAAGACCATGTCACTTGTGCAATGCTTGAATATGGAATTTGATCTGATCCAAAAGTTTCTGGTCACTAAAGATTTTCATGAAGGTGTGGAAGCAACATTCACAAGCAAACCTCGCAGAAAACCACAGTGGCAACCTCCTCAGTTAGCGGGCATCTCTGAGGATGACATTGATCAGCTGTATTTCTTGGACGCGTCGCCTAATAATCTCTCTTTACCATCTAAAATGGATCTGAGGACATACCCTTACTCTCGATTTGCATTACCCAGTGAAGAAGAAGTGCGATTAGCGGTGACAGGAGAAGGGCCTGAATTCAAGGTGGAAGGCAGATTAAAAGAAGAGGAGGAGATTATTTCATGGTTTGTGAATGGACATAGAGGCAAATGGGGTGTTCGTGAAAAGGTCCTCGATATACTCGCTAGAAAGACAGTTGGGACAGAAGAAGAAGGCCTTGTCTGGTTACCACAGCAAAAACAATAATTCCGAACGAATCAGTGAAAAGCCACTGTTTAATTCTGATAATCCTTTATTATATACTTTTCTTTCGCTCTGTATCGGTATTCTATATAATATATCATGTCAACCCACTACGAAGTATTGCAAGTGAGCGAAATTGCCTCTCTAGACACTATTAAACAAAGATTTCAACAACTGATTCTTCAAGTAATTGAGCCTTATTTTCGTTTGAAATATCTGTCAAAATTACTAAGCTTTTTAGTAGCATCATCCTGATAAACGCACAAACAACAATGATGACACTCAGGCACACAATATTCTGAAGGCATGGGAGGTGCTGAGAAACCCTACAAGCCGCAAAAACTATGACATTGAACTCCAAAGTAAGATGATTTAGCAATGTCAAGCAATGCTCATGGGAGACTCATGAAAAAATCTAGGTGAGAGAAACAAAGAAAATATCGCCATTGGAGCCGAAGTTGATTTAGATGATATGGAATACGACCAAGACGAGAAATCCTTCTCACTTGTGTGCCGCTGCTCAGGAGAATATGTGATTAAAGAGGATGAATTAGAGGCCGGCATTGATGTAGTTGGATGCAACAACTGTTCTCTACGAATTCGAGTGCTATACGATGTAGTAGAAGAAGACGAAGAAGAGGACAATTGAGAAATTCGACGTCATGTATTAAATTTCACCCTGACACATTTAGCTCGCTCTCTTTTCTTTTTAATTTCATTACTCTCCCTCCTTCCATATACATATGCCACATCATGCCAAGTATTCTTAATCTCGCTGTTCGCCTACAACGACACATACCATTATTAGCAAGAGCATTTACAACGAATAAACCTACACCGCCAACTGTAAGGCAGAAAATTGTTTTGAAGGACGAGGAGTTGGTTGAGACATTTGTCAAAGGATCCGGTCCTGGAGGTCAATGCATCAATAAACGATCCAGCTGTGTAGACCTACGACATATTCCTACCGGCATTCGAGTTCAGGTAAGCATGCTTGAAGCAGGGCGCCAAGGTAGACAGCTCAGCGGTTACATAATCTAGTGCCAGCAATCTAGATCATTAGCAGACAACAGAGGCATTGCTCGAAAACTACTGCGAGAGAAATTGGATGAGCTGATCAATGGCAGCCTAAGTAAAAATGGACAAAAAGCAGCCAAGATAGCCAAGCAGAAAGCACGAAGAGCCAGGCGAGCCAAGGAAAAGTACGCTACCAACCCATCACAAACGACGACAGATGGCACGACCGCATCACCGGCTCGAGGCAGCAGGAATTCAGCAGAACAATAAAAAGGAGGACTGTAGTGCGCTTGTCGCCAGCGCAAAATGATGGACAAAGGGGATCTAAAATCGAATGTAAAAGAAGGAAAAGAAGAAAGGAGGAACTTACACAACACAGCAGTAGCAGGAGAGGTGGAGGAGGATTTTGTTGAGTAACCAAAAAAATCAGGTATCGACTTTTCTGCTGAGAAAACCCCCTTGATTCAAGCTGAAATAAAAGCCTGTTTGTATTAATATATACAAATTGTATAACTTATCAACAGGAGAAGGCCTTTATGAATATATAAAAGTATCGTCATTGGAAAACGATGTTTGCTAGTTTGTATGGAAAACAGGAGTCCAAATATTGCATTTGATTCACTTGACGGTTGCATATAATGAAGCTAATGTACATGCATTGGGATCTGTATGGAAAGCGCACGGGCTAAAGAACCAATCGTTCGAATTAATTAACCTTGGCTTTTTATCTGGACCTTTTTTTTGTGTCTTATAGTTGTGCTGGGCTAACAGAGTTTGTGAGAGAAAGAAGGAGATGCTCTCCTTCACTTGGCCAAAATTATACGTCCCCTCTATATATCTCCCTCTGTGATCTCTACAAACTAAAAAATAAGAATCTGTTGTCAATAAAAACTACGGCGCCCCTTTGGTCAGTCTGTCTTGAAGAAAAGCATAAATAATGACATAAAGCAAGGTCTCCCGTTCTCGATCGATTCTTTTTACTGTCCAAGGGATTTGTTATTGTTTTCGAGCAGCAGCAGTTTTGACTTTATATATACAATATGGTACTATTTGTTTGTGTGTAAATGCAAGCACGCAGAGATAATGGACCGATGTGTGGTGTGCATGCAAATTTAGTTAGATTGGTTTGGCCTATCGCTCGTTGACAGTTCTAATGAATCGCGGTATAACATTGAATATGACTCCCTATGTGTGTATTTTGCAGTGATCCATCCTATACAGGACGAGAGAGATGTCAATTCTAAAAAAGAGAAAAGGTTAAATTCTGGTAATTTTCTTTTTAGTGTCGACATATATCATACTCCACACATTTGTTACAAAGTTAAGGGGTGAATACTCATTTTACTATAATGATGATGATGATGTTGATTTGGGGGACTCAAAGAGTGTTTAGGATGCAGGAGTGTGTGTGTGATTTCTATACGGTGTACACACAGATACACAAAATATATATAAATACATGTTAATGAAATTTGCAGTGCTCATCATTCCAGTTCAAGGAGATAAATGTATTAAACTGCCTGTTGGTCTCTCTCTCTCTCTCTCTTTATCCTTTACTTCTTTTTCTTTTATATATATATATATATATATACACTTTGCAATGTCTAGTTGTAAGAAATCATCTTCACTAAACAAGAAATCATGCCATAGAAAGAAGCCAAACGGGTCTTTCAATCATACATGGTCAGCTTCAACCTGTAAAGCCCAATTATTACTGCAAGAGCAGAGCCCATTTAATCTCGCTACTGCGTCCAATTACATTGTATCCACTTTACCTATCGAAACCCGCATCAGTTTTTACGAAAAGAAATATCAATTGATCATGGAATCAGAGACACAATTAGCGTCATGGATCAAAGCTGCAAAGGAGCAGGCTTCTCCTCCTCCGAAGCCATCCACACCGATACCAACAGCAACCAGATCACGGCTACCGGATTTTCTGTTTGCGTCTCTGTCAACACGGCCAAAACGAAAGAGTCAAATACAGTTTGATTTATTAGCACTATCACCACCCACTGCCAAATCTTCTATCAGCACATTTCTGAGAAGAGCTAGCGATACCCTTACTACATCCTATAGTAAAAGGTCAACGCCCTCAACAACCCCACAGAATCAGTACAACCATCGATTCTCACTGACCTCCTCGTTGAATCGGCTCTCCTTATCGAGAAATAGCTGTAGCAGTATGATTCTCTCGGAAGAGCCTTCAAGTTCTCTTACAGCTACAAACAATGAAATCAAATCTTCCATCACGCCAAAATCGAAATACAAACGATTCTCTACTCCTCTCTCCTCACAACCACACATCCTGCAGCCACCACTACCATTACAACAACAGAGGCAGCTTCAACAGCAACAAGCCCAACCAAAAAAGGTGCACAAGTCCTCTATCGATAATGCTACTGTCAAGAGACGGCCACAATCCAGTATTCTACCACAAGCTTCCTCATCCATCTTTCTAGAGCGACTTCGTTCAAGGTCGCCCATTTCTGATAAATCATCCAAATCATGCCAACAACAACCCAACGTTTTATCACAATCGAATACCACTCATTATAATAGCAATTCTTCCATTGGCACAATGGATGAAGATACACCCCCCTCCTCTCCCTCATCTATTGATTCAATATCAACGCCCCCTCACACTCCTAATACTAATAATAATAATGGCCACCATTTATTACATTACCAAAAACAACAAAGACACAAACGGAGAAGCCAAGAACTCTTCTTTACCAATGCTGCCGCTACTACTGCTAAGCACAAGCCCTCGTTAACCACAATGTCTCACATCAGTGAAGATAGAATACTAGAACAGCAAGAAGATATGCTGTCTTTAGCAGCAGTAACCATTCATATTACCAATAGCGAATGTAGTCCTGCATCAACAGCAACAGCAATAGAAGCACCATTGCATGGTGGCAATTATACTGCGATAACAGCAACATCACTTGAGAAACAGCAGGTAAAAAAGAAACGCGCATCTCTTTCCATCACTCCTTCTTCATCAACAATACGTTTATTATCTCAAAAATCACAGTTCCTTCGACGCCAGAGTATGCTAGCTTAAATTTTCGTGTGTGTGTGTGTATATGTGTGTGTACGAAACAATTACTTGAAAAATGTGTTGTTATGTAATCATTGTCTATAATATTCTCTATGTATCATGCCTTTTAAAATAATAAAACTTCGTATATATACAACATGTACCTTTCTTCATCTGTTTATAAGGATAATACTCATCAAAAGAGGTGCCTGACGGAGATAGATATTAATATTCGATCCGCTGCTGCTGTTACTATTGCTGATTAGCATTCACGATTCAAATGACATTGTTTTGATGCTAGATGCAAGCTTTATGTCAACATTAAAGTTTAATCGTATCTAGCATGCTACATTCATTTGAAGGTCGTCTTTGGATATTAAGCAAAACCGAGAAATCACTCGAAATTGTATCAAAACTCTCTTCGTTTTAAACGGTCTTTTTACCCTCCTATTCTGTAAACAGTACGCTCTGTTTATGGTCATTTCCGAGGAAGAAAACCATATAGCTTTATTCAAGCACATTGTTTATGTGTAATTGAGGAACCTACAGAATGTCTAAATTGACAATGTGCATGCAAAGACTCTCATGCAACTGGTTCATGATGAACAGCTACATCTACTGTGCAAAAATTGTAGCAGAAACACAGAAAAAGAGTGATTGGTGCCCTGCTTACTCCTTGTAAGAGCCCCTCTTTTTGGTTGAATCTACCTTTTTAAACGTCTCTTATCCGAAAAGAACCACATACATTATGAAGTCCACCCGAGTCAAATGATAGTTACTGGTAGATGACACAATAGTTTCTATTTTCATCATGTCAAGTAACTTATAAAATCTTGGCTATCTCTCGTTGTATGGTATGTAAAAAAAACTCTGGTGACATAAACGATATTTGCTTCTTTGATTAGTAAATGAAGGTAAATACATATTAACCAAATCAAAGGAAATGACCCTTTTGCCCTTACGACTATCGCAAACCATCTTTATTAAGCTGCCTTTTCCTGTCCTACTATGACTAAGGGATTGATAATAGAGCTCTTTAAGGTTTTTTCTTCTTTGATTCGCTATGTATACGAGTATTTCGCTTTTAATATCAAATTTTGGCTAGTTTGTGATCATCATAAAACTTGGTAAAGAGAAAACCATAGTGTTTAAGGTTTTTTTGGGCTTTCAAACCCTTTACACATATCTGACTGAATGCTGAAATTTGTTGCCTGATATTTTTTTAATTGGGGTTTGGTTAATACATAATAAGATCAACATCAATTTATAAAGTGTATCGTCTGTATAGCTGAATGCTGTTGATGAAAAGCATGTATACACAGTGTTTCATCTTGTCTCACGCTTTATAATTTTGATAATCTACCTGCAACATTCGTGACATGCGCAACTGTTATTTGCTCTACTTGAAAGGGATAAACGAAAAGAGTGGCTGTGTAAACTGTATTTTTGTGCTTTTAACATTTTGTGTAAACCAAACATATCAGCAATATCCATACTAACGGCAATTTTATTTAGGCTCCAGTATCGCTAGGCATTGTCAAAATGGAAAACGGTAGACGAGGCACGAAATATTTAAAACGAGCCTCTGGACAAGGGCTCTAGCGTAGACTAGCTTTGTTATTACAAAGCAAATGAACATATATACTTACATGTACATATCAGTAACTTGATACGACAACAAAGTCTATTTCAGATGTAATGCATGAATAGCAACATACATCTTTCAACAGATGCCTCATATTCCAGTACGCACATTTAAGCCATGTGCCCAAGTCGCATGTTTCAAAAGCACGACAAAGCGTCTCAATTTTGGTTCAAAACTACATCATCCTGAAGTCTTATGGAATGAGATGAAGCATGAGATCATTGATGCGCCTCAGTACAGCGAATTTGAGAACCAAGCATGCGGTTTTCCATAAAACGACCTGATCTATAGGTTTGTAAGAGCACACAATTGTATACAAGAAACTTCCTTTTTCTAGCTTTAGAAAGCGAATGCTTTCAATCATTTATATTCCTTTGTGTATGTATTTCTTCTTTCATCTTCTTTTCCTCTTTTACTCTTTCAGTTTAAGCAAAATAAACAAGAGATTGGAAAAAGTTATCTATCAATTAATTGAAGAAACCAAGGTCTAGGTCAATCATACCATCAAGAATAGTTCTGTTTGTATAAGCTTACTCGTCCTCTTTCTTTCTCCCTCTTATTACTGCCGTTTCAAAATACCCCCCATATATACCTTCACATACTCTGTCGCTTAAATATATACACATAAAGCTTGCAATGAACCCATTACTAGTAGACACCTATACAAGTAAGACTGTAATAAGCGCTCTTCCTGGTCAATCTCGTCGCTTTGATTACAACAGTGGTACTCAACTTTTGGATGGCGTGACCAAATCATTCCTAAACATGGATGCTTGGGTAGCTCAAGAGCTACAGCGGATTGTAGCCAACCAGATACCCAGAAATTGCTACTCGTACGAAGCATTAATTAGCGTAATTGAAGGCGTCGATCAAGGAGAGCATTATTCGGTGATCTGTGCTCGCCCGCAGCCTACCGTTACTTCAACATTACACGAAGCTTCGCAACGTTGCATGAATCAGTTTGCAAGCAAAAACAGCGATATCAAACCAGTGGCGCCACAAGAAGAGCAGCAATCCGTGCTACAAAGCAAAGAACACTTCAACATCAACACGAACATCTGCCTCACAAACGACACGCTGGCAAAACTAGCGACTATCAACACGCATCATGTAACTCGAAAAAACCTGATTATGGCTTTCACGAAGCTGGTGTTTTACTGCTGTAGGCAACGTAAACCCATTCATTTCTACTTGCAACGCCATCGAAAGCCACTGGAACTCATGATAGAGCTAGAAAACATGTGCGATACATACAGTTCATGGCTATCTCTACAAGACAAAATCAGCTCGGCTGCTATGAAAGATGGTGCCATTAGGGTACAACAGCGCCTGCACTGCATCTTGTTTGGTAAGCAAATATCCCTGATTGATAAACTTGTGTGCCCCTGGACGCTGATTAGTGTGTGGGCGCAACATGGAAGCCAACTGAGCCATTCTCAACATGAGCAGCTCAAAAAATGGATTGAATTTGGCGTTTTTTGTTACAAAACCGCTAAAAAGCTTGTGATATGAATGATGCATGGACACACTATCAATAAAACTATGGATTTTTTACGCTCAATCTGCCTCAATGTGTATTAGAGCTGTCTCTGGCAGCATACCATCCGAATCATCTCTAACATACATACTGGAAAACTTGAACACAAAAGCGTCGTCGTAGCCAATCAGTGATTAAAAGCTACTCTCCCAAGAACACAGCGCATCTAATTCAAGTGATTTCTTGCCTGCTATTTGGCTATGGATTGAGTGGTTTGTGGTTTCAAGGCAACATTTGGTAACATTGGTCTTCAGAGGGGTTTGCCGTAACGAAGCAAACGTGCAAAACCATAGTATTCAAGCAGTAAGTTTGGCTTCTCATTTTCGTTATTAATAAGCTTACCAACAACATAACGCATCAAAATTTGCATGAATTAGCTTTACCAAATCCAATATGCCTCCTGTTCGAATTGGAAATTGCACACGCTTGCAGAACGGCCCTTCCAGAGGATTTCGACTACCAAGGATGTGATTCATGCGGTGTAAATAAACGCCATAAAGCAAAGCATAACCAAATTGGACAGTTTTCAAGCCTTCATATCTTGACATGTAGACCTTTCTGAGCCACTGGAATAACGCCAAACAATTGTACTTGAGTCGTAGTAACTTCCTGACACCTTTGCTCAACTTTTTGGGTCAAAAAAAAATATTGTCAAAAATCGACCAAAAAGCATGAGGGGTACCTCATGGTTTTCATCGAAAATCAAACGATCGCATTTTTCACCTTGAAAATGAAGACTTTTGCTATGATATGTATAGAATCAAAATGTTTCTTTGGATCCAAAGTAACCTCTGAAATCACGTTTATGAGGTTTTCATATGCAAAATTAGGCTATTTTTGCTAAAAAAAAACCTCATTTCAAATTTTATTAAATTGCTCAATAGTTTCAGTCAAAAAACTTATTACCGTTAGCACCATTGGAAGCGCCTAGAAAAGTACTTCAAGAATGTATTAGGAAGCATAGGGGGGATCATTACAGTTTATATAGTCGTATGTCATAAAATAGATTAAAGAAGTCGAAAAAAGACAAAATCTGTCCAATCTTGAACAGAAAAAAAATAAGCTGGGTTTTAATCGATTTTGGTGGTGGCATTGCTGCTGGCTGGCCCAAATGCCCTTTTTGATGATGATAATGATGATTGCGATGGTGAATAAATGGGGGTGTGCTGCGTGTAGCATTACATGATAAAAGGCTTAACAATTTGAGAAACCATGTAACGTCGGCTCTACTGCGTGAACCTTCAAAAGTAAAGTTTCGGTCAATTCGAAATGATCTATGATTTCGCGATATAAAACAAAACAGAAATTCGTTAGAAGCCTGATAAAATAGTCGGTGCATTTCCAATCCTTGACGGGTGTAATCTCCTCTAGTAGTTCAATCTTGTAGCTAGATACTAGTGCAGTGGGGTCGTCATGTTGAACTAATCGTGTAACATCACTGAATGATTCCAAACCGGTTGGTTCTCGCATGTTGAATCTCGAGCCTCGATCATCCCCAGGCACCGTTCATTTACAGTGCAATGCGTTTTCCAAGGATGCTTATTAACAATTTGAGTCATGCAGGTGATTTAATTCTTGTAAATGATGCCAACCAATTCAATGAACATCTACTACATATTACACAAGGCGAGCCTTTTTCATCACCTTACAGATCCCACATTTATCTCATGATGCATCAAGTTTTGACCCAATCAATAAATTACATAAGGATCTGAACGCTGTACGACATTCTTGATTGGACTTGATAAAAGTAGGGGAGTAATCATAGACAGCAGAGTGTTATCCAATGAACTCTTTCACGTGAATCATTTTTATCTAATAATGATGATTGCCATGTATCATAAGAAAGCTGGAGAAAAGCTCTATGCATTCTTTTTTAAATGAAGCCATAACAGAAATGACGTCGCACTAAGTGATGATATACACACTTGTCCTTACTGCTTCCATGCTAAAGCTGCTTATAAAACTAGTAGCGTTAATTTAATAATCGCATTTCTCTTTTCTTTTCTCTTTCTCACCTTCACAAGTTTTCTTGCACTTAGGGATATATTACGTTCTCTCGGACATTGTCTCGTTATTCATTACTAATAAGCTTGTATATATATATAAATCATGGGTGAGCATATAGCGCTTAACTAAAGAGTCAGCAACTCATACATTCAAATCAGATTCTGTGATCTCGACAGTGAACTCAGGCACTTCATCACCAGCTGAAAAAAGAACCAAGATTTCTGAAACAGATTATCAACCTCAACATAAAACGTTGACAGCAGATTCACCTCTATTGCCTCGTGGACTAGATATTATGGGATACGACTTTAAAGTGAACGAGGTAATTTGAGATTGGCTTGTTTGTTGTGTATACAATTGGGATAACATGATGCTTTCTATGCATACAAAATAGCCACCTACAGATCGTCCAGTGCGTATCTATTGTGATGGTATCTATGATTTGTTCCATTTTGGACATGCAAAAGCGCTTGAACAAGCCAAGAAGTCATTCCCGGAAGTTTATCTGTTAGTGGGCGGTAAGTGCACAATCTACTCATTATTGGTCCAAGAGAAAGCAGGCGTCTCAACCCTACAATGATAGTGTGCAGTGATCTAGAGACACACAAGCGCAAGGGAAAGACTGTAATGACAGACGTTGAACGCTATGAATCTGTGCGCCATTGTAAGTGGGTAGATGAGGTTGTACCCGACGCACCTTGGTTTGTAAATCAAGACTTTCTCGATAAACATCAAATCGACTATGTAGCGCATGATGCTGAACCCTATCAATCCACTGAATCAGGTGATGTTTATGCATTTGCAAAGGCACAAGGAAGGTTTCTACCTACTCAACGTACAGACGGCATCTCCACATCTGATTTAATCACACGCATTGTCAGAGACTATGATGCCTATTTGCGTAGAAATCTCGAGCGAGGTGTAAGCGCAAAAGATTTAAACATCTCTTTTCTAAAAGAAAGAGAAATCAAGACCAAAAAGTCCATTGACGACCTCAAAAATCAAATCAAAAACATAGTGTTGGAGCATTTGGGCACCTGGGAAGATCAAAGCCATGACTTTATTCGAAGTTTTGCTGGAAGATTTGGAGCGGAAGACGTTGTTGTAAGTAGTTTAAGTGGTGGTGATATTGCGCATGTAGTTTGACACCAGGCATGATTATGTAGCAAAAGTTTTTGAATAAGCGTAGACTGCACCTTGGTGATAAACGAACTCGTAGCCCAAGCAGCAATGATGGTGCTTCCGATGCCTCGTCTTCTCAAAGCGTTCATTCTTCAAATAATGGAACGCCAATTCTCTAAAGAGCATATATACAAACTTTTGCTATATCAGCTATCATAAGTCTCTTTTCTAACTATTTAATATAAGTTTACATACAATTTAAATAAATCTTACGTCCCTTTAATAAGTTTCATAGTTGAAATGGCATGGACTTGGCTATGACGATCAGCAATCAGTAGTATAGATCCTACTGCCACAATGCAGTAGATATCGTCGTATTACATGTGTTTAGCAAATCACTCAGATCAGTAGTGCCTGAATGTTTTGTGGAGATTGTATCCATAATGCTAGTTTCGAGATTTTAATGCAGTTAAGGTAGCCAGCATCTATCGTAGCCCTCTCAGGCCACATCTGTTTCCAACAAAAGAGCCCCACATCTCGTTAACATTAACCTAAACATTCATCTCATAAGAACCTCATCAAATCCTTTTTTCAAGTATTTATTCTGTAATATATGCGTGTATAAATAATGAACTAGATTCATCTCTGCTTTTCAACATCTGCATCAACCTATTTGAAAAGTGATATTCGGTGGTGTATGTAGTGAAGTTGATAGGGAGTTTGCATGATATCGAGGTCGAAAGAGATTTAGATTAAGCCCACATCTTGCTGATGAATTCAGTCAAACCAATATCGTTAGTGTTGAATTGGTAACAGCCAACAAGGACGCCAGCAGTGCTGACCCATAAGGTACCAGTCATCAATTTGTTCAAAAAGACACTCTTGCGAGCATTGAAATAATCTATAGAAAATTTACAAAAAGAGTAATGTTTTAGATAAAAAGATTACCCCGCATTTTTTTTTTCGGTTATCTCCTCAAAACTTACCAGTGATACAAGCATCCCAACCTATTTCATGATTTCTATGTGTAAGTTTCAAAGGTTGTCTAGTTCTATAGAGCTCAAAAGCTTACCAATGTGAAGATGAACAGGGAGAACAACACCCAAAAGAACGTCAGTAACAGGTGAAGCACCGTATGTGAGTTGAGATGCAATGATGGGAACTAAAGCAAGGGAAGCAGCGCGTTCAATATCCCAATGGTAGGAGCCATGAAGACGATCAGGCTTGTGAGTAGCAATAGCATTGGATTGAGCAACAGCTATTGTTTCGAAAGGTTAGCATATCTGTAGGCAAAAAAAAAAGGGCACAAACTTACAAGAGTGAATCTTTACAAGACCCATAGGTTGTTGACGCACCAAAAGACGAGCGGTGGAGCGAAGAGCAGGCGTGTTAGCAAGACGAAGAGCCATTTTTTGATTTATTTGAAATGAACAAAAAAAAAAGAGAGTGGGGAAGAGGTTTTAATATGACTGTAAGGTAAAGGTGAGAACAAGTTAGAAATGTGTAATCAGGAATATAAAATATTCCACCCTTGATCATTTTCGCACTGCCGTTCTTCTATCGGGCGTATCCGCTTATGGTTGATGACGCAGTCTCAATTTGATGCCTTCTACTCATGTGAAATTCTGTATTGTAGCCAAGGATAAACGATTAGCAGACCGTCATTGCCTGCCAATGTCTTTGGCTTCAAGCCAAATGTCCACTGTTGATGCTTGAAGTAGTGGAACTGTCGGATAAATGAGAGATCCATGGTCAAATGTCTCGAAAATCAAGGTGATGCTATTTACTACCCCGCATTTTTCATGGTAGCAATGTTACCAATGGGTGGGATACCGAGATCTTGCTTATCCCATGCAATTGTAGGCTTTTGCAGTTGCAAAACTGGCTGTTATGACAACACATTCTAGAGCTGACATCGGCCTGATTGGACTGTCGATCAATCCTGTCTATTTTGATGAATACTTGTAGAACAACTATTGTTTGAACAGTGGAAGAGCCTAGGAACATATGAAACGTCTTTTGTAGTAGGACCGCTTGTTTAGTGACTCCCTCGAGTCGCGCGCTTTCAGATAAACCGAGGCAAACCTCACTATCATCCTGCTTAAATCACTACATCTATCACCATGGAAACCAGCAGAAATCTGGATGCATTTTACGAAGAGAGATCAAACCAATTGGAACAAGTGAAGGCTGGCTTTGATAGGCTTAAAGTGAATATGAATGCAATGATTCGAAACATGGAGACCATGAACGCTATCGGCTCTCAGTTTGGAGCGAGTGCTCATTTATGGACATCATTTCATAAAACTATCTCCCGACCCGTAACCACATTCGAACAGCAACCCATTGCCAAACCTGTGAAAGGTGCATCGCCGTCGCTGGCACGAGATTTAGATGAAAGATCCATGGGAGAAGAAGAACGATTATAACCAAATATACCTGCACATTGCTGTAATATTAGACATAGTTAATGCAACATTCTGATTGCATGTTTATATTTCGAATTACAATAGTTCAATAAACAGATTGTCAAATGAAACTGGTTTGACATAACGCCCTTGTAGAGTATAAAATATTGCATTTGATAAGATTTGGGAGATTCAAGCATCACTCCTGCCAATGCTGAACTGTTCATTCAATAAAGACATTGCAAGATGATTACCTTGAGATAAACTAATTGTCAGCATAAGATCATTTAAGCAAGGAGCTTTTGATCACAGCTTTTGGCCCTTTTTGAAGATAAATTGATGAGTAAATACAGCGCAATCAAGCCAGTTACCCCATGAATACAGCCAACATATATGAGTAGTTCAAAATTAAGAAAGTTATTTATTATAGCGAAATTAATGGCCAAAAACTAAGGATATATATAAATATGCTGAAGTAATGTTATTGTGTATCATGAGAGACAGCAGCGGCAGCTTGTCTTTCATATGCGATCCGTTGAAATCTGGATAAGTCTTGTACAAATTTAAGGCCAATAGGGCTACGTTCTAGTCTGCGAAACAGATCCACTGCTTGTTTTCGGATATGAGGGTTTGAATGAAATAATCCTGCGCCCAGTGGGGATAAACCGCCTTGATGTTGAGGTAAAAAGGACAGGAACTATGTACTCGTTTAGTCATAAGAGCAACAAAAGAACCCGCCATCACTGCCTTACCTCGATCATTTGGCGATGTGTGATGATGTTGCTCAGGAATGCTTCGTAGATGGATGACACTTCACTGTCAGGCATGTGTCTCAAGCGCTTCAGTTTACTGATCTGTCTGTAAACATCCAAATTCTTGATACAAGAGTTTTGTAGCCAGTGGTTGAGGTCCTAAATTACAGGTTAAAGGGCCTTATTTTGTAGAGTTGAGCGACCAAGTTACCCTTTGGTAGTATTTGTACGATATCGACTGTCTCCATCCTTCGATACGACTGGCATTTACGTTGAGTTCTCGTTGTTTTGAGGCTTCGTCCTGGAACACAGGACCATAGCCCAAGTGTGTCTCATGGGAGGGCCATCCAATCTGTGTTTGGCCATACATTTGCTCTTCATATAGTCCAGCTAACCGCACAAATCGAAAGACATAATCCTGGAACTTTGCACGAATAGACGTCTCGCCATAGTGTGCTTGAATCGAGGCCATGACTTCATTCATAAACTCAACATCGCTATCTCTCAAGTCTGATTGCTGCTGTTGCTGTTGCTGTTGCTGCTGCTGTTGCATGGATGATTGGTTGCCCTGTTGCTGCTTGAATTGATGTGAGGTCATGCTGGATGTTCGACCCAAAGACAAGGAGGTAAAGGCGGATGCAGCAGTCGCAGTGGCATCCTCTGTTAGAGCAATGGATTGCTTTCTGCCGGTGGTGATGGCATGATTCGCTTCAATGTGATCGCTGACGGTAATTTTGCCCGTACTGATATTGCACAACACATCCCACCAGCTGGTATGTTCCTCGTATGTTGGGTTCGTCACGCCTGCAATGAAACCCGGGCTAGATTGTTGTTAGAAAATGCACAAATACCTGCTGAACAGCGCATTTACCATTTCAATAAATCATCCACGCTCGTCAAGTTGGTATATGGGAACGCACGCTCTGTAAATCCTTTCAACACTGTGCCGCAACCACTACCCAAGGCACAGGCCGCAAGGACATAATTAGCTACTTCTCCAGATGGATGTCCATATCCCAGGAAAACGATCCTCTTTTGTGTCAGTAAAGCGTTCAGTAAGAGCATGATTGGATGTGTGTATGGCCCACTGCTGTCTAGGTGTGGATGGTGCGGATTTGGTGAGCCAGGATGATTGGCATTGGGCGTAAATGTATTGATTAATTTGATGACTGAAAACTGCAGTAGTGATGGATGTGAGTCTCCTGTCAATCTGCTTCTCTTCAACACTTACATCGCCAACTTCTTCTGCATTCACCGTCAAAGGAATTTTGATGGGTAGCTTGATGCCGTCATACTCAATCTTCGTTTCGAAAAAGTGTCTGTCTTTGCTCAAAGCGGGTATCTTTTCACGGACATGTCCTGACGCCAGGTCAATGTATGTACCTCTTCGCATGCGGCTTGTCTCTGTGTCTTCCATGATGTTGATGTCCTCCATGTTACTGCTGTTTGTCTCGTCAATGAACATTTCCTCAAACATGGTCTTGTTGTCTGAAGCTCTTAGAATCTGCCTCTCATGCCAGGTGAACTTTGGCATTCTTGACAGATCCATGGAATTGACAGCCTCAAACAATGACTCCAAAATTTCCAAGCTAGGGTTCTCAAAGTACTTTTCCATGGCCAACAGTAATACTGGCTATCAAGATACACAAGGTAAGGAGGTTATTGTTTAAGCACTCTTGATTCCACTCCCCTTGTGCCTGCTTGCTCACTCACCTTGTAGATGTGCAGATACTGGTGTCTGGTGCAGATGGCCATCGCCTTGACTCTTGCGCCTCTAGTCGATAGATCCATGAATGTCGGATTCTTTAGCATGCGTCTTATGTGAGATATTTACCTTCTAGCAGTAGCATCATGTTTTGTTCTAACCAGATTCAATACATACAGCAAAGGCTTTTCTGAGTCGGATTTTACCTGTTCAAGGCCTTGATGAGGATCTGGAGTCAACTGATTCAAACAGAAAATAGTCCAATCCTCTGCTCTTAGATGAGCACCGTCAGGCAGCATGAGCTCTGATAGAATACTAGACGTTTTTTGTCAAAGGTGCAAGATGACGAGAACGCTTTGTCTGCAACTTACTGCTCGTCAGTGCCTGTTTCATCAGGGTACTGATACTTGAGATTGGCGCCTTTGTCGATATCAAACTCTGCCAGCAGAATGTATTGAACGTGTTTACTGTTGTTGATTGCCATTTCGGGTTTGAGAAAAAGGAAGGAAAGGAGGAGGAAAAAAAAAAGAGGTAAGTGGATGTTATTCAAGAATAAGCAAATTTGGTATCACAATGCTTAAATTTTGTGGTCAACTATTTTTGATATCAGTTGGCCCTGAAAATGGCTTGAGGAGATTGTGTGTATACCAAGCATTGGCCGTAACCTTTGATATCTGTAGTACATGTCGTATAGCATGAACGTCAAGCGGTGCACCTTAAATCATAGAGCAATCAACGACGAATCTTGGGCTTGCTGCAAACATCGTGATATGGATTGTTTGAAAGATTCTCATGTAGATCAATGGGGGGTCATTTCATTCGTTTAGATCAGTGATTCTCCTCTCAAATCACACGCGAAAAATGAACTTCTAAAATAAGGTGACGTACTCAAACGCTCTCTTTAACAAGTCCTGATGGTATATATTCTCTGCTCTCTGGTCGAGTACTTTCTCCCTTTCTTCTTCTCTTCAAATATTTCTTTGCAAATTTTCAAATATACAACATGAGTGTCCATCTTTTAAGTTCTGATAACGAAGAGTTCAAGGTCGATAAGGATGTTGCTGAGCGTTCCATCTTGATCAAGAACATGTTGGAAGGTAAATAGACACACTAAAAATTTGAAATAAAAAAAAAAAAGGCCGTTTTTACTTATCAATGCTGTCCATTTCGTAGATATTGGAGACTCTGATGCTCCCATTCCTCTCCCCAATGTAACATCCAAGGTGTTGGGAAAGGTAAGATCCCTATTTGATTGTGTGATGGTGTCGCCTCGATTAACTCATTGTGCTTGCTGGCTCAACAGGTCATTGAATGGTGTACTCATCATCGCGAAGACCCTGTCACTCAAGATGACCAAGAAAGACGCAACACTGATATTGAAGAATGGGACCAAAAGTACATGGAAGTTGACCAAGAGACCTTATTCGATATCATTTTGGTAAGAACAAGAGGAAAAAGCATGGTTTTTGCAATCAAAAGGTGGCTGATGGATTGCTCTTTGATATATAGGCTGCTAATTACCTCGATATCAAGCCTCTCCTTGATGTTGGATGTAAGAGTGTTGCCAATATGATCAAGGGTAAGAGTGCCGAGGAGATTCGCCGCACCTTCAACATCACCAACGACTTCACTCCTGAGGAGGAAGCTCAAATCAAGAAGGAGAACGTAAGTAATAGTAGCATCTTTCACAGCTGTATTCATTGTGATAATTGACGATATGATAAATTTTTAGGAATGGGCAGAGGATCGTTAAATAGCTTTAAAAGAAATGAAGAATCAACATGATCCCAATGCATTAAAAACAACAAGAGAGTATATCTAGGAAATCCATGTCATGTAATCTTTGTTAAATATACTTGCTTTGACTCAAAAAATGATACCATTTTGCTTTATCCTTGAGCATATCATTGTCCGTTGACTGTGCCATGTGATACTACATTAGGAGCAACTAGTGTGTAGCTGCGGTAGATGCTACATGTATATCTGATTCGACTGTTTGTGTGAGCGTATATAGGAAATTGAGATGTAATGTGGTAGAATATCAACACTGGTATGCGACTATAAAAGGTCGAGCAAATTTTCAGCTTTATTATCATTATCAAATTTTACATGCTATCCTTTGTATGAGATAACCAGGTTTTAAACTTTTCATCTTCTTCTCGCTGAGCTTTTGAAGGAGGATATTTGGAAGCACTTGGCAGTGGGTTTTGGTCGCTATCGTACTCATCATCGTCCTCTTCATAATCCTCAGCCTCCTCTTCCTCGGCTTCAGCATCGTCCCATCGATCATCCTCTAAATTGTCTAAGCAATGCGACTCTCAGTAGCCACTCCAAATCATCATGAACACTGTACTTACGATCTTTGTTTAATGAGACTTCCGAGCCCTTTGACATCTTCATATCCTTCATCAACTTGTTCAATTGCTTCTCTCGGTTCTTTTCTTCTTTGGCCATCTTTTCACGGATCATTCTTTCGATTTCAGGTTTATATTCGACTTCGTACTCATCAGCAGCCTCACTGACAGCTTGGAAGAATTCGTCAATACCAGCACCGGTTACAGCAGAAACACCCACCACTTTGAGATGGTTGTAGAACTCATCCAAGACCAAACTCATAGATGACATCAAACTGCTCATATAGGTGGTATCCTGGCTAAGTGCTTCTTGGAACTTTTCGAAATCAGTCATCCATTCAACTGCAAAATCGTGTGATACAACATCAGTCTTGTTGAACACCAAGATGAACGGTAACTTGGTCTTGTAGAGAATACTACAGGCATACAACATGTTGCTCATGAAGGTTGCTGGTGATGTGGTGCGAGGCGTATCAATGATGTAGGCAATCATGGTTGGATAAGATGCAGCTAACGTATCAGTGATAATTGCACCAGATGCTGACCATGTAAAGATTTCGATCTGTCCAGGTGTGTCGACGAGAATGTTACTGCAGATATCTATCAATGTCTATGCGCAGTCGAATAAAGAAAGCATGATGCTTACCTGACACTCTCGGCACGCTTAGCAACAAGGTTAAGCACCTGGTCAAACTTGGTTGTAAAGAGATTGAGACTGGTCAAAATACCACCATTGGGACCAAGATTGTATCTACGGAATGTGTCAGTCGATGTGGACAAATGGACCCCATTGTCGGTACATTACTGCTTCATCACTTCTTTGTAGTTGACGGTATCTCTAATATCAATGTTGGCGGTGAATGGCAGAGATGAGACTGCAGGATCGAGATTCAGCACATATGGAGGTGTCTTCTTTTCATGAAGATGAGCATTGATTCTCTATGATACGTGTTTCACTGCCATATCAGTAAAGATGAGGATACAGAATCTATCTTGTTCATCTACCTGCATAAATGTGGTTTTGCCTGAGCCAGCCATGCCAATGCATAAGATGACAGGAGGCTGCTTCTTTTCCTTATTCTCGGTTGACATGTCTAAATTCGTTGTTGTTTTGAAAGCAAACTTTTTTTTTTTTTTTTTTTCCTGTGCCATTTTGGTTGAATTTGAGTCTCTTTGATTACTCAGTGCAAGAATGTCACATTGCAGAGTCACCTCTAGATGCACTGCGAAGGACTCTAATGAAATGCTCTCTAATGATCCATTTCAATAGGAGCCATGCACATTTCTTTTGAAGCAATCTGTTTACACATAATGAAACCAAATATAAAATACAATAAAATGGTGCAATTTATTTGCTCTTCTTCTCCTTCTCTTTTCATCAATAACAACTCGTCGTCCAATGGCTTTCAAGGTGAGCAAAGCACACATCAGCCTAGACATTGCACACACTTACGAAATGCATAATGATAGTTTGAATTGGAACAATGGCAAAAGGCATGCGATGCTTTCGACGATAATAAATATGATGGGGCTTTAAAGACATTCATTGTAAGAGCCATACTCTGGTATTTATCCAATGTCTAACTAGCATTCTTTCTAGGTAGAGCATAGCCGATAATGCCAAAATGCATTTCAACATTGGCTCCATATTCTCCATTTTAAACGACCATAAACGAGCTGTAAGTTGTACATCAACAAGCAAGGCCCCCCATATTAACAGCTTGGTAGATCACAGCATTCAACCGAGCAGTTGCCAAGGATCCCTATTTCGCCGTTGGATACTTTCAAAGAGGTGTGTCTATGTTCTTGCTGGGAAATCTGGAAGCAGCAAAAGACGATTTTGACAGCGCCTTCCAGAGACTACGGGGCAACAGCCTCATTAACTATCAGCAATTGGGCCTCCAGTTTCGCCTTTATTCTTGCGAAGTCCTGTTTAACAGAGGCATTTGCCAACTCTACCTTGGCAAAATTGACTCTGGGCTCACAGATTTGTATCATGCACAAAAAGCTAAAGAAACAGAGGAGCACAACATCATTGATCAAGCTGTTCGCAATCGAGGCAAAGGATACTCTGTCTACTCTATACCGCCAGGATTGCTCTTTCGACCTTCGGAGATCAGACTACGTCAATTAAAGGGCATTGACATGTTTCACAATAAATTAGTATCTCAACTCCATTATACGACACCTCCAAGAAAGAATTCAATCTTGGTAGATCAGCCCATTCTCACATCGTCCTCATCATTGGCATTGACAGAAGAGCCATCATCGCCATCATCACCGCTTGCTAAAGGAGGGCCTATACCCATCAAGTCACTCTCTTCGTCTTCATCTTCATCGTCATTACAATCTCCCATCTCTCCCATCACACCCATCACACCCACGCATCATTATACGAGCAAAGGCGCATCCATGAGTCGACGATCTACTGATAAAAATGGCGGTGCTGACATGCGACAATTGAGGGAAAACCATCGCCCATCTTCCAATATCAGACATACTTACAGCATGACATCTGCCACGACAGCAAGCGTTAGCACCAACTCTTCTCAAACATCTCTGAATAGCGCTATTTCAGCAAATCATGCTGGGAAACTTAAAACTAAATGCCATTACACCGACACTCGGATTGTATTGACCTCAACCGATGTTAATTACCAAGAATTGAAGTCAAGAATAGCCGAAAAATTCAAGATAAACTCGAAGAGCATCCAGCTGGCTTATAAAGACGAAGAACACGAAAAGGTGCTCATCATTGATGATGAAGATCTTGACATGGCTAGACAGATTAACAGAGCGAGACATCAACTCAAGCAATCCGTTGTGGAAAAGTTGGAGATCTGGATTCAGTGTTGATACAGGTTGTAAAAATAGATTTAATATAAATAAATTCCAGTGCATGTCTTATATGTATTGATCTTTTTGTGTGATCTTTTTGCCGCTTTTTTCAGTACGGAATTGGTTCTTTCTTTTAAAACCCTGTAGATTATTCGAGTATCTTGAAGGATCAAACGCATTTACTATTGTCTCCATCACATAAGCCTAAAGGCAATGCTGCCAATTTTTTGCTGATACTTGAACTCAGACTCTCGTAGAATCTCACTAGAGCCCATATTCGTCTTTTTGACAGTATTGCATACCTCACATATAGCGTTTAACGTGCAATTCCACTACAGTTGCCACTCCAAGAACATTAGTAATGTGAATAGGGTGACCATTCTGCAATTCGGTTAGGATTTTCATTCATTTGGGCTATTTGCAATGATAAAAACGATGATTCATAGAAAATTGCAACATAAATACTAAATTATAGTGTTGATAAGCTAGAGTACCTTCCAATTCGCAATTTCCTTCTTTATTAGCTTCATAAAGATTAATTTCCTTCACAAGAAACACATTTTGCCAGCCAAAATCGGTTCATACTTCGTTCTCTTTTTTCTTGCTCGAAATGGAAGTTTTTGATCAAATTTCGACTTCTGCAATCTATTTTGCAAGATTCGACTATATGAATTGTGTTGATAATTCCATGCTTCCTTAAGCTTCTAGGAGTACTTTTCAAGGCGCATCCAATGGTGCTAATTATGAAATGTGTTTTGGCTAAGTCTATGGAGTTATTTCGGAAAATATCAAATGTCGTTTTCTGCCAAAATGTCGAGATTTCACAAATTAAGGTTTCATAAACAGAGTTTCAGAGGTTGATTTGGATTGATAGAATCGTTTTGGTGTAGTATATGCCATAGTAGAAGTCTTCATTTTTGGGGTCAAAAATGCGGTCGTTTGATTTCTGATAAAAAGCATGAGGGGGTACCTCATGCTTTTTGGTCGATTTTTGACGATCCCAGAAAAATCGAGCAAAGGTGTCAGGAAGTTAGTGCCAGACAAAAGCAATTGCTTGGTGCTACTCTGGCAGTCTAAAACGACCTCCAGCACGAGAATACACGGTTTAGACACACTCATATTTCGCTGTATTATGCATACTTTTGAATGGCAAGAGGTAATGTAAGCGTACAAGAGGTAATGTAAGCATACTGTATATCTGTTATTTCCATTAGTACGGATGTGGAGCATCGTAGAAGAGTCAGATCCGCAGTTTCAAGTTGTTGGTAGTTGACAAAAGTGAATCTGCAGTGCTGTGTATATGTATCGGTTAGGTTTTACCAAACACTGGCAAATCAGTGCAACATTTAGGGAAAAAATTATGAATAGCACATAGTTTTTAGAACAAAAACACCAATGCATATCAAATTTATGATTATTAGAGCTGACTCCATCAAAAAAAAAAAGAAACGTAAATTGCATAGTACAGCAAGGTGTACACCCTTAGAAAGCGCTTCTACAAGCACAGGTACGAAACTTTAGAAGCAACAATATGAAAAAAAGTGGACAACACAAGAGGTTCAGTGTGCAAATATGTTTTTATAACAGTGAAGATTTGATAATACAATATTGAAGAACTACTTTATACAAAATGCTGGCAACAGACTTTTTCTCTCTCCTATGAAACTTAGATCTTGGCTTGAAGTTGGATCTTGACAACCTTGACTTGAGTGTACTCTTGAAGAGCATACTTTCCGAGCTCCTTACCAAAACCAGATTGTTTGTAGCCACCGAAAGGAGTGGATTGGTCAAAGACATCATAACAGTTAACCCACATGGTACCAGCTCTGACTTCATTGGTAACCTTGATAGCATCATCGAGATTTTGGGTATATACACCACCAGCTAAACCATATTCAGAGTCATTGGCGAGATCAATGGCTTCATCAATAGTCTTGAAGGTACCAATGGCAACAACAGGACCAAAGATTTCTTCACGCATAACGCGCATGTTGTTATGACAGTTGATGAGAACAGTAGGTTCAACGTAGTAACCCTTGCTGCCCCAACGCTTGCCACCATAGGCAACCTTGGCACCTTCCTTCTTACCAATCTCAATGTAACCCAAAATTTTATCGAATTGAGACTTGTTAATTTGAGGGCCTTGGAAAGTTTCATCATCAAAAGGATCTCCAATCTTGAGCTTCTTGGCTTCTTCAACAAAGAGTTGAACAAACTTGTCGTGGACAGACTCATGAACAAAGATACGAGAACCAGCGTTACAACTTTGACCATGGTTGTTGAAAATACCACCACAAGCCCAGTAGGCAGCGGATTCAAGGTCAGCATCAGCGAGAACAATTTGAGCGGATTTACCACCCAATTCAAGTTGAAGCTTCTTGAGGTTACTGCCAGCACTGCTTTCCATAATCTTACGACCCGTCAAAGTAGAACCAGTGAAGGCCATCTTGCTGACCTTGGGATGAGCAGACAGGTAGTTACCAGTAGTATGACCGTAGCCAGTAATGACATTGACAACACCCTATACAGTCTGCATGAATATTTGAAAATGCTAAATTGACCAGTATATACTTACAGCAGGGAAGCCAGCTTCCTTGACGAGCTCACCAAACTTGAGAGTGGCTAAAGGAGTAACTTCAGATGACTTCAAGACGACTATAAAAGATATCCATGTCAAAAATGTGTCGCTTCTTGATTCTTTATGCAAAACACTTACTGCAATTACCAGTAGCCAAGGCAGGAGCAAATTTCCTGGAATCGAATTATGATTAGTTGCTGAGTTGGTGCCTTTTTTCTTTCATACTCACCATGCACTCATCATGGTAGGATAGTTCCATGGCCTTTGATGTTGAAACAACGGTTAGAATTAATGAAACAGATAGAGAGTATGTCCTACTTACACGACAGCACCAACAACACCAAGAGCTTCATGGCGAGTATAACACATCTTATCGAATGTGGTATCGATAGTCTTACCATGGATCTTGTCAGCCCAACCAGCAAAGTAACGATAACAACCGATAGATTCAGTAACATCGACATCACGAGCAATGACAAAGGATTTGCCATTATCAACAGCATCCAAAATAGCAATCTCATCCTTATCACGTTCCATCAGGTCAGCAAGTTTGTTGAGGAGACGACCACGCTCAGCGGGGGCGACCTTTCTCCACGTCTTGTAATAACAGTTGTATGCAGATTCAACAGCAAGATTGACATCGTTTTCATCAGCAGAGTGAACTTTGCAAATGACTTCTTCATTAGCAGGGTTGATGGTTTCAATCAAAGGTCCGTGACCAGGAACGAATTCGTTGTTGATAAAGAGTTGTGTATGGACTATATTATAAGATGGGTTATTTTGACATGTCCATGTACATGCTAGCTAACCAGCAACACATACCCTTAGCGGTCTTTCCGTTGGTTAAGCGAATAGTTTGGATGTCTGCTTGAGTCATGTTGAAGGATTTAAAAAAAAATAAAACTGTGAAAATAGAAAGGAAAGAACCTTGATCCTGAGGCAACCCTTTTATATTGATTTCTCACACATGCTTTTAGTCACAAACATATCTTGCATTTGAAAGTCCTTGGTAAGCTATAGATCTTGCATTGAAGGGCCTGCCACTGTATGTATCAAAGCAGCCAGCATGACTGGTAAATGTGGATGCTGTGAATCTACTCATGTGCGCTGGTGCCTTCTGCATCATACAAATACCATCTTTACTCTACAACATTAATTACAAAACTCTATCTGTTTGTTGTTGATTTAATGGTTCCAATGCTTTAGTAATAGTTGCTAGTCCGCTGATTTCCAAACAGAGAACGACGTGGGAAACATCGAGTATGTGACAAATAGCGGTTACACTGATTACATTTCTTTTTGCCTTTTAGAGGATATCTTTTATGCTTAGAGGGCAGCTGTTGCTGCTGATCCTACTCTTTCCTAATTTGAGGATCAAGAAATCTGCGAATTAGCAATAAGGTTTGCATGCGATATCCTTATTTGTTCAGTCAGCAAGAAAAATACTACTTGTTTTTACTAATTGTGAGCGTCATTTGGTATACTCACAGCTAAACAATAGCTAATCCTTAAATTAAATACTTGCCACGGTGCCGTATACGCTATGAATTTGAAAAATGATATGCTAGCACAGGCTGCTCTATTAGAAAAGCTAAACTAGGTCAAAATAAAGTATTTGTATAAAACATCATCTCGGAAGAACTCAAGAAAATAGGCGATCTGAAAGCATTGCATATACTTGAATCGTCATAAGACACCTGCAATAGTTTGTATTTTTAATATGGGCGTTGACTGGTAAGCTAACGTTGGATTGGCTTTGCTCATATCTGTTGCCCTGAGTATTCGCATCAGATCGAAACGAGAAATCAAATACAACAATAAAGACCACACCCTTTCCACATTTGCTGAAATTTCGCTTTTTAACTATCCACTGCATAAAAATAACCAACCATAAGCCATCTGTAGCTCTGAGCCTGACTCTTCTACTATCTCCCACATCCATAGCCATGGAAACGATTCATGTATGTTTAGACAGCATACTAGCATTGCTCACCATCATTCAAAATCTTGCATAATACGGCGAAATATGAGTGTGTCTAAACCGTGTTTTCTCGTGCTGGAGGTCGTTTTAGACTGCCAGAGTAGCACCAAGCAATTGCTTTTGTCTGGCACTAACTTCCTGACACCTTTGCTCGATTTTTCTGGGATCGTCAAAAATCGACCAAAAAGCATGAGGTACCCCCTCATGCTTTTTATCAGAAATCAAACGACCGCATTTTTGACCCCAAAAATGAAGACTTCTACTATGGCATATACTACACCAAAACGATTCTATCAATCCAAATCAACCTCTGAAACTCTGTTTATGAAACCTTAATTTGTGAAATCTCGACATTTTGGCAGAAAACGACATTTGATATTTTCCGAAATAACTCCATAGACTTAGCCAAAACACATTTCATAATTAGCACCATTGGATGCGCCTTGAAAAGTACTCCTAGAAGCTTAAGGAAGCATGGAATTATCAACACAATTCATATAGTCGAATCTTGCAAAATAGATTGCAGAAGTCGAAATTTGATCAAAAACTTCCATTTCGAGCAAGAAAAAAGAGAACGAAGTATGAACCGATTTTGGCTGGCAAAATGTGTTTCTTGTGAAGGAAATTAATCTTTATGAAGCTAATAAAGAAGGAAATTGCGAATTGGAAGGTACTCTAGCTTACTTTAGTTACCAGATTTTGTTCATCTACTAAATCAATGTAGATACGTGTATGCAGTTTCTCCTGATATCTTTCAGCAAAGTCTGTAAATGCAAACAAGATCATGTAGTAAATTAAACAGCGAATAAAGAGCAACCATAATATCTTTATACAATTGAATTTTTTATATATTTTTCAAGGCAGCTTTGATGTGTATGTATATATGTATATGAATCTTCAGCACGACATTATTTTGTCATTTACCGTCAATCCAGCAATCCATGTTTTGCTTTGTTCTTCTTCTCATCAATCAACCGAGCAATAAAAGCAGCCATACTCGCCTTTGCCTTGGGTGTCATCTTCAGCTTGTGAGTAACGCCAAACTCCTCAGCAAGGCTTTCAGGATTGGATCCTTCCTCCACGAGGATACTGGTACTGATACCCTCGCTAATTTCCAAATGAATTCTCAAAAAGGGTTCGCGTTCAAATCCTCGTGTGCTTTCTGGTTGAGTTTGAGACTTCAATTGATAATCTTGATGTTGATGATCTTTTGTGGTGGAAGGGGTGTTGGTATGAGGGTTTTCTGACTGTGTCTGTTGAGCAGTAGAAGGCTTGATATCCAAATGTCTGCGCAACAAGGATTGATCTAAATGAACTCGAGATTTGGCGTGTGATAGAGTATTTGCAGTTGTGGTATTATTAGTAGCAGTAGTATTGTTGTCTGTATGTGCTGCATTAGGGGATGTGATTTTCAAAATCTTTTTGACAGATGGTGGTGGCACAAACGTGGGTACGAATGCAGGAGCATCAGCATTGTAGAAAGCAGGGCCTGGGATAGGGCTCTGTGCAGAAGAGGACGTAGAAGTAGAGGCTGTGGAGGGTACAAAGCTGGGAACAGAGGCATTCCACTTGGAAGCCTCGGTTTTGGCAGTGGGAATGAATCCTTGAGCGTCCACGTTCCATTTTGGGGTTTCTGTCTTTGCAGCGATGGGGGTAAATCCTTGAGCTTCAATGTTCCATTTGGTATTAGTGGTATTAATGGAGATGGCAGGTTGATTGTCAGCTTCTTTTATTGGATGTTCGACGGCAGGAGCGACACTGAAGGCAGGCAATTTTTTAGATGAAAGCGTCTTAGTTTTTGGTGTAAGGATGGGTGGGTTCATCAGTGAGTATTCAATTTCAATAGGTGCTTTTGATCCCCAAGAGGTATTGTTTTGGAATGAGTTGGGTGCAAATGATTTGCTGTCCACTGGCTCATGAGTCGCTTTGGCACTTTGTGATATATTGAGCTGCTTGAATCCAAAAACTGGAAGTTGTGGGACTGTAGACTGTTGTCGAGTGAATGAAGCCACAGCAGCAGGAGTATAAGTATTAGTATTAATAGTAGTCGTAGTAGTAGCAGTAGCAGGAATGATGGGCTTTGGAGGATTTTGATTCTTTTCCCAGAATGGCGTATCAGACAGAGGAGCAGAACCCCACGTAGAGGCAGATAGATCCTTGATAGGTGCCCTCGCGGGTACGCTTGGTTTTACCTTAGGCACATAGGGACGATTCACCCTTCCAAGCACTGGCGCTGGCTTTGGAGGGACATGGACAGACGACTTTTTCTTTGATTTCTTGGGTTTAGATGATTTCTTGGAGGGAATACCTTTACTGAGTCTTTGTGCCAAAATAGCAGCTTCTGAGAGCGGTTTGAAATTGCCACCTCTTCTATGTAAATCACCTGAGCCGATGCCACCAGCCTTGACCTTTACAGAAGGATCAATTAAAGTGTTCCAAGTTGCTTCTTTTTTGACATTGTCACCCCAGCCTGTGATTTCAATGTCTTCGTATTCGCTATCGCTCTCTGTCTGATAGTCATCGTCTGATTTGTAATTCTGGTTGTTGGAAATGTCTAATGCTTGCCAGCTCATATTCTATTGTTGCGCCTTTCCTTCGAGCAAGAAAAAAAAAAGAGAAAGCTATACTGTCAAAATGGGTTGAAAGAAGACAGGTAAACTTCAAGCACATCTTCTTGGTGACTGCCACAACAATGTAAGAACTTGTTTGGGGACATCCAAGAATGAAATGGAAATCATTCCACTCGAAATGTAGGGCACAATCAATTGAAAAATGCCACTGCAAACGAAACATGACACGGCATAGAACTACTTTTTTTATATATATATATATTTCAAACGGTTGTATATGAGATGCTCTGCTAGAGCTTTCCACAAGATGGAGTAACTGAACCTGAATTTTGATTGTTTGATCATGTTGGCACTGTGGCTCTGCATCCGAAATCCAGCCACCAAAGCGATCCGTTCTTGGAGCCATACACTAATCCCATAGATCCCATAGCTAGCCTCGATCTGACAAAGTCATACCCATCAGACAGATCGTCGTCATCTCTGTTGATATCGTTAGGCTGCTCCATCCAATCTTGGATTTCATGCAAAGAGTAGGTGACTCTGGCTGCCGTTGTTCCATTGAGGGCGTATAGTGAGATGTCACCGTGTCGATTCACAGTGGCTACGCGATCACCATGCTTGGCCACATTGACAATTTCTTTGGCCGAGTTTCCTAAAGGCGTCGTGCGTATAGAATGGACAAGACGTGGTCTCTCGTCAAACTTGGGCAATGGCGGCGGTGTCACTTTGTGCGCCAAGCTATTGATGTGCTGTTTGATGTATTGATCCGTCTTCATTTGACAGGCATATCCATAGTCGTTGTAGGATGAATGGCGGCGAATGCGAACAGATTTGTAGAATTCGCGCGATGATTTCTTGAGCAGTGTGCTGGTAGATGTAGATGGCCGAGGCTGATTGCTACTGTTAGCAGAGTGATGTAGGGTTGTGGAGGATGATGAAGTGGGTATATGATGAGAGGAAGTTGAGGATTTCAGGCCTAGTAGATTGCTGAACGTAGTAGACAGTCTTCTTCTTCGAGGTATAACGGGCACAGATGCCGAAGGTTGTGGTATAGGTGCATCATCTGACTGTTCACTATCGCTGCTGGAGGGCAGAGGAGATGGTGGTGTAGCCTCGCGCCATCGATAGTGGTGTATACGTCGAGATGCATGCGGTGCGAGTATAATGCTGAGTGCATTGTCATATTCAATGCATGGTATGCTGCATGGATTGAGATAGTGCGTGGATGAGGCTTCACCTGTATTATCAAAGATATCAAATATATGCAGTAATCCATCCACGCTCACTGTAATCAAGTTATCTCCTGATAAGAAGACATTGTGAGGTTGATTGTCAAACGCCTATCATGAATATGAGTGCCGTACTCCTATTCTCTATCAATAGCCATGACATACCCTATTTGATAATCGTACTCCTTTTCTCCAATTCCACACAAATACGGCCGAAGGTTTTCGACCTGATACGGCAAAATAGTCCTGATTCACCGAGATGGAATCAGGCACGAACCAAGGATGACTTCCGCCTTTCAACACTTGAATTGGATCGTGCTTTGGCCCCTTTGTGATGTCGTAAAACATACATTTGCTATACACACCGTGTTATTTTTAACATAAAGGGAAGAACGAAGCTATTTTTGAATACCCAAACTTACGATCCTCGTTGTGCCACCACCAAGATATTGATGTCTGGCAAAATATCAATGCATTCTACCATGTTGCTGGGTTGTTGGGTCGGATCACCAAATGACCATGTCGTCTTATGCGTGAAGCCTGCTTCGGTTGTGTACTGGTATAACCTCACCATGTTGTCCTGTTTTGATATTCTCATTAAAACCAAGTATTAAATACGTGGTCGGCTCATTTTGCAACCTACCTCTGCCAGTGTGATCAAGAGCCCATCTCGTAATTTGACAGACAACAGTCGATGGCCGTCGTTGTCGTCTAGCTTTGTTGCATTTTGCACGGTTCCCATCCTCCAATTGGCAAATGTGATTGCTTGGCAGTATCTCGTTTTGAGCGGCAGAGCGGTTGCCTCTACAGATTTGGCTGGCTGATGCGCATAGATGTCCACAAACCTCGAGTTGAGCTGAGAGAGTCTGCTTCGCCAGATGGACGTATCCTGAGTCAGTCTTTTCCAAAGACGACAAGTCTGTTGAGATTATCATGCAATTGCGTGTGTCACAATTACTTATTTAGTGTTGTGTTTTCCTATTAATATCCTTTTTTATGTAGTAGTGTACATTACCAATTGAACTGTAATGAGATCTTGGAAAGTCAACAATGAGAATATTTTGAAAATCACTTCTCTTGGAAGTAGGCTGATGATGTCGGCTTGCTCATGCTCGTATGGCGGCGATGACAGATCAATCTGTTCGGGAACAAACTCGAGATCTGGCTGAAAGCTGTGGTTGTTGGCTGACGGCAACAGCGATAGTTTTCGAAGGGGCTTTACGAGCTCTTGCACTGACTTTCTGCGAGTCATTCTGTGGGTTTGTATGTGGACGAAACAAAAGTGTAAAAGAAAAAGAGAGAAAGAGCGAAAGAAAGCAAACAGTGGAAAGAAAGTGTGCATTTAAGGTCTTACCAAAAGAGAAAATGGCCTTAAATTGGATGATCAGCACGAGAAACATGTCCAGTTTATTGCAGTGTGATTTTCTAGCCTTGATCTGCTTCTATAGTCTATAAATAAGTGTTGTGATGGCGGCTTTATACAGCGGCTGAACCATAAACGAAAATCCCTTCTGGCACATCGGATGCTATCAGACTCAGTTCTGGTATTTCATTCAAATTGAAAACTAGACTGATAATACGGGCTCCCTTTCTGTAGTGGTGCAGTAATAAATCTGCAAATTTATCCGTATGATCGGGCAATAGAAACACGATCATTACTGTCCAGTCTGTGTCATGAACCAGCTTTGGTAGATCTAACAGATCACCTAGTATGAATTGAGTGGCTGTGTTGTTGTTGGCCAACACTTGATTTGCGAGCCGTTTGGATGTTTTTACGAGATCGCTGTCAGATTCAATGCCAACCGCACGAGATGCGTTGAATTCTGCTACTGCTGCTGTCACAAATCTTCCGTCTCCAGATCCCAAATCCACAACAATGTCGTTTGGCCCTACTTGAGCCATCCTCAGTGCTTTTAATACACGGTTGGCAGATGTTGGGCAGAAAGGTGCTAGTGTCGTATCAATGCCATCCAGATAGGCGGGAAAGGGATCTTCCACACTTTCGTCTTGTATGTGTTCATCAGCATCTTGAAATACTTTCAAAAAGCTGCTTTGGTGGGTATGTGCTGCCATTATCAAATAGTGTTTGGGTGAAAGAGAAAAACTTTTTTTTTTTTTTATACTCTGCCAAAGAGTGATTTGACATGTCGCGGATGAAGAATCTGCCGTTGAATGTGGTGTATGCAGCGAGACTGTAAATATCATTTTGATAAAAATTGGGAATTTCTTTTTATTTATCACACGACTTGGTATGTTCTTTCCAATGAGGAAAGCATCTTAACGAAAGATGTAAAGACGGGCCGCCGTGGTCGGTGTGATCCTTGCCCTTTGTAGAAGTTAATCTTCTATAGCACATCAACGTCTTTTGACTTGTCTTGTATATGCCGAAATGGAGTTGTAAGGGTATCAACGAAATTGAAGTGTGTGCAAGGATGCCATGTCTACAGCAAGTTTCAGAAGAGGTTTACGCGCATAGTAAGTGAAGGTTGCTACTAAACTTATTTCTTTAGTTCTAGATCAACTATGAACTTACTCTGACTTGGTATGTTCTTTCCAATGAGGAAAGCATCTTAACAAAAGATGTAAAGACGGGCCGCCGTGGTCGGTGTGATCCTTGCCCTTTGTAGAAGTTAATCTTCTATAGCACATCAACGTCTTTTGACTTGTCTTGTATATGCCGAAATGGAGTTGTAAGGGTATCAACGAAATTGAAGTGTGCAAGAATGCCATGTCTAGAGCAAGTTTCAGAAGAGGTTTACGCGCATGGTTAGTGAAGGTTGCTACTAAACTTGTTTCTTTAGTTCTAGATCAACTATGAACTTACTCTGACTTGGTATGTTCTTTCCAATGAGGAAAGCATCTTAACAAAAGATGTAAAGACGGGCCGCCGTGGTCGGTGTGATCCTTGCCCTTTGTAGAAGTTAATCTTCTATAGCACATCAACGTTTTTTGACTTGCCTTGTATATGCCGAAATGGAGTTGTAAGGGTATCAACGAAATTGAAGTGTGTGCAAGGATGCCAAGTTCAGAGGAGGTCTTAATCACATTCAGCCTGAGTAAGAGAGTCAATTGTATATTATTAGCTAATGCGAATCATTTGTTAGGCTCCGTGTATCTGATACAAAGCTCTTTCGCGAAATGTACTGTTCATATCAAACTGAAAGCTTACAGTCAGCATTACAAGAGGGAAGTGAGAATATTGTATACTATACATTGTGAAAGTAAAAGATTAGTTCTCTGATTGACGTGGTTTATTACGCTAGGCTCATTTGCCTCTTTGGTCTTCATTCTATTGTGGTACATATTTTAATTGTTGAATAAAAATAAGCATTTAAATACCTTGCTATGGGCTACACTCTCTTTTTCACACGAAAACTAGTGGATGACCATGGTCAAAGGGCTGTGCCTTAAGCATTTTAGGCTTAATGATAGATTTATGCAGCCTATCTTATTAGCTTGCTGCTATCGAACCCGTGAACAAGAGCAAACATTTGTTATGTACGCGATACAGCAAACGCAGGTTTTAGGTAGTCAGTAGCGTCTATATACAAGATCTGCGATAACAAATTCTATCGCTGAAAGCAGCATCATAATATAGAACACACTCATCATGCATTTCGAGTAACTTTACACGTCTTTGGATCTGCCTCCTTTGACCAAAAATCCGCTATTCAAACACACGCACACACTTTTGAGAACATGAGTACTTCAATGCAAAAATAGGTTCCTAGATGGCTTGCCGCCTTGGTTCTTTCAACAAGCATGTATTTCATAAGCGTATGTGTTCAGGTGGATAGGATTTATATAATGTACTGAAGAATGATGTTACTCAAACTGCAGTTTTCTTGAGGCATGCTGGATTCCAAGACTTGACAAATTTACTTTCTTGATTCTTTCTCCTTGGGTTTTGATGGGGGTGTGGTACGTTTTCAAATGCTTCAATGCCATCAGATTTTCGGGTCCTTTGTTATCCTTCAGCAACGATAATTCGTGTATGGTGGGCTCCAAGATCTTCTTCAGATGTTGTAGTATGGAAAATATGGACCCAATGCGAAACATATCATGATGATTGAGTGGCATATAAAATCGACCTTGTCTGAACATTGTATACAAATAATCATGTTGATGCGACATGATGTAGACAGAGCAGCATGCACCACTTGTTATCAACCCGGCGATCGGCACTTGCTGGAATCCATGGCGTTGTATGCTGTCAATAGTGTCTTTCATGTATCGGGCCATTTTTGTCACATCTCCTTTTGACTTGTTTCTTGTGCGCTCTGACTTGGATTCCACGGCTAATATCAAATGACTCGATCTGTTGCTGACAACAGAGAAGTCTGCCTTGCGTACATGATCTTGCAAAGATGGATCCATCTCAATAAATCTTTTTCTGGAATCCTCGATCCCCTTATCAGCTCCATACGTCGTGTATTTTTTGCAGTTTGGAAATAGATTGTCGAGAAATGGCAGAATCCCATCTTTTACTCCTGTGCTTTCATTTAATGTCTCTGTGTTGTATCCCACTCCGTAAGTTCGTTTGCTATAAAGGCACGTGTTAGCTGTAAGCACGACACTGATAGAATAATATTTACAGAGAATATAATGTTGCCTTGACATGACTAGGCACGCTCGATTCGTTGATTGCTTCCTCTGCCTTGCAGTATCTTCCTTTTGACATCAACTATAGGTCAAGTAGTTGCGTTAGATTAACCATATCTTGATTATGGAACATCCTATACCTTTGCAAATTGCATGACACAATGCGAGTATGTTTCTTCTGTTTCCTCGTATTGTCTGTATCTTTCATCCATATCTTGACAAGCTTCCTCGTATACATCCTCATCAACCATATTCGATTGCAAATCATCATCTAATAAAACAACGCCATTGATGGCTAACTCTTCTTCTTCACTCAATATTGTTCCATTGTTGAATGAGCTATCTACCAACTGATTTCGTTTCTTTAAAAATGCATCAGAAAAGTCGTAACCGCTTTTCAAAATCCACTTTTTGCTCAAAGCGCTGATGTCGATCGTATCGCTGGCATTCGCTGAAACTAGATAATCCATTTTGGTGTTGCTGAAGATATCTGTAGTAGGCCTTTCTCGAGTAGCATCGCTGCTGGGAGTACTCTCTCTGGGATGGAATTCACTACAAGTGCTGCTTTCTGCAAATGATAGAGCACTCTTTGTAGAGGAGCTTCCTGCTTGACGAAGCATATTACTACCGACGCCTTGGGTAAAGATGTATTCTTCTGTAGTTTTCTCTGCCGCAGCCCGTTTTAGTTTTTTGATGTTGAATAGGTTGCTCACCCGGTCGTCTTCCACGATCACCTGGGTTTTCGCTAATTCAGTAAGAACTTGAATCATAATTCGCATTTGAACTTACCTCAATATCATTCAGGATGGTATCAGCTTTGTCTTTTTGGTCCTTATTTACGGATTTCGAGTCTTTGATGATTCTCAAGACCTTTTTTAGAACACACTCGCTGTCTTTCTTGTCCTTAAGAGTATCAGTAAACGTTGCGCAAAAGTCTAAAAAACTGAAATGCTCCAAGTTTTTCAAAACATAGGATGTAGGTGATGTGGAGCGGCCTGTTCTTTGATGTCCTTGTGCATGTTTTCTTTTTCTTTTTGACATGATACTAAATAATCACAGAGACACAAGTAAAAGAAGTGTGAAGAGATACTCGATTTTTGGCCAAAGCGTTTTTTGTCAAAAAGATAAATTGAAGCACCTCGAATGTTGTCATACCATCTCTCCTCACTCTTTTAGTCATTAAGTTGACAATCTTTACAAGTGTCTGCACCAGCAGATCTAATATACAATGATATGTTCATTTCTATACTAGAGAGTCTGGTCTATTCGTGATGACCATTTTTCTATTAATCGCAGATAACTCCACTAGGTTGAGTTATTCACATTCATGTCTTCTTATTGATTCTATTATAATATGTATATATTCATCCCTTTTACGGTTTTAAAACTAAAACTTTATGCTGTATTATTTAGTTCGATAGTATTGGCTGGGGTGTGGTATTCGTCTTTTTCCTGTTTTTCTTGTTGATGGACAAATCCAGTGAGCTTTTTGGGCTAGACGTTTTTGAAAAAGAACTTGCATAAAAGATACGTGTTTCTTCGTTCTTCTCCAAAAACTAGCATGAGACAGCGTCGTAAATATCCGTATATTATACTACACTGTAACTTTCCCGTATAATATAATTAAAGGACATTCCTCGCATGAAACTTCTAAATGTATACTACTGGAGCAAGCAGCTGCACCTTATCCTACTTTCCAATCAAGAAGACTTCAAATTGTAACCATTTGGTCACCCTTGTGGAATTTGAGGCTTTACAGACTAAAATTCACGGAAAAAAAAGAATAAAAAAAAACAGTAATGTCAACTTGATAAAGGTATGTTTTATTATCAAACTGACAGGTGTAAAGTAAACTGAAGTCTCTCTACTGGCCAGGTAGATGATCCTTCTTATATACTATAACAATGGATAAAAGTTCTATTAATTAGATTAACAAATAAGTCAACTCAGATCAACTAATGTCTAATCATGCTAAAAGACAACTCCAGCAAGCTAATCATGATTTAGCTCTGTCTGGATGAATAATTAGACTCTCATCCGAAGTATCCTGATCTATCCTTTCTATAAGGATAATTAATATCGATCTAGTAGTAGCATGTATCCGATAGGTACAGTCTACTTAGTCTATATTAATAGTACATATCTGAGTGTATATCGCTAAGCATACATCTTTAGCATGTATCTGGATATATGGCATGTCTATAGCATATCGTATGCATGTCTATAGCATGTCTCATATATAGTACAAGTCTGTAGTACATAAAGTATCTGTAGCTAGTATCACGGATATAAGCATGTGTCTTATAGCGTGGATCATGAAGTGCACATCTGAAGCAACAAGCTCATATTGCATTAATCTTGGTGCCTATCCAGATATGGTAAACATCCGTAGTCAATGTCGGAATACAAGTATAAGTCTATAGCGCCATCCATGTCCGTGGTGCCATCTATAGCCTGTATCTTATATAATATGAATCTTATAGTACTAGCGTATCTGAAGTCCATATCTTCTTATAGTATAAATCGATATTGTACATCATCTAATCCAGTGTACGTACAGTTTATATCTAAATCTGGTAACTGGAGGAACTGTCGGAATGCAGATCATAGTGGACGTATTCCACACTATATATTATCTGTGGATCTGATTCTTATGTAATGCTCTACATCCATATACACGTAGCTATTTCATATACGGGCTAAGAGCATACTGGTGTTTCTTCTTTTTAGCCCTTAGTGTCCCTTGATACAGCAAAATATGAATGCATTTGTGCTGCGTTTTCTCGCGTCCAAGGCCGTTTTAGATTGTCAAAATAGGACCAAACACTTGCTCTCGTCTGGCAGTTACTTCCTGATACCTTTGCTCAACTTTTTGGGGATCAAAAAAACATGAACAAAATTCGATCAAAAAGCATGAGGTACCCCTCATGGTTTTCATCAAAAACCAAACGATCGCGTTTTTCACCCTGAAAATGGAGACTTTTACTATGGTATATTTTGAATCAAAATGTTTCTATCGATCCAAAGCGACCTTTGAAATCATCTTTGTGGGACTTTGATATGTAAAATTTCGACATTTTGGCCAGAAACCTCTTTTCATATTTTCATAAATCATTTGTTAAGTTTATTCAAATCATCTATTTTACTTAGTACCATTGGATGCACCTTGAAAAGTACTCCAAGAAAGCTTAAGGAAGCATGGGGTGATCATCATATTTTACTTAGTCGAATCTGCAAAAATAGCTTAATCGAATTCAAAATCATCAAGATTTGTCCAATCTGGAACAAACTATGATTCTGGATTTGAATTAATTTTGGCTTGTGGGGCCAGCTGTCAAACTCAACGCCCTTTTCATACTGCAATACAGTATTAAATGCTCTTGAAGCGTATGAAAAGTAGGTGGTAGGCCATAAAGCTATCGTTTATAATGATATCTTATTGCATTCTATATCGTTCATAATGGCATCATCGTCTTGCATTCTGTATTTAATAACGTTAGTCTGGACATTGACGATTCATGGGCTGCGTAAGATGTCTGCAGTAAGTAGTGAAATCTCTAAGGCTCCAAGACGTTGTTCAAATAAAACATTGACAGCATTTAGCAGAGGAAAGAGGGTAGTGTGGAATTTGAGGCTTGATAGACTAAAATTCACGGAAAAAAAGAATAAAAAAACAGTAATGTCAACTTGATAAAGGTATATTTTATTATCAAACTGACAGGTGTAAAGTAAACTGAAGTCTCTCTACTGGCCAGGTAGATGATCCTTCTTATATACTATAACAATGGATAAAAGTTCTATTAATTAGATTAACAAATAAGTCAACTCAGATCAACTAATGTCTAATCATGCTAAAAGACAACTCCAGCAAGCTAATCATGATTTAGCTCTGTCTGGATGAATAATTAGACTCTCATCCGAAGTATCCTGATCTATCCTTTCTATAAGGATAATTAATATCGATCTAGTAGTAGCATGTATCCGATAGGTACAGTCTACTTAGTCTATATTAATAGTACATATCTGAGTGTATATCGCTAAGCATACATCTTTAGCATGTATCTGGATATATGGCATGTCTATAGCATATCGTATGCATGTCTATAGCATGTCTCATATATAGTACAAGTCTGTAGTACATAAAGTATCTGTAGCTAGTATCACGGATATAAGCATGTGTCTTATAGCGTGGATCATGAAGTGCACATCTGAAGCAACAAGCTCATATTGCATTAATCTTGGTGCCTATCCAGATATGGTAAACATCCGTAGTCAATGTCGGAATACAAGTATAAGTCTATAGTGCCATCCATGTCCGTGGTGCCATCTATAGCCTATATCTTATATAGTATGAATCTTATAGTACTAGCGTATCTGAAGTCCATATCTTCTCATGATCATAGTATAAATCGATATCGTACATCGAATCCAGTGTACATACAGTTTATATCTAAATCTGGTAACTGGATGAACTGTCGGAATGCAGATCATAGTGGATATATTCCACACATGTACTGTGACCCACAAAGCTGTCCCAATGTTTAGCAGTTTTTACTTTCAGACCTTACCACCGGACGGGGAGTTATCCAATAATAATGAATTTAGTATTTTCTAAAAACTAAAACTGTTTTCTTTATATCTTTTAGTTTTTATAAGCATATAGCTGTAGAATCACAAGCTGTGATTGGCCAAAGTCATAAGATACATTGGGACAGTATTGTGAGATCTTTTGAAAAATCAAGTTTTATTATTTTATAAGACTTTAATACTTTGTCCATTTTCCTTTTGCTTTGATAACGGCCGCAATACGTTGAGGCATACTTTCTATCACCTTTTTGCACTCCTCCGGCTTCATTTGGTCATACCAAATCTCAGTTACTCCCTCATAATATAATTCATTCATACCCTTGGTTGTGGTTTCATACTCATTGAGACGCCTTTCCAACAAAGCCCACATGTTCTCGATAGGATTCAAGTCTGGAGATTGTGGGGGCCACTCCATAACCTGGTATGACTGTTCCTGAAGGTAATCCTTGACCAAATTTGAGGTGTGTTTGGGATCATTGTCTTGCTGAAATATCACTTGTTCACGGCTGAAGCCCAATTTCTCAACGGAAAAGGCAATAGTCTGCTCCAATTTGTCTTGAAGGATTTCCTTGTAGAGTGCCTTATCCATATTACCGTTTATTTTGCACATCCAGCCAACACCAGCATACGTAATGGCACTCCAAAACATGATACTGCCACCACCGTGTTTTACCGTGAGCTTGACGACATAGTGGTTTTGAAGCTGTTCACCAGATCGAATCCAGGCCCACTGTCGCCCATCTGAGTTGAAACGGTTAATTTTGGTCTCGTCTGTCCAACTAACACGTTTCCAGTCGTCAACAGTCCAGTCCTTGTGTTGTTTACACCACGCAAGTCTCTTCTTGACACTAGCATCACTAAGCAAAGGCTTCTTTTCCTTCTCGATAGCCCCCAAGCCCGCAGTGCGGAGTGCTCTACAAACGTTCTCCGGGTGAACCTTCATCTGGAAATTCTTCTCCAACATTTTTGTGACCTTGACGGCGCTTGAAACCCGTTCCTTGGTTACCTTTCGAACACAATAGCACTTGTCGGCTTCAGACAACACCCTGGGACGACCACCGTTCGAGGTTTTCACACCCGGACAATGCTCCATTCTAGTTCGCCCGATAGTAGAGTTACCCAAAGACAGTTTTTCAGCAATTTCCTGAATCGAAACACCGCTTCGAAGCATTGTTGTAATGAAATAGCCACCCAAACGCAACTTAATTGAAAACCAAAGTTCATCAAATAGCACTCATTCAAATTCATGCTATTTGGATCTATTAATGAAAGCGCTCAAATGTACATCAAAAACCCATTTAAAAATACTAAAGTAAAGATACACGCTTATATCGCACATCGTGTGAATGAATCACTCCTGATCACAGTGTATTCAATCACACCCACGATGGTCGTAATAAGTGATGGTATGTTTATCCAAATAGAATTAAATCAATAACAAGCATATTCAAATATGACAACTATGCCCTGCTGCCATAGTTGCACAATATCCCAGATAAAAGGTTCCATACTTCAATAACAAACATCACATTTTAAACCATCAAGGTTACATTAAATCATGCTATGACGATAGCTCACCCAAGCCCATCAAGGTTACTCAAATCGACCCTTATGGCCAGTGCTCCTGCATTGATTACCACTTTAAATCAAACATCAACAACATTTGCCAGATATTGCAATAGCAGCACCTATTGCTCTCTATCATCACTAATCCTACAAGCTAGGTGCAAATGTATAAATACTCTTCTTTTTTTAACTCAATTCCAGGAACTTCAGTTCATTTTATCCACAAAATAAAATACAGTTGATTTCTATTGTATTTTACTATTGCTTTATTTTTTTTGTGAAATCTATTTAAACCTGATTTCACTGCAATTGTGATTGCAGAATTAACACTGGAGACAGCAATGGCTTTCATGGCTTGATAATCGACGTATCTGATATTTGGAACTCCAAGTTGGATAATGGAAACTACTTGCACTACATGAGGTTTTCTTATACAAGACTCTTGAGGTTATTCCAAATTGTGGGTTTGAGTTATCACTAAATTTGTGATTTTTCAAAAGATCTCACAATACTGTCCCAATGTATCTTATGACTTTGGCCAATCACAGCTTGTGATTCTACAGCTATATGCTTGTAAAAACTAAAAGATATAAAGAAAACAGTTTTAGTTTTTAGAAAATACTAAATTCATTATTATTGGATAACTCCCCGTCCGGTGGTAAGGTCTGAAAGTAAAAACTGCTAAACATTGGGACAGCTTTGTGGGTCACAGTACATGTTTAACATCGTGGATGGGATTTAAGTCTAGTTTTACGGCTAAATACGGCATCTCTGTTATGAACACCGAAACATATCTTGCTTACCTGATGAGCATCTGGTTCAATCCTTGCATTTTGTTAGATTCAAATTTGCATAATATCATTCACGCTCAAGTTATTATGAAATTATTACTGTATTGGTGCATTTTAAAAAGAAAGATCTAAGCTTCAGAGTTAGAATAAAAGCGTCTACCATTTAGGAATTGTGTTCCGTACAGCGCAGAACATCTGTATCACCAAGCAGAGTTGTAATTTACTTAGTTCTTTGGAAGAACAACCTAGTTTGCCCTATTTTTAGACCAGGTTTTGTCCAAACTTAGCCATTTTGAAGCACGAATAACTCATGCTACAAAGCATTGTAGACGCTTGGAATAGCGCCAAACGTATCTCCTTGGCTACGCTTTACTTACTGATGCTTTTTTTCAAAATTTTTTTGATCATTGCAAATCCATGAAAAATCATGAGTATTAGCAAGGCAAAATTCTTGAAAACCAAACGATCGCGTTTTTCACCCCAAAAACGAAGACTTTTTCTATGATACATATTGGATCAAATTGATCGTAATGGTAAAATGCAACACTGTAAACTGTTTCTCTGGAACTTTCATATGCTGAATTTTGACATTTCTGCAGAAAACCTGTTTTCAAATATTTCAAGATTGTTCTGTATTTTCGGTCTAAACGCTGAATGTAACCAACGTCATTCGATGCGCCTTGACTGACTCTTTATAAGTGCATTAGAAAGTAAAGTATAACAACGACAAGTCTCATAATCAAAATTAGCAAAAACGTTTAAAGAATGTAAGATCAAGTCAAATTTGAACATGAAAATACCCACTGCACAATTTTCAAATTAAAGTGCAGCAGTTACGACGGCTGCCACGGCAGAAGACTGAGGCTAAATCTACTGGCCGTGACGTTGAATAGGGTTCCCTCCCATTTTTCCATTCCCCCGTTTTTCCTCTCGTTTGCAAAACGCGTTTAGTATCAAACCATATTGGTTTTGGAACCCTTTTGATTGAACACAACACTCTAGCTTTTGATAACACGGCCTTTTACTGTTAAACGTACTTGATATTGCTTCTTTGGAGTGGAATATAGTAGGTACTATTCGATAACGAGCGCTGGAAGACATAAAATCAGCACTAATTGAATTTGTTTATTATGTTTCGATAGTTTTTTTGCTTGTTTAACGTGGGTGCTGCTGCCGTTACTTCTCTGCTATTTCTACTGCCTGCTTCTTTGGTTTACCATGTCTGGTGATTGCTTCTTCGATCTCTATCTCTGGCGGCTGCTTCTTTAAACTTTGTCTGGTCTCTGGTGTCGCCCGTTCTTTGTTTTTCTATGCTGGTGTTGCTGCTAAGGTTGCTAATAATGGTGCCGCTGCTAATGTTGCTTCTGATGTTGCTTCTGATGTTGCTTCTGATGTTGCTTCTGGTGTTGCTGATGGCATTGCTGATGATGTTGTTGCTTCTGGTGTTGCTTCTGGTGTTGCTTCTGGTGTTGCTTCTGGTGTTGCTGCTGGTATTACTGCTGGTGTTATTGATGGTGTTGCTTCTGGTGTTGCTGATGGCATTGCTGATGATGTTGTTGCTTCTGGTGTTGCTTCTGGTGTTGCTGCTGGTATTACTGCTGGTGTTATTGATGGTGTTGCTTCTGGTGTTGCTGATGGCATTGCTGATGATGTTGTTGCTGCTGTTGCTTCTGGTGTTGCTGCTGCTAGTTGGGTCTTTCTGTTCTACTGTCTTTGGTGCATTCTCGTTCTCTGATTTATATCTGGTGGTTTCGTATTCTATGGTCTATCTGCGGCTGTGGTAAGTGGTATCTTGTTTCTTCTGGTTGCAATGATATAAAATTTCTCTGGGACGTTTGTATTATTGCTTCCTTTCTCATGATATTGCATTCATGATGTTTTCTTTGTTGTGCTTTTTTTTTCTTTTGTTGGCTGTGATATGATCAGCTCAACGGATGCTTACAATGTTGTTGCTTCGTATGTACGAACAACAAGCATGATGTGCTGCTATATATCTGTATTGCCGTTGTAATACTACTATGTTATATGGTCTTGGATTGTTGTTTGTGTTGCCTCTGTGGCTTCACATGAAACAACACTAGTCATTATGTTGTATTGTACACTAATAATACTGCTGTTGCTCCTGCAATTGTGTGTGTTTGTGTTGCTTTACGTCCGACTATTACCATGCACGTTGCTCATGTATGCATTCTTGTTACAACAACAACGAGCTGTTCTGAACATTCTCTGATGTTGTATTTGTTATGCTTTTCTTTGGCTCATTGCGTATGAGTATTCCTTTTTTACCTTCATGCTCCTGTAGTACTACTGTAGTACTACTGTAGCATGTTTTTTTCTTCTGTTCCTTTTTTCTTTTATTATGTTTCTTTGAAGCATACCTTTTTTTACGTTGTGTGGATGTGCCTATCCCTGAAGCTCAACAAGACTTTATCCGAGGCTAGGAGGTAGATAGGCCGCCTCCACTTGGTTATCGCTACTTACTTTAGTGATGATTGAGAGTCTCAACGCCTGAATCTAAAGCTAGGTGGTGTAAGTAAGGCATGCTCTAGCACCTGGGGGAAATTTGATGATAGTAACAGCTATATTGCTATATATAGCGGAGCTTAAAATTTTGCCTCACTTCAAAACAGGGGGAAACCCTCGCAAATTTTTTTTTAGTTTAGCGGAGTTTTCAAGCAATCTGATTGGCTAAGAGGTTGAAGCAACGAAGGTCTATAACTAGTTAATATCCTATTGATCTGTCAATTATAATGATTTCATGTTTGTAATAAAAGGATGACCAAATGAATACAATTTAAATCCTTCTTTATGCAAAGGTAAATTAAGATGCAATCACTTGGCCTAGCATCGAGTAAAAATGATTTATTAAAGACAAAATCTGATATAAAGTAGCATAAAAAGTACCTTTTATTATAACGGATATGATGTGGTGGGTATTTATAATAATGGATGATTCAGGGTAATAAATATTATTGGGTAGTGTAATGACATAGCTACCCAAACGCTACTTGATTGAAAACCGGAATTCATCAAATATCTCTCATTCAAATTCATGCTATTTGAATCTATTGATAAAGGGCTCAAATGTACATCAACAACTACCTAAACATACTAAAGTAAAAGTGCACGCTTACCTCGCACATCGTGTGAATGAATCACTCCTGATCACAGTGTATTCAATCACACCCATGATGGTGGTCGTAAAAAGTGATAATGGTATTATCTTTATCCAAATGAAATCAATAACAAGCATATTCAAATATGACAACTATGCCCTGCTGCCATAGTTGCACAATACTCCAGATAAAGAGTTCCGCACTTCAATAACAAACACCACGTCTTAAACTGTCAAGGTTACATTAAATCATTCTATGACGATAGTTCATCCAAGCCCATCAAGGTTACCCAAATCGATTCTTATGGCCAGTGCTCCTACGTTGAATACCACTTTAAATCAGACATCAACAACACTTGCCAGATATCGTCGCAATAGCAGCATCTATTGCTCTCTATCATCAGTAATCCTACAAGCTAGTTGCAAATGTATAAATACTTTTTTTTTTACTCAATTGCAGGATCTTTAGTTCATTTTACACACAAATATAATACAGTTGATTTCTATTGCATTTTATTGCTTTATTTTTTGTGAAATCGATTAAACCTGATTTCACTGCACGAGGTTTGCACCATCCAAAATGAAGTTTTGAGATGTTGCTGCTAAAGCTCTGAAAGTAGAATGCTACTTTAGCGAAATACTGCGAGAAAAACGTCTCTACAAGCCTTTCCCTTATGATGAAATCCTAATAGTTCTTCTTCAGATCCAGGTAGTAGTCGTTTTGAGATGCACTGAGATTTCATTTCAACAACTATTAAACCTGTCAAAGACAGGATCATTAAAGTACGACATGTTTAAGCTTTTCTGCCGAAAAGAGACGGTATAACCAGCTTTTGACATAATCAAGTGATAAGAGTAAGCTTTATTTAATCAAAATAAATGAGGATGATATGTAGTGTGAAATTTGTACAGAGGAGGAGAGAATATGATGAAATGACAGATTAAGGTGAATGTGAACTATAAGTAGGTTATAGGCTTTCCATATCGTATTCCGTTGTCAGTGGTTGATAGGCGCCTCTTCTACTCTCTCTTAATCTCGTCAACCAAGAAGTCGTCTTGGACATGAGTCCCAGTTTACCAAAAGACAGGTCTTGATCCTCACCCTTGTCTGATAACTGAGGTTTATGCCAGAACCAACGAAGCATCAAACTGCTGACGACTACACTAGTTGAACTTGCTGCCATCGCCATGCCTGCCATCATGGGATGCAGGTGCAATCCAAGAGGCATAAAGATGCCCATGGCCAAGGGGATACCAATGACGTTGTATACACACGCCCACAAAAGATTCAGCTTGATACGTCTAAAGATGCTTCTTGAAAGAGCCAAAGCAATAACCACATCTGTCAAGTCGTTACGCATCAACACCACATCAGCTGCTTCCATGGCAATGTCAGTGCCACTACACAAAGCGATGCCCAAATTGGAGGCCACTAGAGCAGGGGAGTCATTGATACCATCACCAACCATAGCTACGACTGTAGGTTGCATACGATGGCGCCAAGGTAAGATGCTTGAAGCAGGTCGTAATTGTGCTTGCATGTCCTTGACAATCTGAGTCTTGCCACTGGGAGAGACACCTGCATGCACTTCAATAATACCCAAGTGTTTGGCAATGCATTCAGCGGTCAGCGCATTATCCCCTGTCACCATAGCAGTGTCCACGCCCATCTTTCTCAGTGTGGAAATGACAAGTTTGGCTTCAGGCTTGACGATATCTGAGATAGAGATAAAACCCACAGGCACGCCATCCACAGCAATCAATATGCTCGTATGTCCTTGCGAGAACTCCTTTTCCATAATGTCCATCTGCTCTTCCAGCAAGGCAATACCATGATAGTCTTCCAGCCACTTTTGGTTACCAACCACAATATGATGTTGCTTCTCTTGTCCATAATCCAAGTCGCACTCAATACCATAGCCAGTTTCGCTCTTGAAATTTGACACGCTTCCCAGATGGTCTAGTGACGAGTCCTTGGGTGTGGAGGTGATCTCTTTGGCCTTCTTCACTACGGCACGACCGAGTAGATGCTCACTACGTGCTTCAGCAATGGCGGTCATGATAAGCATGTTGGTCCTTGTGGATTCACGGCCATCCCAACTTTGATAATGGACAACTTGCACTTTGCCTGTGGTTAATGTACCCGTCTTGTCAAACACGACCTTGTTCACCTTTTGTCCGTTCTCCAGCACTGCACCACCCTTGAATATGACGCCATGTTCAGCAGCTAAACCAGTGCCCACCATAATAGCCGTGGGTGTTGCTAAACCCAAGGCACAGGGACAAGCGACAATCACGACACTGATGCACAGCTTGAGGCAGACAAAGAACCAATCCCCGTTGCCTTCCTTGTTGATTTCATGCTGCAACAGGGATGGCATACGTTCAACGCCAAAGCAGCCCACGAGGATGGACCAGACCACTAAAGTAGAGACACCCAAACATAGCACCACAGGCACAAACACGCCAGCAACTCTATCAGTAAAGCCTTGAATGGGAGCCTTGTTGACTTGCGCATCTTCTACCAATCTAACAATCTGACTAAGGGCCGTGTCAGACCCCACCCGCGTTGCACGCATGATGAATGTGCCCAATCCATTGACAGTGCCACCAATCACGGTATCGCCGATACGTTTGTTGACAGGATCCACCTCGCCAGTAATCATGCTCTCATCAACGGAAGATTCTCCCGAGAACAACACACCGTCAGTGGGTATCTTATCGCCAGGCACAATCTTGAGATAATCACTGATCTGCACCAATTCAGATGGGATCTGCTTTTCGGATTCAACTACACTCTTTTCGTCTGGTGTGTCTGCAAATTGCACAATCATGGCTGTAGACGGCGCCAACGACATGAGTTTGGACAGCGCTGAGGAAGATTGTCCTTTGGCTATGTTCTCCAGGTAGCGACCAGCCGTGATGAATGTAATCAGAGTAGCTGAGGTCTCAAAAAAGACAGAAGGTCGTGTCTCGGATGCCATCAAGACGCTTCTGAGCATAGACAGCACGGAAAAAAAGTAGGCGGACAGAGTGGATATGGCGACAAGCACATCCATGGTAGGCGCACGGTGTTTCATGGATTGATAGGCAGAGACCAGGAACCGCTTTCCAATGATGAACTGAACAGGTGTGGATAGACCCCATTGCACCAGATCAAACAGGAACAGGCCTGGAACAAGATGAGAAGGCGTATCGAGAACAGCACGACCCCAGGCAAACTCGGGCAACACCATGGCAATCACAAACACAGGAAATGCAAACACAAGGCTCTGAAAGAATGCTTTTCGCCACTGTCTGATTTCGCGGACCTTGGATAGACTCTCCAGCTGCACATTTCTCGCCTTTTCAGAGACAAGTGCATTGAATCCGAGATCTTCAATGGCTTCCACAATTTGACGAGGCCCAATGACGGCTTGGTTGTATGTAATGTTGCCACTCTCTGTGATCAGATTCACAGCTATGGATTCCACGCCGTCCAGTTTATTGATCTCTCGTTCAATGGCGTTGACACAACTGGCGCATGTCATGCCGTAGATTTGCAGTTGCAATTTGGATGATGCATCATTGCTGGATGAAATATCGTCTGCTGTTAAACTGGCTTCAAATCCCATGTCCTCTACATGCTGGATAATGTCGTCTGTGCTGATCATGGATGGTGAATATGTGATGGTCGCTGATTCTGCCAATAATGATACTTGTACTGCAATGATGCCCTGCTCACTCGACAATCCCCGCTCAATACTGTTGACACATGAAGCACAAGTCATTCCACCAATCCTTAGCTGCGCAGTAACTGAGGTAGGAGGTTTATCAGCCTCGTTCATATCCACTTTGGTATGCATGATAGGTGGAGTTAAAAGTACATCGCTATTGTTGTCCATACCACCATCGGAAGTATCAGCCACATCAAATCCACATTCCTCAATCGTGTTGACCACAGTCTGCGGTGCTATCAGATTGGGTTGGTATGTTACTGTTGCCATGGCAGCTTGTAAATCGACGTTAATTGATACAATGCCGTCCAATGCAGAGCACGCCTTTGTGATGGATTTAACACACGATTGACAAGTCATTCCTTGTACTGATAACATAAGCGTTTTTGTTGGTAAAGGCACATCAAATCCGCAATCTTCAATCGCCTCAATGATATGGCTGAGAGACAGAGCTACTGTATTGTAAGTGATGGTTGCATTGTTGTTCTCCAAGTCAACATGGACTGTATCCACTAGTGGTGATAAGGCTTTAGTGATGGCATTCACACATGAATGGCAAGTCATGCCGTCTATAGGAATAGTGGTCGTTTTCGCCGACGCTGATACAGTTGCACTGCTCATAAATATTGAATAGATAAGATAAATAATGAAGAGAAAGAAAGAGAGGGAAAAGTGAATGGGAAAATAAATATCAAGTTTTCCAAGTTTCAAGACGAGTGGGGGGTGCAGGCACCACCAATACGGTATGTTAAATTTACCGAATTGGGCTGCCATAGCCGACATTCGATAGTTACATTAGGGCCTATTAATAACTATTTTATCGCAATTCCAAGCCTGTATTTGTGCATGAACATTTTGTGCATGTATTGAGTTTATTGCGTCTTTTGGATGTATCTTACAGCCGTGTCATGGTCTGGCTTGATAGAACCACAAAGAAGCCACCAAGTCGAAGGAAGGGTTTGAAGATTGAATAGCCGAAAATTTACCCATCCTGATAGTTCCTACGCCATATCCATTCTTCTTCGGATATATAGTTTTTTCTTTTTTTTTTTTTTTTTTTTTTTTGTTGGAGATGCGAGATATATAAATATATATATATATATATTACGGCTCCAGCATATCATACGCAACAGGATCAGCTTGTAGCGAAATGTATTCGATAATGGCCCTGAATGCAAGCACAACAATAAGAACTTTAAAAATACGGGGGTGTTCATTGTATCCTACATCCGATGCAACATGTTTTACTGCTTGGATTCATGCAGGCTCAGATTAATAAGTAAATGACGTTTGAATCAACTGCACGTTAGGACCAAGAGATCACTGCCCCCTTGCATACGATTCTGCTTCCCATATCATGATGATGAAGTCATGTAAAATGCAGTATGGAAAGTGCAACATGATTTTATTAAAGCAATCTCAAATCATTGGTATATAAAAGTATAAATTTTCTCAATTCTGAACAATGGTCACCTCGCTTAATATAGTTTCATTGGCCATCCAGTCATTATCATCGCCTAGCACAAAATCATCGTCGCCATCGTCCTGCTGCTGCTGAGGCCCCATACCACTGATGGATAAATCCTTTTCATTCGCTAAATGAAGCAAGCAAATAAAGCAAAATGGCACGGAGATATCGCGCATGGTCTTCGGTGAATACAGCTTTTTCAGATTGTTGACAATGTCTGTGAATTTAAGCTCGCCCTGGACTTTTTCTCCTTCCAAATCATTGTTGGTCAGCACCTTCCACAGGTTGTCCTTGAGTTTCTTGACATCCACACGCTTGGCTGTTCTAGCGTAGTTGACGTACAATGGTTTGCTCTTTTTCAGATGGTGATTGGTGATCAGTTCGTCGCCATACAGTGTGGAGTGCTCATTGTCATCATCATAGTTGTCATTGTAGAATGTGGTGTCTTCAAACGCTGTTAAAATGGCTACACACATGACGCAAGTTAGTCACTCAGCCCCTTCAAAATCATCACCCAAGCCGTCTGCCTTACTCTGATCGTTGGCATCGTATGTATCTGTTGGCATGTCCATGTCGTCCCCGTAGTCTACACCGTAATCCATCATGTCATCATCATAGGGTTGAGTTTGGCCAGCCCAGAAGTCGACATCGGGCGTGTCACCGTTATCTTGAGGCTCGGCCGCTAGTGCATGTTGCTTTAGTGTCTTCTTTTTTGGGCCCTGCAGTACCTATGAGTTCCATCACACTTTTTATACAACGAGTTGAATGAACCACTTACTGGGAAGGCAGGTTTTAATGAATACTGCAGTAATAGTTTGGATGAGAAATGGATGTCTTCGGGAAGAATATTGTCAGGCATCTTGTGTAACACGTCTCTACTGAGTGCAGGTCTTCTGGAAGCTTGCTCAAACACTTTTTCCTCGGGCGCATCCTTTTCCTCATTCAATATGTCTCTAAATGGAAGGGAGAATTCTGCCGCCTGTCTTTTGGTAGATGACCTCCTACTGTTCCTGTCGCTCTGCTCGGCGTTGCTTGCAGTGGTAGTGGTTGTGGCAGTGGATTTCTTTTCAACAGGTCTTCGTAATTTCCAATGCTCAGGGCCAGCCCAATTTTTGACAAGTGTGGAGTCAAAGTACTTCAGCATGTCCTGATCGCCCTTGTGCATGAATGCTGATAAAAAGTCGTTTTCAGGGTATTTGGGCGAGCTATGTTCCAGCTCGTCCGGCTGTGCACTATCGTTGTCTTCTTGGAATGGATTCTGATCGTCGTTAGTCTCTGCAAATGGGTCCACGTCGTCCATATCGTCTCCGTAATCCACGCCATAGTCATCATCATCAAAGCGAAATGCATCGGGTGCTGCGTTCATTTCTCTTGCAATATCCATCATGGCCTCATCCTCATCATCGTCATTGTCCAAGTCGGGTATAGCCAATGTTGCATCATCAGTAAAAAAATCGAATCCCTTCAAGAATGGCACAATGTGAAAGTTGGGCAAATCATCAAAATTTGGTAGTTTAGCTGCATATCCAGTGTGAGTGTGTCTCTTTCACAAACAATACACGTTTTCAGATCTACCTTTCAATCTATAAATTTCGACTCGAGATTCCTCATCGATGGGTGTAGCAGAAGGTGAGTTTTCCTTTGTGCTGGCTTGCTCCTCCACGACAATGGCTGGACGTTCTTGTGTTGAAGGAGAGTCTTGCTTGGTCTGTTCATACACCGTTGGAGGTGCCTCCTTGATGTCGTCTTGTTTGTCAGTGTCTGCTTGATCTTGCTTTGGTTCATCAGCCTCATTTTCCTTCATCTCCACATCTTTGTCTAGTTCTTGCTCGGCTGGATCCTGCTTGACCTGTGTCTCTTCAGCTTCTTGGTCGTCTGAAGAAGCGGAAGAAGAGGCATCGTCTTCCTCCTCATCTGACACCACATGCTCTTCAGGTTCAATATGCTCAATGGATGTGATGGCATGTTCGTTGTTAGCATCCTCCAATTCACCTTCCACCGTTGCATCAGAAGCATCAAAGATGATTTTGCAGTTTTGGTCCAGACTCAAATGATTCAGCAAGAGGCCTCTGGCGCCACCTTCGTCGAAATCAGCAGAGGTCTTTTTGAACAAGGGATCCACAGTATAATCCAAATCAAACTTCTTGACAGCAAGTGTGGAAAAGTCCTTTAGCAGTGTTGTGTCTATGCGAGTCATCTAAAAATCCATGTGCCAACATGTCAATGTCTACATTTCTCCATAGGGATCCACCTGTGAGCGAATTACCTTTCTGCGCACTCGTCTTTCCTTGTGTCTCTCTTCATCCTCGTTGTCAGCATCTACATAATCCAGAGAAATCAGCATGGCGATCGTTGGCAAGTGATGTGTGCATGTGTGATACAGTACGAGTGCTGTCTGCTAAACCACTGAGCAGTTTTCCAGTTTCATTGGCAACAGAATCTACACGCGAAGTGTAAATCTTGACACAGCCATCCAGCGTACAAGAGGCCTTTTGAAAATTGATAGAGTCGCCTTCACGGATGAATGTCATGTCGTGAAAGTAATCAATCAGAGCAAAATTCCATGTGTTGGAGACATTGACTTTCTACGAGTGTAAGCCAGTTTTTAGTACAAGGCACTAGCCAGCAAAGAGCAGCAAGCCTTACATTGTCTGTGCACATCTTGATCCATTCCTCAAAATTGGAATACATCTGAGCAGGTGTGAGTGTGGGCACAGTAGGTTGAACTGATAAAGTATAATTGCTGCTACTTCCACCACCACCACCGCCACCACCACCACCACTGCTGCTGCTGCTCGTGTTGGGATGATTAGAGGTTAGACTTCGCTTTGTAAGCCGGCTGCTGTTCATTGAATTTCTTGTATTGCTACTCGACAACGGTTCTCTTTGCATCAAGTCGATTGTAATATATAATTTGGGTGGAAAAGAAGAGGAAAGAAAAAAAAGACAATGAAAAAAGGAGTCCCCCTCATTCTCTCTCTCTCTCTCGCTCGCTCGCTGGAACATGTAACTGACATACAAACGCGATTACCGCAGAGCCATCCTTCAAGTACGCTCCTGGACGTGTCACGTTGGGGTGATTTCAGCAAGTGGGCGCTCAAGATGGATCAAGGTAGATCTGAATAGTGCAAAAGATAAACCATTAAAAAAGGCATGTTTCCTTTAATGGTAAGCAAATGTAAACATTTGAACTGATTTCCCCCATTAAATTGGTCTTTATGCTCTGCCTTGTTATACTTTGTCTTCTTCCTTTTATTCTGCTACCGGCAATTTTATCAAACACATGAATGATACCATAGGCTATGCTACGTATCAACAGCAGTACAACTCAACATCGTCGTCCACATCCTATCAGACCAATGACACTATATCCATTGTATTGTTCTTTTCCATCATAGCATTGCTGCTGCTGTCGTTTGTGCTGTACTTTTGGTATACAGAGAGACACAAGATACCCATCGATCAGAGAGGAGATCAGGCAGTGGGGCAGCAACAAGAGATCTACTTGCTGGTCGACAACATTTCAAGCCAAGTGAAGACCACCTTTAAAATACCCATCTTTACACTGATACTCGTGCTATGGAAGAAATACACGGGCAAAACAGCAACTGTCATGGAATCTACAGCTACCGTCGCTGCTTTGGACAGGAACCCTCATATAAATGCAACTACTGCAGCAATCAATACCAATACCACGGCTCCATTAGCAACAACAACCACAACAACAACGCCGCTAATATTGCATGAACATCAGCGCGTGTACCACTCGAAACTGTACCACTTGTTTTCTCTCTTGTTCATCGTCAGTTTTGTCATTGCACTGTCCATCTTGATAGGTGCTGTCAACTCGACCATCGACGACCATTCATCCACACTGCTGCTGCAAGCTGCCTTGTTTGTGTTTGTGCTCTCCATCAACCTGTATCTGATCACTCGACAACGATGTTACTACATGGAAAGACGAAAGCTGTTTGGCGAGAACGATGCGCACATCAATGCCATCTACGATACACGGTTCTCTAACTGGGACAAGTCCATGTGGTCAAATTGGGTGCAGATCACTATCCTCATCATCGAGTTCTTTCAGCTCATGACATTTCCACTGAGGGATTTGATTACTGTCACGTCGCTCGTCAGTGAGGATGAGTCCAACACACGTCAAACAGAGACATCGCAGCTGATCTCCTTTGTCCTTAATGCAGGTGGTTTGATGCCAGACATGAGAACGCCTACCTGGTACACCTATTCATTGTGGACTGCATTTACTGTAACATGTGTCAGCCTGATATTAGGTCTCATCATACACGCTGTCAATTACAAATACCCCTACAAGCTGCCAACACGGTGGGTGCGATGGTGTATACCAGTTGCAGTAGGTATCCTAAACAGAGATATTCGACAAGATCTACTAACGCTTACCAGACACTGCTCTATATACCCATATTGACTACATTTGTCAGTTCAGCTGCTTGTCAATCACTCAATATACCAACAAACGACTTTAGCGTGACACTACGCTGCAATGCGCCAAGCATATCTCGCCAATTATACCTCTGGCTATCCTTGTTTGGATACATCATAGCCTACTTTCTGATGACTATATTTTTGACCAGCTATGAACGGGCGCCAACAAAAAACGAAATTGCCTACAAGTCAATTGGTGTTGCTTTTATAAAAAACATGGGTAATTTGCGTGCTTAACAAAGGTGTTGAATGATGCACTTACCATCTCAAGCAGGCCTTTTACTGGCAATTGTGTTTCTATTGGTCGAATCAACAACAAATGTGAATCGAATGCGTGCTATACTCTCAATCGCCATCTTACTAACTATGATTTGCTACAACATCAAGACAAGGCCATGCTATGTGGACAAGGTAATACGGGTTTTCTTAAATTTCTTTTGTCCAATGACTCAAGGAAAGCTTAGGTCAATTTCTTCAGAACAGCATCTTTCACCTGTATCTTGTGGACCTCGGCGCTCGTAGCAATACTCAGTGATACGAATGCAGCACAGAGCTTGGGGCCCTTGACCGTCATTTACATCATTATAGGAGGCTGGATATTCATCATACTATGCTTCGTCACTGTGTATTTTATCTACTATATTCAACCTCCAGATCACGAAATTCTCAGCAACTCATTAAACGCAACCATCGTAGATCTCTCCTCAAAGTATGACAGCACAAATTACTGCGAACGCAATGATATAGAGCGCTCTGATCAACAAGAGACAGTAACGCTCGATGAGAACCCTAGAGATGGCATACTTTCCAGATGGTTTTCATGGACATCAACCGCAACTAACAAAGAAGCCAATGTCACCAATAGATACTATTAATGGTTTATTCAATAAAAATGTAATTTAACCGATAAACTCGATACAGTTAATCTTCTTGTTCCAGGTGCTAGAAATACTAGGTCTTCTCCAATCTTCTGTAGTAAATCCAGCCTCTGAACCGCCGCACATAACTTCACCTGATGGCTTAACCTTGGACCACAAACGAACGCCATAATCAATAGCACTGACAGAGACTTCAAAACTTTGGACCTTGTCCTTACAAGCAGAGGGGACATTGTGATACTCATGACCAGAAACCCAACCACCACTGACTTCACCACACTTGTTTTTAAAGTCGGGACTAGTGTAGAGCTTGACAGTAGTACCGTAGACCGAGGAGGCAGCACAGAGAGCGACAAAGAGACCAGTTAATTTCATACTTGTGTAAATGATGAGAGTGAGAAGAAACCTGTGTAGATCAAACAAGTATTTATACATGATTTGATATACTGTGTCACCTTTTTGGTTTTATCAATAGCACTTAAGCTCTTGGCCATGAAATGTAAGGAGCTTGCACTAAAGATTCTGTACAATGCTTCACTTTGTGTAAACTATTCCTTCATGAGTGCTATAATGCAATTTAACGTTTCTCTCAATCCAAACTAAAAACAATCATGTGTCTTACCTGCTTTATTTTTGTTCAATTTGTAGCTATTTTAAATATAACTATTACAAAAAAAACTACAAATTCACACATATTATTAAGTACCTGAAATTTTCCCCTAGTACATTTGCGTGCATTATTTTACAATGATCCAATAATGGGTATAGTGCATCCTTCATGAAGCAGTTTATAACCATTGTTAATATCATGTACCACTTTCTTGGTTTGACGTTACAGCAGAGGCGCAGTTGTTTGCGCTATTATAGCCTTTCTAAATCAACTATTGCAAGGTCAATATCGCGAGCGACCTCATGAAATGAGATTTTTAGGTGAAATCTGCATTGCGCCTGTTATGTATCGATCCACCTCTAACCAGCATGAAATCAATTGTACAATCTCATTGCAAGAAGTTGTTAAAAATGATAAAACTCTTTCTTGCTGGCATGCATTGTGTATTAGAATTCAATAAAAAAGTAAAGCTGCAACAAGCATCGTTAGAGTATGAGATGCTGTGTATAAGTACTTATTTTTGTAGATCAATTATCATGCATGTAGTGTAACCATTACGTGTACACAATTCATTTCAAAAGAAACGTAAAGAACACGATACTATTCGAACTGAGTGTGCTAAGAGAGGCCCCAGTTCGATTGTGTACTACACTCTCCAGTTAAGTTGGCCAGATCAAATTTCTCCAGCAGCTAGCACTACTTTCGACAAGAGCTGAGCATTAAATAGACTAGCTAGTGCCTCAAACATCAGAACGAGAGCTGATAAATGCAAAGTAGTGTCGTGATAATAATATAATATATATAATGGATTGTTTATAAGTAAAAAGACAGCGTCTATTGAGTTTAACAGTTAGCTCTAATACTTATACTAATTGACCTGTATAACAAAAGTTGTAAACAGCTACGACATTGGAAAGACTACGCTCACTACAATTTTGTAGTAGCAAAAAAATACTCTCCGGCGGGGAATTGAACCCCGGTCTCCCGCGTGACAGGCGGGGATACTCACCACTATACTACCGAAGAACCATCTGCTAGAGTGTCTTGGTGTTGCTTCAAAGCTTTTGTTTACTGATGATCCTCTTGGTGCTGATTATTTGCCCAATCCTCTGGACTTTTGGCTCAATCGACTACCTCGTATGCAACCTTCTGCCTCTAAACTCGTGTCGTCTCGCTCCTTTTGGTCTGTTCGCTGGCCTGTCATGCTCCAAATCTTTTTGGATATTGACATGATCTGTCATCCTGATGCTGAATTTACTGGTAAAGCTCTGGACTTGTCTGGTTCTGCCTTTCTCGACTGGTTGACCCCGGTTTCCTCAACTACCTCTGTTTCGGGTACGCCTTCTATCTCTTCCTCAGATAGTGCTGGTATTACTGTCGCTATTCCACATCTTTTGTCTCACTAAGATGCTGTTTCTCTGCTGTCCTTTTCCAACTGTTTTCGTTTGCCTTTTTTTTGAACCAAGGATTTAATCTTTAAATTTTTTGTTATTTTTTATATTCTCTTTCTGAATTTATTTCCAGCTGTCATCATTTTGATCCGCACTATAATGAGCACTTTGCCCTACAGGGACGCAGCTCCAATATTATATCTCTTCAATAAACATTTCAACTATACTACCGAAGATCTTGGTGCTGGTGTTTCTCTGTCTCTCTATGTTCAAGCTATACCTACTGCTCACTCTTTTACCTACCTTGGTTTGCCGTTCAATGTGAAGGGTAGCTTGGACACCGATCTCTTATTGACTAGAAATAGTCAATCAGCGTTAGGTGCTATGCGTGGTTTGCAATCTCTTGGCCTTCATTCTGCTGGTTTCTCCAAGCTCTTGTCTGCTAAACTGTATGCGCCTTTCATTCGGCCCAAACTTGAGCTTGGTTTGTCTATTTCTTGGTTCCTGATGTGGAATACATCCACTATGATCTGCATTCCGACAGTTCATCCAGTTACCAGATTTAGATATAAACTGTATGTACACTGGATTAGATGTACGATATCGATTTATACTATAAGAAGATATGAACTTCAGATACGCTAGTTGTCATGAACCAAGCTTCGATCTGGTACCTGGATCTAGAATCATACAGCCCAAGTGTTATGTCTACGTTATGTTTATGTCATCTCGGTGTTCAGGATTTAGGAGTACTAATTGATAATCATTAGTAATCGATTATTCATCATTATTACAGACAAAGTCTATCCAGTCGTCCACTCAATGTCAATGGGCGACGCTAGCTGTGATATTCAATGTTCATCTGTATCAATCACATTATTCACATCAGGTACCTTGATTGGCAGCTTCTCTTCCTCCTCCTCATCATCAACATCCGTTGCTAGGCAACCATGCAACAGACACAAGCCTTCTGATTTAGCTTCCGTGTATTACCATGGTAATGCAAAAAAGCTTTCTGCACAGAAAGAAGGCTCTCATATTCTTCAAGCATCTTCACAGTTAGCCGATCAGGAATCATCATGGATAAACGTAAACCTGAATACTATATGCCACCCATCAGCATCATCTCTATTGGATTCAAGCATCTGATAAAATTGACGACGAGAAGGTATGCACGATCTATCATAGTCGAAGATGAGATTGCATTGGCATATTATACAAGCTGAGCACTTTACATCTTAAGCAGTAAATATTGAGTGTTCTGCTTTTACACAAAATAGTAGGTCAAAAGACTAATACTGTAGACTACTCTTTAACATATTTATTGAAATAATACATAATATGGTGCATTACGGGAGCAAGTACCTTTTTTGTCGAATAGCCTGGCTATTCAGAGTCTTGAGTCTTGAGCTTATTAACGCTTTAAACATCTCGACATAATCCGTGTCCTTGATTACTTCATTTTTCAATATCAACAGCGCTATCTCAACTGCCAACTTCTTTCCTTTGGCTAATGTCGACCCCCTTACTCTTTCAATACAGCCAGATATGGCATTTTCATCCATATTACTCAACTCCTTTCCATTGAAAAGTATAGATTTTAACTTTTGCTTGTCCTCTTGATTCGATATTTTCCAATTCATCAATAGCGACCCAATGGCTACAATGCTGTCAATTTCATCTAATGCATGTAAGCTTAAAGCACATGCGGTGCTGAAACCGTTGTCGTAGAATCTTTGCGATTTCAAATGCCAATCGAATCCACTTGCTCTCTTTGTGAAATTTCTTAGCAATCGGGATTGTCTGGCTACTGGTGTAGAGGCGAGAGGAACGTAAACTCTCCAATAATCATTGAGAGCTAAACGATTGCCAAGAGAGGCACCGAGAAAAGCATCAAAATCATGATCGTTATAGTTACCACAAAGGCAAGCAGTAACCAAAAACTCAAAGTTTTTGAAGTAGATTTTGGCTTCGAGCCATTGATTCTGATACTCCCTCTTGTGTTCTACTACGAACTTGGGTTTTGAGGGGTGTTCAATCGTGAACGTGTTGTTTGCGCAATCATCTATTTCTTTTCTGCCTCTCAGGTAGGCTTCGACCTGTGTGATGAATGCCCACGAACCATTACTAGAAATAGCGATACTTTCTACGAAACGACCGCCGACGAGCGCCACGAACGCATCTGCCTCTGCTTTTGATTTGGGTGTCTCAACGATGTTCAGTATTTCCTCAGCATCGGCAAATTCATGTTTTTGTAGGATATTTTTGAGAGCAGTAAGAATGATACTTTTTGAATGAGTGCTAATTGCACCAAACGTGCTCTTGATATCTTGTATCTTCTCCCAAAGCTCAGCAACATCTTCTCTTACCAGAAAGGGGGTCCTCATTCCTCGTCTAGCTTCTTCTACTTCTTCGTTATCTTCGTCTTCATCTATGCCAAATTTTCTCTTCAATACGCATACCGATGGCCGCCACATAAATATTTAGAATGAAACCTGTCTGGATGTTTGGCATTACCTTCTTAGATTGACTCTATTCTTGCATGAATGAGAGATGGCCTCTTCAAAGTAGCTACGGTCGCCTTGTTGCACATACACTACTAATTTATGATACTGTCTTTTCATAGGTAAACACTGTAGAAGTCGTTTAGCGATGCCGGCTGTCAATGTGATCTTTTCACAAGAGAAAGCTACACTTTCAAGTTGATATAATTTACCAAGATATTGACGTAGATTACTGTAGTACTCAAAGGTGTCATTGATCAACACATGAACATGTCTTGTATTTGCCAGCATAAAGGAAGCGTTGACGAGCTGGGTGGTCTCTATGTCCCAAGTACTATCAAGTGGAATGTGACGAATGTGCTCCCACATTGATTTGCTTGTGCTTGCTAGTGTATATGTGTCCTTACGTTTGAGATTAGGAACAATGACTTCCAAAATATCAGGAGGGAAAATGCCGTAATGCTGTTTCGAATTGGTATCCGTGTCAACGTCAAGAGATATGTAGCAGAAAAAAAGGGCAATGTTCATGTATGCAAACAAACTCTTATTTTACTGATAACATCTCAAGCCTCGACATATTTTTCTCTGTATAATTTCGTATTTTGTGTAATTCCTTTACACTTGATCCGCTGTGGTGTTACCATCCAATTAACTAGCCATCAGCGATTGGCTAATGTACTGTTTCAAACTATGTTTTCCGCCCTCCTTAAAACCTTAAAATACATCCCAATATGTAAATAAACTACTCATGAACAATTGTCTAACCTGCAAAAGAGTTATAATCGATAGACGGTATACATGCTATTCAATAGAGAGAACATTGCACATTTTGCAGTTGATCTCATGTCATTTATTAAATCAAATAGTAGTTTGTGCAGGAAATCAGTATATGTAAAATTAAGGGGTAATCTTTCTATCTGAAACAAATACTATTGCACTTTCCTTTGTTATCAAAGCCAACTGTCTTTGATACTAACAGGATTAACCACGAGAAGGTGAAAGTGCTTGTAATCCCAAAAAATGGAGGTGGTTACAGACAATAGCCCCCCAGCTAAACCCTCATCTACCAAGTAGGAAACTTTAGCCGTTTCGTAAGTGACGTTCTTACTAAGAGCGTTCTAGTACCATAAAACAGAAGAGCATATCTCCATATCCTCAAAGTGCCTCCCGACAATACCCAATAGCCACATAAATCATCGCGAGGACACATTCCTCTGGAGCCGTGATAAGGATGATGAAAGACAAGCTCGACCATTTTCCTCGTTGTTGAAAGAAAGAGAAAAGGAGAAAATGAAAATTTACGAAATTTATAACCTGACACCCCCCCAAAGAGATATGCGTCGTGCTACGAAACACAAACCATTTTAAGTGTTTCAAGTGTTTCGAATCAAAGAAACCCATGTTATGTAGTAATCACTATGTCATGCCAAGCTTTATGCAACCTTATCATATCAAGTACCTATTGTTGTAAATCTGAAAGTACGTGAGAATGGATATAAGTTTATTTTCGTCAAATCAGATGAAGAGGAGAGGGAAGAGTGAATTTCTACTGCTATTTATACAGTGCGCGAAAAAAACGTTCCAGTGTTTTGCCAATTCGTAGTTTTACACTTACAGCTCTCTCAATTTTTTCCAGTTTGAAAACTAAAGTAAGACTACGAAAGTTTGGGTTTTTGGCCACAAAATGAGCTACTAAAATAATTGATACAGTAGATATTGAGCTAGTGCAACTGACGTGAAGTAAAAAATTTCGATTTTGTAAAATTGGAAATATCGCTTGATGACCTTATTGTTTGTATACATTCCACAAAAATAATCCGAGAGCCGTAATTTTTTATATCAGTTATGTTTAAAATGTTAGTTATCCGAGGAATGCTTAAAAAAGTATAAAGAAGCCTGAGATTTTGGTCTTTTCCCTCGTTATATTTTACCATCTTTACTTCATCACTTTTTTTAACATGACACGTCCCATTCCTCAGGAGGTTCAAGGATCTGTCAACGCTCTTTTCAACCAAGGTTGTTCCCTCCGTGCCATTCAAAAATTTTTTCCAGATTTGTCCGTCAGTGTACGTTCTCGCTATAGGAAGAAGTTTCTTGGTCATTCAAAACATGCCAAACCCGGAAGACGCAGCAAAATCACTACGCAAAATATGAACTACATTGAGAGGAATCTCCGCAATGGTAATTTAGACGGCCCCAAGGATGTGCAGTGCTACCTTGCTCATATGGGAGTTCAGATGACTTTGAGGAATATACAGTATATACTCAAGCGCAAAGGGTTCAAGGCTAAAAGAAAGGTAAAGACCAATTTCGTGTCTGCGGAGAACCGGAAAAAACGTCTTGTGTGGGCCAAGAGACATCGACATTTGACTGCGGACGATTGACGTAAATGGGGATTTTCCGATGAAACCAGGGTCAACATGTGGGGATCTGACGGCGAATTTTTCTACTGGACTGACAGGCCCACTGAGTTGATGCCTCATCAAACTGAGGCTCAAGTTCAGGGAGATGGTGGTGGCGTTGTTTTCTGGGGCATGATAACAGCGGAGGATCCCAGCTATGGTTCCACCATTACCGAAGGAACTGTTAACTCAGAAGTTTATGCTGAAATTCTGGACTCATCTTTGCTAGACACTATCGAGTACTATGGGCTGGACAAGAAAACGTTTAGATTCCAGCAAGATAACGCAAGACCACATACTTCTGGTCCCATTAAAAAATGGTTCACGCATCACGGATTCTCTGTTCAAAATGTTCTTGATTGGCCTCCCCCCAAAGCCCTGACCTAAACCCCATTGAACATGTCTGGCATCAACTAAAACGTCGTTTGAACAAGTACCCTACTAGGGCCACCAGCATTTCTGAGTTAGAAGACAGAATTGAACAGGAATGTTATAAATTCACAAAAGAAGACTGTCTTAAATACATAGGCAGCATGCCACGCCGAATCAAAGCGGTTATCAAGAGTAAAGGTGGTCCAACTAAATATTGAGCTTTTTTATAAGATTTAATAAATTCGACTTTTCACTTTTCATGAGGCTACCATTCTTTTTCTAATTACATGAATAAAGTGCATAATATATCATCTGATAGCCAACTACTTAGGCTATTTATGAAACTAAGCAAACCCCAGTAGCTTTGATATTTGCAGAGAAAACTGGCTATAAGTGCAATTTGGCAAAACACTGGAACGTTTTTTTCGCGCACTGTATGTATGATTTATGGATTGCTTACACACCCGTCTAGAATGGTGTTCTCATGCAAGGTTTTAGTGTCAATCGTCACTTATGCTAAATGGTAATTATTTCAGATGTAGATGATCAGTCTAAATATCTTTAGTTGCTCTTGGCAACGTTAATTACTTACATTCCCTATCTGCTATCTTTTGACATATAGAAAATAGCTTACTGAAACTTAGCTTATGTGAATATCATGGTTATCGTTTACATGTTGATACAGTTAATTTACATATGCTCCATATGTGCATAGTTTATTACTGAATTCAATCTACGATATTGTGATTCAGGAACAGTTAGATGTGTGAATACAACACCTATCAACGTCAAGTATCAAGCCAATGTCATAACTATCTAATTATGACTCACGTTTCAGATTACGATTCATTATGTTTACCCTGTTTAGGATATAGATCATCTCTGAGAGGCAAATGTATTAGGCATAGTATATTACATAAGAGGATCTGAGAATGAGCAGAGATGCGTAGTAGAAGTGAGAGGTCTTTATTCAAGCAGCACGAAGGAACATGAGTGGTGCCATCAAATGGCTAATCTATATCCTGGTTCCTGGAGAGTGGTAGCCTATGGCCTTTCGTCCCTGGAAGTGGGTTTCAATTCGGACAAATGTTCTTCGTCAAAGCTATTAGGAAGAACATTCTATCCTGGATTATCTTTGTTGTTTATCCTTGACTGGTGGTTTCATGAGTTCTTATGCCGCACATCCCCGTTAACCGGTTCAAGGCTTATACAATTATCCCGCATTCAAGATCAAGGTCCTATTGCTGCGGCACTGTCAAATAACTATAAATACCTTTGATATCTACACTAGTTTTGATCCCTATTCAATCTTGGAATAACATAATAAATATATTCAGTTCTAATTGTATTTACTCTGTCTATATTTCGTTATTCTAAACATACCCATGCTATACCCATGTCTCGGCACTTATGTCCGCACCTCCTGTCAAGTATAGATACCAAGTCCCTTTCCCCCTCCATCCTTCCCAGTTGTAGATTATCTTGTATATTTTATTCTCACGTACTTCAAGATAATCGTTTTGTTAAATAAATCCTCTGTTGAAATCAAGTTCTTGACAATATACGTTTAATGCTAACATGTTTCTATACCAGTTTTTTTTTTGCCAAGAATACGATGGTGTAAACTAAATTTGCGTAGGTAACATAGTTGTTGTGAAAAGGGTTATTTTAGAAAAAAAAAGTTAACTTTGAGCAGGCGGTACTAATAAAAGTCTATGGATTACTGTTAAGCACAAACAATAAAAGTATTATTTGTAGCTTATAAAAAATGTTTGATATTATAAAAACAAGAAAAGACTTATTTGAATAAGATCAGACACAAAAACTAAAGATTTATTGATGAAGACAAGAGTTATTCTATTTATACTAAGTTCTAAATGCCCAAGTAGCAATTTAACTTGTACAACGCTTATCACATCTGGTGAACCTCAGTATTTAGATAGCTGAGATGCACTTCAATCATCATAGCTTGTCCATGTTGTTGCACAACACAGACATATCTACCCATCAAGAATACCTTAATCTGTATAGACAGTTGTAGCCCTTCTGGCACAGCAATTACTATATGAATGCAGGTTGTATGTCTAATAAAAGTTGTAGAGGGTACTTTTGTTGATTGAGGAGTGTTGTATCTAGGCTTTCTGAGAAGGATGTCGATGAGTAATGAGGAAAAAGAATGAAAATGGACAAATTTCAAAGGGCCGTACTGGTTGATTTTACTAAGTGAACGAGAGCTTCAAACTTAATAGCTTCTATTTTTTTTTCCAATTCTCTATACGATGGTATGGTTATTATGGATAAATAAATAAAAAGTTGAATATCTCCTGCTTGTAGCTCATAAAATATAAAATTTTGAGCAAATTCATGAAGGGAACGTACACCTGGTACTTAAAACCATTAAAATATAATGGATATAACGTAGAGCTATTGAATGGTCTTTGTTTTGTGCGAATACAGTGAGTATTTGTCGAGATATGGTCAAAAAAGAGTATCATGCAAAATCATGGATTTTTCTTCAAAATCTACGTGTGATAGCAAGCAAAAAATCTGGTGACGATTTTTTGGTCAGGACAATATTTACAATATTTCACGATAGAAGCATGCTAGAGCTTCAAGCAATAGCTCATTTGATAGGAAATACTTTGATCTACAATGTCCAGTAATGCCTAACAAAATGCTTTGATGACAGATACTGATTAATCTTTAGAAAACAGTGAAAAAATTGCAAAATTTAACTTATCAAATATTAGCTGAATAATGTACAGCAAACACTTGATATAGATACCATTGTATTCCCCGTTGAATTCTCTACAAGTTTCATATAAGTTTGAAGAGGTGTCTACTATCAAGAAACGCGTAATGTTAAGGTCGATAGATTTTGGAATCCCATGGATCATCATTCAAAATATTAGAAATTGAAGCTCCGTTGACCTTCCGCATGTATACACCTCACAAGTGTGCATTTGACCAAACATTTTAGAAATCGGAGCGTACGAAAAGGGCCATATTAAGTTGTTGGTTTCAAGTTATCAATAGATACTTGACATGTTGAAAAATTTTGCTGTTGAGACTAGACAACTGTAGCTAACTTCATTCAAGAATAATAAGATTTCCAATTTGTAGTATGTATATTTCCCCGCTTAAAAATAGTATCTCCAATGTCGATTATCTTATGAAGTATGCATTCCCAATATAATGTTTCCACTAAGAAGTTGCTCCAATATCATTATTATAAAATACGAGCCATTCAGCACTTTGGGTGGTTTCCTGACCTACGCTTCGCTTCGGTGGAAACCAACCTGCGTTCAAACGGCTCGCGCTGCCGCGGGCCTTTGGCTAATATCCCAAAATTAATATAGCTAAAATGTTAGAAGAAGAACCCTGATTGTTGATTGATATATAATCACTAATCATATAAGTGTTTATGCTTCGGATAGTTCTCATTGAAGCGAAGCGAAGGTAGAGAACCAACATGCGCAGCGGCAGCTCGTGCTACTGATTGCTCTTGCGTATTTTATCAAAATGCTGCTACTTTCATTTTGACCCTCCACTTACACATAGTAACCCTTCATATTATCTGTGGATTAAAAAAACATTGTCAAAATTCGACTAAAAAGCATGAGGTACCCCTCATGGTTTTCATCGAAAATCAAACGATCGCGTTTTTGATCTTGATAATGAAGACTTTTACTATGGTATATCTTGAATCAAAATATTTCTATCAATCTAACGTAACTCCTGAAATCATCTTTGTGGGACTCTGATATGTAAAATTTCGACTTTTTGGCCAGAAACCTCTTTTCAAATTTTCGTAAATCATTTGATAAGTTTATTCAAATCATCTATTTTACTCAGTACCATTGGACGCACCTAGAAAAGTACTCCAGGAAAGCTTAAGGTGGCATGGGGTGATCATCATATTTTACTTAGTCGAATCTCCAAACATAGCTTAATCGAGTTCAAAATTATCAAGATTTGTCCAATCTAGAACAGACTATGATTCTGGGTTTGAATTAATTTTGGCTAGTGGGGCCAGCTGGAAAACTCATGCCCTTTTCATACTGCAATACAGTAGTAAATGCCCTTGAAGGGTATAGAAAGTAGGTGGCAGGTTATAGCACTATCGTTTATGGTGATATTTTATTGCCTTCTATATCGTTCATAATGATATTTTATTGCATTCTATATTTAATAACGTTAGTCTGGACATTGACGATGCATGGTTGCATAAAATGTCTGCAGTAAGTAGTGAAATCTCTTAGGCTCCGAGCCGTCGTTCAAATAAAACGTTGACAGCATTGAGCAGCAGAGGAAAGAGGGTAGAACTAACTGTGGTTTTTGTTGATTGATTGTAAAATTATTATTCTCATATGAGCCAGGCCTGACAGATGCCTTGAAACTCAGGTTCCATATTAAGGTTGTAAAGTGTCTAAGGACTGAACATCTATTATGTTATCACCTTCCGCTTTTCAAATTTTTACATAGTTTGAATCACCACTGTAAGAAAAATCTCTGAAAAAGCGATAGTAACAACAAACATTGCAACTTTGATCAGCATGTCAAACATTGTGATCGATCAAACCACCATCCAGGCTCTCATCGAGTCGGTGAAAGCCTTACACTCCCGTCTCGATATTTTCGACCGTGCTCAACAAGCCCATCAAGCCCTGAACGCTCAGTTCCGAGAAGAAGTAAATGACCTTCACTCCATCATCAACAATCTCGAGAAGCTTATCCGCTCTCCTGCACCCGTAACTGCTCAGCGCCCCATCGCCGCTATCCCAATTACACCTGTGGCCCCTGCCGCTCAGGGTCACGCTCAACAACCCCGCAACAACCCACCCCAGTGGAGCCAAGTCCTCAAACATCCCTCCGCTGCCTCTAACAAGCGCCGCCGCGAACATGATGCTCTCCGTACACTTCAACCTCCTCAACCTGCCACTGAAAATTCCAACTACACTGTTCTGCACCTCCATCGTGCTCATCGTATGCCTCACACCGAATACCGTGCTACCCTCGCTGCCATCGGCATCGATAGCAAACGTATTCTAAATGTCACTTTTCCTGCTCGCAACATCTCCACCATCCTGATCCACACTGCTTACAAGGCGGATATACTTCAACTCTTAGCCGCCGGCGAACTGACTGAAGTCCCAGACTTTAACCCGCTTGACCATACACATGTAGCCGATCCCCAATTTGCTGACATGCCTGCTCCCCAACTATCCCGTATTGCTGCCGCCCTTCACACTGACCGATGCATCCGTACTGTGCGCTACATCAAGAAACATACTGTCCCCGGCGTCCTCAAATTTTTCATGGCCCAAAACTGGATACCTCTCGTCACTGCTCCAGATCTCTCTGCTGAACTGCTTCCTCGTCCTGCTAAACGTGCTATGGACCCTCATTGTGCCGTTGGTCAATTGCTCCTTAATCCCGTCTACGCCACCAAGTTACGCTCACGCCAGTTGGTTGATCGTCTAGGCAACGTCGCTGAAACCAATCCAATGGAGATTACTGAGGAACTTTACGATGATTCTCTTGAATGAGTGAATCCTCATCACAGCCTTTAAATCAACGTTCTGCATCCCCTGATAATGTTTATGTCCCCCGGTATCTGCTCCTCATTCTTCTAACAAACACACTAACTTGATTATTCGTAGTCTCAACTGCCGTAGCCTTGCTAAATTATCAAACGACCCCAACAGACAATCTTTTTGTCGATTCCTACGCCAATCTTATGATCAACAACCTCACATCCTCTGCCTTCAAGAAACCCATGCTTCCGACCCCGACTCCCAAACTCGCCTCAACTTACAACTCCAAGCAACATCTTCTATATGGTCATCGCACTGCGGGATAGTAAGTCTTCACCCTAACATTCATATCAATCCCATCTTCGTCTCGGATGATGGTCGAATCATATATTGCAACATTTCCCACACTACTAACCTATTTCCTCCCCTGAAGATCATGAATATCTATGCACCCGTCACTAGTCCAGATAGATATATCTTTTATGATCAGTTACTTCAACGCTCCTTCTTCCAAACTCTCATCACCAACATGAACACGGCGGAAGGTCTACACAACAATCACCTGTCCAATGTCACCAATGCCCCATCTATAGTCGTTGGTGATTTTAACTACAATTTCCGCCGATACCGTCCACCATCTATTGTCAAACCAGCTAGCATTCAATTACAATGGCTTTTTCATTCGATGCTCACCCACTACTATCAGGAAAACACTCATGAATTAATCCACGAACCTCAAGTACCTACCTTTCGTCGCAACACTACGTTCACTACCATCGATTATATGTTCTTGAATCCTCAACTGATGGACTTCCGTACTGACCAGTTTGTCCACTTGGACTGGACTGACCATGCGATGCTGTCTACCCAACTAACTTTTGATAATCCAGATCTCGGTAAAGGTTTGTGGCGAGCCAATCCACAATTAGTCCACAACGAATACTTCTGCCAACGCCTGTTCACTAAGCTTGACGATTTCCACACCCTTCTCGCTTCCAATGCTAATGATCTCACTCCACAAGTCATTTGGGATCAAATCAAGGAATTAACTCGACAGGTAGCCAAATCTTGTAGTCGTCGTCAATCGGAATGGCGTCGCCGTCTACTTCGTCGTCTCCAAAGCAAGCGGAACAAGCTGCTACGACTCTACAAAACGACTCAAGTACGCAATGATCGCCTTCCCAAGATCGAATCAATGATAAGTAACTTACAACAAGAATTGACCGATATTTAAGCTTTACGCTCCGGCATCAAATGGCGTGAACAGGGGGAGAAATCCGCTGGTTTCCTCAAGCGTCTTACCTCCCAGCGATCCCAACAACAAGCCATCCCCACTCTTCAACACCCCATCTCCTCCTCCGATTGTGCGACCACAAAGGACAAACGGGCAGCTGCTGTAGCTTACTACGAACGGCTCTACACTGCGGATATAGTGGACACCGAAGCGATTCGCTACTTTACTGATCAGATTCCCCATACTGACAAAATTCTAGATTCAGACCACCCGTCATTATGTGCCCCATTTACCCTCGATGAAAATTAGTCGAAGCCGGTACTCGGGCCCCTAAACAATCAAGTTTTGGCATTGATTCGCTACCATATGCCATAATTCAATTGCTTTTCACCCACCCACTCACCGCTGCCATTGCTCTCCGTGTTTATTTTGACGCCTTGTCAGACGGCGTACTCCCGCAATCGTGGCAAGAAACTTGTCTGGTCTTGCTCCCTAAGAAAGGTGATCCTGCCTTGTTGCAGAACTGGCGTCCCATTAGTCTTATCTGTTGTGATGCCAAAATCTTCACTCGGCTTTTGAATGCTCGGCTCATGCTCCACTTCGGCACACGATTGACCACCTCACAACCCGGCTTCATGCCCCATCACTTCATTGGCGAACCAGCCATGACCCTACATTGCGCTCTGTCCCTCGCCACTGCCACCCATTCTACGTCAATCGCCTTGTTGTTAGATCAAGAAAAGGCATATGACCGTGTCAACTTGGAGTACCTCACCGCTGTACTCACAGCTTTTAACATGCCACCTTCTCTAATCTCATCACTGCTTTCTTTGTTTACTAACACGCAGGTACGGGTCAACATCAACGGTGTGGAATACATCCACTATGATCTGCATTCCGACAGTTCCTCCAGTTACCAGATTTAGATATAAACTGTATGTACACTGGATTAGATGTACGATATCGATTTATACTATAAGAAGATATGGACTTCAGATACGCTAGTACTATAAGATTCATACTATATAAGATATAGGCTATAGATGGCACCACGGACATGGATGGCACTATAGACTTATACTTGTATTCCGACATTGACTACGGATGTTTACCATATCTGGATAGGCACCAAGATTAATGCAATATGAGCTTGTTGCTTCAGATGTGCACTTCATGATCCACGCTATAAGACACATGCTTATATCCGTGATACTAGCTACAGATACTTTATGTACTACAGACTTGTACTATATATGAGACATGCTATAGACATGCATACGATATGCTATAGACATGCCATATATCCAGATACATGCTAAAGATGTATGCTTAGCGATATACACTCAGATATGTACTATTAATATAGACTAAGTAGACTGTACCTATCGGATACATGCTACTAGATCGATATTAATTATCCTTATAGTAAGGATAGATCAGGGTACTTCGGATGAGAGTCTAATTATTCATCCAGACAGAGCTAAATCATGATTAGCTTGCTGGAGTTGTCTTTTAGCATGATTAGACATTAGTTGATCTGAGTTGACTTATTTGTCAATCTAATTAATAGAACTTTTATCCATTGTTATAGTATATAAGAAGGATCATCTACCTGGCCAGTAGAGAGACTTCAGTTTACTTTACACCTGTCAGTTTGATAATAAAACATACCTTTATCAAGCTGACTTTACTGTTTTTTTTTTATTCTTTTTTTTCCGTGAATTTTAGTCTATCAAGCCTCAAATTCCACAAACGGATTTCTCTCTGAAGCGTTTCCAACCCAACGTGGTATGAGATAGGGTGACCCTATCAGTCCTTTGCTTTTCAATATCATCTTCGACCCTTTCCTCCGTGCCATCAACCAACATCAAAGCATACTTGGGTTTGACTTTACACGCATTGCAGCCACTAATCCTCGTTTCTCCTCACATCTCGCTGACAATGTTCCTCTCGCAGATCCAGTCAAAGTCCTGGCATATGCCGATGACACACTAGGTTTCCTCAACGATCTTAGTGAATTCCACCAGCTTCAACAGTTGATAAATAAGTATGCCGCCGCGTCCAATGCCTCTCTCAACTATCACAAGACGCAAGCATTGTCTCTCTCTGGTGTACCGCACGATTCCTGGATTTTCGGCCTTCGCGCGTCTGGTATCTCGTCTTGGCATGACCAGAATGCTACCGCTCCCATCATCTATCTCGGATACCCTATCTGTTCATCTACCGCTCAAAAAAACTCATATTTCGATGCTCTCCTCACTCGCCTCCGGGGCTTTTGTCGCCTTCATTCGGTACGCAACCTTACCTTTCGAGGACCGGTTACTGTTCTCAATTCACTCTTGTTCTCTAAAGTGTGGTATATTGCACGCTTGTTTCCTTTTTGGCTAACGATATTCACAAGCTACAACAGCTGGGCGCCTCGTTCGTTAACCAAAATGCCAAACTAACTCGATTCTCTTTCGCTACTCTCTGCCTCCCTCGTTCTCATGGCGGCCTTGGTCTTTTGGATCCTGCTGTGCAGATCAACGCCCTTCAGTGGCGCTGGCTTCATCCACTTTTGCACCCATCCGATCCCACTCCTCCTACCAAGACTTCTCTTCCTTATCTCCGTGTCATCCTCAACTTCTTCCTCGCTACTCCCTCATACCCCACCTACCACTGGTCTCTCCTCTTTCCTGCCTGTAGGCCATCAAGCGCCAGAAAGGTCATCGCTTCTCTCTACAACCTTCTTCGCGCCGTAGATACCATTGTTCGCAAGTTTGGTGTCTGTCATGTTTCCTTCAGTACTTGTCTACGCCTGCCATTTTCGACCTTGGTTGAACATAACCTTCCACCCAACCATAGCTTATCGCCTACATTTCGCTCACCAAAGGAAGTGGTAAATCACTACCCCAGAGTGCTTCAACTTACAGGTAATGATGTTTTCATCTTTGATACCACCACTCAAGCTCTTCAACTTCGCACTTCGGTCATCGGCCTACCCCACCAACCCACCAGCTTACGCGCTATCAATTTTCTTCAGGCTCAAAACCTACTGCTCACCAACTTCATTCACTTCAACATGTTGCTCCTTGTCTCTCGTCCAAACATCCCACATATCGACCTCTCCACCATCACCAACTATTCCGATAGTATCAGCCTCGTATCCACCCTTCTACTTTCTTTATTGGCAACTTCATTTTCTTTTGAGTCTCATTCATTCCTTTTGTCCCTCCCTACTAATCAAGGATTCAAATCCCTCCCCCTTCACAGTAACCCCTTCTCTCATTCATCCTCTTTAGGTGTTGCCAAATGGAAGCAGTTTTGGTCTCTCCAGGTTCCTTTGAATGCTCGCAATACTTGGTTCCGGATCTTTCATGAAAAAGTTACTACTTGTCAATTATTACATCAACGGCTTCGCGATTCATTTACCCCGTACTGTCCTCACTGTCAGTCTTCGTCATTCACATCCTCCACTGTCATCGAAGATACTGAACACTTTCTCTTTTCCTGTCCTCAAAAATTGGACGTTTGGCGACAAACTCTCTCTCTTTACCTCTCATCTCGTTTCGCTCACGTTGCGTATGAGGAATACATTGCCATCATCCTCCACCTTCGCCTTGATATTGATCGCTCATCTCATGAACTTTTTCCTGCATTATCCGTGTTCCAGGTCTTTGCTTGCATCCAACAGGCCATCTGGTCTGCTCATTACCGCCAAGTTTTCCAACACATTCCTTTCATCCCGTCTACCGTCATTCACTCCATTCACCATACTCTTCTCAATTTAGACTCTCAACTGTTTAGAATAACAAAATATAGACAGAGTAAATACAATTAGAACTGATTATATTTATTATGTTATTCCAAGATTGAATAGGTATCAAAACTAGTGTAGATATCAAAGGTATTTATAGTTATTTGACAGTGCCGCAGCAATAGGACCTTGATCTTGAATGCGGGATAATTGTATAAGCCTTGAACCAGTAACGAGGATGTGCTGCATCAGAACTCATGAACCACCAGTCAAGGATAAACAACAAAGATAATCCAGGATAGAATGTTCTTCCTAATAGCTTTGACGGAAGAACATTTGTCGGAATTGAAACCCACTTCCAGGGACGAAAGGCCATAGGCTACCACTCTCTAGGAACCAGGATATAGATTAGCCATTTGATGGCACCACTCATGTTCCTTCGTGCTGCTTGAATAAAGACCTCTCACTTCTACTATGCATCTCAGCTCATTCTCAGATCCTCTTATGTAATAAACGACGCCTAATACATTTGCCTCTCAGAGATGATCTATATCCTCAACATCAACTTTCCTTCGATACAATTATCTGAGCTTCCCCTTATATTCTCCAATCTTTATATCCCCTCCCTCTATATTAGGTGACGATTTAAGGACTTTAAATAAAAACAGAAGTGCTCACTTCCTTATAAAAAAAACATTTATTATGTTATGATATTAATTCTCGATTCAGGGCAACTTCTGAAACTATGTTTGTGAGATCTTGATATATAAAATCTCGACATTTTCGCTAAAAACGTCATTTCATAATTTCATAAATTGCTCAACAAGTTCAATCAAAATATCTATTATACCCAACACTGTTGGATGCGCATAGAAAAGTTCTTCTAGATATCTTAAGGCTGTAAAGGATGATCACAACAACCTTCATAGTCGAATCTTCTAAAATAAGTCGATCAAATCGCAAAAGGATCCAAAATCAACGAATCATGACAGAAAGTCGAGCGGGATTGTAATTCTTTTTGGCTGGCTAGAAGACTCTCCTTGATTCCTCAAAGCCCTATAATATAACTGTAATGATATGCACAGAAACAATTATACGAGAAAGCGAGACTCCTTCTCAAATGGATAGCGTACCCAACGTGAGACCCAAAAAGAACAGGTTGGTGACATGGGAGGAGCGTGACATGATCCAAAGCAACAGAATAGCACACAGACAAAAATGATATTGCAGGTGAAGTTTAATTCAGAAACCTCTTTCTTTTGGAAATCCCACGGCCTTGTTTGATGAATTTCGCGATGTGCACTTTACTTAGAACCCTGAAAATAGTACCATTGGATTCCTCAAGCGATTTGCTTTCTAATGATGTACATACTTTCTAATAAAATATCCTCTCTTTGACCACAAATTGGCCATTTACTTGCTTATCTCTCTTCAATTCATGTCCTTTTGTTTACTTTACATGTGATTTTTTTAAAGCTCAATTTTGCTTAGCAAATGAATTATTTTGATCTTGCATGATCCGAGTACTTTCTAAAAGAGGACGATTCCTAAAAAAATGATATGAAATGTGTTGACTCTTTATGAGATGCATGCTCTTGGCATAAGAACTACAAACAGGTTGCAGGAATGATACACGAGAATGACCAACTCACTATGTAAATGTGGGCATATTGATGATATCTAGTAGCACAAACACTTGATTGACATCATTGACAGCAACCATGATAGCTGGAAACAAGATGACCTGCACTGGTTCGAAAACAATCCATTATGTTCCATTCCATGGAGATAGCCGCAGTAATATTCATATGATACTCTTGCTTTCCGAGGTGTACGCTTGTCTCTTAATCCAGAATCAATTGTTGCACTGGCTCCAAGATGATGTAAGCAACAAGCAAGCCAACCTTATCATCCTGTATTGTCCGATTAGATGGACAGTTTATGACTGATGTAAACAAAAAGAGAAATGGATCGAGAACCGTATGATCTTGGAGAGAGAAATTAAGGAGAGGTAAAAAAAAAGATTACTTAATCAAGCAACCAGCTGCATTTGTTTCAGTGTCAAATGACATTTTTTGTTTACTTTTTGATGAGGCTGAGCCAGTGAAAAGTTGTCTGTTAATTACATCTAGGGAGAGATGGGGGAACTCGTTTCATGTGAAGGTGGAAAAAGGACTTTTTGAAGTAGCAAAATGGACATAACTCGAGACAGAAAACAGTTGAAAGCCTTGGACGAAGCGGATCAAATAGAGCAAGTGTCAAACGTCAAAATGGTACTATTTTCACGCGCTCAAAGTAGTATATTGTGGAGAAAAGTAAAAGGAAACGAGTTTGAGTGTGGCAAGGATACTGGACTCACACAAAAGTCGATGAGAAGGATATAAATAGGGATTTGTTTCAACAGCTTTTCCCTCTTCTTCTTCATCTCATCTCTCTATTACAAGCAAAATACTCTATACATACAAACTCTCTACAAGACATTTGGGCTCTCTCTCTACATATGGTCATCTAAATCAAATACTCTACTGTCGATTGGCCTCTACTACTGCTACATACAATGCCTTACAAATCCATGGTCCTCTCTACGTCTCTTGGTCCATGCTAGAAAAAGGCCACACTATCTTTGATACATGCAGACCTTGGTGAACTGTGCGAGTAAGTTATTATCTTGTTGGACGTATGAGCCATGTTGACTAACCTATTGATTACATAGTGCCGAAAAACTACTTTGTAGGGACTGAGTAGGATCACCGCTTCATAATCATGGGTAGACTGCAGGACAAATCCATTGGTCATGCTACGGGATGATCACAAGCTTTATTGCCGACGAGAGTAGGGTTTAACCCTATGATCCGGAGATGGAGGCGGCTTGAGCGTGTCGATGATCTTGTGATGGGTGAAGCAAGTTTACACCTTGGTACCTGTTTATATAGTGTTGGTTCCTTTTATTGATGGTCAATTTTCTTTGCCCAAATGGTTTGTTACGCACTCATGCCACAGTACTTGTGTACTCATCTCATCTTTATCTAGTTACCTCTGCCATCTTATGTTCTATCTCATCTAAAGCAAGCTGTCCTCTCCAAATGCTATCAAGCCAAGTTCTCTGTGCCTCCTACAAGCTCCTAAAATGACAAGACTGTTCAAATTTACCATCTCTACATCTATACAAGGTCAAGCCCTACTCTCATCTGTGCTTCCTCTTACTCAATCAATTATCAAGACAATTAATGCCTGACATCTATACAAGGCCAAGTCGTTCTTATATCTCTGCTACCTCTATCTATACAAGTCAAAATAGCCTCAAAAATCTGAAATATTTTAATCCATCAAGTATGGTGATCTCATAAACTCAAATACACATTAATAAAAAACAACCACGTCTTGTCATTAGCTTCAATATTATGCTCTTTTATGATTGCATCTTGTTTCAAAGCTTGTACTGTCCAATGATTGCTATAACCAATGTATTTTAAAGCCTGTACATAATTTAATCATATACATATAATTTAACGTCAAGAGATTTTGCCTGTATGTAATATCATAACATGATAAATTTATGGTCCCTAAACACTTTCAAAGCCTCAAAAAGGAAAGAAATTGATCTAACAAGTATTTTGATAGACTGGCGTTATCAAATATAGATTCAAAAAGAACAGCATAGCTAACGATAATGCTATATGATTTGCCACCTACGTTCCATACGCTTCAAAAGTATCTATTATTGTACTGCCTTCATGATGGAAAGGGCATTGAGTCTGCCAGACGGCCGCACTAGCCGTCAAAATTGATTCAAATCCAGAACATTTTTTCTGTTCAAGATTGGACAGAAAGTGTCTTTCTTCGACTTGATTCAATTATTTTGTAAGATTCGACTATATAAGTTGTGAAGATCATCCTTTGCTTCCTAATACAATCTCAAAGTACTTTTCAAGACGCATCCAATGGTACCAAATAAGGTAAATGTTTAGAATAAACTCACTGAGCAAATTATAAAAATATGAAATGAGGCTTCTGGCCAAAAAGTCGAGGTTTTCCATATAGAGGTCCCGCAAAAATAGCTTCAGGGGTTGCGTTGGATTGATAGCAACAATTTGATTTAATATATACCAAGGTAAAAGTCTTTATTATCGAGGTCAAAAACGCGATCGCTTGATTTTCGATGAAAACCATGAAGGGTACCTCATGGTTTTTGGTCGAATTTTGTCCATTTTTTTTTGGTCCCCAAAGAGTTGAACAACAGTGGCAATAAGTAACTGCCAGATGAGAGCAACTGTTTGGTGACAATCTGACAGTCTGAAACGGCTTCCAACGCGAGAAAACGCAGCTCAAGTGCAATCGGTTTTTGCTATATTAGGGACACTAAGGACTATAAAGGAGAAATACCAGTATGCTGTTTGCCCGTATATAAAATAGCTACGTGTATATGGATGTAGAGCATTACATAAGAATCAGATCCACAGATAAGATGAAGGGTTTTCATGTGTAAGTGGAAGGTCAAAATGAAAATAGCAGTATTTTGATGAGACGAACAAGGACAGTTGGTAGCGCGAACTGCCGCTACGCAGGTTGGCTCTCACCCAAGCTAAGTAAAGGTAGAGAGCCATCCGAAGCATAAACTCTCGTATATATTAAAGACAATGCGTATTAGGGGTGTATCAGAAGTTGGAAGTAATGTTCATCTCCTTGACGGCAGCTAAAAGTGAAAGAGACGCCATCAATGAGAACCAAAATCTTTCAATAGAGATCACCAAGTAATACTCTTCAGCATTTGTAGGGTTATTTTTCAAATTGAGCTACTTGAATAATATTAGATTTTAAACGAATTCCAGGCTCCAGTAATTCTCTTTTCAAATGCAACCTTTCAAGCTTGCACTATCAGGTGGGAACTTCTCATAATTCTGTCAATCAGATTTGACGTTACTTGAAAGCATGGCATCATGAAATCTTTTCACTCTATTTACCACCGTGTTAACACATTTGGGACCATCTTCTCTTTTGACAGTCTCTTTAGTTTTCGTATGTGATGTGCGATAATTGAGGTATACCATGTGTATATTTTAAGCAATTCAAAGGATCACTGGGGTTATACATATAATGAATAAGCAGGTTAATGGATCAGAAGTTTCAGGAACTACAATAGTAAAAAGTTATTATGTGTAATGCCCACAAAATGCATTTAACTTGCCTAATAATGCTTGATCTAACCTGGCCATCGAATTGTTCGAAAAGGTCTTTGTGGTAATGAACTAAACTAACAGAGATGAATGCTGTCGGAACCTTCTTTGGCAATTTTGGTTTCAACTCGTCTTTCGAATAAAGGGGTATTGTTGCTAGGGCATATTATTTCGCTATCGGCCTTGTTGTCTCCGTTGCTACATTTGATTAAAGCTTCATTCATTGCGACTAGTTTTTTGATGCTGGGTAAAAAATCTTTGATTTCTGACTTGCATTGAGGCAAGATGAAATCGAATAAGAATAAAGTAACATAGAACTTCTGGGATATGAGCACAAGCGTATACACATTGACTTTCAATCCCACGACTTGTAGCATGATGGGCGCATTGATTTTGTGAGTATCTATCGTTGACTTGCTGAAATACACCAATCGCTACACATCCAGAATGAGAGCCCGAGTGCTATTTGTGTAGTAAGACGATTTCACCTCACCATAGGCGATATTTTCACGATACTGAGACTGAGGGATATTGGTTACGAGACAATCTGGGCGCAATACTTCCTTCTTTACGAGCTTCCTCTCGTTGGGATTCGACTCTGGGTAGCGAAGGCGGAATGTGTCATTGATGTCGTTGAGGAAGTATTTCAACCACTGGGTCTAGAAATCTAGTCTTTAGGTCACATTCGTTGAAAGCTTCAACCTCTTTATATCGAGGTAAAAACTCCAAAAGTTCTCGGACGCATCGAATTATTCTCTTGTTCTATACATCTTTTGTGCTTTGTGATAATTGTTCAAGATTTGCCTCTACTTCATGGTAATCGAAAAAAGCCTTTTCAAATATATCATCGATGAGATTAAGCAGGTCTGTGTGTTTAGTTGTGTCGAAAGAGAAATGAGTTTTCAACAAATGTTTGTAGAGTTTGTTCAGGTTTGCTTCTCCAAAAAGGCGCAACATGTCAGTGGAGTAGAAGCCAGGCTTCAAGAACAGAATGTTTTCAAGAGCTCTATCAAAAGGGATAAGTAACAGTACTTACACAAACAAAAACACTTACATAAGCTTGTAGAAATTTGGCTCGAGATAAATGGCGTCCAGTTGTGAAAGATCGCTGAGGCATTTCTTCTTATATTGCGCGAACAGACTTTGGTATTCAGTATCACCGACAGCATACTTGGCATTAGTTTGAAGCTTGCTGCGAACTGCTTGGTTCAATTTTGGATTCACCGTCGTGGGTAAACTATCGAAATCAACGTTTGCCTCAGCACTAAAATCCTACATCAGCACCCTCATCCATGCTATTTTATCAGACTTACTCAATATTTGGATTAAGTAATCTGTCACTGCACACATAATATGAGTACAACGCTCTGCATGAAGAGCACTTTACGAACACCTTCATGGAGTCGTCGTCCTTGTCGTCTTGATCAGTAGCAGAAGGAAAGAGGTCATCAAGATCATCATCTTCGCAATCATTATTGGATACAGGTACATTTTCAAGCTCGCTGTGCAAGCGCTTTCTTGGATGAACTGAGTTTTCTGATACGTTTTGCTGGATGGTTTGGTGTGTAGCTTGATTTATAGTTTGGGCTTTGTTCACAATTGTATTCGCTTACTGGATAGATGATGTGATGCTTTCTTGATCTGATGGGGGTATCTTGAAATCTTCCAACAAACTCTTTGCGCGTTCTCGAAAATGTTATGTCAAAATACAATGTAAAATTGAATCTGCCAAAGAATTACACTTTTATTGAGAATGCATCCCAAGGATGCATTTATATACTTTTCATTATGCTAGGGTTTACAGCATGATGATGAACTATAATACAAATAGGTTTACTATCTACCCAACAATTGATTTGTAAATCATGATTAGCATGATTTACCCAAAGGACCTAAGAATAGCCTAAAACCTTTAGTGTGAGACCTTGCTATGACATTTGATATAACAGAAAAGACTGTTTTGGATGAGTTTTCAAGTTCTCTAGCTCTTTTTTCGTCGCAAGCCCGTGGTAAGATCGTTCTTTATCTGGATACTTTTTCTGAATATCTTCAAAGATGTCCTTTATTCGCCAACCACCAGGTGATGTAGTTTCAAAGTAGTGTAATGGCATTTCATAAATTTGAGTGTTAAAGAAAATGCAAAATGTGAGTAGTTGAAGGCTGTGATGTTGGTGGATTGTAAATGGGAGTTCAGGGACGAAAGAATGACCAACATTTATTGTTACGTATTTATTTTACATTCCTCTCTTGCTGAAGAAGACCTCTTCATGAAAACATTAAAACTGAAGAAAGCTTGGTGAGCCTACCAGTTGCGATATGACCATTTCTCCTCTCTTTCTCTATTGCATCATCTATTATGTATGGCCTGTTTGTACCTTGGTATTTGGTTCTAAATGGTTTAGAAGGAGGCCTTGTAAATACGTTTTACATTGCTGTCTGAATACGTTTCAGCTTCCTTGATGTGGACATCCGATCAAGGAGTGACCAACTCGACAAGCTGCAATGGCTTGGTTGAGGGTTCCCCATGCTTTGAGACAGCCTGTTCCAGCATATATAGCTATAGTGAAGACTGTTGCTGCAAATACGTTTTGCTCAACATCTGAACACATTTCAGCTTCACTGATGCAATCAGAGTAGTTTGTGTGGCATGTCATTATTGCAATTACGAGCTTGCCGAGCCAAATGTAGTAGCTAAGTATCTATTCATTGTCGGCACCAAATTTACTTCCATTGCTGATATTCGCGTTTTTACTTTAGGTTACAAATGCCCATTGGGATACAAGTTCTTAACAATACTCTTTGTCAAATCACTCTTAGAGTCTGAAATAGGAATTCGAGATGGCCAGCACGCAAACGTACAAAGATCAACGAGCCTCACTGTAGCTGGTCAAGAGTGATTGGACTTGCATTTTGAGCCAAGGAAACAGTCTACGGACTCTGTCGTTGACCTCTGAGCGACAGTTTGGGGGGGGGGACTTATCGAAATCAAAGATTACATGTGTCTCCTTGTATTCACACTTCTCGAGCTGCTCGTGTCTCTAAACCATACCTAAATTCACACAACTGCGATGGCCGTGTAATAAACGCTTTAATAAAAGGAAGCTGTAAATCAGAGACAACCTCAGTGGACTCTGGGTGTTTGGTACAAAGGACCCTTGGGGATTCAGAAGATCACTTCTTCGCTTCCGTGATGTTTAAGCATCTTCATTGTTTTGATATGGCTCTAATGAAGTTGCTGTATGGTTCTGTATTGAGAAACAGCTGGACTTCTCTATACACGTAAAGACTTAAACGTCGACAGACGTACCTGTTCCGTGGCAGGCTTCTTATAAAATGGTCTGGAGGGCAAATGCCACCAAACAAATTTGAAGTAGAAGTAGTAAAATTTATGAACCTTGCATTTGACTCAGGTACAGCAAGAACCATCTTGATAAATGCACTTGCTGAGATACTGATCGTCCAGAAATGCGTAGCTATGGTCAGAGAGAGATGCCAATTTATTCAGGAAATGAACTTAAACTAGAATCGTGAGCCACCCAGACGTGCTTAAGACATAATACTAGTATTATCAGAAAGACAAGGCAATGACCATCATAGGCATAAATTCTTACTTTCTGCATTTCAGATTCATTTCAGGATCATAGTGCAAACAACAGCGATGGATGAAAAAATGGTGTAGACTCTCAAAAATCCAATCCGTTGGTAATGATCTGACACATGCCCATTACATTCAATTGTATTCTTGAAAATCATTGTAATTCATGTAAATTACACTGAACGAGGAGCTCATATAATTCAATGTGGTTGTCTACCTTTGGCTAACATGTCAGGAGATGCATATATCAACTATAATACTACCATTGCTTACTTTATTAAGCCTTTGATTGTTGCAAATTGACCGTTCAAGTGCGACATCTCGACCTCAGGTGCTCGATGCAACTCTCCACTACCTACTAGTAGAAGCACAGACATCATTAATCTTGTCTATATGCGCGCGAGGTGAAAAGGGTTATCAGCACCATCTTGGCTAGTGATTACGTTCTATGGCACAAACTCGGTTCACAATGGCGGTATCCATCAGACAGTGTACGATTAAGACAGGCATCTCTTCTATTTCTAGCACCATTCATGTCAATGTTCTTTTTGTGAATAATGGAATTTACTAAAAGGAATGCAGAGCTGAATGAGGTATGAGTGATTCTTTTCAGTATTGCTGGATTCACATCGTATATCTCACAGGTGCTTGCTAAATTAGTTGAATATTGATGCATACATTCACAAGGCGGGATTTAGAGCAGTACTTTTGTCTCCCTATATTCGATTTTGAGCACGGTAGGCAAGTTTTTTCAATGATGACTCTAATCTTGACGGCCGACCACAGCGTTTGTGATTGCACAATTACCACCAGTTGTTCTCCATACGCCCCAACGCAAGTTACTGATATACATTGTTACTGGAGTGTCCATTCTGAGTATTGTTGTGCATTCTGAACACTTTTGCAAGAGAGCAACGGGGCGAGTACAGCTAAACATTAGGTCTGAAATAAACAACTTTCAAGTTTCAGAGGGAGCCACATTCGCATTACGTGTTGATACAAGTAAATAACCACGAGCCAAACGCAAAAGAACTTGCTTGTAAGTGACGAGCGGCATTGGCAGTCAGCTAACAAAACTTCAATGTTGCGATGCCATTGGATCCGCTTGTTAATGGCAGGAGATAGAGCCTTGGGCAGCCAAAGGAGGTACTAGTTAGCAGATAGTGTGGAATACATCCACTATGATCTGCATTCCGACAGTTCATCCAGTTACCAGATTTAGATATAAACTGTATGTACGCTGGATTAGATGTACGATATCGATTTATACTATAAGAAGATATGGACTTCAGATACGCTAGTACTATAAGATTCATATTATATAAGATACAGGCTATAGATGGCACCACGGACATGGATGGCGCTATAGACATACTTGTATTCCGACATTGACTACGGATGATTACCATATCTGGATAGGCACCAAGATTAATGCAATATGAGCTTGTTGCTTCAGATGTGCACTTTATGATCCACGCTATTATAAGACACATGCTTATATCCGTGATGCTAGCTACAGATACTTTATGTACTACAGACTTGTACTATATATGAGACATGCCATAGACATGCATACGATATGCTATAGACATGCCATATATCCAGATACATGCTAAAGATGTATGCTTAGCGATATACACTCAGATATGTACTATTAATATAGACTAAGTAGACTGTACCTATCGGATACATGCTACTACTAGATCGATATTAATTATCCTTATAGTAAGGATAGATCAGGGTACTTCGGATGAGAGTCTAATTATTCATCCAGACAGAGCTAAATCATGATTAGCTTGCTGGAGTTGTCTTTTAGCATGATTAGACATTAGTTGATCTGAGTTGACTTATTTGTTAATCTAATTAATAGAACTTTTATCCATTGTTATAGTATATAAGAAGGATCATCTACCTGGCCAGTAGAAAGACTTCAGTTTACTTTACACCTGTCAGTTTGATAATAAAACATACCTTTATCAAGCTGACTTTACTGTTTTTTTTATTCTTTTTTTTCCGTGAATTTTAGTCTATCAAGCCTCAAATTCCGCAGATACATCAAGAAGGTCTTGAACAATACATAACTCTTAGGACATAACTCTTAGGACTACGCAATGAGTGTTGGTACAGGTAAGCTGGTACAGTTTCATCACATGCTTTCGTTTGAAAACCCTCAAAACATTTAAAAATCAGGTCTAATTGTGTACAAGCTATATAATAGCATCAATTACGTTATATACCTATGTTGCTACACTGTAAAAAGTAGCTTGAGGAGAAAGTAAATGTACCCTAAGATGCATGCTTGCATGCAACAACTAAATTGCTTTCATTAAGACATGAACAGTGTCCATTCTGAAGAACATTAAAGGTGTGATTATATACTTCTATTTCCACTTGATTAAGGTTTTATTATTATAAAAGACAAAATAACGTTAGACAAATCAATAGGAAACCAACTAGCTGTAGACCTTCGATGTTTCAATCCCTCAACCAATCAGAATGCTTGAAAACTCCGCTGACCTAAAAAAAATTTGCGAGGGTTTCCCCCTGTTTTGATGTGAGGCAAAATTTTAAGCTCCGATATACAGCAGTATAGCAGATGCCATCATCAAATTCCCCCCAGGTGCTAGAGCATGCCTTACTTACACCACCTAGCTTTTAAATTCTGGCATTGAGACTCTCAATCATTACTAAAGTAAGTAGCGATAACCAAATGGAGGCGGCCTATCTACCTCCTAGCCTCAGATAAAGTCTTGTTGAGCTTCAGGGATAGGCACATCCACACAACGTAAAAAAGGTATGCTTCAAAGAAACATAATCAAAGGAACAAATGAACATAATACTATAAGGGTATAGTAGTATGTAGGCAAAAAAAAAGAGAGGCGCTCACACGAAGCGAGTCAAAGAAAGGCGTAACAAACACATCAAAGATGTTCAAAAAAGCTCGTTGTTATTGTTGCAATAAAAATGCATACATGAGCAACGTGCATGGTAGTAATAGTCGGATGTAAAGCAACATGGCACAAATATACACAACTGCAAAAGCAACAGTGGTATTATAAGTTTGCAATACAACATAATGACTAATGCTGTTTCATGTAAAACCACAGAGGAAACACCACCAACAAAAGAAAAAGAAGAAGAAGAAATCGCAACAAGGCAAACATCATGAATGCATTATCATGAGAAAGGAAGTAACAATATAAACGTTCAAAGAAAGTTTATATCATTGCGACTAGAAGAAAGAAGATACTTACCACTTACCACAGCTAGAGATAAACCAGAGAACGAGCATGCACCAAAGACAGTAGACCAGGAAAGACAATATTAGCAGCAGCAACAGCAGCAACAACACTAGCACCATAGAGAAACCAAAAAACGAACGCCACCAACAGAGACTAGTTAAAGACCAAAGAAATTGCTTACTAAATCTATCACAGCCAAGGATGGACCAGAAGAGTATAGGCAATCACCAGAGATAGACCAGAGAACTAGCATACAGCGAGAACAGTAGACCAGGAAGCATCAGATTATCAACAACATCAACAACAGCAGCAGCAGCAATACCAGCAGCAACAGCAACACCAGCAGCGTAGAAAATCCGAAGAACGAGTGACACCAGAAACCAGGCAAAGACTAACAAAGCAACTGCCAGAGATGAAGACCAAAGAAGCAGTTACCAGACATAATAAACCATAGAAGCAAACAGCAGAGATAGCAAAGAAGTAATGGTAGCAGCGTCCACGGCAAACAGGTAAAAAAAAATAATCGAAACCTAATAAACAAATTCGATTAGTGCTTGTTCTACGTCTTTCTGTGCTCGTTGTCGAACGGTACCTGCTATATTCCACTTGAAAGAAGCAGTATCAAGTGCTTTTAACAGTACAAGGCCGTGTTATCAGAAGCTAGAGTGTTGTTTTCAATCAAAAGGGTTCCAAAACCAATATGGTTTGATATTAAACGCGTTTTGCAAAAAGGGTAAAAAAAAGGAGGATATGGAAAAATGAGAGAGCGCCCTATTCGACGTCACGTCCAGTAGATTTGGTCCCAGTATTCTGCCGTCGTGGTAGCCGTAACTGCTGCACTTTAATTTGCAATTGTGCAGTGGATATTTTCGTCTTCAAACTTGACTTGATTTGACATCCTTTGAACGTTTTTGCCAATTTAACTATGAAAAATGTCGTTGCCACATCCAACGTTATAATGCATCTTTAGAGAACTAAAAAAGCCGCATCGAATGGTGCTGATTACATGCAGCTTTCAGACCGAAAATAATGAGCAATTTTCAAAAATATGAAAACAGGTTTTCTGTGAATATGTCAAAATCTAGCATATAAAAGTTTCATATAAACAGCTTCTAGTGTTGCGTTGCATCTTTACAATCAATTTGATTCGATATATATTATAGAAAAAGTCGTCATTTTTGGGGTGAAAAACGCGATCGTTTGATTTTTAAGAATTTTTCCTTACTAGTACACATGAAAATCCTCATGATTTTCATGAATTTGCAACGACCTAAAACATTTTGAAATAAAGCATCAGTAAGTAAAGCGTGGGCAGGGAGAAACGTTTGGCCCTATTCCGAGCTTCCACAACGCTTTGTAGCATGAGTTATTCGTGCTTCAAAATGTCTAAATTTGGACAGAATTTGGCCAAAAATAAGGCGTAGTAGGTTGTGTTGCCAAGGGAGTCAGTAAATCACGGTTCTGTCTGATGACCCCGATGTTCTGCATTGTACGGAAATCAATACCTAAGTGATAAACGCTTTTATTCCACTTCTAAGAAGGTTCAGGTCTTCCTTTTTGAAATGCGCGATTACAGTAATTTCTGTTAAGCACAAAGAATAAAAGGATTATTATTTGTCGCTTATAAAAAATGTTCGATATTATAAAAACAAGAAAAGACTTATTTAAATAAGATCAGACACAAAAACTAAAGACTTATTGATGAAGACAAGAGTTATTCTATTTATACTAAGTTTTGAATGCCAAAATAGCAATTTATCTTATACAACGCTTATCACATCTGATGAACCTCAGTATTTAGATAGCTGAGATGCACTTCAGTTATCATAGCTTGTCCATGTTGTTACACAACACAGACATATCTACCCATCAAGAATACCTTATTGATAAGTTTATTCAAATCATCTATTTTACTCAGTACCATTGGATGCACCTTGAAAAGTACTCCAGGAAAGCTTAAGGAGGCATTTTTTTTTTTTTTTTTTGTAGGGGAGTCGAGCTCCAGGTTTTATTTAAAGTCCTTTAAATGTCATACTGAGGGATAGAAAAGACTGTTGGTGGACCCAATGTCTGCAAAGAAGGGGAATAAGATATTTTTGAATTAAGTTGGGAAAGAAATCTACTACTAATAAGGTGCGACACCTAGAGCCAAAACAGTCTTGCGGAAATCGTCAAAATATAGATAATGGATAGAGTACAAAACACCAAACGAGGACATCAGTACTACGTCAAAAAATCAAACAACTTGCGTTCACTAGGATTTGAACCGGGGATCCTTCCGTTGGCATACGGGAGTTCTACCACTTCGCCCTACCACCAGGGGCTAGCTTAAGGAGGCATGTGGTGATCATCATATTTTACTTAGTCGAATCTCCAAACATAGCTTAATCGAGTTCAAAATTATCAAGATTTGTCCAATCTAGAACAGACTATGATTCTGGGCCTGAATTAATTTTGGCTTGTGGGGGGCCAGCTGGCAAACTCAATGCCCTTTTCATACTGCAATACAGTAGTGAATGCTCTTGAAGCGTATAAAAAGTAGGTGGCAGGCCATAACGCTATTGTTTATAATGATATTTTATTGCCTTCTATATCGTTCATAATGATATTTTATTGCATTCTATATTTAATAACGTTAGTCTGGACATTGACGACTCATGGGCTGCGTAAGATGTCTGCAGTAAGTAGTGAAATCTCTTAGGCTCCGAGCCGTCGTTCAAATAAAACGTTGACAGCATTGAGCAGCAGAGGAAAGAGGGTAGAACTAACAGTGGTTTTTGTTGATTGATTGTAAAATCATTATTCTCATATGAGCCAGGCCTGACAGATGCCTTGAAACTCAGGTTCCATATTAGGGTTGTAAAGTGTCTAAGGACTGAGCATTTATTATGTTATGATGATATTTCAGTTTTATATGATTCTAAATTTTTTACCTATGAGGACCTGGATGTACAAAATGTTTTTGATTTTGAGGTTTTCAACTTTTAGACGATCGAAAATCGATTTTTTAAATATTGATGCTAGAGCCTTGAAACTAGCATGCTCCTATACCAGTTTTTTTACCCTCTAAACCATGGTGCAATTGGATTTGAGATAGAATGTGTTGCCAATGAGAAATGTGTAATTTTCGGAATAAGCAAATTTTTAGTAATGAGCCTCTATGAGAACCTGTTAACTGCGAGTAATTTCGCGTAGTAGATCGATAGATCAGATGCTGGAAAACGTTGTATTTAAAACTGCTTGTTTATAACTAGCTTCGTTATGGTTTGGCAAAGAGCCAAAGATTTGCTACACAATTTTCGAAAAAGGGGGAGGGGCTACTCCAAGCTTAGTGTTGATGACAGTGTCTTTATATCAGGAACATTATATATCCACTTTGAGGGGCTAATAAACATATGAACAGATTATAAATCGCTACATTGGTTGTCAAATAATCAAGCGAGGAAAGTAGCTAATATTGAGTGTTGCAGATACATGAGAACTCATGATACAGCTTGAGTAAGACATCAAACAATAGATAGTATTCAGGTCTACATCATGAATACTGCTACAGCAGGTAAAATTGGTGTCGACTTAGTACATGATCTCCTTTAAAAAAACCCTTACAAATATGAAAAGAGGCTGATTCGTTTGCAATCTGTGGGACCACGTTTAAGATTGGCACCTCTTGATGTACATTTCACTTCTGTACAAACTTACTATAGGCTGGGAGCAATGGTTACCAAGTAGTAGATGCTTAATTTTTCTGTTTTATAACTTACTTTTGCTCTTATGGGAGCATATTAGTTTTGATCGCGCTTTTACATGCTGAGAAGGAGGCAATGTCTTGCGGCCCGTCTTCAAATATAATTATGTAGATCTTGAATAACGAAAGATGTTATGGCTTGGAAGCATATTGACACATGTGTTTAATTAGTTATTAATCCTATTGTGTACTTGCAGCAAATCTTGAAGTTCAGGGATTGCTTGTTTTTTGCTGTCGCTGTACTACTCTTGCTTTAGTCTTTAATAGGACCTCTGATAAATATTGCTCCCAAACGATATGTCAAACGTATATCGTAGTATGCAAGAGGGGCAATATAAGATAATTTTTATTGTTTTGCGGCAACTATTTGTTTCTTTAGGAGATGAGTTGATGATAAAGAGGTTAAAGGCTTTTGTTCCTAAAGTCCATCTGATTTTGAATCATCGCACAGTTTTGAAAGGTGTAAAATATTTACTTAATGTGATTTATTGTTTTTCTTTTTACTTTTGACCATCAGCAAAGATCGAAAGGCAATATGGATAATAAACTGTAAAGTGATTGCTTAATATCAGATTATATGTATACGGCTACTGATACTCAACACATTACTATAGTTTCATTGAGATCCCTTTCCCAAACGAGCGTTTTGCATCCATTGCCCAACAAGCCATGAACGTTGATAAAGAATTAAAGACTGATCAAGTAAACAGAGTGATTACAGCAAAAGACAACTTACTTCATGTGTAAGAGAAGAAAGCACCAGATTTGAATGTTGATTTGCAAGAAGTCTCATGTTCATTGTAGGCAATTTGAATGTTATAATACCAAGATGCTTCGTGTAGCAGTTAACTCATTTTTAGAATACTTGACCATGGTGACGCGAACTTTGGAAGAAGATTTTGGAAACTAGCGACCTTTTGTAAATATGACATGATCGATTGAATGTTGAATTTATACCCCAAATTGGTATATTTTCAATGGTAAATAATCTCGCTCTTCACTCTTTGCTCTCACCTTTTTACATGTAAAATCAAATTCGGTATAAAGAAAAAATAAAACTGATGTTCTATTTATTCTTCACATGGTACAACAAAGACTTTAGCAGTTACAAAAATGGTATCAGAGCACCATGAATTATATTAATTCGGGCTTGTTCAAATTGATAGATAGATAGAGCGATGTGTGTATCATGTTTTTAATGTGACATGTGGAAAAAGGAGTGTAAATGACAAGAGAGACAGAGTGAGAAAGAGAAAAGGAAGGGGAATAAGTATAAGTAGAGTATATGTATAATAATAATAAAGAATTATGATAATAATTGAATAATGGAAATAGTAATAATAATAAGGTGGATATTGGAATAAACATAGAGATATCAGAGAGATTTACAAAATGAGACATTTAAACTTTTTCTTGCTCTTTTCTTTTGATGGATTTTGCTTGTTAATCTGTCTAACTACATCGTAGAATACTTCATCGACGTTGATTTTGAATCTCGCTGATGTTTCGTAAAACGGCTTTCCTCCCCATTGTTGCGATAAAGCCATGCCCTTTTCTCTAGGCACCATTCTTTCGTTTTCCAAATCGCATTTATTACCAACCAAGACCATGGGCACCTGTGTATATATGTTTGAGTAAATTGGATCAAACTGCCCGTATTCCCCTTACATTTTCTGTGCCTTTGACTCGTAATATCTGCTCCCTAATCTCGTGAAGGTCGGTCAAAGTAACTTGACTTGTGATGGAGAACACAAGGACGAAACCCTGGCCATTTTTCATGTAGAGATCGCGCATGGCTGTAAATTGCTCTGTACCTGCTGTATCCAGAATTTCAAGCATACATTGTTGTCCATCCACTTCTACTTGTTTTCTATAAGAGTCTTCGATTGTAGGATCATATTTTTCGACAAAGATTGACTGGACAAATTGAACTGTCTATAGTTTTGTGTTAGTTCGGGGTAACTGAATTGCATCTTCAGACTCGATTACCAAAGCGGACTTGCCAACACCACCAGAACCTAATACAACAAGCTTATACTCTCTCATATTAAAAGAAATGGAACGGATAAGGAAGAAAAAAAAAAAGAGAGAGAGAGAAGAAAAAAAAAAAGTCAAGGTAACCACACTTGGGACTATTTTTATAGGCGACAAAATACCACACACACACACACACACACACACGCACATTTCTGTAGGCAAAAAGACGCAGGCACACCACCTCAATATAAAAAGGTGATATTTATAAAAAAAAAAAAAAAAAAAAAAAAAAAAAAAAAAGAGGAGTACATTTGCCTGAAAAAGGAAGGCTGATGTTTATTGATTCAAACGGAGTCGTCTCTGTATCTCATGAAAACATTGCCATCAAAGCATGGAGCAAGAAATCGCATATCAATTGACAACATTTTATCAGTGCGTAGATGTTTGAGGGCAACGAAGAGAAGGGGATGGGTACGTGAGCACGACAACTTGACATGATCTACACTTGAAAAGATTGCTTTCTAATATGAATAACACCAGTATTTATTCATTGGAGACAGTATTTGATCATCCAGCATGAGCATCTTCTTGGAATATACAAACTTGGGTTCAACAGAGTCTCTGCTATAGTAAGTTCTTCTGCCTTGGCTTGAAAGCTTCCATTCAGATAACTGCGCAGGATATCGTTTGGGTGTAAAAGGACTGATTTCAATCACCTTAATTTTCTTGCTTAATCTACTCAACACACGTGGTAGACAACTTAAATCAATTGTAAGGGGTGTACGTGCTAGATTCAAATAGAACAAGTTTGGTAAATCAACCAAGAACCTCTCCAATGCATCCAAGCTGATATTGCGGCAGTATGCAATAGAGAATCGTCTTAATTGACTGAAATGTTGCTGTTCAACCATATTGTTGAACACAAGGTCATCAAAATTGGTATGTCCTCCCATATCTAAGGACTGTATAGCTGGGTTGATTGATTTCAAGATCTTCATGATGCAGTCGCGACAAAATCGAGAGCCTCCAATGCCATTAAAGTCCATGTTCAAATTGAGTTCAATCAGCTTGCTGCAGTTGTTTTGTAGGAATGGTATCAGTGGTGAACAGCATGACAGAGAGTGACATCCCTGCAAATTGAGATGGGTGAGTGTGGTCGTGGTTTGGAGATGAGCAAACAGACTGCTTGTGATTTGTGTGTACGCTAGATCAAGCCTTGTCAACTGGTTTCCACTGGCGCGTATTTTGTCAAAAAATGGTATGAAGAAATGCTCTTGGGATAATGCCATGCACATGTAAAACGAGATGTTTTCGAGCTTCCTTGGGACGGACCAGTTGCTCAGCTCCAGAGGCTCCTCTTGTTCCTGCTGAACATGTCCTCCTTCCTCCTCCAATGCCAACCTTTCCAACTTGCTCAGTGACACTGGCTTGAAGAAATCCGCCATGACAGTGGTAAAGTTTCGATCGCAGAATCCGGTAAAATCAATTGTCCTCAGGCTATTCTGATGGCTGAATATGGATCGAATGACTCTAGGTGATACAAAAACGTGCATCATTTCTTCACCAACAAACAATTCTTTCAACTGATCACAACCACCAATTAAATCCGCCAATTCCTCTGCAACAATGATAGATTTGGCCTTTTCCTCTGTCCAACGCGAGCCTCTTGTTGTATAGCTGGAGAAGTCCAGACGGTGAACCAAATGTGCGAGGTTTTTGTTTTGCATGGCATCTCTGAGCAAGAGATACTGCCTGGGATTGCTGATCATGATGTGCTTGTAGAGCAAATGTGTTAGCGTGGCGTAGAATACATGATTGACTTGACACAGGTTTGCCTTGTCTTTGGACGATAAGCACTGGTTAGCTGCTATTAATTCAAGCAGCTCAAGCGATAAATTCTTCATTTACTGTGGTTTGTTCGGGAATATAAAGATGTAGTTGGGAAGTCCAAGAGTAAAAAAAGCGCAATATCTCCTTTGGAATGGAATGATGAGATGAAAAATGAAGAGAAATTTTCTCTTTTTCAGCTTGCTTAAATAGAAAAAAAGGTCATGCAACGTAACTCAAACTTCTCACGATAAGAAGCAGCGGATTATCTCATTTGATTGGAGTACTTCATCAAATCTGATGACCTTACTTGTATTTTGCTTTGCTGAATTGCAATCAGAGCGAGTCATACGTTTTTCTCAACCCTCCTTCTTTGTGCATTACTCTTAAAACCCAAGAAATCCTGCCAGTACATAACGGACTAGAGCTAGTTGGCATGTAGCAATCCACAACTACTGAAGAGACTGTGCTGTTTAAGTTTTCCTTTCCATTAATGCCTCATTTTGCTCAAGCAAACCCCTCCTCATCATGTGCTGGTTGACAGGCTGGTGTAACAGACTAGTTCTGCTTGTCGCCATCATCTCTACTCTACTTGATTTAGCCGGATTCTAATCCTCCGCTAATGGTCTATCTACATCGATTAAGATGCAGACAGCTTCTCGGTATGCACTTGCTGCTTCTACTCTAGCTATGTCTCATTTTGATAGCTGTTCGTATCCATAAGCTTACAATTGTGGACAGTGCGATGATGTGAGTGGCCTTCTATACATCCAAGAGCAGACATCAGCGCCTTTTCTTTTAGTACCAGTCGACTCTTTTAGTACAAAATGCGTTTGGATGTAGAGAGTTGATTCTTTGAGTTTGGATGCCATGCAATGAAGGAGGCTAAATGTCTTTAATACCTCGTATTATATTTACAATGAGCCTGTCGAAATACTTCATGAAATGTAGAGGCAATGCATCAACATCAACTGTCCATACATTAAGCCTCCTCTTGGACTGTCGTATTACTCTTGAAAGTCTCAAGATTTCTGCCCAGATTGACTAATCAAAGCTGTCTATCATCATTTAATCATGTGCAATTGATAAAAGAGCTTGTGCTTATCATTTGTACCAAACATACTCATGGAAGCAAGCCCTAGCAAGCTTCTGGTAACAAGAGCTTTTGCAAAACGTGCCTGAATCAAGGCCCGTTCTCCTTGTTTGATTGGCTTGATCTACATGTCAAAAACGAAAGCCTTCCCGGAGATGCAAATGCAGAGAGATAAATACAGTGCAAGAAATTTTTTTCAATTTTAAAATCTCATACTCCTTCTGTAAATTATACAAATATCATGGCAGAAAAAGTTGCTACCAAGCCAGCAATTAAAAAGACAGCTACAAAAACCATGGCGAAAAAAGTGCCTAGTGTAAAGCCAACAGCAAAAACAACCACACCAGCTGATGCCACCGCCACCGCTACTAGTACAAATGCTGAAAAGCCCAAATTAACTCAAGGACAGAAATTGCTCAAAGCCATGACAGCACAAAAAGCTGCCAAGAAGGCTCTCATGAAGGGTGTTGCAGTGACTCATGTATCCTTTGATGATGACGGTAATGAAGCCAATGTCGAGACAGTGATTCAAAAGACGGCACCGCCTGCCAAAGTGGTGAACCCCAAAAAGACAAATAAGAACAGACCTGCCGTAAAGAAGCCTGAACCCATTAAGAACAAGAAACGTAGTGCCGATGAGATGGAAGACGATGCAAACAAAGAAAAGAAAGAGGAAGAAGACAAGAAGGATAATAAAAAGCCACCCAAGAAGGCCAAGAAGGCCAAGAAGAGCAAGCTTGAAATCGAAGAAATGAAAAAGGACAACAAGCAGGAGGAGGCGCTCGCCTATGTTCGCCTGTTTGTCAATGACCGTGATTCATGGAAGTTTAAAAAGGTGCAACAAATCTGGTTGCTCTCAAACTTGTATGAAATTCCTGAGGATGAATTTGACAATGTGTTGGAATATTTGAAGGATCTTCAGGGTTCAGCTCGTGAGGTAAAATCAGTGGACCATGGGGAGGGTTATAAAAAGGCCGTTGCTAATCGAGATGTTTGATTAGAAAACCAAGCAGGAGGCCAAAGATAAAATCCCAGCGGAAGCAGCATCTGCACCAGCTGCTGTCAGCAATACGCTGACAGGATATGCAAATGTGAATGCCGGAAATGACGACGATGATTTTGACGCAGAAAAGCTATTAGCACAAGCAACTGCAGCACCTGTTGTTCAGCAAGAAGTGGCCAATGACGAAGAAAAGGAAGAAGAGGAAGAGGAGTCTGATGAAGTCAAGAGAGCAAGATTAATCGTAAAAACGCTTTCATAAATAAACCATACATTTTGTGCATAATAGAACTGCCTCATACGGTTTGCGCACGACATTACTTATGCGTTCTAAACTGTTGTCAAACACAACAACAAAACACAAATATTAGCATTTTGGCTGTGTGATCGAAATATCTTCCGGTTCATAGAGAATGCCGAAATTCCAAACGTATTTACTTTTTAACCATCAAAATATAAGAATGAAATACTTGTTATAAGACCAAGAATCCTCGCAGTTGTTTGCTTTTTTTTCTTACTGTTGCTTCTTTAAAATGACAAGATTAAGATCTGGGTTGCTCTTATTGATTGGTAGGGCATATTCATTTGGTTGCTAGTCAAGTAACTAACAGCCATTGTAGCATCATTGATTGCATATGCAAATGTAGCACATGCCTTGGAAGAAGGTGAGTTCAAATCAGAGTCCATGTAAAACACTAAAGCTCACGTATCTATACGCTAGGCACTATGCTTTTACCTGTATGGAACCATCCTACCGAGGTTGTAGATGGCGCTCCTGCTCCTCAAGCTACTGCCTGTGCAAATCCTGGACAAATTGCTCTGACTTATGTAAGTGTATATGTCCATGTCCATCACGGCAAAACTCTCCTAACATGCATGACACCAGAACGAAGGGCCCAGTGATGTAACTGCCAAGGTGCTGAATGGATTAAAGGCTGCTCAAGCCAAGGCCAACTTTTTCGTCAATGCTACATGGTAAATAGAGACTCAAATTTAGTGAGCAGAAGGGTAAATAACTAGACGCACCTGTAGGTTATATACTCAACAGTACGCCATGATCTTACAACGTGCATACAACGATGGCCACTTTATTGGTATGACATACCGTGCTCCTGGAGACACTTCAGAAGGCTTGACTGACGAGCAAATCAAGACTGATGTTACCAACACTGCTAAGATCATTGAAACCTTGATTGGCGTCGCACCCAAGTATGTTCGTCTTCACTATTCACAACCAGAAGACATTCGTCTCGAGAACATTATTCGCAACATGGGCTATACGTTGGTTGCATACAATTTGGATACCATGGACTACAACTACAAGAACAACCCAGAGGGTATCTCAAATTTATACAAGGAGATCTTTGCCAAGCAGATTGATACCTACGATTCAAAGGGCTCCTTCATCTCTGTGCAGTATGATATCCCTGATACTGGATCGTGGCAAGCAATTTATGATGTCGTGAGAACCATCAACGAAGCTGGTTACACCATGGTGCGTTTGGATGGCTGTTTGAACGATAAGCAACCTTACAAGGAGCATGCTGATTCAATGAAGTTTGTAAGCGATAAGCATTCGTTGGGTCAGGCAGATTACAAGTCGGGCCAAGTTATACCAGAGAAGCTTGCGAATACTAGTTCTGCCTCAACGGATGATGTGTCTGCCGATGCTATGGCTGATGCTGCTGAGGAAGAAGAGGCTATCAAGAAGGCCACTGGAGCTGCCAGCATTTTACATTCATTTGAAAAGTCAAATTTAGTTTTTGTAATAGTAGCTCTGTTTTGTACGTTGGCATTTTAAGTATACCAAACTCTAGAGATACCGTATTCCCCCCCCCCTCCAATCATTAAAACAACACAACTTTTTACACATTCTTGGCTACATTTGATTTATTTGGCTCCTGATCAGTGTGCAACATGACACATGAACATAAATGTCAATTTTATCCTTATTGAGAGCTAGCTAATGCACCCATAGGATCATAAGCGGGCAACACAATAGGGTCTGTATCCAGCAAGTTGACCAATTTGCGGGGCACATCGCTCTTTTCAAGCACAAGCTACAGCCAAACATGAAACGAGTGAGTATGTATACAACAAACATTCAAAGCATCATATTACCTGGTAAACAAAGGAAGAAAACCAATCATCAGTCATCACCCAGAAGCCCTTATCACCAGAGGTATCAGACCAGCTGTTCTCCACTCTCCAGCGTACAGGTTTACCGTCCTTATCAAGGTGCACGCCAGTGAACACCATAGCATGAGTCATGGCACTTTCCTTGTATAACAATCTCTCCTCCTTTGTCAAACCAAACTCGACGTTGTATGCCAAACTGTAGTCAAAGATCTTGGTATCCATTGCGCCTATCTGATTGCTGCTGAACTGGCCAACATCACAGCCAAACCACACAGGACGACCTGATTTCAAGACATTGACAGCCAATTGCTTCTGTGTGTCAGACGTCGTGTTGACATAGCGAATGGGCTTTCCACCAACAATGTTGCCCAAACGGTCCACTGTGTACAGCTTGTTGGTGGGATTGCGAGGATCGTTGATGAGCGACAAGGTCTCTGCAATGTTGTAACCGACGACCTCACGGAAAAACTTTTTAGGGGTCAAATGATGCACGCCAACGTATTTACCAGCCTTATCAGTTGTTTCCCAATCAAACTGAGAAGGGGGCTCACCAAGAGAGATAACAAGGATACGGTAGATATCTTCCATCATCTTGTCCTTGAGGAATCGAATCACTTGCACAGAGAGGCCTTGGTCAACTGATTTGCGAATTTGGGTAGCAAACTCACGCAATTTGACAGTGACCAGCCAATTGAGACGACGAGAGTTGGAGCTAGCATAAGTTTCAGGGAAGACGCTCTTGGGCACAACACCGTATTTCTCCACCAAATTGATAAGCATGTCGAATTGGCCGCCATCGCCGACAGGGTCGGTCAAGAGGTATTGCACGACGCGATCATTGATGTCCTCCTTGGCCAAGTCAATCATGTTCTCCAGGAACCAGTTTGCCTTTTCAAGCTTGTCGTAAAAGAACAAGTAGCTTTGAGAGAGTTCAAAGTCATCAGCCAACTTGTACTTTTGAATGACATGTAAGCGCATGACATTGGTACCAGCAAAAATCCAGCAACGACCGCTTGATTTCTGGTTGGTAGCACTTCCCTCCAGATCCAGTTTGACGTTAAAGACATGCTTGTCTTTTAAGGCAGCTTGAGGGTTCAACATGACTTGGGTGGGGTCGGTACCAACAATGGCATTTCTGGCCAGCAAGTTTTTGTCATCCTCGTAAAAGCGTTTAGAGTACTTGGCAAGTGTGTCCGTGGAGAGACTAGCGGTATTGTAGCGACGAGCATCTGCTTCATCCAACGTTAGATGAGCATATTGATTTGACAGCATAGAGACAGCAGAGGAGGAGGATTCAGTGTACTTTTCATAGTCATAATGGTCTTTTTGTTGTTGTTCTTGTTCTTTTGATGATTGAGCACCCATTTCGTAGTATTGAATGTTTAAGAAAAAGAAAGAAAAAGAGAGTAATGCAATTGGTGTTATCAGCTTTTTAAGGTACAATTCGCATGAACTTTTCACACACACACACACACACATATTTAATAAGGCACTTTTGACTTTGGCAGTCTCTTGATTTGATATTCTTTAAAGGTTACATGGCATTGGACCCCCTGACCCATGGATGAAACACCATAGCTCTTATCGTTGATGCTAAACTCCTCCATCCAATATACTCATACCCGGGTATCTCTTCTATGTCTATTCTGTCTGTAGGCCAAAGCTGAATGTGCATTCTAAGCGTTTACTTGTGGAAATTTACCGTAGAGATAATGAGACCATGGATAGCACTAATCATCTGATCTATATATCAACTGGTTGCATAATGGTAGTGGGAAATTTGCAACAAAAAGTCAGGCACCAGTGCTTAGTGTCTGAAAGTCAACAGCTCCAAAGGGCGGCCCATAGTTCAATACTATCGCATCATTTCTGCACAACACTGTAAACATCTTTAGCAGGCCATTGACATTTGGGCACAGTATGCTGCTTTAAATAGTGGCAAGATGGTAATATAACGTGATCAGAAGAATACAATTATAAGGCAAAGAAAAGAGGATATTATGATGGTTAATGCATTTATTGATGTTTATCTACAGAGAGAGAGGGGGTATGTTGAAATGTTTACCTTGTGGATGATTCGCGCCATGTTTGACCGAATCTCTGCACAGTGGGAATGCAAACGAGATAGGCGACAACACACATAATTGCCATTAGAGTGCTATTGAAGGGATTTAATGTTAACTGTGTTCCGTTTTAACTGATTGAATAAACTTACTAGGCCCAGCCATCGCCCAAAGATGTTCTGATCTGCACCGCCGTCAATGAAAAGATCATGCCGCAAATGTTTCTAGTGAAATTGTTGACGGATACAACTAGGTAGGTGTTAGTTCGGCACAGCATACTCGTTGCAAATGTCAAATGGTGTACCTGAGGCGGCCTTGGTATGATTGGAATCGACAAGATATGTGTTTGCTACTGTGATTGTGAACATGATGCCGAATGTAGCTGTCAAACGTACAGGAATAAGTGAAAAAAAAAACCAGAACCACCAAACTATGAGCCACTTACCAGTTGTATAGGATGCTAATGGTCCCATAAAATGAGTCGGGACATGCAAAAACCATCCATACATGACAGCACCAAGAGCAATCAATGGCACGCCAATGTAAATAGGTCTCAAGCGGAATTCTTTGACTGCCTCACCGTTGTTCTTTGCAATTGCTTTGTGGTAGAGCTTATCAGAAATGGCGCCAGCAAAGATAGACCCAGAAGTGTTACCAAGACCACCTGCTAAATAGCAGAGGCCAATGGAACCAGTGGGGAAATGATATACAGAGCCAAATGTTTGAGGCAAGATGGTAACCAGAAAGTAGAACCAACCAAACGCAATACTGATAGGCAAACATACCAATGCAACCTCCTTTTTTAGCAGCAATTCCAGACTACCAAACTACTCAACTGCCTTAGCCATTGAATGCAAATGTCAGAATGTATGTGTACTCACTGGATTGAACTTGAGTCTTTCCAAACGTTCCTTAAAATTGGCTGGAGGCGCCAATTTCTTTGAATTGGGAATATACAGAGTTTCCTTGAGAAAGATGAAATTGAGAACGATCAAGACACCGCCCATGATTGTCTTGATGTAAAAGATCCAACGCCAGCCCAGGTACTGATCAATGTAACCACCTACAATAGGAGCCACAGCAGGTCCTAAAATAGTACTAAATAGACACATGGTCAAGGTTTAGCAGGAATTCTGGTTTTGCTATATGTATATAAAACGTGTACCCTAAAATGTAAATCGACATTGCTTTTCCACGTTCATGAGGTTCAAAGATATCAGACACACTGCCACCGCCCACAGCTTGTCCAGCACATGCGAATATACCTTGCAGTAGACGGAAAGCAAAAAAGAGGCCCAGATTAGTGGAAATGCCACAAATGATGGTGCACACAGTGTAGAGACCAATAGCGACAATGTAGATCCATCGTCTGCCAATGCGTTCGCTTAGAGGAGCCCAAAAGAGAGGCTATGTCAGAAAACTTGAGTATGATGCTGCTGCTTCTTTCTGATGTGCATGGATCAACTTACAGCCAGAGCATTCATTAACAGAAACAAGGCAATCGTAGCGTTGATCAACTAAATGAGAGTCAAAAGTATTCAGCCTCTGGATGTGTTGCATCATTTGTATAATATGAACTTACAGTGAGATTTGTGCCAAAATACACCATGATATCATGTGTGGCAGGCATCTATGAATGCAGATGGACGTTTAGCTGTCTAAGTTGGCGTGGATGAATGGCGATTACTCACATAGACTGCAGAGGAAAAGTACCCCATGAATGAATTCATTGACACTACAAGCAACAGGATTGTTTTCTTGCCTTTGGGCCAATTCTACCATAGATGAAAGATGAAATTCACTGCAAATTATGGATCAAAGCACTGTTGCTTACCATTGGATTATTTGAATCATCCTTGTAATTGTATGCTGCAGTGTCATTGTTTGCAGCTTCTTGGTTGAATGATTCAATTTCAGTAATCTCTTTATCTTGAAAATTCGTTGACAATGTATCGCTATTACTACCACCGTCAGAGGGCGCTATGTAATCCATTTAGTTTCTTGTGTCAACATGCTTCACATATCATTTGAATTTACGTTTTTCTGGATGTGTGTTACTCATTTCTTCATTCAGAGATCAAGAGAAAAGAAGAGATTTTTGGCAGAAAATCACTCTATTTATACAATGGATCTCGCAGCACATTTTTAGTGTATATTTCTGATGTTTAGCCGTGATGAATCAAGCTTTGAGTAACATGAACTCTCTTTGATCTTTTATACCCAGAAGAATAATGGTGTTATCGACGCTCAATCAGTCGCAATAGGTGCACCATCCCACTCTAGATCCGATCAAAATTACAGACTTCACCTCTTGTCCCTCATGTTGAGCCCATTTATACGAGAAAAACGATAGCATGCTAGCAAAAGAACAAAACAGGCTCGAGAGAACACAAGATCAAGCTATTTTTCTCAGACTTTGATGTAAATGCCAGCTTGAAAAATATCAACTTAGTAATGACAAGTCTTTCTAGGAAAACTAAAATAGAGAATACACAAATAACCAAATTGAGCGAAATTACGCCGCAACATCCATTGCTGTGCCGGAATCACCTTGAGGTCGGTAAATAAGATCGCCGAGTGCGCATCGACAACAAGCATGAATTATAAATCAAAACTGGATGCTTGATGCGTTTCTCTCACGCCGTGTTGTTTATTATTCATGTTATACACCCTATTTTATGCCTTTGAGGCAGATGGAGGCTGTAATACGGAGGTCGTCAGTTGGATCGAGCGAGTGCATAGATTAGATAGTGTATTATTAATGGGAGTCATTGCCAGCATTTGAAATCACTTCATGTCAAATTTGCATATTTGATTCGATCCGCCTATTAAGCACACTGCATTTATCGCATTAGCATGCATCACGACTGAAAAGACCCATAATATTAGACAATTAATTTATTACAGGATTTAGAGGGTGGATACGTAAGAAACATAATGCAGGTATAATACAATCTATAAGCGAGGAGGGTGGGTTTGGGGAACGAACTAAAGTTACAGTGATAATTGTTGCTGCTGTTGCAATTCTCTTTCTTCTCTCTCTTGTCTCCACTTTCCACCAAACTTTTGGACGACAGGGACACAGATAGAAAATACTACCAAGATCATCAAGGAGGCAAAAGTACTAGAATAACAAAATGTTAGGCCTCGTTACTATTGCAATGTGATGCTATTCAACTTACTATGACCATCCGTCACCAAGAGATCCTCTAATTTGGACACCAGTTAGTGAAAAGATCATACCACACATGTTGCGGGTAAAGTTATTGAGAGAGACAGCTATGGTTTTATAACAATTAGTATGGAAGCTGCTGCGAATGTCAATCATAACACTTACCAGAAGCAGCTCTTGATGTATTAGCTTCCACCAAGTAGGTATTTGTTGCAGAGATACTCATCATGAGGCCGAAACAGACTAATGAATATAAGAGTTGATCAGCACAACTGTGGCGTGTATTGTGAATAAGCAACTTACATAATCCAAACCCAATCAAAGGACCCATAAAGTGTACTCTGGCGTAAAGAAGCCAGCCGTAAATAAGAGCTCCAACAACCATAAATGGGAAACTAATGTAGATGGGCTTGAGACGAAACTCCTTGACAGCTACACCACCGTTCTTTCGAATGGAGTAATTGTTAATCTTGTCTGAGATGATACCATAGCCGACAGCACCCAGAATATTACCAACACCACTAGCCAAGAAGCAGAGACCGATTGTGCCAGATGAAAAGCCGTAGATTTCAGCAAAGGTAGGCGAAAGAATGGTGACAAGGTAGTAGAACCAGCCAAATCCAACACTGACAGGGAGACAGATGACAGCAGTTTCTTTTCTTTTCAATAGAAGCAAACTTGTGAACTACAAAAGACATGATGAGTGCTGATATTACAATTTGAAGAGCATCAGACTTACAGGGTTGAATGTGAGTCTTCTTAATCTTTCCTTGAGGTTGGCAGGAGGGGCAATTTGCTTGTCAGCGGGAACGTAGAGTGATTCAGGGATCAAGAGGAAACTGAGGATTGCAAATGCACCGCCAATGATGGTCTTGATGTAAAAGATCCATCTCCATCCCAAGTTTTGGTTGATAAAACCACCACAGACAGGAGCAATGGAAGGACCAAGAATTGTACCTAACATATAAAGACCCATAGTTCTTCCGCGTTCACGAGGCTCAAACATATCAGAGATGCTACCGCCACCGACAGCTTGACCAGCACTTGCAAAGATACTTTGTAACAATCTAAAGGCAAAGAAAAGGCCAAGGTTTGTAGAGACACCACACACAATGGAACACACACAGTAGAGAACAAGCGATACACTGTAGATCCATCTTCTGCCAATACGTTCACTCAAAGGTGCCCAGAAAAGAGGCTATAGAGAAATGTTAGGCTGGCTGATGATGCACACGCTGATAATTGGTACTTACAGCGATAGCATTAAATGCCAAATAAAGAGCAATGGTAGCATTGATGGTCTGATAGAGATCTTGTATTTAGTGAATGTTTATGAAGAGTTTCGAGATGAAATACTTACTGTGAGGTTGGTTTTAAAGTACACCATAATATCATGAACGGCAGGCATCTAATGAGCAATAAACGTCAGTAATTATGAAGCGCATATGCGAATATCAAGCTTACGTAGATGGCCGATGTAAAGTAGCCAATAAACGAATCAAGGGAGATTGCCAACAAGGCGAGATACTTTTTTCTCTCTGGCCAATTCTACAAAGTGAGAATGAACGTGAGTTGATCTGGATCATTGGGCTAAATAGAAAAGCAATTCACATACCACCGGATGATTGGGGTCGTCTTTAGGATTATAAGTTGGCGCTACAGCTTTATTGTCAATGTAAGATTCCACCTTGGCAACATCTTGTTGGTCATAGTTTGATAATGCAGTGCTATCACCACTAGAGTTGGATTCTGCAATTGAGTTTCCTATCATGTATGTTAGTCAAAGGTCAATTTCAAGCCAAGGTAACTGCAGTTTACCTTTCTTGTTTTTCTGATAATGCATATTGAAATATTTCTGATTTCGTAGATCACAAAATCAAGTTGACAAGGTCATCCTTTTTATATAGATTATACTTGATCTCGGACTTTGAAGCGTTTCAGCCATATAAATTATCCGTGCCGATTGCAGATCCCTTGAATTTGGTAGTAGTTATCTATAAAACACCATGTCAAAGGCGATGGAGCATCTTCAGAAACATTGTTATACAACATGGCAAGCTTTTTCAATTTGAGAAAGGAATTTGATATACATCAACATAGCAGGTCGACCATTTTTCACTTGATAAATACGACGCCGGCGTTGATTTATCCGTGATTAGAAATGCCTGCACATGATGAATGGACACAAGAATATATCCCATAAATGTCATAACCATTTAAAACGGATCAAAAAATACCTTGTTACGAAAATATACACATTTGGGAAGATCATTTACATCATATTACTGAATACAGATCAGCCAACGTGCCTCCTAACGCTTATCTTGGATCTGATTAGCAACATCAACTTGTTTAGTATGTGCACATTAGTGATTTGGATGCAGCTAGTTAGAGTAAGCCCAGAAAAATGATTTGCGAAAAAGACTTGTTATTTGATGAGATTACCTTGAAAAAATTGCCACCATACCATGAGCAGGTAAAGTTTCGGCATGGACATGGTTCGCCGCTATTTCGCGCTTACTCGGATCTTCAGTGTACAATCTCCAATTCCAATCATAGCCTAACTCCATAAATCCCCACTACCATTGGCATTGAAGCAGATCAGAATATTAGTAAGCCGCCCACTTTGGATATCATGTGCAAACTTGTCAATTTCATGCGATTGGGACAATACTTGGTAGCGAATCTGGGTCTGTCTATTGAATGCATAAATTGATCATTAGATCAAACAGTCATTCAAGTCGTCCAATCTTATAGTATTAATGCCATGTTGTGGTGGTATGACAAATAAACATTGGATCATTTTTCTGTCATTGGACTTTCCTGCTCATAAATTCTGATTTTTCACATTTAGCTTTTTTACTTTGCTGGGGACCATTCATAAATAGCTTCTTGTTGTCGATTTGACTCTTCTGAGATGTTTCACATCTGAATCAATGAAATCAATCCATACATGGGCCGACGCCATGCTTGGATTACCTCTTACTACTCAAAAAGTATGCAAAATACAGCGACATTTGGATGCATTTAAGTAGTAATTTTTCGCAATGAAGGCTGTTCTAGGCCACCAGAATAGCACCAAACGATTGCTTTCACCTAGCACTAACTTTCTGATACCGTTGCTCAACTTTTTAGACCAAAAAAAAAGATATGGCCAAAAATCGACCAAAAAGCATGAGGGATACCTCATGGTTTTCATTGAAAATCAAACGATCGCATTTTTCACCTTGAAAATGAAGACTTTTACTATGGTATATATTGAATCAAAATGCTTCCCTCTATCCAAAGCAACCTCTGAAGCTACTTTTATGAGGCTTTCATATGCAAAATATGGCTATTTTCGCTAAAAACCTCATTTCATATTTTATCAAATTGCTCAACAACTTCATTCAAAACACCTATTAGAATTAGCATCATTGGAGGCGCCTTGAAAAGTACTTCAAGAATGTATTAGGAAGCATAGGGGGGGTCATCACAATTTATATAGTCGAATATCATAAAACAGATTACAGAAGTCGAAAAAGGACGAAATCTGTCCAATCTTGAACAAAAAAAAACTGAGTTTGAATCAATTTTGGCGGCGGCATTGCTGCTGGCTGACCTAAATGCCTCTCTGTTGATGACAATGATGTTTGCAATGATGATTAAATGGGGATCATGGGATTGAAAGGACAATTGCTTAGCGCAAATGTGTTTTTTGGGGAGCTTTTTCTCATGAAGATGTCTTTTGCAATGACAATATCTCAAAAATTTCGCTGTAGATTTTACACAAGTCTTGTATTTGCGCATGATCAGCTTTATGTCGCCATCTTATTAAGAGCATCAGCAACAGTGAATGATATGGTAATTCTATTATCAGAAAATGGCGATTGTGGTGTGCAGATGCTGCATAAAATTTAAATTTGCTTTCATTTTGTCTCAATAATAGGCTTCGTTTTATATCAGTGTAAGCAAAAAGGGTGCTGAGGAAGATACCTCCTCTCCTCCTCCTTCTGGTTCTGATATAACCTTTCTTTTACTAATAATTGATTGTTTAAAATCTACTTGGTAAGTATAGTGGAGTAATTACAATTAGTTAATAAAGCCTATATAAAAGTACATCTATGCCGCTGTTGTTATTGCTGCGACTCTTTCTCTTCTCTTTCTCGTCTCCATTTTCCTCCAAATTTCTGAACCACAGGCACACAGACAGAGAATGTCACTAAGCACATTAGAGCAGCAAAGGTACTATAATAAAATTAGTTAGTTGATAAAAAAAAACAACATCAACTCAACTTACTAGGACCATCCATCGCCAAGAGACCCTCTGATCTGGACACCAGTCAATGAAAAGATCATACCACACATGTTACGAGTAAAATTATTGAGTGACACGGCTATTTGGACAAGGTTAGTATTGCACGGTCTATAGAATATGTTATAGAGTCTTACCTGAAGCAGCTCTGAATGTATTTGCTTCGATCAAGTATGTGTTTGTGGCAGAGATACTCACCATAAGGCCAAAGCTAAACAATCCAAATCCAATGAGGGGACCCATAAAGTGAGTATGTGAATGAAGAAGCCAGCCATATAGAAGAGAGCCCGCAACCATGCAAGGAAAACCAACATAGATGGGTCTCACACGGAACTCTTTGACAGCTACACCTCCGTTCTTTTGAATGGAGTAGCTGTTGATCTTGTCTGCTACGATACCAGAGAAAGCCGCACCAATGATATTGCCAACACCACTTGCTAGATAGCAAAGACCAATGGTTCCAGAGGAAAAATGGTAGATCTGGCCAAATGTTGGAGCAAGAATAGTGACAAGATAGTAAAACCAGCCAAATCCAATACTGACAGGAATACAGATGACAGCAGTTTCCTTTCTTTTCAATAGAAGTAAACTTGTAAACTATAAAATATCAGGTTAGTTGTATGGTGGCAGAGATGCGTGGGATATGTCAGGCTTACAGGATTAAATGTGAGTCTGCTTAATCTTTCCTTGAGGTTGGAAGGAGGAGGTAATTCCTTTCCAGTAGGAACATAGAGTGATTCAGGGATCAAGAAAAAGCTGGCAATGGCAAATGCACCGCCAATGATGGTCTTGATGTAAAAGATCCATCTCCATCCCAAGTTTTGGTTGATAAAACCACCACAGACAGGAGCAATGGAAGGACCAAGAATTGTACCTAACATATAAAGACCCATAGCTTTTCCACGTTCACGAGGCTCAAACATATCAGAGATGCTACCGCCACCGACAGCTTGACCAGCACTCGCAAAGATACTTTGTAACAATCTAAAGGCAAAGAAAAGGCCAAGGTTTGTAGAGACACCACACACAATGGAACACACACAGTAAAGAACAAGCGATACACTGTAGATCCATCTTCTGCCAATACGTTCACTCAAAGGCGCCCAAAAGAGAGGCTAGAAATAAAGTCGATATGTTATTAGAGTTGCTCAAACTGGCTAGTGACGCTACATACGGCAATGGCACTGAACGCCAAAAAGAGGGCAATGGTAGCATTGATTGTCTATATGAAGACATTCATCAGGTTTTTGTTAGCCACAAGGATCTATATTTAGACTATTTACATACAGTGAGGTTGGTTTGGAAATAGATCATAATGTCGGCAACAGCAGGCATCTGTGCATTGTATGTCAGAACTAATAACGTTGCCTATACATGTAGATCAAACTTACATAAATTGCAGAGGTAAAGTAACCAATAAATGAATCTAGAGAGATGGCTAATAGAGCAAGGTATTTCTTTCGTTCAGGCCAGTTCTGTGTATTACAATTGTATTAAGAGTTTGTTGTGGCATATCATTTAGCATTCAAATTACCCAGGGGTGATTTGGGTCATCTTTGGGATTGTAAGGCACACTTTTTTCAGTAACTTCTTTCACGTAGGATTCCACCTTGGCAATATCTCCATCTGCATAAGGTTCTGATGATATGGTGCTGTCGACGCTCGCATTTGATCTCATCACGTTTTTATCTGTAAACGATCATGTTTGTTACAATTTCAAAAGACATGATGTTTTCTTATCGCAAAATACCTGTTCCAGGGTATTTTTTAGAATCCATGTACCTAAATATAAAGGCAGGAAGTTCGAATTATCCTTTTATTTATAGGGATTTTGTGATCTTGTGTACCGTTGCAGATGTCGCTGTAGATTATCCGTATCCGTTTTGCTAGATTCAACAGATGTTTCCAATGTGCATGTAAATGCGGGAAAGAACATGACAAAGGCTTCCATATCAATTACAAAGATTGCTTTCATAGTGTCCTGCAATGCAATTGCTCTGCAGTCGAGTCAATACTGGTAGATTCAGATTTATTTTACTGAGGTTGTTTGTCTGTGTGGATCTGCAATGTAGCACAAAAATTTAAAATACGGGGTAAATTATCCGTTACCGTTGTAAGCTATACAGTTTATTTCTAAGACATTGTTATTTGGGAGTAGCAATCAGAGCACAATTTTCTAAACTTGTAGCAGAATCCACATAATAGACCAACTTTACATGAAAGCCAAATTGCTCGAGGTATTTAGCACGGCCAGCATCAATTACACGTTTACACTTGTATCCAATGCTTTCTCTCTCCTTATGATCCCTTCCAGAGAAATGGTTTCTAATATTAATTTAGTCAACAGGTACCACACAGCACACTGCACACTGCTTACGTTGTTTCGTCTGAATTGTCATCACCATCTTCATTGTTATTGGCATGCTCATCCTCCTCAGTAGATTCAGCGTCCGATTTCTTTGCTGTCTTGTTGCTTCCACCACTATGGCATGTCGCCCAACTTGTCATTTTGCACATTCTCTCGAATTCGATCTTTGACATGTTAATTGCCTTTAAATAGTCTTGATTGGGATACATTTCATAACGACAAATTTGGTGACAGCAAAGAGCAATAATGATGCCCTGAATTGGATCCGTTTGCCCCTTGAGTTTTTCAGTTTCAACATAGTTCATGAGACATTTGAGCGAAATGTCAGTTGCACAACCACACAGATGCTTTGAAACAGCCACCACCTTCTTGTTATTGTCAGCAATGCACTCCACTTTGGACAAATCCAAATCTTTGATATCAATCAATTGACGCTGCACTCGGGACTTGTTCTCAGAACGGCCTTGAAGTGTCAGATCAGTCTTGTTGCGCACACTCTTTCTGTCCAATAACAAATAGGTGGCCTCTCCATTCTCCTCATCCACTGCCGTCTTGACGTACAAGGACAGATCTCCCTTACCGGCACCAAATTCGACAAAACAAGCTGTCTTGTCCTTGAGCATGTTGTTCTTCTCCATGTGTCCCATCAGGGAGGATAGCTGATCTAAATGCTTGGTATTTTGTATGGTGCTTCTATAGATCGATGAGTGACGAGAGTGGGTTTACTGGTGAGGTATGCGTACCTTTTCTTTTCAGAGGAAGGATGTGTGAGTTGCTCCATGGGAATGGGTGCTACGTTGGCATCATAAGCGACAGTGACCTTGCTGATGATGGAATCCAAATCCTCTCTGGACAGCTCATGTAATTGCACTCTAGCAAGCCATGGCTGAACAAACATCTTTTGGTGAGAGTAGATGTTTCTTTGAAATTCCAGTTCCTCTTCTGAGAGTGGCAAGGTGCAGTTGATGTTGAGTGAATGACACACTGGCGGTTCTCTGGGTCTTGCATTGCATCTCGATTTCAAATGCTTTTCAAGGTCCTTTTCAAAAATGGTGCTGTGATGTGCATGTTGGCTTTCATGGCGGTCGCTTCGTATCGTGCTAAACACTTACTGTGAGTTGTCATAGGGACAGGGAATTCGTTTGGGCAATCCCTCCTTGTCAGGCTTCTCATTTAAATGCTCGCCACAATAGTTCAGGTCCTTTCTGGCAGGCAAGCCACAATATCTTCTCTTTCTGAGCACATAGTAGTGACCTGAAAAAATTTTCTTGTTAGCAACATTCTTACCATGGCATCTCGAATTAACTACACACATTGCTGTGGTTTTGTTGGCACAGGTGGTATAACAAAAGGCTCTTTGACCTTTTTGCTCTTTTTCTCGATGGGATCTTTAGGCATGATTGCAGTAAGCAAGAAAAAGAAGAAACAAAAAAAAATTAAAACAAAAAAAAGCTTTTTATATTTGAATTTCAAATCTTTTTCATAATGTCAAGAGAGACAAAAAAAAAAGACAAGATAAAGAACTATGAATTAAAATGAATTTAGTTCCAAGAAGAGGCAGGAGCAGTGTTGACATCCTCAGCCCAGTCAGAAGCACCAGCATCGGCTTGAGCAGACCATTCACCAGCTTGAGCGGCAAGACCAGCAGGTCCTTCAGCAGCGGAACCCTCAATGGTCCAGTCAGCTTCCTCAGTAGTAGCACCCCACTCGACGTTGGATTCCTCAGCAGCAGCAGCTTCCTCGTTCTCCTTCTCAATCTCCTCAGGGTCACGGTAGAAGAACATATCAACCATGACTTCCCAAGGGGTGGAGTAGTCCAAGGTACCGCGAAGACGGAGGACAGCACGAGCCAAGAGCCAGTAGATCAAACCAATAGCATGCTTGGCCTTGTTGTTGGTGGGGATAGCAAGGTCAACAAACTTGAGGTTGGCATCAGTGTCAGCAAGAGAGATGACGGGGACATTGACGTAAGAAGCTTCAAGAATGGCTTGGAAATCAGAACGAGGATCAGTACAGATAACCAAACGAGGTTCACGGAAAGAACGGGTAATGTAATTGGTGAAAGTACCGGGAGTGTAACGACCAACGATGGCTTCAGCACCAATGTAACGAGCAAACTTGAGAGCAGCACGATGACCATAAGGACGAGCAGAGACAACAACAATGTCTTGAGGGTTCTCAATAGCGGCAATAACACGAGCAGCCAAAATGAGCTTTTCCCAGGTCTTACCAATGTTGATCAAGTTGATACCTATTCACCATGCCTTAGCTTTTCATGCAATCCATGTTATTCTCATCAGTAATCTTACCATCAGCACGACGCTTATGGATATAAGGAGTCATACGAGTGTTGGCATTCTTGGTACCAATGTGGACTTGAGCAGACAACAAGAGTTGAATATCTTCCTCAGTAGGGTTCAAAACTGAAAAAAAAAAAAAAAAAAAAAAATGATGCTATTAGTAACAAAGATACTAGATACACTGGAAATTCACACAAGACTTACTAGAAGGGACGTGAGACATTTTTCAAATAGTTATTTTCAAGCGGACGGCTATCGTTAGTTTTCTGACAAGAGTTAAGGTGCAGAAGGGTTTATATGGTTTTTAGAAGGCCAAATAAGTCCAGGTGAAAAAGGAGGAAGTTTCATGGATTTGCAGTTCTGTTGTAGTTTTAAAATTTTTTCAAATCCTTCTTGTTTGTCCTCCCGATGGCTTGTTTTTTAAACGCCACAATATCTCACAATACGCATTGTCGTATAAACAAACCTAATCTACAAATCAAACAGTTGTTGTCATAGTTACCAATACAATAACCATTGATATAATAAATTTATATTGCATTAGAGTAGCAGATCTTGGTACTAGAATGTGTAATGATGACTATTCGACGGTGATTGCATTTGAACCCCTAAAAGCTGGATGAGTTGATCTGGATGTATCACGACCTATAGGAAGGTTTAGATACCGGGTAGCATTCAAACGTTAACAACAACATCTTAGGGCAAACAAATCAACTAGTCGAACGCAAGAACAAATGACAGAGACGGCAAAGCAATAAATCAACAGCGAGCGCCATATCTCTGAATACAAGAATTGCATGTCGGCTGGATAGTTTCTGGCTAAATAACAGATAGAACTGAGTGTGGACTCATCCTACAGATGCTCACTTTTCAGCTTTTCTACAACTTCAAAAGCACTCTATGAACAGCCTGTGGCTGTAAATCTGACTCTTATACGATGCTTTACATTTGAATCAATAAAATCAATTTATATAAGGGCTCACAACATACTTACATCGTCTGCCTTTACTCAAAAGTGTGCAAAATACAGCGAAATTTGGGCGCATTTGGACAGCAATTTCTCGCGATAAAAGCTGCTTTGGGCCACCAGAATAGCACCAAACAATTGCTTTCACCTAGCACTACCTTTCTAACACCTTTGCTCAACTTTTTGGGGATCAAAAAAACATGAACAAAATTTGACCAAAAAGCATGAGGTACCCCTCATGGTTTTCATCAAAATTCAAACGATCGCATTTTTTACCCTGAAAATGAAGACCTTTACTATGGTATATATTACATCAAAATGTTTCTATCAATCTAATGTAGCCCCTGAAATCATCTTTGTGAAACTTTGGTATGCAAAATCTCGACTTTTTGGCCAGAAACCTCTTTTCATGTTTTCATAAATTGCTCAATAAGTTTATTCAAAATGCATTGTTTAAATAACACTATTAGACGCGCCTTGAAAAGTACTCCTAAAATGCATTAGGAGATTTAGGGTGATCATCACAATTCGCATAGTCAAATCTTGTAGAATAGATTAAACAGATCGATTTTGTTCAAAGTTCGACCAATCTTGAAAATATTATTATGTCGGAAATTAAAATAGGGCTGGCTGCCCAAATGCCTTTTTGATGAATGCAATGATGATTTTGAAGCTGATAAGAAGAGGATTGCAAATTGAAAATAATTGCTATTTACCATGCAAACCCTAATGTAGAATGTAAAGAATGTTATCCTGTACAAAAAATGCAGTCAGAGCTTCTACTTTGAGCCTTCGTTGAGATGTACTGTAATCAAACTTCAAAATAGTGTGAGGCTAGAAGACTGCTGAATAGACCATATAGCCCCATAAACCAAGCTCATAGCTCATGTTGTTGTAAATCAAGTTAGATTTAGATGAGATAGTGCGCAATTAGACTAGCAATTAACCTAAAGTGATGCGTCTCTTGCATGGATGACAGCTGTATTATAAATCTTCAAAATTACTCAAAATGGCAAAAAAGTGATCCTATATTTAAATGTTTGAGCATGAACAATGGCTATATTTAATCATTGAAAGGGGCTCTTTTTGACGCGCAGATGCTCAGCGGAATCATTGCCCGGGAATACTAGCATTTCATGTCGAATAATAGACAACTTCATAGTAGTAAGACTACTGTTTAGCAAGCCAAACCGATTGAAGTGTTCATGTGTACGTAATGAGGCACTGTATGCATACACATCTGTTGAGCCCATTACTTTTTCTACTCAACTGACGTTCATAAAAAGGTTTATTACTTGACAGAAGCTTCACCCGAGCTTCATGCACGCATTCGCCAACTTTGTTGGGCCAACAAATTCATCTCTGTTATCTAGATAAGCAATAGCAAGACGCATTAATGAATCATTATTGTGTGCATGTTGAGTGCTATGTATATTGGTACACACACGTATTGCTACAAAATGTACATATTTTAGCTATCAACCTATAGACTTAAATCTCTTTAGACAAACTTTTTTGCTCAATGATTGTGTCTTGTTGAGAAACGTGTAAGCAATTTCCAACAAGTGCTAATTGTATTGGAGCTAAAAACGTGCTACTACATTAACAAAGGATCTGAAAACAGCATAATGATCAGATCAACATTTCAGGTATAAAAGGGTAGCCAATTCAGATGGAAAAAAAAAAGATACTTTCTTCAAGGTTGCTTCCAAGTCTGAAAAGGCCAAGTCGAAGATGGCCACGAAGAAGAAGCATGGGTAATGCAAGAAGCACCTCAATAATTGCATGTAAAGCAGCATCGTTAACAAACATTTAGCACCGATACAGTACAGCATTTTGAATGACTAAAACTACAGTGGTTTTTTTTTTATTATTAAATATTAGTATGTATAAATGTATTATGATTGACGTCTATGTCTCTTGTTATTCATTCTCATAAAGCAGCTTTTCAAAAACGATGTGTATTCACCAAATTCTTTCATCTTTTGCTTTTTGACTCTCTTTTCATGCAATTCCAAATGTCTTCCCTTGGCCACTACATTAGGGAACCACCATTGACAAACAAACGTAATCAGATACCGAGGCAAAAATGCAACCACAATAGCTAAAAAGAAGGTCATCCAGAATGACCATGAACCAAACACCATTTGGGCCATGCCATACATAGAAACAGAGGGGAAAGCACCGTATATCACCACCCACAAGAATGTCAGCAAAATTTCAATACCAATAAATGTAAATTGCCACCAGGTCCAGTAGTATGTATTAAAACCAGGCATCAAATTAGCCAGCACAATCACTGTAACAGCAACCGACGTAGACATCTGGAGCATGGATTCAGAGCGACCATTCGCATTAGGGTTTCCTCCTATCCACAGGAAATAAAAGGCATAAAACACAACAACCGATTGCCAAATGCCATCGAAAAAGTAGAGCCAGAATCTGGATTTGGTATACAGCTTTCCTCGTACCGTGTAGATGTAAGGGAGATGCTTCAAATAAGGCGAGGTGAGATCCTGGTCAGTAGCACCAATAATGACAACAGGGGCGACGGTAAAGATGATATTGTACAGTTGAAGGAACGAATAGTCGTAAAAGATGTTGCCAGACCAATCACTGTAGATTTGATACCACAGAGATGGAAACACCCAAAATACGTTCTTGAAGAAGAAGGTGAGAATCATCTCAGAGACACGGTGATAACTCCAATGGCCCTGTACCAGCAGCAGCTTGTGAAGGAAACGGAATTGCGAAATGGCATAGTCAGCAGCCATAGACGCTTGCACACCTTCTTGACCAGCAATACCGACACCCACATTTGCCACCTGAATCATGCTCACGTCATTTGCTCCATCACCCACTGCCAATGTCACTACATTATGGTATTTGCGCACCAATTGAACAACCAGTGCCTTTTGCAGCGGACTGACACGACAGCACACCACACTCTTGCAGCGAATAGCAATATCCAGCAGCTTCTCTTTAGCCTCTGACGACTCGAATATGTGCACCAGAGCGGAACCTTCAATCACAAGCGCATTCTCTTTCATGGGAACATCATGGTTTTCTTCCTGCTCGTATTTGGCCTCTATATCGTCGAGTTTATCACTGGTATCCGCCAAGGTTTGCATGACCTTGTCTGCTTCATCTTCACCACGCACTTTCCATAGCCTCATGTCACCATCCAGCAAATTGCTCGCATAGCCAATGTTGATGGCAGTCTCCAGCTTATCGCCTGTCAAAACCCAAATCTTGATACCCGCTTTACGGAGATCTTCAATACATTGCGGCACACCGTCCTGCAACTTGTCTTCAATACCAGTGGCACCCAGCAGTTTGAGATTGACTTCAATCTTTTCCTGTGCTTCGGCAATGCGCTCAGATCGCTTTTCAGCTGCTGTACTTGCATCGTCCATCTCTTTTTTCCAGTCATCGTACTCGTTCTGATCCAGAATACGATACGACAACAAGAGCGTTCGTAAGCCGTTCTCTGAAAAGGCGCCAATATCATCAAACGTCTTGTCTACAATGTCGCCGCCTTGCTCTTTATCCAAACGATCGCCAATCACATTGTCAGCACCCTTGCAGTACAAGATAATGTCGTTCCAAGGAGCAGGTCGACGCAAAATGACGCTCATGCGCTTTCTGTCCGAGTTGAATTCAAGCACATGAAGCAGCTCAAACTCGTATTCTTTTCCCAACACATCCACAGTGAGTTTGTTGCCCTTGCGCTTGATGAAGGCGAATCCTGCGTTCTTGGCTGCATTGACGAGAGCTGCTTCGTCAGGGGATTCTGCCTTGTAATCAATCTGAGTCTTGACAGTGTCATCTACGCGGTCAGGGGTTTGGTTTTCTTCAGTGATGGTATTAAACTCTTCGCCTCGACTCCGTGTGCGCTTCAAACTGTTGCTGCCGCCGTCATCCTTGTGCTTCTTCAAGTGCCGTAATCCAGGTACTTGCAATAGCTTAGCACCGCCAGACCGCACCTTGAATGTGAGCCCCTTTTTTTCATCCTTCTTTTGGCTGTCGTCGATAGAGGAATTGCTGGAATCCACATGCTCTACTTGCTCAACCTCCTGATAGTGTCTACCGGTCAGTTTGCCAAACTTCTTAGTCTTGGTGTCCGCAATGCTGCTTTCATCAATCTTGGGCTGCTGCGTTTTGTCGGTTTCGTCGTCCTCGTCGTCTTCCTCGTCCTCAATGACTTTACCGTCTTTACCAATCTTTTCAACCATAACAGTATGACACAATGCAAGCAACATAAAAAACTCCTTGATATGCGTCGATTGATCATCTGCCTTATCAGATCCCATCTCGGATGATCCAATGTCCTTGAATATTTGAGGGTCTGCAAATGACAGCTTGTCAGGATTGAGCGATGAATAACTGGGTTCAAAAACGTCTTTTAGTGCTGCTTCATAATCTTTGATGATCTCCTGTCGTTGCTGCTTGTTGTCCTGGTCTGCTTTCTTTTCATCGTTGCTGTCAAAAGGGTCTTCGTCCGTGTTGATCATGTTGGGAGAAGATGACTGGTCCTGCTGGTCAACAACTGGGCGAGAAGAGCTTTCTTCGTCATGGTGGTTAGACTGGGCATTCTCCTTTTCTTTGCGCAGACGAGCACCACGGGCACCCTCTGATTCTGGAGAGAACCCATTGTCGCCATAGCGAGTACCGCCAATAGTGCACTCTCTGAATTCCATGATATTTCGTGTCAGTGTGCCTGTCTTGTCAGAAAAGATGTATTCCACTTGTCCAAGATCATCAGATAAAGTCCACTGTGCGATAACAGGGTGAGTCGCCCACTTATATTAATGTGCATTGTACTTACAGTCTTTGGTACGCATGATTTCTTGGACTGTTCGTCCCACATATCCAAATCATTCCATATAAAAAAGGCCTAATAGAGTCGTCAGTAAGTCAAGGGCCTTACACTGGTACTTGGAAGCGACTAATTACCTGGAATGTCTTTACAAATTCAATAGATACATATAGTGAGATTGGTATAATGTTCTGGAAAATAATCAAACTAGACCAAAAGTTGACAAAGCCCACGTAGCCAGGAGAGCCTGTCTGTGCTGTGAAGAGCTCTGCAGCAGCACTGGACATGGTGCGGTATCGCATAACACCAGCCATGATGGCACAGATCAGACACAAGATGAACAGCACGGCAAAAGCAACGAAAATCTGTCCTTCCACGTCAGTAAAAAAAAAAAAAAAAAAAACGGCTACTCTGCAATCATGAACCTTACCTCCTTGTTCATCGCCTTGTCGACTTGGCTTCTTTTGCTAGGTGTTTCGCCAGAATTCAGCATGATCTTTGTATCTGTGCCTGTAAACAAGACGACTGCAATAGCCCATTTGGTATTTCGGACGACATGACCACGCAACAAGATGTTTTCAATTTCAATGGGTGTCTTGCTCTTCTTGGTCCACTGCTGCTCTCCAGACTTGGCCAGTGTCACCAACGTGCCCTGAAATTTGTAAAGATCAGGCGAAGGGGCGCCCGCTTCTACATAGAAATGACACTCATTCAAGCAATCGGCACCAGATTGGATGTGCTTTAGCTCTTGGACGCTGCTGCGAGACTTTAAATTGGTTTCGCCATCTAAATCCTTGGTTTCGACAAAGCAGATACCTTCCTTATCAGAGGTGGACAGTAAGATGGCATCTGCAGGTAAACTATCTCCGTTTCGCAGTAATATGAAATCGCCCACTCGGACATCTTTGGATAATGATTTAGTGAATACATCGGCCGATCCAGAGGATGACGACGATGAATGGTATTGTGCTTGGCTGTGGGATGTGCCTTCATGGAACATGGCTTGCTGCTTTTCGTTGGGCTGACCTGTATGTTGCTGTGGTAATGATGATGATGATTTTGACTTTCTAAACCATGATATGGTACTGCTTGTTGGCTCTGGATAGTTTGCATTGTGATAGCCATTCAGCGTATGAGTGATGTTTTGGTTGTATTGCTCGTCTACCTTGTGCCGCTGGAAATCCTCGATAGCGTCTTTGAGAGCAGTGATGATTACGACTGTACAGATGGGCAGCAAGGTCAAAACAGGTGATTTGACCCCAAACATGGGGAGCATTTGGATGATGGCCATGGCCAAGAAATACATGTTGGCTGGCCTGCGAAATTGCTCAAAGAGATTCTTGGGAACAAACGAAATGATGGTGTATTTCGATGTTCTGATCTTGTTGGAGGCATAGGTGTGCCTTGGCTTGCCCTTGCTAGTTAATTCATATTCGGGAAGGGGTAAATTGACAAACACTCGACGCCCATCACTGCCAATCTTTCGCAACTTGACACTTGTTTCGGTGCGTTGTATCGAAGGTCTACGCTGCTGTTGCTGCTCGTCTGATGGCTGCAGTGAGTGTGAGCTGGAGCTTCTAAACGATGCCTGCGATTTTCGTCGTATTTCTTCGTAGATTTGATCTCGTTTGTTGGGTGCATTACTATCATTGTCTAAATCAGTCTTATTTTCTCGAGAAAGCCAACCAATTGACCATGGCTTTTTCCGCATGTTTGTGTGTCAGTGTGATTATGTTTGTTTGTCTAGGCAACAAGCGCCAAAAAAGTATACAAACACAAGTAGTGCTATAAAAAGAGAAAGGAAGAAAGAGATGAAAAGAAATCAAGTTGGCTTTAATCTTACGAGGTGAATAAATATCTCTCTTTTTTTTTGAGTAACAGTTGCGTCTTAAAATGGTTTGGAAAGTGTGCTGCTTTCTATCATTTCATGACGGGGTTTCAGCATGTGTTGGTAGCTTACATCAAATGTAAAGCTGTTGGGGATAAGCTTGAACTAATGCCACCGAGAAGATAATAGCTAAAACCGATATCTCGTTTTTTATACTATTAGGATCTCTGAATGATCCAGCAAACACCTACAACATTGAATGAAACAAATGTTGCGGAACCTTATTTTGTGTGATCCTCCAAAAAGTGATTATTATGCTGCACTGTTATCGTTCAACAGAGAAAGAGTCAATTTCTAAATGCGCAACATGAAGCGGGAGGAGGAAAGTATCGTGACACACGCTTGTGCCTCTCTCTCTCTCTCTCTCATTTTACCCTTACCCATCAAATTTAGACAATTTATCGCATCATATGTCAACTACACGTCATTGCAATTAAGCTTGGCAAATGCTGCTTTAATACTAGGTGTGCATTGGTGCAAATAGGTTACACACATCCATGTCAAGGCGTTGCTTATTTGAGCTAGAATACCAGGACAGTGCCAATGGCCATCAACAGTACATAGCAAGCGGACGCAGTAATAGACGATCTCTCATTAGACTTGGATGTCACATTTGCCTCCTTCTCTTCGGTTGCTTGTGGCGTTCGATCGGGTGGAGCATCATGTGTGTTGTAACACATGTTTGAATTCAGAGATGTAGATGCACTATATACGGATCGCAATGAGTACCATGTCCTTTGCCTACGTTTATATTAGAGATATAATAAGCCATCACCGCCATTATAGACTATCTGCAGTGTCGCCTTTGTGCCATCTCGTACATCACTGCCAAATTCAGATGGCAAACAAGCTGCCTGAGGGGATGTGCGTCTGTCGTCTGTCAATTGGCGAAGGTTTGATGGGTTAAAGTCATCAGCATTGGGCTTGTCATTGCACAGGGCCAATGTGGAATAATACAACAGTGCGCGAGTGGGCATCGTTTCAAGGTGATTAACAGAAGCTTCAAAGCCTCGTCTTGCCAACGGGCATGCTTTCTCCTCTTTTTATAAGCTTTTGTTCGTCGCGACATTTTGGCGTTTCTTGTTTTCTTGACTGGATATTTGTATAACACATCTTTACCTATTTTGTCTCCAATAGACGCTTCAACCGCTGTAGATTCTACTAATTCGGTGGTTTCTAAAGCTTAGATTTCAATGTATTATTCGGATAAATGAGAGCTGAGCACGGGCTATTCTAGACAACCTCAAAGAACTTGCACTTGTTACTTGAGCCAGGACTTCTTAAAGGATGCGCTATAGTGCACTCGTACTCAGACTTTGCAATGATGCGTGGGGTTTGCTCAAAGCATTTCATCTGTTCTCGATGCATTTATTTCTGAGTGGTAGTGTGATGTGGAAGAGCGAGCACAGGTCTGAGCCATTACAGTGATCCCACACATTAACTGACATTCAGCCTCCTTTAACCGACACTGAAGGTCATTTGATCAATACGGGGCAATCAATTAGGCTATACATATTAGGTGCGTGTGTGTATCACCCGTCATTGACTTTTACTGCTATCCAAGCAAGCCTTGCATTACGTAATGTCCACACATGTGCTACAGACATGTTTGTCTTGTTGACAAGCACCTTGATACATGAATGTAGTGTGGGATTACACATGAACCCAAGTGTTGGGAGCAAATCATTGCTAAAAGACATTTATAAGTTTGTCAAAGGGATCCAGTTTATACTCGACAATATCCACCCACCAGCTACGCAATCTTCATATTATATCACGAGGAACTGGCGCTAAACAAGAGAGAAATGTTTACCCCACATGAATAGCATAAAATGTTGCTACATGGAAAATATGCGTTTTTATCTCTCTTTCTTTACTTTAGTTCTTTTTGTATATTTCCCGAAAACATCAAATTCCTTGTATCAATTCAACATTACATTCATCATGATACAGGCAATTGTTATCCTCATGGGCTTCCTACTCGCATCGACAGTGTGCAGTTATCGCATTGGCACTGGTATATCCGATATTACTGGACCTGTGGCACAGGTAATGTTGATGGGGTATGCTGAAATGGGCCAGACAGGGCAGGGAATCCTACAACGCTTATGGGCTCGATCATTCATCGTGCAGGACGGCAATAATCGCATCGTGTTTGTGAATACCGATACACAGTCGATGGGCGATATCATCAAGAAACGGGTGGTTGATGCACTCAGGGTCAAGTATGGGCCTTTGTACACCGAACACAATGTCATGATATCCAGCACACATTCGCATAGTGGCATGGGCGGCTACTTGCAATATAGTAAGTACTCGCAGCGAGACGCAGTAGCATGTCAACTGACACAGATTTGCAAGCTTTGTATGAATTTGCCGCTTTAGGCTGGATTGAAGAAACAGCAAAACCCATGGTAGACGGTATACTGCAGTCCATCATCAATGCACATGACGACCTTGAAGACGGATCACTTGCGCTTTCTCAGGGGGAACTATTAAACACAAACATCAACAGATCGCCACAAGCCTATCTGATGAACCCCGAACAAGAGAGATCATATTACAAATACGATGTGGACAAAACCATGACATTATTAAGTTTCAAGAACGAAGCAGGTGATGGCTTGGGGCTCATCAGTTGGTTCCCTGTACATGGCGTCTCTGTCAATAATACCAACAAATTAGTCAACGGAGACAACAAGGGCTATGCCGCCTATCTTACAGAAAAAATGGTCAATCAAGGAAAATATGGCAATGGCCAATTTGTGGCTGCATTCGCTCAAAGTAATGAGGGCGATGTGAGCCCCAACACACTGGGAGCTTATTGCACAGGAACTGACATACCTTGTGACGGAACTCGCGACTCGAAATGCCCCAATGGTAGCAAATGTATTGGCAGGTAACACCATACACATTGACCGTCATGCCTCTTTTTTAATATTCAAACTCACTATTATGCATAAAAAAAAGGGGCCCTGCTTGGCCAAAGAGTGATTTGCAATCAAATCGCATCATTGGCGAATACCAAGCTTTCAAGGCTTTAGAGTTATACCATGCCAGACTCTCAGCACAACCTGTGCAAGGAAAGATCGACTTTGTTCAACGCTACTGGGACATTACTCAATCCGTTGTTACGGATGAGAACGGCAACCAGCACCAATTATGCTATCCGGCTATGGTAAATAAGTGTAAAAAGGAGACAATGATGATACCATGTCACTCACTGTCATTCATTTAGGGTTATGCTTTCGGTAAGATCATGCATTGTCATAGGCATAGTATGCACATGTTACTCATGCTTATAAAACAGCTGCTGGAACGACGGACGGCCCTGCCATGAATGGATTCTATCAGAATACAACAAGAGGCACCTTTGGATGGAATCTGATTAAAAATATCATACAGAAACCCACAGAATCACAAAAGCAATGTCAATCACCCAAGCCCATTCTTTTAGACACAGGAGAGATTGGAACTCTGCATCCTTGGCAGCCAGAGATACTCGACATTCAGCTGTTTCGCATTGGAAATGTGTTTATTTATGCAGTGCCTTCAGAGTTCACGACCATGAGCGGAAGGCGGCTAAGAGAATCCATCAAAAAGTCATTGATTCAGCATCAGTTGGGCGATCATGAAACTACCGTGATTCACTCTGGACCTGCAAACGGTTATGCGGTACGTGCAAGAGACTTCAGTGGCAATCATGAGTCTAAACAGTTGCATTTAGTCATATTGCACAACATTTGAAGAATATCAGCATCAACGTTATGAAGGAGCCTCAGTAAAGTGTTATTGCATCAGGTACTGTGCTGCTATATGTACTGACTATGAATATCTATAGACACCTTATGGGCCATATACATTGCAGGCCTACATGGAGGCCTTTGATGAACTGGTGTACATGATGGCAAATCCCAACAACCATAGTGTGAAATCAGAGGAGCTACCAGACTACACTAAGCAAGGCTTCAATTTCTCTCCTCGTTATAGATCCGATCAGCCTCATATATTCCGTTCTTTTGGAGATGTTCTTCAGGATGTATCTGCATATTACAGCAAAAGATTATTGTCTGTGCCGTTCGTCGTTTCGGCTACTTTTGTTGCAGGCAATCCTCGCAATGATCCTATGCTTAACAAGTCGTTTTTAACAGTCGAGAAAAAAGTAGACCGAGATCAATGGAGAGTGATCAGAACAGACAATGACTATGATACCAGGTACGGTTTGTCTAACTGTATGCTTCACTTGAATTTAAAGCTGACAATCTGGTTAGATTTATTTGGAAATACAAGCATCAATTGCTAGGCATATCAGAAGCTACCATAGAATGGCATGTATCAAACAATGTAGAGCCTGGCATTTATCGCTTGGGATACTTTGGAAACAGTAGATCCGCATTTAGCAAGTAAGTTCAAATTCAATAGAGATTCCAAACAGTAATGCCCATTCCTATCTTGCAGAAAAATTGTGCCACACAGCGGTTATTCGAGTGAATTCGAGATTAGCAACATGTATTAGTAGTAAATCATTGTACAACCTATTAGATACCATCATACAGCATCAGGTGCCATTTTATAAATAAATACGTTCATTCTTCTTCCATGATAGTTTGATTCTAAATCAGCTTGAATGCCGCCACCAATTCATGCGTATCATGCAATCCCATACCAAAAACCACATACAAGCAACCCTCCTCCAGATCCCTAACTTCAGAATACTCAACTTGTTGCTTTATTATAACATGTAAAAAAAAAAGAGTTGCATTGTTGCTGATTTTGCTGATATTCATCATAGTTCAGTTTCGAGACGTGTGTATGATTTGCTGTTGAAGTTGTTGTAATTGTTATTGTTGATTGCGTCCGTCTAGTATCGCATCAGGTTGCATGTAGAATGTGCATGTATAAAAGTATATATATATATATATATATATATATATATAGAAAGAGGTGAAAGTGTGGATGAGTATATTTAATCGACAATCAAATCCTTGACATCCCAATCTTCAAAGGTTTGATCAGGAAGAAAACGTCTAACAATAAGAGGGACCTTCTTTTCTCGTAATTCCTTCATAGCAATCACCAATGCATCGGATTCTCCATCAAGTTCAACCATGACAGGAGCATTTAAACTAGCAATGGTGTTAGTACGCAATCACATCTATGTGATTACAAAAAATCATATACCTGATTTGAAGTGCACGAGTGCCTAGAATTCTTGCTCTTTCATATCTTGTCATATAAGGAGTTGTTTGCTTCACTTTGCTCTCTGTAGACACAACCTCATTTCCTTTCTCGAGAATCATGACATTGTCTTGTTCGCCCATCTGCCAACGACACAGTTAGCATCTATCTATACATTTTCATGAATGAAGCATGTCCACTTACGGTGATACTAAGATGAGCAATAAGTTAGTATAAGCTTTTATTTTAAATCATTTTACTGTGCTAATTCTTACTCTTGGTTTGACATTGTTCGCTTTTTAAGTTGCTGGAGCAATGGTAGTAAGAAATGTAATGATGAATGTCAGGTTGATGTTACAGAAAAAAAAATTTACAAGCCTCTGCTGTGACATTTTTTCATTGTCATGCTACATTTCACGTTCCTGGATCTTCTTAAAATCATGTTGATCGCTTTTTCCAATGATAGTTCACATAATAAACTCGGCCATTTGCAAGGGACGAGCCAAGAAACATGCCAATGGAATACCAAAGAGGCTTTGAAGGTGCAAGATTGACCGAGAATTAGACATATAGATGATCCCATCATCAAATGATACGAGCTTTTCGAAACTTCGGGTGATTTCATGACCTACGCTTCGCTTTGGTGGAAAACAACCCGCGTTCAAGTGGCTCGCTCTGCCACGAGCCTTTGGTTAATATCGAAAAATTAATATAGCTAAAATGCTAGAAAAACCTTGATTGTTGATTGATATAAAATCACTAATCATATGAGTGTTTATTCTTCGGATGGTTCTCTACCTTCGCTTCGCTTCGGTGAGAACCAACCTGCGCAGCGGCAGCTCGAGCTACCGGTTGCCCTTGCGTATCTTATCAAAATACTACTACTTTTACGTTGACTCTCTACTTACACATGAAAACACTTTATATTATGTGTGGATCTGATTCTTATGTGATGCTCTACATCCATATACACATAGTTATTTCATATACGGGCAAGTATCATACAGATATTATCCCTTTTAGTCAAGAGTGTGCCTAATACAGCAAAATATAAGTGCATTTGAGCTGCATTTTCTCGCGTTCAAGGCCGTTTTAGATCGTCAAAATAGTACCAAATAGCTGCTCTCATCTGACAGTTACTTTTTGACACCTTTGCTCAACTTTTTGAGGACCCAAAAAACAAGGCCAAAAATCGACCAAAAAGCATGAGGTTCCCCTCATGGTTTTCGTCGAAAATTAAATGATCGCATTTTTCACCTTGATAATGAAGACTTTTACTATGGTATATATTGAATCAAAATGTTTCTATCGATCTAACGTAACTCTTGAAATCATCTTCGTGGGACTTTGATATGTAAAATTTCGACATTTTGGCCAGAAACCTCTTTTCATATTTTCGTAATTTACTCGATACGTTTACTCAAAACATCTATCTTATTGGGTATCATTGAGTGCGCCTTGAAAAGTACTCCAAGAAAGCTTAAAGAGGCATTTTTTTTTTTTTTTGTAGGGGAGACGAGCTCCAGTTTTTATTTAAAGTCCTGTAAATGTCGCTATGAGTGATAGACAAGACTGTTGATGGACCCAATGTCAGTCATGATGGGGAATAAATTATGGAAAGGAAGTTGGGAAAGAAATCTACTACAAATAAGGTGGGCACTTAGAGCCAATACAATCATGCTAAGTTGTCATACAGAGATACTGGATAAGAGAACATTCACCAAACGAGGACATCAGTACGACCGTAAATAATTAATCAAAATGCGTTCACTGGGATTTGAACCGGGATCCTCCCGTTGGCATACGGGAGTTTTACCACTTCGCCCTACCACCAGGGGCAGCTTAAAGAGGCATAGGATGATTATCATACCTTACTTAGTCGAATCTGCTAAAATAGTTCAGTCGAGTCGAAAACCATCAGAATTTGACCAATCTGAAACTGACTATGATTTTGGGTTTGAATTAATTTTGGCTGGTGGGGCTGGCTCATAAACTCAATGCCCTTTCCATCATGAAGACAATACAGTAATAGATGCTTTTGAAGCGTATGGAAAGTAGGTGGCAAGTCATATCACTAGTGTTAATTATGCTTATTTTTTTTTCATTCTATATTTAATAACGCTAGTCTTGACACTGACGATTCATGGTCTGCATAACATGTCTGCAGTAAATAGGGAAGAAATCTCTGAGACTTTAGGTCGACGTTCAAAGAAAATGTTGACAGCATTGAGCAGAGGAAAGAGGGCAGAAATAACAGTGGTTTTTATTGATTGATTGTAAAATCAATAATCATATATGAGCCAGGCCTGACAGATGCTTAGAAATTTAGTTTTCATATTAGGGTTGTAAAAGTGTCTAGGGACTCAACATTTATTATGTTATGATGATTGACTTTTCTACTTGCAAACATGAAGTAGATCATAACTAGCCGATCGATATCGCTACGCTCCATGACGACATCATTCTGCGGGCTCTCGCCTAAGGCATTATAAATCAGAGATAATAAACATTTGGGTATATCAGGTAGATTTTAAACAAGCAATTGATAGTAAAAAAAAAAGAAAGGTTATATCAGAGTTAAAAAGGGGAGGATCCCTCTGTGCATTTCCCCACCCCTTTGCCTATACACGGTTATCTAACGAAAGCTACTATTGAGGCAATGTAAAGCAGAGTTCAAGTTTTATGCAGCATTCGTATACCGCATTCTCCATTCGTATCACATTTTTCTGATAATAGAATTGCCACATCATTCGCTGATGTTGCTCTTAAGATGCGACATAAAGCTAGCCATGCGTAATTACACGACTTGTAGAAGATGTACAGCGACTTTTTTTGAGAGATTGTCATTGCAAAAGACTCCTCTATAGGGAAAACCCTGAACAAGAGCAAATAAAAAAGTATTCAAGCTAAGCAATTGTTATTTCAAATTCATGATCTCCATTTAATCACCATCGCAATCATCATTGTCCTCATCAGAAAGGCGTTTGGACCAGCCAGCAGCAGCGCCGCCTGCCGCTGCCGCCAAAATTAATTTAAATGCAGTATATTTTCTCTATTCAAGATTGGACAAATTTCGTCTTTTGTCGACTTCGTTAATCTACTTTGTGAGACTCGACTATATAAACTGTGATGATCACCATATGCTTCCTAATACAACGTCCGTGGTGGTAGGGCGAAGTGGTTAAGCATCCAACATGCCATCTGGATGATCCCGGTTCAAATCTCAGTGAATGCATTTTTGGTAATTATTTTGACGTAGTACTGATGTCCTCGTTTGGTGTTTTGTGCTCTTATTCAGTATCTATATTTTGACGATTCGCATGATTGTATTGGCTCTAGGTGTCGCACCTGATTAGTAGTAGATTTCTTTCCCAACTTAATTCAAAAAATATCTTATTCCCCATCATTGCAGACATTGGGTCCACCAACAGTCTTTTCTTTCCCTCAGTATGACATTTTAAGGACTTTAAATAAAACCTAGAGCTCGACTTCCCTACAAAAAAAAAAAAAAAAGCTTCCTAATACATTCTTGAAGTACTTTTCAAGGCGCTTCCAATGGTGCTAATTATAACAGGTGTTTTGAATGGACTTATTGAGCAATTCCAAAAAATATGAATTAAGGTTTTTGGCCAAAATGTCGAAATTTTGCATATGAAGACCTCATAAAAGTGGTTTCAGAGGTTGCTTTGGATCGAGAGAAACGTTTTGATTGAATATATACCATAGTAAAAGTCTTCATTTTTAAGGTGAAGAATGCGATCGTTTGATTTTCGATGAAAAGCATGAGGAGTACCTCATGCTTTTTGGTCATGTTTTTTGGGTCCTTAAAAAGTTGAGCAAAGGTGACAGGAAGTTACTGTTACTCAAGTACAATTGTTTGGCGGCATTCCAACGGCTCAGAGAGGTCTATATGTTGAGATATGAAGGCTTGAAAGCTGTCAGATTTGCAATGCTTTTGCTTTATAGCTCTTATTTACACAGCATGAACCACATCCTTAGTAGATGAAATCTTCTGGAAGGACAGTACTGTAGCCTGTGCAATTCCTAAAATTCGAATCGGGACATATTGATTTTGGTAAAGCTAATTCATGTGTCATGTTGTTGGTAAACTTATTAATAATGGATATGAAAAACCGAATTTGCTGCTTGAATACTATAGCTTTGCGCCCTCGCTACAGTAAGACGCTCATTAAGGCCAATGCTATCAAATGTTGGATTAGGCACTTAGCTGCTATGGTTTTGCATCTTCGCTTCGCTACGGGAAACCCCCCTTATAGGTTAATGTTACCAAATGTTGAATTAGATGCGCTATAGTACCAAGTCTTCAAGAAGATGATGAAATTTACGGATCGAGAATATGGCTGTTCGCTTGACTTGAGAAATTGCCACAATGTATGGGGCTAGAGTGAATCTAAATCCTTCTTGACAGTCTATTTGTACACTACGCTACAAGTTAAATTTGGTTTAGTTTTGCACAACAAGACTGACATGCACACCAAGTATCAGGTGTGGTACTATAGTATCTTGGAAATCAGAAAAAATCTCACAATCAGCATTGACTGAATAGGTTGCTTCACCAACAGATGGATAAAACATTAGACAAAGATGAGTGTCTGTGTGAAAATCGAATAATCCAAACTTCTCGTTCCGTACAGATCAGAAAAAGTCATCAGGTATTTTTATGCATGCTTACGTTTTTGTCATCTTATAGTATACCCTATTGATAGAATCTGTTACATAGACATGCAAGAGTCTGAAACTCATCTGCTTATTATATTACCCAATTCCCAGGATCAACAAGCTTTTCAGTATCATTCGATTTCAGATTAATATGGTCGTATCACCATTTCATGGTATACAACAAAACTAGCGTCATTCTCATTGACGACAAAATTATCAAATGATGATGTGAAACAAAGCTATCAATGGCTCGATAGTTGGGATTAGGGTGGCGTGGGGTTTTTCTTGTGTATTAAGCCTGCAAAATTGTCTGATCTGGCGAGCATGCAAAGAAGCATGAATAAATTTCTCGGTCCGTAGAGAAGATAGAGCGAATTCAGCCATATAAGGAAGTATTTCCTTGGATGATTAAGTATAGCCAGATTCGTCCATTTAGATTGCGCTAGTTTGATATCTTTTCCCCACACAGATCATCTCGCGTTTTAGTATTGTATAACATCGCATTTTTTTCCACAATTTTCAGCAGCACACACCAGCACAGCGTCGGTTCGTTTCGATAGACGTCTACCTTTGGCTACAGATGTACTGCGTGCGTATATATATATGCAAGATGAACCGCCAAATTAAACTAAATGCAGACAACTTGAAAAGCTCCTAGTTTACCATATTGATAGAACAGTACATGTTCTGAATCTCAGGTTACATGTGGTAGTAAACTTTATTCCATATTCTCCTTTTGTGCTTTTTGATAGAGTGTGAAAATAACTCAAAAATTCACAGGTAAAGTTGCGTATTTGGCTTGATCCTTGCAGTTGACATGGCACCAAGGGGGTGGCTTCATCAAAAACACTCTCTATCCTAATATAGAGTTTAACCTACTGCCATGCTTGAATAATGCTCTTTGAGCCATCAAACAGAACTAAGGCTTCGGGGTACGCCGAGGCAGTTTTTGCAGTAAGAGAAAAAAGTGAGTGTGGGGAAATTGATTCTGGATCAACAAAAGAGAAGCACGCGTTACACACGTAAAAACTCTATCTGGTATTGTTGATGTGTGGATGTATATACAAAGATCAACAAATTGCAATTATGGTATAAATACAATTCCTAGGATAATTTATCCCTTTTTTCCCTCTTTTTCTCACAATTATATTCAAATGTCTAAAGCAGAAGAAAAGCCTACGGATACGCAAATTGAACGGGTCGAAAGCGTTCATTCTAGAGACAGCCCTGCCGCCAATGATGACCTAAGCTTCAAGGAGTTCTCTGAAAAGGATGAACACAAGAAGAAGAACATATTTATCAGATTTAAAGATTCCGTCTACTCGAAGCCTGAAAAGAGACAAAATGCATGGCATTTACTAACTAATTTGACAAACACACAGAGAATCACATTTGCTGCTGGTAAGTCTACAAGATGTATGTGACGATTGCTCTATATTAATGATACAACCACCCAAAAAAAAAGCCTTCTTTGGGTGGACGTTGGATGCCTTTGATTTCTTCTCAGTGTCATTGTCAGCTACACGTATTGGTAAGGATTTCTTCTCGTTTTGGACATTGCAAATCTAACTAAGGCTAAACAAAATATTTATCCAGCTGAGGATTTTGGTGTTCAACCATCTGATGTTACAAGTAAGTGAAAATTAACCATTTGCTCTCATGATTGTACTAAACTGGGCTACTTTTTCATCTGAATTAGGTGCAATTACTACTACATTGGTAAGGATTACGACACTGCCCTACTGTCTTTAGTTGATGCTTATATCCTTATTTGTGTAGATGCTGCGTCCAATTGGTGCCTTGATTTTTGGTGCTTTGGCAGATAAGTTTGGTCGAAGATGGCCCCTTATGATTGATATTGTGCTATTTTCCGTCATCAACATGGCCAGTGGTTTTGCTCCCAACTTGCAAACATTCATCGGCCTTCGTGCTGTGTTTGGTATTGCAATGGGAGGTGAATGGGTAATAGCGTCAACAGAATGAAGAATGTTCAAGCATATTAAGCTTTCTTTCTTGACAAACATTAGGGTTTAGGTGCAAGTTTAGCTCTTGAAGCACTGCCAGTGGAAGCGCGTGGTCTGTTTTCAGGTATCTATCAAGAAGGCTACGCTTGTGGTTATTTGCTGGCGACACTCGTGAATTATGCTGTCGTTGAAACAGGATCTTCATGGCGCATCTTGTTCTGGGTAGGTGCTGGTTTCGCTATCCTAGCTGTCATCATTCGTATCTGGGTTCCTGAATCAGAGACATTTGAAGAGCAACAAAGAGCTCGTAAAATCTTGGGTAGATCGCTGTGGACCGAAACCAAATTAGCTGTTCGTAATCACTGGGTGCGCATGATTTATATGGTGGTTTTAATGGCTTTCATGAACTTTTTCTCACACGGTAGTCAAGATCTCTATCCTACATTTCTACTCAAATCCTTGGGCTATACGCCTACTCAGCAAACCGTAACAAATGTCATTATGAACATTGGTGCTATTTGTGGTGGCACGATCTTTGGATACTTGTCCAACTACTTTGGCCGTCGCTTGATCTTGTGTATTTGTGCAATTTGCGCTGGCGCATTCATTCCACTTTGGATTTACGCACCCAACATTCATTCTCTTCAATTTGGTGCTTTTGTGATGCAGTTCTTTGTTCAAGGTGGTTGGGGGTAGGTTGCTTCTCGGAATTCTTTCTTGAAAGCATAAAGCTGATCTCTCTATACTTATTACTATACAGTGTCATTCCTGCTCACATCAACGAACTAGCTCCCGCTGCCTTTAGAGGCTTAATTCCTGGTTTGGCATATCAATTGGGTAATTTGGTAAGTTTGAACATTCCGAGTTATTATACAGCCACTTATTCAAGCAATACTACAGATCAGTGCTGCATCTAGTCAGATTGAAGCTACTATTGGCGAAAGATATCCTTTGAAAAATGGAGATGGCAGCTTGAAATTGGATGCACAGGGTAAAGCCATTCCTGATTACGGCTTGACGCAGGCAATCTTCATGGGTTGTGTTTGTGCTGGCCTATTAATCACAAGTAAGCGCTAAAGCAAAGTTATTTCCATGTTCAATTAACTGATTTGCTCTTCTAGCCTTGATTGGAAAAGAAGAGCGTAATAAGGATTTCAAAGAAAACCTCGCAGAAGATCAGACTGGTCATGGCGCTATCGGCCCTGCTGATGTGAAAGCAAATGAAATTGAACAAGGACAAGGCAAAACTTCTGAAGACTCGATTTGAATATTGTAAAATGATTTATCTTTCATCACTGTAAATAATAATAAATAGTCTAATGCAACATACATATGCTCTTTTTGGCATAAGTATAAAATTTGGTATACGTGGCTTTAGAAGGGCTTAATCAACGTGAAGCAACGCTTGCATCGTTACTAACTTTCCGACTTTTGATTGTCCTGTGTCAGGCACAATAAACAACCCCTGAATATCAGTTACATCAAGGTACGACGAAACAATGTGCCATTGTTTCACCAAAGAGAGCATAACGAGGGTTTTTAAACAGCGTTTGATTGACGTTTATGCATTCGTAGCGCTAGAACAATACTGACAATTGAATGTAAGTAAAATCATGCCTCTATAAGCTTTCCGTGTCTATCAAATCAATCGGCTCTTATTAATTCTTTCAGCTTCCAATGCAATGAATTGGTGCAAGTGTGTGATATAGTGGAACAAGCATGCAACGAGTGGATCTGTTTCCTGCCAATTCAAATGTACCTAACAGAATAAGTACTGTATGTCAGGCATATCAGCGAGATATTAAAATCGAATCAAAATATATAAAATGCAGTTATTTTCCTAGACAAGAGAATGCGTGATACGTTGTTCTCGGTATAAATGTGATTGAGCGCTTGTCATTCTGAGGTCTAATAATTGCAAACGATTGTTCCTGATGTTCATGTTGTTCATTGCCCAATTTTTCTGCTCGACGTCAAAGATGCCATCCTCAAGACTTGTGGCAGATTGAACAGACGCCTTAAACATTGCTATAGGGGAGGGGGGCAGGTTATCACTACCATTAGCTATAATGCAAAATAGCCAACTAAGCAAGAATCGCCGTTGGAATTACTTGATGGAAGCTGATTTCTTCATGGCATTTGCATGTCTTAGCATTTAGCAATATTACCGTCATAATTATCGCATTTATTTTGGCTAGCAACAAGTGAAAGCCACTCGATAGGCAAAAGAATTCGATACGAATTAATACAGCTGCTGCTATCAATCAAGATCAAACCAAAAAAATTTGGACAAAATTTGAGACAAAGATGTCCCTAACTTTTGGGGCTTCGTTCTTTCAATATAGATATGCTATATAAAAAAAGTATTGACACCATGTCCATCCACACTCGTTCCCTCTTCTCATAACATAATAAAGAACTGTTACAAAAAGTTAATGAAGCTACTACAATATTTTGAAACTGGCCCAACCAGAATACCCATCAGTACATCGTACTACCTTGGTTGGATTGCTGCATTGCTTTATACTCAGAACGTCTTGGCTTCTATCAAGCTAACTACTATGTCAACAAACATGAAAAGAGTTTTTGCAACACCTCTGCTGGCAGCTGATCTGATTTTACCTGTTGTATTTATGGATTTAAGCGGCTGTAAGTCATCGCAACTACATCGAGTTTGATGAAATGTTAACATCTAGTGCAAAAAAGCATGGAATTTACTTGGTGCTACTATCCCATTTATGGCCTTTCTCCGCTTTCTCGATCTCTTCTGGGTGGCACCCATTGTGCAAGGTAAGGAAGCTTATGCCTCCATGAAATTCTTGCAAGAGGAATTTTGGGTTTGTCTGCGCAAGTTTCCCAAAAATAAAGAAGAACAGAAGAAGTTTGTCAAGGATAGAGTAAGTGGAAAGTCGCGTCAGTCGAGATGGTGAATGCCTACGAGCTAACGGGATGCTGTAGAAATTCTACCATATCATTCCTCATTTTATCGTACATGCCATCATTTCCGATATTATCGGTGCCTGGTTCATGACCTTCACCAGAGAAGATGTAATGAGAATGTATCACACTCAGCCCTTGTTCTTCTTTGGCTTCTTCTGTATGGCCTTAGTTGCCATGTCCAGTGGTTTCGTCGCTAACGGATATATGATGCAATTCATCTATGTTCTCATGTACGAAAAGGGCTCATACTGCAAAGGTAAACTAAGGAGGCAGGACAACACGTTTGAATAGACTAACAACCAACACAAACCAAATTTATAGCTCAGTGGCGTAGATTGATGGAGTTTCCCATTTGTGCCACATCATTAGGAGACATCTGGTCGTTCCGTTGGCATCAATCACTTAAGCCAACATGGCTCAATCTTCCTTTTACTGAAGTGCGCGTCCTAACCGAACGCGCATTGACAAAGCGTCATATCAAAAGCGCAAAGAGACTTGGAATCATGGCAGCAGCTCTCTCAGTATTTATGATTTCTGGCGCATTGCACGAATATTTGGTTTACGTCAATGTTGGATTAACAAGTTACAAGTCTACTTTCATGGGGCAAGAAATGTGTTTCTTTACCATTCATGGCATCGCGGTGATGCTTGAGAAATTTGTTGCCAAAGCTTTCAGGGGGCAGCATTGGGTTCATAGTCCAATGGTGATCTGGCTCCGTCGTGCCTGGGCATTGGGCTTTGCTTGCTATACATTTCCCTTGTTTTTGAAGGGATTCATGGAGTTTGACTCATGGCACGCAGGTGCATTTACACCTTATCAGCCCAAGATTTTGGAAATCATGCACCAGACACCTGGAATGCGTGGACTCTGTGGAAGTTTATTTTAGAGTGTCCCGATTCCCCAGCTTGATAAACCGACTGGAGTTCATAGTGTATATATGGAAATGCAAACTTCTGTTAGTTCTAGTTACTTTTTCCAATTTCAAAAGGAGATGATACTCTTTACATCTTAATACATATAAGCCTTATACACCTCAAACATATTTCTTAATTAAAAAAGAGTAATCCAATTAGAAAATCATGATGAAAAAACACATTTTCTCACACAAGCCTTCAAACGTAACCTTCCCCGTGATCTTTTTTTCGTAGAGTAGTACCATTAAATTGATCTTCAACCATTTGTCAAGTTTGATGTATAGTGCATGTCGTGTACACATTTTGGGATATGATGAGATCAAAATGAAAACTGATGTTTCTTATTTTTTTTTTTCGATAGAAAATGTACGAATCAAATAGCAAAAAAGGATCAACATCATCAGGCAAATGATCTACATTTGGGATCAGATCAGAAAATGATGTGCGCTGAGGTTTTAGTAGTTTTCTATTGAAATTAAGTTCCTTGATCTGTTTCAAGTAGCTGCCATTCAGCCAAGATTTAACCTTTCTATATGTTTCGCCTAGAGTCTAAATTAGAGTAACTGATCAATTTGGAAGCGCACGGAGCAGAATTACAGACATTTCATTTAAGGTGCCGCATGATATTACAACAACTCTCTTGTTGCCTCTTTGGTTCCGAGATGATTAAAGTGGGGAACCCTTCATTTGGGTGGTTTCACTTTCAATTTTTTTTTGACACGTTAGAAAAAAAAAAAGGCTGACATTTGACCCAGTTGCTGAAATGAATTGGCATTTGAAAGGACCCTTTGATTAATTGACTGATCTTCATCCTTCCTACATGCAAACAAAAGGACATCGGGGACAGGTTAGAAGCTTAAACGTAACACTAAACTGTAAAGTAAAGCCATTTCATTCTCGATCGTTATAATTGGCCTTGTTTCAATGTATGGTTGCCTCTTAATAAAAGGCTATTTTTTCTATCCCAATTGATAAGTAGCTGATTGAAACTAGAATAATAATAATAAAATATGTTTGAGCTCTCTATTCCCTCTCTTTTCCTCTTTCTCTCCCCCCCCTTTTTTTTTTTCTTTTTTTTTTAATTCAATTTTTTGAACGATTTCTAAAGTGTATTATACTGGAGATCTCAAATAGTTACTCTATTTATTATCTGATATTTTTCTCTATTTAATTCTGTTTAATTTCACTTTTGGCATTGGAAAGGTGCTTAGATATTTACAACAAAAAGAAATCCGGTACCTGAATTGCGATTTTTTTGTGCTTTACTAAAATATCTATCCGTTATTTGAGCAACATTTCGCCCAGTTCTGCTATCAAACCAACATAAAAAAAATAGAGGATCAGCTAAACGAGAAGCGTCTCTTTTAGAACTTGGCATCGAACATTGGATACCATCAAATACAACCTGAAGAAATTTACCAAAAAAAGAACAACGGCATATTTAAAGATATAAAAAAAAAAGAAATCACTGCATCTCTTTCTCTTTTCCTTCCAACACTTTTTGATTGTTTTCAGCTGTATACTACCTTGCTACTCTGTCTAGAAGCATGTCAACATCAAAAAGCACCAAGTCTTCCGTTGACGCTGGTAGCCCTGTTCCCACACAAAATCATAGTCCAGACAAGCCATTCTATTCAGTAAATACACAATCAATATGCTGCATACAAGACTCATGACTAACGATTTTCGATTAGCTCGATGCATTCTACAGCACACTACTATCAAGAACGTTCAACACCAATACAGAGGCCATTGTTTTCTGCAGAAACTTGTGCTCAAATCATGGATTTACTGTCAAACAGGAGCAAAGTACTCACAAAGTAATATTCGCAAAAGAGAGAGAGAGAGAGGGTTGGAGGAAAATAACATAGCTGCGCGTGTGCTAATAACATATATATATATATATATATATATGTATATATATACATTTGATTGTGTAGAATATTTATGTTTATTGTTCAAGGGAAGGCTTGCCTGATTCTCATCGAAATCCCAAAGTAAATCCACAGCGAAACAGACAATCTCAACGATGCGAATGTCGATGGCGTATTGTGTTATTCGAAAACAACCAGGAAACTTGGGAGTTTCGTAAATCGCAGAACGCTGATGCTTTTATCCATAATCATCCTCTACTAAAGCCAGACGAAATAAAGAAAGAATGGCCTCGAGAAGTATCCGAAAAGATATTCGAACTAGCAAGGCAGCGTCTTCCAACAAACGAGATACGACAACGAGTCCGTGAACAGTATCCTGACATATCTTGGGACGACCGCAGATTCTATAACAGACTTTCAGAAGAACGTCAAAAGATGAAACAACGTGATACAGCACTACGAGCAATTCGTCTTGTCAATCTTAGTGCTCAAATTTGCATGGTCAATGCTGGAAGCGAAGATTTATCACACTATGTCGAGAACAAGCTACTGTCGCTGCTGGAGGATACATGTAAATTTGCCAATGTCAACAGCAACTCACTGGCGATGCCTGTGCCTATGCCCTTCACGCCGCCAGGAGACCCCATCACACCCACAACAGCTACAGCAAACGCCTCTTCCTCTTCCTCTTCCACATCAACATTCTCTGTACCACATGAAGAAATAGACAATAGATTAAAAAAGGCTTCCACCAACACCAGCACAACAACAAGCAGCCGCGATGAAAAGAGCAACAGCAATAGTCCAACTAGCAGCGGCAGTTATAAAAGGACTGAAGAATCCACCGTTCAAGATGTATGTCTTTCTCTCAACCCTCTTTTATTCTACTGTTCATATATGACTTACAATGAAATCTTCTACCATAGACACCAAGGCCAGCTGCTATCAATCAGAAAAAGTCTTTTGAAACCATACCTAAAGGTTATTTAGCCGTACCAATTCCAGAACATGCCCTCCATGTCAAGATGTATAGTCAAAATTCAGTAGGAGATATTAGACGGGCAATTTTCGATATGCAAAGACCATCAAACCCGAATCCAATGCTACAGTATTCAACACAGCAGCATCGAGAGCCACGAAGAAGAAGATCCAGGGCGCTTTTTGCGCCTGAGGAGGACCATGATGAATCAATGGATTTAGACACGCCTGCTAGAAAACTGTCTCGTCAAGTTGCTTCCTCGATCATGGACGATGAATTGGATGACATGTCAACTCAATCGTCGCCATCAAACTCGCAAACGATGATTTTTACACCATCAGCTACTGCGAGTACACCAAGCGAAATGCATATGGAGCAGCAGCAACAACAGCATCATATAATACACGCCCAATATAACCCGTCAACAACAAACCGTGCCACTGCATCCTCATCATCCACGAACGATCCCAATATGTTTTACGGTAATGATGGCTCCATGTCAGTAGCAGCAGCAGCGGCGGCGGCAGCAGCGGCGGCAGCGGCAGCAGCTCATGGTAATAACTACATCACATCGCATCACCCATCATCGTTCTCTCCTCAAGTAGACAACGTATACCCTTCTATGAATACAACCAGTAGTGGAAGCAGCAGCAATAGTAGTCGACAGCAGCAGCAGCCGCAACTACCACAGCACATCATGTACGATCCCAATGCATTTATGAATCAACCCCACGTAAGATCATCATCTGTTCATCACCAGCCAGAGCGCCCTCATTCTGTGACATTTGGTGCTTCTATTCCAACGGTGATGGGGGATCAATCTGGCTCTATTTCTCGCGGCCCTCCCATTGAGCAGCAGCCTACGGTACGTCCTACCGGATATCCTTCAACATTCTCTCAATTGCAAAGTATTATGGATGAAAATGATGGTAAACACAACGGTTATGAAAGCTGTCGTCGCGAAGATTGTATTCATCCTACTTTAACAGGCAAACAGCGATATAGCACGTTCAGAGATCCTCTTCAACAACCACATCCTCCTCGACCATCCTCAGCTACCGGCATGCCTTCATCTTCATCCTCTCAAATGATGCAACAGTTTATGCCTCCTACACCACAACATCAGCAACCCCATTCACAAGCAGGCGAGCAGAGTCATGATATGTTTGCATCCTACCATCTCGGAAATCCTCCCCAACAACAGCAAACCAACATATTTCCCGCGACTACTTATATGACCGACGAGCAACTACTACAGCAGCAACAGCAACAACAACAGCAGCAGCAGCAGCAACAGCAGCAGCAACAGCAGAAAAGAACACGGCAGCAGCAACAATATGCAATTAACTATCGCCATCAACAAGATCAACACATGTATCGTAGAGCTAGTGGTCCAAACTAAGCTATCTTGCTTGTTTTCTCATAAATTATGCATATATATACACATTTGCAAGTAGCAAACTCCTTTTTTTTTTCGTTCAAAAACACACCAAAAAATATACATATAGCTTTTTTAATTCTTAATAATTTGTATAAACAACATACACATATACACATCAATATAAATTCCTGTCTACATACATCTCGACCATATATATAATGACTGCTACTAATTTTTGATGTTAAATGAAAAAGGAAAGGGGCTAACTAACATGATATTCGCATGGTTATCATGTTGAATATCACTTGCAGTAGTTGTAGTAACGTGGCACTTGGCTGTTATCTCAGGACAGACCAAGTCCTTAGGTTAGACTATTGCGAGGATCGCTAATTTCAGGCAATTGAGGCCAAGTTAATTGCAATCTTTGAGTCGAATGAACGCGCAATCATCGTGTATGCATGTACGCTCACATCGATGTATGCACTGAATTTTGTTACGTGTTACTCTTTCTTGTTGTTATTCTGGGGGGGGGGTTTGCTCTGGACATGTTAACAATCATCTGACTCCAAAGAATAAAGAAACATCGCAAAGACTGGGTGCGAGCAACCAGGAAAACAGTACACCTCTCCAATGTCACTTGGCAGTACTGCCTTGTCCCGTACAAGCAATTTGTTTCTATCTATCAACCGAAAGCATATAGATGAGGCAACAAGAGATCAAAATCTTCGCGTTTGGATAAACTTTAAGAAATAAATTGCAATTGAAACCAGATAGTAGTGTAATCAAATTGTCAATGGATAATGACATGATCCAAACTTGATTTAAACTGCTTTCAAACTAAAATTGCCAAAACAGTGAGTATCAAGAAATCATATCCCTAAATGCCCAATGCGCTTGAATGGATTGGTCGTCTTGGTGCATTTTTAATATTACCAACTTGTACCTTGGTGTAACTTTACTCATGAAACAAAATGAAAAACTGCAAAAAAAAAAAAGAATATTCTTTTCTATAACACTGCATTGGATCTCGTTATCGATCATAATTCATCCTCGGGTACCTATGAATCGCTGTTTAAACGTTAAGTTTTGTCTCAGAAATTAAACTTGCAATTACATACTCATTACTCGCAAAAAAGAGCTTTGATACGTACATTAATGCTGACTGGAAGGACTATGTGAATATTTATTATTTGACATGCTGCTTTGTGAATACAAATATGACATTACCATTGCGGTAAAGTGTGTGGCAAGATCAGCACCAATATGCCATCAAGATAGGGTCAAATCTCTGGTCGTTAGAAAAGCTTATTCCGCCATTATATTTTTAGCTTTGTATCAACTTTCACAACTTATTCTAGACGATTCACAGGCTTTCTGCCAAGTCTTCTGATGCATGCAAGGAACCCGTGGTGGTTCCACACATGAAACCTATACATGACGAATACAAAAGAGTAAAACCAGAGGGGGGGGACTATTGTCGAGGAACGATTCAAAATAGAGCTCTACCATGTGCCTGCATCCAGTCCACTGTATCGCCCGATAAATTCGTCAAAATGTCCTCAGCATCAAAATAGGTATTGGTGAAATATACAGTGCATAAGTTAAATAGCTTTTCTCTATTAGAGGAAGCACAGCGTATATTTGTCAATACCATCAGAAACCAAATTTTGCATGAATAAAAGCTGTTCGCTCTCAAACATGTATGCAAAATATATCGAATCCTGATAGATCGAGAACGCTGCCGATCAAACAGCTAATTAAATCTCAATGATCGTTGATTCCGTTGCAGTAATCAAGCAAAGATATTGGTACATCATAATGCCTGTAAAAATATGTGCATTTTGTCAAATGAGCAGCCATAGAAGCAACTAACAGCTTCACGGCTGGTGCTGCACTCATCCATAACAATCGCATAGCAAAAATTCCTATTTTTGTTTGCTATCTCGGCCCATCCATAGCGCATGCAATCCGCGATACGAGAACTTACATCATAGCATCTGCGTCCGACATCCGAAACCAAACCTGAGCATATGGATGAGCATTTTGCAAAAATTAAATCTATCAAGAAAGAGAGTAATCAGCATAAGCAAGATAGAGTAGTCAGACTAAGCTATAGAACCTGGTAGCTTGCAACCTCCTCCTTGATAGCTTCACAAACATTGAATGTCTTCATCAGGCAGGCATTTGGTCTGCCAATTTTTAATTCTCCAACAAAATGAAATCAATCGAAGATTGGCCAAATCTCGAGTAAAATCGACCTGTTTGATATATTTTGCAAGATTTGACTATATAAACAATGATGATCAGCCCATGCACCCTTATGCTTCCCTAGAGTACTTTTAAAGGCGCTTTCGATGATGGTAATAATAAGAAGTGTCTTGAACAAGCTTTTTGAGTAATTCTTCAAAATAGGAAATGAGGTTTTTGGCGAGAATATCGAGGTTTTGCAAATCAAGGTCCCTCAAATATGATTTCAGGGACTGTATTGGATTGCGAGGAACATTTCGATCTAATATATACCATAGTAAAAGTCTCCATTTTCAAGGTGAAAAACGCAATCGTTTGATTTTCGATGAAAACCATGAGGGATACCTCATACTTTTTGGTCGATTTTTGCCCATGTTTTTTTGATCCCCAAAAAAGTTGAGCAAACGTGCCAGCAACTGCTAGTTGAGAGCAGTTGTTTGGTGCTGTTCTGGCGGTCTAAAACGGCCTACATCAAGATAAAACACAACTCAAATGCGTCCAGACTTCGCTGTATTTAACATACTTTTGAGTGGTAATAAGTAATGCATGCATGCTGCTTACTTGTATATAGGTTTCTCCCATGGATACAGACGCGAATCATCATAGGAGAGCCAGATTCACGGCTATAATTGTTCCGTGAATACTATATACGTATATAATAGTGAAAAGTCAAACCTGAAAATTCAGTATAAATTAGTATGATTCTCTATACTCTATCAATATATTTGAGCTTTCATTTCTGAAAACGACAGCTCCAAAATTGAATTTAATAATAGAGACCGCGTCTTGATTTTTTACATACCCCCTAGCCTAGCATTGAATGAAATACAATTCACTATTTGCTTCAATACGTGTGAAAACGGGCTGGCAATACTGAGTGGCCAACACAAGGAGGGGTGTATTTGTGTCTTTGTATATTCACAACGAACTCCTGCATTCCTCTTGACATGATTTAAATTAGTAGTGCACCACCTCGAAAAAGCCAACAAGTGCCAAGATTTTTTTTACACTTCTGTTTCCCTTATATTTTGATCTTGTTTGTTACATATGATTGTAGCAATCAGTGCATACATCAATTGAAGCACTGCCTCAGTGAGACGATTATGACAAGAATGATTGCATATGGCAATTTCGACATTACATACGATTTTCAAGAGTAAATAATTATACTATTTTATTTTCTTTATTTTTTGAGAGGTTTTTCATGTGTAATGGGATAGCGAGAAGAGTGGTATTTATATATAAAGAAAGATAAAATGAATATGATGAATTGATGAATTGATTAAATTTGATAGGTTATGGGGATATAAATGAATGATTAATTTTTTTTTTTTTGCGAGGAGGAGAATATGTATAGTAAGGAAAGGAGCAACAAAGCTAGAAAGAAGAGGATTATGATAACAAGAATATGGCATGTAGAATCAATGTTCAAAATTGCACGCCGAGTTCGATGGCTCTTTGACGCATGTAAACATACATTTTGTATTGAAGATTGTAGAGTGGAGAATCGCATTTGGAAGATTGATCAGCTTGTTCAGTGAGGTAGTTTTGGACACCAACCACAAGAGACAATAAGGAATCATTTCTATAGTCATAGGAAGGATCTTGCTGGTATTGTTGAGGCTCTTCATCATCGTACTCTTCCATATATTCATCTTGGTCACATTCATCTTGGTATTGATATTCACAATAGTAATCCTCATAGTCAGCTTCCGCCACTGCGTTGGCAACTTGTAAATCATACTGTGCATAGCAATATTTCTCTTCCGCTTCCTGTAATTCTTGTTCTTGGGATTGGTAAGGAAAAGAGTGTTGTTGATACTTAAGCTCGTTATAAGAGAAACCAACAGCGGAGGTATAGGTGGAGGTCATGATGGCAACAAAAAAAAAAAAAAAAAAAAAAAAAAAAAAAGTGAATGTATGTAGGAGAAAGGATGAACTCTTCTTTTTGAATCAAGAACAAAGAAGAAAAAGAAGAAGAGAAACAGGATAAGACTATAAGAAAACACTGCGAACCTCCTCCCTTTTATCATTGAGATAGATGATGAAGGGGGGGGGGGGATTACACCAATGCGATACTTTCATCCGAGCGGGACGTCGTACATGATGTGATTCTCCTTTAAAGTTTACTTGTTGTTCTTTTACCTCATTTTACCTGTAGAGCAAACAACCAAAGAGTGCATTCATTGTCATACAAATCGCCCCCTTTTGATAGCAGCAACAACAAAGAACGAGAAAAAGAAACGCCTCTGTTTTCTCATGACATATTCCAATCATGGCTCCTGAAAATCATTTAATAGTCGACACTGTCATTCATTTGAGACAACAACCATGACTCCTAAGCATGAGTATAAATAACCCATGTATTCATTGTATTGATGCCATAATATATTCATTAACTTTGCTACAGGAGTGTGAAAGAGTGTCTGGTTGAATGTATTGAGGCAATTAATACATTCCTTATAGATGATGGAAATGATAAAAATAGTCTTTGTTGGCGGGCCAGGGAGAAATGCAAGAGCTGGCTTGCTGTAGCTATCTCCAACATAATTCTTTGTACTCTTTCATGTGATACTTCATTCCAGCTTGCATGAATGTTTGAATTCATCTTCAAGCTTCAACGATGATCATCTTTTTACTATCCAACTAGTAAATGGAACAGTTGTGTTTGCTAAATGACGTCTCCTGACAATCTGCTGCAATCGACTATTTAAAGTTGTATATGCACATATCTACATGTAGACGCCGCAGGGAGTAATCCAGTTGGGCTTATAAGCTAAATGTACTATAGGAGAGCAGTGTATGACATGGCAATCCAATCGGCAGCCATACCGTGGATGAGGGTTATCCAGTGTACAAGTGTTCAATGTAGTTACACTCTTGTGGAACTATGAACAATACATTATCATGCAAAACAGATTTGGTACAATATGCAAGTTGATTCAGCGTTTTATTAAACATATATGCAAGGTGGCAATACTAGTGCTCATATGTGAGATGGATGAAGCAAATACAATTGTGAGATGAATAAGGCACTAGTAGCAATCAAAGATGAGCTTAGGCATCCTCGACATTGGTCAAGGCAGGAGTACCAGGAGAAGGTGGCTTGCTAAACTTGGTTTGAATAAAGGTCTTCATGATACCACCCTCCTTGTTATTAAAGCGACGATAGACCTCGACAATTTGCTGAAGGTCGAATCGATGTGTCAAGACAGCAGTAGGATCAAATTCACCCTTTTGAATGTGCTCCAAACACTTTTCCCAATGGCGTTGAATAGGTGCTTGGCCACAGCCGATGAGACGAATACCCTTCTCCATGATGCCACCAATCAAGAGGTGATTTGTATAAGCAGCATAGTCAGCAATGATGGCAATGGTGCCAAACTTTTTGGTGGCACGAATCATTTCATTGATAACCTCACTAGTATCAGTTTCTGCTCCAATAGCACGTTCCACCTTGTGAAGGAAACTTTTGGCATAACGGAAACCAGCACAGTCAATAGAGCGATCAAGACCATTGGGCTCAATTTCAAAAATTTTGGCAACTACATCAGAGTCCTTGTCAAAATTGATAGTTTCAACTCCCCACTTCTCCTTGGCAAGAGCAAGACGTTCAGGAACGTTGTCAACAACAATGATACGACTAGCTTTAAAGATGTTTCGTAACCATTGAACAACACAGAGACCAATTGGACCAAGACCCCAGACTCCAACGACATCGCCTTCCTTGACGCCCGCCTCCCAGACAGCATGATAAGATGTAGGAACAATGTCAGACAAGAATAAAGCCTTCTCATCAGGGACACTGTCAGGGATTTTGATAAGGTTGGTATTGCCAAACAAGACACGACAGTATTCAGCCTGAGCACCAGAGAAGCCACCCAAGAACTATATATATCATTAATATTTGTTCTATCACCAAATGATAAAGCTGCTTACGTGGGAATAGCCCATGACTCCAGCAATGCGGTGTCCATAGAGCTTTTGCATAACAGAGCTATTGTTGGTAGCTTCACAGCCAGTGAACAGCTTCTTGGAGCAGTATTCACATTTGCCACAAGCGATGTTAAAGGCAGCGACGACTCTGTCACCAGGCTTGACATTGGTTACCTTGGGGCCAATTTTCTCAACGATGCCCATGCATTCATGACCCATAATATCACCATCCTTGAGTTGCATGATCTCACCATGATATAAGTGCAAATCAGAACCACAGACTATGAGAGAATGAGTGACAAAGCTACATGAATGTCGTATTGCTATAGTGTCTTACCTGTGCTTCCTGTAACCTTGATGATGACATCTTCATCATCAGTCAATTCAGGCTTGGGTACTTTTCTCAATTCAAACTTTTGTTTGCCTGCGTAGCAGCAAGCCAACATTTCAGTATTGTTAGATGATTGTTGCTTGTCTTGGTTTGCGACATTGACAGGAACTTCTCCCATCTGCTTTTGAGCGATATTTGCAGCAGCGTTAGTAGCCATTTTAGTTTATGTTTGTGTATTTTTGCGAGAAAAAAAAAAGAAAAGAATGCGTTGATGGGCATGCATTGGGGTTCTATATAGCTGTTCGTTCGGTCTGATTAAACTATCATTATGCTGATTTGTAATGATGCGTTCATTTTTTACGAAATCATGACGTTGCCAAACGTTATAGGTTGTCTTTCTGTATATATATGTCTACAAGTAAACAAGGGCGTTTCTCGTTCATGCAATCAGACCAAGAGTTACCATGGGATATCTGTAAACTATCCGGTTTAATTCAATGAGATAACGATGAGCTACTGGTTTCATCCAAATGTGTAACACATTTCAAATGAACGAATTTTTGCTCATTTTTGTTATTGTATTGAGCGGGGTTTTAAGCTTACCGACAACATAATAACGCATCAAAATTTGCATGAATTAGCTTTACCAGAATCAATAGGCCTCCTATTTGAATTAGAAGTTGCACACACTGCAGAAAAGCCTTTCCAGAAGGTTTCAACTACCCAAGGTGTAATAATTCATGCCGTGTATATAAAAGCTATAAAGCAAATATACAACTAAATTTGACAGTTTTCAGGCCGTCGTATTTTGACATGTGGACTTTTCTGAGCCGCCGGAAGAACGCCAAAAAATTGTTCTCGAGTAGTAATAACTTTCTGACACCTTTGCTCAACTTTTTGGGGATCAAAAAAAAACATGAACAAAATTCGACCAAAAAGCATGAGGTACCCCTCATGGTTTTCATCGAAAATCAAACGATTGCATTTTTCACCTTGAAAATGGAGACTTTTACTATGGTATATCTTGAATCAAAATGTTTCTATCGATCCAAAGCAACCTCTGAAATCATCTTTGTGGGACTTTGATATGTAAAATTCCGACATTTTGGCCAGAAACCTCTTTTCATATTTTCATAAATTATTTGATAAGTTTATTCAAATCATCTATTTTACTTAGTACCATTGGATGCACCTTGAAAAGTACTCCAGGAAAGCTTAAGGAAGCATGGGGTGATCATCATATTCTACTTAGTCGAATCTGCAAAAATAGCTCAATCAAGTTCAAAATTATCAAGATTTGTCCAATCTAGAACAGACTATGATTCTGGGCCTGAATTAATTTTGGCTTGTTGGGGGCCAGCTGGCAAGCTCAATGCCCTTTTCATACTGCAATACAGTAGTAAATGCTCTTGAAGCGTATGAAAAGTAGGTGGCAGGCCATAAAATTATCGTTTATAATGATATTTTATTGCATTCTATATCGTTCATAATGACATCGTCTTGCATTCTATATTTAATAACGTTAGTCTGGACATTGACGACTCATGGGCTGCGTAAGATGTCTGCAGTAAGTAGTGAAATCTCTGAGGCTCTGAGACGTCGTTCAAATAAAGCGTTGACAGCATTGAGCAGAGGAAAGAGGGTAAAACTAACAGTGGCTTTTGTTGATTGATTGTAAAATCGTTATTCTCATATGAGCCAGGCCTGACAGATGCCTTGAAACTCAGGTTCCATATTAGAGTTGTAAAGTGTCTAAGGACTGAACATTTATTATGTTATGATGATATTAATTCAAAATGTTTCTCTAAATCCAAAGCAACCTCTGAGACTACTTTTATGAGGTTTTCTTATGCAAAATATGGCTATTTTCGCTAAAAACCTTGTTTAAAATTTTATTAAATTACTCAATAATTCCAGTCAAAACATCTTACAGTTAGCACCATTGGAAGCGCCTTAAACAGTACTCTAAGAATGTATTAGGAAGCGTAGAGTGATCATCACACTCTATATAGTCAAATGTCACAAGATATTTTTTTTTTAAAAATTTTTTGTTTATTGATTGAGCCGCGTACACCAAGAGTAGGAGGTTATGGTGAAGAGGCGGGTGCAATTTAGATATGAACATACGGATAAAATATACTAAAAAAAATATAAGATAAAATAATACATAAACTACCTATTAGATAGTTTATGTTACAGTTGGGAGTGGCACTGATCTTCTGCAATGGTCTGGTGGGCAATGCTTCGGATCCGGCTCAAGATAGCTGTATGATCAATAGGAACATGATCAAATATAAATCGCATGTGGGCAAGCCACAATTCAGCAAGAGTGATGAATAAGATGCGGTATGGCTTGATGCCTTCACGCTGGCAATATTAGATGTCGGCAAAATCAAGATATCGCAGAGCATGTTGGATGTCGGCGATCGAGGTGGTTGGCCAAAGAAATTCAAATATGACTCCCTGCCACACTTTCTCTTTAGATGGGCAAAGAAAGAGAAGGTAGCTCGAGGAATCTTCGACAGACAAACACACAGGACAAGGGGGAGACTCAAACACTGCAGGCATGATGCGATGGAGAAAGCGACGGTGGGGAACACATCCCAAAATGAGGCGGTATATCATATTACGTTGGACAGTGGTAAGCGACAGGGACCAAAAGAATTTCCAGCTTGCTGCCGAGATCTACCGCAAGGTCAACGGGGGAAGACAGACGAGAGAACGGCTGGCCGAAATGTTTTGGCCGAAGCCGGAACATTTGCGATAGATCGACCATCGTGGAGACGAAGTTGCTCAATCAACGGCGTGAATGAGACAGAAGAGTCCTCTAATGGAGTTAGACTACATACTGGCGCAAAGTACGGCTGAAATTTCAATTGTCCTGAAGCCAGACCTTTGAACACGGTGGAAGGCGTTCGTTTCCAGAGGAGGAGAGAAGGATCACGCGTATCTTTCCAATGGACGAAGTTGAGGCGAGCATCATACTGAAAAACATCCGCGACCATCATCTCTTTAACACGAAGAGGCATCACAAAGGAAGAAGAAGGGGGGGATGTAGACAGCAGCATGAAGTGGTAGCACCATAGCAGTAGCAGTATTGAGCCTGGCAGCGCCAAAGGTCCGAGGAAGGGAATCAACCGCTCTATATAGCATATCCATGGTTCCAGTGCGTTGTTTCAGTAATCCCTGATACCGAGACGAAGGAAAAAGCAATGGGAACTGATGATATTGACATTGATTGACATTTCGAAGATGCTAACTGAGGAGCGACGATGCCGGATGAGAATCCACCGTGGATTAGTCATACACCAGCAGCGGTTGCAGCCAACGAAAGTACAACGCCGAAGCTTGTAGCTGAATGCCAATCACACAGAGACCACCTTGATCCTTAGGATGGGTCTAAACTTTCCACGGGATGACAGGGAAGATGTTCTTTCTCAAGAATTGGATGGCAAGAGATCGCAACTGCTTGAAATCAGCCAGCGTCAACGGTGTAACTCTCAAAATATACAAAAGTTTTGATAGCAACAGAGAGTTCAAAACGGTAGCTCGACCTACCACCGACAGCGACCGAGTAGAGTGGATTTGGGTGGCAATTTTGATCTTTGCTATCAAGGAGGCCATGTAATTAACACGTTGTAGACGACTTTGCGCCAGGGAATACCCCAGATAGATCAAAGGAACATCATCTTCAACCGAATGTAGATGGTTGATGTGGATTCCAGCCAGAGAGTCCTTCCATAAATCCTAAGTATCCCTGCCAGACACCGAAAACGCTTCCACTTTGTCGTGATTAAATTTGGCATTGGAGGCACCGCAATACCTAGACATATGGAGTTGCAACCGACCAAGATCAGTACGATCATGGACGAACACTAGGACATCATCTGCATAGCAGAGGAGTTTGGTTCGTTCAGATCCCATCAGGTAGCCTTGGAATTGGCGATCATTGATGATGGCCAGCAGGAAGGGTTCAAAGGCTAGGTTGTAGAGAATCGGAGACAGCGGATCCCCCCCTGCTTCAAGCCTCTCAGTTTAGCTACTTCAGCTGTCAAATGTCCATTGAGATTGATGCGAATTAGGTTGTCGCCCATCAGTTTGTATATGCACTTGACCAACTGACGGGGAAATCCAAATTTCAGCAATACATGGCGAAGGTAATCCAGATTGACCCGGTTACAAGATAGATTAAATAAGTCGAAAAAAGGACAAAATCTGGCCAATCTTGAGTGGAAAAAATCATCTGAGTTTGAAATTTTGGCGCTGCTAGACGATCTGCCGAAAAATGCCAGTCGACTGTATTGAAACATTTGTTGTTGGCTTCTTCTTTTTATTAAAATTACATATTATGTTAACCACTAGGTCTACATGTATACTAATTGCGTCTAAAGAAAGAGTTATTTCAAGACAGAAAACCTAAACAAGCAAAAATGTCAGTTTTACTCTGTTAGACATCAAACGGCGATACATACATGTCTTTCAATTCCTGCTCGTAAGCCTTGTTCACATCCTTACGCTTCAATTTTTGAGCAGCTGTCAATAATCCCATCTCAGGTGTCCACAGGTCCTTACAAATCCAAACGTCAGCAATAATTTCAGCGCCTCTCAGTCCAGACTTCTTTGCTTGTTCTTGCATCGCTTGTAATACAGCCTTGCGAGCCTCTTTACTGGCACAGAGTGCTGCATAATCTTCATTCTCTATGCCATGTTCAGCAAGGAACTTTCTAAGCGGACCCTCAACAGGCACCAACAAGCCCACGGGTTTTGGGTACAAGGATTCAGCGCAAACACACATATTTTCGACCAGAGTAGACGACTTGTAGATGCTCTCCAATTTCTCAAGTGCAATATACTCGCCGTTGCTCAGTTTGACCAAATTCTTGACACGGTCAATGATACTTAACGTGCCACGCTCTGTCCATTCGCCAACATCGCCCGTCTTGAGCCATCCATCTTCAGTCAATGCTTCTTTGGTGATATCATCTTGCTTGTAGTAGCCTGCTGTAATGGAAGGACCACGAATCCAGATTTCACCTTGAGGTCGAGGCGTGTTGGCTGAGGTATATCCGAGTTCTGGTTGATCCACTAATTTGACTTCAACACAAGGAACAGGTGATCCAACTTCGCAAAGAGCCCATTGTTCAGGTGCCATGATGGCGCACATTCTATTCATCACAGATGTTAGTGTAACTGCAGATCACTGATATTCATGCAGATCATTCACATCATCCTCTTACCCACAACTATCATTAACGTAAGAATTAGTTTACCGCAAAAGTAGAATGGCTGTTGTCTTACCTCTCAGTCATACCGTAACCTTGCAAAATAGGACACACAGCCAAGGACAAGAATTGTTGAGTCTCTGCTGATACAGGAGCACCGCCAGACAAACAGTAGCGAAGACGACCGCCCAATTGCTTCTTTACATTATTAAAGACAACTTTGTCCAAAAGACTAGTGGGCAGCCCATAATCACTCAAAAACTTCTTCATTTTGATAGCACCACCAAAGATGGATTCCACACGCGGGCCTCGTTCAGCAACCTTGGTGAGCACGGTCTTCTTGATGGTTTCCCAGACTTGAGGCACACCTGTCATAATAGTGGGTCCAAATTCCTGCAAATCACCTGAGCAGTTCTTGACAGAGACATCAGTCAACGTACGAATGGAGCCATAACCCAAGGTAACGCCCAAAAAGATACACAAGTTTTCAACCAGAAATTCCAAGACATGTGCAAGCGGTAAATAGGCCATCATGGTGTCGTTGGGCTCCAGCAAATGCTGCAGCATACGACAGACACCCGCAATGGCAGCTACCACATTGCCATGTGTGAGCATGACGCCCTTGGGATTACCTGTACTTCCACTGGTATACATGATGCAGCAAAGGTCACTAGCACTTGGCTTCACTACCTCCACTGGGTTATCCTGACCCAATTTCTCCAATTCCTCGTACGAGAGAATGTGTTTAAGCTGAGCGCTGGACTTTAAAAGATTGACATGTTCAGGTTTTGCCTGTCCTCTGTAAATAACCGAGTCAATTGTTGGACATTGAGCAAGGATCTTGTGGAGAATTGGCAGTTGGTCATCGTTCATGAAGCAAAGTGTGGCCCCTGACTCATTGATAGCGTGCTGGAGACCTTCTAGGCCCAATGTGTCGTAGGCAGTAACAATGGTCAATGACTGAGTGAAAGCACCTTAAACACTTGATGTTAGAAAAAAAAATGTTGTCAGTCTCCAACAATCCTTGTATTACCATGCGCCATAAACATCCATTCAACACTAGCAACAAAACAGCTTTGTATCAACAACAATGAAAACTAGTGCAGATTCACAATCTTACCTTGTGGAAGCTGAAATCTGTACCTTATCGCCCTTCTTCAGGCCAAGTTTAGCGAGACCAGCGCCAATCGTCTTTGTCAATGTGGATGCTTCCTCAAAAGAGTAATACTGATATCCACTTAGTTGAAAATAAGTCCATGTTTTGTCTTGGGTTGTTTCGACACCATTGACAACTTTTGTCACTTTTTTGGTGGTAGAGATGGTGTCTTCCAGCTTACGATAGCCGAAACCTTTGCGAGTTTTGAACGTATTTGAAGCATATTGCAAAATGTCGTATAGGGTTTCTACATCCTTTGCAGGTGTAATCATGAGTTGATTGGGTGAAAGAATTGAACGGCGAGTAGGTCCCTCTCCAGGCAGCGCTTCAGTTACTTCAACAGAGAATATTTTTTGTACCATGGCATGTATGTCTTGTTTGAATGAAAGGAAAAGAAAAACTCGGTTTACACTTCCTCGGCCTATTTTATACTTTACTACCTTTAGATTTGGTGTACCGCCAAGGTAGGATAAACACATGTGATTCTTCTGATTCACTTTAATTGTGTCATTTCAAGTCTCCTGAAAGGCTAGAGTATCCCTAAAGCTGATTACTGAGTGCACAGAGTAATTAAGAAAGACAGGAAGATACAAGAAGGATGCCACTGCCGGCACCATTGCACCGATTGAATCATTTGGTATGATGCAGTAGATTTCCTGATCACAGCCATTTATTTACCTGTGTTACCAGTCAATGTAATTGGAGAAACAGTAATAAAAATGCAGAACAAATCGAGATCTCCAAACTATGTTGCATAACAGCCTCTTATAAAATAAACAATGCTACAAGCAGAAAGGCGTGCATCTGCTTCTGCCTACATCTAGGCTGTACCATATACTGAGCAAATCAGTCTATCATTGTTTATAAAAGAAGATTGTTCTGCTTGGCATTAGTTTCAAGAAAGATCAGATACATCCATAGAAACCCTGAATTAGTCAATATAGTCGCAGGTAAAGACGTTTTATACATTAATGCTTAATCAAATAAGATATGACAAACTATGGATAAAAAGGTGTTGAGGAAGGACAACATTGGGATCGCTCCCTTCTAACAACGCGTATCTGAATCATCAAAACCTGTTTCATTCGCGGCAACTCTTACGTAGGCTCGAAATATGGGAGAAGTAGCTCATGGGGGGGAGGCACTATACACCAACATGTAGTAGTAAATCCGACCCAATATCCGTAGAATTCAGTTACAACTAAGGATATAAACTTCATATAAGCATCAAAGGTGTCCTGAAATCTGCTCTAGACATCTGTAACAGTGCTCTAACCTTGACCGAATGGATTGAATTTGGCCAGAGCGCCGGGTCAAGTCAAAAGTCATTTGCCTAGTCCATTGCTAGAGATGAAAGTCATCTTGAACACGGTAATATTAGCTAGAGACACAGGCAATGGTGGTTGCTCATAACCATAGCATTGATAGGTCTTCCTGCCGCGAAATACAGTTTAATGCGTAGATAGTGATGTACTTGTTTGTAGCTTTCAACCCAAAGATTGCTAGACTCAACCGTTTTTCAAAAACCCTATGTATACAGCATCTAAACGAATCTTTTAAGCTGATAGATGCTCAATCAAAGGAGCACATGTATGCCAGCCTGAGAAATGAGTCTCATTCTTGACGCATGGTGTCTGGTATTACACGTTTTCGTGCCTCAGGTCGCACAATAAACTCCTGAATAGTTTGGACATGCATATCTTTATTCAAAGACATTGATCTCTCCTTTATTCTTCTTTCTCTTTCTTTTTTTTTTCTTGTATAGGCTTACTTTTACACAGATGATTACAGCAACCAAGGTTTGTATGAGCCAATGCATATAGCTGGACTAGCCCTGATGCTCATCACAGAACCCCACACATGAAAACGTCAATAATGAGTTTCTGCAAGGTATGTATATATATGCAAGTCTTTTTACAATCAAATTAAACGTATGCTACAGCTAGAAACAAGCTGAAAAAGGTGTCTTCTACTGGCATCACAGAGGACATTGCAGCTGAGGAGGAGAAGGAGATGCCATCAGTTCAGGAAGCATCGGAGAATATCAGCCAAGGCAACCCTCAGGAACGCACTTTGGCCATTCTCACGGACACCAGCGATGTGGATGATATTATTCAGCATATCAAGAGCAATGGATTCATCATTGTTGCTATGAAGAAGCTTGAACTCGCAGCTAAAGAAGCAGAAGAGTTTTATCAAGACCATGCCAAGCAAAACTACTATGAGAAGGGTGTACGATGGTTGAGCAGGTATGTCAAAAGGTGTTTGTATTTCAGAAGAAAGCTTTAATTCATACTGCATGCAGTTCCAAGCTATACGCTCTTGTATTGGAGAAAGAGAATGCTATCAAGGATTGGAGACAGCTAATGGGGCCCACGACCTACAAGAAGGCACGCAAAACAAGCCCAAATTCGTAAGTTTGCTACATTGATTAAACCATAAAAATGTCATTATGCATGCATTAACAAATACAAACAAAACAGTATTCGTGCCTTGTTTGGTAAAGACGCATCACAAAACGCCACGCACGGAAGCGATTCGGATGTGAGTGCAAGCAAAGAGATTGAATACTTGTTTGGCGCTGATTTGGCGACTACTGCTACTACTGCTGCTGTAGAGAAGCTGCAAGAAGCAAAACACGAGGAACCAGCAAAAGTGGAATCTGAAGTGAAGCAAAGCCTCGAGGGTAATCATAATGTCACAGCCAGTGATACAACGCCTGTTTCAGAAAACGAGAAAGCAAACAATAACAGCATCAAGGATGTCATCGTATCAGCAAACGAACCAAATGTTCCTGAAGTCAATGTTGAAGAGAAACAAACCTCTGATGGGTGGGAGAGCAAGAAGAACATTAAATATACCAAAGAAGAGCCCCCAAAATCAACTGTGCAAGAGGTTAAATCCAAAAACGCATCTCCAGACGATTACCAAGCTCAAGTCCAGTCAAACGGAGATATCAACAATGCTCCTGCTAAAGACGATGGAAAACATGAACCTATTGAACCAGAAGTCGAGATGAATGATCATAAACAGGAGAAAGAGCAAGAGAGTAGCACAATTGCAGCCGCAGCCAACACTGTGACATCTACTGCTGTCTCTGTAGCCGCAACTGCTGTTACAGGAGTCACTGAGGTAGCATCTGCTGCTGCCACAGCTGTATCAGCTGCAGTTGCAAGTTCAGGAACGGAGCAAAAGACAGATAATAGCGACATTGACGCCAACAATCACCAAGACAAGGCAGTGACTATCGCAGAAACTCCCGTTATTCATGATATCATTATCCCTGAACCAAAGTCTGAAGCATCCCTTCAAGTATCTCAGCAGCAAATCAAAGAGAATAACGACACTGAAGCCAACAATGTGGTGCCTGAAATCAAAATTCCTGATACACATCAGGACAAATCAAACTCAATTTCTAATCCAAAAACGAGCGCTTCATTCAATAACAACACTAACACATCATGCTCAGAAGTGGATGTTCAGGACAAATCAGTAGCTGAAACTAACACTGATCAGGACGGCATTTCTTCTAGAACACATTTCTCAGATGATGCGAATGCCAAGGAAAGCGACGTTTCTGGAAATGCTCGACAAAGTGTTACCAAAAGGGTCATTCGAAAGAGTGCCGTGCATCCTTCTAATTCACGCATCAGGCCGCCTAGCATCAATAAGGGTCATTCCAACGCAACAAAGACATCATTGACTGATGCAGTAAAGAAACCAGCTGAGAGGTCAGATCATAAGGTTCGTCCTCAATCTCGCACAACAAGAGCTAGTAACAGTGGTGGTAGTAGCAACGGTAGTAATGGCGCAACCCGTATCGCAAGATTAAGTGCGCCTATTAAAAAAGCTGCTGCTGTCGCTGCTCCTGCTGATACTGTGGCTACGGAACAACCACCAGTGAAAAAAGTTGTAACAAGGGTTTCCAAGAATCTTCCCAGAGTAGCTACTCTCGCTAAATCACCAGTGCCATCATCCAAAGCGGCAGAGCAGGATATCAACATCACGGAAAAGCCCAAGAAGAGATTGTCGTCTACCAAGAGTTTCATCTCGAGATTGACAGCACCAACAGTCGCTAGTGCGAATAAGAAAGCAGCAGTTACCGCAAGCATTACTGCAGAGACAGAGGCCCCAACTCGTCGTACGAGTACATTGAAAAAGAGACAATCACTTACTGTAAAGGCAACGTCCACTGAAGCGCAGGTTCCCAACAAGGTAATCCTGTGATTTGTAAATTGGATGGTTCTAGTTTTTACTAATTAGTGATAATGTGATTTCTTGGAATCACCAAAATTATTCTAGGCTAACGACACTCAGCAGCAGCAGCAGCAGCAGCCACAACAACAACATCCAAACAGTGAAATGACTTCAATTAGTACCAACGAGTCTCTTTCTCGTCCCACTACACCATCACCAGCTACTCACGAAAAGGGAAATGATGTTAAAAATCATGCTTTCATTGATACTTCAGTCGAAACTACCGTTTAATCCATTTGTTTTCAAAATAAAATTATCCATTTTAAGAGAAATCCGACTTTTTCATAGTCAATCCCACATGGGTAACGCACCCAATTCTTCTGCTTTGGTGCTACGTTGCATCAAATCCTACTAGCATGAAACTTTAAATCAAAAAGTGATGTAATTCTTGTAGAACTTGAATATCATGCACTTGATTGGACTCAGGGTTGCCATGAGGGATTGCCCAAATGCTGAACAATAGTGGATTTGTACATTATTATATATACCTTGAATATTCATTACAAGAGCCGTTAAATAGAGTTTCTTTTTGGCAAAAAACCATACAACGTAGCGTTCCTTTATCTTTTAGATTGTTCGCAATTGAAAGTATTCGGGCAAACTGACTGCGCTGATTCACTATGACAAATGGATCTAATTCTCAATAGCATGCAAAGTATATATAGTACGCCTAATAACTCAAGCGACTGGTTGTACATTCAGTCTAATCAGACAAAATGTATGGCGTTGAATAGCAGAGACCTTTGGCTACGTTTTTCTATGATTGTCCTGAAGATCAAGCCAACATCAGTGCTTAGAATGATCGCCTTGAGAGACTGATAATGAAACACCATGCCTATTATTCCAGAATTTGCAGACATAAAAAAACTACGGCATAATATTGCGCCGTAGATACGTAATAATTGGAAAACTTGGCGAATGGATATCTGCAGCTCAAGATGAAACCAAATGTTGATGAAGTCTTGTTTTTTTTATCGTTTATTGGTTTGTTCAATAGCTTGAAATCGAGTATTTTAGACACGATATATACTATTGAATCATTTGTATCTCAAACTAATTCAAGCTGCCAGTGTTAGTCTGTTATTAGCATGCTTTCAACTACACATACAATTGCAAATCATGAACGGAAGGGATTTCTGTAAACTTTAAATTTTGGTGTAGCCTGTATTCAGGACGAATATCAACAGGCACATTGAGCAGAGTTTCACAGCATATCTCCTACAATCTGATGACAAAAATCAATGTCCTGACGATGATGTTGATAATACCAACTGCTACTGGGTGCCTGACGAACAAACCGTGGATGAAATTTTAAAGCACCTTCTCAACTCGTGGATGACAAAGAAGATTCTATGGTTTTTTTTTTTACAAAGAACTGTAGATACTGCCGGTTTGTTTGTGCTTGTATGACGTGTTTTAACTAATTGCTATTCGACTTTTGGCTTTGGGAATATATAATAGGTTTGTGTGCCCTACAAATGTTTTAGCGTAGAAATTTATACTACATTGTGGTTGATGGGCTTTTTGTAGTAGCGCTTTGTTGATAGCACAATTTTTTCGCTTTTTTGTATTTTTCCTTTTTCTTCTCTTTCTTCTTTTCTCTCTCTCACAAGCATACTTTCTTTTATTGCCATCTATTCACTCATTTATTATCCACTGAGATTTATAATTATAAAAGCTACGTCAGGGGCATCATTTTTTTTTGAATGGGATTCATCAAAAAAATGAGCGACACTAACAATAATATCACTCAGCAGCAGCAGCAGCAGCAGCAGCAGACGGATGTGATAATGTCGACCATTTACAAGAATTGCTTTCCCGAAGTGAGCGATGCATTTCTAGAGAAATTGGTAAAGGAAATCGCATTATCAACTGGAGTGCAAACAGTGATGATTCAGCGACTCTTGACCAGCAAAGAATACTACGATTTAAAGCATAACGAAGGATGTCCATATATCAATGTTATCGATCATAACCAGCATGATGAAAATAGTCAAAGTCGTGAAACATCTCCAGTCGAAGCAGAATACACAAAGAATAAAAAGGAATACATGCTGATCAAGGCATGTTACTCCAATGTCAATCACAATGCATTGTAAGTGTTATCTTTCCCGGTTGCTATGGTAACCGCCTACTTTTGACACTTTATTTACATGTAGATCCAAACATTCAGCTGTGCCAATATCATTCCTACAGCCAAACTCACCGCACATTCAAACAATTCACCAAGAAAATTACGCAGTGATCGCTCAGTTCAATTCCGTATACCCACCTTTCCAAACATTTATTGGTACGAGATTAGATCAAGATCAAACGCCAATTGGTCTGATGTCGATCATGGACGATAAGCCATTGAATCCAGCTCAATTGCGCCGTATGCAACAAATATTACTAGCTGTCAAGACAAGAGTGCGGAACGAAATTGAGAGGACTAGACAAAGAGAACAACTGGTCATGGTGAAGAATGCAGCTATCAAGGATGCTCAGGGCAAAATCAAATTTCTAGCTGACATGAGTCATGAAATTAGGTATTCTTATCACAATAAGCTGTTGTTTTGAATGTTTCACTTACATTTGCACAGAACACCAATGAATGCCGTGATCGCTCTTACTGATCTGTTGCTTCAGGAAAGAGCGATGCTCAACGAAGAACAAACAGAGCATTTGGAAGTGATTCAAACAAGCGGTAATCATCTTTTGACCGTTATAAATGATATTTTGGACATCTCAAAGATCAATCACGATCCCAAATTCAAACTGGAGCAAAGAAGATTCAGTATAAGAAAATGTGTCAAAGGTAACCTACTCCAACTTCACACATTTCGTTGTAGTTAACGTTAAAATGAAAAAAGATGCCCTGAACATGGCTCGTCATCAAGCCTCCATGACTCAATACAATAAGCTCGTTTGTGTTGCAGAATGTCCCCCTGATATCAATGATAACATACCTTTGAATCAGTTGATAAATCAGCTCGAATTAAATCAAGTCCTCGTACGCTTCGACACGGAGAAGACTGTATTACCTCTCTTATGGAAGATTGATTCTGATGTACCCGATTATCTAACAGGTGATTCCATGCGATTAACGCAGATACTGCTGAATTTATGCTCGAATGCTGTCAAGGTAATTAAGCTTTAACGGTAGTGCGAACATAAACTAACACAAGCACTGTAGTTCACAAAGAAAGGTGGTATTCGTGTCAAGATATCAGTTCACGCATTTCCTGGTGGCCCACCAAAACCCAACGAAGATTGCAAGTCTACCAACTTTAAAGAACGTTACGATGCTAAAAGTGAAAGCATTTACTCCCGTGCTACGCAGCAAAAGAGGGGAAACAACATGAACAGCGCTGGCGCTCCTTATTACTACGAAGAGAATGAAGAAGATCCTGGCACCACAACTGAAGAAGACATTGATGCTTCCGAGAAGGTGGTTCTTGAGATATCTGTAACTGATACGGGTATTGGCATGCCTGCTGATCGACTTCCAAGGCTGTTCAAATCCTTTTCTCAAATAGACATATCCACTGCTCGACGCTATGGTGGCACAGGTCTTGGTTTAGCAATTTCAAGTATGCTTGTGAATAGAATGGGCGGTGGTCTTTGGGTTGAATCCGAAGAAGGATTGGGGTCGAGGTTTGCCTTGACTTTGCCTTTATCTGTTGCCTCCAAGAGACCGCCTTCCATCACAACCTCTAGTTTTGGTCATGTCTCAGAAAGCAGCAGCGCGTACACTAGTAGTGGCATGATTGCCTCACCGCCATCGCCAGGGTCCTCTGTATCAGATGGTGGCTCTAGTGTAGGCGAGCAACGCAGTAATATCGAAGCCAACGGGAACATTATCAATACAATTGCCTCTTCACCGTCCAACTCAACCGGATATTTCACTACCAACACCAACAACAACAGTAGCAGTAATAGCAACAAGCATATAAACAACCAGACTAGTTTTCCTTGGGAACACACCACTATACCCTCAACGCCATCGCCTTCGTCTATCTCTTCAAACGATCAAGGCATCAATATTTATTCAAACACAAATGTAGACTCGCTCATTTCCAACAATAATGCTTTCAGCAACCCATCCAATCCTCTCACAAGCAACATTAGCCTCACTATGAATATCAGCAAAGGGCTACAAAACATGTTGTCTAAATCTCATGAGCTACCAACTGAATCACCTATAAACAATCCTAATAACAACAACACACTTAATAACAACAACAACATCACTAATACCACTACCATGACCACCACCACCACCACCACCACTAACAACAACAACAACAACAACAACACAACAGCCTCTACTCCACAGCAACAGCCCAAGCAACAACAAGTGAAGGATCCAAAACCAACGAATTCACCTAAAGCCGCCAGAGCAACCATATCCAAACACCATCGCAAATCGCATAGCATTGGCCATGAAGAAAACCTTGCCTTATTGTATCCTATCAAGATTTTGCTGGCCGAGGATAATGTTTGTAAGTGTTGGATTTTAATACGCTGTATAAGTTAGAAGACTAATAGCCTTTTGTTAGTAAACCAAAAGATTGCAGTGAGCATACTGAAGCGCTTGGGATTCCAAGATGTCATCATTGCAGGCAATGGCCGTGAAGTATTAGAATTAATGCGTGTACATACATTTGATGTGATCTTTATGGATCTTTACATGCCTGAAATGGATGGATTAGAGGCCACTCGCTATATCATATCCGAACGCAAGCATAATGTACCACCACCACCTATTTTGCCTGAAAATGGCCAGCAGCAAAAGCCGCTTTTGAATGTCAATGATGTCTACATTATTGCATTGACAGCGTCTGCCTCGAAACAAGACCGTCAGATCTGCATTGACGCAGGAATGAACGATTTCATTAGCAAGCCATTTACCATGATGGAGATGAAATCAGCACTGAAAAACTGTGCTAGCAAAAGAAAGAAGCGTAAAAAACAACAGCAACTAAGCAATGAAAATAAAGATTAAACATATTTTTGGTTTGTAATCTCGTCCCCCTTTCTTTTTATTTCTCTCTTTAATCCTCCATCTCATCATCCGAAGACTCTTTTGCTAATGTCTCTGCCTCCAATTTGAGTTCCTTTGGTACAAATTGGTGTTTGTATTTCGATTCTGCACAAATCCAACTTAATTCCAGTTCAAAGTCTTTGTCCTTTGCATCGTCGTGACATGTGTAGATGATTCGAGTGATCTGATTAACGGCTTCACGGACTGTCATGCTGTCTAAATCAAGCTTCTCGATCTCGGTCTTGGCAACTGATTTACCCTTGCCAATGGCGCAACCTCTGTAGCCCCAATAAACTCCAGAGGGCTCCACCATGTATAAGGAAGGTGCTTCCTTCTCAGTCATTGTACCGATAATGGTGGATGTACCGAATGGACGAACACTGGAATATAAAGTATAGGCAGAGATATATTGACCGATACGATCAGCAATGGCCTTTCCGGGAATGGGTTGTTTGTAAATATCTCTCCAAGCTTGTGCTTCATCGCGAGCTCTGTTGACGAGATGTCTACCATCAGCTAATAAACCTGCAGTGGCCTTTTCATATATGAATGAGTTGGGGAATAACATCAGATGCACCCTCTTGTCTACTTACAATACCAATATGAAGATCTGCGCTTTGAATACGACGATTGGCACCTTCGACCAAAAGCTTTGATTGAACGAGCTTCTCAACTGCTAAAACAACACCATCCTTACAACGAAGACCAATGGCAGTGCTGGAATGGCATGAGTATCTGTATCAAGCGATGCTGTGTTTGTGTTATAGTTACCCACTGTTATCTACTGCCTTGTTTGCATATTCAACTTGGAACACGCGTCCATCAGGAGAATAGGTTGAAACTGACAAATCATACTAATGAAGCGCAAGAAGGTGTTGGTCAGATTATACATTCCATGCCATGCTGATAGCTTATTCAGACTTACTCCTGTACCAATAGAGGTCATTGTTTTAATTTAGTTTATGTGGTAGAAAAGAGAAAAAAATAACAAAATGAACCTTTCAATGTTGCTTTAATACGATGAGGGCCGCGCGTTCAACCGCCTAAAAGAGTCCGCCTCTAGGCTTATTGAGTAGACACCTTTTTGAAGCCTAGATGACGTACCATTGGAAGAAGCTACTACTCACGCTCTGTGTCTTGAAGCCCATCTCAGGAGTCACATGGAGGTTAAGTGTCACTTCAGGCGATATCTTTTTCAAAAATTTAGGGTTGCTATTATAGAAACCGTTCATCTAAAACGCGTTTGATCTTTCTATTATGGCATCTGCATACTATTACAATCAACAACAAGCTGGTGGAGCTCCTCCTTCATCCATGAATCAGCAGCAGCCTCCAAGAGGCATCCCTGGTCAAATCGGGATCAACCCTACGCCGCAACATTATCTTCAACAGCAGCAACAGCAACAACAATACAGAAATCAAGCCTTGAATGATTCTCACAGAAAACGCTCTCAAGCCAAGGTAGTTACGCGATATGCAATACTGGATCTGTTGATGCTGATTATAGCATAGTCCTCTAGACAAAGTGCTGCCATGGCAGATGATGCTGACGAGCCCTCAGGAGATGAATTGGACGATATTTCAGCTCGTGATATTGCTATGGCTAGATACAAGCGCAATCATGATTATTTATCAGAAATCTTCACGCCTTACAATGCAGGTAGGCCATTTGATAATGAATGCACAATTCGAATCCGTTCTCTTACAGCATCGACCTTGCTTAGCATCCATTGTACCACCACCATTGGATATCAATCAGACCAAAGAAGAGATTCAGAAACAAATAGTAAGGCGAATTCGACCAGTTCACCGGAATTTGCCTATTGAAATCTTATGTAGGAAGAGTTTAAAGTGAAGACATCCAGACAAAAGGAAGAGCGTGACAAGAAGATGTTGAGACTTGAAGAGGAACAACAAAAATTCTGGACATTAATGAACAAACTGAACGAATCCAACACATTAGAGGTAAATCGGATGTCTTTTTCCCTCCAGAGAAGTGTCTAATTGACTGTTGTCCTGTAGTCTATTAATGAAGCTGCCAACACTTTGGCAGAAGAGCTAGGACTTCGAATCGATCATTCATCACAAAATGTAAAGGCCATGGCAATACCAGGAATTGAGGAGGATCTACCTGCTCAGCCTCAACAACAACAAATCTTGAACCAACAACAACCATCACAATCATCCCCACAACAGCAGCAGCAAATTGAAGAATCCTCAGCAGACAATAAAGACTCATTACAGGATCATTCCATGATGGATGTCGATAATCAAAATAACTCCTCCACTACTAATCTCGATGAAAACAATCAGCATTCAAAGCAACAAGAGGACGATAATATGGACATGTATTTCAAAGATGGTGAGGAGGAAGAGGGTGCAACTGATAGTTTTTTCAATGAAATGGTCAATGCAGATGATGATCCATCTGTGAGCGAGTTTTTAAACACTGAATAATGTTATGCACATCAAAATCATCCATCAAAATAAATCAAATTTCAAGTATACTTGCACTAGCCGATCAATCTCCATACGCTTGATGATGGCGCCGTCCTGCGGGCTCTCACCAAAGACATTTCAAATCAGAGATAATAAAACTCTGGCATATCAAATAGATTTTAAACAATCAATTAACAGTAAAAAAAAAAAGGCTATATCAGAGTCGGGAGGGGAGGTATCTAATAGTTGATGTTGCTCTTGAGATGGCAGCATAAAGCTGGCCATGTGTAAACACAGGACTTGTGTAAGGTATACAGCGACTTTTTTTGAGAGATTGTCATTGCAAAAGACTCCTTTATAGGGAAAAACTCCTAACAAAAGCAAATAAAAAAGTATTCAAGCTAATCAACTGTTCTTTCAAATTTATGATTCCCATTTGATCAGTATCGCAACCATCATTGTCATCATCATTGCCATCAACAGAAAGGCATTTTGGTTAGCCAGCAGCAATGCCGCCGCCAAAATCAATTCAAGCACAGTAAATTTTTTCTGTTCAAGATTGGACAGATTTTGTCTTTTTACGACTTCTTTAATCTGTTTTGTGATATTCGACTATATAAACTGTGATAACCACCCTACGCTCCCTAATACACTCTTGGAATACTTTTCAAGGCGCTTCCAATGATGCCAAGTAAAATAGATGTTTTGACCGAATTTAATTAGTAATTCCAAAAAATTTGAAATAGAGTTTTTGGCCAAAATATCGAAATTTTGCATATAAAGACCTCACAAAAATGGTTTCAGAAGTTGCTTTGGGTTGAGAAAAACATTCTGATTCGATAAATACCATAGTAAAAGTTTTCATTTTCAAGGTGAAAAATGCGATCGTTTGATTTTCGATGAAAATCATGAGGGGTACCTCATGTTTTTTGATCGATTTTTGACCATGTTTTTTGGGTCTTCAAAAAGTTGAGCAAAGGTGTCAGGAAGTTACTACTACTCAAGCACAATTGTTTGGCGTTATTCCGGTGGCTCAAAAAGGTCTACATGTCAAGATATGAAGGCTAGAAAGTTGTCAGATTTGGCTGTATTTTTGCTTTATGGCTTTTATTTACACTTCATGAATCACATCTCTGGTAGCTGAAGTCTTCTGGAAGGGCAATTCTGCAGCTGGTGCAACTTCTAATTTGAACAGGAGGCATATTGATTTTGGTAAGACTAATTCATGCAAATTTTGAAATAAAAACTTGAAATTGCTGCTTACTATATACTATGGTTTTGCATATTCCCTTCGCTACAATCAAGCCCTCATATAGATCAATGTTTACCAAGTGTTGGATTAGACGCCTGATTACCATGGCTTTGCACTTTCGATTTGCTACGGTAAAACCCTCCTATATCTCAATGCTACCTAATGTTGGATTAGATGCTTAGTTGTCATAGGCTTTGCACCTTTGCTTCGCTAAGGTAAACCTTCCCTATAAATCAATGTCATCAAGTGTTGAATTAGATGCATTATTATGTTCTTGATGGAGAGGCTGAGCCCCTCCCCCTAACCCCTTCCCCATTGCCGTCTTCGCCGGTGTGGCTTTATCCACCTTTGTTCTGGCTCTCAATACTATAAAATTTCGAAAGGATATGATTGGCTTGTCTATTTTTTAAAAACATTGGTTTCCAGTATATATATTAGTGATTTAGATTAGATTAGATAATGACATTGGCCTTCAAACTTTAAGCATGTCTAAACATCATGACACTTCTCCTTGCTTCTTGCTATTGAAGATTAAATCAACATCAGAAGCCACCCGATATCATACAACAGATTAAATTATAAATAGCATAAAACTATATTTCTTAATGAGCAGCAGGGTAAAAATGAAAGCGTTATAGCAGACTGTCCCTGAACGGTAGAATTGTAGCTTCAAAGAGAATTGACCAAAATTAGCTCACGTTTACGGATTAAGGTTTTAAGAGCTTAAATTCTGCCAGCAGGCCAAGATAAAAAGACTAATAGAGTAATCAATTTCTTGGCCGGTGAAGCTTCTGAATGAATAATACTTGTTGTGCCAGAAGGGCTACAAGTGTCTATAAAAATTAAGGTATTCTTGATGGGTAGATATGTCTATGTTGTACAACAACATGGACAAGCTATGATAACTGAAGTGCATCTCAGCTATATAAATGCTGAGGTTCACCAGATGTGATAAGCGTTGTAGAAGATAAATTGCTACTTTGGCATTCAGAACTTAGTATAAATAGGATAACTCTTGTCTTCATCAATAAATCTTTAGTTTTTGTGTCTGATCTTATTCTAATAAATCTTTTCTTGTTTTTGTAATATCAAACATTTTTTATAAGCTATTAATTATAATCCTTTTATTCTTTGTGCTTAACAATACTCAATTTTGAGCTTGTGATTTATTACTATTATACATTCACAACATATAGCACGCATTCATGACCCATTGCTAAGTTATTTTCATTTGGTTGACTAACTTTTTGATAGATGATAACTGCAAGTACAAATAATATAAAAGATATCAGATCACTATCTTGTATGCATCTAGAATATTTTATAACCTATCGCAGCTTCAACCTCTGAGCCAATCAAATCGCTTGAAAACCCCGCTGACCTAAAAAAAATTTGCGAGGGTTTCCCTCTGTTTTGATGTGAGGCAAAATTTTAAGCGCCGCTATAATAGCAATATAGCCGCTGCTATCATCAAACTCCCCCCAGGTGCTAGAGCATGCCTTACTTACACCATCTAGCTTTAGATTCTAGCGTTGAGACTCTCAATCATCACTAAAGTAAGTAGCAATAACCAAGTGGAGGCAGCCTATCTAACTCCTAGCCTCGGATAAAGTCTTGTTGAGCTTCAGGGATAGGCACATCCACACAACGTAAAAAAAGGTATGCTTCAAAGAAACATAAGAATAATAATAAAAGAAAGAAGAAAAGAACATACTACTAGGAGTATAGTAGTTTGTAGGCAAAAAAAGGAAGACTCACACGAAGCGAGTCAAAGAAAAGCATAGCAAACACAACATCAAAGATGTTCAAAAAAGCTCATTGCTGTTGCAAGAAAAATGCATACATGAGCAACGCGCATGCTAGTAATAGTCGGATGTAAAGCAACATGACACAAATACAAACTGCAAAAGCAACAGTGGCATTATAAGTTTGCGATACAACATAATGACTAATATCGTTTCATGTAAAGCTACAGAGGAAACACTACCAACAAACGAAAAAAAAGGAAGAAAAAAGCGCAATAAGGCAAACATCATGAATGCATTATCACGAGAAAGGAAGCAATAATATAACCGTTCAAAGAAGTTTTATATCATTGTGACCAGAAGAAAGAAGATACTTACCACTTACCACAGCCACAGATAGACCATACGAGTATAGGCAATTACCGGAGACAGACCAGAGAACAAGCATGCACCAAATATAGTAGACCAGAAAAAACCAGATTTACAGCAGCAACACCAGCACCATAGAAAAACTAAAGAACGAACACCATCAGCAGAGAGCAGACAAAAGCCAAAGAGGTTACTTACCACTTGTCACCACCATAGATAGACCATATGGGTATAGGCAATCATCAGAGACAGACCAGGAAACAAGCATGCACCAAATAGAGTAGACCAGAAAAAACCAGATTTACAGCAGCAACACCAGCACCATAGAAAAACTAAAGAACGAACACCATCAGCAGAGAGCAGACAAAAGCCAAAGAGGTTACTTACCACTTGTCACCACCATAGATAGACCATATGGGTATAGGCAATCATCAGAGACAGACCAGGAAACAAGCATGCACCAAATAGAGTAGACCAGAAAAGGCCAGATTTGCAGCAGCAACACCAGTACCATAGAAAAACCAAAGAATGAACGACACCAGAGGCCAAGAAAAGACCAAAGAAGCAATCACCAGACATGATAAGCCAAAGAAGCAGACAGCAGAGATAGCAAAGAAGTAATGGCAGCAGCACCAACGTCAAACAGACAAAAAGTATTATCAAAGCCTAATAAACAAATTCAATTAGTGTTAATTCTACGCCTTTCAGTGCTCGTTATCGAATGGTACCTAATATATTTCACTTTAACGAAGCAGTATGAAGTACTTGTAACAGTGCACGACAGGATTATCAGAAGGTGGAGTGTTATTATCAATCAAACGGTTTTCAAAACAGCCATGGTTTGATATTAAACGCGTTTTGCAAAAAAAAAAGGGAAAAAACGGGCGTATGGAAGAATGAGAGGGCGTCTTATCCGACGTCACGGCCAGTAAATTTGGTCTCAGTCTTCTGCCGCGGCAGCCTTAATTGCGGTAATTAATATGAATTTGTGCAGTGGGTATTTTCGTGTTCAACCTTGTCTTGATCTGACATCTTTTAAACGTTTTTGCCAAATTTGACTATGAAAACTGTTGCTATAACAGCCAACTTTCTAATATGCCTTTAAAGCACTAAAGAAGCCGCATCGAATGGCGCTAATTGCATTCAGCTTTCAGACCAAAAATAATGAGCAATTTGCATAAATATGAAAACATGTTTTTTGCCAAAATGTCAAAATTTCACATAGGAGAATCTCTTAGAAGGAGTTTCCCGTGCTGCATTCCGTCTTTATGGTTAATTTGATCTTATAGGTATCATAGGAAAAGTCCTCATTTTTGGGGTGAAAAACGCGGTTGTTTGATTTTCAAGAATTTTCCCTTGCTTATACTCATGAAAAAATGATGATTTTCATGAATTTGCAATGACCCAAAAAAATTGAGACAAAGCATTAGCAAGTAAGGCGTGGCCAAGAGGAGCCGTTTCGTGCTATTCCAAGCGCTCAAAACGCATTGTGGCATGAGCTATTCGTGCTTGAAAATGACTAAATTTGGGCAGAATTTAACCTAAAAATGAGGCGTAGTAAGTTGCGTTTGTAGTGAAATAGCCACCCAAACGCAGCTTGATTGAAAACCAAAATTCATCAAATAGCACTCATTCAAATCCATGATATTCGAATTTATTAATAAAGCGCTCAAATGTGCAACATCAACAACCATTTAGACATACTAAAGTAAAGATGCACGCTTATCTCGCGCATCATGTGAATGAATCACTTCTGATTACCACAGTGTATTCACTCACACCCATTATGGTCGTAATAAGAGATGTTATCTTTATCCAAATAAAATAAAATTAATAACAAGCATATTCAAATATGACAACTATGCCCTGCTGCCATAGTTGCACAACATCCCAGATAAAGGATTCCATACTTCAATAACAAACAACACACTTTAAACCATCAAGGTTACTCAAATCGACCCTTATGGCCAGTGCTCTTGCATTGATTACCACTTTAAATCAAACATCAACAACATTTGCCAGATATCGCAATAGCAGCACCTATTGCTCTCTATCATCACTAATCCTACAAGCTAGTTGCAAATGTATAAATACTCTTCTTTTTTTTACTCACTTTCCGGATCTTCAGTTCATTTTATACACAAATAAAATACAGTTGACTTCTATTGTAATTTACTATTGCTTTATTTTTTTTTTTTTTTGTAAAATCTATTTAAACCTGATTCTACTGCAGATTGAATTCATTAGGCTCTGAGTAATGTCGCTGTATGCGTTCAAACAAATTTAACCCATTCTTCAGCTGCTAGGATACCGCTTTGGCATTTATTACTAAGATAATAACTGATGAGAGGTACATTTCAAGGCATACTAATACAAGTGATTTCATAAACACCGGCTTGATGAAGATTGTAACAATCAAAGTGGTAGCTATGCATGCTGCTAATCAGTTACAAAATAAAATTATGGCAGCAGTGCTATTGGATTAATAATATATGTCGAGTACATCAAACATAGTACCATTCATGTTATTCAGTGGCACTTCATATCAATTTTTTAAGACTTTAATGTTGTTATTAATATTCTTATACGTGTCATTTACTTCTACGAACTCTAAAAAGCATGAATTTAGCCACTGTATAGTTCATTGCAGACCAAAAGGAGTAGCGATGTTTACTTATTTCAATAGAATAATCTGATTTTGTAATCTCAATGCATAATGAGAATAAAGACTTGACAGCGTCCTGATGTTAGACAGCTTCCTTTTTACTATTCGACAGTTCCGCTTTGTGTACCTCTTTGTTCGGCATGTAATCAAGGCCTTTTTTTTGCATCGTTATTCAGTACCCAACGCTACCCAATCTGAAGCTCAATGAAACTGGTCATTAGAGCTACACCTCTACACATGGTTTACAAAGGAGCTGTGAAATAATAATATAAATGCGCATGTTTTCTGGATTATTTGAAGAAGTTTATCTACATCTAAGCTACGAAAACTGTATAAATTCAGCAATGACAATTGTGTTAGATCGATTGCAGTGCTTTTAAAACATGCAGTATAAAAATAAGCAAGGCTGTGCTATGCGTCGACAATGCTTGCAATATTTGATTTGGGCTTGCGGAAACCAGATTTAGGCATCTCAAGCCAAAGCAGCTCTTGTGTAATATCTATTAAGCTATAAAACACACTTGTGATCAACAGGATGGCTCAAATGGAAACGCACAAATAACAAACAATGGCTAAATTTGGGGTTGGCGGTAAATTTAATAATCTTGTAGATCTCTTTTATATCTGTATGCTGATGCTAATGCTAGACAATATAATATAGATTATCCACAACTAACGTGCTGTTAAGTGATGTTTGATGCAAATGCTTCGTTGCATGGCATTATTGTATGTCATAGTTATGTGTTTTGGCTTTGAAAATCAGAAATCATAAAGCCGCAAGCAACTACAAGGGGCTTTGCAACAGCAATTGTTCTTGGATATGAATAAGTAAGGAAAGAGAATACAAGGACAGTGGCTCATTTGATAAAGGTACAAATTATCGAGAATATAAATACACAAAGGATTTCCTTTAACCATTGCCTTTGAAACAAACATACACGTATACATCATTACTCAAAACATCATGCACGCTCTCTTAATATCTCTCACTGCATTGGCCATAGGTTGCTTTGTCTCTGCAGCGCCTATCACTACTGTTAATAGTACCCTGGTCACTCGATATGATCACTGTAACAGAGCCGGTGTTTTTGCTCTGACTTTTGATGATGGCCCATCTCAATACTCATATGACTTGGCAAAGTCATTGCATCAGCAAGGCATCAAGGCAACTTTCTTCATTAACGGCAATAACACAGTGTAAGTTATCTTGCAATCAGTTCTGTCACTGGAAACTAAACGTAACATCGTGATTGCAGTGACATTCTCAACAACAAGACTCCTACAAATACCTCGGATGGCATGAAGACCTATCTTGAAGTCGTTAAATATTATTATGATGCCGGACATGAGCTTGCAAGCCATATCTATGAGCATCTCAATTTAGCGGGCAAGACAGAGGCTGAAGTGAGAAGGCAGATGAATGCACAATCGGATGTCATCTTTGCTGCCACTGGAAGAAGGTAATATGCACATACATAGTAGGACGAGGATAGTCTACTGATTGTTCGATCTATTTAGACCTCAATTGATGCGTCCACCAGAAGGTGCCTTGGATGACAATGCCAGCCGAGTCCTGAAAGAACTTGGTTATAGCAATGTGATGTGGGACGTTGATCCTAAGGATTGGGAGCGCAAGGGATTAGCCGCTGAACAATCTATTGTCCAAACCATCATGGATGCAGATACACCTACTACATTGGGACATATTGGCCTCTTGCATGACATTCATCTTTCTACAGTAAATACACTTGTACCTTGGATCACACAGTATGTCAGACAAAAAGGGCTGCAGTTTGTCACCGTATCTGATTGTATTGGTGTTGCTGCTTATCAGGCAACCGTTTAACCATAGAAGACCTCATTTTGTATTATTTATTACTTATCAATAAAACATATTTTCAAAAGATACTATATAAAGTACAAGTAACGTTTACGATGTTTTCCCAGAACGTCCATTTTCTTGCAAATCCTATTCTTCTCAAGAACGATGATATAGTTTATATTAAGAACTAGCCTCTTCCAATGAAAATACATGATACATCCAATCTTTTGTGAATGAGACACATGTTTTTGTCATCATTGGGTACCATGAAAGCTGTTGTTGTGGTTGTTGAGGGGCTGGACATAACAATCCAAAATCTGCATTTTGTGATCACAAGTGCGCTGTTCCCGTGCCTAAAAATAACTTTTCGCCTTCTTTATTTATACATCAGTTCGGAAATGCACGTCTGTCTTGCCATGACGACGAGTGATTTCCTGGTAAGTTCATTCTGGGAAATGTCTTTTAAAGAAATTTCCTAATTAAAGAGTATGCACAAACAGCGCAAGTGGCTCTTGCTTTCAGCCTTCATAAAATACGCAAAGCATACATTTGTACGTACCCAGGCTAATACAACTACGCATCGAAGGTACATGTGTACGTATATTTGCACATTGACAGACGCAGACTCAGCTCATCACCCGAAATCTTGGATAAAATGATCTATTTCAAAAAGTTAGCTTGAAGATTCATGTCAAAATGCGTATTAGCCTCGAATAACCGCATTGTTATTGTGCCACTCGCGCCCTCTTTCTCATTTGGGCTTTGCTTGAAAACGTTAAAAATAAATTCAATGACATTTGGCTTTTCTAATACGTATAAATACCTGCCAGATTTCACTGTTCGCTTTTCTTCATTCAATTAATAAACATCAACATCTCTCTCTCTATAAAAATGAAGGCATTTACCTCACTTATTGCTCTTACTTTGGCTGCTCTTGTCTCTGCTGCTCCCATTGGTGGCTCCAATGAAACCAGCACTACTATTCCTGCTTCGGGATCAAGTAACCGCACATCTTCTACTGTGCCCACATACGACCATTGTGCTCAAGCTGGCCATTTTGCATTGACTTTTGATGATGGGCCATTCCAATACTCCTGGGATCTCGCAAAGTATCTTCATTCAAGAGGCATCAAGGCTACTTTCTTTACAAACGGTAACAACTGGGTTGAAAACTTCAAAACCGCTACCACCAACACATCTGATAGTATCAAATCTTACATTGACGTCCTCAAATACTATCATGAATTGGGTCATGAAATTGGTAGCCATACATACGAACACAAGGTGCTGAAAGGCCTTTCTACTGCTGAGGTTGAGTATCAAATGAACCAACAATCCGATCTCATCTATGAGGCAATTGGACAAAGGTAAATACAATCTACTTTCTGGCAGGTATTAATGCTTCCTGTTACTGATGTTGTTTATTTAGACCTCTTCTTATGAGACCCCCTGAGGGCGAGCTTGATAACGCTGCATCTTTGGTCTTGAATAGACTTGGCTATAGCAGTGTTCTTTGGGATATTGATAGCAAGGATTACGAGTTGAAGGGTCTGGCTTACTCACAAAATTTGGTGCGCAGCGTTGTTGATGCTGATAGTACCGGTGGTCACATCTCACTTCAGCATGATGTTCATGAGGCTTCTGCTGTTGAGCTCACTCCTTGGATGGTTGACTATATTACCTCCAAGAACTACACCTTTGTCACAGTTTCTGAATGTTTGGGAATCAGCGCTTATCAATAAGCTATATAGGTTGCATTATTCACGCATTTCATATATTGATTTTTCTTATTCAGGAAAATATCCCATTGTAATTTACTTTTTTTTTTCGTTCTACTTATAATTATCAACTGATACACTATTCCCTTTGAAAATAAACAAGATTTCTTCAATCAAACGCACAGGGAATGAGATCCACAGTTGTTCTAAAAGCCCATTGGCTGGATCAACCGTACCTGAATTTACAAATGAATTTCAGACGTCGCTTCAATGGCGCCTCCATTTAATAATTATGAGATCAAACAGCTTTTTCACTATTTTGAGCAGGATTGCTGGTTGTTGCAAGAAAACTGATGCAATGTTGTGCTACGAAGCATTAAGTGGCAGTTATAGAAAACAAGAACGAAGGTTTTCAGGATGCATACGTCATGAATGAGTTTATATAAAGCACTTGTGTATCTTTGGCTACAAATATTATGATTTTGATTTTAGAAAGTGCTATCTGTTGATAGAAAAGGTATATTTTAGTATTAGTGCTTTATACGAGTCTCCAAGATGCGCCTTTTTTATTTTATATCACCAATTTCTTACTTGTTTCTGTATGTTCAATGGAATATATACTGACCGGATTCAAAGTAGTTTTAGTCACGAATACTTCATTACTGAAAACTTCTTCACGCAAGACATCTGTTAGCCTATCCATGGCATAGCCAAGGCTTATTTCTTGCAATTTTGCTTGATCTGATAAGAGAAGGATCCTCTAGACTCAGCGAACACAATTAGATATAGCAAGATTTAAATGTTTAGTCGCTGCATTTATATTTTAAATTTTAGCTCAGGGGCCCAAATGTCAGTTTGTGTATTGTCAGGATTGTGTTAGCACATGTCAAATAGCATTCAAACCATTCAACAAAAACATAAAATTATCATATGAAATGGCATTTGCGATATGTTATCAGATTCATTCTTTATTTGTTTAATAAAGTAAATAGGGCAATTAAATAACTCAAAACAACAGTATCCGAGGAATAACTATCAGCACTAATCGCACAAATTACACGGAATAAGCCCGAATCTGTTTAAAGGTAATTGTACCATCGTACATGGTGTATTCATGATGCAGGTAGTTGCTGTCCCCTCATCCATTTCGATTCCTTGAAAGTCAGCGCGCAGTATGCTGCGTATGAGTCATTGATCTTGCCAGATATACATATATCAACTCTTGTTTCTGTGAGTAGAAGCAAAGCTAGTACATGGCCCATTCTCTTTTTTTTTCTGGAAAGCGGTATTTTAGCAAGCAGCTAATAGCGTATCAAACTCACCTTCAAGCAAAAGAGTTTCAATTTGAAATGATAAATATGACAGTTACTCATAGCCTCCTTCTCCAATTGATCCATTCCGATACTGTATCCCATGTACTACAACAACAATAATACACCATTTTCTGCCAGTATAACAACATGGCAAATTCATAGGACCGCAATCTATCACTATTTCTGAAGGATGAAAAACACGTGCGCCCCCACATATAATCCCTCTGATGTTTCAAATCGCATGGGACTCCCTTTTACTATCGCAAGGTGACATTGGCATGGGAGCACAAAATTGACATAATACCATGGCCTTATCTAAGCATGCCAAGTGGTATAGCGTATAATTTGACGCCTGATAGCCATCTTTTGTACCTAAATTTATAGAAAAAGTTTATACTTTTTTGAAATCATTGTATTATGAATCATTGTACGACCACAAACAAAACAAACATTTTTTTTTGGTTTTCGTAGCATATGTATTATCTTATAGTTTTGAGAAATATAGAGGCATATACAGAGATACTATGTGATTTGGAATAATTATATGTAAGTGTAATTTTTTATATTAGATGAATGCAATTTTTGATGGTGCTGAATACAGAAAAAGTGGGGTCATATTTGTGAGTGATATAAAGAAAGGGGAGGGAGATACAAGCATACAACCATTGCGTCTCATCACTGTTGCTTTTCGGTATAATAATGTATATATGTATAAAGATGAAAAAAAAAGAAGGGAAGAGAACAGAGACATCTTGTTGAAAGACCTTGTTTTTTTTCTTGGAGTTCTATGGTGTATATATGATTGAATAATGTAGGTGTGATGGCGTTGAGCGTAGTGTATTAAGGGTGAACTGGACAGTGCACTATCACACAGAGTCAATACCACGAACACTAGCATTCCTCCTCACTGACATTTCAACTTACTTGTCATATGCTTCTGCGAGCCACACACTTTGCATACGGTACCTGTGCTCTGAGAATTGACTGGCGTAGTAGTAGCAGGAGTAGCAGCAGTAGTAGCAGAGTTTGTAGAAACAAGAATCATTTGGCTGGTCATGCTGACAAAAGCTGGATTGAGAGATGTGAAAGTGAAAGAGAACGAAGAGTTTGTAACAGAAATTGCGAGTTGTATTTAAAGAGGTCCAGGTTTACCGAACAAGGTAAATCCGGCTTATCGTTTCCATCATGGTTAATTACATGTTGTGGTGGTTGTTGTGTTCCATTTATTTTAGTAGAACCTTGTAGGGTTTATCTCTTGTTGGTCAATGTAATAAGACCCCTTATTTTGACCTTGAAATGGACTCGCTTATCTGATTTGACGTTCCGAAGACAACTATAGTAACTGACTCCGTTAGTGCTGTGCGTGATACATGCATAGACCTGAATGTAATGACATGACAAGCTAAACAGCTCATAAATAAACTCGTTCACCAAGTGATTTTTACTAGAAAAAAGTGACATTTTCAAGCATTCAATGTCAAATCAGGTATCTCAGGGGGGAAGAGAGATATAGCATGCGAAAAATTTCCTGTACACAAATTTCTGTATCTTTGACGGATCGACGCCTTTGATACTATTACATTGATAGTGAGCAAACTCTAATAATTTATATCACGGTATTGTAAAAAATAGGCGCATTCTAGGAGATCAGCCATCATATTTGAATGAAAAGAGGCACGTGTGTCAAGCCTTCACATTTGAGACTTGTTTGTTATCAAATCGTCATTAGCAGGCAAAGCCAGTATTGCTAATATTTGGACAGATCAATACAAAATCGATAGATAATGATACAATCCGAACGCACAACGTCTCTTCTATTCCGTAAATGATATAAAAATAACACAAACAACCGAGAATTTTTATTGCTACATGTGATTGTTTGTATATACATATATACACACCAAAATTAACGCATACGTTCAGATGTCGAAGCTGAAGGAATGGGCCCAATGTTATTCTCGCTTATCGTCGACGAGGCAAATTTCCTCATCTGAGCATCCAATTGCCTCTTAAACTTAGAGATGGCCAGCGATACGTCGTTTTCTCCTTCCAAATACTCGATTAAACCAAGCTGTGCTCTTGCGTGTATAAACATTTGATGTTCTGCTGTGTTATTACCTTCTTTGTTGTTCATTCTGACGTTGATTTGATCCTCAATTGATAGCTCCTTCACCTTGGCCTGCAGGCATTCCACCATCTCTGTCAAATTTTCATTCTCTTGTCGAAAATTTCTCATCGACTTGAGCTCAGCCTTCAGTTGTTGGTTCTCTGTGACAATGGCCTTCTTGGATGTGCCTTTACTGAGTAGCTCCACCTCTTCCTTCAATGCTATATTTTCACGAGTGGCCAATTGAGACGTCTCTTCCAGCTCACGCAGGCGGTTTTCTAATCGCTCATTCTCGTCCAACACTGATTCAGCTGCTTTCTTTGACGCTTGTTCTATTGCCTCCAATTGATCCTTGAGCTGTTGACACTCCTGCTGTGCTTCTGATAGCTCCGTTTCATGTTGTTGCTGAGCTTCGATAAGAGACTGTGAAGATTGCTCATTTATCATTTGAATACGTTCCTTTAGCACCTTATCAGACGTTTCTTTGGAGGACTGGAGTTCTAAAAGCTGTTGCTGTGTTTCGTCCATTTGTGATTGTAACCCGAGATTTTCTTGTTTTGTAGATTCCAAGGCTTTTGTCAATGTTGCTAATTCTGCAACTACAACAGCATGCTCTTTTTGCAACGTTTCCTTGTCTTTTTGCAACGTGTCTATTTCTTGCTTGTATGCATCATTGTCTTGCGCTACCTTCTGGACATCGTCGGAGGTATGACTCTTGAGGATATCAATCTGGCTCTTGAATCTGTCATTTTCCTCCTCCAGTTTCTTGATGTGGTTCTTCTGCGTTTCTAGCTCCAAGCTGACGTCACTGTTGGACTTTTCCAACCCTTCAATGCAACTGGTAAATTCAGACTCTTTTTGCTGCCATTTCTGTTGTTCCTGCTCAATATCCTTGGCGGCATCTGTGATAAGTGCTGTGTATTTCAACTCCAAAGCTTGCATTTTGGATTGATATTGCTCTTCGACGGACTTGATGTCAGTTTCTGCCTTGGCCTTCAATTCTTGTACCACCTTTTCATGCTCGCTTTCCAGAGACTCCAACTTTGATTGCTGCTCTTGCTCAAGCTTGGCTCGCAGGTCTTGCAGTTCAGTCTGATGGCTATTTTCCAATGCAGCAACATGTGCATCGGCCTTGGCCTTGCGTTCTAATAACAAGGCTTCTTGCTTTTGCTCTTGTTCTTGTTCTAGAGCTTGAATCTCAGCCTGGTGTGTGCTCTCCAAAGTCTTGACATCTGTGTCCATCTTTATTTGCAAGGCAAGTAGCTCTTGCTGCTTTGATTCAAGCTCTTGAATCTTCTCTGTTTCCAGTCTTGTCTGTAAATCAAGCAGCTCTCCTTGTTTAAGCTGCAGTTGCTGATCTTTGGCGGCCTCCAATGCTAGTAACTCCTGCTTTTTGGTCTCCAAATACTGTTGCTTTTCAGCTTCAAATGTCTGTTTGAGTGCTTCTATTTCCTGCGCATGCTGCGCTGTCGAAACCTGTAGTTTCTCTTCCAGCTGTTTGTTCAGTAGTTGAGCAGAGGCAGACAATGCAAGGATTTTCTTGAGCCTATCTTGTATATCAGCATCACCATCTTCAGCTTCATTTGTGCTTTTGCCATTATTGAGCAACAAGGAAACATTGTTGTGGGTAGCCATTTGTTGATCCAATTGAGCACCGAGATCCTGTGTCTTTTGCAGCAAATCTTGATTCTCCTTGATGACACCATCATGTTGCTCTTTCAGTGCTTGGTATACTATCAGCTGGCTCTGATGCTTCTCGTTCATCTCTTTGTGTTGCTGCTTTATTTGTTCTAATTCCGCCTTGGTTGTTTCACCCGATGCCTTTAAAGCCTTGTTCTCCTCGTTGACAGTAATGATGGTTTGTTTGGATGTTTCTATCACCGATTTCAGTCGACTCTCTAGATGGCTGCTGTTATCCAATGCCTTTGTCAAGAGATGGTTTACGCCTTTCAAACGCTGTTTAATTTCCACTGCATTGTTTGGGTTCACAGCCTCCAGTTGATATTGTACTGCCAGCAACTCTGTATACAATGAGTCATCATCATCTAATGAAACAAATTAATGGATGGGCTCATTATGGCTATGCTGATCACACTATTTACCTTGACTGTCATTCTCATTCTTGGCCGAGTCAGGAGGAGTCAATGGCGCATCCCTCATACTCTCATCTGCATGGCGTCCTTCATCATCAGATACCTCGTACTTGTTTGAGTCGTTATTGTTTGTTAGTGGAGGATAGAACACTTGGCTTTGTCTCTTTTCTTGTTTTACTGCTGCTTCGGTATCTCTACTGCTTGTCTCGACAAGGAAAGGGTTTGTGCTCTCCTGTTGAACTGATTTGACGGCAACAGGTATTGTTTCGTGCGACGTATTGTATTGTGTGTGTTTCTCTTCGTCTGTAGCTGATGCAAATGTTGATAAGGATGCCTCAGACGACACTGAGTTTCTCAATACATTCACTACGTTGTTGACATCTTGCATGGAGCCTGATGGCGTTACTGGAGAAGTGGCAGTTGAGTTGGCAAATGGGTTTGTACTGCTATGACGCTTTTGTTGTTGCACGGTCCTTTGTTGTTGGTCATAATTTTGAGTAACCTTATTCTCTCTTGTGGGTGGCAGTGGATGAGCTAATGATACAAAGGAAGCGGCCGGAGACGGCTCAGAAAGTCGCTTGACATGGCCTGCTGTTGAGCCATGGCTACTGGTGCTGCTTAAACTAAGATGCTTTATCTTTTCCTTTTCCTTATGGCCCCAAGTGCCGAATGCCTTTTGAAGAGAAGTGGTGGATTCACGTCGGCTGCTGTGAGATGTGAGGCTGCTACTGTCTTGCTTATCTTTCTTGTCTTTGGAGAAGATCTTCTTTAACCCCATTTTACTGATATGACGATGAATTGGAAAATGAGAGGAGAAAAAAAAAAGCAAAGAGTGAGGAAAGACGCAAAAGAGATGGATGCTATGTAATATGCTTTAATAAAACAGTCGGAAATAACAATGCATGACACACACACAACAAAAGCCAGAGAAAAAAAGTTAAAAATGAAAGAGGCATCTCTCGTCTGAATGAACAAGCACATGAAGCAATAATGAGCACCGTGTAGCGATGTGATGTCATTTTAAGCCCTCTCTCGCTCTCTCTGGTGCTGTACAAACAGAAGCCCTCTTCGTTTAGACACATTTCATCTACCAATCGACACCCACAACGCACTGAATGAAACATCCAACAAAGACTCGTATTTTGATGGGTGAATCAAAATCATCACAGTGCTATTTCGTTCAACATGGCTCCTTGGCTCATGAGTTGCAGGTACCTGCTACCAACACGTGCATTTAGACATGAAATAAATAGAAGCAGCATCACTCCTTAAATTTGCTATGAAAATTTCTGGCGCTTGCTGCTAGATGGGCATACAGCACCGTCAATTAGAGAAAATTCAAGGAGCATAACAAACGGGTATTATACTTGCTGAATGTCGCTCTCTCTCCCTTTTTCTATTTTGATTATTCACCTCAAATCACATAATAAAACAGTAATGAGTAAACATTGCCACAAGCAATACAAACAACAGCGTTTGAACGCCAATAAACCCTACTTGTGATGGAATAGACTGAGGGTTTATTTATAGGCTTTTAGGACACACACACACACAAGATGGTTGTCTGTGATTTAATGTGAGATGCTATGAGTAGTACACTGTTTTCCACGTTTTTCGACTTGTGTTGCCATCTTTGCTAGCCCAGGATGAAATGGCACAATAAGAACATGGCTGAATTGTCGCCATTTCTACTGAATCCCTGTCAATACACATTAAATGGAAAATACTGGTGTACATGAGTGCAAGGGACCTTTTCATTATTCAAAAGTAAAAATTTAAAGGAGTATAGAGAAGAAAAAACTGTAATGATGTGTAACAGTGGAATTAATCGCTAGAGATTCTGGTTTCATACACATTACAAAGGCATCGCTGAAAGAGGCAACATCATACGATAATAATACTAAGCGAGGCAAATGATGTGTATCAGAAAGCTGTATAAACAAAGACTCTGGTACAAATACATGATAAGCACGTTGCATGAAGCCCGTTCGTAGACATGTCGAGCCATTATCAAAGCGCTTGGCGAGTTGCAAACAAAGTTGAGTAGCAGTGCAATGCTGCCATCTAGATAGACCCAGCTACCATGTTTTGAATTGACAAGCATTTTGCTACAAGTCTTCATCAGATAACGATACCACTCCTTTACCTGATGCTCCAGATGGTTAATATTCGGTCATTTAAACCCAAGCTTTTTTCGGATTACACTATACGGTTGTAGTAGTACTTGTAATTAAATAGAGCTCTTGTAGAAGTAATAGAGTAACATTTAGATCCCTGTTTTTGTAGATATAAAAATATTTTCTACCTTGCCTCTCTCCTTCTCTTTTTCTTTATCATTTCCAAACAATTTTTTACTTGTTTTTTTATCACTAAAAAACTCTTTAAATCCGTTCCTTCATACTCTCATTTTTGCAACATCTCCCCTCCCCCCACACCAATCCTTTCTAATACCATATATCATGAGCGAAATTCTTTTATCCAATTCAGCAGCTACCAATCATTACGATTACTCCAATGGATCCATGATGGTCAATATCAACCCTGGATTAGTCCAAAAGACCAATTCAAGCAGTAACAATGCATCCACATCTCCTGTAACATCATTTGAGGACAACTCACATCATCAATATACTTCTTATCCAGGTAAAAATTTTAATTTCGAATTTATTCATGTTGTTTTCATTGGTTGAGCTGGGATTTTTAAGGAGTTGGACCTTGGTCTTCTTTGATGTCTCTGTGAAGCTTGATGAAATAGACAACATTAGCGAGAGAGAGAGAGTTTATTACTGCTAGTTTACTAAATATAACTTTTTTTTTGTACTCCCTTGTCATCCTCCTCCTGCTATGTTACTATAGCTTATGCTTTTCAACCAATGCCCATGGGATTTCCCCCTGTGCCAAACTACCATCAACATCCAATGTCTCGCTTAGGTTATTTTAATGATCCATCCACCACTGCCGCTGCCGCTGTAGCTGCTGCCATTAGACAGCCTAATAGTCCTGAATCCATCTCATCATCATCGCCTCCAACGCCATCTCCTCCTCCCCCTTCAACCATCAACAGTAATACTATGGCATTTAACAATGGCCAAGTATTAACTACACAATCCGTTGATACGGAGCTGATCAATCCTCTTGTGCCATCATCATCTACTTCTACTTCTTCATCAGCATCCACGAACGACAATAAACCAGCCGTCGTCGCCGCCACCGCTATGAGTAACAACGCTGCAAGTGCAACAACAAACAGCAATGGTAGATTCAACAACCCAACTACTGCTCGTGTCAAGGAAATGATTACTCGCGCCAATTCTGTGCCTATGGAATTCTACCACACCGAGTTTTTAGAGTATTCAAAGGAAACGTATGAAAAGAAGATGGAAAACAAACGTAACAAGCGCAAGAGACCTGCCTGTCCTCAACAACAACAAGATGATATGCTGTTACCACAAGAAGAAAAGCATCAAAACAAGAAGAAAAAGACCAATACAATGCAAGAGTTGCAAGAAGATTTTGAAGAAGAGCTTGATGAAGAAGACAACGAGTACAAATCTGATGAGTGAGTAGTCGTTGATTCTCTCTAGCATGCGCACCAAGACTAACATCTCTCTACAGCCTCAATGGCAATGTATCTAATGCCGAGATCCGTCGTCAAATTCACATCCAGTCAGAGCAAAAGAGACGTGCTCAAATTAAGGATGGCTTTGATGAATTGAGAAAGCACTTGCCCGGTTGCAACAACAAAAAGATGAGCAAGGCTGCCTTGTTGACTCGCAGTAAGTTTTGGTTTCTATACGACTGTGATTTACGTTCTAATCTTCCTGGTAAATAGCTGTTCAACAACTTCAACATTTGAAGGGCATGCAAAATGAGCTTTTGTCTGAAGTTGAGAGACTTTTACAAGAAAATGAATCATTGAAAAAGTGAGTGCAAATCTCTCTAGTATCAGAAATGTATCAGACTGACATTTTCCATCAACAGGTTTCAACATGGAGTCCTTCAACGCCAAGCCATGGAAAAGATGTATACCTTTTAAAACCAATATATCCTCACATTACACCCCTACCCCTACCCCTTTTTTTTTCCAAATCCATCACTCCTTAATTATACATACATCCTATTTCACTCCTATTTTTTTTTTCTCACTTCTTCTACTACAAACCAATTTGCCCTGAAACTCTCCTTTACTCTTTCTTTTTTAATAACAATTTTGTAACTAGTTTTCTCTTAATTCTTGTCGTATATTCTTTTCTTGATTCACGTAGGAATCATCATTGTTATTATGACCTTTTTCTCGTGTAACTGAATCAATTTTAAAACAAATAAATCGGTGCTCTTATGTGTGCAGATCATCTACCATTGCAATAAGATGTAACTATAAGATAAAGACCCCTTTTTTGTGATGCATGAAAAGCCCTTCTTTTCCCTCTTTATTACATCTTTTTCTGAGCATGGCGATCAAACGCAAGCTCATCCCTCTTCTTTTTATATCAAATGTGATTACAAGTACCCATCAACAACAGGTGGATAGTAGTAGCAACAGCAGTGATGCGGATGACGATGATGACGACGGGTGTGCGTTTATTTCAGGTCAGCATTGCGATCAAAATGGCATTTGCAAGTACTGTGCAATGTGCCTTCAAAGCTCTTGTATTCTCAGCAAGACAATCGGCGGAAACGTCAACACTGTCAACAGTTGCAACACTACGCAATTTGGCACAACCAACCTTTACAACTGGTATGATTACTGTCTGTCAAGCGATAATGATAACAGTGGAGGTAGGACGTATTATTGCCTGTGAGTACTTTGTCCATGTGTTGAAATCATGCCTTAGATTATTGTGCAACAAGCACAGAGTGTTACCAGTACCGCAAAAGCGCTGGCCCCTCTGTAACTTATGCGTGGCACAATTTGACATGCAATCCTAGCACTTGTATGCTGATCGCTAGTAACGGTGCACCACCTCCCATACCGGTACCACCCCAAATCATTGGTAACAATGGCGGCGGCATTCAATCCCCAAGTGACCCTTACAAAAAGACGCCAAATAGTAGCGATAATACATTCAATGCATCAGAGGCAGATGCTAGACACCACTTTTATCATAACAAATTCCACAATCCAGCTGCTATTGCCTTGACAATTGTTTGCTGTCTCGTGCTGTTGGTGGCTATTTGCTGGATGCTCCGACTTTGCAACAAGAAGGGATGGTGGCCATTCACAAAGAATCGACTAATCTTGACAGCAGCAGCAGCAACGATAGGCAAACAAAGAGATAGGTCGCAACAGATGCCATTAGAGAGCCACAACTCAATATCATCTATACCAAGCTCTGCTCCGCCCTCATTTTCATCCACACCTCCAGACATGGCGGTGATACGCCATCCACATTTGCATTTGTACACACATCAACCGCTCGTTCCATCAGGACGATCTTCTACTGCGTCTTCATCTAATAACGAACCACTGCCATCGTATCTATCACCATATTTATCGCCACCAAAGTACGAGCAAGCGATTGTAACTCAAATCAGAGGTTTGAGGGAGGAGGGAAGCAGTAGCAATAGTAGTAATCGAAGCAGTCTATCCCACACAGATCAGTATCACAGAAATAATACAGCGCCGCTACCCTCCATGTGGGTTCCTGTGTACTTTACACAGCAGCACCAGCCAAATTTTGGGCGAGGAAGGGCGCCCAACAATCAAGTCGAACTGTATGGATTCACACCAAATCCAGTGTTTTGGGCCTCCAATTGAAGTAGTATATACTATACTTACTTTAGTGAGTCGCTGTGATAGAGTCTTTTATCTTACTATTACTCTGATATTGGTATTGTCACTCAAATCTTTGTATTCGCATGAATTCTACATTTGTACATCCTTCTTACTGATCAATTCCAACTTCAGCCCTTTATCAATTATTAACGCACGCCCCACAACCAAATAAATACATTCAGTGGCACTAACCCGTAATTTTCTTGATAGTTTATACTTCGAAACTCATCAATAAACTTGAAGATAGTTTAGGTGGACCTCATGAGAGGCAATGAGGTTACCAGTCAGGAATAATTAAATCTCCGATTAGTGTTTTTTTTGGTTCTGATTTGTTGATATCTGATCAAATTTCGACTTGATTGATCTATTTTGTCAAATCTGACTATAGAAGTTGCGATGATCATCTCATGCTTCCTTAAGCTTTCTTAATGTACTTTCCAAGGCGCATCTAATGGTGCCAATTGTAATAGTTATTTTGTATAAGCATACCGAGCAATGTTAGAAAACATGAAATGAGGTTTTTGGCGAAAATGTTGAGATGTTACATATGAAAGCCTCGCAAACGAAGTTTCAGGGGTTGCTTTGAATCGAGTCAAACATTTTGACTCTATATATGCCATAACAAAAGCCTTTAATTTTGAAGGTGAAAAACGCGATCGTTTGATTTTCGACAAAATCCATGAGGTATCCCTCATGATTTTTTGTTGATTTTCGGCAATCCCAAAAAAGTTGAACAAAGGTGTCAAAAAGCAAGTGCTAGATGAAAGCAATTGAGTGGTGTTATTCTGGCGGTTTAAAACGGTCTCTAACTCGAAAAAATCACTGCTCAAATACACCCGGATTTTGCTGTGTTTTTTATATTTTTGAGCAAGTGAAGGTAATGCAAGTATGCTGTTTGCCTACATGAGTTGCTCTCATTAACACAGATGTGTAGCTTACTTTCAAGACAGATTCTTCATCACAACCAAGTTGATCATAGGTATTACTTGTCCAAATGCTCCTCTCAAAACCGTAATTGCATTTGATGTCTTTGTTTTGTTCTAAATCACAGAAACTCATAAAGACATATAAGGAACGCTTGTAAGAGCTTGTCTAGGCATCATTTTATAACGAATTATATGGACATGATTGGCGAAATTCGACATGTAGCAGCAGTAGTAAAGCGTCACAGTGTCGCTATTGTTGAGGAGAAAGGCATGCAATGTACCTTAATCTCTTTTTTTTTTTCTCGTTTTCTTTCTTGAACATCATGAAAGTCGAGAAATCACCCACACGCTCATCTTCATTCAACTCGCCTATAGCCAGATCATCCCATTTGCGTAGCAACAATTCAACATTAGCAAGCAGCTATTCACCACTGCGACGCTCTTCATCTCATTTCTCCCCATCATCACCATCATCCTCTTCATCCACCTCTCGATTCCAAGAACCCGCCATTGAAAACACAACCACAACAAACTCTCTCAAAAGAAAATATACCAGCTCTTCTCCGTTAGCGTCTCCATCTAGATCTACTGTGGGCACCATCTCTCGCTCTGATACATTTGCAAGTGAATACGAAGAAGGTAACCCACACAAATGGACCAAGCAACATTGGAAAAAGCTAGAAGAGTGTTATTTGCGCAAAAACCGTGATTATGAAAAGGCAGCGAGTGAATTCTATTACATCGAATCGTTACAGGACATATTGCTACCGGATAGAGACTCCATTGAGGGAAAGCCGATAAGAAAAGAGCTTTGGTCAAAGGAACAGATTTTGTGGAGATGTAAATGTTTGGATACAAGCGCCAGATTTCACGGTGGGTTGTTGCCTTCAGAACGAAAAAAGATAAAAAAGTCTGTGGATACAAACCTGTCGTCAAATATCTCTTCTGGATCTACAGTTACTGCAGGATCAACATCAAATGAATCAAGCTCTTCAGCAGAGAAACTGAGAAATCTTGTAAGCAATAGAAGACTATAAAAAAAGCCTCTTATGAGCAGGCCTATTCATTACATTTTACACCCATCACATATCAGTAATAAATATTGCAATTGGCATCTTCAGTCAGCACTCCACCTAAGGATGTTCACTAGAAAAGACATTGCTGGTCAATGTGCGCCGTTAGAGTATAAATGTAACTGGCAGAGGATGGTGTCCCTTTTTCAACAACCGAAATCTGTCTATAAAGCTTTGCATGCAAATATTTTATTTCTCTCTTTCTTTTCTGCATTGTATAGAAAATCTTAGGACTATGGTAAGTACCAAGATTCATGGAAACAGGCAATAGGTCTGTATGATTAACACTACAGTAGTCCGTCTTGATTGAAACCTCCCTTGGTGATCTTGTCATTGACTTGTACACAGAGGAATGTCCCAAGACCACACTCAACTTTTTAAAGCTTTGCAAAATCAAATACTACAACTTTTCACCCTTCTTCAATGTGCAAAAAGACTTTATGGCACAAACAGGCGATCCAACTGGTAAAGGAGATCAAGGTGAATCGATATACGGCATCTTGAATGGACCCAGTCAGCGTTATTTTCCAGCGGAAATCAACCCCAAACTAAAGCACAAAAAGAAGGGCATGGTGTCGATGGCTGTTGCAGCAGACGCGTCTATTGAAAGCGGTGGCGTCAGTGGAAGCCAGTTCTTTATTACACTAGCAGACGATTTAGATTATTTGGATGGTAAATATACCTTGTTTGGCGAAGTGGCAGAGGGGTTTGAAGTGCTGGACAAGATGAATGAAGCATTTTGCGATGAAAAGGGTAGACCTTACCGAGATATCCGAATCAAGCATACAGTCATTTTGGACGACCCTTTCCCAGATCCAGCAGGTCTTCAAGTGCCTGACGAATCGCCCTTACCCACCAAAGAACAAATAGAATCCATGCGCATTGCGGATGATGAGGATATTGAAGAATTTGGCGATCCTGAGGAAATTGAAAAGAAGGCCAGAGAGAGAGAAGCAAAGGCGCACGCATTGACGTTGGAGATGATTGGCGATCTACCCTTTGCAGAAGTCAAGCCACCGGAAAATGTGTTGTTTGTCTGTAAACTGAATCCAGTGACCAGAGATGAGGACTTGGAGATGATTTTCTCGAGATTTGGTGCTATCCACAGCTGTGAAATCATCCGTGATAGACAAACGGGTGATTCTCTTAGTTATGCTTTTGTGGAATTTGAAAACAAGGAAGATGCCGAAGAGGTAAATTTTGCTTATTTATACCGAGAGAGGATGGCATGTATTGATGTGGTTTTATTAGGCCTATTTCAAGATGCAGTCTGTCCTGATTGATGATCGTCGTATTCATGTGGATTTCTCGCAATCGGTATCAAAACTTCATAAAGATTGGATCTCGAAACGAACAGGAGGCAAAGGAGAATCCATGGGCGGTTTTGACAATCTACAAAAGAGAACGAGATACAGAGATGGTGACGAAAGCAAGAGAGAGAATTATGACTTGGTGTTTGAAACCGACAAGCGAGATCAAAAGAGACATAAAAGCGATGAACAAGGCTCAAGAAGAAGAGACGATGAACGTCAACGAAGGGGAGATGATCGCAAAAGAGATGACCACCGTCGCAGAGATGATAGACGAGACGATAGACGAGATTCTCGACGGGATGATAGAAGAGACTATGATCGCAAGAGAGACGATGATAAAAGGGATCGTAGAAGAGATGATGACAGGAGAAGAAGCAGCAAACGCAAGATTTATTGAGTGATCGGGTATCTGTAACTATTTGTTATGGTATGCATTGCCGTTGTATCTGTTGATTCTCTTCGTTTTAGCACCTGTAGCAAGCGAATCATATAAAAGTAACCTGCTGTAGCATACGCACTCTGTTTAATGTAAACTGTTAGCCATCTACTATATTTTTATCTGCTTTTGCCTTGTTGTTCTCTTACACCTATTAAAACATCTCGTATTAATGTACCCAAGACCAAGATGTGGTTCAAATGATTTTGCATTGTACATATCTCGGACACTAAAACAATGGATCCACTACGAAAGCCACTGCCTAGTCGTTGTTGGCAGCTTTCGTTGAGTTTGTCATCGTTAAACAGCACTTCGATCAATGAGATGATCTCATTTCCACATATAAATGTAAAGAAAAAGACACCTGGACGCCAATACCAGTCTGCAATGGCTAATTTGGACTTGAGGGAGCGGTTAGTTTCAGTACGATCCGTATTTACATTTCTTGTATTATTACAGTTGTGAGAACAATAAGGTCAACGACCAGACAAAACATCATTAAGCACCCCATGAGTATCCGAAATCCGTATTGAACGGGTACGGTGTAGTTTTCTGTTAGCTGTTGATGCGTTGCTATATATGTGCTTTGCATGAGTAATTGAGAGGACGAATGTCATGTACACTTACCAATACTCGATCCAGCATCGTAAATATTCTCAGATGTTCGTATCTGTGGATTATATTGCGTCAGTACGTGGCTAGCAATGGTTGAACCCACTTATTACCATGTACATTAGATTCAAGCTGAGTGATATAAATTTGCACCACGTATAAAAATCAAACAGCTTTTCTCTCCAAGGTTTAGCTACTGTGGAAGCATGTCTGTTGGTTGGCAGGACTGAAATCTCGTTGCTAAAAGGCATAACGACGAAATGAAAGAGAAAAGAGTGAGATTTACATTTTATCTGTCAATGGCACGATTTAAAGGAATTTTTTATGATACAAATATTTATTACATAACAGTTATATCTATCGTTTTTGTTTTCTAAATGCGTACACAAAAGCAAAGAAAACGGTTACATTGAACAGGGTAAAGAGCCACAGAAGCCCAAAGTTACGCCACCTGTTGGAAAATGACCAGCCAATTCTGTATTCGTAATAGTCGTTGCCAGTGGAATATTGGCAGTAATCACACACATCTGTGCTGTTTGGGTTGCCCAGGTAGCCTAGCCCGCCGTCAGCAAAGTATTGAGACATGTATTGGCCACAGGTACTCCCGGGAACTGTATTGATCTTGATGTAGTCTTTCTCTTCGCAAACAACCTGAACACCGTCAAGGCCATTTGTCACTAGACCCTCTACCAAGTAATGATACGGATTCAACCAATACATCCAGGAGCTCCAGAAGGCAGGCATCGAGCTTGGAGGCTGGAAGATGCCATTGAACAAAAGCAACACAGTAAGGAAGAATGGATTGATGATGGCTGCCAATGTTGGTGACTCACAAAAGGCAGCAATGACATAGCCAAGAGAGACAGAATGAAACAAGTAGACAACAAAGATGATAAAGAAATAGCCCACTCTATCAGACTCGTTTTGCAAACCGGTAGTCCAGTAGTAAAAGAACATGAACAAGGCAGACACAGCAATCAAGTAGGGGATTTCGACCAAGATACATGACAGTGCAAAGGGGGACCAGCCGTAGTACTTACTGGCGTATTCGCGACGGAACCAAGCTCTTTCCTGTATGTAGCGGGGCTGAATCAAGATAATCATTGAATTGCCCATAAACAACGCAGTCAAGAGACCAAACATGCGGTTTTGGAGATCCACAGGCGACGACCCTACTTTCCAAAAGGTGAACCCAGTGACAAAGCCAATAAGGCATACAGTGAGAGCTCTGCCCAGATTGTAAGAGGGACTTCTCCACCAGGACTGATTCATGCGACCAAAGACAAGCGAGAGTTGCTGCCAGAAAGGCAATGCATAGGTTTTCACATGACGAGTAACCGTGTGGTCCGTGGTAGAGTGGATGGCTTCAAGCTCTTTCTCCAGAGCAGCAGCTTCAGGTGAGTCAGACCAGACTTGAGCCCAATCCTTGGAGACTTTACCAGCAGTACCAGCACCCACGCACTCTAGAATGTATTCAGCAGGATTTGCTTCAGGAGCGCAAGCAGGACCACCATTGGACTCGAAATAGTCAATCATGGTACGAGAGTCTTTGCCAATTTCACCGAAATAAGCCGTTTGCCCTCCACGCACCAACAGAAGCAAATGATCAAAGTGCTCAAACAAAGTAGCCGAGGGCTGATGAATGGTACAAAGCACAGGCCAGCCGGCGTCTGCCAATTTACGGATAAAGCGAACGATATTGTAAGAAGACTGAGCATCCAGGCCAGAGGTTGGTTCATCCAAAAAGAGAAGTTTGGGCTTTCCGACGAGCTCAACAGCGATAGTAAGACGTTTGCGCTCTTCGATAGAGATGCCAGTTCCTTGCTCAAGATCTCCCACAAGGGCATCCCCAATATTTTGCATTTCCAAGAGGTCCAGAATTTGCTCCACATAGGCATCCTTTTCTTGTTTGGATACATCCGCAGGTTGACGAAGATAGGCAGAGAACTGTAGTGCTTCACGAACAGTGGCATTAGGGTTATGCACATCCATTTGCTCACAGTAGCCAGTGAGACGCTCGAAATCATCAGCCAGATGTTCACCGTTCATGTAAATATTGCCTTCAATGGTACCAATGGTCTTTCTTTTGGACAGCACATCTAAAAGAGTCGTTTTACCAGCACCAGAGGAGCCCATCAAAGCTGTCAAGTTGCCAGGCTTGACAAAACCACCAACATTGTTTAGTAACTTGAGTTTTCCTCCTTTGACAGGAACCGTATAGTTAACATGATGCCACGTAAATGAAGTACCGTCATTCACAGCTTCCAGTTCTTGATGTGTGCGAGATGCCGTTTTCTCCAATTGCTTTTCAGCGGAAGTGACCTTAGGAGTGAAGCCTTTTTTATACACCTTGGTGATGGTGCTTCCCTTCTTGAGGTCTATGAACTCCATGGCCAGAGCAGCGAGGATAGAAAAGAACACAAAAAGCAAGACAACAGCCAAAAAGTTGATCCAATTTTGAGACGTGTAGTAACCATAATACTGAGCCAAATAACTGTCGCCTAGCACAAAACTGGCTCCTGGCTCAGCGCCAGGAAGAATGCATGAACGGTAAGCTTGCTTTGTGTAAGTCGGACCAAAGGGCACGGCATTGACACCCGCACAGCTGAAGCGAGCGCCCGTCAGTTCAGTACCAATCAGTGCTTTAAAGCTGTAAGCAAGCGGGTTGATCCAGTATATCCACATCAGCCAAGGGTGCATGTAAGGGTAAGGCAGCTGGTAACCCACGTAGATGATGAAGGCAGTAAAGATGATGCTGGATATTTGAGAAGCAGTGTAAAAGTTGGGACAAATGGACCCCCAGAAACGAAAGAAGCTGTTCATACACATGGTGATGGCAATCAAGTTGATGAAAAAGCTGAAAAACTATGTCAAGTCTGTTAGTCGATCGCCGATGAAAATCTTTCCTTGCAACTTACCCTGCCTGCGTCCAAGACAAACCCCATGATGAAATAGCAGCACAGCTCAAATAGGATGGCTTGTAGTATAGACAATGGAATATCAGCAATAACTTGAGCAACGTAGTAAGCAGATGGACGATACATGGCAAAGTGTTTGTGCTTCTCTAGTACACGACGGCCTTCCATAAACGATGGCATCTCAGCTTGAGCTACAACAGCGTTGAAAAAGACGGTAAAGATGTAAGCGCCAGCACGGCTAAACAGGCCTTCCACAGTGAGAGGCATCATGTAAAAAATGGAAGCGGTAATCAGTCCTTTGGCAACAACATCAATATAACGAATGAACAAGGAAGTTTTGTCTCCCCAGATCAGTTGTAGTTGGCGAACAGTGAGTGCCTTGACTTGCTGGTAGTAGCTGATCACAAAAGGCGTGCTGTGTGCTTGTTGGAAAGCTTCACGAAAAGACACCTCGGGCTTGTCGAAGCTGATCTCTGCCTCATAAGCATCACGTTCACGCATCATCTGGGTATACAGACTGGACTCCTTGTAGGCTTTTTCAAACTGTGCAGCATTCAAGGGGACACGAGCTTCAAAGCCAGGACGCACCTCACGTTCATTCAGGTTACAGAGACCAGTCAAAAAGTCAGGCGTCGATTTGCGTTCAGGACAGTGGAATCCCATCTCGACAAAGTAACTTTTAGCACTAGTGATAGGGCCAAAGTAAATACAGCGACCTTCGTCCAGGACCATTGCCTTGTCAAACAGTTGAAAGATGCTATCAGATACTTGGTATAGAGTAGCCACCGTTGTCTTGTGCATGATATCAGTCATGATGCGAAGAGAGCGGACGTAGTCAAGAGCAGAGGAAGCATCCAACCCACGTGTAGAGCCATCCCAGCAGTTAATAGAGCTATGTGTTGTCATTTGTTCAGCAATAGAAAGACGCTTACGTTCACCACCAGAGAGACCACGCACAAAGGCATCGCCTACCATCGTCTTCATTTGCTTTGTCAAGCCCAGCATGTTACCAAGCATGTACAGGAGGTTTTCTATAAATTCGGATTTGGATTCACCTGGAATACGAGTTGCTGGTGTTTTAGTTTTCAAGGCGAAACGAAGTGTTTCTTCAGTCGTCAAAGTAGGATAATGCAGATCTTCTTCTTCATTGTAGCAGACTTCACCTTTGAAATATTTGCCAAACTCCTGCGCATCAATTCCGCCATAACTGACATCGCCCTGTACAGATGTATAAGCTGTACGCATGTTGGAGAGAACACGGAGCAAGGTAGATGTTCCGCTATTAGGTCTGCCCAAGACAATCAGCATTTCACTCGACTTACAAAAGCCATTATTGTCATGTAGAATGGTCACTTCAGATCCAGATTGTTTACCCCACTTCCAGAATTGCAGTATCTTGAAAATGACAGATCCGTTGGTAAGTATAGACCTAGCATCGGCACCAAGGCCTTTCACTGTGAGATGTTTCCAGACGAGACCCATATTCTTGACCTTCAAGCCAGCCTCTGTGAGTTGGGTATGCTGATTCGCCAAATATTCTGTCAGATCAAACACTTGTTCACCCTTTTCAACATCAGTTATAGCAGCAGCAGCAGCAGCATTGGATTGCTCCGTCAATGTTCGACACACATGTTCATATTCTTCAAAAGCACTTTGTATATCAACAGCATTACCATTCAATTCGCCAAATCTTCCCTGAGAGTAGGTTGGAGACATAGGTAGGTTATCGATCACTGTGTCTGTGTCATCTTGGGTAGCACTTGCTGTGCTCGATATGCTTTGATCGCTCCTCTTGAGATTTGGGTAGTTGGTTTCATTCATACTAGTAGTAGCAGTAGACCTGTTGCATCAATAAGAAGAGAAAACGTCAGGATTTACAGGACTCTTTTTATACGGAAATCTTGATTCTTCTCAATTTCAAATCAAGTTACACAATGACAAGAAGTGTTCGTATCATGGATGCGACATGCTGGCATACACAAGCTGCAAATCAAGATAGGTTTGCACTGGCAAATAAGCTTTTTATTACTCTATGTTTGAAAGTGACATTTTGTGCGATTGACACACAAACTTGACCATTGTGTTGATGCTTCAACATGTCTGTTGAAAACATAGATTGTTTATGTGTCGTCGAAACACTTACAATTGAGCCTGTGTGGGTTTATGTCTATACGATCTTCTGGCAGAATGTCGCGCCATAACCTCATGTTACAGAACCGCATTTTCTGTATATGGTAGAAATAGAGACTAGGGATTACAAATCAAACAATCGTGTCTTGCACCCAATCAATAAAGCGATCTCTTTGTATAATCACTTCAAATAGAATAGTCTAATATACATATGTTTGGCCATAAAGTACGACATTCGATTACCCGTATCCGCGATCTTTCATCTAGAAAGCCCTTGCACTGATATGCTATCTTTAATGACATATTGGTAGCAGAGAGACGAGCCAACATGGCTTATTAATTACTGTAATTATTAAGCAAAACAGAGCTGCTCTCGTACTACTCTATTCCTCTTACTCCTCTCAAAAGTTATCACAGTCTGTATTTTTAGCTTTTGCTTTTCACAATGTCACCATAGATGTAATGTGTCGCACAGAAGATTTTCCTGTAACTCCTTGCCTATTAATAAGCAGGCAAATCTTGTTTTGACGTCGAGGTCACCCAGGTTCGTGATCATCAACTGTACCCGCATTGTGCTTACTAAAACTCTGTTGAGCCTATAGCTGTCTTCTCCATAAGATCGCAATCAATACATAAAACGTCGGTTAGCATTGATCCGAACCGTTTATTTTTCCTGTTATGATATACCATGCTTGGTTCATTATTTATACCAGAGTCATTGTGAGTCGAAATGTGTATTTTCGTTGAATGAATATGATCCAAATTGTGTTGAAATGATATGGCAAAAAAGCCGTCTAAGAAGACTCATTCTTACATGCCATGCATCGCAAAGAGCAATCCGATACACTCTTCTATGAATGATAAAAGCCTTTATACAAGATGATTACATTTGCGCCTATCTTTGCAGGATGATATGTAGACTATGAAATTTACCATCTAGATGCTGTTTGCTGCGACTTTCAGCTGTTTAAAATAATATTCTACTTTGAGCAAATGAACAGCTTTGGCATGGTTGTAGTCGTTTCATTTTTTCTCTAAGTTTTCGTTGATTCTGGATTTTCAAAACGACAGAAAGAAGGACTGCCTTCTTATCTATTACTCTTCTATGATTGCTCGCTATGGTTTGGGACCAAGCCAAACGTCTTATACATATTTGTCTTTTGTATGATGTCTGTTAGGTTCAGTATCGTAGCCATCTTCATTGGCATTATTCAATAGCTCGAAGAAACTCAACTTGTAGTACTAGATGGAATTTACAACTGGAAGGATGCTTTGAAACTCCAATTCAATGCGAACACTGTTGGAAGGCGCAGCATTTCCTTTAAAACTTCTGCGGCAGACTAAAATAAATAGACCCAAGACGCAAGTTTCACTACCTTTCATACCAGCTGTTTACAATTTTTGACTTGCATGCTTGATTTCATCCCTTACATTGCCAGCACGACAAAAGGCATTGATAAATCCAGATGGAAAACCGCTCTGGATGCTTGGATTCACAACCTGACCGAACTTCTCAACATGCAAGAAGCTGATTTCCTCCACGAAACCACTTCAAACGAGTCGCTCTCGCTTTTTGTGGAACAAGTTTTGAACGAGCAAATGGACACCACCGCCACAGTCGATCCCAAACTGATCAGATGTGTGTTTCTCATCTACTATCGTCTCGCAGCTGTCAATATCACGCACACCAACCCATTGTTGACTGCAAATAAGCTCTGCAGTTTCGCAGTTGTTTACGGAGACTCTAATGCGGCTGAAGTGCGTCGCATCATGGCACAGTTGGCTCTGGAGGAATCTATCGAAAAAGAGCTTTTTTCAATCATTGGCATGTTGGTGGATGCTGTTCAGTCCATGCCCAATCTCTTGGCAGCACCTGCTTCAATTGAAACGTTGGATCGCGCTTACGTTCTTGTACGTGTTTTGGATGCCCTCTTTTCAACAACACTGTTTGTGGACGCCATTCAGTCTTCATTCGATACTTTGGATAATGTGTTGATTGAATGCTATAGAGACATTATACCCACCTTGAAAAAGACTGTTGATTCTGACTCTCAGGCTGCACCCTATGCCTTCCTCGTCAAGAAATCACTTGTTTCCACCTTCAACTCTTATGCGGATGGACACTTTTTCAGACCACTTGGATACGTTTCCTCCATTAAAGATCACCAAAGCCTCGACAAGCTGTCAGAACCGATTGATTCATCTGTCATTGACTTGATCAGCAACAAACTTTTGGAATACATTGAAAACAGTGGACTCGAATCATCGAAAACTGCATTTGTGGATGGACCTTTGATTTTGGATTGGGAAGTAGAGTATCACATCACTGGAAAGCTAGACAAAATCAACAAGGATGTGTTTGGCGGCGATGAAGAGTCTCTCGAGTTTCTAAAGCTGTCCATGGAACAAGTGAGAGATTCGAATAAGGGCACGGGCTCATGGGGAGACAGCCTTCAGACACAACAGACACCAGCAGAACAGCAAAAGAATCCAGCTATATACCAAAATGTCGAGAGAACCTCCAAGATTTCTCAAATTCATGATCTATTCCCTGATTTTGGCGATGGATTCATAGAGGCTTGTTTAGACGCAAACAACGACGACGTAGAGGTGGTCATCATGCAATTATTGGAAGACTCACTTCCCGCCTCAGTAAGTGGATTGGATCGCAAGATGGACAGAAAGCCATTACCAGATGCCGCAACAACCGTCTCGCAATTGACACACCTGGAGAGTGAAGCAGAAGCTGTTTATTTGGAGGCAGAAGCAAGAGAGAATCGCAAGGAAGAAAGTGTGCTCAAATCCAGACGCAACGTTTATGACAATGATGAGTTTGATATCTTTAATCGTCGTACGGTGGATGCATCCAAAGTGTATGCTGGCAAAAAGAACAAGGAAGATGCCGACGCCTTGCTGGATGACAAGAGCTTTATCCAAAGCGAAAAGAAAAATGTGCTGCAGCGTGTGGTGGACATGTATGACGATGATTACGATGACACCTACGATGATATCAATGATGCTGGCGTTCCTTCTACGATGGAGAATGGTGATGGCGATGCTGCAGCCGATGTTGTCAGAAAGAAGCAGGAAGTCATTGATCCAGGAATCGAAAATGAGAGTTTGTTAGTTCATAGCTTTGTGGAAAATGCTGAATTATTTGCTCGTAATTCTACTGCTCGTAAATCAACCAAGCGGGCCGAACTAAGAAAGAGAACCGGTATGACGGATGAACAATTGGAGGGTTGGGCCATTATGTTTAAACGAAACGTAAGTTGACTAGGGGCAAATTCAACTGGATATATTTTAATGTGTTCAATTTTACGCAGCCAAGAAAGGATAGAATTTTAGATCGATACATGTTGTTTGACGGTAATCAAGCCCAAGTATCTGAAGATGTGAGTCAAGCTCAAAAACAAGCACTCAAGAAAGAGAACAAGCGTCCTCCTAGATCAGAATCAAAGGATCGTGCTTACAAAGACAAGAACAAGGCTCGATTTGGAAACCATAATCGTAAAGCACAAAGAGATAAAAAAGTAGCTAAAGCTGGGCCCCCACCAAGCTAGATTGTCATAGATTCATCGTGTAGATTTCTTCCTCGTTTAATTGTACAGTAAATACATATGTCTAATTATCCTTCTTTGTTGATTCTTTGAGGTACTTGTTGCGTTGAATTCTCATGTGGTTGTACATGACAGGAGATCCAGGAGCGTAAAGGATGATGACAGCGATGTAGGCATAATAATACAAATCACCCCATGCAGCCTTGACATAAGACAAAGATTGATAGATCATGATCAATTCAGAAGAAATACCTGTGGGGTACAAGACAAGAAAGAACGTATAACGAGCCCAGGTAATGAAGGCAGGGACCGATGAGGCCAAGTTGGTAGCATAGTAAGAATATCTCACAACTTCAGCGATTGACCATGAGATAACCATGGTTGTATAAGACCAATGGGAGTGGATTTGAGGGAAGGGGTAGTTCACGGCCCAGATCAAGAAAATACGAGAGAATACTTGCATGACAGTCGTCATGATGGGGGTTCTAACCCAACCCAACAAAGCGTGGACAATCTATTAACGTTCAGATTAGCCATCAAATTGTATCAAATGGAGAGCTTTTATAAGTAAACTTGCCTCAAACAATGCAGTTGATTGAACTACAATCAAGACAGGCCAGGTCACCTCAAACACATTCTCATATGAGCCAGTGCTTGCAACTTGAGCAATTGCCAAGAAGAGGACATAAGCCCAACCAGCAAGAGATGAAAAGTTGTATGCGATCAAGTAAGATTTCAAGAGACCTGAGGGCCCTCTTTTTTGCTTTTGCTCGACAGCTATAAGAAATATGGTATGGCGATGAGTATAATAACTGTGTAGTTTATAGCCTTTTGCTTACGTTTAGCCATGTTCTGCGGTTGATATGAGGATTAAAAAGCGCGAAAAACAGATAAAAAAGGACGACCCAACAGTTGGGAGGCTTCCATCATTTATCATATGTTACGCGAACTTTTTTTTAAGCTTCTGGGGAAGAAGCCACCACGACAACAGAAAGTCCATTGCCAATTGAAGGTCAGAGTTAAATCCTACAACAAGCATGGATGATAAACGTCAAGCAATGTGGTAAAATAAAACGCTTCGACCAAGCCTGATCTGATGCGGCTTCGTCTGCAATCATGTGCTGTATATATCTTGCGTTCTTTTCCGTGAGTATGATCAGCCATTCAAGTATAAACAAATTAGTGGAAAGAGTCAACATGTGAGAATGAGTGCTTTGATTTGTATGCATCGAAAAAGTGACAAAACATTTGTTGGCCAGTCCATCTTTCTGCCGCGCCATCAAAAGAGATTTATTTGTATACATGCAATCTGTATATATGGGACAAAACAAACTTTGAGGGTGAAAATTACATTCATTTTGGACTTCCATCTCATTTCGTCGCTTAATGTGACCTACAGTGCAGTCCGACATGGCTTTCCAACTGATGGATCTGCAACAGAAACATGACTGGGGCTATACCTTGGAACCATCGGTCGCAATCTTTTTCTCTATTTCTTCCACTTTTCTCCTTTTTATCTCTTTTGAATTCTCTTTGAAGTTCGATTTTGAAATCCGTATTGAAAGTAGCATGTTACTATATCATTTTTTTGCCCTTTAAACGATGGAGCAATTGGATTTTAGATAGGGTGCGTTGGTGTTGAGAAATCAGAAATTTTTGAAATTTGCAAATGTTGAGCAGATGCTATTAGTAAAAGTCAATGGATTACTATATGAATATTTGTTGTATGTGTAGTAAAAGTTGTAGAGGGTACTTTTGTTGATTAGGGAGTGTTGTATTTGGGCTTGCTGAGAAGGATGTCGATGAGTAATGAGGAAAAAGAGTGAAAATGGACAAATTTCAAAGGGCCGTACTGGTTGATTTTACTAAGTGAACATGAGTTTATAGATTAATAGCTTCTGTTTCTTTTTCAATTCTCTATACGATGGTATGGTTATTATGGATAAATAAAAAAAAGTTGAATATCCCCTGCTTGTAGCTCATGAAATATAAGATTATGAGCGAATTCATAAAGGGGATGTACATCTGGTACCTTAATCTTCTATATAATGATGGATATAACGTAGAGCTATCAAATGGTTTTTGTTTTGTGTGAATCTGATGAGTATTTGTCGAGATACGGCCAAAAAAAGGTATCATGCAAAATCATTGATTTTCCTTCAAAATCTGCCTGTGATAGCAAGCAAAAAATCTGGTGACGAGTTTTTGGTCAGGACAATACTTTCAATATTTTATGATAGAGTTATGTCAGAGCTTCAAGCAATAGCTCATTCGATAGGAAATGTTTTGATCTACAATGTTTAGTAATGCTTAACAAACTGTTTTGATGACAGATATTGATTAATCTTTAGAAAACAGTCAAAAAATTGCAAAAACAATCGTACCAAATACCAGGTGAACAATGTACACCAGAGACTTGAAACATATACCATTGTATTCTCCTTTAAATTCTCTACAAGTTTCATATAAGTTTGAAGGGGTGTTTACTATTAAGAAACGCTCAATTTTAAGGTCGATAGATTTTGGAATCCCATGGATCCTCATTCAGAATATTAGAAATTGAAGCTCCGTTGACCTTCCGCATGTATACACCTCACAAGTGTGCATTTGACTAAGCATTTTAAAAATTGGAGCGTTCGAAAAGGGCCATATTAACTTGTTGGTTTCAAGTTATCAATAGATACTTGGCATAATGAAAAATCTTGCTGTTAAGACTAGACAACTGTAGCTTGCCTTGCTCACTTATAATAAGGTTTCCAAACTAATGCATGCATATTCCCCCGCTTAAAAATAGCATCTCCAATGTTGATTATCTCATGAAGCAAGCATTTCCAATATAATCTTCCCACTTAAAAGATGCTCCAATATCATTATTCTACATCGTACCTCAGTCAAATAAGGCTTTAATTTAGATTTTGTTTTATCTGTGTTTTCAGAGTGATTTTTGATTTTGTCTGTGCTAAATTAAAGAAGTTTCATAGACTTCAATATTATGAAAGTTATCCGTGATTTTCCCATTTCAATCTTTTTTGCTTAGGTTAACAAGCCATTGGGTGATGTAGATTATTCGACAGGACGAATGCTAAAGCTTGAGATGGTGACTCAAATATTTGGTACTATCTGGGGCTGCTGCACGATTAATATATTTATTATTAGAATCTGCTAATTTGTATTTCGATGCTTCTGCATATGATATTTACTTAATTATAACCCTTGTTCTTATACTACCATAAAATAGCAGTTCTAGTACAGTAAAACAGATAAAAAATTTATTAAGAAAAAGTACATGCTGATTCATCGCTTCTATATACGGTACTTGATCATATTGAACCTACTGTACTTTAACATCTTCCAACTAATTTTTTGGGTCGTGTTTACAAATATAGTTTATACAGTAGCGTTACAAATCGTAATATCCATTTTCTTGTCACTGCATACAATCATTCGTTTTCTCTTCATCTCTTTTCAAACTGTTTTATCAAATAACTACACAATACTACCAACTCACTTGTAACAGCAGATTAAGACAAGTATATACAAAAGAATGTGCCGTGTCGTGATAATAACATAATATATATAATGAATCAGTTATAAATTAAAAGACAACGTTTATTGAGTTCAGCAGTTAGCTATGATATTTATACTACTTGACTTGTGTAACAAAAGATGTAAATAATGTTACAGGCGAGTCGGTAGTAGTGTATATAGTTTTGATAAAAGAGTATGAAAGAGATAGTAAATTAGCCAAAGCAGATCTAACTATCAAATGAGCATCAGGTATATAGTTGTCCAACTAGAATAAACAAATAAACAGAAGTAAAAGTAGAAAATAGAAAGTAAACCAGAGATGTATATAAAAGAGTTAACAATGAATCGATTATAATATCTGAGATATAAAAAAAATTCAAGGGATCTTACAAATAACAGATGTTTGATATAAGAAAAGTAGTAAATATAACTCTAATGAGCTTTATAAAAGATGTGTATTGAAATATTGGTAAAATATAAGATGATTTTATTAATTGATTTGAAGAGTTATGCTTTTATACTATTTTGCTATTTTTTATGTCTGTAATAATGTCCTGGTTAACATATGATTGATTTGTGGTTTGATAATATTTCTGTAATAATATCCTTCGATGAATGAAAAATTGCTAACTTAATTTACAAGGGTCAATGTACATGGTTTCGTATGATTTGGTTATGTAATTGCGTTTCATGGATTTAAAAGTAAGGTTTGATATAAGATTGTCCATTTTGGATACAAGATACAGAAGGCGTTGCAGCGTTGATCTGGGCCTTTAATTCATGTCCGCTTGATATGCCGCATTTCGAGTTGAGATTGAGTTGTGGCCAGAATGTAATTTAATCGATACTGTGGAATTTGAGGCTTTACAGACTAAAGTTCACGGAAAAAAAAGAATAAAAAAAACAGTAAAGTCAACTTGATAAAGGTATTATATTTTATTATCAAACTGACACCACGTGTAAAGTAAACTGAAGTCTCTCTACTGGCCAGGTAGATCATCCTTCTTATATACTATAACAATGGATAAAAGTTCTGTTAATTAGATTGACAAGTAAGTCAACTCAGATCAACTAATGTCTAATCATGCTAAAAGACAACTCCAGCAAGCTAATCATGATTTAGCTTTGCCTGGATGAATAATTAGACTCTCATCCGAAGTACCCTGATCTATCCTTTCTATAAGGATAATTAATATCGATCTAGTAGCATGTATCCGATAGGTACAGTCTACTTAGTCTATATCAATAGTACATATCTGAGTGTGTATCGCTAAGCATACATCTTTATTAGCATGTATCTGGATATATGGCATGTCTATAGCATGTCTCATATATAGTACAAGTCTGTAGTACATAAAGTATCTGTAGCTAGTATCACGGATATAAGCATGTGTCTTATAGCGTGGATCATAAAGTGCACATCTGAAGCAACAAGCTCATATTGCATTAATCTTGGTGCCTATCCAGATATGGTAAACATCCGTAGTCAATGATGTCGGAATACAAGTATAAGTCTATAGCGCCATCCATGTCCGTGGTGCCATCTATAGCCTATAACTTATATAGTATGAATCTTATAGTACTAGCGTATCTGAAGTCCATATCTTCTTCTTATAGTATAAATCGATATCGTACATCTAATCCAGCGTACATACAGTTTATATCTAAATCTGGTAACTGGATGAACTGTCGGAATGCAGATCATAGTGGATGTATTCCACAGATACCAAAAGTAATGTGTTTTATATGTAAAATAGAGACGAGCAGATTAGATGATTATATAGTGGCAGAAAAAGAAAGTAGATGTTACGACTTGTAACAATAGCTACGACAACCTCACACCGTTAAATACATAAAAAAATGACTATTCTCGAGCCGTGGAGTGTAACAAATATTTGTTGAAGAAAAAAAATGGAGAAACCGGGGTTTGAACCCGGGGCCTTTCGCATGCAAAGCGAATGTGATAGCCACTACACCATTTCCCCACATTAGTAATTGTCGACTTAATAAATAGATTCAATGATAGGAGTTAACGAATTACCTGGAGTTTAACTAATAGATTGAGATTGTGTTCGAAGATGCTGTTTATTGAATGCATTTACAACTTATATTTATACTATTTCTACGATCGATAATTACTTAATCAATAGAACTTTCGAGTAGATATAGTACTTGATATAGCAACTGATAATCAGATCAATGCTTGCTGTCAGTTTCCAGAACCTTCGAGTATACGCTGGCGCCTTTTAGTCGCTTTCTTCAAATTTGGCTTAAACCTAAATCTAGGCACGACCTAATGATACGTGTGTATCTTTCTTTTG